CACTCGGTGGGAAACTAGGCCTAGAGCTTTGATATATGTTCGCCGGGATCTTCCAGCATTCTCTCTCCCTCAGCCTATCTCACCAGATATCGCAGCTATCTGTACAGCTGGCCTAACCATCATAAACATCTACCGCCCCCAAATGACCCCCGTTGTGCCAGCGGGATCTGGTTCAACCCTATCTACCCTACACACCCTATTGCAATTCTCCCCTCCGCAGAACACTATTATCGCGGGGGACTTTAATACCCACCACCCCCTCTGGCAACTAGGGACAGAACTGCACCAAGTAACAGCAGGTGTAACAGCACTTATAGAGTGGCTAGAAGCCCATGAACTAGTGCTCTGTATGGAGCTAGGCACTCTTATTTGTGGGCCAAACACCCTTGACCTGGTCTTCTCCAACATGTTGATAGAGGCAGTAGTTGAAGACTACCTTAATACCTCAAGTGATCATGCAACCATTCTGATTACAACAGACTGGACGGAGCCTATCTCCCGTCCAAGGATAGGCTCTACAGACTGGGAGAAGGCTATATCTCTGCTAACCCCCCACCTGCGCACCTCCCCATCAACACCTTAGCAGAAGAACTAGTTGATAATGTACAGCTAGCCATCCGTGGTGCATCAAAACATAACTCTCGCAAGCTCCCACGCACCCCTTGGTGGACACCAGAGCTCACAGACCTACTCCACCAAACACGACAGCAGCAGGACCCAGACTACCTACCACTCCGGAAGGCAATATCCTGCGCAAAGGCTAATTACTGGAAGAGGCGAATTGAGCAAGCAGTGTCTCCCACAGATGCCTTCCTACTTGCTAAATGGCATAAGCACTCAGATCAGCTCGCGGCACCCCCTCTAAACATCCAAGGAAATCAGGTTAGCACTCCACAAGATAAAGCGGATGCTTTTCTTTCACATTTACTGGACAAGGGAGCCTCCCTTCCAGATCAACTAGAGGAGAGCCCTCCAGCAAAACCTCTGGATTCACTAGGGTTGCCAACTAAGGAGGACTGCTGGACTGCCCTTTGTGCCCCTGCCCCATCCGCCCCAGGTAGGGATGGGCTTGCTACCACAGTTTGGAGAGAGCTCTGGCCTGCTCTAGGCGACACAATCACACTTCTATATCGCCGCTGCTTAGAGGAAGGTCGCTTCCCACAGTGTTTTAAGTCTGCAAAGGTGGTAATGATACCAAAGCCAGGAAAAAGGGACCTCACACAGCTCGGCTCCTGGCGACCCATCAGCCTACTCTCCACCTTAGGAAAAGGCCTAGAGCGCTTTCTGGCGCGGCGCATAGCTGCACGAGCAATCCAGGTAGGGCTACTGGCCCCCTGCCATTTTGGCGCTCTTCCTGGCCGCTCTGCGATTGATCTTGTCCAGATCCTGGTCCACAGGATGTCACGGAACTCAACTAGATGATGAATAGGATGCTATTCAGCTATCTAGGCAGCTAACGACGAGAACTTCAAGCATGAAGAGGAAGGAAAAAGGAAGAGATCTACGTGAAGCTGGACGACGTACTCCTATCCACGCGCCACGCTAATCCAGGTAAGGAAGCTCACGTGCTCGTCCTGGTCTACATGGCAAGGGCCCTGACACAGGATAGAGAAGGCCTTTGGAAGGAAGATGGTGGCTTCACTACTATTACTGGACGTAAAGGGGGCCTTCAATGCTGTAATCCATCAGCAGCTTCTCTCACACCTACGCCTGCAGGGATGGGACGAAGGCCTAATCCAGTTAATCCAAGATTGGCTGACCGGCTGCACCGCCTCAGTCCATATTAGAGAGGCTATTGCAACAGCCCTAATCAAGGGCGGTCTCCCCCAGGGGTCCCCTCTATCCCCAATTCTCTTCCTGCTGTACGCGGCAATGGTAGTTTCTACCCGTAAGGGCTCTTTCTGCTATGCAGACGACCTGGGATTGCTATTCATTGGGAACAATCTGGAAGAGACCTCACGGCAACTAGTGGAAGCCTATAAATCAATCACGGCACTTGGGGCTGCATCAGGCCTTCCTTTCTCCTTTGAGAAGACAGAAATACAGCATTTCTCTAGGCAGCGGAAGCAGTCTATCCCCACAGTCTTTCTACCAGGCGTAGGCGAGATCAAACCATCTCCATACACCCGATGGTTAGGGGTCCTGCTCGACACTAAGCTCACCTTCAGGTCGCATATTAATTGGACCTTCAGCCGCGGCAAGCAGCTCGCTCAACATCTCCGGAGGCTTAGCAATACCCAGCGTGGGTGCCCAGTAGCCTCCATGCGTGCAGTGGTCATGCAGTGCGTCCTGCCAACAGCTCTCTATGGCGCAGAAGTCTTCTATACTGGCTACAGGCAACAAGGGGTTATCAGCTCCCTTCAATCCCTGCTCCGCCTGGCCGCCCTGGCCATTCTTCCTGCATATAAAACAACCCCTACTACAGTACTCCTCCGGGAGGCAGACCTACCTGACCCTGAAGCCCTGCTCAACAGTACCCTCCAGAAGGCGGCAATCAGATATGCAAGCCTTGACGCGAAGCACCCGATTGCTCGCATAACTACCACTACAGCCCAGAGCTGTAAGAACAGGACCAGACTTACCAGGATCCTCCAACTTGTCCCTGGACCAGCGCCGGAACGCATGCATATAGAACCACCCCTCCCATCACTGCGCATGCTCCCCACTGACTGGGGTAAGCACCTTCCTTCCCCATTGGAAGTAACAGTCTATTCAGATGGCTCCCGTACAGACCAGGGCGCTGGGTACGGCTATGCAATATACTATGGCCCTATCCTGCTTACCCAGGGATTCGGCCCTGCTGGCGCGCGGACAGAGGTTTATGACGCAGAAATTATGGGTGCAGTAGAAGGGCTCCGTGCTGCAGTCAGTTAGCCAAGACTGCACCAAGTTCGCTACCCAAATCAACATCCTCCTTGATAATCTAGCCGCAGCTAGCCTGCTAGCAGATGGCAGGCCAGCCCCCCATAGATAAAGACTTACTGATATTTTCCACCAACTCTCCACTCAGTGGGACAGCTTACCTTCACTTTTATCTCTACCTTACAAACCTGTAGGGGTCTGCTGGGTTCTAGACCACTCTAGGGTCACAGGAAATGAGCTCACAGATAAGCTGGCAAAGAAGGGAGCTTTATTAGCCAGTCTTGATATCCCTCTTTCTCCCTCATTCCTTAGACAGGAGGCAAAACAGTGGATCTGTGCAGATACACACATGGCATATTTTAGAGGCGCACCTCAGGCCTACTGTGACCTGGGCATCAGACCTCATACAAAAAGCAGTCGTGACCAAGAACATAAGCTCCCCCGCTGGGTCCTGGGCAGGCTCATAGCCGCCCGTACAGGTCACGGGGATTTTGCAGCATATCATGAAAGATTTCAACATGTAGACTACCTAGCAACCTGCTCCTGCAAGAGACAGAAGTCCCCTGTCCATTTCTTCTTCTGCCCACCCACCAGGAAGCGCTGGAAGGATAGATGGAAATGCAAGAGAGGCAGCCCGTCAAGTACAATTGACTGGCTACTAGGTACAGCTGCTGGGGCGGAAGAGTTCAGCCACATCGTGCAAGATTCATCCTTTTTCAAGGATATATGCCCAAATTGGGCCTGCTCAAGCACTGAATAGTGCAACAGTCTACGCTTCTACCTGGACGAACGGGAAAGGCACCCCTGCTCGACTGAAGGTAGCCAAAGCAGGTTCCTCACCTTTAGAAGTCCAGGCCAGGGTAGCGCCTGGTGCTTCTTCCACTCTTTTCCAACACATAGTGTCCAGCTTTGTTGCTTCAAGCATGTATTTATTTTAGTGAGTCTTTGCTTAGGTAGCACGTCCGGATGCCCCTTGGGAGGCCGCGGGTCACGTGTGCCACGTGATCCGCCGAGTGACGTTAAATAGTAATCAAATCAAATCAAATCCTTCCTTCCTTTCTTTCCTCATGTCTCGTATTCGTTGAACATGGTACTGAATAGCATATGTTGCATCTTCCTACATCTATTCGTGGTACTGGTTATCACAGATTTCAGGACAAATTGGTTTTTAAGATGTCAGATATTTCAAGAGATCCCCTGTGACAGGAATACCAGGAAGGCTTCTACAATATCATCGCTGCATTGAATGTATGGCATAACCGCAACACAGTTAATTTTGATGCTGATATACCAACATGTCAACGAATCCATAGGTCCTGCATGCCATGCCAGACCTGGCAGCTACTATGAGAAACGTACGCAAGCTTCTTAAGCCGTAGGTCCAACCTTTGCACTGACACAAAATGGAAGGCTACTACTAATGCTGCATATATCTTCGGCAGTGCAGCAATGAGTCGTATCATTGAAGAGCCTGGGCTCGAGCATGTCTTCATTCTTAAAAGGGACTCCCAAATACAAGTGGAATATCACGCACTGGAACTAAGGACTATAATAGGCTGGATGATGGCACTGCGGGCTCAGGGGCAGACCGTACAATGCTATTATTCCTTTTTGAATGGCTCTATTTGATTGAAGGTTGCATCTGTGGCTTAAACCCCACGATGCCGACACGCAACTGGGGCCCTTGGCGTCAAGGGCATTGCCAAGGTCTTATCCTCTCGGCGGAAAAGCAGGGTCACAGCCAAGGCTCGCCCAAGGCTTCTGCGCATTGCACATGTATTCAACCCTTGATTCCAATTTGTCTTTCCCCATGGGCATATTCCCTTGGGTATAATCTGCTGGTTATAACGCCAAGCACACGGGACACACATGGTGGAATGCTGGGTGGAAGTGCACAACACGCAATCTCACTAGGAATGGAAATATAATCTGGATCTCCTTGGCATGAGATGCAATCAGGAACTGACTGGATGAAATCAGAAGATGCATCGCTTACCACGGTCACTGCTCGTTCCCATTCAGATCAGTACTTAAGGAGCTTAATGCCCCCGTTTCGGCTATGGAAGGGGATTCTCTTTCGCAAAGTCATTCATTCCTTATACTTTACTGTCGATGCCCAATGCACTAAGTTTCTTACCATGCGGATACCCTTGATCTTTGCCGTGGCTTGCTTTGTTGCAGGCGCGTCTGCGCAAACCTTCCAACGCTTAGGCGGTTGCCCAGATCTGGGCTGTGTCTTCCCCCCGGATCAGTATGGATCTCAGTCAAGTAATGAACGAGCCATTAAGGGGCTAATTCGCTTTCTTCTTGTTCTAGGGCAGAGTTCCTTCCCGGTCAATACTTTGATATCCGCTTAGAGGTTCACTCTCCCGTGAACGGCTCCGAAGCCCGCGAGGGAGAGCCTGATCCTGATTTTAAGCTCAGTATTGTCAAAAAGGGTAGACGTCCCATTCCCGCAGCCAAGTTCTTTGACACTGAGGAGCCGCCGCTCGAAACGTGGGACTTTACTTGGTACGAAGGTGAGCAGGCTCCGTCATGAAATGCCTCTGGAGTGGATGTGGGTTAACCAACGAATGCAGACCTGTTTGCCAAGGATGCCGATAAACCTTCGCTTGTTAAGGTCACCTCCAAGGCTTACAGAAAGGTCGCACTGTATGATCCGGGAGAGTACAAGGCCATCTTGACCTACTGGGACAAGCAGACGGTTGCCAACTGGGTAGTTCGCGACATTCCGCACCGCCGGCGGGCGAAGAATGTCGTCCTATTTATTGGAGATGGAATGACAACCAACATGATCACTGCAGCGCGTCTTATCGCGCACAAAAGCATCAATGGTAAATATCTGACAAAAATGGCGCTGGACAAGTTCCCCGTGCTGGGACACCAGATGACGCACTCGATGGACTCGTTCATCACCGACTCCGCCAACTCGGCAACGGCTCTCTACTCGGGCCATAAGACGACCGTAAACGCCTTGAATGTCTACGTGGATTCTTCCAGTGATCCGTTTGATGACCCAAAATTCGAGACCATCACCGAAATCCTCCGTCGTACCTATCCAGGCAGCGGTGTTGGGATCGTGTCCACTGCTTTCCTTGCCGACGCGACTCCTGCCGCCCTCGTCGCTCATACCAGTAACCGCGGCGAGTATGACCATGTCATCAGTGCTTATCTGGAGGGCCTGAAAAACACCTCATGGACGAGCTGGGATGGCCCGGATGTTCTACTGGGCGCTGGCGCGGAGGCCTTCCTCCAGACGGAAGATGCGCCGCGCGATTACTACCGGCTGTTTGCCGAAAACGGCTATACCGTGGTGTGGAATAACACGGCACTGGATAAAGCTCCGAATGACCAGAGATTGCTGGGAGTCTTCCAAAAATCCAACCTGGCCACCTGGCTCGACCGTAACGTCTACCGCGATAACCTTCTAAACCGGAGCAACTACCCGGACGGATCTGGTCGTGATGCGGAGGACCTGCCCGGTCTCAGGGAGATGACGCTGAAGGCAATCGACGTGTTGCACGAACGGCATGGAAAGAAAGGTTGGTTCCTCATGTCGGAGGCGGCCAGCATTGACAAGCAAATGCACACATTGGACTACGATCGGTCACTGGGCGAATTACTAGAGCTTGACGATACAGTCCGCGCAACTATTGACCGACTTAGGGAACTTGGCGAGCTAGAAGACACCTTGTTGATTGTTACCGCCGATCATGGTCATGGATTTGATGTGACGGGCTCTATTGATACTGAATACCTGAACGCGCAGACTGACGACCGTTCAAGGCGCAAAGCCGTCGGATACTATGAGAACTCAGGTCTCTCCCAGTATACGGTAGGAGGGCCAAACTCCCTTCGATATTCCGAGGGCGTCCATTTCCCTGCTCGCTGGGACCCGCGGTATACATTGCACTCGGGCGTAGTCGCGTTTCCAGACCACCGCGAAAATTACCAGGTGCATAGTGAAGGACCACGTACACCTGCAGTTAGTCATGGTAATGGACAGGACGGCTACTATGCCAACTACAAGGATGCTGTCACCGGATTCTTGATCAATGGTACTTTGCCCGTTGACTCGAGCCAAGGGGTACACTCGCTCACAGATGTACCGGTGTTCGCGCAAGGTCCTTGTCAGGAACTTTTTGGCGGCGTGTACAATTCCATAGATATATTCTTCAGCATGGCGGAATGCCTGGGACTGTCGGGGACAAGGCCGTGGATTTAGGGCTTCTGGTCGGAACAAGTTTGAGCCAATTTGCCATGAATGCTGTGGTTCAATACTGGTGTGTAAAGAAGAAGCACCTGGCACCGTGTATATACAGATATTTGTACTTCATGGTCGCCATCTGAATGGCAACCGCCTGAGTAACCGTCCTATAGACTATTGCATTTCTCTTCTTCCATTTATAGTACCAATCATCATATGAACCCTTTCCTGTAGCTTTATCAGGACATTTCCACCTCATGAGCATGCTGTCCTAAAGGAGTTGCTCTATTCCACCCAGTACGGAAACTGGTGCCACTCACATCCAAATCATCATATTCAGCCTCATATGCCATCTTAACCCCGCAACTAACTGACTACCAGGCAGCAGATCCTTTCCTTCTCCCAAAAAAAATGATAAATAAAAAAAGGAAAGAAAGAAACAAAGAAAGCATACTCGATAAGAAAGATTACTAGCCTACAGACGTGCGGTCTAAGGCCACGACTGGGCTATGGATCCTCTCAGCACTGTGAGCCTCTCTGGAAATGTGCAATTCTTGGAGTTCAGACTAAAGATCATTTTGAAACCGCACAAAACTACGAATCCGCTCAGGGTGCAGAGGTCCATAATATTGAACTGGACGCCATTGCGAAGGACTTGGTGTCTCTGAATCAACATGTTTGCAATTGCTCCTGAACGATCTGCGTATATATGCTGTATCTGAAGACGAAAAATCTCTGGAGGCTCTGATGAAGCAGTGCAACAGGGTTGGCGAGGAGCTGATCAGCGCGCTACAGAGGGCGAAGGTGCAGGGAGCCCACAGAAGACGCTGGAAGAGCGTCTTAGGCCGATATAAAATCCAGGATCTATACGACTCAAACAATAACGAGGACAGATCGTGGCTGTTTTGCTTGTCATCAATAATGCCAAGCAGGCTACCGCCGACGAAAAAGTGCAAGACATCAGACTCAGCATGGTCGACTCGGAATCGCGAATACTAGATGAGGCACGCCAGGCACCGCTTGAATTACAACCCTGCTGAACCAGAAGGTGTGGCCACTGTCTCGAAACTGCTCTCGGAAATGGCTTCGCGGGTCTCAATAAGAAAAATAAGGAAGATATCCTTAACAGCCTCCACTATCCACGAATGCAGGATCGCCACGAGTAGACCGGCACATAGAAAACCCTTCAACTGGCATTGGAAGACAGACGGACGATTTCACCCCTGGGACGACCTAAAGCGATGGCTTCGGAAGAGAGATAGGATATACTGGCTTCGTGGCAAGGCTGGTTCGAAAAGGTCTACTTTCTCATGGAATATATTGACCAAGACAGTCGCACGACGCGATTCCTAGATGGACGTCCCCAATGGATCTTGTCGTTGCCTGGTTCTATTCCGGAATCCCGGCAGCACGATGTAAAATTTCAACGGGGGTTACTACAGAGCTTGCCTTATGAACTTCTTTTTTTTTTTTTTTTTTTTTTTTTTTTTGCAAAGGTCGAGCCTATCCCGAAAGCTCCCCCTAGGAAGTTGTCCCATTTCTGGGCAACATCAGAGCTGCGAAGCCTTCCGAATCTGAGCATTGATCACAGCTTCGTCACCGAAAAAACTCTAGTGGGCCTTTGCATCTGCTATTCAGCTGTTTTTTCAATTTCTTCACGGCGTATGGCTTCCTTCTCTCCTGATATCGGTTTGATCTCACGTTTCAGTACATAATCGGGATCATCTTCACGCAAGGAGAAAGTTAGGACCGCTAAAGGCTTGGGAGCCTCAATACCAACCCGAACAACTACGAAGCTTGCTAAAGATAAAATGGATTTAAGCTTGTCAGGATATGGAGAAAGAATTGCTCAATATCTGCTGGGCGCTCTTTCAATCTTCTTTGAAGATCAGTCATGCGGTCTGCGTTGGCAAGTCCCTCGAAGAGAGACCTGACCACGAGATATACCCAGGGGAACACGCCAAAAGTTTTGTCAACTATGTCACAAACAAGTCGAGGGGCACGTTCCAGTTCCATAGACAGCAGGCGCGAAAATTGCAGATGATTATAAAGGTGTCGTGTGCAAATATTTCTATATCACCACGGGTTAAGTCTTGCAACGATCGTTTCGGAAAGTCCTCGAAAGCATCTTGGAAGATCAGTCATGGACGGCCGGAGGCGATGATCTTGATGTTTCAGGTACGTATAATGTTAACAAAGCACATCAATCAAAACCCGGTGGTCACTGTCAAACTCGTCAAGCCCATCAATGAGGAAGCAGAACTTCGTCTTGGACTCGGTCTTCTCCAGTTGCTTAAATGCATCCATGGCTGAAGAGTTTTCGTACGAAACTGACTTCCTTCGTCGAACCGTGCGGCACTTCTTGAGCACTCCAAGAGTCCAGGTGCAGCTCATCGCACCAGATACTGATGGCTTCAATGCCAACATGACGCTGGCTAGGGCTTACATGGCCCGGATAAAGGGGCTTCGTTGCACCTCCTATCCAGAGTCTAACTTCCAGGCACTATGGAATTTAGTCTTTATCACGCTGTACCATATCGTCGTGTAGGAGAGAATATCTCCCCACCAGCCCAGGCTGCCCTTCTCGACGAAATGGACCGAGCGGCAGCCATTCTTCAAAGGGATCAGAATACAATGCACCGAGAGTTCGTGGTCCAATTTTTCCTAGAGAGAGGAGCAGGTCCGAATGAACTGGACGGGAATCAAACAATTTCTCTTTACACTTTTACCTCCATGCACATGGTAGCAGCCAAGTCCGATGCGGCCTTCTCCAAGCAAGCCAAACAGTGGTTTGAGGTTACAAAATTAATAATACTCCTGCATGCTGCGAGTACTGATGCCATTTGCCTTATCTCCATTAAATCTGGAAAGGTTGAAGAACGGGTGAATCTTCGAAAAATTACTTCACCAAATCGGTGGTACTCAACATGGACAAACTTTCGTTATGTGGGAGAGTCCTACAAAGATTGATTGATTGAGGGATGGATACTCATGTTCTTGAAAAAAAAAAAAAAATTTTTCAATTTTCAACTTGCTCCAGTTGCTGAATTTGGTTTAGGTCTATAGAAATTTGGGCTGAACAAAAACATGGAAGGGCAAAAAGAGAAGCCGAACGCGGGGGTCGAACCCGCAACCTTGAGATTAAGAGTCTCACGCTCTACCGATTGAGCTAGCCCGGCTATTGTTGAGGTACTTGGTCAAGTATTATGATAAATAAAGCGCTCAGGAAATGATCGTATGGATTGATATTAACACAGACTTGCTAAGAGGTTAGGGAGCTTGATTTCCAATCTATTTAACTATCCCCCAGCTAGAGCCAGGAAATCTCCTTGGCATCATGCTATAGTTATGTTGTCTGAACTTTTGAAAATGGCCTCATGTCATGGAACTCTTTTTTTCATGACCTCCGTGTGTCTGACCACGGTCGCATGCGGACAGGAAGCTCGTTCGGCGCGATGAGAATCTCGCCCTGGTACTGCCAACGGCGAGTCGTCCACGGCCTTATTTTACTATATGTACCAGTCAGAACTGTTTCCGATTCATTGGATTGAGTATAAGTTATCATTCCTGATATCATAATTCGCGCGTCTGCGATCAGAAGAATAGGACATTCGGCTAAATCTGCTGCTCAAAATTCCTTTCTGACCCTTCGGTAGAGACTACCATCCTATGGTGCACTTCATCAACCTTAAGGAGCTTGCACTTGTATTCTTAGTATTGAGAAGATTCTTCATTCTGATCCATTTGATCGCCAGTCCAAGACCGTGTTATGAAATTCATTGAGAAGGGAAAGGAAGAAGCTTCCGTGAATATAAAGTATTTTACTCCGCGGTCATCCTTGGTTTAGGACCAATCGCCCACATGGACTTACAAAGGGAGGCAGGCACCGTTTTTTCCCCTTGCAGAAACCATCTTCACTGAAGTCAACGATAACCCTCGCTGCTTCCCAGGCCTTCGTATTATTTAATTCTGCGCACAGAATTGTCATCTACTATTGGCGAATGCCAGACCACGTCAAAGCCATCGAGATCATGTTCAATGATTAGATACTATGGACAGATGAACAAGTGAGGCGACGAAAGATTCAGAGACATTCCAGTGGAAAATTTTTTGACAGAAACTGATGGGCAATTGTATGGATCAAAGCCACTCTTTTGCAACCCGAGCATTCAACAAAGTCCCTCGGAATAACTTGATCTCCCATGGGTCTTTTCTCTGCTCATGCGCATCCAGTGGGAACTGATCCACCAGGAGGATAAACAGGAGTCTGAGTAGGATTCGCGCACTTGCAGTATGGTGTGGTGGTAGGCCTTCCCGGACATGAGGCGGGAGTAGACGCGCAATACTCATTAGTGGAAATCGAGGTGGTCATGCCAGAGGCACATGCGCTATAGGGCATGCAGAAAACCTCCTCCGTGGTGATGGTTCCCGTAGTCACTGCACCCCAGGAGTAGTATTGGTTGGCAGCGCACGTGCAGGACACGTCTGTAGGGATTTTGTTACCGGGTCTCTTTCAAAAACAAATTGGCCATTGCGTTATTGTACGTACCCTTGATGATGGTGGACGATCCGTCGGCAAGAGTGCCTGCATAGAGTGTGCTCGTCCCAGCCGCGATAGCACCATTGGAGCATTCACTGGTTAACCACACAGCATCGGTGGGATAGCATGTCGACTGGGTGATGCAGTGTCCGGGGTGCCAGGTGCCAGGGAAGGAACCGGTTGGGCATTGGATGGGAGGTGGGGGGCTATAGCAGTAGGAAATTGGGTACCCCATTGTACACTCAGTAGTGTACAGGACAGTTGATCCATCTGTGCATGTCAGGGGGGTGGCTGAAGTAATGGTAGAAGTTGGAGGAGTTGTGGCCGAAGCCACAACCGTAAAACCGGTCGAAGAAGCCGTCTCCTGGGGGATGGCGGATACCGCCAGAACGGAGGACAGCACAGCAAACAGGAAGCGCGAGGGCATGACTGTGATTCAACTGAATATGAATCGACACGAAACCTTTCACTTTCTCTCCTTCTCCATTGACCAGAGGGGCTAGAGATATGTCTTCGTGTCTTCGTTTATATACCCGACAGAATGAAATCTATTTTAACCAACACGATGAATAATCGCTTCACAAAGCACCGAACGAATGATCAGACAACCCTGTCCCCAAAGTCAGGTCCGAGCCTTCGAGGGTACACTTACTATTGTTTCTTCCAGTGCACATTGACATCACGAGCATCAGCAAACATTAGTTGGAAGAGCTGCCTGCATGCGACTCGGACACCTTGTTGGGCAGGATTCAAATTGGACGAGGGTGAACCTCGTCAAAAAGGACAGGGAAAGCATCATAGGTCTCCTTTCCGGGAAGCGCGGGCTGTCGATCGTCTCGTCGGAACCTAACACGAGCCGGATTGGATTGACAGGAGCAGACACTTTGCTTGCAGCATGTCTTCATTGGCCTGGAGCAGCTTGCTGTCTCAGTCCAAGAATAGAGCACCGTCCCGGTGCATCTCCGCGTCCTCGGCAAACGCGTGACAAAGAATCCATCGGCTGCGATGTATCTTGGCGAGGAGGGATGGCTAGAATTACCTAGATGTGCTTATCGTGTTCAAACGAAGCAGTTAAATCTAGTAGACTCTGCATTCAGTAAATGGTGAAAGCATGGGCTTGATTTCCGCCGTGGCCTCCAAATCTCCTCCCGGGGGCCTGCGCTGAGAGGGGAATTTCAACGTTTTCCCAGCCAGATTGTTCATTGAAAGCAGCAATTTTTTTTCCAAGGTGTCTCTAGAGAACCATACTCAGTAGCTGTCTAGTCTTAGAAATAGGTTGAGAGCCATCACTGAGAAGAATCTTTGCAGATAATGGGATGTGTTTGAGAGGATGCAGGATGGTGAACAAGTTGTCTTGAGATCATGCTGATTTTAAAAAGGGATCTGACGAGTTGTACTATGCTTATCACACTATCACTCCGTACTACCACTCCATGAGTCAACAACAATAATAACAATATCCATGGAATGAGCCCATCTCACTCTCTTACTGCAGAGTAAGGCTGGTCACCAAGTACAGCCCAGGGCGGTAAATACTGGCAGAATACCTATGACAACAGAGCTTCGCCACAGAAACAACCACGTTCTTTGCATCGTACAGCCCAGGTTGGTATCATCTCCGTCATCACAGCATATCATGTCCTCCAGACCCAAGCCAAAATCAAACGCAGAGCCGAATCGTGACCCCCCAAGCTCCTTTTTGCTCTCCCCTGCCGGCTATGACGACGACGCTTCCTCCTTACGCTCCCTGTCGGAGCAGGACTCTGACTCCGAAGACGATGAGTTTCTCCGTAACTCTCGCTCTACCCTGGAATTGAACGCTCATGATCGGGCTGTGCTGGAAGAGGAGGAGGAGCTGGAGAAACTGTTGACCAGACGCGGGCCTGCTGGTGGCCTAAGGAGGATCTTCTCGGGGGGTTCTCACGGAAGCGTTAGGATTGGGAAGAGAGATCGGCGACGAAGAAAGAAAGGAAGGAAGCTGGACGAGGATGGCGATGAAGGGGAGAGGGGTGAGTTGATGTTCGAGATGGAGGAAAGGTATCGGGATCATGACCATAACTACGATGACAACGAGTCCGCACGTAGGCTTGGGACGCCGTCCGTGGAGATGGGTGGCTTTTATTCGCAGGTTTGCTGGCCTTTGATACCTGTTAGCTTGCATATCTATGGCTGCTATGGCTAACCTAACTGTGATTGTCTACTTCTCTAGTCCCAGAAGACAACAGTACCGTGGCGAAGGCTCTTGTTGATCTTCGCCGTGATCCTCGTGCTATTTCTCATCATTTTCCTGGGTGCATACAAGGCTTCCAGTGGTTATCGATCGTCTCATCGTCATCGCCAACTGCGATCGAATGGCACTGCCCTGTTTGCACCCACCACTATCCTGATCTCATTGGATGGGTTTCGAGCAGACTTCCTCAATCGCGGGTTGACCCCGACTCTGAATGCGCTCATTGCCGATGGTGTCTCCCCGCGATACATGATGCCCAGCTTCCCCAGTGTTACCTTTCCTAACCATTTCACCCTCGTGACGGGGCTGTATCCTGAAAGCCACGGGATTGTAGGCAATACGTTCTGGGATCCCGCGCTGCAGGACTCGTTCTATTATACACGCCAAGAAATCAGTATGCAAGCAAAATGGTGGAACGCTGAACCGCTCTGGGTGACGGCCGAGAAGATGGGCGTGCCGGTTGCGGTGCACATGTGGCCGGGCTCTGAGGCGCATATCGCGGGCATGGATCCAACGTTTTTGGACAAATTCAACGGGTCAGAGGCATTGACCCGGAAAGTCGACCGGATCCTACACTTCCTCGACCTGCCCGGTGAGGAAGCGAAGGAATCTGTCAACGCACCCAAGCGACCGCAGTTTATTGCTGCGTACGTCCCTAATGTTGACGCAGATGGGCATAAGTACGGTCCTAATAGCACCGAAATTCGGAGTACAATTTCAAGTGTCGATGGAATGTTGGCCAGCCTGTTTGCTGGCATTCAAAACCGCAATCTCACTGATATAGTCAACATTATCGTGGTCTCCGATCATGGCATGGCGACCACCTCCACCGAGAGATTGGTGCAGTTGGATGACTTCATTGATCTCAATCTCATTGAGCGCATTGACGGATGGCCGTCTCGCGGACTTCGACCGAAAAAATCGGATGATATCCCGGTCCTCATGGACCAACTAGCCAAAATGGTGGCCAAGTACCCGCACGCTGTCGAGGTTTACGACCATGAGACAATGCCAGAACGGTACCATTTCACCGACAACAATCGCATAGCTCCTCTTTGGGTGATTCCCAAGGCAGGTTGGGCCATTGTCGAACGGCCGAATTTCGACGTCAGCGAAGCCCTTGAAAATTGGACACCGTATTACCCCAAAGGCATTCATGGGTACGACCATGAACATCCGCTGATGCGGGCCATCTTCGTCGCCAGGGGCCCGGCATTTCCACATCCGCCTAATAGTCGACTAGACACATTCCGTAAGTAGATATGATATTGCAATACCCGGGAGTCCATTGTTTGGGCCTGTATTCGTGTGGCTGACGTTCAATTCAGAAAATATCGAGGTTTATAATATTATTTGTGATTCTTTGGGCCTCACACCGCTGCCCAATAACGGGACGTTGCGACTGCCTCTGCAGCCGGTCGGGCTGCATTCCGATGAGGCCCCGGCGGTGGTCAGTCCAGAAGATCCTCCCGTTAGTACCGGGACGTCTACGGTCCCTTCTTTGGCCTCGGAGGTCCTTTCTCCAGACTCTTCAGGTGTGGGCTTGCCCCATCCTTCATCACCCACACATACAACGACGCTGGAGAGCGACGAAGGGAGTGGAATTGAGAATTCCTCCAAAGATAACGCGGGGAGCGACGAAAATGAGCCTGACGCCAGCTGGTGGCAGTCAGCCTTGGACAAATGGAACGACTTCAAAGACTGGGCCACGCAGTTATTAGCTGCTGAAAAGGATAATCACCCGTCTCGTTGAAGTACGATTTGTGCGCTTGCGTGGGCTATTCCCTAAAGAGCGCCCGCTTCCTCTTGGTTCAGTAGCACGAAAGACGGATCTATGATCTATGTGCCACATTGTAGACGACTTGCTTTTTAATTACCCAATGATACCCTGCTTGGTTTTGGATTGAGCCGAAGAGGATTCTGAGCTTGCTGCCTGACGCTAACGTGCTTACTTTTTCTAATACTAATACTAATACATGCATGCAACCGTGGCTGATTTTGAAAGTGACTCAACTACTCTACAGCGGCTGTGCATGCAGCTTGCATGAGTCAACAATGATGACGTTGGTGGGACTGAAACAAAGAAAAAGATGAAGTTCAATTGCAAGATGCCAGGAGTATAAAACCGCCCTCCCCTCCACTCTTTTTTTGCTTTTCTTTCCTGTCCTTGGCACGATTGAGCCGTCTTCCTCTGATCTGGTGGATCGGCTGTCTCTACACAGTACATCGTCTCGCTGGCTGCCATCATAAAAAAGAGACATAACTATCATGGCGTTGAACATGGCGTTTAATACGTCTACGTACAAAAACGGGACTACGAATGCCACGCCAAGTCCGTTCCCTTCAGAACCCACCATCCTAGACACCCTAATCCCAGGCTTCACCTTCTTCTCACGCTTGCTCCAATCATACCTGAACATCGACCTTTCGAGCTACGTACCCGCCTTCGTTACTGGCGCCTGCGTTGTGGCGGCCATCAGGTACAGCACATCCAATCTTTTCGAACACTTCTTAAGATACTTTGTATCAACGGCAGAAATCCGGCTGAACGATGAGGTCTACAATTATCTTATGTTCTGGATGTCGCAGCAGCCTTTTTTAAATCGCACTATCAAGTTTGTGGCGGGAACGAAGACAAACAGTGACCAAGTCTACACCTACTATTCAGATTATAACGACGACGAAGACAAGGAGTTTGCTAACGATGATGACGATGATGAAGACAACTTTGACAGGTATTGGGCGAAAGCAATTCGAAGAGACCGGTACAAGAAATTCCGGTTCACTCCTGCTGAAGGTACCCATTATTTCCGATACCGTGGACGGATGATTGCTTTTACGCGCGAACGGGATGAGAACTCAGGCGCGCGTTACGAATTGAATCCCGAACGACTGTATCTGTCATGTCTGGGTCGGGATGCCACTATCCTCAAGGAACTGCTGAATGAGGCCCAAAGATCATACGTTGAGAAAGATGGAACCAAAACGATCATATACCGCGGCCGGAGTTCCGGGTCCGATATTGACTGGGCAAGGTGCATGGCGAAATCTCCTCGGCCCATATCTACTGTAGTGTTGGATCAGCGACAGAAGCAGGACTTCCTAGATGACATAAAGGAGTATCTACATCCCCGGACGAGAAGATGGTATTCCGATCGAGGTATCCCGTATCGAAGGGGGTACCTGTTCTACGGTCCTCCCGGGACTGGGAAGACCAGTCTCTGCGTTGCTGTCTCTGGGCTGCTGGGGTTGAAGATCTACCTGCTGAATTTGAGCGGGAAGAATATTGACGAGAGCGCTCTGCTATCCCTATTTGATGAATTGCCCCGACGCTGTATTGTTCTGCTGGAAGATATTGACAGTGCTGGTATGACCCACAACAGAGACGAAGACACTACGGCCGGTGATAGAGAAGAGAGCACTTCCAACGGCAAAGAAGATGGCAACAACAAGCCCCTCCACCGGATTTCACTCTCCGCCCTCCTCAATGTTATCGACGGTGTCGCTGCGAGCGAAGGCAGAATTCTTGTCATGACAACGAATCACGTCGAGAAGCTAGACCCTGCGCTCCTACGTCCTGGGCGTGTGGATATGTCCATATGCTTCGGATACTCGGATATGGAAACGATAAAGGACCTGTTCTGCTCAATCTATGCACCCAGGTCGTTTTCAGTCCGGGGTAGTCATTCTAACATCTATCCCATGCAATCTGGTCGATCCGCTGAACCTGAACTGGGAACAAGTCTGATTGTGAATGTTGCAGAAATCAAGAAAGGAGCGGGTCTGAGAACGAATCAACCCGACAAGGAGAAGATATCCCAGCTCAGTGAGGAGCAAAGGGAAAATGACAAGCAGCGGGAAAGGATCCTCGCTCTTGCAGCCGAGTTTGCTTCGCTCGTACCCAGCGGAGAGCTAACACCTGCAGAGGTCCAGGGCTATCTGCTCAAAAACAAAGATCGGCCGGAGGATGCGATCAGTGGTGCAGAGGAATGGGTACAGGGCGTGAGAGAGCAGAGGACACCTCGTCGAGCCTGATTGATTCTTGGGCAATCTTAAAGAAGCTACTAGCTTCTAATATAGCGATATAATAGAAGAAACCTAGATGAAACTACCATCTTCACACCTCTCTTGGTTTTATAAAGCCTGTAGAGACCCCTGGCGCCTGGAGAGCAGGTTTTCCTTAGCGTCTTTCATCTCTTGTAGTTCGTCCGGATTCGATCGAGGTATGTTTAGCGGTCTGCTTTCAAGGTAGGAACAAAATAGCAAGTATGGTGTTGAGTTTCGATACTCCTACAGAATAAGTACGCGTGCCTTTTTTTTTTTTTTTTTTTTTTTTGACAAGTCCGAGTCGGTATTGCAACAGAGACGGTGAGATGGAATTGAGGAAACTTCTTGGAGACTTTTTAGCCGAGAGGTAATGATATTCATATATATGGTATATATAATTCATAAACTAAACATATAGAAAATGTCTGCACAACCCACTAAAACTCATGTAATGCCAAATATCCAAAACCAATCCCAAAACTCCAGGTCGTAAAGGTAAGTCCACTATACATGTCACATAAAAGAAAGAGAAAACCGAGGAAAGAACGCCTAGTTCTGAAGAACCCATGTCTCAAAAGGGACGCCTCTCGGTATACTTTGTCCACTGCCACGTTGCTGCGTATAGATAGACGGCTCGAATGCACAAACAGAAGCATATCCTCTGATCAATTGGCGCCAGTAACATGACTCCGCAGCCGGAGTCAGATACCGGTCCCGAAACGTGCGGATGGCATTGTTCGCGATCCTTTCTGCTGTCTCTGGGTGGTCAATGAGATATTCGATTTTCCGTTCGAGATCAGAAAAGTCCCGCTGGACTTCAACGTAGTTCGCATCCGGACCGGAGGAAATGAGAGCAGCGTGGTGCACCTCGCGCCAGACGAGCGTATGCGAAATCACGACGCTTCGGCAGTTGAATAGATACTTGCCGCGGCCAGAAAAGCTGCGGCCTTCCGTATGCGCGAGAAACATGTAGCGGCAATGTTCCTCCATGGGGAGCAGGTTGAAGCGTAAATCGTTTTCGTCGTCCCAGTCTATGACGCGGACAGAGGTCCAACTTCGACCCAAGGTGGATTTAAGAAACTTGCTTCGTAGTTCTGGGTTCGTCGCTAGGCTGCCACGCCAGACGAGCTGTTTCTTTTTGTCGTTAAACGAGCTGCCATCGTCGACGGCGGCTATCCGGCGGCGGATGTCTTTGTAGGGGCCAATCTTTACCTCAGGCCAGGACCAGTAGCCAAAATCTGGCATCATCCAAATATGCTCATCCTGGTCTCGTTTTGAGTAGGCCCAGATCGGTCCCTGTTGATCGCCAGCAAAGTCCTCCGTGGTGAAGACAAACTCGATGCTAGGGAGACTCGACCGGTCCGGGAACGACGTAAGTGCTCTGTGGAGGGAATTCAATGTCGCTCTAGCCCTTGAATATGTCGCGGGCATTTTCTGGAAGTCAACAATGTATAGCTAAGAGCAAAGAATATATAAATACGTCAGTTGGAAGTTAATCCCAAAGTACTAAAGCAGCAGCGGTCGACAAACCTCGCCATGATGGACAAATGCCCTCACCATTCCTTCGTCCACACGCACTTCATCCAGCTCTTTATAGCTAATCGGCTTCTCTCTTCTCGCAAATACAGACTTCTCAATCTCGACAAACAATTTCGGGAATGCAGTCCGGCACTGCTCCTCGGAGAGCCCGTAGTTATCTCCGTCACGCTCAACAACGAACTCCCAACTTCCGTTGCTCCATTGTGACCCGGTTGATCCAGCAGACGACGATGAACAATACGTGTGCGAAAAGGCGCCCTTCTGTTGGGACGGATCGGTTTTGATGACGTTGTACCCGGTGCTGGATCGTCTGAGGCCGAAAACAAGGGCTGTGATTGTTACCAAAGATATAACTGCCCCTGCAGCGAGAAACCGCAAGATAGATGATTGTGCTTTTATTTGCATCACCAAGGATTGGGATACCATTTTCTGTGCAAACAAGTCTTTTGTCTTCGAAGGGTGATGCCAGGAATGCCATTGTTCCCGCTGTGTTTGGTCTGTTTCTATGGTAACAGATCTGATGAGCGATAAGGCCATGGTGCTATTAGTACACGCTCCGTACATCTACAGAGAATCTGCTCGCATCCATTAGTTCAATGTTTAAATGGTACAAATATACTGTACAGCATCCGAATCATTGTCCTTCAGAATGTACGTGCCTTTATTCTACAGAAATCTAACATCCTATGTACAGGCCATGGCGGGGCGATTGTCTCGAATGTGTTCAAGGGGGTATCTCAATTAAATGGAAAAGAAAAATTTGAAAGAAAGTCAAGATAATGTAATATCACAGCGGAGCAAAGGGCAATAGTATTAACAGGGGATATATCTGGACTCCAGGTCGCTAAATGAGGCGGCGAGAGGAAGAGAGGCATAAAAACGTAGCGCATCACATAGAGAGAAATGTCGAAAATCGGTTCAGTACTGCACCGACGTCAGGATTGTCTAAAATTCGTCTCCGAGCCCTCACAGAACTGGGAGGCCGGTCATAAGCTGCTACCGTTAGCTCCTGCGTGGCCGCCATTATGGCCGCTAAAGTAAGTCTCATCAATCTTCAAGATCCACTCAATCTTCTGGGCTTCGGTCCTCGCTGCAAAGAGAAACGTATTCTGTGTCCCGTATATGGCAAAAATGTTCGGGCGGCCCCTCATGGGCCCGTAGAGAAGTCTCGCGAAATCTGGAGCGTGATCAACACGAGAACTGCGCAGGTTAATGGCGTTTACTTCGTCGCCATCCGGAACAGAGTAGATGTGGAGATATGGAAGGCGGAGTTCGACGAAGCGCCGCACCCAGTGAGTGTACTTGTCATCCGGCATGAGCAAGTTCCCGGACTTCGAGACGGTGGGGTTCTTGGGCAGGGCCTGGATGGTCGCGATAAATCGTGGTTTCAAAGATATCGCCTGGTCGGGCTCGCAGCTCGCATCATTTGAGGCTGCTGGTGTTATTCCGGGACGCGAGGCAAAAGCCGCTCCTTTCGGGGGAGGCTCTGTGTTGCTTCGGACAAGGATAGTATCCGTAAGGCCGTATTTTGTAGACCAAAGTTCAAGGTATTTCTTAAGGATTTCAAGCCTCCGTTCAGAGGACGCTCCGTTGCGCAGCGGCGTTGATCTGCCGCTGCTCCTAGCTGGAGAAGCAACGAGGCTCTCCGCACTGAGGGCACCTTTTGCCGCATGCAGTTCCGCGATACGTCGCCGTCGTTTGCGAGCTGCGATGAAATCTCGAATGAGAGAGACTTTTCGCGGAGACCACGACGTCAGGAGCTCCTCGCCCTTGACGTAGTCATTCTGCGTGCTCATGCGCCAGAGGTCGGCTGCTCGCTTTGCAGAAACCGGTCGAACGGCTAGGGAGAACATGCTGACTGTAGAGTGCACGACCCGCGTGGAATTCCACAATTGTTTGAACATTGACTGCGGACGAACGTACGTACGGCCCAATACTTGAAGAGTTTGGTCTAACTCGAAGATCACTGGCTCCTGGAGACGAGCGGAGATCAGATTCCATCGAAGCGTTACCTGCACACGGTATTTATCCGCTGTGACGCGATCAAGGAGGAGAGACCCATGCATGCTAGAATCCCACTGGCCTATTATGGTCACATTGGACGTCCCATCTGCATTATCTTTCACCATTGGTTCGTGTATCATCTTCAGAGGAATATCCGGAGTCTGGAGATCCTGATCCGGAATTTTGCCCCAAGGATCAAGCAAGCGAACCGATCCCACGCGAACATTGTTGATATCATCCCATGGCAGATTTTCGGTAGAGCTATGCGTGATGTGGATCAGTATACGGCGTTGTAAGCCTTGGTGGAGCTGGTATGTGCCAGCCTCGAGGTTGTTGTTTTGTACTACATCCACAGGGTTATATTCCCCTGACTCCGCCAACTCGAGTATTTGTATCCTGCAGAAAACATCGTGCCTCTCCTCCGAGTAGAATTCAGACTCTGCAATACGAGGAGATTTCCGCTTCTGAGGGGCCACTTCACCTGAGTCCCGCATATCGTCCCAACTAAGGAGTTTGTCCAGATGTGTATGCGTAACATGTGCATAGACGCAGATTTTCAAGGCTGCGGTACGTGGGCTAGACAGAGGTAGGCTCATACTGTGGACACTCTCGAATCGAACAGGGCTCTCATCAAACCCACGGATCATCTGAGTAGTAGTGGCACCCCCGTCTTCAGAGATACCAGGGACGAACAATTGTGCATGGACATCTGTCCCTTCCCACTCGGCGAAGCCGACCATGTCGCGCATGACAACATTGAACTTAAGGGTAGACGAAGGTGCCTGGGCCGAGGATGGCTCCAACGAGAGTCGGATGATTCCAATGACATTGTGGGTGTACGGAGAGGTGACCTCGATGGAGAAGTCTTGAACGCGAGTCTCGAAAACGGCCGTTAAAGGAACATCAGCGTCACCCACGAGAGAATACTGTGGCGAGCAGGGCTCAGAAAAGGGATTCTCAAGCTTAAAATGCTGGATATAATCAGGCCGGTCAATATATTGGTGTAGCTGGCGCATAGCCTGGACACGGCGCTGGAGCTTCTCGATCGACCAAAGATGAATCACGCATTGCTTGAAATCAATAACACGAACAGCAATGCATGGCTTTTTCGCCTCGTCAAGGACGACATCCTCGTCACCAGAGATCCCATTAAGCACGAGGTCATACGACGATGCCATGGTGTGACCATGGTCAACTACGGCGAACTGAAATACGACGTTCTTGTCCATGATATGGCTCATTACCTGCGCCTCCTTCAGAAGAGACGCATATTGAAGCACACGCTCGGCCATCCGCACGTAGTTCTGTTGCGACCAGTGCCGAAGGACAGCCTTGGCGATCTCAATCTCCTGTGGCTCAAGTTTGGCGAATCCATTCTCGTATATTTTCGGAATCGGTTTACCCATTTCCATCATTTGAGACTCGAACATCTCTTTCTGCTTTTTGAGCTGTTCTTCAAAGTTCTCATGGGCCGTCCGGAGGGCCTCCTCCATACGGAGCTTTTGCAGTCGAAGTTCTTCCGTTTCTTGATTAGACAAGGTCTCTGTACTACCCAGTTGATATTGTCCTTCCTTTTTGTTGTCTTGACTTTTCTTCTTCTCCTCCTCCTCCTCCCCCTCCTCCTCCTCCTCCTCCTCCTTCCTCACTCCTTCCTGGTCCATTCGTTTGTCAACCTGGTTCTGCGTGTTCTGACTAGCCGGCCTCGCGACAACGTCACCGGTAGCCCCCTCCTCTTCCTCAGTCGGCCGAGGTGTTCCAGGCATGGTAATGGCAGTATCCAAGGAGAAGTTGTCAATAGTCCCGTTCGACAGGTACTTTTCCCGAACTAAGACGGAACTAAGAGAGTCGGAATCTTCCTCGTTTTCAACCAACCCTCGCCGCACCGCTCTCACCTTCTGAACGTCCTCGAACAAAGCATCCAGTTCGTCGTCAGGGAGGTGAGAGATCTGGTCTGGACCGAGCGCAGCGCTGACGGCCTCCCTGCGAGCATAAAACCAGTCCGACTCACGGCCTCTCTGCGAAGGCGAATCTGCCCGACTCGAATCACCATCAAAATCTGAACCAGTCTTGCTGATCGTCCGTTCGTGAGACTTGCTGTTCGGTGCTGGCGATGTGAGTTGACTTGTAGTAACGGAATGGCGCAGTAAGCTTTGCTCCACCCTTTCCGCGCGAGCTTCTTGGGGGTGGTTAAAGCGAAAAATGTGAAAGTCACCTAGGATAACCCTGAAGCCACTCTTAAGACGTTTCGGCTTGTCGATACGCAACCCATTCACCATGACGGCGGCACCCTCGCTCGGGACGACAGTGACGACATTGTCTACATTCTCAAACCTGCAGTGGTTAGGAAGGATCTTGGAGCCATTCAGTCGGATCTCCACGGCATTTCCTTGGTCCATGCTTCCGACGGTAGTAGTCCCTGGTTTAATATTGTAAACCAAGCACTCCGCTAACAGTGGGTCGTCACTGAGGTTGACCAAGTGTGGCATCTTTTTCGGTGTGGTCAACCCAATGAATCCCTTTTCTATACTGATACCCAGCTCCTCAAGAGCAGCCTCTCGTTCCTTATGAATGCGTTCTGTCTTTTGTAATTTTTCCTCCCATGTCTGATTCAAATCTTTATAGAGCTTTTCGCTTTGATTTAGCTGCTCGACGATCTCAGCCTTGCTGACTTTCTTGACGGCTCCATCCGGTTGTTGAATCGAAACCATCTGCTTCTCCAGAGGCGTGTCTGGAGGGTAATACTCCTCAGCTGGTATTGCAGCACCCGCGCCGCCAGCCATCCCCGCTGCACCAGCACCACCTCCAAGCTTAGCTCTAAGCTGCGCCAATTCCTCCTTCAATTCTCTGATCATCCGTGCATTCGGATCCTCGTTCACAACGGCATGGTTCTTGATGCGCTTGGCAGAATCAGCATATCGCAGAGTACTAAGAGTCTCTTCGAAGTTGATATCCGCGGGAGATATTGCTGCAATCATCGCTGTCATAGAGTTCCCTCCTAGAGAGTCCTTTAGTAGCCATGTCAACACAGAGTCACGATACGGGATCATTGAGTGGTTCTTCTTTTTGCCGGAAGATGAATCCGCTAGGGCGGCGATGACACGACCAAGAGTTGAAAGAGAGCGATTAATTTCAGCACCCTCCTTCAACCGGGCCCCAGTAGCCCCGGTTGAATTTGCTCTTTCCGAACCTGCTAGATCGACCAAGCTGATCTTGGCCACTTTCTCCGTGTCCATCGATGTTTCTGAATCGTGTCGTTTTTGGGTGAGGGTGAGGGTGAAAACAGCATGCGATCGACTGGACGTCTCATTCATGTTCGTGGCAGCGACGGTTCTCGCTTTGTTGCCTTCATCCATCAGGTTCTCGATCTCCCCAAATGAGCGTACTACTAGTTTTGCAAGATCTTCAACATATGGTCCAGTTGACGGGTGCTCGCGGACTTTGAGGTTGCCCTTGTTGGATGGGTTGAGAAGATCGCGGACGCGCTCATTGTAGATTTCGAGGTAGGACACTTCGACGGTACAGGTCAAATGGCTATCTTGTTGAAGGCTAGAAATGCGCTCGAACATCGACTGACAAATCCTTGGAATCACACCATACTCCTTGCCGTATCCCATCATCGAGTAGGACTTCCCGGAACCGGTTTGACCGTAAGCGAATATACAGTTGTTGTACCCCTGGAAGGCATTGTCCAGGAGTGGCACGCCCAAATCAGCAAACAGATTATCTTGGCTTGCGTAGTTGGGATCATTCTTGTCGAAAGACCAATACGATCTGTCGAAGGCGAAGCTTTTCGGACCCTCGCCGCCGCCTTTCGATCCACCCTTTCGTAGTTTCTCATCACTGCCAGGCGGTGGGGTGAGGATGGTCTGGGTTCCTTTCATCTGCACGATACATTTTGCTCCTCTGTCGCATTCTGTGATTGTAATTGGATTGCCCCGTTAGTTGCAGGAAAAGGCCGCATCGTGTAACCACATATTTGACCAACTCACCTCTGTTGTTGAAAGGCCGAACCCTCACCACCACCTTGATGTTTCCGCCGCCTCCTGGAGCCATTGTGGTATGTCCCCCATACACCTGCAAGACTGCAAAAGTCTTTGAGTGCTGTCGATACGAAATCGCAAGGAAAAACGTGCGTCAGGGCGACAGCAACCGGACAGGCCGAGTCGCAGACGCTGCGGGAAGCGTCGCCAGTCAGATTGTAACAGACAGATCCGTCTTCGGGATTGTTAGTCTACCGATGTCAAATGTCTCTGATGAATTGGGGTTCAGGTATGTTGATGGCCGTCTCCAGGGACAACAACGACATATGTTTCTCCTGTCAATGCGCGTCGGGGATGTGAGAATGCGATCTATTCGACCAGGCCTTGAGCTTTGTCAACCGTTCTGAAGGAACAGATAAGAATACAAAGACAATGTATGAACGAAACGGGATACATCAACTTCAAAGAGGATATCTTTTTTTTAAAAAAAAAAGACACCAGATATGCTGTCTGTATGGCCGGTCCATTTCAGGGCGGAGGCAGAAGCCACAAGGTCGTTAGTTAACTGGGCGTAGATTAGATAAGCTGGGGCTTATCACGTGTACAGCCACAGTAGATGTCCATGGCCATGGGTAAGATAGAACTTCATCGATGGAGGGAATTCCATGGAACAGTCCCTTTATGGTTTATCTAGATGTCTTGTTTCCATGAAACATAATTCGAGTTTATATGCCCTGATAATAGAGGAAGCCTTTGGCCATTATGTGCAGACGTGAGCTAAGTTACTTTTACTTCCAGAGCCATTTCTTCGTGTGAAGGATTCCTTCTCTAACAATAAACTCTATCTAGTCTACTAAGCCCTGTGCAGGTGTATAGAGTACTCTAAAGTAATATAAAATATCTGTGTTTTTCTCTGTAACCTTTCAAAAGCACTGATGAAGATATACTCCGTACAGCAAGTTGAAATCTACCAAAAATATCAGGTCCATGGTATTTCTATGTCAACTGGAGAGTGAAAATTTTCGGATATTTATTTAGGACCTCATAACTGGGTAATCCTGCTTGGAATATGTAGACAATCGCCTCTTCAGAATTCGTTCGTAGAGGATTGGAGTGGTGAGTACGCTGTATATATATTAACCGAGGGTTGAAGATATATAACTTCGGAAGAGGCCGCGTAAGGTGAACTAACCGGGCAATGTTTTTACAGAAAATTTACGCGGAGACAGACAGGTACTACAGCGTAAGCGGTGCAGAGGTAGATAGCTCTAGAAAACTAGCATAGAAGGACAACAGAACAACGCTCTATTCTCCCGGCATCGACATCGCAAGGAATTCATTCCGTCCTCGGGAGCTGGAGGCGACTGACTTCATGATTACCTACGCGGTATTGTAATTACGGTTATGGGGAAAGAGCTATTCCAGATGTGGTTAGGAAACCGGCTGGAAGCGGTTTATTCGGTAATGCTGCCTGAATGGGGCAAGGCAAAAACGACGTTTGCGGCTAGTCAGGTAGAAACAATAACCACGCAGTATTATTATCATCATCATCAACATTAATATTATTTATATTTACACCTGGCGGACCTGATAAAGGGAGACCCCTGTTTGATTCAGCCGGCTGACGCGATCGTTGACGCTGTGGTGGAGTTGTCGAGTTGACATCCGGTATGCAGGACAATGGGCAAATGACGATCATGTTACCGGTAACGTAAGCCGGTGGCACTGCTGGACACTATAATACACACTGTGTTATCCAGCGTAGATAGAAGTTAGAACAGGAGAAACCATAATGATCATCATAATAAATAGCTGCAGATAGGCTATACAATGCCTTTATCGACAGCAGCGTTGTTGTATGGTCATCATGGCAGTGCCGCCCAACGCTTTTCAGACAAAGGCTTATGGCTTGCACATGACAGGCGTGACTTGGCACGTGCCGGTGCAGGGGCCGGAATGATCGGATTTGATTTGCTCCGAGCAACCAACAAAGAGCATGTTGCAGAAGACTTATTACTGATAATAATAATAATCAATAGTAATAGTATTTCAGTAATAATAATAACCAAGAAAATAACTCCCTTCTACTACTGTATAGTACCTATGTAACAGTATACTGTACTTTCATAAAGCAAAGATCCGCCGAGTGGGGCAGGGCGTACGGTAACAATACACCGTACGCGTAACGTACCGGCCAGTCAGCTGGGCAAGCGGTACAAATGCCCCATCGCTCGCCCTTCTTGTCGCAGCGGCTTCTTCCTTCTGCTTCTTCTCGTTGGTCCTCGCGCGCGTGTGCCGTCCTTGTCTGTGAGAGCTCTCTCATCCTCTCGTCAAGCCCAACTCGGGTCAAATCACCGTCGTCCCAGGTACGTCTCCCCTGTCGTCTACCAATCTTCGCCTTGTCGCTATCATCTGCGTCTATTTTTATTTTTATTTTTTCCGCCTCCAATCGGTCTTGCTGTCGCTGCCTGCTCTGCTCCGCGGCTCATTTCTCTCCCTCTCCAACCATCGCGCTCGTTGCTTTCCCTTCCACCATACACTGCACTTTCCAAACTTTTGCCCCTCCCCACCAGAGCACTGTCGTTATCTCTCCATTCTCCAATCATCCTGGCTCCCGTTCTGCTGTAGAACGCTGCTTGTTCTGCGGTACAGCTCGGGCCTTGACATCAGCGGCCACACGCCGTCGCCGCCGAACGCCCTGTCGTTGCTGGTCCCCCGTTGCATCTGCCAATAACCCATCTTCTTCCTGTCCATTCGTCCCCTCGTGACGCTTTCTTCAAGATCATTCCTCGTTAGGGCTCACGCCGTCACGCTGTCTGCTGCGTGCCAGTGAGGCACGCTTTCGGGCCATCGATCCTGCCCTGGCAGAGCCCAAAATCCCTCCGGCCCGTTCAGGTAATTTGACCCTTCAACGACTTGGCTGGCGGCCCCTACATGCCACTGATGGCCCCAACCCCCAACGATCAAACAAGCCTCTGTCAATGCAAAAAGACAAAAAAAAGCAAAAAAGACCCTTTTTCCTGTTATCATTTATATTCTTTAAATGTCTTTTCATCATGACAAACTCTCCCCGCCATGGCTACCCAAGTCGCTGTTTGTTTGTTGTCGCGTCTCTGCTTTCTTTAATCTCACGCGTCGCACCTTCGTCATTACTTGATCTTTCTTTCCTTCTCTATCTTTTCCTATCATTCTACCGCTCATTGGGTTCTATTCTAATCTCCATGTGGCATCCAGTGGCGCGATTTACTCTAGACGTCGCATAACGATCCAGCAGTGGCTATCGCCTTGCGCGCTCTGATCCAAGAAGTCGCTGAATGCGCCGAACGGATCGACCAGGTACTGCTCCCGACTGCATCAGAACTGCCAACGCATACGTCGGCCATACGCCACATATCACCTTTCCAGCCAACCTGAGTACAGTTAGACAGGCTAATAGGTACCAGTATTAGACAGTTAGCCTGCTCCCCGCATTCCGTCGCCGTCCACCCTCCGGAATCCTGTGGCCGCGTTGTCGGAGTCTAGATTGGAGAAGCAGTATCGAAGTAGCCCACCGACGGCTGCTGAATCATTTCGCATAGCTTCCGATCCGTTCGGGACTGTCTACATTGGAGACAATACGCCGCCATCGCGCTTTGACAACGCATTAGGCCTGAGAGACTGTCGAGGGGCGCTGGTCCGCTGCATCACAGCCCAACCACGTTAACACACTCCGATGTGGGCTTAGCCATTTCTCTCAAAAAGACTAATACCTACACGAGACCGGTTGGAAACCTCTTGACTTACACGAGTCAACTTGCTAGCTATTCCCGTCAAATCGTAGCGTTGGTAAATTTGCGCGACTAAAGGTAAGACCTTTGGCATACTAGTCACTGAATACCTACCTCCGCCAAGTCTGATGACCGATTGGTAATGCACCATACGCTGACGGTACCTGGGCACTTGCAGCTTGTCACGTCTCGGTTGTCGAATCACGTCCCGCAGACGCGCTATCTCTCTTCGCGACTGCTTGTGGAATAACTTTGAACTACCCCGACGACCCTCCGTCGTTTGACGCCCTATCACGCGTGCCTAAGCATCGTTCTTGTTGCTTTGCTTCGCTTCGCTTTGTGACTTCGGCCTTGACCGTCAATCGCGTCGCAGCCCGAATTTCCTTAGCTAAGTTCAAGCGGCTTGCGAAAGCGGCCTCACCGCTCCCATCATGGAATATCCTCCCCAGTATCAGCAGCCTCATGGCCAGCATCCACATGCTGCGTCACATATGCCTGGACCATACCAGGCTGCGGCACAGAATGCTGGCCCGCCTGTCGGATCAATGGCTTCGCCTACCAATCCGCAGGCGCACATCCAACAAGCTCACCCGACACAGACTTCCCCCATTGTTACACCGCAAACACACTACCAACAGACTCAGAGCAATGCCGGCCAAGTTCATCAGCAGATGAACTTTCCTCAGTCTTATGGTGTTACCACGGCGATTCCCCAGACGTACGGTATCTCGCCCACCCAGGCGGCCGCAATGGCGACAGCTGTGGCCTCGGGACAGTTCTACCCTCTGCACCAGGATTCTTTGACCGGTCAGATGGCCCAAGGCCCTCGCGGGTCCCCGCGTATGGCTGGCGTGCAGGTAAAAAATGAACGCAATCCTCGATCGCCACCCCAGATTCCCGGACAAATGCCTCCCATGACGTCTTCAGTGCAAATGCCGCAGGGTTCTCAGATGCAACAGCGTCGAATGAGTCACGTGGGTAGTCCACACGTTCAGAGTGCACAACCAGTTCTTAACCATGTTGGCCGACCTTCGGTGCCACCATCGATGCCGCCGCCTCCTCCTCCCGTGCCGCAAACGTCCCCAGATATGATGACTGGCACCGCAGAAGAATCCCCTCTCTATGTTAACGCGAAACAATTCCATCGCATCTTGAAGCGACGAGTGGCCCGCCAAAAGCTGGAGGAGCAGTTGCGTTTAACATCGAAAGGCCGTAAGCCATACCTGCATGAGTCACGACATAACCACGCCATGCGGAGGCCCCGTGGCCCTGGCGGTCGGTTCTTGACGGCTGACGAGGTGGCCGCTATGGAGAAAAGGCAAGCTGCCGCTGCCGGGCAAGAGAACTCGACCAATCATGTGAAATCGGCAGAAGAGAGTCAGGGATCCGCCCAAAAGCGAAAATCAAGCGACGCTAATGATGAGAACGATAGTGTGACCAAGAAGGCTAAGACAGCGAGCGGGGACGGGAGTACACCTGAATCTGCGGAGCCTTCGGATGAGGATGGTTGAATGGTTGGCTGTCGATTTGTACAGTGTCATCCACATCCTTGCGTTATATCGGCTTACTCATCTGCCTTCCCTTTAGAGTGAGATTTCATCTCTTCCCTTTCCTCTCTTTCTCATCATGTGTTTCTCTCAAGGATGGGTGGGCGTCTTGTGTTTCTCCAGCGAGCGACATTTTGTTTTCTCTCCGACCCTACTATTACCTTCAGTTGTCTCATGTGATGTCTATCTATTTGTCTGCGACGTTTTGAACGATGGTCTCTTCATCTGACATTCTTCGGGCGCGTCTCTCAGTTACGTTTTACGCCTGACAGAGTTGCATTTATGAAATGAATGTACCGATTGACTGTTTCGATGTCCCTTTATCTTCCCCCTTGTGCGTGTTGTTTTCCTACTTATCTTCGAATATGTGTATTTTTTTTATCCATTCCCGGCTCTTATGGTTGTTGGCAAAGCTGGGAGCTAATGTCTGTGGGGCAACATCCAGCACCTCAGTCGTCAGCAATGCGTGCCAACTTGCTGTATATATCCCAGGATCGGCCATTCTGTTCTGCGTCTTGTTTCGATGACGACAAGAGTGGACAGGAGACTATCGATTAGGGAAGACGGCCTGCTTCTGTTGGTGCATGTTCATAGGCAAGGCCGGTATTCATCTATATCGACAGCACATATTGGAAAAGGCGCTGCACTGTATCTGCGCTTTATGGTTTCGCATTCTTCTTCTTATTTCTTTTTTTTCCCTTTCTTCTCTCTCGTCTCTTTTTTTTTTTTTTTTTTCTTTCTTTTTGGAATTGGACATTTTCCGGGCTAAGGTTCTATCTATATGCTCTGGGTTTATGGTTGGGAATTAGAGTGGGTGTGGTGTATCCATCGCTGGTAAAATGAAAATTGAGAATGGACTGCGAAAACAATGCAAAGCATGCATTTGAATCTTCACCATATGATGGCCCTCGTGCCACTGATCCAGTCAGAACAACCTGAATTTATTTTTGCAGTTGTTTTCAAATGTGTCTGGGAGCGCTGTTTTGTTTACTGGCCCGGAAAGGCTTTCGGTATGCGTTTGGGCATATGCAGTCCAGGATACGGCTCCATTCTGTTTGTCTTCTTTTTCTCTTTTTCTGGCCTCTACTTGTTTTCCGATCCCAGGCTCATTCTCAGCCCGAGTCTCTTCTTTTCTAGATTCGTGGCTGTGCAAGTTTTGCCGCAGCGTTGGCCATCAGGCGCGCATTGGCTCCTGAGACTGACATAAAAGACTGTGTGGCTCTTATATATATACATCTATATAAAAATTGAAGGCGGATGAATCGAGGGTCCCTTGAGGCATGGCCTGTCGTGTATGTAGTGTAGTAGTATGTACTCCGTACCAACATCGTCTTAACATGTATGTTTCCACGTGATACAACTGCTTAGATAATCGGAATGTTTCCCCGTGCCGGCCATGCCAGATCTGGACTAGCGGGCCTGCCATCGTTCTTGTTCCCAGCCGTTCCTCTCCCCCGTCTATTATTATTGCTCCTCCGTTCATTTACCTCACTGTCGCCGACATCTTCCCCGGCCGGAGCTCACTCTCACCTTGACTGGGCCATCGTCCGCTGGATTATTGTCCTTCTTCTATCTTTGCCTCTTTCTCTTGGGCTTCTTGTAGGTCGCCTAACTCACTTCTCTTTGTCAGATCTCCCTTGCCTCTAGTTAGTCGCCCTTTTGTCTCTCTGCTTGACCTGACCCAGGACCCGTTCCATCTTGCCTCCTTGTCCCCTCACAACTCTCTATTCTTTTTTTTTTTTTTTTTTTTTTTTTTTTTTCTTTTTTTCAATTATTCAATTTTCTGTTTAACTCTTTCTCTTGGCCTTTTATTATCTTCCCCTTTGCTTGAAATCTTGAAGGACATCCTATCGTCGCGCCCTTGCCGGCCCTCGAGACCCTCCGCCAGCTCACAACTCCTGCGGGCGAACCTCTTTCTTGCTTCTTGTTCATCCTTTTACTCTTCTTATTTTTAGCCTCTGGACTCACTTTGTGGTCCGGAATATGAAACCATGCCCCTATATTCTATCTTCTGCCGCCCTACGGACCCTGGTCTTCTCATCTTTTCGTTCCCACACGCCCTGTCTTTCTTGTCCCTCGTGAATGTTGATGCCGTCTCAGTCACCCCCTACAATTCATAAGATTGATTTGTTCTAATGTTAACCATGTCGGAACATAGCTACTCCTGTCATCCGTCTCGAACCGTGTTTGCTACGTCCGTCTTTATCTGGCCGACTACTTTGGCCCCACACGTCTATCATTCAAAGAGGCCGCTGGCTGAATCCACAAGATGGATTCCTACGAGAGCTATGGGTCTCCAGTGAGAAACCGTGATGAGAGCTCATACGCATCCCGGGCTGCTGTTGATTCGTATAGGCGCAGATCACCTGGTAAGTTAACTAGTAGCAATCAACCTTTTCCTGTCCCTAGGCATTCCATTCATCCGTTGTCCTTTCGCAATGCCAATTTTTTCTTACTCTCTCGCAGCTTCTCAGGATCGCCGACGTGGACGTGCACGTTCCCGGTCCCCTGCCGTTATAGACCGCTACGAACCTTCCGACCGCCGGTCTTCTCGAGACGATTACTATGCCTCGTCGCGAGAACAAGCAATGCGAGACCGCGAGGACCGCCGCCGTGTCCCGTCTCCCACGGTTGCCAACATCGACCGCTATGTCCCGGGACAAGATTCCGGCAAGCGACCCATTCCAACTAATCCCCTTCCAAATCCTCTAAGCCTTGATTTTCAAGTTGGGTTTAATTGGTTCGCTGAATGGTGGAGGGCGGAACAGGCGATCAAAGAAGAGAAGGAACGGGCGAAACACGGTGGGCGTCGCCCTTCTGATCGTGTCAAGGGCGAGCGTGAAGCGCGCGAAGACCGAGAAAGGGAAAGAGCCCAAATCCAGACCGCATACGATTCGTATAAGGTGGACCTTCAGATCAAGATGGCTAGAAATTTTGTGCACCAACATAAGGGTGAGGAATGGTTTAAGGAACGTTATGTCCCCGAGGTTAGGGACTCTCTACGTCAGCGCTTGATGGACTTTCGCAAAGGCGTATATGAACAGTGGCGCAACGACCTGGACAACGGCGTGTTTGATGAGTTCACCTTGGAAGGCATCTACAAAAGCGAAAGCGATGGCGCAGGTGGCGTGATTGAGAAAGAAGAAGGGGAGACGACTGCTGTTGGAGAGACTCTAAGTGTTCAGGATCTGCTTCCAGCTCGGGGTGGAGATTTGCGTGACGAGGCCTTGTCGCAACCGGCTTTGCTCATCAAGACGTTGGCACCAAATGTCAGCCGAGAGAAGGTCGAAGAGTTCTGCAAGGAGCATCTCGGAGAGCAAGATGGCGGGTTCAAATGGCTCAGTTTAAGTGATCCAAATCCATCAAAGAAGTATCACCGTATGGGATGGATCATGTTGAATCCCGCTCCGGAACATGCCGTTGTGGAGAGGGGTGATGGGAGAGATGAGGAAGGGGAGGAAATGGAAACGGATGTCACTGCCAATGGAGGTGTCAGTATTAGTGCTGCTGAGAAGGCACTCGAGGCTATCAACGACAAAGTCATTCATGATCCTGTTCATGGAGACTTTGTTTGTCATGTTGGTGTTCACGTGCCTCCGTCTCAACCGCGGAAGAAAGCTCTGTGGGATTTATTCTCTGCTCCCGAACGCATTGAGCGCGATCTTGAGTTAGCCAGGCGATTAGTGGCGATGCTTGATGGTGAGATGGGAGAGAAGGTGGATGGCTATTCCAAGATAGAGGAGCGGGTGGAAGAACTACGCGGCAAGGGATGGTTGCAACCTCCTGTTACTGGGCCCGTGAGCTCGAAGAAGAGGCAAAGCGCGTTAGATTCGGAAGATGAAGGTGAAGCGGAAGAAGGCGAGGAACGGGAAGGTTGGGATGACGACGAAGTCGACGATGAAGACCTTTTGGCAAAGAAGAAAAAATTGGACCTGATGGTGGAGTACCTTCGCAGGGTATACAATTTTTGCTTCTTTTGCGTCTTTGAAAGCGATTCAGTTCATGAGCTAGTTCGAAAATGTCCTGGTGGTCACCTTCGACGTCCACGCGCTGGCCTGACAAGCCAGGCGAAAATGGTGGCTAGAGCCAGTGCCCTCGGGCAGCCATTTCCCGTGAAAAAGAAGGAGCCAAGTGAAGAAGGGGAGGAGACATCGCCGGCGGAGGAGAAGCGGCCACAGCGATTTGCCTCCAAATCGGAGCAGCAGCTACAACGCGCGTTCAACTGGGTCAAAACGTTCGAGGACAAACTATTGCAAATCCTCGAACCGGATAATGTCGACATTCAGAAATTGGGCGGCAAGCCAGTGGATGAAGCGCTGGAAGAAGAATTGTCAAAATATGTCAAGCAGGAAGACGAGTCGAAGTTCCGCTGCAAGGTGCCTGAATGTACGAAGCTTTTTAAGGCAGAGCATTTCTGGCGCAAGCACGTTGAGAAGCGACATACAGAGTGGTTTGAAAATATTAAGAGCGATGTAAGTCTGTTCTAGACGAGACCAGAGAATTACAAAAACATTAACTAATAGTGTGCAGCTTTCTCTGGTCAACGCTTATGTCCTTGATCCCGCTCGCATCGCACCGTCCCGTGCGGATGCGAATAGCAATGGGCATTTCCCTCTTTCCGGACAACCTCAGACTGGTACACCTCGCGGTTTCAGTCTGTCAAATATGTCATACTTCGGTAGCAATGCCGTTCCTGGGAACTTCCAAGGCCTCCCGGTTACGGGTTTCCCAGGCTTTATGGGGGTTAATCAAGGCGGATCCTGGAATGCAAATGGACTGATCTCTGGAGATGCTCCCGGGCTACATCAGCCAGGCGTTATGCGCAGAGGCGGTCGGTATAATAACCGCTCTGGACCGTACGATCGCCGTGGAGGCCGATTCAACCCTGGAGCATCTGCAAGCGGTCGTTTGAGCCCAGTCCGGGGTATGCCAAACCCGTATAGTGCTGGCGGTCGACTGCCGCCCGGCGCAGGGTACATTGCCCCTGGCCATCCCGCCGCAGCCTTACTTGGAGCGGGAACATTTCCTGATGCTATGGTTTCTGGCGGCGGTCAGCAGGGAATGGGGCCTCGTGAAGCCGTCCAAGGACGCAGTATCAAGAGCTATGAAGATCTTGATGCGGTTGGCGGGCCTGGTAGCGGTGAACTAAACTACTAACTCAGAGAACTTCGGATGTTAATTCTGATGCCTTGGTTTTTCTTCTTTTCACCGTCTTGTTTGACTTTGTTTTTAAACCAATTTTCATTGCTTAGGTAGCAGATGAGTGCAATCTTTCCATGTGATGTCTACATCAGTCTGTCCCTCACCTTTTCTTTTTCTTATATCTTCATTCCATTGTGAGTTTCCCTAAGATGCTTTCAGAAAAGCCCTCTTTCCTTTTGCTGTTGTTTTTTCTGGGCGGCTGGACCTAATAGCAAGTTCCCTTTTATTTATTTTCTTCGGTTTATGGGGTAGATTGCTTGGTTACATCTCACATTCCTATGTAATGAAATTCTGTTTCTGGTAAAGACGGATGCAAAGGCAAAGCCGGCAATGCAGCTTTGCCCAGCCAAAAAGTGATATATCATATTGCACACTTGCCCTGGTATTTCTTTCTTTCTTTCCAATGGGGAAATGAAAAGAGACATTTCATTTTAGATTTTTCATCCGATCGGACCATTGAGAGAAGAGTAATACCGATTTCAATTCACACCAGTGTGTTCTGCAGATGTAGTCTCCACACCACCAATATAACTTCAAATTAATTACTGCAGGAAGGTGGCCTAGAAAGGCAAGTTGGAGCGGTGTGTCCAAAGATCCAAAAATGAGAAAGGTAGCGCACATGCACGTGTATAAAAGAGGCAACTGTAACAGTAGAGAAGGGTAAAATAGTATGTCATGGCATCTGAATAATAACCTCCTCGCGACTGTCTCTCCACTGGGCGCCCATTTTGCGAATCCGGCGTTCACTAGCAAGGAATAGAAGGAGGTAGACGTGTACTGCTATCTCACCCCAAGCATAGATTTTGAGGGTTAGAGGTTTCAGAGATGGCGTGTCATAGCCGTCATTGCTGCTGCTGCTACTCTGATGAGACCGATGCATTCTTGCTGGGTCTCCTTCGGCCGGAATTGCTGAGCTTGCATTTCCCGCAGCTTTCCGAGATATGCTTTTACTTTGTGCCAGTTGCGTCTTTTCCTGAACTTGTTCTTCTATGTCAGCATGTGCCGGAGTCTGCACAGCATCCTCGAGTATACACCACACGCCCCAACCGGCACGGCCTTCCTTGGAAATAAAGTCAGACAAGAAGGTCCAGAAACGATCGAAGAATGAAATATCCCAGTCATTGAAATTGGGGCTTGCAGTCCCGGCACTCCCATGGGCCATATCTTGTTTGGATGAGCAGCATCCTGGCCGGTTCTGGTGTCTGTTCTCGTTGGCCACCGGGCATAGAACTTTGTTTTCTTTTCGAGCAATCTCTTCAGTAGTGTATTCTCTGCCCTGGGTAAGGTTGATGCGAAGAAACCAGTAGCCTCGTTCTAAAGTGTCAAGCTGTCTGGTCTGTTTTACCGGCTTATACGTCCGTGCAGGTTTCAAGCGTTCTTCCAGCATTTTCAGCGTTGGGGTAACGTGAGTTACGAAGCGTTTGGTCGAGACTGGGGGCGCGGGAGGATAAATTTGTAGAGGAAGAGAAGGAAATGGTATATATAATTCCCGCTTCTTCACGGGCGTTGAATTTCGACTGCTTCCGTCCGTTGCAGCCGACGCCGGTGGTAGGGTGTCGTCGTCGTCGTCGTCGTCGTCGTCTTCTTGTTTCTCTCTTACCATAGGCGTCGAGTCCTTATTGATTGCCTTGGGGTCATTCATGGATGGTAGTTGGGAGCTCGCAGGTCGCATTGATGCGGGAAAAGGTTGGTCAACTGAGGACCTCAAGCGCTTGCAATCTGGTGATTCTAGTAGATCTTTAGCCTCCCGAAAAGCATCCTCTGGGTTCGAGTCAGGTATGACACTGATTGGACTGCCAAAGGAATCCCCTTGCGACATGTTTTGGTGGGTTTGAGCTGGGGCGCAGTCTCGGTGATGTCCAGCGCGGTATGATGAAAAAACGCAAGCCGAACTCGTAGATCCAGGTGTATTTGGCGGACGACGGAACATCCCGTTTTCCTCCCCATGACTGCTGAAGGTGTTCTGGGCACCATCCATGTGACTGCTTGGAGAAGTGCCACTTTGAAGCGATGAATGCGCTGAGAGTACGCCTCGCAATTCATCTCCCGAATTTGCTTCTGGGGGACCCGGGCCTGCAGACGGGTTTGTTGAGGAAGAGACAGACGTAGCTTCTCTAACAGACGATGCAGCTCCTGCGACACTTTCTTCTTCTTCCAAGTCTGCTACATTGCAGCGCGAAACAGCTTCGAAGCCGAGAATTGCCTGGACTTGTGCGCGATACCTGGCATCATCCCTGGCCCCGCTGGGAGCAGAGATGTGGACAAGTATCTCTGTATTCTGCATTGGATTCCAACAGATTCACTCCCCGACTGGACCTCATTGTGGGGTTTCAAGACTGTGCCTGAGGGTGATGCGTTGTCATTTTGCACGCGGTTGAAAGCGAAGGAAGAAGAGAACACGAGGCTCGCATTTCCGTTTTCGGCTTCGTTTCAACCACGTCTCGACTGACGCATCTACGACTGCAGTGCTCGCTACGACCCTACGCTGTGCCAGGTGTGACAGGTTTCTTTCTTTTTGCTTTTATTTTTAATCTTTCTTCTAGTAAAAAAATAAAAAAAAAATAAAAAAACAATCGGAGTCGGAGTCAACCATGCAGTTTTGTTCCTCCGGAAGCAATGCGTTTAAGCGACCACATCCTTCTCGTGGCGCAGCTGTATTGTTGCAGATCTTTCTTGATGAATGGAAGCAGAGAACACTTATTGAGCCGGCTGTTATTCTCGAGACATGTGGCGCATTAACTAACGAGCCGTTCTCCCAGTATCTAGCGCCCGCTGCACGCCGAGTATCCAGCCATTGATACATCGGTCGTCGATCCATCCCTGCAGTGTTACAGAAATTGCACTGGCGATGATCCCGAGTCCAACAGTGGAGTTGGACAAACGCTGAGAGCTTCCCTGTCGACGGTGATTCGATGCGGAGAAATCGAAGATTGCCGCCAGCGTGACGGCTGGGTCACCTACCGGGCTACAGGCTACAGCAGCAGATTCGCAAGAAGTCTATTATTCTGTGTGCCATTGTGCTGGACGTGCGGCTTGGCAGATCGACCGATGAGATCCAGTTGAATCTGGCGCCCCTGTGTCCGCATCCGTGTCCGGTCGTGCAGGATTCATATTCCTTCAGCCAGGCTCGCCAACACCTCAAAGCCAAATGAAAGCGACTTTTTTTATCTCATATGGATCGCCTATGGGCTGCGGGAGGCAATCGGAAGCGCTAAGGCCGCGCAAGTGTGACTGATCAGGGTCCGTGTTGGGTTAACGGCCATAATGACACTGGAGACAATACGATCATCCTAATAATAATGGGCCTCGATCTTTCTTTCCCCAGTCCTTTCATATAGTCTGCCCCTCCCAGACTTGTCTCCTTCAATCCTCTTCCCGTCCGATCGCCCGTTCAAACCCCCTGCAGAGTCGTCGTTCGACAGTTCTGAATCGGATTGTTGTACCCAAGTGACACCCGGCTGTCTGCTGCTGCATCTGTGCTAGTCTATGTGCGTGCGCATAAATGGTCGACTTTCAAATTCATCTTTACCTCGTACCATCTATCTCCGAGATCTAACTGCCCAGCCCGTATGACGTCCTTGCTGTTATCTAACTCTCCCCATATATTTAGCCACAGGACTTCTAACTGCCTCAAGAAGTATACACTTCTTTTGCCTGCATTCCAGCCGAGCTTTTCTCCGGGTTCCGCGGCCCATCTTCCACATAGAAGGGAACCGCGCCATGGCTTCGTTCGCTAGCACACCTCCAACTCAAGATGGATCAAACCGCGATGACCCAGGCCTGCAAGGTAATTCTTGTGGTCGCTACTCTTGTATTTCTCGATCCCCGGCTGACTTGGCTGCACCGCTTCTACCTTCCTGTATGGCCGACTGGAGAGCCTTCCTGCGGCTCCAGCCACTTTACTTTCAAAGTGTCATTCGGAGGCGCAGTCGCTCTCGATCGGCCAAGAGGGGAGGAATCGGCGCGGTGTCCTCTTTTAGGTCAATCATCGTATTTAAATCTGAGGGCATTAACGTCCACAGCCGATGTTTTCAAGTTCTTCGGAGGGTCAAAGACAGTAACCCGAGGTTGGTCATCACCACGAACCATCATCTCTCCTGAAAATGACCGATTCTGATGGGTGGAATCAGATGGGAAACCGGCAAAACGGCGAGGTCCCAAGCCAGACAGCAAGCCAGCTTTGACAAGGCGACAGCAGCTGAACCGTCAGGCTCAAAGGTACATAATCCTGAGAAGCATGAGCGTTCCCGCAGACCAAGGTGTTCTGTCGTTAACTCACTATTCTAGGTCTCACCGGGAACGGAAAGCACAGTATATTAGGTCGTTGGAGACGGAAATTTCTTCATTGCGGGAGGCTTACTTCAAAGACATATCCTCCGCAAATGCATCGCTGCAGCAGCACAGACACATCGTCGACTCCCTGAATAAAGAGAACGATGCCCTGAAACGTATCCTGTCGGCCCACGGGATATGCTTCGAGGCAGAATTGGAGCGCCTCGGGATAGATCGATCGCCTCAGTATCCTCTTAGCTCCTCCTCAGTCAGCAGCCCTGGCTACTCAGGAAACGTTGGCATTGCTACAACCATCAGCAGTCATTCTCATATCACGCCGGCCACCAGTACCACGTCTGGTTCAAGTCCGCGGGCAACCCGCCCCGAGCAAATCGATGCTCTTCCTCCAGGGGAACAACCCTTTCCTCCTCAGACCACGTACCACAGCCATTCCAATGAGCAGTTCGATTACATGGATCGTGATAGATCTAACCCGACACATAAAGGGTCTGATGAGCCTGTTCCAGCTGTACAGGGCGTTTTCGAAGATGATCCTCAGCTCCAGGTCGATTTTATCCTAACGTAAGTCCCTTCATTTAAAATCCGTGAGACAATCATCACCTTGTATCATTACTGAAATATGTCATGACAGACTTGAATCCCCATGCCGTGATCACACAGACTACCTCTGCCGCCAAGCGGACGATGAACACATGCCATTCTCGGGCCACGCACTGATGGCCTCCTGTCCACCACCTAGTTACATCTCCAAGACCACCCCCGACCAGATATACCCTCATAAAACCTACGATCTCCCCCCAGCAAACCTCGCAACATTGCTCAATCTCAGCCGTCAACTAGTCGCGGATGGACAGGTCACGCCCGTCATGGCACTTCAGTACCTGAAGGCCCATGACATGTATCGCACGCTAACGCGGGATGACATCAAGATCATTATCGAGACGCTTAATACGAAGATCCGGTGTTATGGATTTGGAGCTGTTATCGAGGACTTTGAGTTGATGGACTGTTTGAATAGCGTCTTGGGGTCAAAGATGGATTATACTGCCTCTTCCTCTCATGCCCCTGTGCCGGACCCTATGATGTACATGTAGTTACTGTATATAGATGATGTTGTCGACTTACTATTACTATACACTTAATATTGAAAGCAACGGCTTGAGTGAGACGGCGAAGATGTTTCTTCGTATATCTTAACTATGACTCAATCCCCTCTGCCATCTGCTATGCAGACAAAGGAACATAGCCGCAATACAGTGTCCATGGTATCTCAAGTGATTCAGATTTGTGCTATATGCTCCTGCTGGCGGGGTTCAGTCGCGGGGTCCAGTCTTTTCTCCTCTTCATATAAATCGTTGGAGACTATATTATTAAAAAAAAAAAAGAAAATACCGATAGGCTCATTCAAATGAAAACAAAACAGAGACATGGGGTCTCTTAACTTCTCTCAACCGAACTTTTGCATAAAAACAAGAACTCATGCACGCACATAAGGTAACTAATCAGGATATGGACATGACATTACAGCATTGCAGGGATGGCATAATAAATTCCTGCCAAACTGTAATAAGTTCCCAAGAAACATTGCCTGGCTCTACTCCTGGTTTTCCTCCTCGTCCTTCTCACTCTTCTCTTCGGGAGCACCTGCTTCTTCATCCTCCTCGAAAGTGTTTGCCGGTACGCTGTACAGGCGGATAACAGGCTTGTTGGGGTCCTTTATGAGGACATACTTCTTCACCTTCTCCTCAGAGACCTCTTCACCGTTTTCAGCATCGAGAGTGCGAATGCGGTCAACAACAGTACGGACAATGCCCCATCCGTTGGCAATGTTTAGGTTCATCTGAGCGGCCAGGTCGCGGGGCTTGTAGCTCACAACACCAAGGATAACATGACCGGCAGCAGAGCGGGGGTTGGCACGAGAGACGAAACCAAGCTTCATGCTGTCCGCCTTGGCAAGCGCAGCCTGGGTGGTCCAGCGGGCAAGCTTCAGACTGTTATTCTTCATCTCCGTGGCGATGACGGCACCGCGCTGAGAGGAGAGCTTGCTGCGCCAGTCCAGAGCATTGCCAGAGCCTTGGGCCTTGCTATCAAACTCGTTAAGGGCTCTCACGATCACCTGCTGGTCTTCGCCGTTGACTGGGTTCTTCAAGACGGCATCAACCTCAGTACGGACGATCAGGTTAAGAGGCTCCTCATCTCTCTCGAGGGAAAGGTCGAAGCGTCTGTACTTGTAGGCCTTGGATGCTAGGGGCTCTGTCTCCTCCGAGGCATTGTAGAACGGGTTGGGGTGGTTCATCTCGATCTTGTTGTCAGACTCAATTGCCGTCTGCAGGGCGAAGTTGTGGTTGATGAATGTAGCCTCCAAGGCTAGCGCGCTGGGAGTGTTGATGGAATCCTGCTTGCCGGACTCGGAGATCTCGAGAGGAGCATCGGCAGCGTTCTCATTAACGGTCACAAGATCGATTGAGGCGCCCTCGCGCTTGTCAAAGTAGATCTTGTTGCCCTGGTGCAAGATAACAATATCCCAAGAGTACACACTGCGAGGTGCGCACATAAGCATGGACAAGATATCTGACGTCGCGAAGACGGTAGCCTCGTTCTTCTCGGCGAGGTCCTGAATGACAGGATCCTGAGATGTAGTAACGTTATACGCAGCACGTTCGAGGACCTGCAGCCTGCGCTCCATGTTCCTAGCAGGGGCCCGATCATAGTTCCGATCGTAGTAGTACATGAAACCATACGTGTCCATGTCCTCGCCATCGGGGGTCTCGAGATTCAGCTTAGACAGCCGGCTGAAATCAACCTCTTCCAGCATGGTCCACTCGGGACGGATGTTGACCGATGGCTCACGCGTCCTCTGAGGCTTATCGTAATCCCTCCAGCCAAATCGGCGGCCACGGCCGCCACGACCGCGGTTGTCATAGTAGCGGTCACCAGCCTGGCCACGACCAGCACCAACTCTCTGGAAGCCGGCTCGGCCACCTCGCTGACCAGCGCCACCGCGTGCACCGCGGCCGCGGAAAACCGTACCGGGTCCGCGCACAAAGCCGCGTTTTGCAGAGGAACGTGTGTTGTCGACGACGGAGAAGGAAGACTCATCTTCGGCAACCTGAACGGCGAAAAGACTGGAGGCACCTGCTCCATACACTTGTTGGTCTGCGCAAAGTATGTTAGCACGGGGAGAGAGATGTCGAAAGAAAATTGGAAATCCAAAAAAAAATACCTCTGTAGTTCCTGTTATAGGCCTGTCTGCCAGCCTTCTCACGATCCTTAGCATCCGCAGTCCAGTCGGCCATACGACCCAGCTTGTCGCCCTTGGAGAAAGGAGCATACGGGACACCATCCAGCATATTATCTGTGGAGGTGGCCGGACCCCACGAATCCTCCGCAGGGAGGGCAGCAACGATGTCTGCAATTGAAATGGGCGCCATGATTCCTGGTGACAGAGGTGTGCTGTGTAAGGGAATACGCATTGAGGGGATGCGGAATGGATGAATTGGGCAGTTTTTGTGTCGCGAGTGCCACGTGTGGCAATGACGGTCTTGGCACGCACCGCCACAGTCACGTGATATATATATATATATCACGTGTATATGTTCGAGATTGATTGCTCGTCTTCGACAACCGCTTTTCTTCTTGACAAGAAAGGCCGCAGAAGACTCGATCCCAGCTGGCATCTCGCTTGAATATTTCTCGTTGCTGCGCTGCAACAATGCAGCTGATCTGATGTCTGCATCGTCGCTATTGGGCCTCGATTGCGCAATGCACGGTGGGAAACCGATTGGCCGGTGGAATACTATTACTACTTGCTGTCTTACAACCTGGAATTTGCTGCCTCGATGATGACGTCCACGTCTTCCTTGACTGCTACCAAGCATCCAAAACGCAATTGATATAGGAACCATCGGGCTTCCTCCTTTTTCGACGCCCAGAAGATGCTATATCTTCGCTTATCGCCGACTGCTGGTTAAACTTTAGTGTTATTGGCGGGACCATTCGGCGAATGATGTAGCCTGCACCTCATTTCCACCCACGGCAATGTTTGCCGACTTCGCAGCATTTTGACTCTTCAAAAAGACAGAGGCGCATGATGGAAATAGCACATTGATACCGCGCATGAGACGAACGGGCAGACGGAGGAAGGAAACAGAAAGCATGAGCTATGGACGGAAGATCTCGTGATCAACAAGAATCATTGGAATTACATGAGATTGCGACTCATGAAGACAATGACACCGATCCTTCACCTTCTTCTATATCGACAGACGAATATCGCGTCGAGGCGCGTCGGACACCGACCATCACCAGGGCAGAAAGGGATAGCAATGGGAACCAGAACCAGAAACCTGGGCGTTGGCGACGTACAAAGAAGTTTTGGACACACAATGTTGCTTTAGGCGTGCCCCAAAAGAGCAACCGGGATCATTTTGGTGAGTTTGCTTTCCGGGAAACATCGGCGTTAACCCAGGGGGACTGGATACTAAGTAACTCCTTAAAGCCCTGGAGAGGACTTTCCTTGGCTACGTTCGAACCTCTGTCATGCTCTCAATGCAAGGGGCTACTATCGCACAACTCTTTCGTCTTCAACGCCGATCGGCTCACTCGTCATCCCGACTCGGTTTCTACAGCATCGGTGTCCCCCTCGCTTGCGTGTATTACGCGGTCGCCATGTTGGTCACACTTCTCGGAGCTTGCCGCTTCTGGAGACAGCAGAATGCTATAGCATTGGGAAAGGTGTATTCAGGAGGGTGGGAGATAAATTGTATAGGGATTCTTGCTTCTTTGGTAAGTGCTACTTATTGCTGGGGAACAAATATCTTCCCACGAAAAAGAAGATAGAGTCTTATGTTCCGAGCCCTGAAACAGGTCGTCTTGGTGACGTTCGCTTTGACCGTTGCAGTTATTGCTGAGATCGATATCCACGGAGAATAATGTACAGCGTACAGCGCTTTGCTCTGGGCATCTGCAATTGCGGATTGGCGAACGAACCAAAAATATGATATCCAATGCTTGCTGTTTACTTGTGCTATAATTGCGTTATAATCAATAATGTACCCCTTTTCATCAACGGGACACGAAGGACAACTTATTTTATACAGAAAAGTCTTGGTGGCTACAGAAAGAACACGGCCGTGTGTGTGTGCGCTTCGGCCAAAAACTGGCCTTTTTGCACCGGGATATCTATGACTTGTAGTCCCTTAAGGTCTTCTCTTCCCTTAATCTCTTCTCCATATTTCCCCAATTTCCGAGGTGTACACAATATCTGCCAGGCAATAATGAAGTCAAGAAAAATGGAATTTGGGAGGGAATGCCTCTCTGAAAGATTCTATTCCAATGACATCGCTTCCAGATCAACCCACTTATCTAATCTGATCTTCTGTTAACTATTCTCCCCATTGTGAACACTTCCGAGATACAAACATCATTGGATCCCCAGTAACCATGGCAAACGTACCTACAACTGAAAAGAAATTGGATATTATTGATCTCGCCCGGGGCTTGAACCACACCCCTTGGTGCGAGGACTACGAGCGCATGATTTCTGGGATGCTGTGAGTTGCTCCACCAGTACTGTTCAAGCTACACCACAAAGCATGTTATATCAAATACCAACTCCCTATAAACAAACCCTGGATACTGTTCTCTCTAACTTGGACGGGGAAATCGAAAAGGTACAACCCAAATTCGCCCAAATTGACCGAAGCCCGTCACCGAGCACGATGCTTCACGCAAGACTACAACAACTTCCCCGCCAAATCGGTGACTTATGACAAGCTTACAGAGGCACGGCTAGAGGTTTTGAAGAAGTTAGTTGGGAAAGTGGGAAAGGACACGCTCGTTGAGCCACCGTTTACTCCGGATTATGGATGCAATATAGTGATTGGGGAGGAGACTGCCATTAATTTCAAGTACGCTTTTTTTTTTTTCATTTTCTCATCATCTGTTCCCCTTCTGTCCCTCTGTCTTCTAAGAGTCATGTTCGACTAGTTTTACCGTTCTCGATACGTCTCTAGTCATCATAGGCGACCGGGTTCAAATTGGCCCCAACGTCAGTGTCTACACGGTTACCCACGATACCTCTGTCCTATCGCGGAGAAAATACGTCGAATTCGGACATCCTGTGCGTATAGGCGACGATTGTTGGATTGGGGGAAATGCCATCATCCTCCCGGGAGTGACAATCGGCGAGGGGTCGACTATTGCGGCTGGGTCGATTGTCACTAGGGATATCCCCCCGTTTTCTGTGGCCATGGGAAGTCCATGTCGGGTCAAGAGAACAGTGAAATCTGCTGAAGAGGAAGAACAGGATCCAGAAAACGTGTACAGGAACCTGCCAGGAAGATTTGATTGCTAGCAGGGTCAAGATACTCTGCGGATTCTATCCATTGGAGTAAGGGCTGCTTAATCTGACCTTGCATGAAGCAATTTACTTCTTATTTCTTTTCGCTCCCCCCTTTCCATAGGTATATTATAGAGAAACGCCCTGAAATAGATATTTTTATAACGACTTCTCAATATCAACCAACTGGCTAAATGCGTCCTTGTATAGTTTTGCCTCCTGGTCAGTCGGCCGAGGAAGAGGCCTCCGTGCGAATCCCCCATACCCAAAATAGGACTCAATCGAGCTTTTGAAAGCGCAAATGCCGTACTTGGTGCCGATCCAATCTGCCCGAGCCACAATCTCCTGGAGCAGCCTGGCCTCGTTAAGCCGACCCAAGTGATACAGTTCGACCAGCCGCACCACGGTCTTTGGAGCGAGATTCGCCAGACCAGAGGCTATCCCGGAAGCGCCCCCAATCAAACTCTGGAGAGCAATATCCGCATAACCCCCCAGGCACAGAAACCCATCGCCTCTATCGGTTGGAGTCAAAGGCCTCGTTGCGGACGCGATCCGATTGAGTGACCCAGTTTTCCCACAGCTCAGCTTGCAGCCCACGGTGTTGGGATGTCCAGCCAGCTCGATTATTGTGTCCGAGTCGAGCTCTATGCCCCCAGCCCCCGCTGGGAAATTGTAGATGAGAATCGGGATAGGAGAGGTATTAGCGACGTCCGTGAAAAAATCCTTAATGGTATCCTTGGAGTAGTAGGCCCTGTATACGGACGGAGGCAGAATGATAGCATAGTCACCGCCGGAAGCATGGGCATCCTGGCAAAGCTCGATCGTCTCCCCGGTCGACTGTGCCCCGCAGCCCACAATGATGGGCAGCTGGGTGTACCCGGCACTCGCCACTGCATGTCGAGTTGTCCGTGTGATTCTGCATCGCTCCTTGTGAGAAAGATGCGCGTACTCGCCCTGCGTGCCCTGAATGATCAACCCTGCGACCCCGGCCTTTGCCATACGGACAGCGTGCTCTGCTATCGTCTGCTCATCCAGTTCCTCGGTGTCCTTGTTAAAAAACGCAAGCGTAGGCACGTAGACGCCTGGCTTGAGGATGCGACGGATATTTTCTTCCGACGTGGCCATGTTGGTGGCCGAGTACGTTTCATTGAGATGGGTTCTGGAGTAGATATTGCGCGGGGGCAGAGAACCGCTATTTGGGGTCGACGACGATATATCTGACATTGGCTCGATGGCAGGACTGGTGAATGGATAACGATGGTGCATTGGTACGTGGAATAATAGTGTCCGTTGGTGTATCGATATGCCAACGTCATATCAAAGCAACCATGACGCAACTGGCACGAGTGTAGTCAATGCCAAGTAGATGACTTTTGATTCTTAAGTAGACAAAGCAGACTTGGTGGTTTTGTATGAACTGTCTATGGGAACCCACTGCTTCCCTCATTGTTGAAGATAACAAAGCTGTGCCAAATCAAACCGATGCTGTTTCGGTGGAAGAGGACAGTCCCACAATGAGTTTGTTATACCTCAGGAATATGATCTATGTCAGGTTCGGAATATGCAAGGATATCCATGACAAGTCTCCATTGTTCTCTGTAGCGCTCCTGGACCCTGTTAGTTCCTGATACTGTACTATTGTTATTATTATTACCTAGAAGCTTGCTGCTGGCATCTCCACCATGACCTGTCATGGCCACTGTGTCTGCAGGACTTGTGAATTTCACAACAGCCTGTTTCTCCAGGCAAGTCAAGGAGGATGCATGGTGGACAGGTTTATGGGCGGCATGGCATCTTCCTAAGTAAAACTAGCGTGGCGGGCAAAGTCGAGTCCAAAGCCGCGGCGAAGATGAAATGAAATGTGTAGAGGCGATGGCAATGAGGGATTTCTTCCGTTCATCCTCATCGAATCGCTGGTTGATCAAGGTTCAGTCCATCGTTATTATCGTCTTAGACTCTCCATCATCTTAATATATTCGTTAACTATTTCGAAAAACATCGAATAAAGCAACGCCACTCGGCAGGCCGGACTGTTCCATCGCAGCACCGTCGCAGCACCAAAGACTTAGTAACCTTCTTCCGCTAAAAGAAATTCACCACTGCGTTAATATTTCTCTTCCTTTCTTCTTCCTTTTCGTTTCTTCCCACTACCAAAATTTTATCTCTTCCTTCTCTCGTTCCCCTGGATGCCCGTCCTAACGTGTCGCTCATCCTCCTTCTTTCCTTTCTCTCTGTTCGGATCGTATTTCCTTATCTAGTCCCATTGACGTAAGATACGCCGTTCGTCCTGCCTTTCGATCCGCATATTGCGCCGCAGAGCGCACCACTGAGCTGGGAACAATGGCGCTTTCCAAGACTACCAGGATTATTATCCTGCTAGTCATCGATACTGCTTTCTTCCTCCTCGAATTAATAGCTGGTCAGTAATCGGTTGCACCACCTGTATCGCGGTTGACCCTGGTCTTATGGACCGTTCCAATAGGCTATGCCGTCCACTCGCTCGCTCTTGTCGCCGATTCTTTTCATATGGTATGCAAATTGCAATATTCCCTCTGCATGATGATGCCTGTACCTCCTCTGATGTGCGCATGAATAGTTAAATGACGTGCTATCTCTCTGTGTGGGGTTGTGGGCTGTAAGGGTTGCCAATCGTGAAACCAGCTCCAAGGTGTACACCTATGGCGTAAGTCCCTCCCCTTTCTTTTTAATCTCTCGTGAAACATCCGGACTTCGTCTGACATGGCCATTCTTTTGATTCCCAGTGGCAACGTGCGGAAACGCTTGGTGCCTTGGTAAACGGTGTCTTCCTTGTCGCTCTGTGCATGTCTATCTTCTTGGAGGCCATACAAAGATTGGTGGAGCCCCAGGAGGTGAAAAACCCTAAACTCGTGTGCATCGTCGGTTGTTTTGGTCTCTTGTCGAATATTCTCGGCCTGGTTTTATTCCATGACCATGGTCACGACCATGGTCACGGACACTCCCATGTGGGGGAGGATATCGAGGACGTGGATGCCGCAGAGCAGGGATATCATCATCCCCATCAGGGAGGCCAAGACACAGCGGATGGACGCAATGCTGCAGCAAATGTAAAGCCCAAAATTCTTGAGGCAACGTACCATTCTGATGCATTGAAGGAGACGAACACAGAATCTTTACCGCGACAGCGTAGCGACTCTCGCCGTTTCAGCGGTTCGACTAGCCGTGGGTACGCCAGTATGGAGGGGATCCATGTCTACCCTGCCATCCTGAGGCAGGACATCATTGCAGCCAGTCGTCAGCGCTTCGCGGAGGAACAGTCTTCTTCTGATTCGGAAACGGATGTCCAGGATCTTGATCAGCCCCAGCCCTCTGAACGTTCGGGACTACTTCGCCACAAGGACCGAGCTTCTAACTACACAGATGAGACTCAGGCTCCTGCTCCGGCATTGTCCCCCGATGACTACGTTCATCAATCTCATAACCACGCCCAGCCCAAACCAGAAGGGAAGAAGAAAGGTGGCCATGATCTCAACATGCGTGGTGTCTTTCTGCATGTAATGGGTGATGCTCTCGGCAACATCGGCGTGATTATCTCTGCCCTGGTCATTTGGCTTACCGACTACTCCTGGCGTTTCTACGTGGACCCGGGTATTTCACTGGTCATCACGGTCATTATTCTCTGCTCCGCTATTCCTCTGTGCAAGGCTGCGTCTCGTATCTTGTTGCAGGCCGCTCCGCCAGGTCTTAGCATCGATCATATCAAGGAGGACATCGAGAGGCTTCCCGGTGTGATCGGTTCTCACCATCTGCATGTATGGCAGCTGAGTGACACAAAGATTGTCGCCTCGGTCCACATTCAGGTAGATACTCAGATCAAGGGCGAAGGATCGGAACGATATATGCGTCTTGCACGCCAGGTGAGGAAATGCTTGCATGCTTACGGCATCCATTCATCCACCATTCAACCGGAATTTGCCCCAGATAGTGATTTGGAAGATGCCCCGGCCGCATCTTCGTCTTCTCCCCCAGGCACAGACGAGCCAGCCTCAAGCACGCACCCGAGTCGCGCACCCAGTTTCCAAGGAGACCCGAGAGCTTGCCTCCTTGAATGTGGTGACGAATGCCCGCGCAAGGGACAATGCTGTCCGAAATAGACCCTCACAGCTGCTATCCACTGTCGACCCTATCTTTCTCCCCAACCATACCCATTTTGCTGCCCTCCCCCAATTCTCCAGTCCTTGGCTCTTTGTCGTGCCGCTATTTCCTGTACATCTCCCTACATGTGGAGTTCTACGTATCTGCAAATGGCCTGATTCTGACAAGTATATTTACATGGAGTCTGGGAGTAACTCTGTTTTTATGGTTAGACAGGCGCATATGTGCACTTGGTCGCTCGCATCCTAGCGGGTTCATCCTTATTTCGACGGACTTTCGCTGCATTATTCTTTTGTGGAGAGGGGGGATGGGGTTGCTGATTTCCACGTAGCGGAAACGCTTATTATTTAGAAGAATTATTGTTAATGCCTCTGGATGGCGTCGTTTCTTTGTCGTTTCTTTTCGTCGAAGAACTGATATTAAAAATAGTAGTATTTGCAGGCCACGTGATATGGCCGTAGTCTTGAGCGTGCGGCGTAACGCAGAATAAAGAAAGGACCTTCTGTTCATGTTGCCGCGCAAGTCGAGCTTCCATGCTCGATCACACCTCTAGGAGCTGTCAGAGCACACGAGATTTGGCTCTATGACTCCTTTTACTGCCTGAATTTTGTACTCTTCAGCTCTCCTTTCGAGTCGCAAAACGATGCAATTGCGGTATTGCCGCCGCTCACTACTAGCCCATAATTCCCACCGACAATGACTCACGCATATCTGAATGGTGCAGGCGCCAATTCTTCTTTTCGATCCTTATATAATAATTTCTTCGGTGCCTCCTCTAGCTGGGCCGAGAAATTTCTGGATTCACTACCTCCGTGGGGAAAGCAATGGGTGGCAGACTTGCGTTCTCGGATAGCCATCGCCTCTTCCTCCTTTTCAACAGGAGCACCTAAAAATAGAGATGACATACAAAATATGACTTGGAGGATAGTGAAGCGTATCTTTACAGTTTCTAATGGTTTAGTTCTGTTGTGGGTTCTCACCCTGTGGTGGGGTGAACGGACTGTGTTCCGGGATAGTGTTGACAGCTGTGTTTGGCAAAGTTGGGAAAAATGGGTGAGCTTCCTTGCACTGTTACTGCACTTTATCATTTTCATTTATTCCTATCTTGCTGAATCCTAATGACGTCCATGTAGCCTCAAAGCGCCACACCGCATCATGTCGCCTTCGTCGCAGATCCGCAGTTGGTTGATGCCCACACGTACCCCGATCGACCGTGGCCTCTTTCGATACTTACAATAAAGCACACAGACCAGTACCTACGTCGTTCATTTTCTCTAATACAGAAGGTGCTTGTCCCTGATTCGGTATTGTTCCTGGGCGATCTGTTTGATGGAGGGCGAGAATGGGCCACGAGAAACAGCACTAGCCCCGAAAATCGCTATGCGAGCTACGGCAATAAATACTGGAGGAAGGAATTTCGTCGTTTTGTACGGATATTCTCTGACGGTTGGGAGGAGGCGGGTTCCTCGACCAACTTTCGGGGTCGCAAGAAGATTTCTACTCTCCCCGGGAACCACGACTTGGGGTTTGGTACTGGTATCCAGGCCCCGGTTCGTGCGCGCTTCCAAGGCTTTTTCGGAGAGGGAAATCGCGTTGATGTTATTGGAAACCACACATTCGTCTCGGTTGACACCGTTTCGCTCAGTGCGATGGACCAACCTGATCCGCGTACTGGCAGCTTCGGTGCTGGCTTGGGAGATGGAGAACAGCCGAATGAGTGGATCTGGAGGAATGCGGAGGACTTCCTCGAGAATGTGAAGGTCTATAAAAATAGGGCGGAGGCGGAAGAACTGCGTATGCTGAACAATCGAAGCGAAGGCGTTCTTTTTCGCAATGAGGTTGTAGACGTCCTGGAGCCCGCGATTCTCCAGAGATCGCAGCCGGAGGCGGTCGGGCTGCCTACCATTCTTCTCAGCCATGTTCCATTGTATCGCAAAGCGGCCACACCTTGCGGGCCTCTTCGTGAGCATTACCCGCCATCGTCGTCGACCAACGAGGAATTGGACGAAGATGAACCAAATGCCATTAAGATCCAAGCAGGTTACCAGTATCAGAATGTGCTAACTCAGGCCGTTTCAAATGAAGTCGTCTCCAAAGTCGGTCCGAATCTCGTTCAAGTTTACTCCGGGGATGATCATGACTACTGCGAAATCTCTCATCGGGAATTCAACGGCTCCCCCAAGGAGATTACAGTGAAGAGCATATCCTGGGCTATGGGCGTCCGGCGACCAGGTTTCGTGCTAACCAGTCTATGGAACCCGATTGATCCCTCGACAGGGAAAGCTATCGAAACCGGGTCAGGCTCGTCAACTTTGCAAAACCACCTCTGTCTCCTCCCCGACCAACTTTCCATTTTCATCCGATATGGCTATCTGGTTTTCTTCAGCTTAGCGGTTCTGTTCGTGCAATCCTGCCTTTTTATTATGTCGGAACGCAGTTCCGCTGCTAGTCCGGTTCTCCCCCTCTCTGAACCGCATTCCTTGTCCAATGCACCTATTCACCGCGCCAAGACTCCCTCCTCCAGTACGTCCAGTTCCGCGAAGTCATCGCCACGCGGCTTGGTTGGTCGGGCCACGAATGCCACGTCCCGTTACTACATTACGTCCTCCCGTAAACCGTATTATGAGTCTTATCCAGATAACGGCGACCGTGAATATGGGTATGGATACGACTCGGACAGCGCTAAATGGAGAGATGAGCGGCGACGACTAGCGGGAGGAGGCCGCTACCGTGGTCCGGTTGAATTGTTGTTTTGGGAATTTACTCAGCGTGTGAAGCACGTCGCCGTGTTCGCGTTCGGGTGGTATTTCTTTTTGATCTGGAGGTGGTGAGTTGGTTGTGGGACGTGACTGTCTCGCCTTGCATGGCTGAGAGGATACAACAGCTCTTGTGCACTACTTATATGGAGTATAGAATTGAGGTTGTCAATTACACATTAGACCTAACTGTGCTGGCCTTCTAATGCACAGATGATAGCGTTGTTCTTCTCCTTTCACATATTTCCCAGCATTCCTGGACGATAGATCTACCTGACACTAATCCATAGAGACGATATGAATTCCAAGCTGAGACCATTATATAGCTTCATGGGTCCCAATTCACAGGGAAACTTCCCAGAGCATTCTCCCTGCGATTTGCGTAATGCTGCAACATTCTGTATGCACAGAGCTGGTTGTGTGTGATCAAAAGGGGAAACGTGCATCCCATTACATAACACAACATATCACATGACCTATACGTCATCGACCTCCCCCGTTTTCCGCTTTCCGCTTCTGCGTTCTCCGCGAACCTTCGGCGGAACACTCGTATTAAAGCCGTAGATCCTGCCGAGGACCAGTCCGCAGCTTCATCAGAAAAAAAATCAGTCAGTTCTGTCAAAATGGGTCCTTTTCAAAAGCTTCGATCTCATCTCGAGTCGCAGTTCCACCTCGGCTCAAAGCAGGAAGACACCGTTGTTGCTGGAGGTAGTACTAGCAACACACAGTCGATACATTACCCGCGCCCAGAGGGCCCCGTGTATCCCAAGGTGAAAGGGATTCCAAAACTGCTAGGCCTCGTTGATGATCCAGAAATTCATCGCGATTCAATCGGCTCCACCAGGTTTGGCGACAGGGTGTTCTGGACGGCTAGAGACAGCCAGCCTTACGGGCCGGACGGACATCCGACATTCCCCATCTACTCCAGCTCCGCCTCCTGGTCCGATCTCAATAGTGATGGCTCACCCAAGCTACAGCCTGGGAAAGGGGGAAAGAGCGATATTGTGCTGTATGGTGACAATCACCTAAAGCCGTTCTTCCCAATCCTGTCCGACCGGGGCGAGCCCAACTCGGGCGGAGGGCTTCCCGACGGGACGCGGTACGCCATTTGGCCAGATACGCCTCCTATGGTCACGGAAAATAAGTCGGATGGGAGTATAGTGGCCTACACGTGGATCAAAAGGGCGATCATCAAGGGTGATCTGTCTGTGGTGGTGGAGAACCCAGCGACTACGCTGTATCGCATTGACTACAACCCCAAAGGAGAGGGAAAACGGAGTCTCCCTAAGGTTTCGGTCGTGGAGGCGAACTTCTGGGCTGAAGACAGGATTCCTTTTGGGACGTACGGGAATGTGGTGCGCGATGGCATCGCGTACCTCTGGGGTCAATCCTCGGACAAAGTCACGGCGCTGGCCAAAGTGCCCGTCGACTCTGTCGAAGACAAGTCCAAGTACCAGTTCTGGGTCAACGGGCAATGGGTGAACACCGAGCCTGGCATTCACGACCATGGAGTCAACATTCCCAACGTTTGCGCCGGGGGCCAGGGAACGTACTACTTCTCCGAACCCTGGCAGAGCTACGTCTGGATCGGGCAGGGACACCCATCCGTGGCGGCGGATTTTTATATTACAACGGCTCCGGAGCCGCAGGGACCATGGATCGAGCCGTTCCAGTTCCATAAGGCGCAGACAGGCTCATTCTTCCTGGGAGCGTACACTCTGCAGGCGCATCCGTCCATGGTGAGGCCCGGGGAGAATGCGATCTATCTGACGTACACTAAAACAGACAATGTGGAGGGTGGGGGGTCGATCTACACCACACCGCTGATCTACGTGGAATGGGAGTAAGGGGGGAGGATGCGATTGGGCGGTTATCTTCTGTATTTAGGTTTCTGTATGTAGTGTATGTAGTACCCACGTCATCACTCTTCTTCCTCCTTTTGCCTGTGATCGGGTATCGCGGGTGCGCGTGTTTATGTTCGACGTAGACCAGGAGTAATGCTTTATATGATTTAACAAATAATACGGGGTTGCAGCGAGGAGAAAGCTTAATAGATTAAAAGATTTTGTTGGTGGCGGAGACCCCGCAATCTGCATATCTGCGGCCACTTATTGGTCAGTACTCCACTTTTTCCATGTGACGCCATGTGACTAGGGTCTAGCCGGAAGAAGCATGGGCCACTTTTGGCCCAACAATTCTTCCCCTGCAAAAGTCGTGATTTAGCATCTCCTTCTCTTGCCCGTCATCCCTCTCCTCTTGCATCTGGTCGCGGATGCGGTGCTGCTGGCTTCTATTATCTCTGGTACATCCTATTTTTCATTTTCCTTCATGTATTTTTACGAGATATAACACACAGAAGAGAAACGCAAGCGCAAGGGTCACATAGGCTTTCCAGTCGACCCTCGTACACCGGTTCTTCTTCCTCATCATGTCTCTCACGACGGCCGTCAGGCCTGTTCCGGACCCCAGGCAGCCTGAGAAGTTGAAGTTGAAGCCGTTTCGCAATCGCCGGATGGGCAGCGATCCCAGCGTCGAAACTGCCGTCGATGTTGATGCCAATGCCAATGTCACTGTCACCCCCAAACCCGTCCAACTACAACGGGGCAGGACCAATTCCTCCCTCTCGTCACGGATGACTCTAAAAAGCCGGAAAGGCAGTATGTTCAAGAGGGAGAAGGAGGTCGGCCCCGCCCACCACCACCACCATCACCATATCCATTTCACCACCCATCCCATGTTTCCGCCCATTCCGATTTACGGCCCGCCATCGTTATTAAGCAGAGTACAATACAAGGGTCTTCAATGTCTCTCGTTTTTCCTCTCCCTGGCCTTCCTGAACATGGTCATTGCTGGAGCGGTGGTTAAATCCACCCGAACGGGCCTTTCGAATCTATCCCTTCGCCTTCGCGGTGTGAACCCCAATAAGCGCAGGAAATTCTACAAGGAGGAACAGGAGAGGAAAAAAGAACGCAAAGAAGCCGCTCGGAAATGGAAGAAACTACAGAAAGCAGGGGAAAGCCAGCGACTGGAACCACGGGACCTCGAGGAGGGGGGATTCGGCGACCCCGAGTTCCCTCCATTGGAAGGGGGCAAGGATAAGCTTGTGTGCGATGTGAGGTACTATGCGCGACGCGTGGGATTGGATGTCGAGACGTTCAAGGTGCAGACGGAGGATGGGTTTGTGATCACCCTGTGGCATGTATACAATCCACAGGAATACACCCCTTTGAGCGAGGAGGAGAGGGGATATCGACACCCTCGCGTTTTTGCGGCGCCCAATTCCAATCGACAATTTCCGACTTCGAATCGGAAATATCCCGTCCTGTTGATCCACGGGCTGTTACAAAGTGCAGGTGCCTATTGCACGAATGACGACGACAGCCTTGCTTTCTTCCTGTGCAAGGCGGGCTACGACGTTTGGCTGGGAAATAATCGCTGTGGTATGTGGCCCGAACACACGACATTGTCCTCTTCGGATCCACGAATGTGGGCGTGGAATATTCGACACATGGGCGTGCTGGATCTCTCAGCTCTGATTTCGCGCGTGCTGTATGAAACGGGTTTCGAGAAACTAGGTCTTGTTTGCCACTCGCAGGGTACCACACAAACATTTGTAGCTCTAGCAAAGGACCAACGGCCGGAGCTGAGCGAGAAGATCTCCGTGTTCTGCGCGCTCGCCCCAGCCGCCTACGCGGGTCAGCTATTGGAGAAGAAACATCTACAATTCATCACTAATCTGTCTTCCCGCATGTTCACATTGTTCTTCGGCATCCACGCCTTTATCCCGTTCATGATGAGCATGCATTCGATCGTCCCCCCCAGGGTATTTGGGGACTTGGCCTATCTGGTCTTCTCCTTCTTGTTTGACTGGAGTGACGACCGCTGGGACCGCGACCTCCGCCACCGAATGTTCCAGTTCGCGCCTGTATACGTCTCCGCCGAAACGATGCGATGGTGGCTAGGTTGCGACTGCTTCGCGATGCACAAGTGCATTCTCACGACGCGCGAGGATGGCCAAAAGGAGGAGGAGGAAGATTACTACTTTGAGAATGCCTCACAGATAGAAAAATGTTCCTTGCAGGATGAAGATGCCAGCAACTACAATCAACAGCCGCCGTCACCGTCATCATCGACCTCGTCGTCGCCATTCTTCTCCAGAAAGGACACGGCCTGGTTTGGAGAGAACGTCCCTCCCTTCGCACTGTGGATTGCAGGATCCGATCACCTGGTCGACGGGCGCAAGCTGCTCAAGCGCTTCCAGAACGGACGAGAGCCGAATGTCCGCCTTGTCCACGCCAAAGTGATCGAAGAGTATGAGCATCTCGACGTCCTATGGGCGATGGATGCGGTGGACCAGGTTGGAAAGGAGGTTCGAGACGTGATTTGGAAGACGATGCCCAAGAGTGCGAAGGATGTGTGCCGGGTACCGAGAGGCGTAGAGCCTGATTCTTGACTCATTGGTATTGGTATTATGGTGCTTACTTTGTGTTGGGCTTGCATCTAGAATGTAACTATTTAATTGATTGTATATAGTTGATGACTTAGGTATTGTATATGATGTCTCCTTATGCAATATGTACCGGATAATGATTAGTTTCCTAGTTGAAGCATCTGCACATACTTGGCTTTAACAATACGGATCTTTAAAATCAACGCCGCGTACCACACATATATATTCAATTACTCTTACTCGGTGCAGCGGACGGTATATCACTTTGTAAAACTGAGACAAAAGGGCTTATAGGTAAAACAGATCCAATAAAATACACCAAGTAACTGACATCCTCCACTGTGGTCCACTCATCTGGCCAAATATATATACAGTAATCCTATCCCGTCTGCCCAGAGCACTTCTATCAGGTCAATCTGTTTAGACGTCAACCTTGCTGCAGCCGAGAGCAAGGACGCCGCTCTATACGAGGAATAATCTGTTAGCTTCCTTCCACTCCACTGGGGATAGCACTGAGGCAGAGAAGCTCACCAGGACATTAGCTTCAGTGCAGCAAGAAGGCTCCTCCTTGCAAGTGTCATCGTAGGGGTGGCCTAGACACCCATCAGTAAGATAGTCAATGGAAGGATAGTACTCAAACAAAAACATACAAAGCAGACCAACTTCACCCACGACCTCGGCACCATTGATACCCAGCAGGGCGAGGAGGCCATCGGCCAGTCCATCGACGGGGGTAGTGAGGGTTCCGCAGCACAGCTTGGGAGCGATGCAGTCCAAGGTAGCGTTGGTCGGGATGGTGGTCAAGTCACGCTGGGCCTTGCGGGCAGGGACAGCAGTCGCGGACACCATGGTGGCGGTGAAGGCGAGAACGGAGAGCATAGAGGTCTTCATCTTGGCTGTTTTGATGGAAAGGAAGAAGAGGTGAAATAGATGTAGTCCTGTAGAGAGAGACTTGAGTTGAGGGAGATAGAGAAGGACTTTTAGACTTTTATTGGATTGAATTGAATTGTGGATGGTGAGTAGAGAAGAAGATGGGATTTCCCTGGCATTTCATGTCCTCTTTATACCTTTTGTCCTGGGTTTTATGCTGTCGAGGACAAAGCTGTACGCGTTTATCATCATTTCATTTCACTCTGTGATCGTCGCGATACTCATTCTTCTCCCTCTCCCATCGAATGATATCTGAGAATAGAGGCATATCATGCCAGGCACCAGGAACAACCCATGCACGAGGTCCCCCTATCATCCAATTCGCAGGTCTGGTAAAGTCCGGGATCTTGTCAGAAGACGAACAGGGTGGTTCTGTGGTGGGAAGTCTGTGTCTGTCGAAGTTGAATTGGAAGCAGATCACAGCTCGTCAGGCCAAGATGACGATTTCCTAACCGGGTATATGCTGAGATGGACGATCAGCCTTGGAATCAAAGCTGAATGGAGAATAGATACCGTATAAGACATCCTCTGTGCTATAAGAGGCATCGCGACCTGCATTAGTGCCAATCTTCTCCACCGATGAACTGCTACAGGGTCCGACAAATTGTCGTATCTGCAGCAGTTTGGAAAATATCTCTTATTAATCGATCTCTCCTATCTCGGATCGTCTTTGCTTCGGACCCAAAATATCAAACTGAAGATTATGATAGATGTGACCATCATCTGTCTGTACGAGCTGCGTCTTTCTGTCGATCGAATTCCGAACTCCATCGGATCTTCCCAGAGGGTGATTGATAGCAGCTCCTCCACTTATTCGCTGCAGGAATTGAAATATTAAAGCAAAATAAATAAACTAAATAGATGAAAAGAAGAAAGCACGGACAGGATAGCATAACCCGTTATGGATAATGGCTCATTCCAAGCCCTACAACTCCACAGACACCTAATAGTTCACAATGATCGGAGATAAAGACAAAAGACAATAACAATCTCTTAGCAATTGAATTATGTCCTGATAACAGACAGAGAAAAAAGAAAGTCAACTCCAATAAGAACTTTGTTTCCCTGTCGATCTTCCCTCGGAAATTACCCCGATGAGCAGAGTACTCTCCCCAGGTCCAAAGCGGCTACTGCGGCTGTCTGTATGTTATTCGTCTTCACTGACCATATCGAGATTTCACATCCGATGAACTCACTTGAATAACCTTTGGGGGAATCCCCAGAGTACGAAATACAACAATGAGCTAGTCATGCCCTGCAATGGACTAGAGTTGGAGTTATGCTGGTCGATAATATTACATAATCACCGATAAAATGATAAGATAAGATACTGATCTAATCTAATAAACCCCGCATTTAACGGAGTGGACACTTGAGTCTAAAAAGTCCCCTCTTTTCCACAATAGCTACCATAATTCTTTCAATTACCACTACTATCTACATTATTGCCAATGGAACATAAATCTTATGAAGGGCAATTTTTTCCAGCCCTTAATGCATTTAAAAAGGGTCAATATCCATCTATCCCAAATGTTGCAGCTGCATTTGATGTCAGTACAGAGACTCTCAAGAAACGACTAAAAGGGGTCTCTGCCCGTACAAATACTGTAGCAAACAGCAGAAATTTATCAGGAACTGAAGAATTTACTCTATCAATATGGATCTTTGACATGTGCCAGCATGGTTTACCTGGAGGAATTGCAACTGTCCAGTATTTAGCAGGATTATTATTATCTACATGGCTATCATTCACTGCCTCCTTAGTGAGAAATGAGTGAATCAGTTTGCCAAACACCATCCAGAGCTCCATTCTAATATACTCAGATGTTGCGCACGCCAGGATGGACATCGCAAAATTGTTTGATGCAGTTATAAACTGCCGTGTCGGAAGTACCGGTAGGCAGCCCCGAAAGAGTCACCCCGTTCTGCCCTGCGAGGAACTGGCGGCCCTTACAATTGTCTGATCACGATACTTCAGAATCCCCTTAGCCCGCTAGGAAGAAATGCCTCCGTGTAGGTGCGCCACACCTGAACGCGGTTATCAGCTCAACACGATATTTTATTGATAATTATTACTCATTTAAAATAGTTGTCGAAAGAGCGTGGCGGCATCGCACGCTCATAACGTAACCCATCACAGACTCGACTGAAATTATAAAGGGCTGCGCCTTACCCATGGTGATTCTTGCTGAACAACGAGGTGTTGAAACTGGCGGATTTACACACTGCGAAAGCCGACCAAATGGTTCCCGAAACTTTGCAATTTGGAAATGGTCCTTAAATATTGGTTACAGCAGCAGATAAATGACGGGAACAATGTCGTTTTTATGATTGGACTGGCCACATTTCTTGATGCTGTGGGAGGAGTAGTTTCACAAGCTCTCCTGGACATTCCGATCCTGCTTCTGGCCCGGTAGACACTCTCCATGTACCGCTTGGTGATTCCGCAAATTTCAGGCAGGAATTTCAGCATGGAAGGGGCTGGTTCGTGATGTATGCTGCAAGGTGGTGTTCCGTGGACTGAAAGCAGTCAGTAACTAGTTAGTTAACCAACTTAATCACTGCTTATATAATCCGGCCACCGCGTCTCTCACCATTGCTGAGGAGCATTGCAACATCAACTTTCTTTTTCTCGCATCGCTCCCCACGTATATAAGCAGGAGTTCCGCCGGGATTCCCTACTTGTCGACTTCAATTCCAGTTGCTCTCTGGATAGGCACTGTCAAATATATCAGATACACCCCGTTCTGCGCATTAAACTCCAAAATGGGGGATGCTACCCCGCTGACGGAGAACCTGCTCCTCGTCTACCATGAGGAATTGCCGTCGGAGACAATTGAGTACATCACGAACAAGTTCCCTGAGGCATAGTTTACTTTTTACCGTGCAAAGTTGGGCGAGGATCCCCCTAAAGGTCAGCACTTACCTTAAACAAACCCGAATGTCTCTTGTGAGCTGCAATAGCTCACATATATTCAGAGTTATTCCAGAGAGCAACTATCCTGGTGACTCTGTTTTCTCTTCCCCAGATTGAGGATGTTGGAAAGTGCGGCATATAGTCTACTCCTTGGAAAGGGCGAGCATACACTTACATATTTAACAGCATAAAGATCATCCAAACGTTATCCGCCGGCATAGACCATATAGTCTCCAACCCGATCTTCAAAGATACTAAAATCCCGGTGACTACGAGTTCCGGCATTCATGGACCCCATATTGCAGAGTGGACCGTGTTAAACTGGCTTGTCGCCTCGAAGAAATATATCAAGATCTACGAAGCGCAGCAGAAACACCAATGGACCGGCGTGAGACCATTTTTGAATGGCATCCATGACCAGGTTGGTAAGAAGATTGGCATCCTGGGATATGGGAGTATTGGACGACAGAGTACGGTTTTTGCCTTCCCTATGTTGTGCTTGAGGGATGGGATGAGTCTCATGAATTGCAATGCTAGTTGCCCGCGTCGCTTCTGCGCTCGGAATGTCCGTTCATGCCTACACTGCTTCACCCCGCCCAACGCCCGCTTCCCGACGAGATAACGGCTTCATAGTTCCTGGCACGGGAGACCCAGACGGCACAATCCCCGCCTCCTGGCACCACGGTCATGATAAAAAGGCATTACATTCATTTCTTTCAATCGGCCTTGACCATCTGGTTATCTCTCTTCCATTGACGCCGGAAACAACACACATCCTTGGCGCAGAGGAGTTCTCTATCCTCTCAGCGTCTGCACCTGGTAAGAATCGCGGCTACAAGCCCTACGTGACCAATATCTCTCGTGGAAAAGTGATCGACCAGGATGCCTTGATCGCCGCATTGAAATCAGGGGAATTGAGTGGCGCTGCGCTGGATGTTGCAGATCCAGAACCGCTGCCTCCTGACAGCCCGTTGTGGGATGCACCGAATGTGCAGATTAGCCCGCATATCAGTGGGCTTGGAGTAGAGTACGTCGCGCGGGTATTCGACATTGTCCAGATTAACCTTAATCGGTTAAAGAGGGGAGAGCCGTTGATCAACGAGTACAAGCGAGGGAAAGCCTATTGATGTCTGAGCTATGTTGACGGGTTCATGCAGCGCGCGAGTATGTTTGGACAATATTTTGAATAGTTTTGTCTTTTTATTCCCCTGATTATGGAAGGAACTCTTTCTATATTTCGATGGGAATCAATCAATCAATAGAATATATCTCAAGACAAGCCCTCATACCACCCCTTAGCAACTTCTTCCAGGAAGGCAACAGCCGCACCGCATCCCACGACAGCCCAGGTCCATGGATTGGCCAACTCCCGCAGATGAGGCCAGACGCTATTCTTTTGTCTTTTAGACTCCTGCAAGTCTCGGTATTTCTCCTCGTTGTGGTGTTTGTATCGATCCTCCTGGTACGCTTCGTTTTCCTTATCCCCTCCAACACAGCGGAGGAAGACATAATTCGCCAACGGGCCCAGAAGCACCACAGGGTGGAAAGACTCTGCCAAGCTCAGGATGGCGAAAGAGCTATGGATGATGATATCACCTAGATAACTGTACGCATTGTTAGCATGGGACACACAATAGAAAAGAAAAAAAAAAAACATACTTCGGATGCCGAACAATACTCCAAACACCACCCCTCTGCAGTCCACTCCCACGGTAACAGCTTAACTGCACATCAGCGAGAACCTCCAAGGCAAACCCGACTCCAAAGAAGCCGACGCCAACGGCCCTCGCGATGTCCTGGAAGCGCCCATTACCAGTCGGGGGAACCGTACCTCCACCGCGGAACGGGATCGTAAACGGCAACGCGATGACGCTCTGAAAAACGGCCTCGGGCAGATAGAGCTTCCAGAATGCAGTCTTCCAGAATCCGTATTGCTTTTTCACCTTCGTGTACCGCGGGTCATCATTACCTTTACCAGACCGTGTACGACGGATCCCCCTCGACGCAACGCGGTAGAGCAGTCGCGTGCCCCAGAGACTAACGGAGAAGAGTAATAGTTTCTCTGTCCATGATAGATTATTCCAGGCCTTGGCGACTGTCAGGTTAGATTGGCAGATCGGTTTTCCTAACGCTGTCCACCAGACGTTGACGACCTGGTTTCCGCCCCAGAAGCAGTCTTTGATCTCCACGCGGTTCGTCGAGAGCGAGAGAAGATAGCTGAGAGCTGAAAGGGATGTGTTTAGGCCTAGTGAAGGCAGTAGTGTTGATTTCAGGAGACCAATATCGCTGGTCCGCCTAGTCTTGTATTCGTTCACGCTGGACTTGATGTTGTTGGTGTTGGGCATTCCCCCAACGCGACCGTGGAGGGCAGAGGTAGAGCCTGGTACCTCCATTGTCTCCTTTGCTTCTGCTTTTTCTCTTCTTTCTTTCTCTCCTGACTCTCCTTACTGGTTTATATGAATATTGGGGCTTCAGGTTGATGTCATATGTACGTAAAGACTGCTCATGACGACTTGGATAGTAATTGCATCCGCATCCCTGCTGGCTGATCAAATCGTTTATTATTTTTCGCTGATCCCACGCAAGAGAAACTATGTTTTATATTTCTGTGTCTCTTTATTGCATGGTGTTTCGATGGATATGGGGAAAGATATCGGAGCTTCCTGACCCATGCTCAAGTTATAAATTGTGACCCTCGAGTACGACTGAGTCTCTGCAATAATTATATATCATATAACCAAATACAGCTGGTAGTATAAATCGCTCCAGTTGCGTGTGTTCTGCTTTAACCCCCACAGAAAGATCACAACATATGATTATATGGAGTTTTCCTAGGCTTTGTTAGCTTGCGTAGATGGCCCGTTTAAATACCTCAAATTCCGAGTTAAAGAGGTCAAGATGAATTCCAGGGACGTATTCTAGCTATTCTCATCCTGGTACCCGTATTTGTCTTTAATTAAGGTTGATAGCCGATGCCACCAGGATTGAGGAAAGCCATCCTCTGATGGCGGGAATCCTTGTTCTTCGACTCCCCGTTGCGTATATAGGTCTGATTTCAGTATTTCTTTGAACGAGATCGCAGATAGTGATGGATTAGTCGGGTGGGTTATAGAGATGTTATGCAAACGATGCCCTTCGGGTATCGTTTCAAAGGGCAGCTTGCTCGTTTGCGTTCTTTTGATTTTCAATCCTTCTCCAGACAGGTCGTTTTGATGGCGCATGAGATATGCTCTTGGGTCGTCTATCCTTAGAGCAGACACAGATGGTACTTTCTCTGAAATTGAGATATCTTGACTCCCAGGAAGAGAGCTTAAGTTCGAGGTCAATGCAGCTCGTGCTGCAAGATATCTATTGCGGTGGAGCGACGGTGAAGCGACTTGATTGCTCTTCAAGACAGACTGTAAAAGATCCCTCATATGCTCCCGTCGCTTCTGCATAACATCCTTCTTTCGACGTTCAAAATCGAGTGCCTCTTCTAATTGAGTATTGTTGCCAGCTCCCACTCGATGTATGATTGTCGACAGTTTTTCAAAGCCAGGCAATCCCTGAGGATGCCTGTTAACCGAGGTAAAATCCTGAACCTGCGTAGACGACTGAACAACCTGGGAAGTATCATCTGAGCGCTCGCACAAAGCCGGTGGATCTGCAACAGTCCTTGCTGGTGTCTCCGGTAGAGACTGATCGTGTGAGCCAGGACACTCCTGGATGCGTTGCAAAAAGAATGACTCTGCCTGATCATGCTCCGAGTTTTCTTCGGCAGAGCCTTGAATATTTTCAGTGGGATGAATGTTTCGAAGCCAAATGTCAAGTGTCCGTTTGCCATCTTGCTCTCTGTTCGTCTCAATCGCAGTCCCTTTTGATATGATCTGTAACGATTTGCTTGGCCTGCATTGCGAAGAATATGTAGATAATGATGTCGAACTTGTGCTAGTGTCGGTAGGGCTTAGTAGAGTGGCACTTTTTTCATGTGGTTGTCCAGGCCTCCATCTATGTTCTTGTCTACCACAGAACGTTGTTAGACGACGGTCCTTATCAGACCTTGGCTGAGGTTTCTCTGGCGTGTGAAGGGGGGCATTCATTCTCGTTATAGCCCACGGGTTAAGAAACGAGGAATCCTTGCAATTAGTATCTTCGCCAGGAGACACCATACCTTCTGCGTTCGTGTCGAGAAGTTCGTGGGCGTTCTCTCGATTATTCTCCATAGATAGGGGCATGTTAGGACGCAGATGAGGCACTGAAGTCGTCGATCGTGTATAAATGGTATTTGCACTCCTGGCTTGTGAGGGTGTTTCATGAGGACGTTTTCGCGCCATGAGGAGCTCAAATTCATTATTTTGCTGCCTTTGCTTCGTTTTCGGTACCGCATCCTTCTCTGTTGAGTTTTCCAGAGCACCGTAAGTACCCGAGAACAAATCTTCTACCAGTGATAGTATTAGTCCCGGGTTCTCAAACAGAACATTATCCTTGGCTGGTTCGACATTGACGTCGTAACTGCCCCTGATACAATGTATATGCAAACAGATAAAGGGGTCTAAAACGGTTGCTGTATCTTCCCTGTGCGCAGCGCTAGAACGAAGGTAAGATTTATAGAGTCTGACGATATCATGTCCAATCCCTCTGGTAGTGGAGAGAGGTCTGCCATCCACGCTCAGATAACTTCCTGAACTGTTTACTTTGGAAAATTCTATAACTGTCAGTTATAGGACAATGGTCATAAGGGATGGCTTAAATACCAGCATCGGCTTTTGGCAGTAGAGCAACCAATTGATAGTCTGGTGACTTATCTATATCTGGTTTTCCGGTTTCAGCCTCATATTGGCTTGACGACCTTGTTTCAAGCGTACAGCACGAGACGACCTCGGAGCCGACAACTTTTAAAGCTGCGTCTGTGAGAGTCGCATTCTTCCCTGGTGCGTAAATCCAATTGCCGCTTTCACTTTTAGCTTTGAGTATTTTAAACGACATTCTTATGGAGAACCGAGACAATGCATATGCCTGTAGCATTTTCTTGATTCTTGCCAGAATCTTCGATGTGTCCTTGAGTGCTGTCTGTCTTCTAACTGGGATGTGCTTCAGGAAGTCCGATATACGAACAGTGGTGCCTACTGGATGGGATGCATGTTGCGAACTATATTTACATTCATCAGCAAACCATGAATGCACATTCAAGCATAATTAGATGCCAAACTCACCTTATGAGTTCTCCATCCCTCCCGTACTGGAGAATCAAGCCGACTACTTGCCCTTCATTTCTTGTGGTTATTGTAAGTTTGCCCGACATCTCAGCAGCACTGGACAGGGCTTGACCTCTGAATCCAAAGGATCTGCCGCCTATGTTTATAAGATCTTCCACGGTCTGGATCTTGCTGGTGAAGCTCCTTCTGCATACCAGAGCATGATCTTCGGGCAAAATACCATACCCATTGTCCTTTACCTGAATCAAATCGACCGTGTTCGGGGAGATATCTATAGAAACAGATGTGGCGCCAGCATCCAGAGCATTGTCTAACAATTCCTTCACGACAGAGCAGGGATCTGAAAGGACAGAGGTCGAGCCAATTGCCCGGACGGTGGCCTGAGGAAGGGCCACAATCGGCATCTTTGCAGGATTGTAGTGCTCATCTGTTGGAGAATTTCCCAGACACTATTGTCCCATGGCTCTTTCTACAATACCAAACGTATATAGATAAGTCTGATGATGTGGCAGAGCGTTGTCTATCGTGGATCGAAACTCACACTAGAGAAGCGACACGAGTGGTCATGTGACTGTGTTGCTAAGAATATATATTAGTAAGCAGCTCAGCACCTTCCGACTTGTGATCGTCCAAAAACAACTCGAAGCTCTTCAATGCTCTGGAATCGCCTGGGAAACTGTTCTGGGTGGATAAATATGTGGACGCAGTCACCATGCTTTGCAAAGGTCTCGTGTTGTCGCAACTGGCGATCCCAGTGGTGTCACTGCTGATCGGCTTCCTAGCGTACACGTCGCAGTACTTCTTTCTACATTTCCAGCAAGCACCACTCCAGAAGAATGAAGCTTGGTGGCTTAATATTCTTGCTACTTGCATTTGGATATGTTACTATCGAGCGTGCACTGTAGATCCAGGGCATATCCCCAAGAATTGGAAGCCGGCAGACGGTAAACAGCCACATCCCAGCCAGGAGGACATTGGACGGCAACGGTGGTGCCGTAGATGCGAAGCTCTCAAACCACCACGGGCACATCATTGCAAGAAATGTGGGAGGTTAGTCAAGAGTATATCTGAGCTGTGCGAAAGGAATGATACTGACGATTACTCTAGATGTATTCCCAAGATGGACCACCATTGTCCATGGACATCAAACTGTGTGTCGCATTTTACATTTCCACATTTCATTCGGTTCCTATTCTACACCGTGTTTGGGACAGGGTACCTTGGGACTCTACTGTTTCGGCGAGCATCCATTGTATGGGCTGATAGAAACTTGCCTGGTGTAAGATTCTTTGAGTGACTCTCTCTCGTGATACAAGTTGCTGATAGCCTGCAGTACCTAGGACCTAGTTTAAGTCAATTAGTGCATCTGTTTATTCTCATTGTTGTCAACAGTTTTATTTGTTTTGCACTATTTATCCTCTTTGTCCGGACTGTCTGGTCTCTTGGGTCGAATGTCACTACCATCGAGTCGTGGGAGATTGAACGACACCAGACGCTCGTCCGACGAGCGCGGTATTTTGGGGGGTTCCTTGATGGACCTGGAGGTGTCAAGATAAGGATCAAGAAACAGGAGTTTCCATACGACATTGGAATTTGGGCCAATATCAAGGCAGGGATGGGTGGAAGTAGAAATGTCAGTTCATGCTCTTGCCTCACTCTTTTTCCGCACTGGTTTCTTAACATTTGTGTAGATTCTTGGTTGGTTCTGGCCATTGGCGGCAAGCCCGGACCGCAGTACGGGACTGGTTTATGAAGTGAACGAATTCGAAGGTGGGATCTAGTTACCTGGGAATGGATAATGCTCTACTGACGCGATTCATCTAGATCCTGGTCTCTCATGGCCACCACCAGACCCTGATCGGATTCCCCGACCCACCAGGCCTGTGGGTGATGACGGTGCGTTCACGATGCCACAGTACAGCTCTGCGCGTGAACAGCTTGAAGCGTTCAACCAGCGTCAACAGGAGGACTTACAACGTCGGCGTGTTTATTCCCAGGTTCAAAGACGTCGTCGTTTCCATGAACGGTTAGAGCATCAGGTCGAACCTGGGAGCGACTCAGCAGAGACATGGTCAGAGAATGATGATAGTGCAGAGGGTGAGGAGAGCTGGCGGAATTCCGAAGGAGAGCGGCTAGGCGATTTTGGAGTAGATGAGGAGGCTGAGTTCTACGACGAGGAAGATATTCCACTGGGAGTTCTCGTTGAACGGCGAGGGAATAGGTTTAAGGAATGAACTATGTTCATTTGCATTGCAGATAGCAACATAAAATAACAATCGACAAGACTCAAAGACTCAGTTTACCCTTGTCGCAATTCCCCTCAGCCGAACATAGCCCAACCACTGACTCCCGTCCTCCTCCCTGGTTACGACAGAGCGCAGAACCTCACAGATCTCCCTAACAGAATCTTCCCGCTGCACGGGATCCAGAAGCTCCAAGAACTGCGCACCCATCAACCTCACCCAACCCGCAAGCCCCCCAGAAGCATCCGTAGTGAGTTTCGTAGGCCGGTACTCGACCTCAAGCTTCTCGACCTTGAATCCTGCTTTCTGCAAGGCATTCCGCATCCAAGTCTCAGACGCAAAGAACCACGGACCAGCCTCTCGCGCCTTATGCACGGGGACACCACGACGCACAAGGGCATAGATAAGCGCGGCATGGACCTCAGGAACGTTTCCATGGCCTCCCATTTCGAAGACGAAGGATCCACCTGGTTTGAGACAGGCGTGGATGGCATTTATGGTGGATTGACGAGTAGAAGGATCACGGAGGATCCAGTGGAGGGCGGCATTGGAGATTCTATCACGTTAGTCAAGAATTTGCAGAGATGTGATATATATATAGTACTAGACTATTCTGCAATACTCACACCTTATCCCAAGAACCGTCGACGACAGCGGTCTCCTGCTCGAGAAATCGGCAATCGACAACGCGAAACTCGGCATTGGCCAAGGAACTGTAATCCCTGATGGCGGCATCAACCAAGTTCTTCGACGAGTCGAGGCCCAGGACATAGTCGGCGGCAGGGAGGAATTTGGCCGTGAACTTCCCGTCGCCGCAGCCTATATCTAGGATCCTGTCTGTAGGGCAGGGGGAAAGGTAGCGGAGGACAGTCTGGGTTAGTTCGGGGACGAAGGAGGCAGAGGCGGAGTATGTCTGTATATATTAGATATGCTCGTGTTCATGCTCGTGTTCATGCTCGTGTCCGTGTTGGTGATGTGTGGCATGGTACGTACCTCTGCAGACCAGTGGTCTTTCTCCGTGTCTGCGGGCGCCATCTTAACGGTTATACAGATATAGCAGAGTTGAGAACTGTAGAAATAACTGTCTGAAGCTGTTCTTATATCTGTTTCTATAGTTCTGTGCTGCATCCATCTGCTCCGATCTCGGAGTTGTCTGACAGGCGCGGATTCCCAATGTTACTCTGTGGCATTGATGACAGCATAAAGCTGTGTTGGGCCGTTTATAACGAAGAACATTGTAGTATGCTGAGAATGCACCAGGAGACTACAGAGCTTGAAAGAGCGAAACCCCTCCTTACAGTCTTCTGCCATATCCAAATGGTATGGGAAGGATGTACTAACTATGGAAGACAGTAGCATTCTACGGATGAGCATATGGTTGATATAAGCTGGTTGACTGGCCTCTCACAATCGAGCTCAACAGTATTGAATCATGCTGCTGTCACATTAAGAGCAGGAGGCAGTAGAGAAAAGAAATAACCTATTATGATAGAGTCATGACTGAGGGCGCGCAGATTATACGAAGTAAACATGCGGCTGCCAATGCAAGATATTTCTTTCCTTCAACGACGGGCTAGCCCTTGTCGGTAAAGAACCCGGGCATCTTATCTTCTTGTACAGCGTATAGGCTGCTGGATTTGTTGAGATCTCTTGAGATGTTGATTTTACCGATCCTTTTGGCAAGATTTGCAGGTTCACATCTTGACAGAGACAGATACAACAGCAAATGCAGAAACTAGGAAACCCCGATTAGGAAATGGAATCAGCATCTACGGGTGCACTTGCTATAATGATAGGAGTAGGGAGAATGTTAAATCCAAATGAATCCTACCGGGATCAGCCGCATGTCTCACGTATGTCTTGTCTTGCCGAGTCCTATATGTTAATTCACCGAAACTTGTCTCAACCCCCTGAAAAGCACAATAAACATGTCATTCAACAGGCTCGAAGCTCCATTGGTAGATATATCGATATGATCACTTGAACAGCTGAAGACACAGAGGATGATGTCCTCGTAGTAGAAGCAATGACGAGTCGCAATCGAAGAATGTATCACCACGACAAGCAGCGACCAGGATCGATAGGCTTCGGGCCCTCCTGAAAGGGGATCGATCGATTAGATATAATTAATACCCCGTGAGGAATAGACAGGCCCATTGATCTGCCAATTAATTTGGAACAAACTGAACGGATTCAACCATGTCGCAGGTTGCTTTCGTATCACTCCTATTTATGGACAGACAGGTTTTCCACCGTGCTCTGTATGTCTTGGCCGCTGCCAATCCGCGCACAACAAGATAGGATGCCCCGGAACTTGGAAGAGGTTCCTGAAATTGCAGTGGTTGGGAAGACAGTTAACAGATAAGGGAAATGAAAGGGGAGTCAGAGTACTGACAGTCCCTTACCGATTCCAAGGAATGATGGAGGCAGATCGTGACAGCTGTATCGTCATCGTTGCAGACGAGACTCTCGAGTGACGCCACGCGATACCCGCAGTCAAACAGAACCGTCAGGTAAACGATCTTGTGAACTGTACTTTGGCACATGAAAATTACATGTTACGGTGGGAGTGGGATGCTTCGAGCTACGCGACATATCACATTGTGATGGCAGTGGGGGGAGTCAGCAAAGTCTCCCGAGGTGTGTATTCTCCGAGATCATCGGCCACGTAACTCTATTCATTTCTCTGTTGTACATTCATAGGTAAGGTAGCGTGGTACAGGACTGGTCAAACCGCGCACGACGGTTGTTCGTCCTGTCTTGTCGACATTGGAATCTTCATCTGATTCTTGAACTGTATTCTTATCAAGGACTCCGTGATCTACAGCAAGACAGACCATCCTCGTCTCCCGTTGATTGCTTGAGCACGTAGAAACAGGGCAGGATGACCGTTAACGTATCAATTCTATTACTATCAAACGTAAGTCATCTATGTACGGATGGAGAACAGAGAGTCGACGATGGAATGCCCCAGAGAACAACCACCATGAAAGACATGCGATATGAGGAAGAATAGAAACAACCAGACCATGAAACGCCTTTTGCATGAGAGAACATAAAATAATATGAGGACTAAGGAAAGAGAAAAGAAAACGCATCAATCAATCACTCCGCGAATCAATCGATTCCACCGTTGGAAGCAGGCCGAATGACTCCAGACAATAGGACCTTGACATGCGCCGTAGACATCGGAACTCGGTCAATTATTCATACATGGGACTCATGAATGAGGTGAAATGGAAAAATTAATAGAGGAAAAATCGAGGAATGATCCGCCGCATATATAGAGCTAAATGGCTTGAGATCGGAGCTGTCGGTCGCGCGTCGATATTTCTTTCTGTCCTGGTTGCCTCATCTCATGCCATAGATATATATGTACCTCTCATGTGTATTATTATCAATTAATTTCTTTCTTTCTTTCTTTCTTTCTTTTTGACTGCTTATTACTTTGCGATAGACCCCTTCCCGTCACGACGGCGGTAGTGGCGGGAACTCGGCTGGAGGAAACTCCGGTAGCTCAGAGGGGAACTCGGCAGGGAAGAAGGCCGGAGCCTCAAGTGGAGGTGGTTGGGCTGCCTCCATCTCAGCTGCGGAGGCTTCCATGGCCTGCTTGATGGAGATCTGCCGGGCCTGTTCCTCGGGCGGAAGGGCATCGAAAGCTGCAGTGTTGGCGTCCCATTCGCGGACGCAATCCTTGTTCCAGTTGCATCGCTCGACCTCACCGTACATGGGGTGGCTGTATCGCGGGTGGTTGGAGGGCCAGCCCGAGGCGTGATAGTGGTGCTTGACCAGGGCGGTTCGGGCGTTGTGGTTGCCGGAATCGGAATGGCCCTGGCCAGCAGCAAAGGCCTCGACGGTCAGCACCAGCACACCGCCAACCAGCTTGGACTCGGGCATGTCGTGGAAGGTGTCCCAGTGAACAGGGTATCCGACCTTCTTGCTGATCTCCGCCAAGACGGCTTCTGTGAAAGCAGAAGGACCGGTGCCGCTGATGACCTCGTCGAAGTCAAGTTCGATGTCGGCGATGGACCGGTTCTGGCGTTCTGCGACGGAGTTGAGCCAGCGCAGGATATTATCGATCAAGCGCATCATGACGGGGAGGCGTGGTTTGCAGACAAAAGTCCACTGGCAGAAGGACTCGGATTTCTGACCGAGAATGGGGTGGTCATGCAGTTCAGGCTCATCGATCTCGACTCCAATGATCATGTCGATGTCATGCTCGTCGTAGCGATCAGGGATAAAGCGTTCCATGGGCTTGAGGGCCTCCACGTCAATGTCCGTGTAAACGCCCCCCTCGATGTACATGACCAGATAACGCAGGAGATCTGCCTTGATGATCTTCGCAGTCAGGGTCTTGTAGACGTAGACGATGTCGGGGCGATTGATGCCATGGGGGCCAAAGTGGGTTTCGACATAGAGGATGTCGTTCTGGTCGGTCAGCACCTCGTAGCGGTAGCCTGGATTCTTGGAGGTCCAGGTGCGAGCGGTATTCAGGTCGCGCTCCTCGAAATTGAGGGGGTCAACCTTCCATGTCTGCCAGATCTTGCGAGGGAAGAGGCCCGTTGCCTGGGTTATTTGGTAGTCGAGGTCTTGCTTGTTGAACTCGTCCAAGGGGGACGCAATGGAGAGGTACAGGACGATGAGGATGAAGGCGAGGAATCCAGGGAGGGCCTTTCGCATGATCTGTTTGGGCAAGACAGGCGCACCACGCGGCCCTTGGAGGTTGGAGATCATATTTTTCATCTTCTCCTCGCCGGGGGACGCCAGGGTGACCGCCAGGGTTGCTACTTGGGAAGAACACTCCCGCAGACAACAGAACTCAAGCGAATGGAAGGAGGAATTGATGAGAAGTCGAGTGAGAGGAAGAGAGAAAACACGAGGGGAGAAAGCAGGATAACGAGGCGAAGGTGGCTACACAGAGGAAGAAACAAGGACAAGACCCATGTTGAGCATCGATGGAAAGACGGGGAAGATGGCTAAATTGCGTGGGACCGGCGCGCTAAAGGGGGTGTCCAGATCCAGCACTGACAAGACGAGCAGGGAAGCGCGATAATAATAAGAGAAAAAAAAAAAAAGACAGAAAAGCTCGAACAAATCCGACTAAAGCGCCGATCCCGAATCAAATCTGACCCGAAACGGCAAAGACTTCGCAGTATGATGATTATGGCAATTCTTCCTGCTTACAACGAGAGAGAAAACCCCAATCAGTCGCTCCTTTTTGGCTTTTGAATCGCACGGCCAGCAGCTCATACCATCTCTTAAACACATTGCAGGTCCACCGCAGCGCACATCGCTCCGTGAGGACGCATCATGATCAGGATTCGACGGCGAAAGCTTGCCAGAGCGATACGCCCACACTAGCAGTGAGCACTGTGAGTAGCGGGACCTAGACAATCTGAGCCGTTCCTCACTGGCGATGTTTATGAATAGGGCGTCGAAGGGGGTGATTCACTGCCAATGAACGCAGCTCGGCTGGGCCTGTACTGGGGCAATTAATTACACTGTTCTGATCCGGGGAAGCCTATGTGCGTGGCGCACATAAAGTATTGGGCTTCTGGCGGGTTTTTTTCCTATCTAGCCTTATTCTGATGCGCGACTAAAGCGTATATTACTAGTAGTAGTATTATGATGATACCGACCGCGGGCCGAGGACACCCATGCAGCTGCAGGAGTGGCCTGCAGTGTCGACCATGTGAAGCATCCATGTTGTATTGGGACGTATGTGAGGGTGTATTACACAATACTGTATTATATAGTAGCGTATTGTATTGTATTGAATACAATATACTGTAATACTAATACCACTACCTACCCCGTAAGCCTGAAAGTCACTGACCCTGCTTGGCCGCCGCTAGTCCGCTTCCCGAACAGCCTCGCTTTGACTGCCTTTTCCTCCCCGTGAGAAGTCATCTTCCTCCTGAACCATCATTACCGTCTTCTCTACTCTGGTCCGCCCTGCTCGATGATTTTCATCCTGCTCCCTGCCCATCCCTTCGTGTAGGGCGTCTTAATTGATCACCGCTCTTCTAATCATCCAACCCTCTTTCCATCTTTTGTTGCTTTCCTCCCCTTCTATCCCCCTCCGCCCTCTCTCCCTGACGCACAAAATGTCCAACGAAGGCTTGCTCGAAAATGGCTACTTTAAAGATGTCAATCTTCTCTCCGCCAAGACCCCTTCTCTCTCTTCTCGTGCGGCAAATTGGTGTGTAGATTTGGTCCGTCCAGCCTTCTGGTCTAGCACACCATCCGGCTCTGATCCTCCTCGTCGCGCGTCGCTGTCGCAACAATCCCCCCAGCAGCAACCTACTCTCAGACGGACGGCCTATCTCGATGGCATCCGTGGTTTCGCCGCCTTTCTTGTTTACTGGATGCATCACGAACTCTGGTCCCACAACACCGTCGACGACGTCTTCCAACATGCTTGGGGATATAAGGGGAAGCGTCACTTTATCACTCTCCCCTTCATCCGCACCTTTTTCAGCGGTGGCCATTTCGCCGTCAGCGTTTTCTTCGTGCTGTCCGGTTACGTGCTGTCCAACAAGCCCATGAGGCTGATCCAATCCGGCGACTTCCTCCAGCTAGGAGATAACCTGTCGTCTGCTCTCTTCCGTCGATGGCTCCGACTGCACCTCCCCGTCATCGGCACCACCTTTGCCTACATCACCTTCCTGCATATGTTTCATATCCATGCCGTGCCCGACCCCCAGGGCTCCTATGGTTGGGAGGTGTGGAATTGGTACACCGAGCTCAAGAACTTTACCTTCGTCTTTCGCACCGGCGGCGAGCCCTGGTTTAGCTACAATTTCCACTCTTGGTCTATCCCGGTAGAGTTCCGAGGTTCCATCGTCATTTACACCGTGCTCATGGCCTTCTCTCGTTGCACGCGGAATGCCCGCTTGCTGTGCGAAATTGGTCTCGTCTACTACTTCCTGTACATCGCTGATGGCTGGTTCTGCGCGTTGTTCATGTCGGGCATGATTCTCTGTGACCTGGACCAGCTTGCCGCCAACCGCAACTTGCCGCGCTGGATGTACAACCTGGAGCCATACAAGCATATCATCTTCCCAACCTTGTTCGTCATCAGTCTCTACCTCGGAGGCGTGCCCTCATTCTCCTTCGACATGAATGAGCTCATTGACGCGCCTGGTTGGTACTACCTCTCCTTTCTGAAGCCTCAGGCTGTCTTCGACTACAAGTGGTTTTACCTGTATTGGGCCTCTACCCTGCTGGTGGCCAGTGTGCCACGTCTGCCCTGGTTGAAACGTTTCTTCGAGACGCGCTTCAACCAGTACCTCGGACGCATCTCCTTCTCCTTCTATCTGATGCACGGACCGGTTCTGTGGACCTTGGGTGACCGTGTGTACGCGGCCGTGGGGTACACCCGTCAGGCTCACGCCATCAACTGCCCCAACTGGATCAATCGCTTCCCGCTAAAAAAGTCCGGCCCGTTGGGACTCGAGCCTGCCTTCTTCCTGACACAAGTGATCATCTTGCCCACTACCCTGTGGTTGGCCGAGATTGTGACGCGGCTTTTCGACGAGCCGAGTTTGCGGTTTGCGGCGTGGCTCTACAAGAAGACCTTGGGTTCTGGCGTCAAGGCATGAATTTGTTGTTGCATATTTCTGCTGTGCATTGCGATTGTTTCTGTCTCATCTTTCCCTCTCTTCCCCGCCCCTATCTATCTTCCTATCTATCGCCCCTTCTCTTTCCTGCTTTTATAGAATGATGTACACGCAATGTTCGACTACACTATAATCATGAAATGGGTCTGTCCCCGTATATGCTGGGAAGCAAAAGTCAAAGTCAGATCAATATACTTAATAATATTGTCTATCACGTCTATCACCAGCACGGTATTTTTATTATTTATTATTATTATTTATCAACCTGGACAAGAAGATTTTCACTGCGTCTTGCGCTCAGTGCGCTGTAATGCGCCGTTCCTGTCATGTGATGCAGGATCGACAGACCTCCTCCGGTAATTTACGTGTATTGCGTATCCCCACGGTTTTTATTTAGCAGCAATACGCCGCTTGGCATGGTTGTATTGTCGCGCCCGCCGTAATGGCCGTACTGAAGAACCTCCTGCGTCCGCTGCAATCTCCATCCTGTGCAGAGCAAGACGAAGTCCTCCCAGACTTCCCTCGACAGCATGTTGATTCGAGACTTCAGGCGTGTCCTTCCCTTTGCTGTTCCCCTGGCCATATTCTTCATCGTTGTGGGAGTTCACTTCTATGACAATCGACTTTCTTTCCGATGGCCGTCAACGTCGTGGACCGGAGGTAAAGAACCCGGGCTCCATCACGATCACAGCCACGAAGAAGACGATGCCACCTTCGCCAGCCAGCATCACGAGATATTTTCCAAGTCATCGCACGATGGACGGTACTTCATGGTCGAATTCGGCTACGGACTCCACGCCATCAACCCGAGCATCATCCCTCACCCCTTTCTGAACGACACCTGGATTATCGCTGCGCAGCTGCACCGGAAACAGGGTGCAACAAAGGACTTGGCACCAAACTCGGTCTGGATTGCGGAAATTGGATGTAGCGCGGCATTCAACGACGACCACACGGTCCTCTCCTGTATCGCCCCGCCGCTGACGCTGCCCATCGCGCACACGCTGGGCGATCCATCGAAATGCACGGGCAACCTGGACTTCCTGGCGTTCAACATCGGTCCGCATGACGCGCGAGTCTTCTTCGGACCCGACTCGCCGTACATTGTGTACGGGTCAAATTCGCAGTTCACTTGCTTTGGACAGTGGATGGCCGACTTCCGGCCGCTGGTCGACTGGGGCTCCGAGTTGTTCTCCCCCGACAATTTCCGGGTCGCGACTGAAATCCAACGTCCACCGCCATACGGCCTGGTGGAGAAGAACTTCTTCATATTCTGGGACAATATGGGCCAGAAGTACGCGCACTACGACATGGCACCGAAGCGATCATTTGCGAGACTGTCCAACGACGGGAGCGTGGGACCGGATCTGGCGCCGCTGGCGACGCAAGACGAGGCCTGCATGACACGGCTCATGCCGCGGGCAGCGTCCGACCTGGAGTCGGTGCACCAGGCGACGAACTCGCTCTCGATCACACTCTGCAAGCGGTCGGACCCAACATGCAAATCAACGGACGAGAACACGTTCATCATGACGGTGTTCCAGCACAAGAGCTTCTACGCATTCCACGGGGTCTACGAGCCGTATGTGATGCTGTTCAAGCGCACGGCGCCGTTCGAGGTGCACGGCATCTCGACCAAACCGCTCTGGATCCACGGCCGCGGGCGCCCGGGACAGTGGAAGAAGATTGACCCGCTGGGCGACCCGGACGGAACGAACAAGAACCACCAGCCGCAGCTCTGGAACCAGACAGAGATGTTCTACGTGACGTCGATAAGCTGGAAGACACACGGGCAGAAGTACCACGGGTTCCTGGACGACGTGATGTTCCTGGGATTTGGCATTGAAGATGCGCGCACGGCGGGGGTGGATGTTCTTGCAGGGGATATACTGGAGGGAATGGGCTACTGCGACAGTTTCTAGATTGCATGGCGTATGATTAATGGGATAATATGATCATCCATGAATTGGAGATACCTAATGTGGAAGATACCAGGCAATCCGGTACTGTACTATGTAATACGATAGATACCATACATGATACTATGTAATAGATACAATGATCCCAGGCTCAGTCCCACCAGCTGTAATTTATCATGTGCGGCCATTATTCTTGTCTGTTCAACAATACGGAACATTAAATGTGACAATATGCAGGCAGATATCTCCGAGTCCTATTAATTCGATTGATCCTGCATTCAGCGCTTTATCAATGTCCACGAAAGCACCATCACCTATTGGACAGTGAACATACTAGATTAACAACCACAGCCGGTCCGATTCGTCCAGGAAGGGAAGATATTCAACGCGTTCGGATCCCGCCAAGAGCTGGTTCTCCGCCAGTACGTTATCCCCCGATTTTGATCAGCAGTTGGTTGGCGATGCCCCGTCCGGAGTCCCCGAAGCGGAGAAAGTGGACGATTCGGATGTGTCTGTATCAAGCTAAGAGGTATCAGTGAACGAATGGATCTACAGAGACGGTAGACGTCGAACTGCTGTGATCTTCCATCGCTAAGTCAGTATTATTCGGTAACTAACTACGGTCTACAGCAGAATTTGAATTTCACGGAGACAGACATTATGTCATTGATATCTCATCTGACCATCCTCCCGGCCCTCTGGAAGTCCTCATCCGGTCAGGTTTTGGTTAAGTTCCTGTTCCGTTCCACTCCCGGCAAGTTGCAAGTAAAGTAAGGATACTTACTCACTTTACTTCACATTCTGCACGTCATCGAGTTAAACTCCACGTGCCATGCTGTCCCAGGCTTCCACGCGTTGCGTGACGATAGCAAAGGGGACTGGTTGGTGAGATTAGACATTTAACCATCGCCCATGGACCACACGGACACGTTCTAAAGTTTCTTCTCGAATCTGGACAAGGTACTTGAGTTACCTTGGACGTGGCATGGATCATATCCTAGTCCGTCACGAGTTAATCGGCAGCACATAGTACATTGTATGTAACTAGTAGTCGTATGCTACATGCTTGGCTTGCTTCTTGATATCATTTAAATTGTGTCATAGATGGCACGCTTGCGTTGAACTATATTTGGTATGTCAGACTGTCCGTTGCTGTCATGCGTGACATCCATGTCTTAGACATGGATGAGGTATCCTTGTCGATTCTACTGGTAAGCAATACGAATCTCGTAGACACTCAAACTAATGAAGCCTTAACAGCTTGCTTACCCACAGACACTGCAAGTGCATGAATGGCTTAACATGCAGAGAGACTTGCAGGGGTCTGCTGCGGACTATGTAAGCCTACTATGCTTCGCTGCTGCATGTCTTGACGGAGGCTCCATGAAAGACCCTTAGAGAGCTTGAAGTCTGCCTCTTTCACAGCTACAGATGGAGTTACTAGGCTCTCATAGTACACCTGAATACCTGGAAGTTACATATCACGGTGTATCTGGTACTGCTGGAGGGAGGTCAATTAACTACCTTCCACGTCTATATCTTGGAGGATTGCTCTTCCTACCAGCTCTCCCGGTGGTACTATGGTAAGAATGAACAGGAGAATGTGTCTAGGGCTTGTAGGCATGCCAGATATCACTGCCGGTGGCACTTTCTTGTTGATTCCAGACAGTTGTTGAATCTGAGGACAATAGTGGGCGGCCAAAGTTGACTCCCCTGCTTCAAATGCTATAACTTTATTTGGGTGTTGGAATCATATCTCTCAACATGAACTTAGTTCAAACAAAAGGAAGTCTTCGATCCATGAACATTTCTTCTTGGGCCTGAATCAGACCGAATTACGTTCAAACGCCGCAGCTTGATAATTCCACGAAATATGAGATATTACTCTGTCAATCCGAGAGAGTGGTCGAAATACTTTTGAGCAAAGCAGACAGAATCAGCCTTTGTCAGGAAAGGCCAGATTACCGGAGCTTGCATATACATTAAGGAAATTATGCATGGTGGTTATTTCTGGTGCTGACATGCAGCTGGCTATTAATGGATAGGCGCATGTATGGTCGTATTACTAGGTAGGCCTGCCTGTGCCGTGAGATAGGTAGCGAGGGCGGTCTAGGACGGCAGAACCTCACGTGTACTAACAGCTATCAGGGGAATCAGCTGGCTGCCTAATCTACTACTGCATCTCTACATTCAATATCACCAACACAATCAGCAACAGAATTAAACATGCCCTTTGAACTTCAACCAGCGACTCCCGCCGACGCTCCGGAAATGACGGATGTCTTCTTCAAAGCCTTCACCAACCCTTTCATCAGAGCCGCGTTCCCCGATACAGACAACATGCGGAAATGGTTTATCCAGATGTTCACCAAATCAATTGAACAAATGGAGGCAGGAGAATCGGATGAGGTATTTTTCAAAGTAGTCGAGGTCGACGATCAACAGCGAAATCAACAGCCTCGTATAGCTGCGTTCAGCCAGTGGAAGCTCCCCGCTCAGACTGCTTCGGAGTCTTCCCGGAAAACGGACAAGAAGGAATCCGAATCCGTCTGGCCGGAATTCTGTAACCAGGAGTTGTGCAGAAGGCTTTTCGGGATTCTAGCAGCACGTCGGGAGAAGTTTATGGGCGATAGACCTTATCTTTGTAGGTGAACGTCTTTTATTTACGGAGCAGTCGAGGTCTGAATTATACTGATGAGACTAGATCTGGACACCCTTGTCACAGCCCCGGAATACCAAGGCCGCGGATGCGCGTCTCTCCTCCTAAAATGGGGCATCTCCCGAGCAGATGAGCAAGGGGTTGAATTGTATCTCTCGGCATCACCAGTTGGGCGGCCAATATACGAGAAATATGGTTTCAGGGTCCTCGACGCGGAGGAGATCTATCCACAGTATACGGAGACATACATGCTTCGGCAATCTAGTAGACGTTAGGCCTACGAGTATCGTGTTTGATAGAATATACAATGTCTATACACTCAATCTTCATACTGACTCGACTAAAGAGCGAGCCGAGTGGACAGCCCTATTTCCGGTATAGGGTTAGGGCATAGGGCTCAGGATAAGCAAAATGTTTTTCCATTCCGAATTGAACTTGGACGAGGCAAACTGGAGGCATCGCATCCATGCGTCTATCCATGACCTGCCGGTACAAGCATGTTCTATTGTTCTATATTCACGATACGGCCTCCAGGTTGACGTATAACGGGAATTTCTAAGCAGGTGGAGGCGCAATTGATTTCCCGCCTGACCGGCTGAATCTCGCATATACAGCGTATTTCCGTCGGGGCAGGCCAGTCCGGTGCCATTCTCGAAATTCAATAACCTGATATTATTCTACTCTCCGATTATCATGTGTTCATTGGACCAAACGTTCTCGATGTGCACAAGGATACCCTGGTCAAGATTGATTGAAATGACGAGGCGCCTGTCTGGAGCTTCTCGACGCCATCTGCTCGAGACCATTAGCATCACGGCAGAACAGATGCATAAGGCGTGCATAACTCCGAGCAGGAAAACTCCACTAAGCAGATGCAACGATGGACATATCCATGGCGCGACCCCGGCGAAATGAAATCGTGCCTCACAACGGATTCTTACCGGGGAATCCGCCCAATGGCACGGTGGACCTTGGGATTTGCAATTTTGGTCGCGTGAATATCCGGGACTACGTACCACGGACGGAAGACTGAACGTTATGAAGATGGAACACCGTGCTGCAAGTATAAGATTGTCGATTATCCAGGGGCATTTGAAATGGTAACTCCGGGGCAAAGCGAGGATGCTGTACGCTGTACAACTTCTGAGGGAAATATGCGTGCCAACCTGCAGAAGAACTGGCAGGGGAATTCCGAAGACGAACAGCGGTTGAGTTAATGGCTTTCGCTATCTAGGAGTTGTCGATATTTTCAACAGGGTTACATCCCGGGCAAATGAGTCAGCAGCGATGCCCCGACATTGGCTGGGAATACTGGCCACACAAGCTTTGCGGATCCGTGGCTTGATCATCTCAAGCTTCTCACGAATGTCTTGTCCCGTCTTGTTACGGCTTGGGCCTTCTGGACAGCCAATGATGGCGCTATAGCCCAATATTTTCCTTCTCGAATGCAACCCTCTGCTTATCTCGCATTTCCACCCCCGGCCATCTGATTGCCGCATGTATCCGGTCAATCTGGCAATGTGACTACGTGATAGGTAGCAATAATTGCCATAGTCCCCCGTCGATCGCTTCTATTTAAGAAGCCAACGGATCCAGATGGGATTGTTCTGTCTGGTTCTTTTGTTCTTCGAACGCTCTTCCCCTCTTCCTGTGATCCGCTAGTGTCCGTTCCACTTGACAGAAGAAATCAGCCTCCTTTCAATGGCGAATCCTGCGTCCCTCTCTCTCGGTTGGGGCGACCCTCGCCTTCACGAGAAAGAGCATGAAAAAGAAGATGGCCAGGTCAACGCGCGGATTTCCGGCGCCATCCCGCCACATATGCGCCAGCAACACGACCCCAGCGTGTCCTTCGAGGAGTACCTCTATTATGCCGAGAAAACCCGCGAGGAGGAGTTGCACCAACCCAAGTCTGCCTATGAACAATCCTTTCTGTCTGTCATTTTCCCCTCGAAAACGGACAAGGGTGCTCATGGAGCCTCTCCATCCGCCAACACCAACAATGGTTCGGTCATAACTGAGGAGGAATGGACCAATGCCTCCAGAGCCCTGCGCACGGCCACGCGAGGCGCTATTTTCTATCTGATCACTACCGATATTCTCGGTCCTTATTCGCTTCCCTTTGCAGTTGCGGGCATGGGATGGGGGTGAGTACTTACCCTTCCTTCTCCCCCCTCCCTTCTTATGGACAAAAGCCGACTTTTAATTAGACCTGGTATTGCCCTGTATACCGTTTTTGCGGCCTTGGCCGGTTATTCTGGATACCTGTTGTGGGAAGCATTCATGGGCCTCGATTCATACCATTTCCCGGTCCGCAATTTTGGAGACCTTGGGTACCGTATTTTTGGTCCCTACATGCGCCATTTCTTCAACTTCTTGCAAGCCCTTCAGCTGATTTTCAACGTCGGCATGATTGTTATGACCTGCGGCCAATCGATGTCGCAAGCAACCAAGTTCAAGCTTTGCTATGTCGTCTGTTTGGTAATTTGGGCCATAGTCGGTCTCGTGGTTGGTCAAGTCCGAACTCTTCAGAAGTTTGGTTGGCTGGCCAATGGCGCCATTTTCCTTAATATCATCTGCATGTGCATCACCATGGGCGGTGCTGCAACTTCCCCACCTAATTACCAGGCGGCAGCCTTGTCGGCTGGTGCCAACATCAATGGTGGTGCTCTTATCAAGCCCGTTAACGGCGTCTATCCCCCGGTACAGACAAGTGGAGGCCTACCCGACCAAGGACAGTTCTACGGCTCGGTGAATGCTGCCATGCAGGCAGTCTTCTCTTATGGTGGTGCCATGATTTTCCCCGAGCTCATGGCTGAAATGAAGCGGCCTCGTGATTTTCTGACTGCCATGTGGGCCGCGCAAGCCTTTATCTATTTGTGGTATGTTCTTTCTCTCCGTGTGTGTGTGTGTGTGTGTGTGTGACACCTAGCTAATGTGTCTAGGTATATGTTCTACGGTCTGTTCATGTACGGGTACCAAGGACAGTACGTTGTTAACCCTAGCTACCTGAGTATTAGCAAGTACAGCGTTCAAACCGCGGGCAACGTCTTCTCGATCGTGGCGTCTATCATTGCCGGGAGTCTCTACGGTAATATTGGCGTGAAAGTGGTATACAATAATATCTTCGTGGAACTTTTCCATGCGCCCCCTCTGACAGTCATGGCCGGAAAACTTGTGTGGGTGGCCATCGTCCCGATCTACTGGGCGATCGCTTTTGTTATTGCGGCGTCTATCCCCAACTTCTCCGGTCTTGAGGGCGTTGTGGCGTCCATTTGCATTCTGCAATTCACCTACACATTTCCACCCATGCTATCCATCGGGTACTGGGTCAGAAGGAATGCCCTCAAGGCCGGCGAAGGGTTTAATCCCGAGACGGGCGAGACGATGCGGCTCGACGGTGGCATCCGGAGAATTATCCGGGGCTTCTTCGGGCGGCGCTGGTGGATGCAAACGTTCAACCTGTTCTTCTTCCTGGGCGCTCTGGCTCTTGCAGGTCTGGGTGCGTATGCATCTATTGAGGTTCTGATCCTAGCATTCAACTCGGGATCGGCTACTTCGTTTACGTGTCACAGCCCACTTGACGGGTAGGCGGATAGCCGCTGGATGCTGCACTTTGGTCAATTTTGTCTACTGGCTCTGGAATAAACAGCGGCCATTAACGATGCATCTATTAGATCACGGCATGCTATTCAAGCAAATATGTATTATATGGACTTACTATGAATGTATTGATATCTCGACTATACTACTCCAGAATCAACAGAAAGGGTAGTATTCCGTGTTTTCTACGGAAACAAGGACCCCTGTATCCTAGCATATGCAGCATCAGTACTGAGTAGTATTGTCGGATGGACCTCCATGGGTCTCCAAGAGTGAGACGGCTCCACTCGCTATTGAGCATTACGAAGCAGTAGAATGTATAATACTATGAACTAACTATGGAATAACACATGTCAGCCAGGAGAAAGTCATTTATGTACTGCCATTGGCTTTATCCTTGAACTCCCTCTGCTCCTTTAAAGCTTCCGCCAATAACTCCGGATACCACCTCTTACCAACATCCTGATGACTCGTGATCCGCGCAATCAACGTTCCCTGCCCCAGACTCCCGCGGAACATATTATTAAACGTCGCCTCAGCATCGGACTTGACCTTCTCATCCTTAACCAAGTCCCGGATATGAGGTGAGATATCAAGACTGATCTGGTCATCCGAAAGATCAAGACTCACACCCTGGAAGACGGGAAAGGAGAAGCGTGGACCCAACGGCTTTCCCGTGGTAGCGTCGACGAAATTCTCCCGCTTGAGACTGACTCTGTGCGTGGTCGCGGTGCATATCCCACCCGTTAGTGCTTCGAGGGCTCTTCCGATGTTAATTACCAATGTACCCGGTATGGGAGGCGCGGGGATCCAGTCCCCGGATTTATTCTGGACTTCTAGACCGGTGTGTGGAGTCGCTTGGAGGAGGTATGTGAGGAAGCAGGAGTCCTTGTGTGGGCCGACTCCTTGCGTAGCAGCATTATCGTCAGATGCTGATGCTGATGATGGTTCAGGATACTTGATTAGCTTCAGTTTATGCTGCTGCGGCGTATCGAAAAATTGGTCCAGAGCTGTCGGGGGGAGGTCGAGAGCTTCGGCGATGAGAGTCTTGAAGGACTGCGCGAGCTTGTCGACCTCTTCGAGATAGGATTCAACAACATGACGGAAGCCGGGGATGGCTTTGCCATCTGGCCACTATGAATTTATTCGTCGATTAATTCATTGTTCAATTGGCGCAGTTGGTAGAGAAGAATCATACCTGGTTTGGTCCACGGATGTTCCTGTACAACGGCTCATCAGGACCTGGGGCAGGTAATTCCGTTGCAAACTATATCAAAAGTCAGTTAAAATATAACAAATATTATAGCAAATACAAGACAGGAATACATCAAACTGCTCCCGATAATCCGTCCTCAACGCCGTAATCTCCGCCCCTAATCGCGAGTAGCCCAGGAAATGCTTGGAATTGACCATTTCAATCTCCAATTTCTTGTCGAGCGGTAGATCAAAGATCTCTTTGCCCCTTTCGACGAAGACATCCTGCACTGATGCCGGGATGGAGGTGTTGCGGAGGTAGAAGAAGCCGACGTTGACGATGGCGTGGCGGAGATCAGCCAAGAAGGCCGGTTTTGTGGAAGGAGAATTGGACTGGGCGAAGTCTAGGATGGGGATGGAGGAGAATGCCATTCTGTCTGTATAATGACTGTCAATCTCGAGGGTCTGTGTACACTGTCGAGTATCGATATATATCAATCGTATATCAATATACCTTCAATATAGAATCCCCGCATCGGGTATGCCGAAATGACGAGCTCTGCGGGCCGAATGGCGAATCATCATGTCGTTCGAGTCGGAACCATCTTCTCCAGCGATGAATATCAGGATGCATATAAGTATGGATTCGATGTTGTCTGAAGAGAGACACAAAGACATATCACCTGATAGTTAGGGCTAGGGCTGCTGAAAGGATTCATATAACATTCCAGTTGATTCATTATGCGTAGACCATCTACACACCCTTCGTTTGCCCAGCACTCTCCCTCACTACCAAAGTCTCATCACTGACTTCTGCTTCCTCCACCTCCTCGAAAGGCCGTCTCCCAATCACCCCCCTCCGCGTACCCCGACAATCAAGATACGCAATAGCCAGGATAAAAGGCAAGGTAGCAGCCCCCGTAACCAAACTGGAGATATACCCCTTTCTGAAATCCGGCGCATCAGTAACCGGGTAAAAGACCAACGGCCACCAAGTGGTAAAGGCAAAATCAAACGAATTCATAAACCCGGTCGTGATGGCGCGGAGTTGCAGATCGTGCGCTGTAACGTCTGCCATCCACGCGTACCAGAGAGCCTGGGGCGCATAGGTGGTACCCAGGACGTAGAAGGCGAAGAAATGTCCTGCGTCTGTTTTCGGGTTGCCGACTAGGATTCCCGTGCCCAGGATAAAGGTCAGTCCGATGGCGATGGAGCATTCCCAGCGCGACTTTAGTCTGTCGGAGATGAGGGAGTAGGCCACCGTGCCGACGATGGCAGTAGCGTAGATGGCTGTCGGGTAGTTATTCTGCTGGATGGTCGTGTAGCCACGAGATTTCATCCAGAGCTGCGGGACGTTGTTCAAGAGACACTGCACGCAGAGGGAGTACACTGGAGTTGGATGAATTAGTTAGATTGCTTGACAATCGCTGAAGATAGAACCAACGCATGAATATAAACGGCAGCAGGTAAAACTGCCAGCTGAGGAAGATCCGCCAGAAAACCGACCGATCCCATGTATACCGCGGCGTAGCACCCAGCCTCCGTGCAGCATGCTCTTTCTCCTCTGCATTGAGATACCACGCAGCTCGATGAACAGGGAGATCAGGGATGAATACCCACCCTGTTCCCATAATGAACAGTATCAGCTGGGGTGATCTCGAACCACTGAACGCAACTCGATGAAACATACCAAACAGAGCAACCGGAATAGTCATCACAGACACGATGATAAAAATCCATCGCCAAGCAGGCAATCCGGCCTTGCCAGAAAGCGACTTGAGCAATCCAGCCTGGATCCAACCTCCCGCCATGCTTCCCAGATGGCCGAAGCAACAAAACGCGGCCGTTCGCGTCCCCAGTTCGGACTTGCGGTACCAGGAACCGAGAATGAAATGTGCGCCGACGCTGGAGAGTCAGCTAGGATATACAGCAGAATCAAGAAAAGTACAGAGGACAGACTCACTATGCAATAGCAGAAAATCCGCCCTCCAACGCATTCAACAATATAATCTGCCACACATGATTCATCTTATAGGTGACAAGCGTAAGGATGCTCCACGTCAGATTTGCCGCGACAAAGACATATTTCGGGCGTGCCAGTGTCAACAAACTCGTCCCTGGCATCTGACATACGGCATAGACGACGGTGTATGCCGTGTTCATGTAGTTGTAGTCTTTTCCGTGGAAGTGCAGGGCCTTGTCCATGCCGCTGATGTACGCGGAGGAATAGCTAGCGCGCGTCACGCCAAAGAGGAACCAGATCAGTGAGAAATAGGGGAGAAGCGTGAAGTCGAGTTTCATTAGGAGGGAGCGGTCTTTGCTGTCTGTTCCCCAGAGGAGGGTGGATATTCTCGCGGCAGCCATTTCTTCTTCTTCTTTATTTGAAATAGATGTTCCGTGGACTAGAGTACAGTGGGATGTAACATGCTTATATGCATTGTGCATCGATGTAGTTATCTTGGAAGCAGATCACGCAAAGAACCCTGCACCGGGAGTTATTAACCTCATCTTTGCTTCTTTTCTTCTACTGGCAGAACGATAAGAGAAATGTATTTTCCCAGAGTCTAAGGACCGTCTTGCTTCCCAAACGCCGAGAATAGCAGAATTCCAACGACACCAGCAAGGCAAGTATAAACAAAGCAGGGATATCTAAGCTAAATCCAATCCAATGACCCATATTAACTAGTGATAAACGCGGTCGCAAAGGGGTATTATTAGTACGAATCCACTGAGATCCGGATCGGAGTCGCGCTTCATCTTCATTGCTCCACCCAGGTAATCGTCTTGGTCTGGAGGAACTCGTCGTAACAGGACGATCCGCCGCCAGAACGGCCGAAGCCACTGCTCTTCCATCCGCCATGGGGCAACCCGGGCGAATCGTGGATGGTGGTCGAGTTGATGTGGACAGACCTGATTCTGTTAGCACCCTTTGCGGAAAGACATATATAGATTGCTGTTGTATGCTCACCCGCACTCCAAGCCCCTACCAACTCGAATCGCCCGGAACAGATTCTCAGTGTAAATGGCCGCTGAAAGGCCGTATTCGGTATCGTTCGCGAGGGCAATGGCCTCTTCCTCCGTGTCCACGGCCATCAGAGAGACGGTTGGGCCAAACGATTCCGTGAAGTACACCTCCATCTCCGGCGTCACGTTCTCCACGATCAGGGGCCGCATGCTGGCCTTGGATGTCTCCTGAGAGTTCAGGTCGCCGAATAAGATGTTGGCCCCCTTGGCGAGTGCATTCGCCACGAGACCCTTGTTCTTCTCCACGGCACCGGCGGCAATCAGGATGGGCGGTGGTGCGTCCTTCTCAAACACCTTCTCTGCCGTCTCAACGAGTGCACGGCGGAATTTTTCAAGAACCCCTCGCTGGACGATTATCCGCTCTGTCGACATGCAACTCTGGCCACCCTGATTCATCTTTATCAGCATTGAAGGGAAAGAAAAAGACAGAATAACCTACATGCATAAACGATCCCACAATGCAGCCCATTGCCGCCTTGCCCAGGTTAGCATCGTCCAGGACAATGGCAGACGCCTTTCCTCCTAGAGCAAGTGTAATGGGCTTGATATATCGACCAGCAATCGAAGCGACCACCGAGCCGACCTGGGTGCTGCCCATAAAGTTGACCTTTCGAACCAAGGGGTGAGAGATGAGCGCCGTGGTGACGGACGACGCGTGTGAAGTCTGGTTGTAGAGGACATTGACGCAGCCAGCAGGGAGTCCAGCTTCCCGATATATATCGCCCATGGCCCAGAAGCACCGAGGAGCCAGCTCAGAGCCTTTGAGGACCACGGAATTGCCCGCAGCCAGAGGCAGGCCTACTACACGAACGCCATGAAGATATGGTGCATTCCTAATGTTGTCAGTGTCTGTAGTTGCAGCATTCTCCTTCAACAGGATTGCTTACCATGGCACAATTCCGAGAACCACTCCGTACGGTTCTTTGATGACCATTGCGTATCGTCCTTCCTCGGCCACCGTCGGCACGGAGCCTTCGATGGAGGGAATCCTCGACGCGAAATCCTTCAGGAATGAAACGGCGAGCATAAATGTGTGTTCAGCAAACAGGCGTCCAGCCCCTGTCTCTTCTCGCTGATAAAAGATTAGCTCCTCTTTGCGGTTGAGCATGATTTCGGCAGCCCGCATCATGAGATCGCGACGAGCATACGGCTGCATCTTGCTCCACACTCGAAACGCGGTCTGGGCGGCTTGAACGGCGCGGTTAGCATCCTCGACGGAGGCACTGCTGCACCGGCCGACCAGCTTGCCCGTGGCAGGGTTCCGTACGTCGAACTGCTTCTGCGTCGTTGTGAACTCGTTGTTGATGATGAGGGGGATGCTAAGGCTGTCATCGTCAACTCTCTCCTTCTTGGTCAGATCGAGGCGTCTCGAAGAATTGGATAGCATCCTCCGGACTGAGCCGAATGCAGAACGGTTCTCTGAGCGGCTTTCTGTAGACGAGCCAGCACTCGCTTGGCCTATAGACTTCTTGCTTTCAAGTGACGTGGTCGAATTGTTCCTATCCGGGTCAGGATATAACTGATTCGAGGCCGTGGCAGTCCCGGCGCTGGAGATACTCGACGTCTCATCCTCGCGTGACCTGGCAATCGTGCTGGCTTCACTCAAGGCCTTGCTACTGGTGTTATGGCTGGCGTTGCTATACATGCTTTGTGTTTTCTGGCAGGTACGATTGCTCGGGCGCGTGCGAGGTGTGCTTTGGTCTTTCGCTCCATGGTTCACAGGACAGCCGTTGGGTTGGCCGCCGCTCTGATAGCTCGGGCTGTGATGATGGCCGCCACCGCCGCTACTATGATGACCGCGTGTGCTATCGTAGCTCGCAGTATCGGCATCAGAACCACCGTCGGAGGACTCGTGGCCGTCCCGGATGTACCAACGAGCGAAAAGATCGTTCTGAATCCACATAACCTTAGACAGCGCGCGTAAAAGGCCGAGCTTGCGGCCGAACGGGACCTGAGGATGGCTCATGAGGGTTTGAATAAAGACATCCATGACGAAGCCCAGAGTCATGCCGATGTGCACATAGTCAATATGGATGGGATGGGATGGATCTCGCCCGATGTGCATGCGACTGGCAAGGAATTAGCTACGGAAGAATGAAAACCGCCAGGGATCGTACCCGACTTTGTCCATGTACTCCCAGTACTCCAGCTTGCTGGGGTCGGAGCACAGCTTGGTGAGATACCATCGCAAGAAGATCTTCCGACGCAGAATCTCGGAGCTCTGCTCACTCGGCAGCTTCTCCTCCCCGTCTTCCTTTTTGGTCTTGCTGAAGCTCTGTGCGGTGATGTCGTACTCGAGCAGCTTGCTGTACATGGCATCTACGGCGGTGGGAATCAGCGCCTTGACGTATTTGGCGCCGGAGATGAGAGCATCAATGTCATCTAGAAACAGCACAGTATCAATTAGCGCCGCATCTCACGCGCAGAACGGCGGTCCAACGCACCCCGGTTGAAGTCTAGAAACGAGTGAAGGTACCGGATCCGCGTTTCTAGGTTATTATGAATCGCCTGGCGGTCGACATGGATGAAGGGACACGTGGTGTCTGGCTCGTGGGACTTTTCTGAATCTCGAACAGGAGCCGGAGAAGGAGCTGGAGGTGCTGTGGCGGAGGTAGGGATTTTCGAAGCGTCGATCGGTCGACGCTGCAGAGGTTGCCTGGAGAAGTTAGACAGACGAAGACATAAGAAAGGAGAGGATGCTCAGCTCACCGGCTCTTAACCTGGCCGTACATGATTGGTATTGCCCTGCACACTGGATATGTTCAAGGATGTCTGTCTACACTGCAACGTCAAAGTGGGCGGTAGTTAATGGAGGTGTATTGTTGGTTGGTCACTAGCTAGATAGGCCTACGTGGTGAAAAGGGTCAGCGAGGGCGGACCTATGCGGCAGAATCCCACGTGATCCAACACCCCCCCACGCACGAGCTGGCCTAAAGACTAATCTAAAGAATTTAAATACAAAAATCGGCCTCTATTCAGGCCTCCAAATGAGAGAGTAAAAGCAAAATTAAGCAGAGAAGTGAGAGGTTCCGCTTTGGCCAATCAGAAGCCGTAAATCAGAATAGAAAGTATAACCAAAATGGGGGAACAAGCGCCGCTTAATGTATGCCGGTGAGTTCCAGGAAATGATTGAATCGTTCAGTTTGGAGAGGTTTTGTCAGGCCATCTGCTGCCTGTTCTTTGGTAGGGCAGGTCTGAAGTTTAACAATGCCGTCTCGGACCTTCTCCCGAACGTAATGGTAGCGTATGTCAATGTGTTTGGATCTCTTGGTGGTGAGCTCGGCTTCAGCCATGGCGTGGGCACCTTGATTATCGATATGAAGAGATATTGGTGGGCATTCAGTTGGGAGCACATTAAGCTCGTTGATGAGATTCCGGAGCCAGAGGGCATCACGGCTGGCTTCGCTTAGAGCCATATACTCAGCTTCGTTGGAGCTAAGGGCAACGGATGTTTGCTTGCGGCTTTTCCAGGCAATTGGGGCTCCGGCAAGCAGAAAGATGTATCCAGAAACTGACCGGCGGTTGCCTGTCAGTTGGCCACCCCAATCAGAGTCGGTATAACATTTTGGCATGAGGAGGTCAGATGTAATGGACTCCGTGGGTTTATGATAGGTAATTTGCCGATTGATGGAGCCTTTAAGATAGCGTATGGCGTGTATAAGGGCACGCCATGCTTTTTGGGTGGGTTTGGCGTTATATTGGGATAGTATGCCAACCGTCTGGCTAAGATCTGGCCGGGTTTTGGTGGCTAGCCAGGTAAGGCAGCCTACACCACGTTGATATTCTTTGGTGTTGACTGTAGGGTCTGGTTCATCATCAATTATTAGGCTAGGATCCATTGGAATCCTAACAGGATGTGCTTGGGCTTGACCAAAAGAGGCAACAACATCTTCAGTGTAGTCGGCTTGAGATAAAGAAGATGAAGTCTCAGACTGGGAGATGGTCATGCCAAGGTATTTGGTAGAGTTTCCAACTTCTTTTATGTCAAATTTGGCGGAGAGAGTCTCCATAAACCAGATGGCATCATTTTCATGTTTAGCATAGACTTTGAAGTCATCCACATGGGTGGTCACATAGAGTTGGGTCCGGGTAGTGTGGATCCATAGACCAGAGTCATATTCAGAGCATTTGAAGCTGATTTGGCGTAGAAAAGCACCCAGAGTATCATACCAGATGCGGGCAGATGGGACTAATCCATAGAGGGATTGAAGGAGTTCACAGACAAGATCTCCAGAACCTTCTTTGAATCCCTGAACTTGGGTCATAAAGACACGTTTGTCCGTGGGCATTTTCCCATTTAGGAAAGCCAGGGTGGCATCAGCTTTTCGGGTATGCCAGCCAAGCAGGGTGGCCAGTGCCGTGAGGGTTCTGGTAGTATTTTCATTTACCACTGGTGCGTAGGATTCCATGAAGTCCTTATCAAGTAGGTTGCCACGGATGACCCAGCGGGCTTTAGCCTGATAATCCTCTGAGATAGGTATGCCGGGGATTTCTTTCTTTTTGTATACCCACCGGCCAGGGATGACTTTGGTCCCTGGTGGTAGGTCAGAACGGCGAATGAGTTGCCAGCAGCCTTTCTCTTTAAGTTGGTTGACTTCCTTTTGCATGGCAGCTTGCCATTTAGCAGCATCAGGATGGGATATGGCCTGCTTATAAGAAGTAGGCGTGTTGTCTTCTGATGAAGGAATGGTTGAAGTGGCAAAGTAAGCTAGGGACATGCCTTTGGCAGGTCGGAGCCATATATCTTGGTCATTGAGAGGTTCATCTTCAACTAATTGAGTTGGATTTTCTTCGGTAGGGGTGCTGGGACCTTTGGGAGTGGTAGTTGTAGGATCTTTGTAATCCTCATCAAATATAACATCATTGGTGACAAAGACGGTGTCAGTTTTAGGGTCCCAAACACGATATTGATGGCTACTAATTTGGCCAATGAGGAAACAGCAGTGAGAACGTGAATCAAGCTTATTTCCAGGTTTATCTGGTCCATGCCGATGGACCCAGGCTGGACACCCCCAACGGCGATATCCGGGGAGTGAAGAAATGGATGAATTAGTCCACGCTGCCAACGGAGCGCGATAAGGGCTGGGGTGTATGTCCTTGTTGATATTCACCCCCCCAGGAATTTGGGAATTGTATAAGATGGTAGATGTAGGGAGCCGATTTGTAAGATCTGTGGCATATTGGAGAGCATCTACCCAAAAGCGTTCTGGTATATATGGGGCATCAAGCATCATAGCTCGGGCCCGTTCAAAAAGGATGCGGATGCCACGTTCACTAACGGCATTTTGCCATGGTGAATATGGTGAGCTTGGTTGCCATTCTATGCCTTCCTGACGGTAGGTTTCCATCCATTCAGTGGAGCGGAATTCATTATCAGAGACTAGGTAGGCAGGGGCAGTGAAGCCATGGTTCTTCATATTTTGAAGCCAGTTCTTGAAAGCGGTAATGGCTGCACTTTTTGTCTTAAGGAAGAGGATCCATCGATAATGTGTGGCATCGTCGGTAATAAGTAAGACATATTTTGCCCCAATTCGGCCAGTGACAACATCATTAGGGTTGTCAAAATCAAGAGTTTGTCCACCGCCGGCGATATCTAGATGGACTCGGGCAAGGGGTTTGGTAACTCTGGACCTAGGGACCTTGCTATAATAGCGTGTCTGTCTAGCCTGTATACAGACTTCACAAAATGGGAGTTCTTTAGAGCCTTTGATTTCGATGCAAGACTCAGGATCTCGGGCGAGGCGGAGGAGATCGGCTTGATTGAGATGGCATAGGCGTCGGTGCCAGGCCATGATAGGTAGGGATATCTTAGTAGTTCGCGGCTTCCCTAGAACCAGGGTCTCTTTTGGAGTAGGAGCTTCAGCTGGTGTCTTAATTGTGGGAGCCTTTGCAGGTGGCTCTTCTGGGCGGTTAACTTCTTTGCCAGACCGGGTGGTGACAAAGGCATAGGAATTTTCTTCTTCTCCAGGAGATAGACAGTCTTCAAGGAGGTAAACATTGTTTTTGAACAATCGGGCTTGGAATTCAGCTCCAGATGGTGTGGTAATCAGCTTGACTTCACAATCTAGTGTATATTGAAGCCTAAAGCCTTGTCGTACAAGCATGCCTTCTGAAATGAGGTTGGAAGTAAAGGAAGGAACATGGCGGACGTCTCTTAGGATCAGAGATCCATAACCAATATCTATAATCACGGTGCCAATGCCTTGAGGCATAGAGATATGGCCTTGAGCACCTTCCATATAATCTGTCTCCACCAGATCGTGCTTCTGCAAGGCCTTGTAGGTTGCAAAAAGTGAACGGTCAGGTGTAGAATGGAAAGAGGCACAGCTGTCAACAAACCATTGATTGGAAAATGAGAGAGTCTTTGCAGACTTTACAATGGCAGATTTGGCATTGGAGAGTTTCTTATGCAAGACAAGTTCCTGTGAAGCAGGGTGATCCTGGTTTGATTGTGGGTTTGCTTCAGATTGTTGCTGAACACGGAGAGCATTAGCCATAGTAGTATAGAACTTGCGTCTATACTCTGGTGCTTTCTCAGGATGTTTAAAATAGCATATAAGTCCATGGCGATTTCCACAGTGATCACAGTCTATAAGTGTATGACGAGATCTATCTTGGTTGTTGGAACGTTGAGGAATTGTGTATTTGGTTCCAGATGCTTGTTTTGAATAACTGCGGTTCTGGGAGTTCTCTTTCTGTTGGTTTGACCGGTCTTGAGAATGAGTATCACGGAATTTAGTGCCGGTTCGAGTAGATAATTGGGTCTGGATAACATTAAGATCCAGGTTGGTAACCGGAGCACGGCCAGTAGAGTAGACATCATCTAGCTTACTCTTGATAAAGGCGCGGTTCCAGTCCCGGAGACCTATAAAGAAGAGGTCATGTTTGAGATTTTCAAAAGATTCTTCTCCAATAGCGTGTAGGCGGTCAAAGATTCGATTGAAGGATGACTGGTAGGTGAGATAATCATTATCCTTTATATAGAGCTCTTTGAGCTCCATGGTAAGAGCCATTCGCTCTTCACCGGTGGATTTGCCAAAAAGTGTGGCAGCTCGGTCCCAAAGACCATGGGTAGAGAGGTCATATACGGTGCCTAGTTTATCAGAAGCAGGGGTTGTCATGGCATTGAGCATACGGGCTCTCATGACAATGGCTTTTCTGTGCCAAACTGCAGCATCAAGTGGAGATGATCCAGCAGGAGGAGAGTCCTGGTGAAGAGTTGTAATAGCATTGAGAATACCAGCTTCTTTTTGTATGGCAGAGCTCCATGCATCGTAATTATCCAGTGTCAAGATGACACGGCATCGGTCAGGCAGTAGCGTATCGACATCGGCTTGGACAAGGGCAATAGCATTGCTGATATTTGTGTCTGAGGTATCTCGCAGAGGCGGTTGGATATCCATTGGTGTAGTATCTTGGGTTGTATTTGAAGGCAAGGAAGCTTGTGGAGTATTAGACTGGATGATAGATGCCAGTTTTAGCTCCATTCTAGCTTCACGGTCTCGCATATCTTGTTCCATCTGATCCTGGCGAGCAAGCATTTGTCGCATCATATCAGCAAGATCAGGGGTAAGTTCGTTTGTGGAAGCCATGTTGGCGGTATTGGTAGAGCTCAGATTGGCTCTGGAAGGCGTTGGGGTCTCTATCTCTTCAGAGACAACTGATGAAGAGGTCTCGTCTATATTCGAGGACTTGTTTTGAGATTTCGGCGACGTGATCGTCGTATAGCAGTAGCGGGAGGCGTAGTAGGTTCTCCTGACATGCTCAGGTTCGGACCGTATCTGGGATCCTGGAATTTTTTTTTTGGAATCTGGGGTATGGAATTTTGGTTCAGCCAATCAGAGGGCTTAAATTGACCACTTATACGGGCCTAAAATAGCTCATATTTCCGAGCAAGAAACGGGCTCATAACCTAATGGAGGTGTATTGTTGGTTGGTCACTAGCTAGATAGGCCTACGTGGTGAAAAGGGTCAGCGAGGGCGGACCTATGCGGCAGAATCCCACGTGATCCAACAGTAGTACGGGGTAAATAGCTTTTATTATGGGATTTTTTCTTCTGTCTGTTTCTTTTTTTGGTTTCCTGCTCCTGATGATGTAGGAAGGATGGATAGATTGGATTATATGAACGATCGAGTCCCTACGGAGCTTACGGAGCAGACGGAGCGACTGTGAAGCGGCTCGAACCTACAGCAATAAAAGGACGCATCATGGGGTGATTCGGAGTCCAGATTTGCTTAGGAAGAAAAGGCACCGCTGCTTAGATTAGGTTTTAGTCAAGACCTGATTCCGGTTATACTTTGAAGCTTCCGTGGTCAGCCAATACCGCACGAAATATCGCTTATCGGACCCCTGGTTGGGTTCGTGCATTATTGCAATTTGCAGCCGAAGAACCCTGGATGCTCGATCACAGACCCGGAACCAAGGCGCAGCTAAGGCGATTCCCTTTCCCCGAGGAATCAGGATATATTGCAGGCAAAGACGTATTGACGCAGGACTCAAACAGGGCGACGTTAGAGAACGAGTGTAGGCTGTAGAGTGACGTATCGAGCAGCGCATCGGCAGTGGACAGTGGACACATGCCGTGTGCCCAGAACGAAAAACACATGAGAGAAAAAAAAGTAAAATGAATAAATACAGAAAAAAAGGGTCAGCCAGCCCAGCAGTCAGCCACCCAGTCAGCTCAGCTCCACTTGGATCAATTTTCCGAGGCCTCAGCTCGTGCCGTCGGGCCCTAATAGGGCGACAGCCAAACCATTCATTTAACCAGCCTCGTTGTTCTCCGGTTCGTCTGGTTCCAGCAACTGCCGCTCGGCATTCTGGACGCGTACTTCCATCGAGAGATGGCATTAGTTCCACCCCCGTATTTCCAACGTGAACCCTGCATATCCCGTATGGGGGCCAAAGTCAAATGGAAGAAAACATCCGGCGAGTTGTCGAGTCAAACAGCGCGAAGGCAGCGGTGCCGGTGCACACTAAGCAGCTTTCCCCGGGTACGAAGAAGTAGATCTAATCGATGCGTGCAGACACTGCACAGCCCAGACATCATCGACAAGACCATCATCGTTCTTCATTCCAGCACGAGCACACTGGCCTTTATCCGCATTTTCCTGGTTTCGGCCGAAGCTGAAAGATGGGTACTTTCGATTTTCGCTTTTTCCCTCTCCGGACTCGTTCAGATTGGCTCGAAGCTCGCATCTCCCTGATTAAAAATCACGAATAATCTTCACGGTTAATTATAAAGCTGGAGACGCACCGGTGACGATTGGCCAGGGTCTCGCATTTACGAGACAGGGACCGCGACGATCTTTGCCTCAGGTATTATAAATTATAAAGAAATTTCCGCAGTTCTCCATCTTCTCCACCGATCGACGCGGGCTGCAGGGGTCTTCAGCTGCATGCGTCGTGGCCTGTTATTAAGGGATGGTTCTGTAGCGCACTGTACAGTGATGCAGTGTGTTGTGTACTGTAGGAGAAAGCAAGGAATGATTCCGCCTGGAGTCGAACGCGTTTCTGCTTCCTGAACGGGTTAGCCTGGTAGTGGTAGTAGAGACACGGTATATCTTCAGCTCCTCCTCCTCACCGTCTCCAGCATTGCAACAATCCTGCTCAATCCTGCTGTGGTTGTGGCACAACGTCTCCTGTGTGCGTCGGTAGCAGTGAGTTGTCAGTTCGGCACTGTCTGTTCCACCGTTGCTGGTCATTTCTGCCCAGTCTTTCCCCATCTACGGTATACCCGGCAGGACTCCTCTTCCATGCACTTCATCCTACAACGGCTGCTCAATGCCAACCTGCCGTGCTTGCCACTCCGAGTCATCGAGTTCGTGCCCAGTTCGTGGCCGATCCGTGTACGGACGGTGCCGGCCGATTCCAGATCCGAAAGACAGCAATCCAGGGACTGTACGGTGTAGTTGCTAGTTGCTAGTTGCTAGTTAGTAACTGTCAAGTTGCTGGATTTTGGGATGTCGTGTGCAGTTCCATAAGCTCAAGACGCCAATAGTCTTCGTTAAATCCTGATATTCTCAGCCGACACATTGTACGGAGTCATTGTACCTAATCTAATGGCTACAGACCAAGTCCATCCTGATACTAGGTAGCTTCTGAACGCCACAAAGCAATAATCCCAACGCCGGCGCAGCGCCACGGCTCGGGTCCCAATGATAATTCTAATATCCAGCGCGGGACGTGACAGCCTCTCCATCTACCAGACGGCATCTTTCCTTGATCCGGGACGGCAGAAGATGAAACCGTGCTATGTTCTTGTCTAGGACTCGACCGCGAGCTGCGGGGCCGTCATAGATCTCAGCCAGCCTCAGGCACACTCGTTTGCAACCTCAGCCCTCAAGATACTTGTGCTACGTGACACATTTATGTGTCTGCTGTTCGGGGGCCAATTGAGTTTTAACTGCTTCATTGTTCTGCTGCATATCAACGTAGTAAGTAGGACAGCTCTATCCTCGTAAATATTTAATAGATGCGGCATTAACGTAGTCTGCCAGGGGCATCAATATGGAGCTCCATTGGACTTTCGCTTTCACTGTGGCTGTGTCCATCGCTTGCACTGTATCTCCCTCGTATCTCCGTCAGACATAGGGCTGCGACGACCTCAGTAGATCGACGATCCCTGATCAACCCGTCTGTGATTCTAGAAATCTGGGATTCGTTTGATAAATTCCGTCCCTTGGCGTGTGGAGTAATGCGTGCCAGTATGTCCAGTCCATCTCCAGTAGAAGCTCGGCTCAGTCAATCCCATTGTCCAAACTAGCACCCGGATCAGCAGCCTCATCATCGTCATCGTCATCGCCATCGTCAGGGTCCTTGTCCATTGTAAGTTCCTGCATTGTCCGCATCACTTGATCCAGGAAGTCATCGCTGACAATGCCAATGTTCGTATCATTCATCGGGTCTGGGTATTCATCCTCGCCATCGCTCTCCTCTTCCATTTGTTTCTCTGCGCGTATCATCGCGTCAAACCCGTATTTCGCCATTATGGCCACTTCTCCGTCCTCGCATCGGCATAGTTCACCGAACCGCTCCCTCCAGAAGACCCATCTCGTCAGGCTGAAACCCCGTCCTTCCACACCGGATTTGACAGCTAGCTTTGCCGGCGCGGTGAATTTGACATCATCTTTGGTGAAGTAGATCGAAGTAGAAAACGTGAGATTATCAAGCGCCAGATTCAGCAGCTTGTACCCGCAGAACTGGAACCAAACCACGCAAGCAGGCAGCATCTCGACAAGTGACGTCCGCAGCCGGTAGTACGGTCTCGAAACGCGGCGCGGCGTCTCAAGCGCCTTTCTCAGCAGCCAGAGAGCACAGAACGCGAGCTCGTTGCCGCAGATGTCCTTTGCACAGAGCCGCGCTGTGAACGCAGCGAGATTGTGCCTCAGGACCTGATCCAGATCCGTCTGTGATATGAACCAGGTCTTCTTCAGGTCCTGCACGAGGAATGGCAGGTCGGTCCATAGGATCGTCCCTTCCGAGGTGATGGCTTCCTCTAGCATGCCGTGCCTCCATCGGTGGATGAGTCCCTGTTCCCGGGCGAACAGGACAATGTCGACGATCTTATCCTGCTCCGGAAGATGCGCAGGGGTTACTTTGGCGAGAAGCATTAGCTCATCCCACAGGTCGTGCACGTCTATCTCTATGACTTTGACCCGGTCCACGTATGTGTGGAAGTACTCGCTGACATTGAGGATGAACTCGCGGAGACCGTTCCAGTCAAAGTTGGGGTCCAATGTATCCATGCCGTATGCCTGGAAGAGCTTGTTCTTCCGCTCCCATGCCAATTGTCTCCAGATCTTACCCAATTCTATGTCTGGCAGGGGTGCCATGGTAGGATCTTCTTTCTTTGAGAGAATCCAGCTCACCTTCTTGGCTAGACCCTTCTCTTCTGTCTCGCAAGGGGATACCTCTGTCTTGCTAGAGTCACCACCGTCATCTTCCTTCTCCGTCTTGGATGGATTTTGATTGTCCTCCTCTGTCTCTGGAAAATAAATTTCCGTCTTGACTGAGTCGCTGGTCTCCTCCATCATGGCTTTACTTCCCTTCTCCATCTTGATTCAATTGCTAGTGTGGATAAAGTATTGGAGGCTTGGATGGTCTTGATGAAGATAGAACTGGATGATGGTCATGACTGGAGACAAAGCTGAACCAGGACATTAATATAGCATTTATATCCTGGTGGTAGTGAATGAAAGTGGTAAGCTCCTGGTGATGTCGTTCGTTCAGGTGAGTGAATCTATGAATGAAGGGGGAGCTTCTATGGCAGACCCCTTTTGCAAAATGGCATATTCCAGCAGTCATCCTCTCTCACAGAATATTTTGAAGCTGTGAGCCTGAACCTTGTAACTTGGAAATGGCTAGAATGCACATGGCATACATGGTATACGTCCATGCTGTCTTTTGTAGCAGCTTTGTCTGCTTCCATCAACTGCCGCCAGGCTCCTGTTTACCAACAAAGGCTACTCTTTGTTTCTTCTATATAGGGAGCTCTCGTGTCACAATTCCATTGTGGAATTAAACGTAACTCGAGCTTTCTCGGTTCTTGTCGTCAACTTTTGCCAGTATTCGACATGGGATCGGATACATCCACTTCGCTGAACCTGGCTTTAGATTAGGCTACTGCAATCATCCCCCAACATGCCACAATTGGAAGCGCAGCTGGCTGTTTCTTAAAGTGCAACTGATTGACTATTGTGGCATAGTACGTGGTTTGCATTGACTGTTGATTACTGCCACGATTGAGACTCTTGGAGTCATAAAACGAATCCATTAACCAGTTAATGCTACATAATATCAGTAAGGTTTCAACCAGGGGGTATAAACAACAATCACAAGATGTATCTGAATCCCGCCGCCCTCGCAACAGCATTAGTATGATCACGAGCAACTCCCTCTTCCATCTCCATAGATGCTTCTTCCTCATCTAGACGCTTGTTCATTCTCGCATGGATGAAACGAATAACCACCGCCAGAAGTACCACGAGAATGCACACGACGGCTGTCGCGCTGCCACCGGGGACATACCGCGGCCCCGATGACGAAGGCCACATGTAGCTCCCATAAATGGAGGCCGTATTTCCGATCATATTTGCCGTAGCGATGGCGGCAGAGCGCTTCACAAGCGGACGAGGGAAGGAGTTGGCGACCCAGGCGATGATGATTTGGTAGGCTGATACAGCGCCCATGGGCATTCTGTTTTCATCAGCCACTATACAATTGTACTCCGTGTATACAGTTCAATTGCAAATAAAGCGGGCTTACAGGAACATCGCGAAGAACCTCGCACCCGTATTCGTGGTAGCAGTCACAATGATACATCCAACCGTGCTTACCAGCATCAAGGCGATGATATGGAGGCCGCGATCGTTCGTCCGTCCAGACGTCCAGGTGACGATCAACGATACGAAGAATGTCCCAATCCAAACCGGGGCAGTGATGAGTAATGTCTTGATATTGCCGTAGTTGAGTGTTTTGACGATTGTGGGGAAGAAATACTGGAAATTCTGCGATAGGAGGGATGAGTGTTGAAGGAGGATGAAGAGGTAGATGCGCTTGTCTGTGAAGACTAGTAGAAGGGCTTCCTTGATGCTGTTTGAGCCTACCTCGTCGGCTTCGCCAGTGTCGTGGATAAGTCGCCATTGTGCGTATGCCTGTTCCTCTTCGTCGAGCCATTTGGTTGTGGTAGGATAGTTGGGGAGCAGGAATCTGTAGGAGAGAGTGTGGTTAGAAAATCAAACATACAGGCAAGCAGAGATATACTCACATTGAGATGACTGAGACTCCAACCGTGATGGTTCCTTCGATGATAAACAGCCACCTCCAGCCTGCTATGCCGTGTGCTCCATTCAAGTTCCCCAGGACCCCAGCACCGATGAGACCTCCAAATGCATTCGCCAGTGAGCTCCCTGCATAGAACCACGCGATGCGATGGCTCAGCTATTGCAGTTAGTATCTTGCAAAGGACGGCTTCATGGAAGGAAGAAGGCATACTTCTTGTCTCGTGTACCAACTCGACCTGTTCGACGTTAGTAAGAATGGCATTCATAAGTAGATAACACAAGCACACTCTCACTCACATCAACATAACAGCGCCAGGGAAGAAAGGGGCCTCGACAAACCCGAGGAAGAACCTCGCAACGACCAGTCCGGCGAAGGACGTCACTGCTGCTTGACAGGCAGATATGGCACCCCTGTATTGGTCAATGATATACAGAGCATACAGAAAATTTAGACGAAGATATACCAAATCGCCATAGCAAGACCCAAAAACATCGACGGTCGAACCTTGGTCAACAGTAAATTGGACGGGAGCTGCATGAGAAGATACCCCACGAACAGGATACTGGTAGCCAGGTTGAAGTCTGTTCCTTTCATTCCTAGGTCTTCCTCGAGAGTACCGAGTCGCGCTTGGGAGAGATTGCTACAGAAGCGTCCGGTTAGAACAGAACAGATGGGTAGGAGAGAGAAACAGAGAAGACATACTTCCTATCCAGAAAGTTCAACAAATACATAATGATCAACAGCGGCAGGAGGTGGATATCGACCTTCCTCAGCACCTTTCTCGTCATGAGACAATGCCAGTCTTCTCCCTTTGATGCGTAGGCTCGATACAGGATATCCTGTTCTGTCTCGCCCTTGTAGGCATCTTCGACCATGACTTCTGTCAGTTTCGACATTGTATGATATGGAACAAAACCAGATGTGACAAAAGGAAAAAATGTACTGAGGCATATAGCACACGGGCTAGAGAGACAGATAGAAGATCCTGGCTCCCACAACTCTTTATATACTGACAGACTCACTCACAACTACCTGCTTCATGCCATACTATCCCATCAGTCCACCTTCATTCTTCACCGGATTACCACCTCTCAGGACTCGGAGCATGTCCGAGGCGTAGACAAGGATGCGGACAAGGTCCATTTCCCCCGATTCCTTAGTTCCTTGGCTGTTGTGGAGTTTGGGGTAATAATTGCGGGGTGTAATAATATGGGGGTTGTCCGAGGTAGATTGGCCCGAGAGGAGAGGTTGAGGATGGAGAACTTAGAAGTCGGGCATGCTGTTGGCTTTATTACTGTCGGGATAAAGAAGATGAACAAGAGTATGATAGTGTGTGTGTGTGTGTGTGTGTGTGTGTGTGTGTGTGTGTGTGTGTGTAAGTTGCTTTGGCTCTCGGCTTCATTTTTACAGTGCATCGTGGACTTCCTAACTTCGGTTTCTATTACGTCCATGTCCATGTCTCTACTACTCCTCATCTGTTAACCTAAGTTCTGGCTTACCTGTCCATGGAGACGCCACCAGAGTTTATTTCTCAACCAAGCCGAGTCAGGCTCTATATACTACTCCCTCTCTGCCACCATCCTCGTCCTTCTCCTTCAGATTGCGCAGGCAAGGTGCATAGAAAAGGTTTCCACGCCAAGCTCCCAGTGCCGTTCGAGCGGCGACAACAACCCACAGAATCATCACGGCCGAACTGAAGATCTAGACAGACTATTAGCATGGAGACGGTGACTTTTGCCGTATTCTATTCCACGTGAGCTGTACATACCGTCCCGAGAACCTTGAAAAAGGCTAGATCCAACTCCTTCCCTAGCTGGATCGTATTGGCTGAATATACGCCGAGTGGGAATGTGAATCCCCACCAGCCCATATTGAAAGGAAATGGGGTACAGTGGGATACCGTTCCCAGTGCGAGGATGAGCCAGATTAGACCGAAACTCCACATGAGCAGTGAGATAAGGACGCCCATGACGTAGGCGATGCTGCCCGCGGCCGGATCGAGGACCATGTGGTCACGAAAGAGCATCCGAGATACCTTTCCCAGATATAGAATGCTGTCGCCGACATTAGCAGATCTACATAACCGTTATCGACAATAAAATGCTTACCTATACCCTCCAAACCCAAGGGGTCCAAGAGGTAAGAAGCAGCTTACAATCATCTCCCTGGGAGGTAGCTTATGTACCGCCAGACGCTGATAATATATCACTAGGATCGTCAATGCCAGTGGAGTACCCATTCCCCAGAGAATGTACGAGACCAATATGGTTCCCAAGGCACGGTGCTCATCGGGAAGGATCTCGGCGACTTCTGCTCCCGTTCCTGCGGCCACGATCGTAGCAGCAATCGGGAGCAATTGAAGCGCTGTGATCCGCTCCAGAGATGTTATATAACTCTGAGAAATCCTATATGAATACGAGTCAGCACATCCAGAGTTATTCACCAAGGAGTTTGTCGCTTGGCGATACGAACAAGATAAACGAAAGCCCCAACGTGACAGACATGGCAGCCGCAGCATCCACGATCCACAATGCCCAGGCAAGGCTTTTTGCCCACTCCCCCCACCGCGGTACGCAGATGAATACTAACATCTCTATAAGCGTGGCAAACCCCATCGGCATCGTGGCCAGGAAAAGAGAATTGGTGGGGTCTTGGATCATGACAGTCCAGATCCCCGGGTACAGTGCGTATCGCAGGATGGAGATACCTAGAGCCGTCGCAAAAAGAACAAGGTTGAGAACGAAGAATATTATGGACAGATAGTACAGAGATGCATTCTGGTAGGGAATGGTTGTGAGTAGCATGGCTACAATGCCAGTGCCCATTGTCACAGAGAACCATCTGCGATATGTACCTGTCAGCACCGAGAAAGACAATTCAGAAATGGACTCGGCTTACGATGGACTAAAATGTCTGACGACGCGCCGCCAACCGACGTTGTATTTGGAGACGACATTGTCTTGCTGGGGCTGTTGACGGCGAAACCCGTCGGCATTGCCGTTGGCGGTGACAACGGTCATTGGGACAGACATAACAGGTTATAAAAGGGCGCTGAGAGTCCAAATGATTGTTCCGGATGCATGAAGTGTCGGAAGAAGCGATGGCGCTGCAGAAGTGGGAGGTGAAAAGAGTGAGATACGCAGGTTGGTATAGAAGAGGGCATTTGCCTGGCTCGGCCGAGAAAATTCGCCACGAAATCAAGGTGTCGACCAGAGCCCAACGATCCACAGGACAGTCTTATCTCTTCACCTCGATGAATGCCACCTTTGGTAGCATCATTTACATGTCTGTCGCTGAGGGCAAGACAGTCTTGCTGGATTCTGAGTAGAGTTACAGAAACATGTATCGCAGTACAAGCCGGCCATATACTACAAACTCAATATTGTATCCACCAAGTCGTCCGGCTCGTCAAAGAAGTCTAACATCACGATCCCCATCCGTTTCCCCTTCTGCTGCTTCAGAAACGATGCCAACTGATGGTTGACTCCACCCTTCGGGGTCAATTTGGTCCCGTTCCCCAATGCCATGATCCTAGGAAAGTCTGGCGGAATGTTCGCATTGTATTCGCTGGATGCAAACGTCCAGAATAGACTATCCGGGGCCTGGGTGGCGGCCTTGGTCAGATGGGCAGTTGTCGCATTGTACTTCCACTGGATATTGAGCGCAGCGCTGGTGCCCTGGCCGGCGGAAGTCTCGTAGAAGTCCTCGATATACGCAATCGAATTCTCCGTGGGGTTGTAAACTAACTCGATGTTGGGCGAGTTCACCGTCCATTTGCGAGGAGAGAAGTGGATGCCTGGTAAAGCCTCCGTGTACGAGTCCGGGAGAGCATCAAGATCAAAACGACGGAATAATGTGATCTTTCCACGAGCATCACCAAGAGTGCCCAACCGGTTCTGAGTCTGTAGAATGTACTGTTTGGCATGGGCCGAGGTAAAGAGATCGTAGGTTTTCCGCTGGGCTAGAGCACTGAAGGGCGGCCTTTCATGCTGGAAAGATAGAAAAAGCGCTTCAGCCGGGTGGTCGGTAAGCCACCGATAGAACACGAACAGTACATCTTCCACCGTGGCTGTTTCTGACTGGAGAGCCGCGCCGTGGTAGAACACGAGGGATGAATTTGTGGGATCCAAGGCAAAGCGCAGGTCAAAGACACGAATCCCGCGGTTAAGCATGTCTGTAAATGACAGCGTTTGACAGCGATAGACGACGGAATCATACAACGGGCTGCCGTTGAGCTCTGTCACAGCACGCAGAGCATCCTGTGTGGCCTGCGAGTAGTTCCAAGTGGCACTGTCGTGGGTACCAGGGAGATTCATGTGGACGATTGGAGTGCTGTCCGGGTAGTTCTTCATCCAGTTGGCCTTTGGGGCTGATGATGGACTGTACTGGCCGAAGACAGGTGAAGCATCGTGGAGGACCTTTTGCAAGGCCAAGTCTGCTAAAGACGATGTAGCAGCAGCACTGCTGACAGCCAGTCTCGAAAAGAGCCAGTGCATATTCAGCACGCCAGCACAGATGCAGAAGAACAAAAGAACAAAGTAAACCGTTTTCTCCCTGTCGCTGATCCTGTTGCAGAACATGGAGTGTGGTTGAAGTCGAAGTAGTTAGTAGAAACCACTTCAGTACGTACTCGGTCGTGGCAATTAAGGTCTGAGCTCACGAGAGCCGATCCATTGAAGACGTGTTGTCGTCTGCTGCAGTCGCGGGGACACACGGTAGAAAGCAGATGGTTAGGTCCTTTCTCCTGGTGAGACAACGCATTAATGGCCAGAATGTTTAAATAATATGGATTGGCATCATAGCACGTTTTCTATTCCCGGCACGCTGTGGACGGAGAAACGGATAGCAGAGTTTGGTGGCGCGCATCGCAGCCTTGGCAGTCTCCAGGATATTTCTCCGGAGAATAAACCTGCCATAGAGCGTATGTTTATAATAATGTACGGATTTCCTACATAGATAAAAAGAAGGCTTCTAGCTTCTTAGTTGCAGGCTATCGTCATCCGTCCGGAAATTCTCATCCAGCTTTGAGTACAAGGCAGACCGGGATACGTGAAGCCTTCTTTCAGATACCTCTGCATAACAAATCCCCACTGCTCCTTCGTGTCCTATATTGATTTCCATCGCCACCACTGGTACTCTCTACGAAAGCGGTGTAAAGGGGGGCGTACGTGCGTTGTTCCCTGCGACAGGAACCGGGTTGTGATCGAGGGATCTCAGGAATGGACACACTGAACAATCTAGCAAAACGATATAACGATAAAAGGAAACACAACGATGAAGGAGCCTCGCTCCGCTCTATACGACGATAACGATACTAGTGAAGCAACCTAGAAACCAAAAGAATGCTCAATTTCTTGTAACTATCTGGGAGGGAACCCTCCATTAAGTACTTGCCGGCCGCGGGCTCCACCATACATTAGTATGTCGGAGACCGCGGTTCTACGGTGTTCCAAGATAGGAAATATGGGAGATCCGGGGTTTCGCAGTGCCCCCGGCACAGCGGCACAAGGGAAATCTATCATAAACAGATTAAAACTTCCTTCCATATTAGGGCGTACGATGAAGTTCCTCGTTTTAAAATCCTCGTTCAGAACGCCCTGGTCATTCAAAATGTGGACAATCCGAGTGGCATCCTCGGACGCTTTGCCAGACCTCCGTCGGGGCACGCGCACCAAGATCGGTCAAGAAGAATCCATCGATATACTGTAAAAGGATTCCTGGGATATCAAGATACTTGCTGATTGACGAATCTTGCGAAGGACAGGGTCCCAACACTGCCAGGCACGAGATAGCATTGCCCGCGATGTAGGGGCATCTATAATGATCAGCATGTCTTCTTAGTGTTGGCTTGGAAACATGATAAGCTACCTACTTTGGATTCGGTTCTTGATCAATCTATATCCTCAGGAATTAACTGATAGTCAAGACATACAGCCTCCAGAGCATGCAGCAGCTAGATGTAGTTTCAGTGTAGCTGTAGGTGCCTGGGGCAATCTTGCCCTTTTCTCGACTAGTTGGAGAATCCAGCATTGCGACAGGACGAAGTTGTATTATCAAGAGAATTGGGTGATGTATGGGCAAAGAAGGGAGAAATGCCTCCTCAAGGTGTATGAATCCCACAATCCATGTAAACCACAGACACGAGGCTCATTAATGGCTGTTTTCCAGATTGTCTCGTGGGAGATTAGACGTTGCGATGGTCAAATTGTAGAAAAGGTAGGCAGCACGTGCAGCCCCGACAAACATCTCCATCGAGACATCTCGGACTTCTCAGACGACGACACGCAAATTGCTTCCATGACCAGAAGGCTCCGTACTTAGCTAAAGGAAAATGGATCCATGCACTTAAATACGGCAAGATGGAGAGTTATTCCATCGATCTCGCATTATTCTTTCTTCTTCTCGTGTGTGCCTCCCTGTGTCTGGTCGACATGCTGTCTCGCTATCTGCTCGATTTGGCCCTGCTCACAGCTCCCGTGGCTGCGAGCTTGTCAGCCGTAGACACCTTCTATCCTTCTGGTCTCTCTGATGTTTCCTGGATTACCAATGCTTCCCTCGGCAGCTACGGGGGTATCTATGAAGCCCCTGCAGACGAGCCAAGCCCTCCGCCATCCCCCTATGGTGTCTACGATTACTGTACGATGCCTCACCCGCGTGTAGAGGAGTACAAACTGCCAGCCGTGGTCGAAAACGGGTCAGTCGAAGCTCGGCTGGTGTATCTCGAGTACCTTCAGCGCCACCAGAGACGGACCCCGTATAACATCCTCCCAGGTGGTGAAGTAAGATCTCCACAATTAATTAATAGTTCAGCTACTTCTCCATCCTAACGCGTTAAGCAGTTGAAAGAGTTCCGCTGTGACAACATCCTACCCTATCTCTATGCCGGCCCAGCAAGCGGCCAAGTGCCGCTTCAGATCTACGCAAAAACTTACACCGATTCCTCCAACCCATTCGCAATGGAGTCAGTGCAAGGAACTTGCCAGTACCCCCAGCTAACGGTCGGTGGTCTGCTGGATGGCTACCAGCACGGTCGTGATATCAGGGCCCTTTACGGAGACAAACTGGGTCTCCTCCCCTCGTACCCTGATGAACGCAAGGTGTGGTTTCGCTCCAGCTCATCACCCTTGACCCAAGACTCCGCAGGAGGGGTGCTCCGTGGAATATGGCCTTTCCATTATGGCGCGATTCCACTGCACCAGCAAGCAGCATCAGTTGATACCGTCAACGGAGGATATTCCTGTCCTGCGCAGTCTACCGTTCTGAGTGCCATTGAGTCAAGTGACAAATGGAAGGAGCATATGTCCGCTACACAGCCACTGCGCGATACTCTGGCGACTATGTTCGATGCGAACACGAATAACTGGATGTCCACGTTTGACCACTTTGCGGATAATTTCCAGGCGCGACTATGCAACGGGTACGAATTGCCTTGCAGCCGCAGTGATCGATCGCAGTGCGTCACTCAAGCCCAGGCCGATGAAGTCTTCCGCGCGGGAGATTGGGAATGGAACTATTACTGGCGGGAGAACGAGAATGCCACTTTGTACATCCAGCTCGTGGAAGGCCTATTCATCAAGGAAATCCTTGGCAGAATCGAGGCTGTCGCGAACGGCAAGTCTGACCTAGTGTATAGCCACAACTTCGTCCATGATGGCGACATCGGTCCGGTCCTGGGAGCATTGGGGATCGAACAACTGAGATGGCCAGCCATGGCTTCCAACATTGCATTTGAGATCTGGTAAGCGCCAGTTCTAGGAATTGGTCTTACAGCTGTTAACAATGATAGGGAAACATCCAACGCCCAATTCTACGCCCGTGTCCTTTACAGCGGCCACCTCATCAGGACCGTACACGGCACGCTGGACTGGATCCCCGTGTCCTCGTTGGTTGACATTTTGACACCTTTTGTTCCGACGGATATTGTTTCACTGTGCAAGGCTTGAAAGGAGGCTGTAGACTTGTTCTGGATATATAATTGGAGGAATTGATCGCATATCAATTGGGCTGGCAATAATATCCGATGCTTACTCCGTACGGAGTCCTTCCAGGGCTTATCTTCCCCGGCTTGATTATAAATGCAACCCAACCAAGTTCAACATCGTCATCACCCCTATCAATGCCATGGTTTGGATAAAATAATATCATATTTCTTTCTCATCTCTCCTCCACTGCAAGCGCCATGGCCGCAGGGTCAAGAAGAACAGAGTCGCCTTCGGAGGAGACCCCTCTGATTGCGTCGTCCACGATCGAGGATAATGGAACCGACATGCCGGTCAGTCTGGCCAGAGGGTTGGCGATCATTTCTCTCATGGGTCTTCTCATCTTCATTCAAAGTGGGTTGCTATGATTGAATTCGTCGTTCGTTGCTGTCTGTATTCGACGAACTGACCGACGACGCTTATCGCCAGCTACCAATATGTCGATGATGACCACTGCCCAGTCGGAAATTGCAACAGATCTGGATGCTTTTGCAGAAGCGACTTGGTTCACTTCTGCCTACCTCGTACGATATGCCGCTGCTCCTTTCATCTGTTCCGTGCGAAGTGATCTACAGATGACTGACATGTGGTACCAAGATTGCAATGTCCAGCATCACGCCTCTTGCAGGCCGGCTCTCACTGATATTTACACCACGTGTGTTCGTCTTCTTTTCGAGTCTAGTCCTATCCCTGGGGCTCTTCATCACCGCATTGGCGAGGAACATCACTTTATTCCTACTGGGACGTGCAGTCTCTGGCTGCGGCTGTGGGGGGTTGATGAGCACATCGATCATTCTGGTTCTCGACCTGGCTAGCAAGCGCCGGAGAGGACTATGCTTTGGGATGATCAACAGCGGGTATACCATAGGAGTTGCGTCCGGCGCCGTTCTGGCGGGACTCCTAACTCCAGCTTATGGATGGGTTCGTGACTGCATCTGCTATCAACGAAAGAGGCATATTTGACTGATGTGGTAACCTAACAGCGATGTATCTTCTGGGTTCAGGCCCCCGTGGCATTGGTCCTGGCACCCCTACTCTTTATGGCGATACCCAGCCATCCGCATCGTTCCTCGAACCACGGTGGGACAAGATCATTACTTCAGAACCTTGCGAGGATTGACTACGGTGGGGCACTGGCATTGGTAAGAACGAAAGAGTAGGATTGGACACAATGCATCTTAGGCTAACACAATCATCAGACACTTGCTGTTGTTCTACTTCTCTCTGGTCTTGCCTCTACGAAGATCAACACAATTCGGGTTCTCCTATCCCTTATATCACTTGTGACATTCCTTATAATCGAATCGGAATTCGCAGCAGAACCCATCGTACCTATTGCGGTTCTCAAAACCCGCAGCGTCTTGCTAACTTGTTCTGCCAGCATGGGCTTGATGGTGGCTCGCTGGGGTGTGCTCTTTTTCGCCCCCGTCTATGCAATGGCCGTCCGAGGCTGGTCTCCAGCCTCTGCTGGGTTGATCCTCGTACCGACGAATGCAGGCTTTGGACTAGGAGGACTCCTAGTAGGATGGATACACATCCGCAAAGCAGGCAGTTACTACATGTAAGCCTTTTCTCGTTTCCCAGCCATCAGATTCCTAAACTAACACACTGGGCAGTTCATGTCTTCTCGTTTTCTTCCTGTTCGCTTCATCAACCTTCCTCCTTTCAGTCCTGTCGACTCCGACTTCCTCAACCATAGCCTACGTGTCTGCCATCTTTATCAATGGCATTTTTGCGGGTGCAGCGTCGAACTACTCGATGTCGCATGTATTGCATCTTACAAGTCCCCATGTGAATTACATCGTCACCTCATTGCTGGCTATGTCGCGAGGTTTCGCAGGCAGCTTTGGATCCGCAATCGGTGGAGGGCTGTTCTATCGGCAGCTAAAGATATTTCTTGAGACTGGCTTTGCGGGACATGATGAGCTGATCCGCAAACTGCTGGGCAGTCCTGCCTTGGTGTCGGAATTAACTGGTCCGGAGAAGGAGGTCGCTGTGCAGAGCTATGAGCATGCGGTGAGAATGCTGTTCTTAGCGGGCAGTATCCTGGCGCTTGCAGCGACGGTCTTCCAGGCTGGGACGGGATGGCATTCTCATGAAGCAGTTGAGAAAGAAGTGGAAGAAATCTTGGAAGATGAGGATCTAGAGGGACTAGTCGAGGAGGGTCGTGGGGGTGATTGAGAAGGCGTACGGCTACTTGGATCTATGATTTGTGGTATTACTTGGATATCTACATACCACCAGTATGATTCAAATGCGATCCATACAGTATTATAAACCAGTTAATCTGGTACTCACAATATGAGAGGGGAAGAGAGAGATAGCACTTGTAGCATTCATTAATCAGAGGTATTTCCTAAAGAGGTATAGAGTGATGCCTTGCTGCCTGGTAAACGATAAGTCCCCGAAAAGACGTCTTTCCCCCAGACGAAGTTTTGCATTTAACTCTCAGCAGCCACCGCCAGTTCACCCTGTCCATCCGTCAGACCTATTGAGTATATCATTTACCATTTATCCAGAATGCCCAGAGCTGTCAGAGGTAAGCCTTCCCCCATCTTGGTCCGTTCACCTCATTAGTACTAATCACGCGCGACAGGCGTCTTGATCGAATGCGACCCATCCGTCAAGGCGATCATCTTGAAATATGACGAAGAGCGACACGATTATGTCGTCGAGGACCTGGATGATGAGCGGCACTTGGTCATCAAGGAGAGCCAGCTACAGAACTTGAAGGAGAGATTAGGCAGGGTATGCGACGAGGCCTGGGGGGACTGATGCAGCCTTTTCCAACGGCTTTAATGTCGCTGCTGAAGAGAGACGGCTAATTTGGATGTAATAACAATGTAGGAACTCGATGAAAAGGTCATGCAGCCGGAGGAATCAGAGTCGGAATAAACTCGTTCGCCAACCTACGGAATACGCTCGTGGATATTCGGCCGATAGTCATGGGCCGGTCGAGGTTTTACTATGGATACTTTTCTGCCAGCATATGTCGATCGGCAAGTCGAATGTTTACGTTGCGTCTTTGCACCATTCACAGACAATGGGGTCGATCATCTGCTGATCCACGCGATGAGGAGAACTTCTTCCCTTCCATTCAACCGAGCACAAAGATCACCAGGCCCGGGGCTTATAGTACGCATACATGTCCTTTGCAGGATAGGATGTGGGGCCGCGACATCCCGAGCAGGCATGATATGCAAAAGGACCTCGCAGAGAATACTGCTCCAACAGCTGCAGAACTTGCCCACTCAAAACTTGCTATGATCCTGCCATTGTCCTATCTAACTGGATAGTGATTTCGTTGCTCATATTTGAAATTCTATAACGTGACAACTGCTCGTATATCTGTCGTCATACATACGTACAGCACCTGTGGCCTGACTCAGATTGTCTCTATTTTCTTTATTTTTTCCCAGAAAAAGACACAACTGTAGTCTGGTTAGGCCTGAATGGAGTGGTGTGAGGTAGATACTTGCAGGTTGACGTTCCGTGCAGTGCAGGATTTCTGCTGTTCAGGTGGCAAGAATGCGCTCCGGCAGAGGATATTATCGAAGCTTACCTTAACAGCGTGAGACCATTCGAGAATAGCTCTGAAAATAGCTACATGGATGATGAAAGTGTCAGGTTGTGATCGACGAGTTCTTCGTTTCTCCAGGAATCTACCCGTCACGTGAAATGTCTCGAACCGCCTAGAACCCTCGCCGATTGCCCGATCGGGAAATGTGCTAACACGCCAGGGATCCAGTTATGACGCGACGCTTCTCGAAATCACGACGCTGCCTTCGTTCCTTCACGATTGTTCCTGTTTATGTATGACGATACCAATCAGTCCTACAACATGGCAGGCCTTTGCATGCTCCCTCAGGGTATATATAGGCCTTCGCGTCCTGCTCTGTCGGACATTCTCTTCAGCAGAATTGCAAACAATCAGAAAGCAAATACAAGAACACCTCAAAACTCTTAACAACCTTCCAACATCAGTCCAACATTCTTCAAGAACACACAACAAACAATCAACATGTCTCTCTTCAGAACCTCCTTCCCAGCAGGCACCGGCGACTTCGCTCCTCTCTTCCGCCTTCTGGACGACTATGATGTCCACCGCAATTCCCGCAACCAGGCGACCTTGAGCTCCTTCGCTCCTCGCTTTGACGTTCGCGAGACCGACAGCTCCTACCAACTAGACGGAGAACTCCCCGGTGCGATTCAAAAGAACATCGACATCGAATTCTCAGACGCTCAGACCCTGGTGATCAAGGGCCATTCTGAGCGTGAATACCAGTCCCCTGAACCCAAGGAAGGGGAGAAGACAGAGGGTGAGAGTCACAAATACTGGGTCAGCGAGCGGACTACCGGCGAGTTCCAACGTGTCTTCACCTTCCCGGCTCCTGTCAACCATGACAAGGTCAAGGCGACCTTGAAGAACGGCATCCTGTCGGTCACAGTGCCCAAGACTACTGCACCTACCACGAAGAAGATTACCATCGAGTAAAAAGGCAGTCCGAGTCGAAATTGATTTAATGCGATGATTTGTATTTGATGCCTCGCATTGCATTCTCTGGCGCAGATTGTGGTGGATCGGGATGATTGCATATGGCAAAGGTTTATGAATTAGCTTAGTGCTTTAATATAATCGTTTCAAACTTGAACATTCACAGTCGAAGACTTGAGTAGCTATTATCGGTGAGCGTTGATATTCAGAGATAGCCAGCTATCCAATGTAATAATTACAACTTCTCAAACGTAGGAGTCCGCTTCTGCAAACCTGAGAGCAGCGCAGAAGCAAGATCCGTCGTCTGCAACGCAGCACTATTCCAGATGCTTGTATACCGGAGACCTATAGCTGTCAGCATTCTAAACAACAACAATAAAAAGAAAGAGAACACACCATCCAACACCCCTCTATCCCTCGAATAATTCAACAACTCCTTCGTCCCTTGTACGGCAACCGGACTCTTCCGCGCAATCAACCCAGCCAACTGCAAAGCTGCATTCACAGCATCCCCTTTGGAAGGCAAAACGGCATTAACAAACCCAACAGACTTGGCCTCCTCAGCGCCCCAAGTCCTCGCAGAAAAACACACCTCCTTCACCCACCCAAAACTCCCAACAACCTTAGGCAACCGACTCAACGTTCCAATATCAGCTGCAAGACCAATATCGACCTCCTTCACGGAGAACCGAGCATCAGCCGAACAAACCCTCACATCAGCCGCCGTGGACAAATCAACGGCAAGACCAAGACAGAAGCCGTGCATGGCGACGATGACGGGCTTCTCGCACCGCTCGACGGAGGTAATGCAGTCCTGGAATTCGGAAATGTGGCGGCGTAGTTGCGCTGCTTTGCGCGCGGGATCTGTTGTTTCGTCCGATTCGGCTAGGATGCCGTTCGACGCGGCTTGGACGTCTAGTCCTGTTGTGAAGGCGCGGTCGCCTGAGCCTGAGAGGACGATGGAGCGGATATTGGAGTCTGTTGAGAGTTGCGTGAAGAGTTGGCGCATTTCGAGCCACATTCTTTTTTTCTCGTCCATTTCGTCAATATGTAGTGCAACTGTAGATGTAGGATCATAATACGCACGCCTCAATAAACGCATTCAGTTTCTCGGCTCTGTTGATCTCCACGTGTGCTACATATTCATATTCTTTGGGGAAGCGGACGAGGAAGTATTTGAATGATGTGTATGCGCTTTCGGGCGTTGTGTCTGACATTGTTGCTATCTGAATATGGTTTCAGCGTTCACAGATACAGAGAAGTAGAATAAGTAGAATGAGCAGCTCTGAAGAAATATAAATAATGCAATGCTTAAAGATATACTGCCTAGGTAGCTGTTTCACGTGCCGAGGTTCGGCTGCAAGTGATTGTTATTATAATCCTGCTCCGTTGAAACTGCAATTACTTTGAAAAGCAACTCTGCCCGAGTTTCATCCTTTCTACGTATGGGGTCCAGATGGACAAGTATGTATCGGATAGCACAGCAATATATCCCAAAAGCTCAAAACAAAAAGCCATCCTGAATCTCCTGAACCAAAATCGTGCAGTCATGGTGGATGTCATCCACTCGAACCTATGAGTCGTTAATCGTAGCATATAGTAACGTAATTGAAGTCCGCAGTATCTGTTCATCTTATTGAGCCGTATCAAATCCTTCTGTAGACCGTCAATCTTGCGTATTCAACAGCGGAACGCGTACCAACTACGACTGACCCATCTCCTCCAATACGGCCTTCACACATCCCCGATTGCCAATACGATTGTAATATCGATGTAGGCTGGGATACTGCGAAGTCGAGATCACACCGGTCTTCTGTTCAATCTCCCTTAGGACTGGCCAGAGAGAACAGTCATCTACCCCGAAGGCGGTTCCATTCAGATAATGCCGGCTATCTTGGGCTAAGGCTTGCTCCCAGCGATCTAATGCGCCAAACTCGCCCTGCCGTCCAGCATTCCGGTAATCCCGCCAGCTCCTCAAGAGCTCCTCAATTTGCGATAGTCGGGATCCCTCAGGCAACGGTTCCACGCCCGCGCGCGTCGGGGGATGCTCCGCGATGTGGGTAAGAATGTTGACATCCCCAATAACCTCAGTACCTTCCGGATCAAAGTATTGAGGCTGACCTGCTACGGATGATTCTGAAGAGTCAGGCTTTGTCACTTTGTGGCGCTGACCGGCCTCTTCAAGGCACAACCGCACGCGCATGTCTGCCACGGGGTCTCCACTTGGAACCAACCTTGCAGAAGTAGCAGTGACAAAGTTGATGACATTGAACCCACCGCCATAAACCGCATCCCAGTCAAACTCAGTGGCACGGTTCTCTTGTCCAAAAGCACGGATTAGCCGTTCCGCCTCAGTCGGGTCCCCATGGATCACCTTGCCTGCTTCTTCCCTGGACTTAGCGACGGCTCCTTGCCCCCATATGGTACCAGCAACGGGATCGGTGAAGGTGCCAATGTGCCGAAATGTGAGAGAGATACGCGTACCGCCATACGCTCGTTCCTCTGCCGACTTGGCCGAGTCGGGTCTTTTGTCAGGACGGATACCATGTAGCCACCGCATATTTGTCTTTTGGCCTAAAATGAAAAGAGACTCATGTGGCAGTAGCACCCGCTGTGTTTGCCGGCCGGATCCTTTCTCGTCGGGTGACGACTCTCGGGCAGAAGCTTTCGTGCGAAGAACCATGACACGCTGGGCTCCCAAGCTGACATTGCAGATAGAGGAGTCCCTGACAATGTCAAGTGTCTTGTCCGAATGCTCAGTGATGTGGTCCTGTCCATCGCGATAAAGCTGAATGAGAACATGGTTGAGTGGATGTCTCAATATACGCTCGACAATAACCCGAATTTGGTCCACAGTGGGAGTGAATGGCAGCAATGGTGATGCTTCATCGACTGGATGACGATATATAGGGATCGATGCGTCCGGCTTGCACTGTCCCTGCACAGCCACCAGCCGCGGGACCTGGCCAGACAGATGGTACATTTTTTGCCAGGCCACTTCTCCACGGATCTTCTCAAATGCATCCGGAGGCAGGTCCAGATCGTGTATAATACGTGAGTCCCGCTCACCGATGGCAGTTCCGGGTCCCAGGTATGTTTCTGGCGTCCTGCGTCTGCTCCGTCGGTTCGTTCGAGATGCCGACTCGGTTCGGGACTCAAGCCGGCTCGACTGGCGCAATCTGTGGGCTCCCCTTCCCCCTATTGAAGACTCTATAGATTTCCTGGGACCGTTGTAATATGAGCCATAGCGAGCGTGGAAAGGCTCGAGTAACCTTGGGAGGGACGAATCCTCATCGGACATGGTTCCCACGTCGATATTGAACTTGCCCGGTTGACGATCCTCCGGAGACAGTTCTGGTTGTTCTTCTCGTGCAGCGAATTTAGTCTGTCTGGGACTAGGATTAGCTTGCACGTCAAGTTCATCCAAGACGCCTTCGATGCCAGCAGCGGTGATGGAGCGGGTTGGTTCAGGAGTATGCCTGGAGGCGATAGCATCAGTTTCCTGCCAATCAAGTTCTTCGTAGAGTTCATCGGTGGTGATTCCACTGGCCCCAAGTATGTCAGCCATGCGGCGCATGGCTTCTTCATGGCGCCCAAAGCTGCGAAACCCCAGACAATCTTCAATCAATGTGACGGAGAAGCCATGACGTGCGGCATCGAGGGCCGTGGCGTAGACGGACACATTGGACAAGGAACCGCACAGGTAAAGCTGAGTCACGAAGCGAGTACGAAAGGTCAAAACCAGGCCCTCGCTCTGGAAAGCAGAATAATTGGATTTTTCAAGCACAGTGTCGCCACCGTCGGTATCGATGGCCGCTAGGATCGGAGCAGGGAACTGATGACCGGACGTCTTGGGAAGACAGCATCTAGGGGGTTGAATGGTGAGAAATGCTTCCTCATCGTTAGTAGAGTCGTGATGATCCTCATGGCCGTGCTTTTTCCCGTCATCCTCCAACCGAGAAGTTAACACGATTCGATCTGCGTGCGAATCGGGATCCCAGAGTAGTCGAGGCTCTTCATAATGTGACCGTACCCATACGACATCACCAACATGGCGAAAAGCCTTGGCTAGTTCGGGCAGATTATCGAGGAAATCGGTAGCATTGGAAACAGGAAGCGCCCCAGAGGGTCTGACAAAGTCATTCTGGAAGTCAAGGAGAAGCAAGGCCTTCCTTGTCTGGATTCGAGGCAGATTGACGGATGGGAAGAGGTTCATCATGTTGCTGACATGGTGAGAAGAGGCAGAAGAGCGACAGTGCGTTTTCCCAACGGCAAGACTGGGTATGGTGGTGATGAGGGTGCAGATGCGAGGTATCTCTGCAATCCCACAGGACTCCGCTCATATGCAAGGAAACAGATGGAATCACAACAAAAGTACTGGTGCCGAGTCAGTTTCACATAGTGTGCTCCTTATGATCAGAGACTTGGCTTGCTGCGATGCTGAGATGAAGTGATAAGCAGTGATTCCTGGCGGACATCCAGCGATGCTTCCTCTGCTCCCCTGAGGCTAATAGGAGGAGCAGCGACCAAGTCAGAGCTAAGTAGCTGCGTCAGGGCGCAACCCTGCCATGTTTCCTGATCGGGCAAGAACCAGGACAGGCGGTGTGAAACTGCCGCAGGGTAATATTACGATCGTCGTACCGTACTAGCGGTATTTTCTATTGGCTGGCCCACTTTACCAACCAATAACAGGCCCTATATATCCGACATCGGCCGGGGAGCTGCTGCACCACTCCGGATCACGTGCATCGCCCGGTCAACGCAGGAGTCATTCCTTCCAGCAGGTTTTCTCGCGCTGAAGTTAAAAAGCTGCGCCTCTCCTCTCTTCTTCATCTCTGTTTTTGTCTCGATTTCTATTCTCAGGTCTACACTCTCCCCTTCATATCCCTCCATCTTTTCACAATGGCTTCTCGTGGTCTTCCCCGTGCTCTCCGCCTGGCCCGTGTGGCAGCTCCTCGTGCCGCCGCCATGTCCGCCACCCTTCCCCGGCCCATTCTGGCCGCCGCTGCCGCTACCGTCCCTCGTGTGTCCGTTGTGACTCCAATCCGTGGAATTAAGACCATTGACTTCGCCGGGACAAAAGAAACCGTCTACGAGCGTGAGGATTGGCCTCGTGAGAAGCTGCAGGAGTACTTCAAGAACGACACACTTGCACTCATCGGCTACGGGTCCCAGGGCCACGGCCAGGGTCTGAACCTGCGTGACCAGGGCCTCAATGTCATCGTTGGTGTCCGCAAGGATGGTGCTTCCTGGAAGGAGGCCATCCAGGACGGCTGGGTCCCCGGAAAGAACCTGTTCGACGTCACCACCGCCATCGAGAAGGGTACCATCATCATGAACCTCCTCTCCGACGCCGCTCAGAGCGAGACCTGGCCCACCATCAAGCCTCTCCTCACCAAGGGCAAGACCCTTTACTTCTCCCACGGCTTCTCCCCTGTTTTCAAGGACCTGACCAAGGTCGATGTCCCCAAGGACATTGATGTGATCCTTGTTGCCCCCAAGGGCTCTGGCCGTACCGTCCGCACTCTTTTCCGTGAGGGCCGTGGTATCAACTCCTCCATTGCCGTTTACCAGGACATCACTGGCAATGCCAAGGAGAAGGCCATTGCCATGGGCGTTGCTGTCGGTTCCGGATACCTGTACGAGACCACTTTCGAGAAGGAGGTCTACTCCGACCTATACGGTGAGCGTGGCTGCCTCATGGGTGGTATCCACGGTATGTTCTTGGCTCAGTACGAAGTTCTGCGCGAGCGTGGCCACAGCCCGTCCGAGGCCTTCAACGAGACCGTCGAGGAAGCCACCCAGTCCCTGTACCCTCTGATCGGAGCCAACGGCATGGACTGGATGTACGCGGCTTGCTCCACCACTGCTCGCCGTGGTGCCATTGACTGGTCTAGCCGGTTCAAGGACAACCTGAAGCCTCTGTTCAACGAGCTCTACGACAGCGTGCGCGATGGCTCAGAGACCAAGCGGTCTCTCGAGTATAACTCGCAGAAGGACTACCGTGAGAAGTACGAGAAGGAGATGCAGGACATCCGTGATCTTGAGATTTGGCGTGCCGGCAAGGCCGTTCGGTAAGTTTATGTTTCCTTTTTAATCGCAGAGAGAATACAGGCTAACAATGATGCAGCGCCCTCCGTCCCGAGAACCAAAAATAAATTAGATACCAAGCATTTGTTTTATGATGGTTTTATATGTACTTGAAAAGCAATGATGTGTGGAGTACTGGTAATTAATGGAATGACATTTTAATGTATTTCTTATCAAGCTGTGATCTTTCTCAGGCACGTATTCAGTAGTTGGTTCATTCCAACTCTTGAAGGAAAAAATAGAACAGAACGCATGTACAACTTCTGTAATCACTCTACCCAACTCTAGCAAGATGGGGAAGGACTGCATAGAAATAAAACCTAATTACAACTAGAATGTGAGTACCTGTGAAATCGACGCCCAAAATGACCGCCAGTGAAGCCGGTCATTTCCACACAGCGTTTCAGCGACCTGTTGCTGCTTTAACCATTAACACACGTGCTGTGGCCACTATTCTGCACCCGCCAAGCCCATTTCATAGCACCGCACCCCGTGCTGTTGGTTTACCCTGCGAACCTCTTCGACTCATGATCGAATCGCCGCCGAGAATGGCTTCCCTCGCTGCCAAATACAGCTGCTCTCTGATTCCTACGGGCTTTCCCGGGCAACCGTATAAAATGTCACTTTTTCTCCTCCAGAGTATTCATGGCCGAATTGTCGCTCTGGATCCAGCACTCCCCGACATTCAATTGATTCAGCCATGCAATGTAGGCGCGTAAATCCGTGCGAGCTAGTTGGATTGGTAGGTCAAATCTTTGTTAAGCGCCAGGAGTCGGATGAGCGAAGAGAGGACGAGGTAATCGCAATTTGCCTGTTGGAATCATCCATCGCGAAGTTTTTGGGGTGAGGCTTACCCAGCAGACTGACCCCCTGTCTGGGCTCGCCGGACCTTGAATGAGGAAATCTGGAATTCTGGCAGCGATTTCAATCGTTCTGGGCTGAAAATGAGCCTTTTTCTTCCCTTCCTCCCCAGAATGTGTATAACCGCTTTTGCGGCCTAAGATTTTTAGGCAAGCTCCTGTGAGGGAGCCTTTGCTAGCATGTATGATAGAATTAGCTTAGCTACTAGATAGGTGATTCCGCTTCGCCCGTCGTATATTCCGTTTCAGGACCTGGCGGCACGTGTTCTGTTTGACACGTGAAACGGGGAAGCTTCGGGGCAGCAGTGCCGATTATCCGGATAACTGTACGAGGCATATGACAGCCAAGAGCTATAGTGACAGTATCGCGCAGTAGAGAATGTACGTAGTATTGAGTCTGCTGTAGAGTGCTTGCTAAAACTAACTAAGAGCACCTCATCGCCATACGATAAAACCTCTCTGCTAGATCGGTCCGATATTCATTCGATCTTCATCAAACACGCGGCCGCCTTTCTGACGTAAAATATAAAATAGCAACTACTACTACCACTACTGAACCATCTTAGTTCCCACAAAACTCCGTGATGAAGGCACTTCTTGAGTGCTCACGACAAATAACGAAAGTATTATCTCCTTTTTTCATTTATCAGTTTTACGTTCACGTCTAGGGAAATTTGAATCATAACCTGACTCCTAAGGCGTCCGCTGCAGTGCGCAATGCCCAGTCTTGATGAGAACGTCCCATCACGAGCTCCAGACGGGCCCGGAGATACAACATTTACCCCAACCATTGGTGCATGTGCTTTCCTACTCAGCTGGTAAATCTTTAGATTTTAACATTCTCGCAGGCCTGAAGCAAGGACGATACGAACATATTCCCGCTCGATGGCGTTGATATCGAGAGCGTTTCGAACAAGGAATTAGTGCGGCTTGGGGAGACTGCTCCTGTGCTCTAACAAATCGGCTCAAGCAAAGTCCTACGAATTTCTCATGACCTGGTATTGAAATGCGGGCCTTTAGTTCTTCCCAGTGAGGCTAGAGCTCTAGAGTTTGTCAGAGCGGAGACCTCAATCCTATTGAAATATGTGGTTTAACACCGGAACTCAGAAGATCAACCCAGAATCTATAGTCAGGCTGATAGTCCGTCCAATATCCATAGGATGATGCAGAGTTTCTCTCATGATCACTTCAAGGTTTAGCATATTTGCTAGGACGATGTCTGATCCATCAACGACATCGCTTTACTAGCAAAAGGATACTTGCGCGCCTTGGCATCCATGTTGGCACCGGTCTGGATCAGAAGCAGGACTCCCACCTCGAACACCCGTCCAACTGCCATATGGAGTGCTGAGCAGCCCACGTCATCGTAAGCATTAATATCCAAATCCCGCTCATACTGGGCCCGGTGCTCTAGTAGGAGCTGAAGTATTCTCAAGCTCGGTGTAGCACCGCCCAATGTAACGCTGAGCGGTGCTCATGGTCCAGTATGCCAATACGGAGCTTGAGTTTTCGGGCAGAATTCGTACTGCATTTTGAGATGCGCCGTGCGGCCGTTGGAAGGAGGTGTCGGAAGAAAATACTGAGGCATTGACAACATGTAGAAGATTGTCTATCACGTCAAGGTCCAAGGTGAGCCCACGTCATTGGCTAATGCCTCATTATTATGGACAACCGAGTCACCTATAGACAGGCCATATTCACGAGGGAAAGGAAGGAATCAGTATTCGAGGCATGGTGGTCCGTTGGGATATCCTGTGAAAGTCTGAAGGGACCAAGGGAACCTTGAGGCGCGTCGTCGAGGGTGTTATCTGTAGCTCAGCGTTTCTTTTCTGGGATATGACCGCAATAATATTCTTGTCAGAACCTTTTTCCAGGAATAATAGAGGGCAACACTCCCGATGGAACTTGCGCTGCGCCATGCGATTCTGATGTCGGCGACGCTCCGCGGGGTCAGGTTGGAGCTGGACGGTAAAATCCATCACTCCTAGGGGTTTTGTGTAAAAAGAAAACCTAGTTGGAGGTCTAATTGCTTATAGGACCCAATATGAATTATACAGGTAGCTACGAGAGAAAAATCCGTACAATGGACATAAGCTGTGCACTTCTATCTCTCGCAGACGGAGTTGACGCCATAAGCGGATTCTGACCGAACAGCGCATCTCTCCTTCAATTGAACAAAAGAGAAAGTCAAAGATGGCCGTGACTGATCCTGCAGTGACTGCAAAGTTGCTCACACCAGCGGCAGTCCACAATGCCTATACTCTCATCAAGCCTTACATCCACACCACTCCGTTGCTGACCTGCAAAACGCTGAATGCCATCGCTTCAACCCCCCAATCTGCCGAGTCTCTGCGGGGGACGCCCTTTGAGGGCCAAGCACCAGCCAAACCCAAGTTCCGGCTCTTCTTCAAATGCGAGAATTTCCAGCGGATAGGCGCCTTTAAAGCACGAGGCGCGTTTCATGCTTTACTGAGACTCATTGAGCAGAAGGGCGAGGACGAGGTTAGAAAGCGCGGGGTCATCACGCACAGTTCTGGTTTGTCGTCCTACACACTACAATACTCCATGCCACCTTTGAACCATGATTGTGGTGGCGGAAATAACACTGGTGAAGTGATTCCAAGTATAAAATACTGACAACGAAAAGGAAACCATGCTCAGGCCCTTGCTCTCGCAGCCTCCACCCTCCATATCCCCGCATACATCGTCATGCCTAGCATATCCACGCCCTCAAAGATAGAAGGCACGAAGTCACACGGAGCAAAAGTCGTCTTCAGCGGCTCGACGAGCACAGAACGCGAGGCTGTGGTCGCGGAGATTCAGAGCCAAACCGGTGCGATCCTGGTCCCACCTTACGATGACTTCAATGTGATCTGCGGACAGGGTACGACCGGATTGGAGCTGGAGGGACAGTATGCGCAGTTTGTGAAGGAGAATCCGGGCTTGAGTGTGCACAAGGACAGCCCCGGAAATGCAACACTGGACGCAGTCATCACTCCCATTGGAGGCGGGGGGCTCAACGCCGGCGTTGCGACCTACTTCTCTGATAAGTCCACGCGGGTTTTTGGGGCAGAGCCTAGCTTCGAGGGCGGCGACGACTGCCGGCGTGGTCTAGCAGCTGGTTCGAGGGTGGAAAGCGTGAAGACCCTCACCATTGCTGACGGGTTGCGCACCCCTGTAGGATTACTGAATTGGGAGATTATTTCGGATAAGAGTAAGGAGGCCGGGGTGTTTTCTGTGACAGAGGAGCAGATTAAGGCTGCATTACGGCTGGTGCTAGAGAGGATGAAGGTGGTCGTGGAGCCCAGCGCAGTAGTTGGTCTGGCGGTTTGCTTGTTCGACGAGGAGTTCCGGAGGATCGTGGAGAAGGAAGGAGGTGATAAGGGATGGGACGTTGGTATTGTGTTCAGTGGAGGCAATACGACTGTTGAAGCAATCGGAAAGTTCTTCAGTGGATAGTGAACAGAGTGCTGGAGTCGGATATCTGGGACCAGCACAATCCAACATGTAGTTAAACATGCATATGCTGCATACAAGTCCTAGCATCAATCGACTTGTTCAGTACTCAATCCAACACCAGAGCGATCCACATGGAAGGAAAACCCCTTTCTTCGTTGCAGCCCCTCCACCACTTTAGAAGACCACCCTTCGCTCCCCCACACATTAATACAGGCCGAGAACCTCCCCTTTGCGACCATTTCGTAGCACGTGGGTGCATTTCGGCTGGCTGTTTGAACAGTCGTCTTTGGTGGAAAGGGCCTCGCTCCATCTCGCTGCACTATCAAGCGGAGGTGAGGAAAAATACCCCAAGGTGCAGGAAGCGGAGGGCGAAGGGATGGCCCTTGGAATCTTATACCAGCTCCAAGACTGTAAAAACCGAAATTAGATTCTGATTCAAGCCCCATTCCAGACTCTGAGGGACCTGTCCGTTTTGCTCCCCAAGCCATGCATGTATAGAATATTGCACACCCGAATCTCCTTTGTAACCGTCTCAACTCCTCCACCAACGCGGCATAAAGAACCCCCAGCTGAAAGCTTCTATTCTGCTCCCGCTCGCGCTCAATCTCAGCAGATGACCGTCCAATTTCTTCAATCCTCGCTACCTCGTCACGCAGCTTATCTTGCCAGAAGAACGCATTGGCGCTGTCCAGGAGAATAGCATGAAGCGGGCGGGAAGACGAGAAGTGACAGTTTAAATCGAGGAGATAGGCATCTAGATATTTGAGTGTGGCTAGTAACGACAAAGACGATTGAGGGCGAAAAACATGAACATGATGGAGCGCTGAGAGGAGTAGGGACTCGACCCCAGACTCCGCCGTCTCCGAACGCAAATGTGCATCCAGTTTCCGTTGGATGATCCCTTTCGCAACGGCATGGAGGCGATCGGCATCAAAACGGCCATCGGCGTCGATGAAGACGATGGCAGCATTTCTGCCACCCAGTTGGACCCCGTTGTAGTGTGCCGGGAGAATTGCAACAGCTGTTAGGTAGTAGAGAAGTTGCGTCTTCCCGGCCCCAGAGGAAAAACTGGACACCTCCACAACAGGATTGACCTCATCAACACGGAGAGCGGATATGGGATCCGTTGGGGATCTGCTTTCGGTTTCAACTTCGTTGCGTTCTCCAGCATCGTCTCCGTGGCCTACATCTTGACCGTGGTAGGCTGGGCTCTCGGGACGGAAAACAGATACTGGTGCAGGAGGCGATGGCATAAACACCTGTAGCAATTCATCCAATTCCTGAATCCCCAGGCGGCAATTTGATGCATTGTATGCAGCCGCACCAGGCGGGCGTAGAGATCTCAAATCATGCAAGAGCTATTGATCCAGTTAACAAGTATTCTCACTACATTACAAATTCAACAAAATAAATAATACCGACCTCGTCTAGACTCTCCTCACTGACCTCCCCAAGCACTCTTTTCCCGAAGTCAGAGGCCATACTTCGCTGGCCGGATGAGTATAGATAGCGGCATTGAATTCAATTCAATTCAGATAGATTATTTAATCTTATCGACCGGTGAAAAGCATGCTGCCAAGAAGAGGTTAACAAAAATAAGTAAAAGAATCAGATGGATACTGTTGTTCAAATGAGAGTGGTTAAAGACCTCTACCGGCGGAAGGAGATAATAGAATGACATCTCTCCACTCCGAGATTCTTCTCTTCCAGACTTCAGTTGTGAGCGTCCACCACGCCAGTGCGCCACACGATTACAATACAAGCAGTCCCCATTTCTCTAATTGATCAATATATCACTGTAATTCGCCTATACAGGCCTCACGAGCACCATGGCCCCCCTCGTACCCATCTTTCCGGCCTCCACATTACCAGAGCGCGTCAACATCGTGACCAAGAACTTCAAAGAAAAGCACCGCAAGGGACCTTCCATTGAACTAGAGAAATGCCAGCTTCTCGAAATGCTTCAGTACTCATGTCAGCCGCCGCAGATGGGGAGCGCGCCTGTTTGTACGCCGATTGTTAGGTGGTTTCGGAGGTATGCATGCTGCTTCGTGCTTAGTGCTTCTTACTCTGTACACACAATCAATAACCACCTGGTTTTGCTAATGGCGTGCATTGTCTTTCAGGTGTGCTGGCGGATTAATGGTCGAAACGACGGCATGGGAACATATTGAAAAGGTGGAAACGGAAACAAATTTAAAACCCTCTTCCTGACGGCCATGGGGTAAAGCCAGTTCTTCACCATGGATGGATACGAGGAAAGAGGACATCGCATATGGTATACACGGAGTTTTGGGGTTTGGCAGGACTGGGTTTGGTCTACGCAATCTGGATATTGGCATAGTACGAATCCATACATGCATACACGCATGCAATCATTTATTCCTTGGTTCTATTTTCAACCTTGAAAAACGCTTGCCCATGGGTATCTCCTGAAAATGCATCCCAAAGAAAGAAGGAAATAACGGTAAAACGCCTTGACACCGTCCAGCCAACTATGTGCTCATCAAGAGACCTCCCCCTGTGTCCTTCGCGTCAATCGGCTTCTCATCTGGTCTTCGGGCGCCAGACGCCGTAGTTCGCCTCCATAAATCTCTCTCGCAGTTGACAATGGGGCCTAGTTCAAGTCCCAATAATGCTCCCGACCGTGGAGGCTTCACCTCTTGTTCCGCCAGGGGACCCTCATCCATCTCCGCGGCCACATTTGCTGACGCGTTCTTCTGCATCCTCTTTGCAAGCCCCTTGATTGTTTTTTCAAACATGCTATCCATACTTTCCATTCTGCGGCCCCAGAGCTTCTTCTCACGGCCAACCGCGCCCAGATGCGTCTCCTGGGACGCGGCACGGGCAAGCTTGCGCAAAGCTTCTTCCCCGTGTCGTCCGTCTTCTGTCGCACGTTCGCGGATCTTGCGGGGATCATGTTCTCGCTCCGTAAAGACCGGGGTGTAGCGGTAGGTATGTCTGCTAGGGAACTGCGGGAAATGTTTGGGGATATGCGCGCTCCTAGCACGGTCATTCTCACCATCCAATTCTGAGCCCAAACATGGTAAATCCTTGAATAAATCGTCTTCTAGTGGAGGTGTCGGGAGGAGAGTCGGTATAGACTCGACGATAGGTGCAGGCGTGAGGTACGGAAGAAGGTCATCGGCGCAAAGGAAGCTTCGTCTGAGGGCATGCTCAAAGTCTTGTGGGATAGGTTGTAGACGTCGACACGACAGCATGGACTGGCGAACGTAGGAAGCGAATTTAAGAAGATCTGGAGAGCACATCCAGTCAAGTCAACACCACTACTTTCTTTTGTGTCTCCCCATTTCCCTTCATGGAAATGGTAATGAAACGTACATTCCTCTGTTGCGTTACGGAAGCTATCCAGTGCCACAGGATCCGCCAAATCGAACCCGGCATCTCTCAGCGATTGGCCAATAGTGCGATTCATCAGGTAGTCAATATAGGTGTCATCCGTGATGGCCGGTTCTGGTTCAATGGCAACAATGGGGTGTAGCAACCGATGATGGTGGTGAAAACGCTTCGGTCGTTTGAGAGAGGGTTCTTCTGCAAAGCCGGACAGGGCGGAAGATGTGCGTTTCAGCAGAGGTTCTGAGGCCATATCGGTCTTTGGGGCGTTGATGAGACGCAGACAGCTGCAGAAGTAGCTTATGTCGCGAGGTTGAAACGAACAAAGCTCAGCTCGACTTACGGGAGAGCTTCCATTTACGATGGTCACGTGATCATACATCGATGACTGAGGCAGAACCATTGTTGCGTTTTTCAAGGAATAACGAGCAGAATTTGGAGATATGAACGATATCCAGGCGATACTGTGATCATCCCATTGAGTTGGACATAGGAATCCGTCGAGTGTAGACATAGTAGACACTAGAGCATAGTATAGAACGCTGTCAGCCCACTCGCACCACCCGGAGAGTCGCTTACTCCAACCTGCGGCAACGCTTCTCTCACTTCACCTCATCATCATCGCATCGGCTTCTCTCCCCTCCACCACACCCCTGTGTCTGCTGTTCCGCACATCCTTCTCTTTTTGTCCTCTCAGAGCAGTTGACTTGATCCGTCGCAATGGCTTCCTTCGCAGTCGCTCCTATCACTGGCGTATGTTTACCCACATCGAAACTCGGGAATTCTTCGGCCGTGGTCTACGTCCGTGTTGGCCAGAATACAGTGTACTGACAATTGATATGTAGATGCTCCGCCGTGGCCTCGTTCTTGATCTGAGCACTGCCTTCGGTGAGTCGTGAATAACCCACTCCCTCCCTGTCCATTTTATTATGCCATCCTACACCCATGATCGGAATGAAACGGAAGGCTTTGATGAGTCTTGATGAGTCGTGAATTTCGGCGAAACAGACGGAGGCTACTGTGCTGGGCTCAGAGGATGGGGGAAGAATGAGCGCCATGTCCTGGTTCTATATTCTCTTTGCAAATTGGTGGACTGGCTAGATTTGGCTCGAATCAAAGTCTCCATCTTGATTATACCGACATGATGTGGATGAGGATACCAAATGAGATCAAGGACAGCAGTAACTGATTGACTCCATCTTATCTTAATACAGGTCTGGGAACTACCTTCGCCTACCTCTTCTGGTACGGTAAGTAATCACGGAATCCTCATTGCCATGCCGTCATAGCAAGAAAATTTGCCAAAGAAAACAAAAAAGATCGACTAATGTATCTACCAAAAACTAAAGGCTGGCACCTTCCCCGCGTCCGTGCCCGTGACGCCTTCTACACCAAGCTCGAGCAGCAGCGCGCCTCCGGCAACTAAATGAATTGAATAACCCTCCGCTTCTTCAGGCTCGTTCGAATCACGTCAACCTATGTCGCTATACTTGTCATCTTAACTATTCCTGCCTCTGTCCCACTCCCAAAGTGCGCTCCTATGATGGAATCGATGGATTGATTGGTCAAGTCTTCATTAAGTCGGTTAGATTGGGTTTGAACCGAGTCTGTGAGGAACTAGGGATGTTTCCAGCTGTATTGTTTTGAAATCTATATCGTGTATACATATACATTTTTTGGCCTCCATGAAAGCGGTGCTCGTCCAAATCGTCTTGCATGTGGTGGATGATAACTCTTCCCACCTGGCACTATCAGTAAGCACCGTAACAGTAGATGAAGCAAATTAAATTTAAAAGAAGAGATCTATTTATCCAGATTGAGTCGCTAATTAACTAATAACCAAATATACCGCGCTCGCTGCACTGATGTTGTGTTCCGGACATGCAAAGCCAGAAAAAAAAAAGGCAGAAAATGTAACAACTTGAGGCATGAAGCATACATGCAGAGCAAAGTAGAGCTGAGATCATGACACAGCATGGCAGTATCGCAGCACGATCGTCCGCAGAAAGCAGCGTTGCTATTCCTCCCGGATTTTCTTCTCTTTTTTCCTATCATGATCATCATCGTGCGTATGACAAGAGCGTAATATGACATGGCGATCGCCCAGCCCTATACACAATGGGTCCGTGAAGTCGATATTTCTCGACAAGGGGAAATATTGCAAGGAAGGAAGGGGCAAAAATGTGTATCATTCATTCATTCATTCGATAGGGTAGTATTGTTCGACTTTGGTGCCTTTCAAACCCATAATCTGGGGTTGATGTGAGGGCATGGTCCGCAGGGTCAAGGTCCGATGGGCAGAATCTATCGCATGACACGCTCATATTGAATTCCTTTGACAGATCCGCCTGACATGGATATACGGACGTTACGTTTGAAGGCTTCGCGGTTGGCCCGTAGATCTTCCGCGGCTTCTTTGTTCAGGGGGTCCGAGGCGTTGGGTTCGAGGAAGAGGAACTAGTAAGACAAGGACACTGTGTTAGCGTGGATTTGTGCGAAGCCGGCATGCTAGAAGAAAAAAAGAAGAACAAACCTGCAGCCCAACAATAACAGCATTCAAATTCAAAACCGGCTTCCAGTCCTCGCGGAGGATATTGAGACACACATTCCCCTCGAGATCGATATTCGGATGGTAGATCTTCTGCGTGCACTTGACCTTGGGCGGATCATGGGGGAAGTTCTGGTTGATGACGAAGTTGAAATGGAATGCACCTCCTTTGTACATGCCTTCATCCGGTTCGATCGTGAGGGTGAAATTGAGGATGTCATCGGGATTCGGGAAGGATATTTTCATTGTACTTCCGAGGGAGAGTTCCTGCAGGTCTTCATTTCGCGTCAGTCTCGATTCTGAATAGCTGTACAGATATAATAAGATTCACCTCTCTGCACACGAAGCTGAGCCGCGGTGACCTTCTTCTTCTTCTTCCCTGCTGCCCCCTCTGCATTCTCAGCCTGCTGCTGCTTCTGCTTCTATGTTTCCAGCAAAAGTTAGTGAAAGGCAAGGGTCAAAAGAAAGAGAAAGAAGCGATTCCTGGGGGTGTCTCATACCATAGACCATATCTTCAACATCTTGCCGTCGATCGATCGCCACCGCGCCCACAGTGCATACGTTAAGACTCGGATGAGATATGCAATATGGATGGGAGAATATGAATATTAAGTTCTGTTAAAGTGCAGGCTCTGTATGAGAGCAAGGCAAAGATCAGACGAAGGGTTTAAAGAAGGCGGGGAGAATCATCGAGGAAACCGGCGGGGTCTCGGCGATTTTCTTTCTCCACTGAAGGCGATGATACGATTACTGTTTGCCTGATCTCATCATACAGTCCAGTTTCTCGCAACATACCACCTGAATGCTTTTAATATGACATGACAATGATCATTTAGAATGGTGTGTTGATGGGTTATGTTCTATCAGAGTTGTTCCCGTGCTACAAGGAACAACTCCACACCTTCAACCTCCAAAGCAATCGGACTCCCACTCGCCTCTGCAGGCGCTATCACCTCCTCTCTCCCCCCAACCTGCCACCAAAGCCACCGCCTCGCTTTCTCTGACCCCAAATCAATATCGATGTCCGGGTAGGAGCACATCCTGATCCCCTGACCCTCTTCGCCAGGCGGAACACCTCCCTAAACTCAGCCGGGGCCTCGGGGTCCCGCGTGACGAAGAAGCAATCATCGCGGCCGCCGGATTTGCGACTGAAATCCGGTCGTGTCCGCTATGGAACTGGGACTTAGAATACCTTTATCACCAGGTACTGCCGCCACCTCTGCCTCTCCTGCGCTGCGCCGACAGCCGCCAGTCATTCTCACCAACAAACCTGTTGCGTAAGGGCTTTATGCGCTCCTGCTTCCGTCGTTTTGACATGGTACTGCCGGTGCCTGCCACCTTGAAAAGGTCGGTACAGCCTCTGCGAGCCACTTCGGCTCAATGCTTTTGGTCCAGTGCATGTACTCGCGCGTTGTGAGAGCGAGTTCGTGATAGATCACCACTCGGCCTGTTTCCCAAACAGCGCAGACGAAGGATGCACGTAGACTGGAGTGCTCTCGATGATGGCCTTGTAACAACCAGCTCCGGGCATAGTCTCCCTTCTTGCTGTGTTGCGAAAGAAGCCAGCGCACAAGAAGGCTTGGTGCACAAGCTCCGTCTTGCACCCAAATGAAATAATCGGTGATGGCCGCGCTGCATAATCTTGACGAGCTGTTCCCGCACATCCTTTACCCGTCTCAATTGGCCGTGCCTGGATGAAGTTGTCAAAGCACCAAGAACTTGAATAGCTGCTCTGCTTCCATGAGTTCTATATGTTAAGCATTGTCAGTCGCCAAGTATCTCTGGCGAACTCAAGGACCTCTCAGGGGAGGTTAGTTTCTTATTCTGTCTAGAGCCAGGTGATGTACTACTCTCGCGTTGTTTCTTCGGCGTGTTAGGACTCCGACTGCGGTTGCGGTCCCGTTTCCGTATCTCTGTTTGACTCCAAAGCTTCTAGCAGATTCAGTACATCATCGGTAGAGCCCCGAATGGGCTCCTTATTCGGCAGGGCTGCCATCCTCGCCTTCATGGCCGGGTGCATTATTCCAACGAGTTGGTCAATGCTGTTTCTGCAGCTCAGGTACCACCTTGCTTATGAGTCCAATAAGCTCCAGTTCAAAAAGATCGTCCATCTTGGACGGCAATTGCGGAAAGAATTGAAGAATTCGTTGCTAGTATAAATATCAGCGATGAAGCTGAGCGGTTTAATTAATGGCTGGTTTATGTCCAAGCCGTGCGGCGGCAGACGAAGATCCTCCACATGAACGTTGCTCAGAGGACACAGGTCATAACTTGGAAGAATACCCGCCCCATGGCAGTTCAAATAAGCAATCTAGTTAATGACTCTATAACTATGGTAATTTGGGATAAGTAAGCTTTTGGGAAGTTGGTCAAGACTCCCGCAATTTCTCATGGGAAATAAAACGATTTGACTGTCGTTGCAGTATTAAACAAGACAAAAACAGGGGGGTTAGATGGGAAGAAAAACAGCGACAAACAGCCAAAAAGCGAACAAAAAGCATCTCGAATGCATCACGTTCCCTGCCCTCGCTAAGTAGTAGTCTGCGAAACTTCAAAAATTGTCTGCGCCAACTCAACACGTATAGATCCAAAATTGACAACAGAAAGGGAAAACAAGACAAGACACAATCAGGAGTACGTTATATAGATACACGGATGTGTTTCTGACAGTTTGATTATTCACTGCAGGCGCTACCTCATTCATCATGCAGTTCAATATCTCTCTATCGGCGGGCGAAACAGCACTTAATACCGGTTCTACCCAGGAACCAGCACGCTCCAATAAAACGAACAAGAGCCATGGCAGCGTTCGACCAGAGAAGGGCTTGGAAATAACGTGAGGTACGCTCAGTCGCGGTATTCTAGCATTGGCATTAGTGTCACCATTCGATTGGCGGTATGATGGGTACGGGGTATTATAATACATACCGAGAACCCGACTTTCTTGACAGACTCGTTCGTAATACAGACTGCCAAAAGACCATTGCTGAAGATCCAGAAACTCACAAGCCTGGTTCGGAAGCTCTTGTACGAATCTTCCAGACTCTTTTCTTCAACCTCCTTGGGTGGGACATACGGCGTGAGTGCTCTCTTCACCGTAGCCTCAAAAGCACTATCGATATCCGCCTGGGGCTTGTCCACTTCTTCGATGACCGCATCCTTGCCATCCGTTTTGGTCGTCTTCGCAGATGGAAGTGCATCGGCCTTATCGGAACCCTTGGTACCCCAGGACACATCGTGCCAGTTGCAGAAGGCATATACGTTGAGGATGTTGATGTATGACGACTGCACCGCCAGATAAGCGGGGAATGAGGTGAACATGTGCCATGGATCCATATACATGAAAGAGGCTGTAAAGTAGAGACCGAAAGTAGCAGCAAGAGCGACGATGATGACACCGCTGTTAGAAGTAAAGAACGACCTGAGGAAAGCACCGACGCCGTGGTCCGTATCGAAATCCATCGGAGCACTACCACTGAACGCTCGGACGACAAGGTAAATGGCATCCACTAGGACATATATCTGGATGATACCGAACACCACAAACGAAACCAGGTACGAGGATTTAGAGCCCTTGGGACGATTTCCCAAAGCTAGAATGAGCTGCAGCAGCAGGAATGCGAGATATGCGTATTGGACAACCATGTTAATGATCGGAGTTGCAGACTTCCCAAAGGGAAAAGCGGAATACTTGTTAGAGGGGGCAGGCGTTCCCACCAGGTTCAGAATAACACTGGTTGTGAGCCAATACGAAGCTTTTTTTTAAAAAAAAAGTTAGACTCCAAAAATTATCTCAAGAAGGGAAGAACACTCACCCAAAGAAAGCCAAGTCAGTAAGGTATTGAACATGTTATAAAGCATTTGGATGTGGAGGAAAAACATGCGGAGGATGTTATGTCCACTCTTGTACATCCGACCGAAATGCATTAGCGAATATATACCTGCCGCGAAGGAACCGTTCAGCCATCGACGACGCTGAGAGATAAATTCTGCAGCTCCTTCAGGAACATCGGTTTCACCCTTGGAGGCCTTGACGTAAGACAAGTGCCATTTGGAGCCTGCCTTGGCGACTAGCTCGAAACAAAGAATACGATCTTCGGCCAAGAACATGTTCTTCTTGAAAATGTTCATGCCCTCAATACCCTTCTTGCCGAGTTGTTTCGACAACGTATGATCACCGTGGAAATACTGCTCCAGCGGTCGACCCATGATGGCGCGGAATCGGTACGCAGAGAAAGCACCAGGCAACACACTGACATATCCAAAAGAACTTTCCAGCGGCTTGTCCAAGATATTACTGATCTTATACTCGAAGTTTTGTGCGGCGACAAGAGGATTGATCAGGTTCTTCCAGCCCTTGCCCAACATGGCGTGGATCTCACCACAGGCACCTCCCAAGTCCTTGTCGTTATAGAACGCCTCCCACAAAGCCAGCAAAGACTTGTGACCCGGCTTAGTACCAGCATCAAGCAGGATGCAAACTTCGGGGTTGAGAATGCGACCAAATGCGTTGAACAACCACCGGTGGGAGTTGATTTTCTTGCTGTTTTTCTGCTTCAAGCAGAACATCATCTGCACCGGGGGAAGAGTGGATGGGCCATCATCAGTAGGGCGAATGAGCTGCTGGCTCGGAGTGACTGATAGCTGGGTAGTATATTCGAACTACGAGCCGATTAGCAGTTGGAAAGATAGAAAAAGGGCCGAAACAAAAAGGGGGTAACTGACAATGTGAGCGATGGTCTCTTTCCCGTCGACATCACGCTTCATGACACCGTCCTGGTAGACACCAATGGTGGCAAGCACATCAAGAACCTCCTTGTCACAGGGATCGATGCCGTCGAACACCAGGCACACCACGATCTTTTGCCAGGCCGGACCTCCCTTGTTCCAGAACTCGGACTTCTTCAGATTTACAATGTCACGGATATTCTGCATGACACCGTGCAGGGTACGGGCGGTGAGCACCTTGTCTTCATTATAATAAGTAATGGCAATGAGTAGTTCTGTGTGACGGTTATACATGGCAGGTCGCAGGTTGTAACCGTTGTGGAGGGTAAATTCATTCGGATCACAGGTTGCGGCGGTATCTGACAGGCGAGTTGCAGTCAGTCCATGATCCACGAGGAGAGTCAGTGTTTTATGAAGATAAACCTACAGCGCATGTGGGTAAATTCCTCCGAGCCGCCTTCGAGATCGTTGCGGTATTTAGCCTGAACAGCATTTTGAATGGCACTGGGGACCGGGTAATCCACACTCAATACCGAGCCCTGCACCAGTTTGACTTTCCTGGTGGCATAACGCCTCAATCCTCCGGGGCCGCCAGGGGCCTGCCGCTGGCGCCATGCTTCAGTAGAAGAGGTCTCACTGCGGGCATAGGGCGAAGCCACACGACCGGGGACGCCAAACGCAGCTGCGGGGTTCTCGGCCGATGCGCTTGAGTAAGTCGAACTGGCGGTATTGGCGTAAGGATCATGGTAGCCAGGCAGATGGGCATCGGAAGCGTAGGACTCCGTCAAACTGTAACCCGAGGTTGGTCGTGCAGGGGATGCGGCGCGTTGTTGAGGGTCATCAAAGGGACCGTTAAAGGGGCCTTGCTGATTTGAGAGTAGGCCCCTGGAGACTTCATTCTGGTCGTCATCTTCCCGACCATACTAGATGAGACAACGATTTTCAAGTCAGGACTTTTTTCTCTTGCTGTTCGGGGAATCGGGGAGTTGTGTAACTCACGGGGTTGCCCATATCATGGAGCTGATGGCCCGCATCGTATTCATGGGGAGAGTGAGAGCCGCCTTGGTAGGCCATGTTGTAAAGGTGATTTTAGAAGTACTACCAAAGACAGAAGAACCACGACGGGCGCTGGGAGTAGTGGCCAACGGCGTGGAAGGATCCGATTTGCAAAGGCTATAAAAAAGAGAAAAATAGAAAAATAGAAAAACAGAAGAGAAGGAGAAAAAAAGAAAGGGAAGGAATTATAGTAAAGAGGACAAAGAATCCAACAGCAGTTAAAAAGGTATCAAAATTGCATCTGAAACAGGGATGCGAAGGCGTGTGGGAGGTGGAAAGATGCCCGCCGGCAGGGCTGAAGGGAGAAGCCCGGATGGATTCTCTCAGCGAAAGGGATTGTGGGAAGGATAAAGGCGAGAGAAGAGAAGGAGAAACGAAGGAAAGAAACGGGGGAGAAAGGGAAAGGCTTAGTCGAGAGAATGCAGTTCCTGGGAGAAAGAGGCAACGCAAGGGAGAGCCGTGGGTGGGCTTTTTACGGATTGCTTACCAGCGCGCTGGATATGGTAACACGCTGTAATTAATATAGAAGAGGATCATCAGCCGAGGAGTATCAGAAGGATAATCTTTAATAGTAAGGTAGAAAGAAACGTTCAAAAATAAAACACGACTCTTGCCGCTTACTGTAGCCACGCAACGCTGGCACAGCAGGGATGTCAACGCCTCAGTATGCTGCTACAGGTACTGTTATACTATCACTCCTGCTGTGTTCAACATGCTCTATCTACATCGCAGCACCACCCAGATGCCGCGAAATACGAAGATTCATTCAAGTTCCTCCCTGGACAGATTGCATGGCCAACAGCGCACAAACAACAGGCGGGACTCGAAGGCCGCTTCTAACACTCCAGCTGTACTAATAATAATACTTCACCCTGAAACAGCGAATAAATTAATCTCTTCCAATAAGGTTTCCCTCTGACTTTTCAGATTTTTTTCCAGGCTCACTGCAGCAGTAGCGTAAGAAAAGATGCTTTTTTTCAAGCTCTTCCTCTCTACTCACTTTTTGCCCGTGATAGAAGAGGGCTGGACAGCTGCATGCTCTGCAGCAGATAGTAATAATTGTATTAATCACAGTGTAGGGCAAAAAGACTCGTAAAATACTACGTACAAAATACCTAAAAATCAGCCTCAGTAATAAGACTGTCATGTAAAATACACGAATGCAAGCCAAATATAGACCGCATGGAGTCCATTGAGTGGTCTACTGGCCAATAGTGTTATTGGTGGCTGACCGCTGAGGCTGAGTCAGATGGATGACCCATCGATCACCCACTGCTTACGCCGCTGTCTGCTTATGTGATTGGCTATTATCTGTCATGCGGGGTCTGATGGGTCCTAACTGTGCTGGAAAAGGGTTAGGCCTGTTTCCAGGCGAGGCGGCGAAGCAACTTCAGAATAATCTGATGCCGTTCTTCTATTCTTAGACGTCTCGGAAGCATCCTTTTTCTTTGCCGGGAGTTAATTATCACAGGCCTGTGGATTATTGTCATAATCGTAATATACTACTCCATACGATGTCTGGAATTATGAATACTTAAATATCATCCATATCAACCCTGCTCTACTGACAGCACGAACACTAGTTCAACTTGACCCCCATCGGGTCATGACTTGCGACTGCCGGCCGTTCCCCAGACCAAAGTCCACTTCGCAACGGTCTCTAGGCTGTAGACGGTAGACCAATGCTAGTCTTGGCGCAGGGCTTGTCCGCCAGTACCTGTAAGCGTATTATTATTATTCATATCATACCATACCATCAAAATATCCTCATGTCATTGATCGTTACACGGATTCTGTCGAGACTTTGATGTCTCTCCGGAGGATTTTTCCAGTGTGTCCATTGTCTGTTTACTACCAGGTATCATGCTACTATGCTGCATATGTACATCAACTGCGGGATCCATCATCCCAGACGCGCAACTAATTTCCCTTTCCGTCCGTGAGTGTCACGTCATTGGCCAATTTCTGCCAAGCCTAATCTCTCCAAGGCATGCCGCTAGTCGCTTTTGCCCTAGCGCAAGGGGCATTTATCAAGGGCTCCAGGCACATCCTGTCTATCTAGGGACACGTCAAACATCCATGGAAACATGCGGGCTTCAGCCGCAGCAATTGGTTTGCCCCAAAATGGCTGGTAATTTAAGGACTGCTTCTAGATCCTCAGTATCCCAGCAAGCCGAGCCAGATTCCGATTCAGCAAGAAATGTATTCAAGATTCTGGCCAGTACATTAAATATATGCGTGGATATAAGAAGAGTGGGTGCGCATAGCTGTGCGACGTGCCCCGTGCTCTTCCCCGTCTGCCTCCCTTCTCGACCTTCGCCCGTCCTCTTCCTTCTCTTCATCATCACCACAACCACCACCTTTCTTCCCCCTTCTGAAACCCTTGTTAACCCTTCCTCTCGCTATCCTTCCTCGGTCGTATCGGTTCCAGTTACACGCCTGGAAGTCCCTGTGTTCTCTCCACCTTATTCATCTCAGATTGACCGACTGGGATCCTGTGCTACCGAAGTCCCTGCGCATCGTGCTTGGGTGGGAGAACCCACTCTCTCCCTGCTCTTCGATCTGCCAAATGTCGGATATCGATTGTTGAGATCCAGTGACGCACCTACTGTCACCTCGCTTCTTTACGAGCTCTAGAGGATTATGACCATTATTGCCTGAATACCCTGTTTTCAACTAAATTCGCTCTTTTTACTTGTTTTTCGCGACCGCATCTTTCGTTTTACGACTTCGCTCACGGCTTTTGATTGTCGGTTCGAGCCTTCTTCCGTGTATTCCTGTCGCCCAAACTGTTTTCCTACGCTCTTTACTTTCAGTTCTTTGACGCCGTTGACCGGCCTGTCGCTCATTTCTAGAATTGTCTCGCAGCCCATCGCTGGAAACTTATCGGTTCCCTTGTTCTCTTCATATTGCATTAGATTGACCGTTACAAATTCAATAGAGCATCATGTCTCTGAAACCTGCCCACTCCTCTACCTTCACCCATAGAGGTATGTGCTCTGTCGCTATTCCTGGCCATCCCTTGTGTACTAAATCATTGCACGGTAGACTTCTCTGCCAACTCCATCTTCAAACGCTGCGTTCAATGTGAAACGTCAGCACCGCCCTGCCCCTCATGCGAAGATGGCTATACCTGCACGATGATTAGCCAGTCTTGCACCGCCTGCGCATCCACGAAGTGCATCAAGACGTCGGTTAGCAATCCGCAGCCAGCTCCGTCGAGCGGTGGTGGGAGCAATGCTGGGGCAATTGCGGGGGGTGTCATTGGGGGTATCGCATTTATTGCCATCGCGACCTTTTTAGTGTGGTGGTTTTTCATCCGCAAGAAGCGAAGCATCGCGCTCCAGGAGTCGAATGAGGGCCAGGAGAAAAACACATCGAGAGGAGCCCCGCAGGGCAGGAATTCAATCGCATCCACCGTATTCACCCGTGCCTCAAATGTCATTCAGATTGCGTACATCCCAGGAGTTACCAATCGGTCGCCTCCACAGACTCCTGGTGGACTGGTACCCCCAGTCCCTCCACTCCCGGGTGCTTCACCCGAACAGCACTTCTTCATGCCTGGCGATCTGCGCGACTCGTCATGGTCTGGCATGACAAGGAGCAGTTTCGCCAGCGTGGCGACCACAGCCTATCGCAGCAACGCCATTATCGACCCGCTACCGGCTCAGCAAGCCATGAGGACCCGTGCCGCCGTCGTCAGTATCCATAATGGAAACAACACCTCACCATCGGCGACACCAACTCTCAAGGTCACTCCACCAGATGCACCAGCCGTCCCGGCCATCACCACGGCGCAGCTCGCCAAGGCTGGCGTCAAAGAGATCGATAGCAGGCCAGTTGTGGCTCGAACTGTCATGGCCAAGCCCGTGACGGTGATGAGGTCAGCGTCAAAGAATGGTCCATACGAGTTGGATTCTAGTTCCTCTGGTGGACAGAAGTCTGGTAGCATCTCCACGGAACAAACCCCTTCGGACCGCAAGGAAACACCGGAGACCACCAGTTCTGGGAAGACAGAGACAGTCGACACTAGCAGCGTACAGATGACATCCGCGACCGCCGCTCGAGATAGCAGAACAATCACTCGAAGTCCGTTTGAAGACCAACCAGAGACAGAAATCGAAATAGCGAATGATCATGGTCAAGCGGGTGATCTTGGAAATCAAGTTTCCAGCCGCCCACGAGGCAGCCAGTTGGTCGAGAGAGGCGAGAGCCCTTTCTCGGATGCGAACGAGGTCAAATGAATTTCGAATGCTAATATTTTTTTTTTCTCTCTCCTTTCTTTTTATAGTTTCCCCTCATATTCCCCCACGCCGATTGGATATTTTCCCACTGTCTTTTGTATCTTGATAGGACGCTCTCATGAGGACTAACACGAAGGTCGTATACAGCCTATCTGGTCCGATTTTCTTGGATAGTTTTGAGTGTGTTTACGAACTTAGTTTCTGACCTTGACCCATGGGTCTTGGGTACTTCTTGGATTTGGTTTCCGTGCATACTATGGCTTGTGTGGTTTACGGTGGTTTTTTTGAAGGTACAAAGATTAAAAACAGCTGAAATGGTTCGGTTTTCAATAAGGCTGGCTTACAAACTGCTTCCTCTTGTTTGCATGTTGGCTTGTAGGCATGTATTCTGGACTGAACTGGCAAAAAATCCCTTGGGACAGTCAAACAATCTATTGCTGGAGAAGACTTTCTAAGCTACACCCACGTTAGTCTCCATAGTACCTCGACTCGACATATGTCTTCTTCGGCGGGTTATATACCACGGGCGTGGTGCTGCCTATGTCTCCATTTACCTCCTTCCAGCACACGAAGGTATCCTTGGCAACGTACTCGGTCACCAGACGAACAAGCTCTCTTCTCTCTTGCTCCTTTCTCCTCTTAGCCCGCTCCCATTCCTCGTCGGTTTTGAACTTGAATTCCTCCCTTTTCCTTCTGCTTTCATTATTCCCTTTGGTCCTTCTATTTGCTTTCTTTTTTTCTTCCCCTGTACGAGCACGAGCCTTGCGGCAACATGCATTAATCGTGATCGGCTTGGCAATGAACCAACTCCCACAGGTATGCGGCACGGACTGGCATTGGAATATGATACTAAGGCCCAGTTCGATGGAGTCGACGCTTTTGGAGTAGCATTCATTTTCAAGTCCATCTGCATCATTCTTCGCATCTGGCACCTTGGTGTTATTGTTATTTCTCTCGCTTACAGGAACGATGAGCACGCGGGGTCCCCTTTTCTCCTTTTTTCTTTTATCTTGAGACTCTGTAGACTCGGTATGTACCTCCATATACCTGCCCAGGAAGCGAGCAAAGGCGTCACCGGCCCTATCCGAGCAGAACTTCCGCTTTGCGTCCTTGGAAACCGTGAGCGGGATGGTATCTCCGAATTCGACTTTCCAGCATCTATAGAGCCAGTTCTGTCGCCATCAGCAGTTGTTTCTGATGTCGCTCTGGTGCATAATTCTGCTTACCAGGAAGATGTGGTGGAATCCCCTCTTCCCGTACTTCTCTTCAAAGTCCAATTTGAACCTGTATTTGAGCGTTTCCGTTTTGTTCTATCCGATCAGTCTGGATCCAGCTGAACCCGATGGGTCTACTCACCATGAGAACACATCTTTGGCACTCTATCCGTTTTCCAGTGGATTTTGCACTCATTTTGTAGTTTCTGCTTTGTACAGGGCCGTAGAATAGATGTTTTTAGACGCATATGAACAATACAAGTTCCACCATATATATACCTCATTCCTACCAGTACTTACATAGTACAAGGATGCATTTATAGAACCTTTTTGTCCCTTGTCCTCATGTTACGCGAGCAGAGTGTCAGGTATATACAAAGAATTTGCCCTAGTGATCAAAACATGAAAGCGAAGCCGAGTACCAGAACCCGTCCCGGAACCGGCAAACCGGAGCGGAACCGGTTCATCGCTGTATACTAATAATACCCGTCTCACTTCTTCCTGGGTTCTTGTGTCTGTATCTGCGTTCAACATTGTCTCACGGTGAATAACTAGAAGAGAAGAAAAAGAGAGAAATGAACAAAATGACCTGCGAAGCCTGCCGGACCATTCCCCCAGTTATAGCAGTGGGATACACCCTCCAAGGCAAATACGAGACCATTGCCGGGTTAAAGACATGTATGAACGTCAGCATCCATACCCATTCGAGTGATTCAAATTATCGTTATTATCATTCTTGTTACTATTGTTGTTTTATTGACTGTATACAGATATAATCACCCCCCCAACCCCAAAAACAGGCATAATAGACATCTACGACATATTTGGTCTGTCCCCCCAAACCCTCCAGGGAGCAGATATACTCTCCCGCACCTCGAACGCCGTCGTGCTAGTCCCCGATTTTCTCAAAGGCAATTACGTCCTCCCCGAATGGATCCCACCGGACACGGAGGAGAAGAAGAAGCAGTTCACACGCGTTATGTCGGAGAGCGCGAACCCGGCTGCCAATGCCGAGGTGTTGCTGAGGGTTGTTGAGGAGGCGAAGAGGAGGTTTCCTTCTGTTACGGCTTGGGGGGGTGTTGGGCTTTGTTGGGGTGGGAAGGTATCCTCATCATTCTCTCTTTCAACTGATATCACTCTATTATGGCTTTCTGACTTAAGTGAACGTGAATGAATAGGTAACAGCCTTGGCCTCTGGTCCTGGAACCCCCTTTGCTGCCACTGGACAGGTTCATCCTGGGTGAGTTTTCAGAACATTCCCTTGCCTATACCCTATACCCTATTCTAATGCAAGATACTCGCACAGTCTCTTGGACAAGGCAGATGCTGAGAGACTCACCATCCCGCACATTGTCCTCGCGTCCAAAGACGAGTCTGCTCAGACGGTCGCCGACTACAAGACTGTCATCGCCTCCAACGAGAAGGGCGGACATGTCGAGACCTATGGAACCATGTGGCATGGATGGATGGGTACTAGGGCTAACTTGGAGAATGAGGATAGTCGGAATGAATATGCTCGTGGGTACGTTCTCATTGTCCTGTGCAGAAAGAGCATCTGCTAACTATTGACTAGATATGGACAGTTGGCGGAGTTTTTCAAGAAGTACTTGGAGTAGCTTCTAGACTGACTTGTGAATATCTTTATGCTTGGTCCATACTGGAGGCGGTTGGTTCATTACTAGAGAATGACCAGGAACATACATATGCAGTAATAATAGTGATGGAAGGAGTCGTTGGATTTCCTATCTAGCTGAGAAGAACTATCTACGATTTGGCTAAATAGAACGCTAGTCCTAAACAGGAATGGCCTGACAACCTAGTGGGAAATCACATGATTTGGCTGGAACATTCACTCATCAAAGCAACTATGACAAAAAGGTAGTGCTCCTTTATGCCTTCCAATTTTCTTTCCTTTTTTGGTCATGGACAGACACATCTTCGGGTTTTTATTATAGGCAGGAGTACGTCCAGGAAGCTAGGACTAATTCTCCTTGAGGCTCTTCAGGGGGTTGTATGTAAACAACTTTCTAACTGGTGTTTGAACCTGCAGCACCCGGATGTCCCGCACCATCTTCAGAACTTGCGGACTCGACCAGACTTAGAGTGAAGCAAACAAATGGAAACAAATGCTGGGCATGTGGTACAATGTGGCCTGATGTTTGCCATGTTATTGCTCGAGAGGACGACCAGGCACATATTATTCATCTTCCCCTGATTGAGTTCACACACAGTTGACTATTCGATATAGGCCAGCATCTGGGCTGAGCACTGTTTGATTGACTTTGCAATCAACTCCAATTTGGATGCAATAGCCTGTGCCCATCTTGTCACAGAGAGTGTGATTGCTCCATTGGCCTAGGTTCATTTTTGTGCCAACAGACTTGCAGTTTTTTATTTTTATTGATTTTGAACTTGAGGATCGAGGAAAAAGAAAGCTGGCGAGTGACCAGGGACACACCTTGAAAAAAACAGTTCTTCTGCAGAGCAATATGAAATACATCAGACCAAATGTGGAGTCATCTCAGGTGACGCGATTGGCGGCAATACCTCCCCGTCTTTCTCAAGCCCTACATGCATTAGGACCGACTTCCAATTGATATTTACAATTACCTGGAAAAGCCACAAAATTGGCATGGAGCGCCGTTAGCCAGTCTCAGACGATGCATCCATGTGGCGGGAGTCTCCATGCCCAGGAATTGGAAAGGGATAGCGGACAGGCTGTGGGCATCAGCACTGACATTTCTGATTCCAAGAGTGTCCAAACACCTTCAGCCAGACTTCTCTGCAATTCAAAGGTCCCAAACTTGCTGCTGTACCGGGGGAACCCCGGAAGTTTTGTTGGCTCTTCGGTATTTTTCCTGGGCTTGGGCACGGGGCTCCGCTGACGCGAAATAGACTGCTAGGCCCACGTAGTTAGATAGTTTTTTTCGAGATTCTACACAGGAATTTTCGGTGTTAAGTTCTTCGCTCAGGTCTTCGTATCGTGTGTGTGCAGCCTACCTACCTCTACGCTCACTGCCTCCGGGATTACGAGCTCACTAGTCACTCCTATACATCGCCTACTCCCAGAAGCACCCAGAACTGTTTCCACGATGATATTGGATCCTCAGAGCACTCAAAGTCTCTGATAATAGAATAAAAAAGTTTGTATAGTGGCATACATACAAAACATAGTGGCCATCACTCATAAACCCAGAAATACCTTGTATAACCGTCACCTCCTTAACGCAGCAAATCTCTTCGTCAACTCATCTACCTCTGGTATCCGATTCCCTCCTGCAGAGCTGATATTGCCCTTTGCTTCTCCCCCAGCATCCCCGGAAGCTGTAGCCGTCACCTGCGGTAACTTCACCTGCGGATGGAGATTATCCGTCCTGGCAGCCGGAGGCGACACGCTGACAGGGCTTTTCCCTTCGCCAATTTCCGTTGGAGGGGTAGCTTTGCTCAGTTCGTTCTGGTTGCGGTGCTGCTTTGGTGTCGAGGGTAGAAGATTTAACCCGTCATCCTGGTCTGCATTTGTAACTGCAATATCCCCAATATCGCCAGCGCCGGAATCGCTAGAACCATGTCCCGTAGACTGGGAAGAATCTTTAGGCCACGCAACCCCATACGCTTTCGCGATCTCCAGCAAATAACTCTCGACGAGCTCCTTGGTCGGCGCACGAACCTGTAGCCTCTTCACCAGCCTGGGGGCCACTTTGATATCAGCCCTGTCCTCAGAGGCTAGGTGCATGAATTCCTTCCCATAGCGCTCGACGAGCAGGGTGCGGAGCATGGTGAGTTCGCGGACTTCGTGAGGAAACCGGGGCCAGGCGTAGAAGATGGCAATGGCAGCCTCATCGATGGCCGAGTCAAGGTAGTATGGTTTTTCATCGTTTTCTTCCAGAGAGTCGCGGCCACGTTTATGTTCGTTTTCACTTCCTTCTTCGGGTTCGTGTTGCTGGTCTTCTTCGACGGGAGTATCATTTCCCTCCTGTTGTTCTTTCAGACTCTCCTTCCCCCACCCCCTCCAAAGAATGAGAACCCGAATAACCCCCTCCCCTTGTCTGCGCCTGATCACTTTTATCCCGACGACCAGAAGGAGAACCCCCCGTCTTCACAGACACAGACCGAGGCCCCAACGACCCAGCAGCATGATGAATTCGGTGAACCGCCCCCTCCCTTCTCAACTCAGCCCCCTTCTCCCCAAAAGCCAACTGATCCAACACATTCGCCCTAGCCAGTAACAATTCGCAATAAAGCTCTACCATCTCCATGGCCTCCACGCCGATGTCCGTGGTGATGACATTTTCGACCCGGATGCGCGCCGACGCTTCCCGGCCTTCGTCGAGGAGGTGCGCGAGTTCCCGGCGCTGCGCGACGGAGGACGCCGTGTCCTTTTTCTGTAGGAGGCGGAGACGGGGGATTAAGAGGCGGAGGGTTGAGATTAGTTTTGTCTGGTTCGTTTGTTTGTTAGATCTGTCCTATGTCATGTCTGTAGGGGTGGTGGTATGCGGGGTCTGCCGGTACTCCGTGAAAAACAGAGACCATTCCATGAATAAAAAGACAAATGAGAGGATTCTACTTACCGTGTGTACTGATGGAGGCATGTCGACTGCTATACCGGTCTTGAATGTGTGGTGTGTTGGTTGTTACGAATGCTCGAGTTACATTATTCTACCGACGAGCAACTTCCGCTAGCTTGGCTAGGCTTCCTATGCCCCGATTACTACAAGACAGCTTAGCTGCACAACAGAAGACGATGCTAGTCACTAATCTGCTAGACATAGAGATATATATATACAACATTACAGGCATCCAGAAGTAAAGAACCCTCTCATTCAATCCGCCTGACTCAGCTCTACAAAAACACCGCCAAGTCGGAGGAATAATAATAAAGGAAATATACATGGCCGACGATGGGATTAAAGAGGCAAAATAGAAGGAAAAGAAAGAAAGAAACATCACCTCTCCAATAGTCCAGGTATTAAGTAACTCATCCCACAAACGGATCAATAAGACATGCCATGTCATCGAAAACGGGTATAGATGTCAAAAAGATAAATATAAAATAATATAGTCCTAAGGGTCAAGAGAAGGCCCTTGTAGATACTCGGTGAATGCAAAAAGAATCATACACATAGAAAACTTAATAACCACGTCAATCATCGTCAAGAATCGAAATTAAAAGGAGGTAAAGTCGAAAGAAAGGTTGTCCCAAAGTGAAAGGATCTTCCAGCAGGTGGTGGAAGAGAAGAAAATCAACGTTCGGGCAACATGCCCTAGTCATTGAGATCGCCGAGTCGTGCAGATATTAGGCCTCATGCCAGGATAACGCCGCACTGGTTTGGAAGACAAGGCTCCGAATTGGGGTTTGAATGAAGGAGGGTGTTAATATATACAACAAGGATTCTTTCCAACGAGGAAAAAAGGCCCAGTCAGACGGGCCGCCTCTCAGTCTACAAGCTCATCGCCACGCTCGCCGCAAAGGCGCTTAGAATCAGACTGAGAATCGAGGCTGTAACGGCGCTAGCAGCACTCTTCTTGTCGTCGGACACAGAGGCAGAGAGTGAGTCAGAATTTGCAGCCAGAGCAGTGGGTACGGACCCAGTGTTGCTGGGTTCAACGAAAACGTGTGGGGAGTAGGTGCGGCTTGCTTTGGCACTTGAGGAAGGTATCGGAGTGGAGACGAAGGAAGTCAAAAGGATAGAAGAGCTTGACAGTGCGGACGTGGACGTTGGCAGTGCACTCGATGTAGATGGTACAGAAGAGGAAGTAGTGACCGGAATAGAAGATGTGGTAACGATGCTGGAGCTAGAGTGGGTGCTGGAACTCGAGCTGCTCGTAGTAGAAGGGACTGAGGTGTGAGTCGAACTGCTCGTAGTCGGACGGACTGAGGTGTGAGTCGAGGTGTGAGTCGAACTGGGAGCCGAGCTACTGGGGGCCGAGCTAGAACTGGAGCCTGACGAGCCGCCTCCAGACTTATCGAAGACAACAACATTGGCTTTTTGGCCTTTCGGGACGGTGACAACGCAGAAAGCACCATCGCCGGCACCATCAGCGCCGCTACCGGTGATCTCGTTGACGCCGTTAACAGACGGATCAATCTTGCAGGGCAGGCCATTGCACCCGTCCCCTTCGCAGACAATCTCGACACCAAAATCCGGCACCATATCGCGGAAGGGGGTCGCTGGCTCCAGATAGACAGGGTTCCATCCGATCTTCACGAAGGTCTGACCAGTATGATCGGTGTTGGCACCTGCCACGTAAGGGGACCAGTTACCATAGGGGTTCGATGAGGTTCCCCAGACGCAAGCGGTTTCGGTATCGATTCCTGGGGGATTGATGTAATAGCTGGACTTCTGTCAGTATCAACTGACTCATGCGCAAAGACATTAAGCTCGAAACTTACTGGGCAGCTGTCGACAACCAGTAGCTAGTACCTGGTACCGCGAGAGTAGCCACATCGTTCACCAGAGTTGGAATTAACATGGCCTCATTACCCGGTAGTACAGTCTGGCAGAAAGCAACATGGCCACTGCACTTATTCACAGCTGACACGGCACCCGTACCATCCTCACAATACGGCTTGTCGGGGAATGGCTTCTGAATGTTGCCGTCATGGTCACAATAAAGGCCGCCGTTCTGTGAGAAGTCAGTCACTGTCACCGCCTCATTGAGAAAAGAAGATCAAATCACCATTGACACGGGGTAGCTGTAAGAAGTGGCATGCGGATCCCACTGCATCGACACCTGGCCCTCAGGACAGGCATACGGGCAGTAATTGCCAGGTTTGCACGGCTGATCTGGACTCATCGCCCAACCAGCATTCTTGGCATTCGGAGTGACGGCGACCAGGCCTGCATCGGAGGGGAACTGACACTGTCCTCCGCGCTTCTCTATTGTTGCGGATTCGTCTCTCTCCTGGTGCAGCCGCTCATGAAGGCGAGCATGACCATGACCATGGTCAAACTGGGCAGCCTCGACAGCTGCGATGAGGGAGAGGAGAGCCACAGCACGGGACGAAATAGGATTGAACTTCATGGTATAGCCCTGGTCCGGATGGCTGCTGTTGTGGTGGTAATATCAACCCTAACCAAGTTGCTACGGGACGATCTTTTCAAAGAATCTGTAAGGACTGGATACAATATGCCCCGTATAAGATATATATGCGTATGTACATATAAAAAAGACCTTTTCTTCCTGGTAAGATCCTGATCGCAGGCCAGGATCGCAGTTGAATCTTGCGGGGAGAGAGAGAAGGGGGGAGTCCCTAGGGCTGTTCCGGCTTGAATTAACGAGAGACTGCAGTCAGAAGACGACGCATTAACGAAGGTGGAAGAGAAAAGAAGGACGCGAAGCCAATAACCAGGGCAGAAAGAAGGAAAAGCCAGATGGAAGAGAAGAAAAGGAAGAGAGAGGGAGAGAAGAGAATGAGGAGATCATCAATAATACCTCTGCGATGACCTGCTGCCGTATCTGTATTGTCACTCCTTGTAACTAACTGTGCAGCCAGTGTAATTACGGTGAAGCTCATGGCCCTGTTCGCGGTAATAGCCGGATTCGGCCATATATTACCGTAATAGCACTGTATGGATGCGGTACTGGCAGCGTCACATTGCACGGTTCACGGCGATGGAGACACCGGCGGGCCTAAGAAGAACTATCGACATCTCCAGGGGTTCAATCAATCCTAATTTCTCCTCCTCTCGAGTCAGCAGAGTCCCATGAACAGCGTGCTTCGGTCTCCTCGGAACGCTTCTCTCTCGTGGGTCCTGCTGGATCTGCTGGATAACACGTTTGTGACTGTCCCATAGCCTCTGCCTTTACCTTCGTACATACAGCGTCCCCAGGAGCCTCATGGATTAGACTAAAGGCTAAGGGGCAGACTCCAGAGTCGCACCTGTCTACGGCGTTACCTCGCATGGCGGCGCCTAGTTAGACTGTGATGGAACTGCGCCTGGGCCCAACCAGCAGGCGTTAACGGGATCAGCGAACACCATCAGTGGAGCGGAAATGAACGTTTAATTTAAATAGACTCGGCACTGGCTCTCCGGGCTCAGGGTTCGCTGCTCAATTGAACTGCATTGAACATTCAAGTAATCGTCTGTCGATCATTCGCTTCTTTGTCTGACAACTCATTTTATTTTCGCATCCAATCACTCGCCGTCCTGTTGTCCTTCAATGTTCTTCCAGCCAGTGAACACCCCGGATGCACTGGCCACACTGCCTATTCCCTCTCTCCAGCCCCATGCGATACAGTAGTGCTGGGCAAGGAGCTTCCACTCCTCCATTTCATCAAGCATTTCCAGTCCAGCGACCCGCTCTTTCTCATTCTCACTGACCCACCGCTCCCAGATGAAGTCGACGTCCGCAGCCGCCTGCCCTCCGTTGAATCCCTGTTCGTTCAGCCGTTTCCGTTGCGCCCCCAGCGACGCATATCGATTCAGTGTCTGTAGGTGGATCCCGCGTGTTGCCAGGTTGGAAACCATGGTCCTCCCAAACGCATCATCCGGACGGATGGGTTCGTAAAGGATTAGGCCCAGGGGAGCGGTGATGTTCTTTTCCGTGTGTTCCGTATCTGACTGTACTGTGCCAGGACGGAACAGGGTCCTAGTAAAATAGTTGACTACACTGTCTGCTTCGATGGGGGAGAGATACACAAGACAGCATTCGGATATCAGAAGGGTCGGTAATTTAGTATCCACTCCTTGTAGGACGGCAGTGTCCTCAGCCGGAATGCTGGAAGGCGGATGCTTCGCCAGGGATCGGAGGTCAAGAGGGTGGATATGGTAAGAAGGAGAGTGCAGCGCATCTCCTGCTTCTGATATCGTTACATTATCTTCGCCAGGTTTCTGTACAATCCCCACGGCTCTCTGCAGAGAAGGTGTGCTGCGAATGGCTCTGATCTTAGCGGCAGCGTTGACGGGGAAGTCGATTTCATGATAGGTTAAATCATCCCATCGCCTCGACGAGAGCAGCCGAAATGGGCGCGTGTCAGACCCGGCACCCAGTGAGATGATCTGTTTTCGAATACCCAAATTATCTCCATCAAGAAAATGAGCAACAAGATTGTCGATCGCCGTAGTACGTACGTAGGTACCTGCCAATGGAAGCGGTATTGTGAGCAGGGAAGTTCCTATGCTAAAGGGACATAGGAGACAACAAACATACCTCGGTTAATTATGGGCAGTCTCCTCGTTTCTGAGCCTGGAGGAGTCAATGCATCTGCAAATGAGTCCGCAAGATATCCGAGTCTCACGGCACTCAATCGAGAGACGCTGGCGTCGTTATCCGTGCCTTGCACAACCCGGTCTTTGACAGCTGCACCACGGGATCCATGGCCAACTTCACTAGGAAAGCCACTATGACCGCCGCGGTTCCGAAAACGACCGCGTCCAGCACCTCGACGAAGAGTGTTGAGATTGGGGATCTGCGAAGCGGACATCTGGGAGCGACGGTGATGCTTGGAAAACCGGTGGGGTTTGTTGTTCTCCCCGCGGAAGCTCGCGATAGTCTCTTATCGGAGCTCTTCGCGCCGATGCTGCTATGCTTCTACACTTCATCCGACTGTGGACATCTTCTCAAGGGGATATTTGCGAACATAAATTTTCTTTTTCATCATCTACCTAAGTATTAAACGCCTCCATCCCATCATAAATACCGCGATCGCGCCTACACATAGACAAAGTTGTTCCGGCACAGAGGACATGTGCTCTGGTTACTGCTCTTGAACCACCGGTACAGACAGACAGAGTGGAACGTGTTCTTGCATGTCGCGCACCTCTTGTTCGGCGTTTGCATATCTGTGGAGATGACCGAGTAGCAGATGGCACACTCACTCTGTCCCTTCAGCGCACCCTGTACGTTCTTCCGGAATGCAAGCAATCCATCCACCAGACTGCCATTGGCAAACATGATCACGCCCTGAATAGTGACCAGCCAGCCCTTCCATTTTCTCTCGTCAACCAAGACACGGCTACGACTTACAACCAGGGCAGGGTGGAGCGGGTACGCAGGGGGCAGAACGATTCCGATTGCGACGGGGGGCGACTCTTCGTCCACTGGGATGCTGGCAGTGATCTCTGCCGACTTTGGAGAAATCTTCAACGTCAGTGCTCGCTCTTCGCTGGAATCCTGCGTTGATATCCACTCAGAGACACTCTGTAGAGAGTCATCAATAACCAAAGGTGAGATCTTTTGTTTTAACAGTCAGTGAACATACATTCTTATCGAAATCATTAGAGTTTTCGGGGGGGGAGTCTCACGAATTTTTCAGTCCAACTCTCAACAGGTCCCTTGATACGCTTCTTCGTGTCAATCCACCAGCTCTTTGTCGGGTTGGCCAGATGTCTTAAAGACAAATAGTACAAATTTACGAGGAGCCACTGCGTCTCTTTCTCAACTGTAGCCGATTGATCCGGTTCAAAGGACCGGACATCAAACTTGGACGCGTCGATTAGTTTTCCATCATGCGACTTTAAAAGAAAATCAAATATGAATTCTAGAAGCGGCTCGAGGATTTTGTACTCCTTGATATCTGTCACATAGAATTCTTGCACAGGGACAGACTATGGCTTGCATATCAGCAATAATTTTCCATTTACGATTTGACAACCTGGACACCTACCGCGTTGGAAAAGTGGTCAAACACAATCTTCCAGCTCAAAAGATAAGACCTTATTCTCGTCCATATCTTCTCCTTATTATCTGCAGTAAATACCGAGTCGACTGTTGGGGCTTCAAGCAACAGCGACATCAGCTCGTCGGGTAGATGGACTGCATTCTTCGACAGCGCAACGTCAAAAGACACTTGCTCCTGGACGCTTGGGACATATCGATGGAGAATTCCGTAGGCTGCACGTTGAACTACCCGACTATCCGCGGTGAGAAGAGGGAACAGCTCACCCACGTTCTCCAGGTCCCGAACCGGTGCGGTGCCTATTAGACGACATAAAAGCTCGACAGTTATGTCTCGTGGTTGATAGAAAGCGATTGAAGTGTCTTTCCCTAGGTTAGCTGAGGACAACGCCAGATTCACACTGAGGGACGACGCACCAAATTTGCTTAATGTGGATGCCAAATCCTTGAACAGTCTAGCCTTTTGTGCCGACCAGGCATCCTTTAGATCATCATTGCTGTCACCATCTGCTACTGACCTCAAACGTGCAAAAAGCCTGAAGGATGATGCCAGTAACGGTAGAGCTTCGTCACTGCTGTTTGCTTTCCTCCAGAATGTGCTGAGGATCTCCATTGTCTCTTCCCAATGCGAACCATAAATATCCTGGAGACAAGGGAAAACAAGAATCAAAGTCTTGATGATTTCGGCTTGAAGACCGACTGATGCAATATCCGACTGAAGACATTTTATAAGAGGCTTTACAAGAAAGACCAGTCGTTGTGTTGGAATAGACGCCACGACACTTTCATCTTCTGAAAGTAAAATGTTGAGCAACACCAGCTTTTTGAGACCTAGTTCATGTCAGTAGAGATTACTACTTAATGATTCCAGACACTGAACTAACCATCTTTCCGTAGATCTTCTGGTTCAAGCCCGGTCGAGTCTGCCACGAGTTCATTGTAAAGCCGTATCCCAGCCGGACTGGAAATTATTGAATGTCTCCAGACAGCAAACCAGGAAGCTGAACGGATAGTATTGGCTCTTCGAGCCTCCCTGCAAATTTTTATAAGATCATCAGAGGATTTTGTTCCATTCGGCGAAGCGGCTTCCGCCATGATCTTTACGAAAGCCTCTCCGACTCGGTAGTCTATTGGAGAAATGCCTTCTAGTTTCTCTAATTTGTCTTCCCAAAAAGAGCACATCATAGAAGAGACAGGTGCTCCACTTCGGACGTCAACCGGGCTTTTCGAGGAGATCCAATGGTTTATGACCTTCCTGCCTTCCGTGACAATTTCCAGGTATTCATCTCGTTGCTCTGGCACTACCAGTCCAGTTATGCCATTGCAATTCTCCATACTCAAGTCATCCTCGATCAACTGTATGACCAAAGGCAGGTTGTAGAATAACGTTTCAAGTTCATCCGTGCCTAGTTCACTAACTTTGAATAATGACGATGAGAGAATTTTTGTTGTGAAGAAAGCTAGTCGAAATGCAGATGACAAATGACTTATGTCTCGCGGGACATTTTCCCATTCCTTCTGCAAGCTGTCTGCGACATCTCGGTCCACTAGATGCACAATGCCTGCCAGAGGGCTCGTTATGGCGGTCGACGCTGCAGGTGGGAGTCTTAGGAAAAAATTCAAAGCACTCTCCCAGGACGAACGAGAGGGCAAAATAGCATTCGCTATCGCTCCCCTTTCCTCAGGCTTGGAGCTCTGCAAAAGATCCTCTGCGACATTGAGTAAAGATTCAACTCTTCGAAAGACCAGTCAGTATGCTTTACAAGTGAAATTTCTAACCCGCAACTTACGAAAGTGACTCATCAGAGACGTGATCAAAATTATGCCGTAGGATTTCCAAACTTGACTTTGCACCGGTATCACCAACGGCTGCCTCTTTCAAGTTCTTCAGCAACTTCTCTGCAAAGCCTGCTATCTCTTCAGAGGTTGACTCTGTTAGATAAAGCAGTTTCCCGGTAAGCTTTGGGCCATGTGGCCCAGCCTGAAATTCCCGCACTGCAGACGGGACGGAAGATGAGATTTGAGAAAGCCCGTGCAAGGTGCTGACAATATCATTGTTAGATAATGATTCAACAATTGACAAGAAAATAAATTCCACAAAGTCACCAGACACAGTCCGATTCTGGAGGACGGCGGTAACGATGGGCCAGCAAGGCTTTTCCAATGCCCGCATTACCAAGGAGTTAATTCCAGTCTTGTCTGGAACTTCCGCGAAGTCAATCAAAGAGATGAACATTTGCAGAACATGTATATTCGACTGCTCCGGCTCTAGCTGCAATACCCGTTCAACCATCTCCTTGAAGCTCGGTCCAAAACCGTCACAATCACGAAGTGACAACGCGATTGCAACAAGACGGTCTCCAGACGCCGAGAGAATAAGGTCAGGTGCGTCCTCTCGCAGAAAGTTGAGAAGCTCCTGCGAATGCCGAGCAACCTCCGGAACGGTACGAACCACCTCTTCAACCACTGCAGCCGCCCCGTATGGCTTTCCATTCCGAGCATGCAGAACCTGGAGGCAATTCTCGAGGAGTAGCAGACCTGTTTTCTCAAAAATTTCCACTACTTGAGCTTCACACTCATGGCCTGAGAGTCGGTCAAGTACTGCAGTCTCCAAGGCGAAAAAACGTCTGGCTTGTGCACAGATCGACTCTTGCGACGTCCTGAAATCTTTAGATTGTTCAGGTGAAGATAGTTTAACTGTTTCAAGCAACTTCTCCGATAGCTCTGTCCAAAACGATTGCAGCTTGTTTTCATGACCATGCGTAGCTAACTTAACAAAGCAATGCACACAGACAGGTTCCGCAAACTGAGGTGGCACTGTCCATTCAGACTGATCTGAGACAGCTCTCACATATTGCCCCAGTAATGGTGTAATTCTTTCCTGTACAAATTTTTCCTTCTCATCTTCAGAAAGTAGGGTCAATAGCCACACTCCAGTGTCAACATAGGATTCCCATCCAGCTTCTCTGTTATGGCGCGGCTCATCCCTTGAATTCAGTCCATCTTGAAAAGCTTCCATCAAGCGAGTTACACTCGACAGACTGACATTTTCGGCGGTGGCGGCCTGTCCAATTTGTGCAAGTACCTTCAATGGAACAACCTGCAGCAGTCGGTTGAGACTTGACCAGAACGAACTTAAACCACCCTGAGATCCTTTTTGAATATACTGAAGCAACCTCTTCGAGGAAGATGATTTTCCAATGTAGTCTTCTGTCCACAGCTGAGGTCTTGACGAGGTCAACTGTAGTAAGGTCTCGGAAAGATCTGAAGAAGCTCCTATTTGCGATGTAGATAATGACTTTCCAATCACCGCTGCGCTTATTATTATCCAATCAAGCTCCTCTGGCAGAGCTGAGGCTGCCGATCGAAGGAGACCGTAGACGGACCGACGAACAAAAGGATCCTCGTGGTAACATAAAGACCACAATGATTTGCTGCTGAGAAGAGTCTGAATCACGGAAATGTCCTTTTGGATATCTTCAGATGACGAGCTGACTGTACAAATTTCAAATTAGGTTCGTGCATCTGGAAAAGCGTGCATACAGACCAACCTAAAATTCGATTGAAGAGCGACAGTGCCGTCCCTGCAACACGGGCATACTTCGCCTGAGCATCGTCGGGCTTGACCGTCCTTTCATCACTTAAAGTTAGAGGGGTCTGCTGAAGGATGACGTCGTCTACAAAATCCAGGATAGAGCTTTGATAAATCCTCCAGACGTTCTTCCTTTTTTCCTCTGTTGGGAAAACTCGTGTAAGTGACTCTAAAGCAGATCGAGATACTGGCTTATCGTTGTCATATAGCCCTGCAAGCCAAGCTCCTATTACTTTGGATAAATGGCGGGCAATCCTCTTGCCTGCAAGGAAGGCAACAAACCCCTGGATAGAGTGGGCCAACTGCCTTACTTTACGAGATAGGTCAATTGAAGCCCTTGGGTATATTTTGATCTGCATAATGGAAGATGTCACCAAATCTGATCATTCATCCGACATAGGTCAACCTACCCACGCCTCTAAGAACCCATCATTAAGGGTCCCCTTGTGACTTTCAACGGCGGAAACGTGATCCCTCAAATCATCCAGTGCTTTTGTTCTCGTAATTTCGTCTTTCTTCAGAGAATTTTTAAAAGCGACCACCAACTGCGGCTCTAATATCCGGGACAGATCCGGTGGCTCAGCCACATATGTAAGGGCAGAAGGGCTTCGTCCCTGGCCAGAAAATGCAGTTGAAAATCCTCCAAATCCAGTGAAGCCAGCTGCCGCTGCACGGCTGCTTGAAGCTTGGGATTTGATCTTTTTACTCATAACGTGGGGCTCAATGAAACAGGTCTCTAGAAAGGATGTATGCGAGACGAGGGAACTGAAAAGAGACAAAGAATCAAATGCTTCCCAATAGAATAGATACAGACAAAAATGTAAATATGCAGTTTCTGGTCCCAACGTCTCCTGGGAAAGGCATTCAGAGCTTCATCTGACAGTCTCTTGAATCTAAGGCAAATGTCAAAGGCGGCCATCTTGCTGAGTCATCGTGGAATAGCATTTGATCACATGACCTGGTGTTGTGACGCGATCGCGCCTGATAAGGAAAGTCAAATTCCCAGAGTTCTCAAAGAGTAGCAGACAGCGACGGAGTCGTAAAGCCTCACAATGAAATTTTTCATCGAGTATGCTCTCTCTTGCATGCTGTTCCTTGCTCACTGCAAAGCTTCTTGCTGACTGACATCCTTCTTCATCCAGCGATCTCCCCGTGCTGTTCCCTTATCCTCGCATTTATCCCGAACAATATGCTTACATGTGCGATCTTAAAAAGACCCTCGACGCCGGGGGTCACTGCGTGTTGGAGATGCCGTCTGGTACGGGGAAAACGGTGTCGCTTCTGTCACTGATTGTCGCCTACCAGCAACACTACCCAGAGCATAGGAAACTTATATACTGTTCTCGAACCATGTCCGAAATCGAGAAGGCATTGACTGAGTTGAAGGCGTTGATGAAATACCGTGCACAGCAACTTGGCTATACAGAAGACTTCCGCGCGCTGGGACTTACTAGTCGAAAGAATTTGTGTCTGCATCCATCTGTGAGGAGAGAGAAGAGCGGGAGTGTCGTCGACGCACGATGCAGGAGTCTAACAGCACCCTTCATACAAGAAAAGAAAGAAAGAGGCGAAGATGTCGAGCTCTGCACATACCATGAAGTAGGTTTCCTTTTCTTGAAGTAGCGGTTTTTATTCTAGGCTGGAGCTGATTGTTGGGAAACGATATTTAGAACCTCTATCTCCTCGAACCACACAACCTTGTTCCGCCGGGCGTCTTCACTCTCGATGGGCTCATCCGATATGGAGAACAACACACCCAGTGTCCTTATTTTAGTGCCCGGCGCATGGTAATGTTACCAACTGAATTGGTGATGAGGGTTTTTTCTGACCTCGGTTAGATGCCGTATTGCAACGTTATCATCTATTCATATCACTATCTTCTCGATCCAAAAATCGCAGAGAGAGTGTCCAGAGAGCTCTCCAAGGACTGCATAGTTGTTTTCGATGAGGCGCATAACATTGACAACGTTTGCATCGAATCTCTCAGCATCGATCTGACGGAAGATTCGTTGCGCAAGGCTACGAGGGGAGCGAATAACTTAGAACGCAAGATTGAAGAGATGAAAGGAACAGATGCAGAAAGACTTCAAAATGAATACTCGAAGCTCGTTGAGGGGTTGCGAGAGGCTGAGCAAGCCAGGGAGGAAGAGCAGTTTATTGCAAACCCCGTGCTTCCAGATGATCTGCTCAAGGAAGCCGTACCAGGAAACATACGGCGAGCAGAACACTTTGTTTCCTTCCTGAAAAGATTCATCGAGTACCTCAAGACTCGGATGAAGGTCACACATGCTATATCTGAAACTCCTCCTTCATTTTTGAGTCATCTTAAAGATCTAACCTATATTGAGCGGAAGCCACTGAGATTCTGTGTTGAACGCCTAGCGTCGCTCGTTCGAACATTGGAACTTATGAATATAGAAGACTATCAGCCCCTCCAGGAAGTCGCCACGTTCGCAACCTTAGTCGCAACCTACGACAAGGGGTTTGTCCTGATTCTTGAGCCATTTGAATCCGAGACAGCAACCGTACCAAATCCTATACTACATTTCACTTGCTTGGATGCCGCAATTGCAATACGGCCCGTAATTGAACGGTTCAGCTCAGTTATTATTACATCTGGAACTCTGTCGCCTCTTGAAATGTACCCTAAAATGTTAGGTTTCACCACCGTTCTCCAGGAGTCGTACACCATGACCCTGGCTCGTCGATCTTTCCTTCCTATGGTTGTAACGCGTGGTTCGGATCAGTCTCAGATCTCATCGTCATTCCAAATCCGCAATGACCCGGGAGTCGTCCGTAACTATGGAAATCTTGTTTTGGAGTTTTCTCGCATCACTCCCGACGGGATTGTCGTCTTCTTCCCGTCCTATCTATATATGGAGTCTATTATCAGCATGTGGCAAGGAATGGGCATTCTAGATTCCATCTGGAACTATAAATTAATTCTCGTCGAGACACCAGATGCACAGGAATCTTCACTCGCATTAGAAACTTATCGAACAGCCTGTTGCAACGGGCGAGGTGCTCTCTTACTCTGTGTCGCTCGAGGCAAGGTGTCCGAGGGTATCGATTTTGACCACCACTATGGGCGTGCTGTTCTTTGCATTGGTGTCCCATTCCAATACACTGAATCCCGCATTCTAAAAGCCCGTCTTGAATTTCTTCGTGAGAACTACCGTATTCGTGAAACTGATTTTCTCTCGTTCGACGCCATGAGACATGCCGCGCAGTGTCTAGGTCGTGTCCTCCGCGGCAAGGATGACTACGGAGTCATGGTATTAGCTGACCGCCGGTTTCAAAAGAAGCGCTCTCAGCTACCCAAATGGATCAGTCAGGCCTTGCTCGAAAGTGAAACCAATCTCAGCACTGATATGGCCGTGGCTACTGCAAAGAATTTCTTGCGTACGATGGCTCAGCCCTTTAAAGCCAAGGACCAGGAGGGAATCTCTACTTGGAGTTTGGCGGATCTAGAGCGACATCTAGCGAAAAAAAGACAGGAGGAAGAGAAGGTTAGGAGAGAAGAACTAGCCAACGGTCGCAGAGCGAACGGAGCTGCCACTGGTCCTCCTGCGACTGCAGCCGGTAGTCCTGATGAATTTGATGACGATATCGATGGAGATCTAATGATGCTGGACGCAAGATAATTGGAACATTTGGAGCATGCACCGTTAATCCCATTCTGAACACGAGCATCATGGGGCGTTTTTGGGTTATGGTTCCAATTGCCTACATTACATAAAGTGATACCACTACAATTTTAGTTAATCTATGGGTTAATCATTATTCACTGAACGGTTTTGATTATTCTGGGTAGTTCTGGAAAGTTCTATTTCTACTTCTCCCAAGGATGGTAATGCTATTCTGAAGAAAAAGAGGGGGGCTGTATTTTTGTTGCCAGATAGACAGAAAAACTCCAGATCGCAAAGACGCAAGAGAAAAAAGAATGTACATGTGAATGTTAAAAAAGGCATCTGCAAACATATGTAGGAGAAAAAAGCACAGGTAGAACAGCTCTCCCAGATGGCAAAAAAGCAATTTTGAATCCCAATTATGCAACGGGAGCGAGAACATCGAAACAGCCTGTACCGACAGTACCGACCCGACCAACAACAATCCTACTCGAGGGACCATTGAGGTTATCAAAGTCCCTCTCAAGCACGGCATCCTTCAAGAAACCGACGGTTGTCTCGAAACTCATCTTTGAAAATGGCGAGGAGCTATCCTTAACGAGGCCGTTCCGGTTGAAGGCACGGAAGCCTCCAGATTGAGTCATGACATCGCCGATCAGGTTAAGATGACGATTGTCGACGGAGATGCTGTGGCCGCGGAAAACGTCACCCATTTCCCGAATTATAGATGCGCGAGCAGCTTCGACGCCGTACAGGGTGAGCATGTGGTAGATAGAGTTGGTGTAGAGGGAATGCGGCTTGATGATGTCCTGGTAGTCGCGCATGGCGAGCAGGTTAACGCCCTCGGTGATAACGTGTGCGCGCTCTCCCTTCAGTTCGTCTGCTTCCACGTACGTGCAGTTTCCGAGACCTGGAATGGACTGAATGACGGCACCGCGGGCAGCTTCTTCGACAAGAGGAAGGAGGAGTAGCTTAGGAGTAGAGATGTCATACTCGAGCTGGACAGTGCACGACGTACCCTTCTTAGGGTCGAATTTGAACTGCGTGACTTCAGCGTACTTAGATCTAACATCTTCTTCACGAATCCTGGAGTCCTTGGTCTGTCCATCGGTATCAGAGTCGGGATCATCATGCATGTCGACGTCGCGCGCCAACCCGTTGGGCGTGGCCTCGTCATCAGAGGCATCGGCATCCTCTCCTCGTCGAACCATAGCTAGTTCATCGTCTTCTGGGCCTTCGTAGGAGACCTGGTTCGTGCGATTCTGGCCACCCCGAGCTCTCTTTGCATCATCGACATCATCTTCGACATCGTCGTCTTCTGGTTCGACATCGCGGTCAAGGCCGCTAGGAGCCTCTTCAATGGTGCCTATTGACACACCAACATCGGGTTGCGCGGTTGAGTAGCTCTTCAGGGTCTTTTCATCATTTCGCTTCTTCAGTGTAGCCCTGGTGAGCTTAACAAGCTTCGGAATGAACTTGTTCTGCAACGCGTTCTGCACATCCTTGATTTGAATTGCGTATTCCTTGGTGTACTCCTCTGCCGGGAAGAAGTCGATGTGAATATCGTAAACCTTAGCTCTAGCGTTTCCGCTGCCAGTTGCAATCCCCTCCTTAACCTGTACCTTATCGACGACCTCTGCGATACTAAGTTTGCTGATTGCCTTTGCAAATTTCTCCGAGTCTTCCTTCGAGATCTCTTCGTTCAATAACAGGGTCATTGTCGGGGTCATGATCGAAGCGCTAGCCGTCATCACAATTTCTCTCAGTCGTGGAATACCCAGAGTGACGTTCTTTGCCGAGTGACCAGCCAAGTGGAAAGTGTTCAACGTCATCTGAGTTGAGGGCTCTCCGATAGACTGACTGGCAACAAGTCCCACGGCTTCACCAGGGTCCACCACTGACTTCAAGTACTTCATGTTCATAAGCGTATTGAATGCCTTCTTACTTATGATACCCTTAATATCCTTCTTCTTGTCTCTTAGAAGCTTGCCTGGGTTGCCATCCTCGTACTGTATACACATTTTCTATTAGTAACGGTCTTTTAGGTATTAGGCGTATTGCGTCGGAACATGTCCATACCTTCTTAAGTGCTTCTGAGAAATTCTCAGACGTGCTCCCGAGATTACCTCCAGGATGCCAGAGGGCCAGTGCTGGATCCTTAGCATCAACCTTTCCAGTCTTCCGCACCTTTTTCACGGCATCCTTATGCCAGTCGACGACTTCTTCCTTCACCAGCTTATGGAAATCACCAGTCAAATTGACCTGGCCCAAAATCGAAACATGATTCGAGGCCAGGAAATCAAAATCTTTAAGATGCACTTGCTTGGTAACGTCAAGGCCATCCTCACCATACAAGAACTGGACAATAGATCCATCCGATGATTCACGAACCGAAGTGTCATATTCGGCTTTCAGCCCCTCCATACCCTTGATCAAACAACGCTGCAAATAACCAGATCTAGATGTCTTGACTGCAGTATCGATAAGACCTTCACGACCTGCCATTGCATGGAAGTAATATTCTTGGGGTTTGATGCCGGTCAAAAAACGGCCAGTGACATAGCCACCAGCCATGGGATTCGTGTCGAAGGCTCTAAACGATGGTAAAGTCTTGCCACTTATCATAACAGGCACACGGCGACCTTCCAGAACCTGTTGACCTAAGTTGCAGGAAATTAGGTTTGCGTTGACACTGGAGCCCTTTGCTCCGGATATTGTCATAGACTGCATCTGATTCCAAGGGAATGGTTTTTCCAAACCACCAGGAAGACAAGCTTTGGTAATCTCAGAGGATAATTTCATAGTTCGGGAGTTTGTGACCATATCCAAGCCGCTCTGCTTCTCATCATCTCGCAGAACATCTTCCAGGCGCCGACGCAGTTCAGCGTCTTGATCAGAGACAGTAGTGTTATCTAGGGTCACATATTTTAGGGCGACTTCACGGCCGATGCTAGCAGTCTGGCTGAGCTTCTCCTGACGTAGGCGATCGCCTTCTCTCGTCAGTCGAAGGTCATCAATTCCGCAAGTAAAGGCACGCATGTTCAAGAATCTTGTGAGAAGTCGTCCAAGGATGCCAATCAGTCTACCAGCAATAGTATGTCCATAAATCTCGTGGATAGAATCGATGAGACCACCAGCAGTAGGTCCAATCTGCTTCTTGTCGAGGATACCACATAGCATCTCACCGTCTTTGAAAATCACGTCGCCTTCTTCACAATCTTGGCCCCATTGATCACCCGGGGTTGAGGACTTGCTTTTCAAGTTCAGACCCGCCCGTCCGGGGGGCATGATGTTCTTAAGAATCGTTGAAATTATTTGCTTTCCTGTCCAAAGGGGCTTGGGCTTAAGAACCGCCGGTTCGACAACTTGAATCCGTTCGGAGATAGTGTGTGAGTTTTCCGGGCGCAAACAGCTATATAACAACTGGTGATAGTCCTCCTCATCGAAAAAGCTGTCTCGGTTTGTGATCCAGGTTCCCATGGAAATGTGATCCTGGATCAAACCTCTCAAGGGCTTCCCGGACGTTGCGACAAGATATTGGTGATCAGTGTCGGCCAACATCATCGCCTCTGCTCGCGCAAGCTCGTTCTGTGGGAAATGCATATTCATTTCATCACCGTCGAAATCGGCATTATATGTATTGCAGTTCGCGTAATGCATTCGGATGACCCGCTCGTTTGCAAGAACCCTGGCCTTGTGGCCCATTATAGACGGTTTATGAAGAGTGGGCTGACGGTTCATTAATACGACGTCGCCGGTAGTAAGGTGTCTGTAGACTTTCTTGTTACGCGATCCTTTCATTCTCAGATTCGAAGGCGCAAGCAACTGGTTAGCAAGAGCTGTTCTCTCGTCCAAACTCTTGAACTTAAGACTGACGACCTGCCCGTTTTCGTTCTCAATCGCAGCAGCGCCGGGATATTTGTCTGGGCCGTTTATTACTGCTTGCTTCATCTCCCAGAAGTTGTGATTAGTCACTGGCTCTGGGTATGTGAGCTTTTTGGCAAAAACAAGAGGAACACCGATTTCGTTTGTTTCGATATTCGGGTCTGGTGAAATGACACTTCGCGCAGCAAAGTTAACTCGTTTTCCCATCATATTCTTCCTGAATAGACCCTCTTTCTTCTCTAGGATCTGCTTGATACCGTTAGGAGCTGCCGCTGCCATTGGTCCGGAAAGGCCACTCCTGTCTCGGTCAATAAGACCATTAACTGCATCCTGGAGTTGTACAATTGCCTGGAGAAGGTCACGGTAGTCTCGCACTCTGGTCACAGAATCAGCGCCAGCAGTCTGCCTCTCCTTGCGGATCTGATTGATAAGGTCACAGGTCTTCAATATCTGAGTAAAGGCTGTGTTCTGTTGCGCTTCCAGAACCTCACCCTGTCCCTGTGCTGCCGCTGGTCTATATTTGTTGGGCGGTACAAGGATGTTCCTTATGAAAAACATGTCCGCGCTGACTTTCGGGGCTTTCCGGGGTGTTGGTCGAGAACTGTAGATAAGTTCTAGAATCTCTGCTTCTTTCTCAAAAAGCAAGGCCATTGCAGCGTGAACCTCGGATGAAGGCATATATTGGCCATCGGCAGATGACTGCTTTCTCTCCGCTTGGGCTATTACAGCATTTCCGCGAGCGACCTCTTCTTCCGCACCATGGAGATCGGACACCACGCTCTCGGCGTCGGTAATACCGTTTTCAACATCCTTTTGTTTGAGTGACAGTTTCTTCGCCTGTTGGAGGAGTATCAGGGAATTCGGTGCGTTAAATCCGGCTTGCATCATAGCGAGTTTAGACTTCTCAGTCAAAGACTTTCTGAAGATCTTCGAATACCTGTCCTTCCGGTAACCTGGAGAGATTCTTTTGATAGAGTGTTAGCACATAATATCCTGACGGTACAAAGAAAAAATAGAAAGTTGTAGAATAATTGCATACCCGCTGCAGCTGGTACATTTCTTTATGGCCACGATGTCCTTAAAGAACTCTCTAATCAAGGCTCGTCGCTTTTCCGCGGCAACGGGATTTTTTGCACCAGTCATTAAGCCAACCGGTTTATTCTCTGATTGCGCTTCGCGAATGCGTCTCTTAACGTATGCATTCCGCCGGGTCATTAGATCGTCTTCATCGTCCTCATCCTCGTCACTGGAAGCCTCCCCTTTTTTTGGCACCTTTTTTCCAGCACTCTCCATGGATTCTATAACGCTTACTTCATCGACTAATCCATACTGTAGCAGTCGCAATTTGCATACGTACGCATTAATCTGGACCCGGGACATTTGCAGCCGATGGCAGTAGATACATTGTGCTCGAATAAGCCGATAGAGCTGGTCGAAAAAAGTGACATTGTAGACAGGAACTGGAAGCTCAATATGGCCGGGATGACCGGCGCAAGACCACGAGTTCATGCGACAAGTCGTACAGCTACATTCGAGGTAATTAGCTTCAACAAACAGAATAATATCTCGCCCCAAAGGACGCAAGGAGAGATGCTTACACATGGTCTCCCCAAGCACCCAGAGCCGGATCGTAAAGTCCACCGGGAATAGGATTGTTGAACGAATCCAAGGTGGGAGTATTATGGATTCGTTTCACAGAGATGGCTTTGATTTCTTCGTTAGAGTAGAAACCAAAGTCAACTCCCGCGATGGAAGATGGCACAGGACGTGCAAAGTTGGCCATTGTTTCCTGGAGCTCTTGGAGCCACGGAACAGGCTGGCGTGGAAAATTATTTTCGTCCTGCGCTCAGTCCTGAAGAATGAAGCTGCAGCAGGAATCTTCAAAATGTCGGAGGGACTTTTTTTTCCTCCGATGCTTTTCTTTTTTTCTGCCACCAGTCACCGCCTGGTGCTTCTGGGCCAAACTTCGCGTCCGCCATTGTGCCCGTCTATATGTTCTTGATTATACACGAGACTTACGTTCATTGACACTCTTCCTACTTCCTTTTTTTGTCAGCCGCATTTCTCTTTTCGAGCGCCGATAGAGCTTCGCGGTGAGTCGAACGTCTTGTCTTGCCTGTCCATGATGGCGGACTTGTCGGGCAGCATGCTGAAACGGCCTCATCCCGAAGGCGAGGAAGATAATGCGCAGAAGAGACCTCGTTCCGGCAATGACTCTACAGGACCCTCTAAGAATGTCCATGGGTCTAGCAAAGTCGACATTGAAAAGATGGTCGCCGAAGCGAGAGCGAAGGCAGAGGCTGTCCGCGCAAGACTGCAAGCCGCTAGAGGCGGAACTCACGTCGTCACGCAAGTTGCTCCAACTCCTAGCCCTCCTCCTGCTACTACTGCCCCTGCAATGTCGAGACTGGACCAATTGAAGGCCAGAGTTGCAGCAGCTACAAGCAGAGTTAACGCTACCCAACAACAAGCTACACGCTCCCCAGCGCCGACCCCAGCTCCTGCCCCAGCTCCTGCCCCAGCATACGAGGATGAAGGTCTTCCGCGAGGTCGCGGAGGTCTGGATATCGGACTGCATCCAGCTCTGCTTTCGGATACTACTGATTTTCGGAGCAGTAGGGGAAGACAGACGACACATCAAAAGTCTGCAAAGCGTCAGACGGAGTCGCCGGTCCTTCACAAGGCCGGGCTTGATCTCTCCGGGCCTTCCCTCGAGGAAATAAAGAACAATCCATATTTCGACCCCAACTTAGGTCCAAAAGCCACAATTCCGAAGCCCCGACAGTCGCGCCAGCTGATTTTCAATCAGAAAGGTAAATACATGCTGCAAGCGGCTGCTCTACGTCGACAAGCTCAATTGGAAGCAATGAAAAAACGCATTGCTGAGAGGGCGCGGCAAGCCGGAATCGATGAAGACCTAGATGTGGAAAAGGCGTTTCTTGTTCCCGCTCCACCAGCTATTGAGTGGTGGGACGAGGGATTAGTGAACGGGACAGATTATTCTGCTATCGGGGATGAAAAGAACCTCAAGATTGACACATCGGATTCCATAATAACTCTTTATGTCCAACACCCTGTCCTCCTTGATCCACCTCAGGATAAATATCTTCCTGCACAAAAGCCAATGTACCTCACCCCAAAGGAGCAAGCCAAGATTCGCCGACAGCGACGAATGGCGGATCTGAAGGAACAGCAGGCAAAGATCAGGCTGGGCCTTGAGCCAGCCCCTCCACCAAAGGTTAAGAAATCCAACCTGATGCGTGTTCTTGGTGAACAGGCAGTCAAGGATCCCACCGCTGTGGAGGCCCGAGTCAACCGGGAAATAGCCGAACGCCGTGCTCAGCATGAGGCTACGAATGAGGAGCGTAAATTGACAAAGGAACAGCGTCGCGAGAAGCTAGCTAGTCAACAGGAGAACGATGCAGCCAAGGGCATTTTCGTCTCGGTATACCGCATCGATAGTCTAGCCAACGGCCGACACCGCTTCAAGGTCAGCAAGAATGCCGAACAGAATGCCCTTACCGGCATCTGCATCATGCATCCCCGGTTAAACCTCGTTATTGTTGAGGGCGGTGCCCATTCCATGAACAACTACAGGAAACTCATGCTGAACCGGATCGACTGGACCGAGAACGTTGGTCCCAACGTAGCCCGCGAGGGTGAGACTCTGGCGTCGTGGCTATCGCCAGAGGATGAGAAGACCGGGGATTTGAAGGATCTCAGCTCGAACACTTGTACTCTACTATGGGAAGGTCAGGTGAAGGCTCGCTCCTTCAGGAAATGGCTGGGTGCGCGAGTTTGCGAAACTGACGCGGCGGCAAAGGATGTGCTGGCGAGGGCAAAAATGGAAAATTTCTGGACCTTGGCCAAGAGCGCGAAGCAGAGCGAGTCGTGATTCTTTTGTTCTCTCTTTTTTGTGGTTTTCTAAAGTAGTATAACTTATCATATATCCCCTTTGCAATTTTCTCTTCAAATCTAGCCAATACCTCTGGGCGTCACGTGTTTCTAACTATATCATTATGCTTATATTTATTCTTGGCAAGTTTGCATTGTTCTTGGCATATTTGGCAATGGTTGAACCCAGTGCGCAGTTGAACATGTTCAAGTAGGGTGCACTCGTTCGAGGCAGTTTTTGAAGCAACAACAGCTTTGGTGCTCTCGTAGCCACTTAATTTATGCCATTTGCTTACTGAAGCTATCCAGAAAATAATATCCCACTGGATTTTATGTTTCAACAGCTCTCATGTAAGAATCTGATTTGTATTTGCTTAGTCTGTAGTCACCGTGTCTGACGCTGAAGAGCAATTGCATTTATATATATCACAGATGTATACTACACTGTACCTCTACAAGACATATATGGCAACTATATCAAGGTTCATTAATGCAATTACCTCATACCTACCGGGATAAAATGGATTTCATTTACGATCCAAACAAATACCACATTCCAATGAAAAATGCGTTGTAAATGGATGATGTACAAGCCGATTGATGCTCGCTTCAACCGACTTGTTTCCTACGAGTACTCCGAACATAAGCCGGGAAAAAAAACAGAAAACAAAACGGGTTGACAAGATGGTATACCCTGACCGTGGAATACATAGAATAAATTATCCAAAGTATATACCTAAACTACAGCAGATCGAAGATGATTGTCATAGGTGTAAGAGACCATCCACGCCGGGGTCCGATAGGTACGCCGTACCTTACTAGTTAGGCAAAACAGCAAGAGTACCCGAAAGCAACACGTCACGTTCAATAGACACTCAACACGCGTCACACGCACATACCAAGTCTACGAGAAAAGAAACGAAAACACCAGACAATTAAGATATGGGCTCATTCGTATGCCCTATTTGGTTGCACCTTGTATTCAAGGTCAGGTTCTTCAATTCGGCCCGTAAGATTCATAAACGGCCGCTATGATACAAACATCAGACGCGAGCACTAATAGACCCAGTAGTGGACACGTAACAGTAAGAAACTAGTAGAAAAAAAAGGAAACCCGGAGACCCATGATGAAAGATTCAGAACACCCCAACGACCCTTGAGAATACCGTAAACCAACCCGAGAAAAGCAAACCGCCGCGTCCTTGCTGCGGAAGGCAACAGACGCGCCGACCGCGCAGGATGGCTATGCGAAAAGGAAACAAAAAGCAAGTCGTTTAACCACCGAAACCGTAGAGAGTGCCTAGAAACCGAGTTAGACGCGTCGAATAAGACGTCAGATCAAACAGGAACCACTTACGTCCTTGACGCTTAAGAGCATAGACAACATCGAGAGAAGTAACGGTCTTCCGCTTAGCGTGCTCAGTGTAGGTGACGGCATCACGGATAACACCCTCGAGGAAGGTCTTGAGAACACCACGGGTCTCCTCGTAGATCATGGCGGAGATACGCTTGACACCACCACGGCGTGCAAGACGACGAATAGCGGGCTTGGTGATACCCTGAATGTTGTCACGCAAGATCTTGCGGTGACGCTTGGCGCCACCCTTTCCGAGACCCTTACCACCCTTGCCGCCTGTAGGAGACACGTCAGTGGAATACTGGAGACGCGTCGACAAGAGATCACTTACGGCCAGTCATGGTGAAATGTGGTTTGAGGAGTTGTTTTATTAAGTGTGGAGATAGTTTGAAGAGGGTAGAGTGTTTTGTGGATAGACGCTGAGAATAGATGGAGAGGAGGAGAAGGAGAAAGCCTGGAGCAGGAGATATTTGTATAGAGACAGAAAGCGCAGCGGGCGGTGGTTGAGAATCACACGCTAGCAGGCGGATCAGCCAATCAGGGGCGGCGATCCGATAAGCGGACTTGATCTTTCGGTCCAGTGCCCGAGCAAGTATGATCCCGCCGTGACTACATCGACAACCGCCGGAACACTGGCAGAACGACCGGATTGCGCCGGTAAAATATCTACAAGGATTGGTAGAAACGGTATTACCTGGCTGGTCCATTCGAAATGCACCCATGCCATGCTTGTGGTTGAGATCAAGAGGAGCAGGCAAAGCGTGATCCTGGGCTCCCATTGGCTGGCGGGACGCTATCTCGCTTAGGACTCACGTGGGCCGCTAAACCCGATGCAGCGCGCATTTTGATTCTCGCAGCCAAATCGACCCCCCGAAATCAGGGCTTATGATGCGCTGCTTTCCGAGCCCATTTTGCGATCAAAAGTAAGCACGCTAAGGCCGCCCGCAACTGGCTCAGTTATCCCTCTCGCATCACCAGATCACCACCCGCCCCTCGCTTACTACAAATACCTTCCCCCACCCGCTTTCCTCCATCCTTCTTACATCTCCTTCCATCCACTCAGCTGTCCTCCTTTTCCATCAACCAACATCCACCTTATCAGCTTTTCATCAAGAACACATCTAATCTCATCAAAAAACATCCGCTAAGATGGCCAGAACCAAGCAGACAGCCCGTAAGTTCAAACTCACTGCCTTTTTTTTTTTCTCTTTCATCGTCCAAGACGTCATCGTCGCGTCTCCCTGGGCGATTTCGATGCATGCCTAAACACCCTCGCTAACACATCACATACAGGTAAATCCACTGGTGGCAAGGCCCCTCGTAAGCAGCTCGCTTCCAAGGCCGCTCGTAAGGCTGCCCCCTCTACCGGAGGTGTCAAGAAGCCTCACCGCTATAAGCCTGGTAGGTTCACTTTCCCTTTAGTGTCATATCGGACTCTTCTAACGCGTTGAACATAGGTACCGTCGCTCTCCGTGAGATCCGCCGCTACCAGAAGTCCACCGAGCTCCTGATCCGCAAGCTTCCCTTCCAGCGTCTCGTTCGTGAGATTGCCCAGGACTTCAAGTCCGATCTCCGCTTCCAGTCTTCTGCTATCGGCGCTCTCCAGGAGTCCGTTGAGGCCTACCTTGTCTCTCTCTTCGAAGACACCAACCTCTGCGCTATCCATGCTAAGCGTGTCACCATCCAGTCCAAGGACATCCAGCTTGCCCGCCGTCTCCGCGGTGAGCGCTCTTAGACTCTAATGAGTTGATACTTTCTCTGGTTGTCTCTTCTGGGAAGGCGATTATGGGGTTTTTCGTTTTCATTATGACTACTGGCGATAAATGGGTTTTTGCTTTTTAAATCACAATGGGTTTCGGTATTTGGGTTGCTTTCAAATTTCTTTCCCCGCGCAAACAATCATGGTGCTTATGAAGCGCGTGGGCGGATTCATCACGGTGTACATTAATGATACTTTCTCCCACTGGTGTCTTGAAGCACGCTGCGATAGACGCGAAATGCGAGTCGATGACTTGAAAGAGAATCCAGCCAGTATTTGATGTTGGTATTGTAAAGTCTTGTTAAGAGTATCTCATGCGCGTTTCACCGGTCGCGTTGCTGCCTAGTTCGAGCGGACGACGACGCCTGTCCCTCCGGCAATACTTGCGACTGTGATTGTATGGTGCCGTAGTTGCGGTTCTGTGGCGGATTGCCTTTGGTCGAATCCTCGGTCGCGCGAAGACATCAGCCATGAGCAAACCACCGTCTGTACTGGTTTCTTGACTTTTACACTTTTAACAATCCAATAGACTGGCTACGACCATGTGTTCCTATGTTCCAGTAGTAGATCTCAAAGGTAAACAAGTGTCATCAATCGTTCGAGAGGTACGACATCTCAGGTGGTTGAGATGGTACTAGCATCATGGCCTGTCCCCCAAAGCACCCCTGGTCCATTAAGATTCGCAAGTGTATGGAGTACTTGAGACTCGTTTCAAATTCTGCATCACCTTCCGTGAAGTTCCTGGCTTGTGAACACTCCAAGACTCCGGACTCCACAGCCGTCGACTTGACCACTTTGTTATCACTCCGTATGCCTGTCGCCATTACTCTCTTGTCAACAGGGACACTCAGAATGCCTGTTAACTATCCCCTCGCTGGAGTCCGTAAGGCTCAAATAGCCATTTCCGTCTTTTCTGTATAGTCTGGCTGCTATATTCACGTCCGATACTGCCCCAGAGGCCGTCATCGCATTTATCATAGTACGACATCCGACACCTCTTCCCATTGCTACCCAGTGCAGGATGAATGGAAACTGACATCATTATTGAGGACTATAGCTCGGAATCTAGTATATTTGTCACCGTGGCATTTATCCGGCGCAAGAACGCCGCCTTCAGCAACAACCAGCGCGAGCGATTCCCGCTCATCGATACCTTGCTCGATGGCGTAGCTGCCACTTTCTTCGTTGCCATACACACTACAGGAATGGTTATATTCAGCACAAGGACAGTTCGGAGCTGGGGGTATACTATGAACGCGCCATGCCCGAGATTGTGGCTATCTTCTTGTGTTTGATTCTTGGGTGAGTGGAGCGCGTTATTACTACATTCCATCGGCACATTCACTGAGATTAGCGCGGAAAATCGACTAGTCTTCTCCATGCATATGCCTTCTCCAGGGCCCTGTATTATGGGTACAGTGTTTGTCGGCTGCGATCTACCTATGTTCTACCTACGTTCTATGTCCGAGCTGCTCTAGATTGGCGAATCCCGAGACTGGCGGAGATCATTTATACGCGCAGCAGTACCAGTCCAGTTATCACCATCCCCGGATCGAAGAGAAAAGTAAGGGAGACAATCGCTCGTGCCCAGCATTAGCTCAGAAACCACACTGTTCATGAGCGAGTAAGAGTCTATCTGCGACTCTCAACTTTCAATGGACCTGCTTCAGCCGTCGATGGACGACACAGAATCAACGTTCCTACATGAGAATGAAAGTGAGGTGACAGGTCGGCGCCGGACTGTCAACGTTCGTCCGTGTCTGTGCTGCCCACCACCGAACTGGCAGCAGCCTAGCCATTCCAATATTAATGATGACAATGGTGATGGGGGAAGTAAGCACGGGGACAGACGCTAGAGCTACGGTGTCAGCTCGGGATCTAGGTCATTCTGTCGATGAGAATCAGGTTCCGCCACCAGCGTATGAGGCCTAGTCGATGGATAGGCCATTTAAGGCAAGCGACATTGCCGTGAATAAGCTGGGATGTCCGTGCGGCATTGAACATGTACAGCGTAAAATCCCTGAGTTGGCTTCTGAGATGTTCTTGAACGGAAATTGAATCGGGTGACTGGGGCCGCATGCAATGCTTACAGGGGCGGCAACTGTAATCTGCTTGCCCTTGAGATCATGCACCTCGGACTTACCAGCCTTGATGTTTAACGCCGAACAGCGTACAGCGCTGTATAGGCTGCTTTGAGGGATTGTATAGAGTCCCCAGCACAGCGCTGGACGTATGTTGAGTGTCCTTCTCTGGCCTAGCACAGCGTATTGTTCTATGTTGCATATAGTTGACAACATCCAATGAATAGTAGACCGTGATACTGTAGGGCATGCCGTCATAGACACGACAGCGGAGTGATAAATCGACCAGCTGCATTCATTATTCTTATGCTTAATGGGCCGGACCCACTGACAGCGGAGTCATACTTGACATGAAACTTGAAGACACCCTGAGTTGCAGGATATTCTCGAATCTCGACAGGCTGTGATTTGCTATGTATAGACAGTGGAAATTTCTAGCTTTGCCTGGATTCGTTCCGAACCGGAGAATTATGCTCTGCAACTACGCCACGCGTCACGTGCAGACTCGGGAATCTGGTTCTGTGGCAGATGCCGGCTCATCCGTTGCAGCGAACCAAAACAAAGCTCTTAACTGGTCTCGGGCTGATCGGTGTATTAATAATAGCCAGACTAGTTAACAACTAACTAATGAATCAATGATCGTCAGGTTACGCAGCCCAATGGGGGCTGCACCTCCTGAGAACCACAGCGGCAATCCAGAATCCACGGATCCCGGCAGGGTCTTGTGTATAATCTTGTATTATTCTTATGATGATCTTGATCTGATGCCTGCCCAGCGACTAGCATTGCCGATGCTTCTCTGCAGATCGAGTCCCTTTTCAGAGTACAAAGTACGCTTGTATTTGCATGATATCGCATCGCAGAGGATATTAAGGATGGCAGATAGACATGTCCGAGCTTCAAAGGGACCTGAGGCCAGACCATAAATGATAATACTCGTTATATTAACAGGAGCCAAGCAAGAAAGGCCATTCGTCTTGACTGTCTTTCATCTTTTTTCTTTGTCTCCATTTTGCGCTGTCCGTGGATCTGGAGTCCAATAGCATGCAGAACCACATTGGAACCGATATTATCATCAATATAATGATCTCTGCATCGTGCATAAACAAGATTAATGCTCGGGTATGAGCCGTATGGGCTGCCTGTCATTAATCAACCATCGGGTCGTAGCTTGTCTCATTTATTTTTTATTTTTCAATATCAAATGTTTGGTTTTATTATTATTATTATTTTTTTCCTGGACGAGTCACATATTTATTATGTACCTGTGTTCTCCCAGCTTCTGCACTTTCTCCCTCGCTTCCCCTCTTTTTCTCCTCCCCACGCCTGGGATCGTTCTCTCCAGCTACCCACCTATCCCCGGAGAGTACCGCCAGACTCATCGACACTCAAGCACTCATCCGGCAGGATTCTTGCAATCCCTTCCCGCCGTTGCTCTATTGCCGGTCTTCCTCGATTGCCATGAGCTCCAACCCTCAGGCGTCAAACCATGACGCCGAGAAGAACCATCCTTCCGTACCCACAAAAATCAGCTTCTTCCGCGAAATCTTCGACCAGGGCGTCGTCACCCAGGACGTTCTGAATTATCCATATCCCGGCTCCGGCACCGAGGAAGATCCTTATGCCGTGACATGGATCCCCGACACTGATCCCCGCAACCCCATGCTCTACAGCCCAGTGAAGAAATGGACGCTCACTTTCACTGTTGGTATTGCTACTTTGGCTGTGGCCTTCGTCTCATCTGCCTATACCAGTGCCGTGGAGACCATGATGGAGGAATTCCATGTTGGTCAAGAGGTCATTACCCTTGGCGTGTCGCTCTTCGTCGTCGGTTTTGCGTAAGGCTTCTTTCTTTCTTTTCATCAGACTTTCAACTGACGATTCCATAGCGTCGGTCCGCTCTTGTGGGCTCCTCTGAGTGAGATGTTCGGCCGTCAGATTCTCTTCTTTGGTACCTATGCTGCGCTTACTGCATTCAACGCTGGCATTACTGGTTCCAAGAATAGCTGGACCATGATTATTCTTCGCTTCTTTGCTGGTTCTTTCGGATCCTCCCCGCTGACAAATGCCGGAGGTGTCATTGCCGATATGTTCCCTGCTGCCCAGAGAGGCATTGCCATGAGTCTTTTCGCGTCTGCTCCCTTCCTGGGTCCTGCTCTCGGCCCCATCTGTGGTGGATTCCTGGGTGTGGGTACGAGAAACTGGAAGTGGGTGATGGGATTTCTTGCCATTTTCTCCGGCGTCGTCTGGATCGTTGGCTCTCTTACAGTCCCCGAGACTTATGCTCCGGTCCTTCTTCGCCGTCGTGCAGAGCGGCTGTCTAAGCTCACCGGTAAGGTCTACCGGAGCCACATGGATATCCAGAATGGCAAAGTTTCCCTGCAGAAGGCCTTTAAAGTTGCGCTTTCTCGTCCGTGGATTCTGTTGCTCATGGAGCCCATCGTGTTCCTGCTCTCGTTGTATCTGGCGATTGTCTATGGGACTCTGTACATGCTGTTCGAGGGCTTTCCCGAAGTCTTCCAAGTCACTCGCCATTGGAACGCAGGTGTTGGCAGTCTTCCCTTCCTTGCCATTACCGTTGGCATGGTTTTTGCCGTCGTTTATTCGATATTTGACAACAAAAGATACGTCCGGATCTCGCAGAAGCACAATGGCTTTGCACCCCCGGAAGCACGTCTGCCACCCTCCATGCTTGCTTCAATTGCGCTACCTATCGGCCTGTTCTGGTTTGCGTGGACCAACTACACCTCCATCCACTGGATTGTCTGCATTATTGCAACCGCACCGTTTGGTTTCGGCATGGTGCTCGTCTTCCTGAGTATCTTCAACTACCTGATCGATTCATACACCATCTTCGCTGCGTCTGTGCTCGCTGCAAACTCTGTGTTGCGTTCACTGTTTGGAGCTGCGTTCCCCTTGTTCACCACTTACATGTATAAAAATCTGGGCAACCACTGGGCCTCGTCGATCCCGGCATTCTTAGCGGTGGCCTGTGTGCCATTCCCGTTCCTGTTTTACAAGTACGGTGCACAGATCAGGAAGCGCTGCAAGTATGCCGCTCAGTCCGAAGAATTCATGCGGAAACTGCAGATGCAAATGCAAGCCGCGCCGCAGCCTGAGGAAGAGGAGGCAGCCAAGGAGGAAGAGGCCGTGTACGACCGTACTGAGGCTCCTGAGCCGCCATTGCTCGAGACAGCGTCCGTGGAGTCGGAGCCTAGGATGCAGCCGCTGCGCAGTAGAACACAGTCCATGGCCTCGACACGGACAACTAGCACACTGCGTCGCCAAGTCACGTACGAAGGCAATCCATTTGACATTGACCGTGTCAACACGCGAGACTCTGTTAAGGGGATTTAGGGGGGTTTTTTCAATTTATTTGGCGTCCTCCGCCATAATTCATGGGGGAGAAGTAGATTTCTGGAAAAGGCGAAAAGGGTTATTCGGATAACGGCCTTGAAGCCGCATGTTAACATATAAACAGCATAGTACGATAGTTAATTATGATAATAATAGATGCATTGATTGACGATCAGATAATTATTTAGTATACGGACTAAAACTCTGTGCTCAAGCTTCTATATTAATAGATGGACGTAAATGCCGAAAGCCGGGAAAATGCCGCAATCTATTCTGAGCGATACCGGATAGGGCGGCGCCTATCGATTTCGTTCCCCTCGCTGGTCCTCTTCATTTCATCTCAATCTCCTCTCTCAGTAAAGATATAGACTGGTTGTTTTCTTTTTTTTTTGTTCATTCTCTCTCTAATGATGCTATGCGACTGGATTCGTGCTTAGATTTGCCACACCGAAATCTGGACCTGGATACAGCATAATAGATCATTGGTTATTTACCCATATTTATTCTTTTCTCTGACTGATTCATTCGTTCATTCATTCATTCTTTCTTTCTTCCTATTATTGTTATTAACTCTTCCTGCTCATCATGGCTTTTGCACAGATCCCTGTCGGGCTCAGATCTCTCGAGGTCTTCACCAGACGGACGACTGTGTCGTCCCGATCCCTCCTACAACGACATACAGGACCAAAAACAGGGAAACCAAGAAATAAATCGGATATTTCTACGTCTTCTTCATCACCACAGTCACCAGAAACTACCCCTTTGTCCGAACCTGCAAAGCCGAATGCACCGTCACCCACCCCTCACCCCACGACGGGTACACCCATAGCACCTACGACTCCTACCCCTACGCCTCCTCCTACTACGACTGCGACTGGTACGCCCCCAGCAACATTGACATTGACACAATCCATATGGCGGATCGTAAAGGCCAGTCCCGCTGGGAAATTGGCGAGTATGTATGCGCGCGGACAGAGGGAGAGACCGTACACGATGCAGGTGGGGAGTTATATCCTTGTGTATTTGTGTGGGGATTTGAGTGCGCAGTTGCTATTTCCCGCGGACAGTGGAGATGATGATAAGCATGATGAAGAAAAGAAGGAGGATGAACGTGCACAGGATGGAAATGTGTCCACCCAGTCTGCAGAGGTCAAATACGATCCGTGGCGAACATTCAGACATATTCTTGTAGGGATTGGGTCTAGTATTCCGACGTATAAATGGTGAGTTTCCTCCCCCCTCCCCCCTTTTTTTCTGAGCACGAACTGATACCTAAAAAGGTTCATGTACCTCCACTACAACTTCAACTACGCCTCCAAGTACCTCTCCCTCCTGACCAAAGTCTTCGTCTCACAAATGATCTACACCCCCATATTTAACGCGTACTTCTTCGCGGCCCAATCACTCCTCGCCGGCGCAGGTCTCATGGAGACCTATGAGCGACTGAAAGTCGCCTTGCCACAGAGTATCAGGAACAGTGTCAAGCTATGGCCGGCCGTTACGGCGTTCAGCTTCACTTTCATTGCGCCGGAGTACCGGAGTGTGTTTGGCGGGTTGATCGCGGTGGGGTGGCAAACGTATCTGAGTTGGTTGAACCAGGAGGCCGCTAAAGAGGTTCTTGACTATGATCCTGCTCCTGCTCTTGATGGACAAGAACATGGACGTGAACATGAACGTGTGGGATTGATGGGATCCGCCGTTCCTGTGTCATTGAAGGCGTAATCTGCTCTGCTTTCATTCCTTTTCTTGCATTTTGTACAGTTATAGACTTGATTAAGTATCTCTGCACATAGGTATAAGATATAGATATAGATATAGATAGATAGACGTCATGCAGCAATGCATTGCATTGAATTTCTTAGTCTTCCCACTCAAATATTCCACGCTAGACCTAAATATTATTATCGGACGTGGTACATGGAGATGGGAAGGGAAGGGCATTTGTACAGAAACATAGAATAAAAAGAAATAAGCATAAAACATAACTTAAGCATCCAACATCCAATACCCCCCAATCTCCTCATATCTCTTCTCGAAACCCGGTAAAATCTCCTCAAGAATCTTCGGCTCGACGTCATAGAAATCCGTACATGACGCGACCGGCATTCCCTCCGGCTTATTAGGCAAATACTCCGCAATATCCCATTTAATCGAGACGTTGGTAGTAACGGACCAATTCTCATCATGGGGATGTTTCTTGTACGCCTTGAAGATGCCACCGTTCGTCTCGCGATGCCATGAGATGAGTTCCTTGGACAGCGTCTTGAGGAGACCACCGTGCAGGAAGGCGATTCGCCCATCGTCGCGATCGGGGTGGTACTGCGCGAATGTATGGCCGCAGTAGTACCCGTCTGGTGTTAGTGTGCCGACGCTCGTGAGCCATCGTGCCGGAGAACCGAAGGGAGTTTTCAGCGCATGCCAGGAGAAGCGGAAGAGGTCCTTATCTCCCAGCAGGAATTTACTGTAGTACTGATCTGGCTGGGCGTTGCCGAACCAATCCGCCAGCTGGAGGTGGTAGAAAAAGCGGCGTTTGTCGACGAGGAGTTGGCCGCTTTCCTGCTCGTACTCGTCCATGCGGCATTTGGTGTTTGTGATGGGCCACATTGGGTTATTTGTTCGGGTGCGCGCGATGTCCGGCCAGAACAACGTACCGAATTCGCGGTAAGTCGCTGAGTCGTAGAGCTCGGCCGGGTCGATGATGGGGATGTTATCCGAGTCCAGGAGGAAAGGTTCCGCGAAGCGCGAGTTGATGACGGCAGCCGTCTTGAGCTGGTAGTTGATCAGGTAGGGGTTGAATTTTGTCTTCGCGATGTTAGCGGGATCCGAGAGGTCATTGAAGAACATCTTGTTAGGCTGCCAGAGTTCCTGGAGGGCGTTGCGCGAGGACTCATTCAATTCCTGGCCCCAGAAGTGGATTTCGATGGGCAGTTCGGACTTGAGCTTCATCAACTGGCGCAGGATGACTCGGACGCGTTTCAGACTCTTCTCGTTGCCCGCAACGATGATGATTCCCCGCCCGTCGAACCGTTCCTTGTACTCCTCGAAGGGGAGAAGCTGGCTCTCGATGAACTCATGCCACTTGTTCCGCTGCCGGTCCAGCTCCATATCGCTGCGATCGTTGAGTTTCCAGTCAGCATCGCTGCCGTCGAAGGTGAACGTCACCGCAGCGGGATAGAGCCAGGTGCAGCCGGACTTGGCCTCGTCCATGGTCATGCCCTTCATTTCTGTGACGGCCTTGAAATGTGGCAAGAAAGAATCCGCTGTGGGCAGTCGATGGGCGTCCTTGACGAGACCCTTTGAATCAACAATCAGGGCGCCATAGGACGCGTGTCCGACAGATGCAGGCCAGCTGCCAGAATAGCTGACGCCAGAACCACTGCTGCCAATGCCAGCAGCATCCTCTCGGAAGAAGACATAGGTGAAGAGCAGGCCGAGAACGACGAGAAAGACTGCCGCGGAGATCTTCAAAGGCTGCCGCACGGGGTAAATCATTTGTTCCCGACGTCGCTTGGATATTGCGACGATAAAAAAGAAAGAAAAAAAGGAACGAAGACTACCTCTGTACGGCTGCTCTGGCGAGCGAAAGAAAAGCTCTAATTAAGGCTATGTATGACAGACAAATCCAGGAAGCGGGAAGAAGGTTAAATTAGGACGATCTCTGGAGAAAATATGGAGTCAAGGAGAAGCGAGGCGATTAGGTGAGCACCTGGAACAGCCAAGCATATTTTGATCGACAAAGACAGGAAATACTGAGACAAAAGACCGAGGTTTCCTGTGATTCTTCTGTTCTTGTGAATTGTTGATTCTGTTGGTGATATTCATGCAGGATACATGTACTAACCATGTACTCCGTAGTATGGGGTACTTTATTGATTCCGAATGTACATAAATATCAGGGAATAAATTATAATGCTCCGCATAGTAAGAATAATTTAATAAAATTTAATAAAAGCAAACCATTTGCGATCGCTTTTCCTTTTTGAGAAATACTCTTATTCCTCCGCATCCTCTATTACTGAGTAGTTATATCAAGCAAGAGGAACAAATACCCACAACAAGCAGAGCAACAGTCATTTCAATTCATTCTCTCTCAAATACCTGCCTGTCTCGCTATCTCCAGCCCTCGCTGCAGCCGTTCAGCCCGATACCCCAGCTCCACCCGAGTCGCCAGCGTCGTCGAATTCTCCCCTGCAAGATCGCCCAGTTCCGCTTCAGAAAGCCCGCTGACCAATTCCGGAGAAAAGGCCTTCAACGGGCTTTTGTCGCCCAGGAAGTGCCGTCCGATAGCCTGCAGCACCACGTTGTCCGTGAACCGCCGCAGTGCTACCTTGTAGTACGCCTTGAGGATGTCGTGGATATCATTCACCACCTGATCCTCGTTGCTGAGTCGGCCCTGCTCCATTGTTATCTGGGGTTTGACCTGGTCTTCGTCTCCCTCACACTGTCGGGGCCCCAGTCCCATCGAAGCGAGTCGAGCAAGGGCACGCTCCTGCCGCGTCTGCGCCAGAGTTTCTGCGAATGTAGGATCCACCGTCTGAAGAACTCCGCCCTGTTCGTCCTTCATGAGGTTGCGCAGTTCTTGAAGTGCCTTATCTTCCGCCGCACGCTGGTGCGGGTCTAGCCGGCTGCTTAATTTTCGCCGCACATCATCGTCCGTGTCGGAGATGAACTCCTCCAGGGCGCTTGTGTGGTAAATAGTCACCGTTTCACTGACGTGACGGATATATTCCATCGCGATGTCCTTCCACTTTCTCGACAGCTCGCGGAACAATGTCTCCAGAAGTGCCGGGTTGAAGGTGCCGGGGAGTTCGGCTCCCTGGGACTCACGGTACAACTTGCGAATCAAATATTGGACCGGTGTCTGATGATCGCGACCACCAGGGCTCGCGTACTCTGGGTCGATTTCACCACTGACCGTTTGGAATGGCATGAGATGACCGTACCTCATCCGGGCGGCAAACTCATCAGTCAGTCTTCGGAGATGCATCCTCAGTCGACGCGGGCTTCTCTCTCTCAACTTGGGCGAATATATGCCCTTCAGAGCATTCGACACATCCTGCTGGTAGTTAATGGCGACCTTGGTCAGAAACCGGCGTTGGTCATCCGACGTTTGTCGAGGAGTCCCCAGTTTCTCCAGGGACCGCTGCGTGTCTACCGCCAGACTTCGCATCTCTTTCACCAAGTTCGGGAATTCTTTTCGAATGAGGTCGTATAATACCTGGGCCAGGAAACTCTTAAGGGCACCGATCCCGAGTCGTTCCCTGCGTAGTTCATTCCAGGGCGCAGTGTTGAAAAACTGTCTCTCGTGAAACTGTCGCTGTGAAGTATTGACGCCGCTCTTGATATCTTTCACTGACACGTTCTTAACAACGAACCAACCGTGCTGAAGCCGGATCACTTCATTGCGGGCGATTTTGAGCACCTGGGCCAGCTCATCAGAAGTGAGTTCTCTCGTCTAACATTTTGAATAAACAGAAGGACTTCTTACTGCCTGTTCTTCATCTTGTTGGCCTGGCTCACACTTGCTGATTATACCAACCGTGCGGACGCCGTTAGGGTCAGCTGCACGGGCTATCTGGAATACCTCCTGGTTGGCCAGGTCAATATTCTGTCCGTCTATGACTGCACTATTTTTCGGGTGAGTTGAAAGTCAAATGCATCAGGGGGAGTTGACATACAGGACAATCGCGCGCTCATTGTTAACATATTGCTGAATCAAGTTGCGTATAATAGCCCTATCCTCGGCCGTCTGATACTTTGTAGGATCTAACCCTTGTCTTAGCAAAGTGTAAATAAGACGTAGTATCAATGGAAGACGTACTCTGAAAAAGACCCGGGACGTCAATAATGCTCAGACGCCGGTGTTCTGGACCCGACAGTTCAATCTTCAACACAGCATCTGAAAATCGCTTGTCCAGCTCCTCGAGATTTCTGGTCTGTGATGTCGGAAGACCCATGCATTCGGCAGCCTAGATGAACCTGTAAGTCATCACCTCCATAAGTATTCCACTATAATACAAACAACATACTTCATCTAAAAGTTCAGTAAACTCGAGATTCCCAAAATCCTTCGCCTGCATCGTATGGCCAAAGTTCAACAGCCTCGCTCTCAGTATATCATTGGCACTAGACGATGCCCCGGGGATAATGGAGACCTTGACAGCGGCATCGGCACCAGGCGCACGACGGAGCACGATCTGCGTCACGAATCGCGTGCAAAGGTCGGGGGTGATGGGAAACGAAAGTCCCGTCAAGCCTTCCAGGAGAGATGACTTTCCACTTGACTGTTCCCCAACGACGACTAGCTAGAGATAATTTATAAAACATCAATTTTAATATTTCCTTTTAGTGATGTTACCGGAATGCTCGGAAAACTTACCTGGGGCAACGATATGTCCCCATGGATACCCAGCTCACGGTACTTGTCAATGATAGCAAGGGTCCTGACGCGGCTCGCATCGTCCAGATCCGCAGCAGCTGAGAACTTGACAGGCGTCGGACTCGTACGCTCAGATTCTGGTTTTTGAACGACCATTTTGTACATGCAACGAGGCAGGGCAGTACTCGGTGACGTGACGTGACGGAGAACGTGGGAATTGTCTATAGAAGCGTTTCATGTCGGGTCGTTTTTTTTTACATCGTGCGTGTGATGCCTAAGGTATTTTTGGAGAGAAATTTTCCTGTATGCGAGTAAGTCTGATGTATATATGAGCACTAGATGGGATATAAATAGATGCTTGCTCACTGGGGCCTAGGGTGCTGATGCAATCGAGACGTCCATTATGAGGGAGGAGTTGGAAGGCTGAAGCTGCGAACTCGAGGCTTTCCATGGTAGCAGCCCACCGTCCAGGAACTTTGCTAGGTAGGAAGTCAATATCATCTGCCTACGAGGCCTTTTGCGTATAATATGTGTCTTTTCGAATATCCGACACTATTTATCTGCTGCTTAGTTAACTGGTTAACGCAATCTACCACCGAGCAGCGCAGATAGATATCTACCCATACAAAGCTGTAGATTTTGAGGTCTCATATCTCATCACATATAGTATTCTCCAATTTAACGATGTGACGATTAGCAGGCAGCCGTTCTAGGCGTCTCTCTAAATGAGACATATCTTGGCATCATATGTGCGTATTCCCATAGCCACGGGCTTGTTGATGGGGTCGAACTCGCAGAGTTGGTTGTTCTAGTTATCTACACTATGCTAACTAGGAAGGAGTCCACTAACATTTACATACTGCATCTACACGCCCTTCCGTTCTTCTTCTTTTCTCCTTTCTCCTCTTATGTCTGGTATTTGTTGAAAAGGGTGCTAAATAGCATATGCTGCTTCTTCTTCATCTCTTCGTAGTACTAGTCATCACAGAGTCATCGATAACTAACCCCAATTTCCTTGGCCAATTTGGGAATTGGTTTTTTCTTTCCGCTTTGATAGGCATCTACTGCCTCCAGAATGTGAGTTTCTTCTTCGAGATATTTGCCTGGTCATGTCGTTGAGATAATTTAATTTGATTGTTGAAGTCAAAAATATCGTGTTGAACTCGAAATCTTATTGAACTCGGGCGCACCTACACGAAGATGTTCGACCGCCCAACGGCAGAATGACCGTGGGGGCAAGAGCAACAGACGCAGAATATGCGGAAACTAGCTTCTAGTAGTTTATGGGCAGCAAATGGGGACTACTTTTCGAAGACAGCTTGTCGAAATGAAGGAGAGCAAACAGGAGAAGAATGACTTCACTAAGCATAGTTAACTAACTAGTTACCAGAAACAGACAAGAACAATTAATCAGCATGTAGCCCAAACGCTTGACGAAAAATTTCTTCCCATTGGCCAGGCTGTCCGTACCCCGGATCACGAGACCGGGGGGAATCGGGGAATGCGGGGAAGAGTGTACTTCTGCCCGCTGACCCTGGTGTTTGGAGAAATTAAGAAAGGTACGGTTCAGGAAAGTAATGTCTACTAACCAGGAGAGAAAGCGCTCTGTAAACCGCCTGGTGCAACAAAAGTTCCGTCGCCAACGGAAGGACTATATCGCTCACCTCGAGAGGGAACTGGCCCTATGTCGCGCCGGGGGTAATGACAAGCTCGTTCAGCGACGGCATGAAGTCACGCGGCTGCGCGAGCGCCAGAGAGAACTGTGAGCACTTCTTGAAACAATTATTAGTACGTTATAGCGAATCACCGAATCCTCATCAGACTCTCCCGCCGATGAGAAAGTGAAAGCCGTCTCTCGAAAATCTCCTTCTGCGGAGATTCAGACTCCTCTTCCCCTAGGGACAACATCTAACGCTCACTATGCCGAATTGGGCTCATCCAATCTCGTCTCCAGCGGACGCCTTCTCCATAGAATCTGTATACCGGGTCAAGCTCGCTCGACCTAGCATTGATGGATACTGGTGTCGACGAAGTCATAATACAATACAATACTCTATTGGGGTTGATACGTAACCATCCTGCGAGTGCAGACCCGACACTCTCTAGCTCTAGCGCTCTCGTCTCAGGAGATTCAGGTGGTAAATCACCGTATCCTTGGAGAAGAGAACCTCACGACCTTTGCGCAACTATAGAAACGAATATCCCATCCCGCCTCTCAAACCTGTACAACATCCCCCGAACTTCACTACTACTCGTGTTGACAAACCGGAGACGCAGAACACATTCGGCGTTCTCTACAGCGGGCTCCATCTGGAGCGGACAAAGACAGATCTCACTCGATAACCGGTGAAGGCCCGGACCTTGCCTTGCTATTTTGCTCGCCAAAAGAACGGCCTTTCATGATATCTTTTGCGGATGTGGAAAGTGAGGCGTGCAAGCTCGACACACGACTCGATTTCGAGGCAGGTTGACGAGCTCATCGCTGATTATATTGTAGATCATTGATGAACAATCAGTAGGTAGGCAATAATAAATTGCTCTTTTCAAAATACCAACCTCCGGGTATTTGGCATCACGGAGATAGGGCCCATATTTGATAGTGTCCGGCAGTGGTTCCCTGATGGCTCGTTTCCAGAGGCCCTTTTTCATGAGCCTCGCCAACAGAAGGAGCGATTTCAACATAAGAGACACCTTGCTATAGTAGATAACACCATCTTCTTCCTTGCGGTGGCCAATTGACTCGTCTTTATCCAGGATCTCTCTGACGGCGCTAGCAACTTCCTTCATCTCCCAGCTCGCTGGCGCTCATCAAACAGGTTGCATAGACCGAGCCCATTGGGATCTTGTATGTCCCGGGATCTAGTTTGTCTGCTCCCTCCAGCGCAGTGAAGGACAATTTGCCTTTCTCGTCAAAATGCATGTACTCCTCACGAGCAATGGCATAGGATCTCAGGGCAACATCGGGCATGATGGAACCGGAAAAAGCTGCAGGGAAAAACTCGTTTGTGGCACCTGCAAGGCTTGGGATAGTGAACCCAGTGAGATGGCTCTTTATTGTAAGGGCAGCACCATCAATTCTCGGCATATAACTGTTAATGTTTGTGATTTTGTCGGAAAAAAAAAAAAAAAAAAAGGAAAAAGGAAAAAGAAAAGAAAAGAAAGCACTGGACACTGGACACTGGAGAAGATAGGGGAACACCAACAGAGAGTTCCTCGATGAGTGCCTTCCTGTATCGAGTTTCCAGCTCTCCAAAATTGTCACTTCCTATGACTGCATCGTAAGCCGCCAAGGCATTGCCTCCATATATATTGCAGGCAGTGTGGATCCAGTTTGGCTGAATCAGTATTAGCAAAGCAATTTGTGGGTACGAGACCGGAGCAGATATACCTCGCAAGCGTAAAAGCAATATTCCGACTTCTTATAATTCTTAACGAGCGCATTTGCCAGCGTCTTGCTTGAATTGGGGTAGTGATGTCTCTTGTCGATGACCAAGTCAAGGGAACCGTCTTTGGAAAAGGTGTCGTCAAGCGTTGCACTTCCGAAGAGCGCAGTAGTAAGAAGGAAAAACCCCGTCAACATGATATTGTCCTTGACAATAGGGTCGTAGTCCGTGGTTCGAAAAGTAAGAAGGGTGTCTGCATCTGCCAGAACAGGCATATACTTACAAACTTGCCCCAAAGAGCTTCGTATTTTCAGTACCAGAGGACCTTCTCCTGGCAGTATTTCTGGATTATCTTCTTCTGACCCTCGTGCAAATAACCACCGCGGAAAGAAGGGGTGTAGATTTTGTTGGCAAAGGCCAATGTGTGGGCCACCTCGCAGAGCTGATAGCGAAAGGCCGAGGGCTGGAACTGCTCGACAATGCTGAAGTTTCTCCTAAATAAATCCCAAACTTTAGTGTGACATCGACAACGGGAAATGAATGAGCATACCAGTCATCCTTGTCCTGAAGAGCGACCTGAAGTAGAAACCGCAGCTGGCCGAGTTCTTCCTCACCAAGTTCCAGGTCTTCAGGGATGGCTACAGAAGCGCTCTTCTTCTGAAGCTCGGCGATAGCAGTGGGAAGGAATCTGTCACGCTTGTCTCGTTTAACAAGCGTCTCCGCGTGTATACCTTTAGACCACCTATCCAGAGAATAGTAGGTAAGGATTACCAATGCCGGAACTGCGTAGATGCCGTAGGTTGTTGAACCCGCCGCCGCAGGGAGTAGAGGAATCACAAGGACCTGTCCTGGCCAGGTCAAAAGGGCGCAAGAATATTGCCCGTTACAAACCAGGGGAAAATACTGAGTGCGAAAAGCAATCTATGGAAGAGCGACAATTAGCTGTCATCAAGCAGTGGTAGAAATTTCCAAATATACAGTATCAGTGAAAACCCGATCGGCCAATATCCCCCCAAGCCCCAGGAACGCACCACCGGGAAAAAGCAGGGCAAGACCGGCATTCTGTAGACGAGTATCAACGTTAAAGATAAAGGATGTAAGAGCAAGAACCGACAAGCCCTTGTAAAGGTTAAAAGTGGTATTGACGTGAGCTGTTCCAACCGGCGCCTTGCCTGCATTTTCCGGAATACGACTTGCTAGGGAGAAGATGTCGTCTTTTACAGCATGTATACCGTTGACAGACAGTTTTTGAGCCATTTTTCTTTCCAGCAGATTGACAATCAGCGGGTACTTTGCTTCAACTTTTGAAACTGGGAGAGTAGCGACATGGAATGTCTCCAGCCAAGACTGCTGGATTCCAAGGGGCATACAACCAAAAGGACCAGGCAGTCAGGGTTTCGTATCCCAGGACGAAAGGCGGGGATGCTCATCATCCCATGCGAGAGAGAAATGGGTCATTGACCATCACATAAAGTACTTCCTCGGTTGGACTCCTCCATGTGGACGATGTCAGACAATATGTGTTGTGCAGATAAGCCACACTATACTATGTCTGAGCATGGCTTCCCTGTGGGGTTTAGGAGACACTGGAGGACCAGCTGAAGTCGAGCAGGATCCGATATCTGGGTCTGTTTTGTAGGATCATCAGTGCTGGTGCTGTGGGTGTGCTTGTGGTCTTTCTTCATCGCCTGCTCTCGTTGAGCGGGGAAGACACCACTATAGCTCCTAGCTCTATTTGCATATAATCTCTTCTCTTAACATGTCCAGTACATGCGACCACAGGGTGTGGAAAACAGGGCTTCCCGTCCGCTCAGCCGTACTTAAGCCACACGCCGGCCGGTTAGTAGTTGGGTGGGTGACCACCAGCGAATCCCGGCTGTTGCATGTTTTTTTGTTTTAAGTTTTTTACTATATTTGCACATTTGCTTGCCTTTTGTACTGACCGGAGTTTCCTAACCCTCTCTCTCTATTCTTCACCCACTTCTGCTGCATTGCCCCTCTCTGCGAAGAGTGTGATGCGCGTCCTCTCTCACTCCCCAGTTGCTTTGATCTGATCTGACTCCTGTGCTAGCTCCAGGTCAGTGTGTTTGTTATGTTTGCATGTTTCATCTGCTTCTGTCTCCCTGATTCCATGTCTCTGCTTCTTCATGGTCTGGGAAGTTGCATAGGCGGCTGGCACAGGGACACCAGTGCCTCCAAATGATTACCAACCCTGATGTCACGGTGCAACCTTTGTGTGCATTCAGAAGCTCAACCGCTGCACTAGGCAAAAGACTAGGATGTAGAGCCTCCAGCTCTACATCGCTCTCTCACATAGCAGATATATATCGGGCAGGACAGGACAGGCACCGTAACAATTGGAGGGCCCAAGAATCACAACTCTGATCAAAGTCAGTGGGGATCAGCAGCTCGTAAGTAGCAATAACCAATCAGGCCCACCTGGTTTCCTGTATCTTCATTTAATTACTCTTTGTCCAGAAATAGCGGTAGCTGTAAGCGGCAGTGTGCGACAGCGTGCCAAGGAGACAGGCGGACTACGACGAGGTAGATAGCCAGGTAGATTATAGGAGATCAGTGCACTTTTTGTACAGACACTTTCAAATCAAAGCATGATTGGACAAGACACAAGAAGGCTTTGCATTTGTCATTGCAAAGTTGGCTCTACGCGCCCTTCAGATTGACATATGAGGACAAAGAGACGGACACTTTACAGTATGCTTTCTGCAATATTACTCCCTCAGGGAATCATATTCAAGAACGTCACATTGGAAATGTCAAGAAAAGCCAGCCACACTACAAACGTTTTATTGAAAGGATCATTTCTATCAGCACTTATATTTAGTCCATGGGATAGAAAACAGCAGTGCAACAGACCGAAAAGTGGAAGTCAGAAGTCATATATATCAATTTCCACCGTGGGTTTTGAGCGCAGACTTTTACTGGGTGGCCAGACTGGAATGATCATCTTGCAGCTCATTATTGGAAAGGAACCACAATGAAGGGCTGGAAGAGCTGTAGGGGACTCAACCCTGTGGTGGCTCTCACCGTAGACAATGTGATGCCCCACTTGTAATGGCCAGTACTACAAATAGATGTAGGAGATGCAATATATGCTATTCAGTACTATACCAACAAATACTAGACAAGAGAGAATAAAGAAGAATGGAAGAAGGGCTGATGGAAATATGAATTCAGTATGTAAATAAGTGTAGTCATGTCACACATGTCATGTAGCTTGTGACAATCGGTCCGATAATGATGAGGATCTAGTATCACTGGAGGTGGAATAACTATGTTTCGAGGGGGTCAAATTATAAGTATGGAGAAGCACCAGGAAGTTGTGAAGTCTCTTTTCTGTTCCAATAGGATACAATAGATGATAACTATCTCTATCTCCTAAATACAGGCAGACAAGCAAGACAATCGAGCAAGAGAGGGAGGGAAAGAAGAGAAGGAAGAATTTGGGAGAGTGAAGATGGGATATGCTCTGTGCGCCCTATGCCCTAGCCCTATGCCCTTACCAGGAGATCGGGCATACCTTCACAGAAGTCAAGAAGAGCTTCATGAGATGTACTAGAGATGGCAATGTATCAAATACAAAGTGTCTACCATGAACCCTACTAGTCCTACAGTTTTCCTTCAGTGTTTATATCCGGACGCTGCACGCCTGATCCACTTCAGAGCGCTCCCAGACATTGACGCACGACACACTCATCATGACATTGTTCATGCACACGCAACCAGGGCTGGTAATTAAATATACAATACCACCTTTATGCTATCTGGCTCTGGAACTGCTCTTACAGACTCACTAGTCTCTCCCATACTGTTTTCAGATACGATGTTTAAGGATAATGAAATGAAACATCTAAATATGATGATCCCTTTGTTCTATTGTGCCAAGGGCACTGCGAAATCCCGGATCTCCCATATTTCCTATCTTAGAACGCCGTAGAGCCGCGGTCTCCGACATACTAATGTATGGTGGAGCCCGCGGCCGGGGAGTACTTAAGGAGGGTTTCCTCCCAGATAAGTGTGCCGGGGGCACTATAAGGCGAGCCTCTTCCTTAGATAGTTTTGAGCATCGAGCATACTTCTGGTTTCTAAGTTGCTTCACTAGTATCATCGTCATCGTATAGGAGCGAGGCTCTATCGTTGTGTTTCTTCTCTCATTGTATCATTTTCTTACACCAAGGTTCGAAACCAGTTTCCGCCCCGTAGACATGAGCTTATTTCCAGACTCTAAGCGTTAAGGCGCTTATATACAATGAGCTTATATATTTAGATCCTTATGATGTCACATAAGGCACGCCCTTTCTTGTTGTGATATCGTTCTGTAATGTATTTAGGAAGGTGTAATCGAGATACAATGGCAGACAGAACTCGATAGAAGGTTCTTTCTGTCAGGCGGTGAGGGCTCTGGCCAGGCGAGTTGGTAAGAGTGGGAGCTTGCTCCGTATCCTGCATTCCTCTCCCACATCTTGCAGTTAGGGCTGCAGGAGGAGTAGTCTCCAGATCGCCATTCAAAGTTTGGCAGGCCAGGCTTTATTGGTACTGTGTCATCGCTTATTACTCAGAACCCCGCTCTGATTATCATCATGCACAACCTCGTGTTGTTGACCTGTCTTGGGCATCAGACAGGTGTGGGCTAACCCGTTGCAGCATTATAGGTCTATTGGATCCATTCCTTCTCCAAAGTATGACCAATGGCCTCTTCAACTATGATGATGAAACCTGTCAGTCCCAGGTGATCGAGGCATGGGACGAAGAGTCGCAGTATCCTCCACCAACACCAGGAAACTTCGGTCGGACACCTAGTACAGTGTATTCGCTAAGCCCTACTCCAGACCCTACTTCCCGCCAAACGCAGCCCAATGACCTCGGGTTTCTTCCGTTTGATGAGTGGAAGAGAAGGAAAGATAATAACTGCGAGGAGGCAGGAGAGCAAGACTTTATTCACTACATGATCACTTGGAAACTTAAGATCAATCAGACAATCGAGGCCAAGGAGACCGAACAGGACTTGGTCATAGCCCCGAGTGAATATTGGGAGAAGTGTCTGAAACAAAAGATTGACGGGTTGATGTACACCAAGAAACGTAACCGGCGGGTCCGGTTCGAAGACACGGAGGTTGTGGTATCAATAAACCACCGTAATGAGGGCCCTCTTGAGAAGCACTCTGATGACACTAACATTGATTGGAGACCAGTGGAGAGAAAGCTTCGTAAGTGGAGCAATCTGGTCCGCATGGGCAGGACACCTCAGATTGCCATCACCGTCAAATATATGAGAGACGATGACGCGGCTAAAGTATGCGACAAACGAGGCTCTTCAGCTACCAAAAGAATGCTTGCTGAACGAGATGCAGTCATCGCTGCTGAAGAAGAGTCAAATCAGCCTTCATCCTGGAGATACGTGTACAAACTTATGCGATATTCTGTAACTTCATGTAGTAACCTCAACAAGTGGTGCTGGCAGGATCCGAAGGGTAGGAAACATTACGGACTACAAAAAACCCACCTTATGAAACTAATCTCCTATGTGGATGCAGGGGGCAAACTCGACGGTCAAGATGACGTTCCAGAAGGCATTCGACAAGCTCTCTACGTGGAGGCCCAGCAGAAACTTGAGAGGGGCTCGAATGAAACGAGTCACCAGGTTGCTTTGGGGGCCCCATGTCCAATCAACACCAATCTCTTGGCTCCGCAGTGTACACATGAGTCTGCTATATCAATATCACCACCCAAACCTGCGACCTCGAAAAAGAGAATCAAGATCTCTGGGCCCCGAGATGATGCTGTCCGGGCATACTGTGAATGGCACGAACTCCAAGTGACTGACAAGAAGCGCAAGGCCGATTGGCGTAAAGCATGTGAGATAACCCTATCCAATGGCCTTGACCTCGAGTTGGTGGAAGAAGATCAAGAACATGTGCAGTTCCTGATTGAACAAGGCGTGACAAAAGGGACTGCACGGCGATTCGTTCGTGACATCTGTGAATGGGTTGAACATGTGAGAGAGCTGTCACCGGAGCGATGCATTCAAAGTCCCTCCAATTGCATTGATGACTGAACACTCCTATGTTGCCATGCGTGATTGCTTGGGTCTCGTTTGATTGAACAGACAGCATTTTAGCTTTGCATTGTAGGTACGCTGGTCGTACGATACGGTCTAGTTGTTATTTGGTTTCTTAGCTAGTTCATGCCTTAATACTCGTACTTCGCAATGTTATTTCCCCCGTTTATATGATTTGGCATATCCATGATATCACAATGATACCTATTATGAAATAACGCCTACTTTGTTCGACCTTAGTTGTGAACCTCGAGCTTTATCAGTGCCAAGGACCTTTCTACGGAACATTATAGATCCGACCGGATGGCGCCAAACCACATATCAAGAGGTCGGTACGGATGGTTATGATCGAACGTTTGCTACAGTCCGCCACTTCGCCATTTGATAATTAGTCAGCGATTTGCTGCTGATCATATCACGGATCATGTCTAGCTGCGAAGGAGCAAGTCGTGGCGCCATAATGGTCGTGTCATGCTGTCATAAGTTGATGAGGTGGCCAGGACAGGCACAGGATAGGTCTGGGTCGGTTCGGGCCGAGAGTCGACCGACGACCAGCATCCGTTCGGCCAGTCATAGCTGTTGCTGACTATGAAAAAGTACAATTAACGTAATTCCCAAGCGACCTGGCCACCCCACGAGCTTCTCCACCACATCAAAATCAATCTTATTCGAACATCCACCATGCCACCAAAAAAACCTATTTCATCAAGAAATTACACCGAGCAAGAGGTGAGGATCCTATTAGCAATCCAAGCTTTAAAAGAAAATCAGATTCCATCTGTACGACAAGCGGCATCAGTTTTCAATGTTCCCAGATCAACCCTCCAAGCAAGACTTCAAGGACATCAATTTTGCTACGATATGCCTAGCAACATGTCTAAATTGACCGAATCACAAGAGAAATTGCTTGTACAATGGATATTATCTATGGATTCACGTGGAGCAAGTCCTCGGCCTATCTAAACCTGAGAAATGGGTAATCTTCTCATGGATTAAGATAGCAAAGTTCAGCTGGGCAAGAACTGCGCAAACATTTACTTCAGATATTATTAAAAACAGATTCGGAGCTACTGGCCTAGTTCCTTTTAACCCAGAGAAAGTGCTTGGACAATTTACTATTCAATTAGATACTCCTACGTCGCCAGGAAGTCAGTCAACTACCTCCACAATTTCCTTATCTAAAACACCACAGAATTGAAAGGATATGGAAAAGCAAAGGACTATTCAAAGCTTGCTTAGGTGACGAACCCAGAGTCCTCCGTCTCCTGATAAAGACATTTTAGATCGTTTCATTCAATGATATGAATGCCTAGTGAGTGAGAGAATCCTTATGGCACAGGAAGTCTAGAATCTACGTTTAGTGACTGAAGAAAAACAGCAGAAAAAGAAATGATCTAATTGTCAAATGGGTGCTTTGCAAGGGTTATCCATTGAAGAAAATCAAGCTCTTGCACAGAGGAATAATGAAGCAGATGAAGCTGTTGCTAGGACTGGGGAAGGATCAAGCAATACAACTGTACAGCTGCGCCAGCAGGCATCTCCAACATGTTCAAATTGCAATACTAGGGGTCATACAAGTGTTAGATGCCCTATTTACTATAGCAATTAAATAGCGTCAAATTACGCTGCTATTTGGGTATAAAATCATATAGTATTTCATCTAGTTGATTGGGACGGCCAGGTCGCTTGGGAATTACGTTAATCATAGGGGCTTATGTGGTGCATGGACCTTCACAGCCTCATCGACGGAAAATGACACACCCCGCTTTTGCTCGCCAGAAATGCCCAACGTGACTTCGAACCCATATTCTTACTCTTGGATCGCTATCGTACTCGTCTGCGAGAAGATCTGATCTTTACGGTGTGTCCGTCAAAATGGATGGTCTATCCTCGGCGACGAGCGTTATCGCCGTTATTCAACTGACCGGAAGCCTCGTGAAGCTTTGCGGAGGCTATATCCAAGAGGTTCGAAATGCACGGGAAGAAATTCTTACCCTGCAGCGGGCTATCACAGGTCTACAAGATATACTTCAAGCTCTACAGAACAATCTGCAAGAGAATAACGCGAAAGGCCTATCTACGTCCTCACAACTACCGAGTGATATTACTGCTTGCCTCTCCGATCTCCAAGCATTAGAAGCGAGACTCAATCCAGGAAAGGGAAAAACGCTGATGAGGAAAATGGGCTTACGAGCCTTGAAATGGCCCTTAGAACGCACGGAGATACAGGGCCTAACACAGAACCTCGAGAGATATAAATCATCATTCCTCTTATCTTTACAGGTGGACCAGACGTACGTATATCGGGTGTGATCCTCTGGTTCAGTAAAATTAACTAATAACCGTATAGTTCCCTAATAATTAGTATGGCCGAAAATACGGATCGTATTAATCAGCATGTCGATCTTGGAAAGTTGGAAGGCGCTTTAGATGCAGGGTTCGAGTCATTCTCCGATCGCGACGAAGTCGAATGCCTCCCAGGCACAAGGGTCGAGCTCCTCCGGGAAATAACGAAATGGGCTTTTTCGCCATCCTCGAAAAGCATTTTCTGGTTACAGGGGATGGCTGGGACAGGGAAATCCACAATTTCTCGGACGGTAGCAAGGTCGGCCAAGAACCGTGATCATCTGGGTGCCAGCTTCTTTTTTAAGAGAGGTGAGGCGGACCGAGGGAATGCAAAGAAGTTTTTCCCAACGTTAGCCAGGCAACTGATACTTTGGAAACCTGAGTTAAGACCTGGCGTACAAAAGGCACTTAACAACGACCCTGACATCGTGTCAAAATCACTCAAGGAGCAATTTGAGAAACTGCTCCTTCAACCGTTTCTTGGTCTTGACCAACGCGATCAACTGCCTCAGAATACTGTGATTGTTATAGATGCTTTGGACGAATGTGAGCACGACCAAGATGTTCAAAATATTATTCGATTGCTCCCTCTTCTGCAGGAGGTAAGATCACTCTGCCTTCGGGTCTTCCTGACCAGTAGACCAGAGCTCCCCATCAGCCTTGGGTTTTCAGAGATCGGGAGCCACAGATATCAAGACATGGCCCTCCATGAGATACCCGAAGAGGTGACGGAACACGACATCCAGTTATTCCTACGACATCGATTTACGAAAATCCAGCATGATAGAAAAGTCCCTCAGGACTGGCCTGGCGACGATATCATCCAAGAGTTAGTTAGGGTATCTGTTCCACTGTTTATTTCGGCTGCCACCGTGTGTCGCTACATCGAGAATCCAAAATGGGAACCTAAATTCCGTCTCGCAGAGCTTCTCAAGAACCAAGCCAAATATGTGTCCAAAATGGACAAGACATATCTGCCAATCCTGACGCGACTCCTCGATGACCAAGAGAGTGATGAAATGGAACAACAGCAACTTCTACAAGAGTTTCAGGATATTGTGGGAGTTATCATCCTTCTTGCTGTTCCGCTTTCTATAAACGCACTATCTCCGTTTCTTGAGATAGAAGTGGACCAGATCAGTAATCGATTAGATTCCTTTCGGTCGGTTCTTAGTATCCCCAGCGACGATAATCAGCCTGTTAGAATTCTGCATCTCTCATTTCCGGAATTTTTAGTCCAGACTACGACCAAATTTCGCGTGGATGCGCCAACCAAACACAAAGACATTGCAAAATACTGTCTGAGAACGATGCGGCGTCTTCTGCGGAGAGATATCTTGAATCTAGCAGAGCCTGGAGCGCGTAGGGCAGAAATCGACCCTCTAGATATCCGCAAATGCCTACCATCAGAATTGCAGTACTCCTGTCGCTTCTGGACACATCATCTCAAAAATAGCCACGCTTTATCTTCTGACATAGAAGAGGTGCGGCTATTCCTCCAGAAGCATTTTCTGCACTGGATGGAAGCGATGAGCCTGCTGGGTCTTATATCAGAGATGATGGGTATGCTCGGCATTCTCCGAACGATGGTGTCAGTAAGTATATAATGGACGGTCATCCACGAGTTATACTGATAAGGATAGGACTATAATGAAGATTCTAGTCTGGCCGCCTTTCTACATGATGCAAAGCGGTTTATTTTGAAAAATCGCCAGATAGCCGACGAAGCGCCACTTCAAATTTATTATGCAGGGTTGGTATTTGCACCTCGAACGGCAATCATCCGTCAGCAGTTCCAATCAGAGCTTCCTGACTGGATCTGCCGCTTCCCACAAGTTCACGAGAACTGGAGTGCAGAATTGCAGACACTCGAGGGCCATACTGATTTGGTTCAGTCTGTGGCCTTCTCGCCCGATGGCCGGCTGCTGGCGTCTGGCTCAGTGGATAAAACAGTACGGCTCTGGGATCCAGCCACAGGCGCTCTGCAGCAGACGCTTGAGGGCCATACTGATTGGGTTCAGTCTGTGGCCTTCTCGCCTGATGGCCGGCTGCTGGCGTCTGGCTCAGACGATAAAACAGTACGGCTCTGGGATCCAGCCACGGGTGCTCTGCAGCAGACGCTCGAGGGCCATACCGATTGGGTTCAGTCTGTGGCCTTCTCACCCGATGGCCGGCTGCTGGCATCTGGCTCAAGTGATAAGACAGTACGGCTCTGGGATCCAGCCACGGGCGCTCTGAAGGAGATCCTGAGCACTCACGGCTTTGCCAAGGAGCTGGAATTTTCGCAAGACAGCTCCTACCTCTCCACTGACCTAGGATCGTTCAAGATCCAATTCAGCTGTGGCCAACCTATCGGCGATTCACCGAATATGGACCCACACATATCTCTACGGAGAGAATGGATAGCTGTAAACGAGAAAAAAGTCTTATGGCTCCCGCCCGAAGCCAGGCCTTCTTGTTCAGCGACTAAATCCAATATACTTGGTTTGGGACATGCGTCAGGCCAGATTTCTTTTTTTGGGATTCCGGAAATAATCAATGTCACTTAATGTTCGTTTTCTGATTCCCTATATCTTCATCTTTACAAAAGAAGGGCCTGGTAGACGGACAGAATTCAGTTAGAGGTATGTCTTCCAAGAATCATGCTATTCGTTTCTAGTCCTAATACGATGGCGAATCCATAGGGTCTAGTCGCCACGGTTCTAGCTGCCGAGTCAGACGTATTCTCCACCCACAGCGCCCTAGGCTTTCCTAATCATCAACTTGGTCATACCAGTCTGTAGTTGGATAATTGAGACTTGTAGCTTAAGACCCCGTTGGTACAGCGCCTTACCAAGCCCTGGGGTTGCCCTCCAATCCACTCATTTTCCTGACTAGCGCCTTAGCAGTGAGGCCTAGAATAAAGAAGAGAGAGTGAGGCGGTGAAACTGGAGTTGCACTTCACTGTACTTGGCAAAAAATGAATTGCAAATGAGTCTGATGCAACCAAAACATAAAATTGTTTCTAAAATTCATTCCTCAGACTCGTCGATTGTTACGCCGGAATGTCGGAAGTGAGCTTCGGCGCTGGCTTTTTTTGCACCAACGGTATCAACGCATGCCTGCCGGAAAGTGTCGAAGCTTAGCTCAGGCTCGTCTTCGTATAATTTCCAATTTCGCTTGATATAACTCTTCAGTTCGGAGAAGAATTCCTCAATTGGGTTCAGGTCAGGTGAATATGGTGGCAGGTATAACAATTTGACACCTGCTTCAGAGCACAGCTCCTTGATCCTATCGGAGTGATGGAAAGAAGCATTGTCCATAATTAAGACGGACTTAGGTTCCGGCCATCTCCCGCAATGTTGTAGAAGCTGTTCAATAGAATCTTCAAACGCCACAGCATCCGTCGAGCCGGCAAAACACAAGAGAGGAGAATACCATCTTGGGCGTAGGCAGGTAATATTTGATAGCGTTGGCCCCGATGAAACTTCGCCACTTGAACGGGTCTCACTCCTAGGGGAGACCAGCCAGTCCTCCTGAACCCTATTCTCTTATCACATCCAGACTCATCAACATAGACCAGTTGGTATGATTGGTATTCGGAGAGTGTGGAAGTAGAAATCTCGCAGATCGGGGTTTCGTTCCTGTGCTCTTTGGCGCGCTGTCTTTCTCGTCCACCCTGCGGTGGAAAGAGTCCGTTTTAGGCTCGACGGCGTAATGGGAATATTAAATTCGTCAAATAGGAAGACTACCATCTCGTCAATGTATAGACCGGGCTTCTCGACGAGATGATCGAGAAGTGCCTCAAGCATTGGTGGGGTTATGCTGCGCGGTCGACTTCCTGGGTTGACTGGTGGACTCGCAGTACCAAACGTGTGTAGTTGTGAACGGATATTCCTAATAGACTGTTCGCTGCATTCGGCAGCGTCAGCAATCTGGGAGGTAGTAAAGCATTTCCTCCGCAACATATCACGGATAAGCATATGCTTCCAGGGTTCAAGGCGGCATGAGGGTGACGTGGAGTGTGGGGGAGGGGGGATGATGTCTATAACAATACGAAACGAGAATATTCTAGTCAATTTGGTTTATCTGTGTATTATTTACGAGCTCTAAATATATCTAGGCGACGATCTTGCCAAATATTAGGGTCTGGAAATAAGCTCATGTCTACGGAGCGGAAACTGGTTTCGGACCTTGGTGTACTAGATCGTTCAGTGTGTCTATTTCTGAGATCCCTCAATCACAACCCGGTGTCACGGAACTCAACTAGACGATGAATAGGATGCTATTCAACTATCTAGGCAGCTATCGACGAGAACTTCAAGCATGGAGAGGAAGGAAAAAGGGAGAGATCTACGTGAAGCTGGACGACGTATTCCTATCCACGCACCACGCTAATCCAAATAAAGAAACTCACGTGCTAGTCCTGGTCTGTTGGATCACGTGGGATTCTGCCGCATAGGTCCGCCCTCGCTGACCCTTTTCACCACGTAGTCACCAACCAACGATATACCTCCATTATCTACATGGCAAGGGCCCTGACATCCGGTTCCTGTCGCAGGGAACAACGCACGTACGCCCCCCTTTACACTATGTGGTATTGGATATATTGTTCATTCAACATAAACAGCATGTAAGACATCCAGGCAAAAATAGATTCCCTGTCAATGATGAAAGTGGCCATTACAAAAGAACAGAAGAAATTGCTAGAATTATAATAAGAGGGGAGTCTGGTCACAAAATAAAACCACTTCAAAGGCCCTTTGTCCAGTATCTTTGTGCACAAATACACACACCAATAAAGAATAATCTGGGAATTAACAGGATACAAAATCACCTACAGCTATAAATATAGACTCATACAAAGATCTATGCTGCCAAAGTGCTCAGCCCGTCACAGTACATAACCCCAGAAGGAGGAATCTGAAAGAATGGACATAGACAACATCTTCAACAATTCCTCAAATAACAACAAAGCAGGTGCTGTTTTCAGAACAAAAGTTTGACTTTTTTTGAAAAGTGAATTTTCATGTCTGAACGGTTAATAGTATGAAGCAATCATTTATAAATCAGGGAGGGGCCCCTTCCATAAACATGATCATGCCAATTAGCTAGTGCAAATATACCTATCCTGAAGTTTATCCACAGTATTCCAAAGAACAGTCTGTGTGAGCAAGAACTAGGTACCTGGTGTTTAGAGAACCTAACTAATTTGGCCAGGCCTCATTCTTCAAAACTGCTTATTATCGGCCTGCGTTCCAGAGTTTTAGAGGGCCAACATACCACCTACTGAAACAGTATACCATGGATCATGAGGTGTGTGTTAGCCACGGTGGTGATATACTTGGTGATATAGATGCTATCCTATATGTTGAAAAACATGGATTGCCATATGTCGCTGAGTACAAGGAAGATTTTCCAAAGGCATATGGCATAGAGTTTGACGAAGCTCTGGACAAACTTCCATCATTTCCCCAGAAAGAGGTGATAGAGGCATTCAATATCCTGGCTTCAGTTCGTGAATTGTACACGTGGAAAGCATTGAGAGTACAAATAAAGAGGAGGAGGATTGAGCAGCTGGCAATTGAAATCACCAAAGAAGCCATGGAAACTGATATTAATCAGCTTCCTGAACGCTTTGAAAAGGGTGGCGACCTAGCAGAGAAATTTTCTGAGATGCTTCGGCTGTTTATGGTTATAGAATAGGCTTCCATAATTGCCTCGTCCATTCATGCCAACCCCCACCAGTTCATGTGGAGCAAGTCTTGATGTGTCACTTTTGGTATTTGGTGATCTTGTGCAGGAAGCTGAGTTATTTGCCTTGCTGAGTCGCGAAGTTGAATAAATCCGAATACCCCTGGTGTATCAGCGGATCTACAGAGGATCGATGATGTTTTTCCATGTTGCGTGTAGGTAGAATGATAGATAAATGAGAACGGGAGCCCATCTAGCTTAGCATTAATCTATGAAGTTATGCTCGTATAAGAACAGCTTTCGTGTTACGAGATTTGTTTCAAGCTCTACCTTGGCAGTAGTATCCTCAACGTCGGGGGCTACTGAGTGTGAGCTTCGCTTTATCCTTTCGACCTCCTGGACATCGTATCATTCGATCGCGTTTTACCTCTAACTTCAGCATTTTCATCCAACTCCCTTCGAACGGAGCAGCAGACGCGCATTTTCTCCCACATCTTTTGGCGTCACCGGGAAGGCCTTCGACGAAGTGGTTGAGAAGACTGTGGAAAGGTGTTCTACATTAAAGTTAGATTGAATTTGAGCAAACAGGTAAATTTCAGTAAGGGAAAATATTTGCCAGGCATCGCGTTTGAGAGGGCAAGTTTTGTGAAAAATTTGAAAATCTTCTTTTGAAAAAGGCAATATTTAAGAATGAGTGAATCAAGCAGAGACGAAGCGAGTTCAGGACTTCCAGTCCATGATGAAACACCATCAGTAATTGGGGAAGTGTCCCGCCGCCATCAACCTACCTCGCAAATAAACACGCCTCCGACGCTGAAACAGTAGGGATGGTGTATCTAGGGATGTGGATGATGCCGTTTCTGGGAACTAGTGGTGCTCCTGTCTTCCATGGAAGGGAAGCTACAAAATTCCCCAAGGTAATGAATACGCTGTTTAGGATGGATTGTATTGAGGATGATGAAACCAACTACAATCCAGAGGAAACAAATACAAGTATTCCTGGTATGATCCGGATGTGGAAATGTCCAATGTCGTTGTCCTCGTTATATTCCAAGACTGTTATCTCTATTCGCAACTCCTATCCCATGGTCTATTACTGTTCATTCTGGAAGGCGTTTATGAGAGTCCCAATATGAGGGAGAATCTCAACTGCAAACTCATCCCCGTCCTGCAGAGTCTCCTTTGGCTTCCTGGCCATGCCAACACCGGCTGGCGTCCCTGTGAGGATAACGGTGCCGGCCGGGAGAGTCGTGCTCTGTGAAAGAAAGCTGACCAGCTTAGGCACGCTAAAGATCAAGTCACTGGAACACAGTTAATAATCGATTTCTGGTGCTTGCAAGGTACAGCAAATCATGTCTACTCACTCAATTCCACAATCTTGTAGAACCACGCCATTTTTCAGGCCACGGATATGTAATTTGGATGGGTCTGGGATGGCATGCGCAGACACCAAAGTCGGGCCTGTATTTTACGATAAAAAACAAAGTCAGCATGGAAAAAAACTAGCAGGTAGCTTCTAGAAAGACATACCAATGGGACATGCCCCGTCGAATCCCTTGGAGAAAGACCACTGCGACTGAGAAAGCTGCGAAGTACGGCTTGACACATCATTCGCTGCCGTGTATCCAAGAACATAGTCTAGCGCCTCGGCCTCGCCGACATTCTTTGCTGTCTTGCCAATCACCACTGCCAGTTCAGACTCATAATCACCACAGTTGTCCAGCTGCGTGAGTTTTGGTAGAATGGTCGGGGCTGGCCAAGGATCACCGAGAGACGTGCTAGGCTTCCTATCGTGAAATTGTGAGAAAGACCATTTAGCAATTTTTAAAAGGGGTGGCTTTTTTAACACATACATGAAGACTGTTGGGATGGAGGGCAGGTCCATCTTGACCTCAGTCGCATGCTGCTTGTACTGTTCAGACGGTATTTTGTGAGCAATGACATCTTTTCCCTCCGAAAACAACATGAAAGAATAAAAGAAAGCAGCCAACTCACATTTAGTCCAATGCATCGGATAGTACCGACCTCATTCTGCGCCAAGGGTGACAGGAGACGGCCAATGGTCTCTGTGACACTCGTCTCCTTTCCAGGCGACAAAACAGACGGTCCAGAGAAAACCTTGACGGCGACATCCAAGCCATTGCGGATGGCGACACCAACATCAAGTCCGCTTTCTACCGGCTGGCCGATGAGGATCTTCGCCGGGTTTGACTTGGGGGTAAAGCGCACAAGGCCTGTAGCCATCCATCAGTCTCCTCCAGGGGCTTGCACTATGCAGGTATCACATATGCGTAAACGGACTGAGTGGTGCCATTGTGGTAATACTCTTCAATGCTCTGATGGACAGCGCCCAGCTAGCTGTACGTTCCGGTGCATGTATAGCTGTGACCATCGGCAGTTCGTCGACGGAGTTGACCACAACCGATGTCGGAACAGCCAAAACTAGTCCCCCGCAGGGTATCGGAATGCCGAGGATAATCTTTTTACAAGCCTTTCCCTGCCCTATACATCATAGTTAGAAGGGGGGTTGGCACGACTTGTAATAGAGTGCACCCGGAAGACGGGAAACTGCTTCTGGTACTTATTCTGAAAATCTCCTAAAAAAAGTCGATGTAGAAATCCTCATCAGTATCACACACAGACACACACACACACACACACACACACACACACACCTTTCATAGTGCCATACCGCGGTATCACCACAGACGGTATGTTCGTTCTTGCTCTGCCGATATCAGGATTTTGAGAGGCTCGGATTCTGAGTTCTAATGATACAGCATAGGCAAAACTCGAGACGGTCTTTTCAACCTCCAAGATGAAAAAAAAAAAAAAAAAAAAAAACTCATTGAGACCAATTACAGGCGCGGCAAATGTCGCGCTGCAGAGCCTCGGCGATGAGGAACGGAAGAAAACAGTCTATTATATTAACTCGCATGAATGGTGGTCATGGTCCAACCCGGAATCCTTAATCAGCGACAAGGGCGTCCGGTTGGACAAAACCACATCGAAACCGCGCGATAAGGTCCTGAAAGTTCTCGAGGAAACCGTATAAAGGCACCAAGAGGTCAGCGCATCGGTTTCTTCGTCAACATCGTCGAGAAGACCTTCTGCGACCAGAGGGTATAGGATCCGGACTGATTATATTTAGCGAGGGGTTGGGACAGAGACTATGATAGACAACGAAAGACTAACCGATGAGAGGCTTTTCTCCCCCAGTTACGGAGGCCAATTCGTCGGCGGTGGCGCGGTCATGGGCCAGCAGGTGACTAAAGACACCCATATCCTAGGCAACTTTGATTGGAGACAGAATGGAGCACTAGAAATTGATCATGTTAGAAAGGTCGACGATCTGGGGTCAAAAGAGGGCAGAGGCATCAGGGGCCTGGTTAATGAAGGACTTGGGCATCGAGAGGGCTAGCTAACCTCCGAACGAGCTCCCAGAAAGACGCGTTGGGATCCTGGACAGCCAGAATGAGCTTTTGCGCATTGATCCATATCTGCAACCGATTTTCCTGTCTCCTTTCTCCGTCTAGACTCAGGAAATCACCCCGCAAGGCACATAGATTATTGAGGCGCTCGACCGTAGTCTCTTCTTGTGCTCGGGGTGTTACCGTCATCTTGAGCATTATTCGACCAAAACAATCGTTAAGTTGCCTATCATTATCCCTATCGTTGAACAATAAGTGCTACCACCAGGTAAGCTATAAACTGGGTGACAAAAAACACCTCGCCGTCGGCCTGGCCGAGACAGCTGGATTCTATCGGGGTCCGATCACTGCGTCGCAGACGCACCGCAGACTCGACGCCATAGGAACAATAAGGGGGATCTGCGCCCTGGCTCGGCAGAGGATCGGATGTTATTCACTAGGCCGAGATTAGATATTGTGAGCAGAGGAAGGTTTCTCCTTGCAATTAATCCAGCAAAGTTATTGCCGGAAAGGACGGGAAGAGAGGTATGCTTACCTGAGACTTTACTGCCGTTAGTTTTCCTCCTGAAGTTTCGTTGCTTTGACATGATATACTTTTTCGCCATGCTTACCAGGGCTTGCAGGCTGGAACTTCCCTAGGACAATGTAGACGATTTTATATCCGAATTCTAATAGCTGGCTGCACATGCCCTTGCTTTTCATGTTTTCGCCAAGTAGACATCAAATTTGCCGTACAGCCTGCTGCCAGCCTATAGTGTCGAGAAAGACGTACTATAAAGCTAAAGGTATTTGAAGACAGGCATAGAAAAGAGTAGAGAAGATGTGGAAAACGAGAGGGGAATAGGAGAAGTGCAAACGGTGCAGTGATGCTGCAGAGACATCTATCTGTGCTCAGCAATATATACATAAACGGGCCGAAAAAAAAGTCTCCATGAGGCCGTAATACCTCCGTATTGGGGGTCTCTTGAGACTCTGGTCTATTCTAGGGTACCCCATTGTGTGGGTGCAGTAACCGACGCGGTGCACAGAGTCAACAACTATCATCCTCGTCAAGAACAAAAGGTTTTGTACGTAAACGATCAGATAAAGGTAAAATAACGGGAGGAAGGAAGCTAGCAAGCAGTGAATACAGGTCAAGCACAGGACAGATTAAATCATTTACCGATTGTTTCACACAGCGCCTCAAGTTGGCTTTGCATGCCCTTCAACCAGCTCGAGTAGATGCTGCCTAGATTCCCACGATCATCATGGACCAGCTGCAGTCGCCTTACCAGCTCTCGGTGGCCCTCTGGGAGCGCTGCACCTCGCGCAAAAAGATCTGCCCCAGAATTGGGAGGTGTTCCTCTGTATTCAAGCGGAAATTGCCGAACTAGATCGCGGGCATGCGGTTGTTGAAATACTCGGTGCGTTTGTCCATGCCAAAAAGATGACTCAGGCCAGCAAGAGAGTCACTACATGATTGAGTAAGAGACAGCAAAGACCAAGTAGGCTCATGCTAGGACTCGTTTCTTCGTATTCCAGCATGTTTAGTACGCTCAGAATGCATTGTTTGTTGGCACGCATGACCTCATCCGGCGCTGCCAGGCGGGCGTGGATATGCTGCTCAAGATTGTGCACCTGCAAAACAAGTCCAGCATGCGTTGGCTGGTGGGATGTTTGTAGTGTTGCCAGGAATGCTTGCTGTCAGACAGTACATCCCAGCCGCCCTGGGCCGCCGTATTCGCCGTATCGAGTAGTGCATCCGAATGAAGAGGCGACGAGCTCGGAATCATATTTCCTGAGGGATATGAAGAAAGCCCAGACTGGTCAATATCGCTGGCCAGGGAATCGGTCTGCATTAAGGACCAAGTGATGTTTCTTGTCACGTGACCGATATCACGTTAGCTAGAGCATCTTATGTTGATGGGGATCGAACTCGCTGAGTTGGTTGTTCTAGCTAGGGAGCCCGGAGTCAGGCGGACTATCTATTGGAGGTGTAGCTTGTGTTGGATACCTATCTAGGTGCCCGAACCAGCTCTACTAGCAGGGCCAGGCGAGGGCGGTCTAACTAATGGATAGGCGCATGTATGGTCATATTACTAGGTAGGCCTGCCTGTGCCGTGAGATAGGTAGCGAGGGCGGTCTAGGACGGCAGAACCTCACGTGTACTAACACCCCCCCACGCACGAGCAGCCTACAAACTATGGAATCAATCTAAATACAGAAATCGGCCTCTATTCGGGCCTTCAAATGAGTGAATATATGCAAAAATAAACAGAGGAATGAAGGTTCTGCTTTAGCCAATCGAATGCCGTATATCAAAATAGAAAATATATCCAAAATGGGGGAGACATACGCGGCTTAGCTTATGCCAGTGAGTTGTAGGAAATGGTCAAATTGTTCAGTTCGGAGAGGTTTGGTCAGGCCGTCTGCTGCTTGTTCTTTGGTAGGGCAGGCCTGGAGTTTAACAATACCGTCTTGGATCTTCTCCCGAACGTAATGGTAACGTATATCGATGTGTTTGGATCTCTTGGTGGTGAGCTCAGCTTCAGCCATGGCGTGTGCACCTTGATTATCGATATGGAGAGTAATTGGCGGGCATTCAGTAGGGAGCACATTAAGCTCATTGATGAGGTTCCGGAGCCAAAGGGCATCTCGGCTGGCTTCACTTAGAGCCATATACTCAGCTTCGTTGGAGCTAAGTGCAACGGACGTTTGCTTGCGGCTTTTCCAGGCAATTGGGGCCCCGGCAAGCAGAAATATATATCCAGATACTGACCGGCGATTGCCTGTCAGTTGACCACCCCAATCAGAATCAGTATAACATCTGGGCATGAGGAGGTCAGATGTAATGGGTTCCGTGGCCTTATGGTAGGTGATTTGTCGGTTAATGGAGCCTTTAAGGTAGCGTATAGCGTGTATAAGGGCACGCCATGCCTTTTGGGTAGGTTTGGCGTGATATTGGGATAGTACGCCAACTGTCCGGCTAAGATCAGGTCAGGTTTTGGTGGCTAGCCAAGTAAGGCAGCCTACACCACGTTGATATTCTTTGATGTTCACTGTAGGGTCTGGGTCATCATCAATTATTAAACTAGGATCCATGGGGATCCCAACAGGGTGTGCTTGTGCTTGGCCAAAAGAGGCAACAACGTCTTCAGCATAATTGGCCTGGGAGAGAGTATATGTGGTCTTGGATTGAGAGGTGGCCATGCCAAGGTATTTGGTAGAGTTTCCAACTTCTTTTATGTCAAATTTAGCAGAAAGAGACTCCATAAACCAAGTGGCATCATTCTCATGCTTAGCATAGACTTTGAAGTCATCCACATGGGTAGTCACATAGAGTTGGGTCCGGGTGGTATGGATCCAGAGACCAGAGTCGTATTCGGAGCTTTTGAAGCCAATTTGTCGTAAGAAAGCATTTAGTGTATCATACCAGATACGGGCAGATGGGATCAGTCCATAGAGGGACTGGCGGAGTTCACAAACCAGGTCTCCAGAGCCTTCTTTGAATCCCTGAACTTGGGTCATAAAGACACGTTTATCTGTGGGCATTTTTCCATTTAGGAAAGCAAGGATGGCATCTGCCTTTCAAGTATGCCAGCCAAGTAGAGTGGCCAGTGCCGTAAGGGTTCTAGTGGTATTTTCATCTACCACTGGGGCGTATGATTCCATGAAGTCCTTGTCAAGTAGATTTCCACGGATCACCCAGCGAGCTTTAGCTTGGTAGTCCCTTGTAATAGGGGTACCAGGGATTTCTTTCTTTTTGTATACCCACCGGCCAGGGATGACCTTGGTCCCTGGTGGTAGGTCAGAGCGGCGGATAAGTTGCCAGCAGCCTTTTTCTTTGAGTTGGTTGACTTCTTTTTGCATGGCTGCTTGCCACTTGGTGGCATCAGGATGAGATATAGCCTGCTTATAGGAAGTAGGCGTGTCATCTTCAGACGAAGGAGTAGTTGAAGTGGTGAGATAGGCTAGGGACATGCCTTTGGCGGGTCGAAGCCATATTTCCTGGTCTTCATCTTCAACAGGTTGGTTTGTATCTTCTTTATTAGGAGTACTTGGATCTTCAGGAACAGTAGCTTGTGGAGGTGTAGTTGTGGGATCCTCATATTCTTCATCAAATATAGTGTCATTGGTTGAAAAAATGGCGTCTGTTTTAGGGTCCCACACTCTGTATTGTTGGCTACTGATTTGGCCGATCATGAAGCAGCATTTAGAGTGGGAATCAAACTTGTTTATAGGCTTATCTGAGCCATGTCGATGAACCCAGACAGGGCAGCCCCAACGTCGGTATTTGTTGATACTAGTTGGTGAGTTGGTCCAGGCAGCCAGAGGCGATTTATATGGGCTTGGGCTGATTTTTGTGTTGGTATTGACCCCCAGGGATAGGTGAATTGAATAGGATTGTGGATGTTGGGAGGCGGTTTGTTATATCTGATGCATATTTTAAAGCATCAACCCAAAATCGCTGTGGTATATGGGGAGCGTCAAGCATTAATGTCCGAGCACGGTCAAAGAGTATGCGTATGCTGCGCTCACTGACACCGTTTTGCCAAGGGGAATATGGAGAACTTGGTTGCCATTCGATGCCTTCCTGACGGTAGGTTTTCTGCCATTCAGCTGAACAGAATTCATTGTCAGAGACAATATAGGCTGGGGCAGGGAAATGGTGATTCTTCATCTGTTGTAGCCAACCCCGAAATGCATCAATTGCAGCAGATCTTTCAGTTAGGTAGTGGATCCAACGGTAACGTGTAGCGTCATCAGTAATAAGCATCACATATTTGGCTCCTGTACGTGAAGGTAGAGGCATATCTAGCTTCTCTATATCTAGTGTTCGGCCGCCACCAGCAAGGTCTATGTGGACTCGGGCTAGTGGTGCAGTCATACGGGATCTTGGTGTTTTGCTGTATTGGCGAGTTTGCTTGCCCTGGATGCAGGCTTCACAAAGTGGTAGTTCTCTGGAACCTTTGATTTCAATGTCTGATGTAGGATCTGCGGCAAGGCGTAAAAGATCCTGCTGGTTTAAATGGCATAGACGGCGATGCCATGTCATAATTGGTAGAGCTGTTTTGGAGCTCTTAGTCTTTGGGGATGTTGTAGGTTTCTTTCTGGGAGGGTCCCCTGGTCGGTTGGCCTCTTTGCCAGACCGGGTGGTGACAAAGGCATAGGAGCTCTCGTTGGGAGAAATGCAATCTGATAGGATGAATACATTGTTGGTATTCAAAATGGCTTCAAATTCTGCACCAGAAGAGGTTGTGATTTGTGCTACTTGAGAGCTGGAAGGGAATTCGATACGAAAACCTTGTTTGAGAAGCATTCCCATGGAGATTAAGTTGGAATTGAAGGATGGAACATGTCGTACATCCCTAAGGATCAAGGATCCGGTTCCAATATCAATGACGACGGTGCCAATACCATGAGGTTTGGAAATCTTCCCTTGAGCATCTTCAATATAATCCGCTGGAGTAAGGTCCTCCTTTCTCAATGTTTTATAGGACGTGAAGAAAGCTTGGTGGGGTGTAACATGGAATGAAGCACAGCTATCAAGATACCATGAAGCTTGGAGAGATTGGGCTGATTTAGCAATGGCTGTTTTTGCAGCTGAAGAAGTCCATGGTACCAGTTCATTGGTTTCTGCTTCAGAGAATGAAGCAGTGGAAGATTCTTTAGCAGTGTGTAAAGCACGAATAGCTTCAATAGTATTTTTATTGGCTCGGTGCCAATGCTCAGAGGCTTTCTCAGGGTTCTTGTAGAGGCAAGGCATTGGGTGGAAATGACCACACCAATCACAACGGGTCTTTGGTTTGCGTGAGTCCTGGTCCTGAGGTTTATATTTAGTGTTGGAACTTGAGGCGGAAGAGCTAGCAATGGGGTTAGATGCTTGTTTGGAATAGCTTCGTCCGGATAGATTCTCTCGTCGTCCTCCGTGTTGGGAGCGGGATTCACGGGCTTGGGTGCCCATACGGATAGAGAGTTGAGCTTGAATGGTAGTTAGGTCCAGATTGATGACAGGGCCTTGTCCAGTTGAGTATACTTCATCAAGTTTACTCTTAATGAATGCTTTGTTCCATTCGCGGAGGCCTATAAAAAATAGGTCGTGAATAAGGTTGTCAAATGATGCTTCTTTTATAGCATGAAGGCGGTCTACTATCCTAGTAAACGCAGATTGGTAGGATAGGTAGTCATTGTCTTTTATATAGAGCTCCTTGAGCTCTTTTATGAGAAGCATTCGTTCTTCACCAGTAGAACGTCCGAAAAAGGTAGCAGTTCGGTCCCATAAACCATGGGCTGATAGGTCATATGTGTTGCCCAATTTGTCAATGGCTTGGGCAGTCATAGCATGAAGCATTCGGGCTCTCATGACAGTGGCTTTGCAATGCCATACTTCAGCATCATAAGCTGAGTATCCTGCTGGAGGTATATCCTGATGCAAGACTGTACTAGCGTTCAGGACATTGGCTTCTCTTTGAATGGCTGAACTCCAGGGGTCGTAATTATCATGAGACAGTGTGATTCGGCATCGGTCTGGTAAGAGCGCTTTAACTTGAGCTTGTACATGATCAAAAGGATCTTTTTGTACTGGATTTGAGGCTGGAATAGCTGTATTATTTTGAATATGATTGTAGGGAGTAGCGTTATGCCGGACTGTAGGAGTGGAGGATTGGGATTGATGGCGTTCAAGGGCATTAAAACGAGTCATGAACTGGTCCATCTGCTTCTGCATTTGCTCCTGCATCTGCTTCTGCATTTGTTCCTGCATCTGCTTCTGCATTTGTTCCTGCATCTGTTCCTGCATCTGCTGGAACAGAGCTGTGATGTCTGGTGTGGATGCCATGGTGTTGGCTGTAGTAGAGCTTTGAGCTCTAGGGGCAGTTGGGGTGTCCATTTCTTCAGAGATTACTGAGGAGGCGGAGGAGCCTATATCTGATGAAGGATCTGTGGATTCTGGCTGACGACGGTGACGTCTAGCGGTGGTAGGGGGCGTTCGAGGCACCACCATTTTGGATGGGATCGATCGAAGGATCCTGGGGTTCAGGGGCCGATTGTTGGCGGTCCTGGTGTTCAGAGTCGCTTAGAAGCGCTCGATTTCTGGTTTGACCAATGAGAGGTCACAATTTAGCCTATCTGAAAGGCTTTTTTTTAAGCTCAATATCGTAGAGCTAAAACGGGCTCATAACCTAATGGATAGGCGCATGTATGGTCATATTACTAGGTAGGCCTGCCTGTGCCGTGAGATAGGTAGCGAGGGCGGTCTAGGACGGCAGAACCTCACGTGTACTAACACTAACTGTTGGATCACGTGGGATTCTGCCGCATAGGTCCGCCCTCGCTGACCCTTTTCACCACGTAGGCCTATCTAGCTAGTGACCAACCAACAATACACCTCCATTAGGTTATGAGCCCGGTTCTTGCTCGGAAATATGAGCTATTTTAGGCCCGTATAAGTGGTCAATTTAAGCCCTCTGATTGGCTGAACCAAAATTCCATACCCCAGATTCCAAAAATTCCAGGATCCCAGATACGGTCCGAACCTGAGCATGTCAGGAGAACCTACTACGCCTCCCGCTACTGCTATACGACGATCACGTCGCCGAAATCTCCAAAACAGGTCCTCGAATATAGACGAGACCTCCTCATCAGTTGTCTCTGAAGAGATAGAGACCCCAACGCCTTCCGGAGCCAATCTGAGCTCTACCAATACCGCCAACATGGCTTCCACAAACGAACTTACCCCTGATCTTGCTGATATGATGCGACAAATGCTTGCTCGCCAGAATCAGATGGAACAAGATATGCGAGACCGTGAAGCTAGAATGGAGCTAAAACTGGCATCTATCATCCAGTCTAATACTCCACAAGCTTCCTTGCCTTCAAATACAACCCAAGATACTACACCAATGGATATCCAACCGCCTCTGCGTGATGCCTCAGACACAAATATCAGCAATGCTATTGCCCTTGTCCAAGCCGATGTCGATACGCTACTGCCTGACCGATGCCGTGTCATCTTGACACTGGATAATTACGATGCATGGAGCTCTGCCATACAAAAAGAAGCTGGTATTCTCAATGCTATTACAACTCTTCACCAGGACTCTCCTCCTGCTGGATCATCTCCACTTGATGCTGCAGTTTGGCACAGAAAAGCCATTGTCATGAGAGCCCGTATGCTCAATGCCATGACAACCCCTGCTTCCGATAAACTAGGCACCGTATATGACCTCTCTGCCCATGGTCTTTGGGACCGAGCTGCCACACTTTTTGGCAAATCCACCGGTGAAGAGCGAATGGCCCTTACCATGGAGCTCAAAGAGCTCTATATAAAGGATAACGATTATCTCACCTACCAGTCATCCTTTAATCGAATCTTTGACCGCCTACACGCTATTGGAGAAGAATCTCTTGAAAATCTCAAACATGACCTCTTCTTTATAGGTCTCCGGGACTGGAACCGCGCCTTTATCAAGAGTAAACTAGATGATGTCTACTCTACTGGCCGTGCTCCGGTTACCAACCTGGATCTTAAGGTTATCCAGACCCAATTATCTACTCGAACCGGCACTAAATTCCGTGATACTCATTCTCAAGACCGGTCAAACCAACAGAAAGAGAACTCCCAGAACCGCAGTTATTCAAAACAAGCATCTGGAACCAAATACACAATTCCTCAACGTTCCAATAACCAAGATAGATCTCGTCATACACTTATAGACTGTGATCACTGCGGAAATCGCCATGGACTTATATGCTATTTTAAACATCCTGAGAAAGCACCAGAGTATAGACGCAAGTTCTATACTACTATGGCTAATGCTCTCCGTGTTCAGCAACAATCTGAAGCAAACCCACAATCAAACCAGGATCACCCTGCTTCACAGGAACTTGTCTTGCATAAGAAACTCTCCAATGCCAAATCTGCCATTGTGAAGTCTGCAAAGACTCTCTCATTTTCCAATCAATGGTTTGTTGACAGCTGTGCCTCTTTCCATTCTACACCTGACCGTTCACTTTTTGCAACCTATAAGGCCTTGCAGAAGCATGATCTGGTGGAGACAGATTATATGGAAGGTGCTCAAGGCCATATCTCTATGCCTCAAGGCATTGGCACCGTGATTATAGATATTGGTTACGGATCTCTGATCCTAAGAGATGTCCGCCATGTTCCTTCCTTTACTTCCAACCTCATTTCAGAAGGCATGCTTGTACGACAAGGCTTTAGGCTTCAATATACACTAGATTGTGAAGTCAAGCTGATTACCACACCATCTGGAGCTGAATTCCAAGCCCGATTGTTCAAAAACAATGTTTACCTCCTTGAAGACTGTCTATCTCCTGGAGAAGAAGAAAATTCCTATGCCTTTGTCACCACCCGGTCTGGCAAAGAAGTTAACCGCCCAGAAGAGCCACCTGCAAAGGCTCCCACAATTAAGACACCAGCTGAGGCTCCTACTCCAAAAGAGACCCCGGTTCTAGGGAAGCCGCGAACTACTAAGATATCCCTACCTATCATGGCCTGGCACCGACGCCTATGCCATCTCAATCAAGCCGATCTCCTCCGCCTCGCCCGAGATCCTGAGTCTTGCATCGAAATCAAAGGCTCTAAAGAACTCCCATTTTGTGAAGTCTGTATACAGGCTAGACAGACACGCTATTATAGCAAGGTCCCTAGGTCCAGAGTTACCAAACCCCTTGCCCGAGTCCATCTAGATATCGCCGGCGGTGGACAAACTCTTGATTTTGACAACCCTAATGATGTTGTCACTGGCCGAATTGGGGCAAAATATGTCTTACTTATTACCGACGATGCCACACATTATCGATGGATCCTCTTCCTTGAGACAAAAAGTGCAGCCATTACCGCCTTCAAGAACTGGCTTCAAAATATGAAGAACCATGGCTTCACTGCTCCTGCCTACCTAGTCTCTGATAATGAATTCCGCTCCACTGAATGGATGGAAACCTACCGTCAGGAAGGCATAGAATGGCAACCAAGCTCGCCATATTCACCATGGCAAAATGCCGTTAGTGAACGTGGCATCCGGATCCTTTTGAACGGGCCCGAGCTATGATGCTTGATGCCCCATATATACCAGAACGCTTTTGGGTAGATGCTCTCCAATATGCCACAGATCTTACAAATCGGCTCCCTACATCTACCATCTTATACAATTCCCAAATTCCTGGGGGGGTGAATATCAACAAGGACATACACCCCAGCCCTTATCGCGCTCCGTTGGCAGCGTGGACTAATTCATCCATTTCTTCACTCCCCAGATATCGCCGTTGGGGGTGTCCAGCCTGGGTCCATCAGCATGGACCAGATAAACCTGGAAATAAGCTTGATTCACGTTCTCACTGCTGTTTCCTCATTGGCCAAATTAGTAGCCATCAATATCGTGTTTGGGACCCTAAAACTGACACCGTCTTTGTCACCAATGATGTTATATTTGATGAGGATTACAAAGATCCTACAACTACCACTCCCAAAGGTCCCAGCACCCCTACCGAAGAAAACCCAACTCAATTAGTTGAAGATGAACCTCTCAATGACCAAGATATATGGCTCCGACCTGCCAAAGGCATGTCCCTAGCTTACTTTGCCACTTCAACCATTCCTTCATCAGAAGACAACACGCCTACTTCTTATAAGCAGGCCATATCCCATCCTGATGCTGCTAAATGGCAAGCTGCCATGCAAAAGGAAGTCAACCAACTCAAAGAGAAAGGCTGCTGGCAACTCATTCGCCGTTCTGACCTACCACCAGGGGCCAAAGTCATCCCTGGCCGGTGGGTATACAAAAAGAAAGAAATCCCCGGCATACCTATCTCAGAGGATTATCAGGCTAAAGCCCGCTGGGTCATTCGTGGCAATCTACTTGATAAAGACTTCATGGAATCCTACGCACCAGTGGTAAATGAAAATACTACCAGAACCCTCACGGCACTGGCCACCCTGCTTGGCTGGCATACCCGAAAAGCTGATGCCACCCTTGCTTTCCTAAATGGGAAAATGCCCACGGACAAACGTGTCTTTATGACCCAAGTTCAGGGATTCAAAGAAGGTTCTGGAGATCTTGTCTGTGAACTCCTTCAATCCCTCTATGGATTGGTCCCATCTGCCCGCATCTGGTATGATACTCTGGGTGCTTTTCTACGCCAAATCAGCTTCAAATGCTCTGAATATGACTCTGGTCTATGGATCCACACTACCCGGACCCAACTCTATGTGACCACCCATGTGGATGACTTCAAAGTCTATGCTAAACATGAAAATGATGCCATCTGGTTTATGGAGACTCTCTCCGCCAAATTTGACATAAAAGAAGTTGGAAACTCTACCAAATACCTTGGCATGACCATCTCCCAGTCTGAGACTTCATCTTCTTTATCTCAAGCCGACTACACTGAAGATGTTGTTGCCTCTTTTGGTCAAGCCCAAGCACATCCTGTTAGGATTCCAATGGATCCTAGCCTAATAATTGATGATGAACCAGACCCTACAGTCAACACCAAAGAATATCAACGTGGTGTAGGCTGCCTTACCTGGCTAGCCACCAAAACCCGGCCAGATCTTAGCCAGACGGTTGGCATACTATCCCAATATAACGCCAAACCCACCCAAAAAGCATGGCGTGCCCTTATACACGCCATACGCTATCTTAAAGGCTCCATCAATCGGCAAATTACCTATCATAAACCCACGGAGTCCATTACATCTGACCTCCTCATGCCAAAATGTTATACCGACTCTGATTGGGGTGGTCAACTGACAGGCAACCGCCGGTCAGTCTCTGGATACATCTTTCTGCTTGCCGGAGCCCCAATTGCCTGGAAAAGCCGCACGCAAACATCCGTTGCCCTTAGCTCCAACGAAGCTGAGTATATGGCTCTAAGCGAAGCCAGCCGTGATGCCCTCTGGCTCCGGAATCTCATCAACGAGCTTAATGTGCTCCCAACTGAATGCCCACCAATATCTCTTCATATCGATAATCAAGGCGCTCACGCCATGGCTGAAGCCGAGCTCACCACCAAGAGATCCAAACACATTGACATACGTTACCATTACGTTCGGGAGAAGGTCCAAGACGGCATTGTCAAACTTCAGACCTGCCCTACCAAAGAACAGGCAGCAGATGGCCTGACAAAACCTCTCCAAACTGAACGATTCAATCATTTCCTGGAACTCACCGGCATACATTAAGCGGCGCTTGTTCCCCCATTTTGGTTATACTTTCTATTCTGATTTACGGCTTCTGATTGGCCAAAGCGGAACCTCTCATTTCTCTGCTTAATTTTGCTTTTATTCTCTCATATGAAGGCCTGAATAGAGGCCGATTTTTGTATTTAAATTCTTTAGATTAGTCTTAGGCCAGCTCGTGCGTGGGGGGGTGTTGGATCACGTGGGATTCTGCCGCATAGGTCCGCCCTCGCTGACCCTTTTCACCACGTAGGCCTATCTAGCTAGTGACCAACCAACAATACACCTCCATTACTAACTGGGCATACATCACGTGACCTATAACAGGGAGATGATTGTCTGTCTCTTCTCTAGGTGAGGCTCGCGAGGGAAAAAGGGGAAAGCGAGGGCGGTCAGAACTATAATATCCTCACGTGATCTAAAACTACACTTATGCTGATTAATGAGCTGAATCCTGGGAACGACCAATATCAGTTTGATTACTAATTGATTAATTAAATAGTTAGCATACAACCTTAAATCATCCAATTTAACCAAGACAAGAAATACGCAGCATGATGTCATGATCAGTCGGGAATTAATTACTTGGAAGAGCCTGCGCAAATCCCTAATTAAGTAGGCCTTGCAGTCCGAGTCTACCGTCTTGCATACCACCAGGCTAATCCACTAGTACCTACTACTAGTTCAAAGGACTAGAGACTTAAGGAATTATGTTATTGCATGCAGTATCCATACTCGTATACACTATCTAGTACCTACACCATGGATCTGCATTGACTTCTGATAGATCTTCGTCGCACCATATCATAGCATGCATGATAATGGATAGACAGCAACTGCATCTGTCTTAATTAGAAGTGCGGGTTGACAATCAACTTGAATTTACTGGAAGTTTGTAGAGATCTGCATAATAATAGTTCATAGTCTGTACATCCATTCTGTATGTGAGTGATCCTGTACATCAATAATAGGTACAATAATAAACAATAATAATAATAGTATGATACAACCGTAGTAATCATGAAAATGCAACTTTTTTCGATACTCCCATTGGATCCAACCAGACCAATTTGACCAAAAACCCTGATACCCCCAAAACATGCCACCTAATGCAGATGTGAAACTGGAAGGGACCATAAGAATGCAAAGCATCGTAACATGACAATAGTTAAAAAACAGTACACATATGAAACCGGTAATGTACAGCCATCGTAATCCAGATCATCATTCTTTTTTAAACAAGTGTATCACACCCAATCATGCAGAAGAGCAAAAACAATAATCCGCAAAAGGAAATCTAAACCGTAGGCGACATGCTGAAACGAGAAACCATCACGCTTGCTGATTCTCAAGGAGCCAAGACCGTGAAATATCTATGTAATGATAAGAATAAAAAGGACGTAACGACATGGTGATTCATCAAAGGCGCGACGCGAGTGCTGATATCATCCGACGTGATCGATTCCGGCCCCGGCGGAACGACGCCCCGGCAATCCGGGATTCACGCGCTGCGCCTTACCTTATCCGGAATAGCGTATGACGTCGGCGGCTGTCTAGTTAATGACGTCATGGCGCCGGCCATATTCGCATGCAGCGAAAACCTGTCCGCCCTATGCGTTTCTTTGTCGGCGCATCATCTCCCTCCACGTCAGTCGGCGAGTATACATACGCACTGGCCTTCATTCGCGGCCCCGTCGTCGCTGCTTGCCTGGCCAGTCAACTTCGGGGTGCACAACCCGCATGTGTCGCGTCAATGCGTCGTTGCGTGAGAATGTCTTCTCTTCCGTGCAGAGATGACACCGCACCTTCTGCTTCCGCGCATTGTGTATGGTATCTTCATGTCGCGTAAGATCGTAGGGCCGCGAGAAGATCGAATTGCAAGGCTTGCCCGTAGAAGGATTGATGCGCTCACACTTGTGCGGTCCCGCCTGCGAGTTGCGCGCGTCACGCCCCGAAAGGTGGCCGCCTGGCGTCGTCTGACGATGCGCTTCGCGCTTGTGCTTCTGTAGCTTGGCCGGTGTGTCGAACCGTAGGGTACATCCGTGATAAGTACAGGTGTACGTACCCTCGTGCGCCCCTGTGTTTTCGGGTCGCGCGATTATTTCGTTCACAGGCTGCACAGCTGTTCTGGATGGCTCCATTGTTGGAAGAGTGTGACTGATCTGCTGCGACATCTGTGCCTGGCGAGCGGGTTGCTGCTGCTGTGTAAATGGATACTGAATCCGCATACCAGCCGCTTGCGTGCTGTACTGGTTAGGGAAAGACTCCATTGGCGAGAAGTTCTGTGCCGGTCGGAAAGCAGACGAACTCTCCCGCTTAAGGGACAGAGCATCACCAAGGTTGAAGTCATCCTGGTTTGATGGGAACAAGGGTGGCATCGACGAGTCGTCACTTTCACGGAAGTCCAACAGTGCATCCTTCGGGGAGATAGTCTTGGGTTCTCCATTGACCATGCTCTGTGCCATAGGCATCCCTGCTGTCAGGTGAGACTGCTGGAGCGCAGAGTTGAACTCTTGAGAACTTGGCTGGAAGGGAGAGCGGTCTCTGTTCATGCCGGTCGCAGGAGACTGCGACCGGACGGACATATGACCCAGGTTCGCTGCGTGCAGCCGGTCGGCAAAGACGTTGCGGTACGGGTTGAGGAGGTGATTCTGGTTTGTCGAAGCCTGTTTGGGCATCTGGGGGGTGGACACGATCATGGGGTTATAAAGCTCGTCCTGATAAATGTCGGAAATTGTTCGGTTGAGCTTGGGGACACCAATCGATAAGGCTCCTCCATTCTGGTTACCGTAGTCTGAAAGCGCATCGAGACGTAAGTATTCATCCATCCACCGGTCAACTTCAGGAATTCGGTCCTCACCATGGGTTAATGCCTTCGATGCATCGTCGAGATCGTCAAAATTAGTTTGCGGAGTGACGGGAGAGTTATGGCTCACACTTGACGTTGAATGCGCCATCGAGTAGTCACTCGGACGATGCTGATGAGGATGCTGCTGTTGTTGTTGCTGGTGATGCTCGATGACCGCACGCCTCATAGCCATCTCGGCGTCAGGGTTACTACCATCCTGGGAGGCAGGATCGTAGTTGTGGAAGGGGGCCACGAGGAAGGAGTTTTGAACCGGGGTCTGCACCGGAGTAGGTAGCGGCTGTTTCGACACGGTGGCGGGTTTGGCACCTTGACGAGACTGGCTGCCTTGGGACGCGACGGTGTTTCCAGCTGGCGACAGGTGAGGGGAAGCCTTCCCCGAGGGCTGGCCCAGCAGCTGAAGGTCGTTGTTCCAGCTGTGACTGTTTGCGACGGTATGCTGTGCCAACATCGGCGTGTCGAAGTGATAGGGCAGGAACGTAGGCTGCGGCTGGGATTGCGTGTGCGGTGGCGGTGGCGGCGATACAGCGTGCTCTATGTGAATCTGAGGGTTGTAGGATGAAGCTGGGGTCATCGAAGGAGCTTCAAGGATGCTGCCGCAGCTGCTGGCAGGATAGTCTGCTGCCGCCGTTGTCGCAGCAGGGAGGAAGTCAGTGGAGAAGGTGGGAGAGGAGAAGGTGGGCGACGAGGAGATGGATGAGGGCGGAGTGGTATATTGTAAATCTGACGGGTAGTAGTAGGAAGGAGACTGTTCTTGGTGCTGTTGCTGTTCAGGGAGAGGCTGGAAGCACTGCTGCAGGGAGGAGTTTATGTCTTGGAAGGAGTCGGGAGGAAAATGGTCGTCTTGTATGTAGACGGACGGATCCAGGTTGTAGAGAGAAGCAGGAACGGAGGCTGGTTCGGTGATGAGACCCTTACGTACAGAAGGGTGTGACATAGTTGTTCCTCTCCTTTCTGACGGGGAAGGACGTCAGCGCTGGGGGGAGTGGGATAAAGAAGATAGCAGAGTTGCCACTGTGGATCGACTAGGCCCAAGGACCTAAGATTGATTTTTCTTCCTAGTCAGTCCCGACGATCAAAGATCCGAATTATAGGATTTCCAGCTGAACTGGTGCCGGAACAATCTGGAATACTCGAGTCCAACTGCGCCCGAAATTTCCGGGGTTGTAGAAACTGGAGTTGTGGAAAGGAAAACTTTGAAATAATATAAAAAATAATATAAAAAAGGAAGGAAATTCACTTCGCCTCTCAATAATAGTAATATTTATGATTATTACTAAGATGATCATAGGCAGTGGGTGGGGGGAAGTAGACCAAAATAAAGACAGAAGGGCGGGCGGAGGGCTTACCTTGTGGAATGGTGGCGAAACTGGAAGAAAATGATATCTGACAGGACCAGATAATTGGATGTGACGGTGATCAGATAGTCAGAAAGAGAGAAGCCAGAGGCAGAAACAGATTAGCAGTGGGAATTGATGGAAGATAGCATGGAGAATCGTGCAAGTGAAGAATTCGCCGTCTAAGGGCACGAGCGGTTCCTTTTATGATGCATATGACGTAGATTGTAAAGGGCGGGAATTACAATACAGAATTACCATTGACTCATACAGGTATCGTAACTTACCGTTGGAATCTGCGCTAGTCTCTTCCGAGCATCTGAACTTCCCCAATCCGGCTGCTGGTCCTTTCTCGGAGTTCGGCAGCCATTAGCCTGTGGCTGGTGCATCCAGCTACAATGTACAGATCGGCAATTCCTCGTCTATTTCCGGTCCGATCGACAATCTGTGGGAGATACGGTGTCCAATACGGTGTCCAATACGGAAGTGATCGACACATTAAGACCTTGCATTGTGGGTTGAAAAGATTTTTTCTGCAGGGTATTTTTATTTTATTTTTTATACACATGCACCAGCCACAAGTTGTGCGCTGTCCTGCATTAGCGCTTGACGGCCTTAGGCCATATTCCGAGAACCCGGATCATTCTCGAAGGATTGCCGGTTCCGTGTGCTACCGTACCAGCTCGACGATGCCACCGTTGCCTGTTCGAGTGATCATCAGAGTTGCGGCCTGAAATATTCGGCCGGGAACACGCCCGTCAACTAGTATGATACTTACGGAGAGTGCCGTGCGCTTATGTATCGTACCATCGACGATAATACAGCATTACCAGCAGGTAACATGATGTCCGGCTCCAACGGTTCGGCCGGCATGCCAACTGGAGCATGCAACACACCGCAGCAAAGCTCAGATGGTATTCTATGGTCATCTGACCTTGCTTTAATGGCATGATTCTTTTACTCTTATTATTACCTGGTTAATAATAATCTATAATAATTCTGACAGCTGACCCCGGAATCGCTTGGACCTCCATCATCTGCCTTGGTTGATGTGCACACGTGACTCATCATGTTTCTTGGAAGCGAACAACCTTCAATAATGCTACTGACTAGTATTTCTCTACTGCCTAGATCGGTAGTATCCTCCATTGTCAGCTTGTGGTATAGTCCATCCATCCCGGTCACATGGAAACCATGCTTGGCGATGTTTCTTTTGCATTCTTGCGCAGAGCATTACGCTGCAATTATACAGCTCAGATCTTCCTCTGGGTGCTGTACTACCTGCCATGATACACGTCGTTAAATCTACTGCACATAATACTACATGGCTGAGAAAAAGACGTGCAAACTAACAAGTTAAGCATGACGATCTCAGTAGATCTTGATCATCTTTTCTCTCTCTAGCTACAGTACACCGGGGGCTGAGAACAGGCCGGAAACAACATATCATGAGCTGAACAACGATGTTGAATCTAGCTTTCGTCCAAGCTAATCCGTGAGTCAGTCATGGCCAATGATCACACACCGGGGATCTGAGTCTGAGACTCTGTGCCGAGTCTTGATTTGGCATCTCGCATGCGATGGGTAACTCGAGCTCTGGAACTGTAGAGCCGGGATTTGTCCCTAGGCAGCGAGATTAGTTTTTCTTGATTTTATTTTTATTATTTCCTTGCTTACAAAGAGAGAAATTCTCCCTGAAAAAGCACCGTGAAAACAAGAAATCTAGATTTTCATTGATTGTAGGCTCCCTATTTCGCATAATACCCCGAGCTGCATCCGGACCCATAAGTGCTAGGAAGCATGGAAATACTCCCATTCTCGGAATTCTCCAACTTGCAAAGCAATGCGAGATCTCGGGACCGTTGCATAAGATTGTGGCTTAGACAGGTTCATCCTCGCATTTGGCTCGGATATGAGGCGTCGAACCGATTGGTGTTCGTGGTGAAGAACTCGGCAATCGACAAACCCAAGCTGCACAGCCACAGGATGATACAACAGACGAGATATCCCTATTGGGTCGATGAGAGATCTGATCTGTGGGTACACGGGCTCTTACTTGACACGTAAGGCCGGATCTGATCTTGCGAGATGCAGATTGACATCTGATAGACGATTTTGATTTGGTCGGTGCCTTGATTGGAGGTGGGACTGCCGACAGGGCTATGAGTACGCAGATGAACTATGCATTTTAGATCTTGAGATTATGTTGTACAGCGTGTAACGCGAGATTGATATTTGAGTCAGTACAGAACAGGCAATATCTCTGGATCATCATGTGTGATAAGTGAGAAGTGAGAAGCGAGCTGAAGACTGAGACTGTCCGGTGACTACCTTACAGCATACTGCTGATTATTTAGACGTTAGTAATACAATAGTACTACATGCGGTAACCAGAGCCGTACTCGGGATATCCTCGGTATGGTCACGGTCACGTTCTGTCATAACCCATACGGATACCCGTATCCGCATGGTACGGAGGTGCGGTGTACTCCGTATACGGAGTACATACGGTATCGACTACTGCACGCCCGACTGCAGGTATTGCTATTCTTATTCCTACCATTAGACTCCATCCGATTAACCGGGTCTCATCGACAAGAGACCAAAAACTCTGTTTTCTTCTAGCCTCATTCTTCGATCCGTCGGCCACGTTTTCCACCCTTCTGGAAGCCTTCTTTTTCTATTTTAAGTTTTAGGATTTTTAATTCTGCTTAACCTTTTCTCCGAGGATCTTCCCGAGTCAATCACACTGTGCCGTTCCCAAATGAAAAATTTTTCACTTCCCCAACCCTGCGCATTGGCCCTTGTCAGTTGGAAGTTTTATCGAGCATCAAGCGATGATCTGGCCAGGCCCGAAATGCAGAGATGGAGGCCCAACATTATCTAGTTAGGAAGGTGATGAAAACCTTTCATTCTCAGATGATTTTCTTTTCAATTTTATGTATTTTGTACCCTTTTTTTTTTCAAAAAAAATTTTTAAAAATTAAAAATAAAAATAAAAAAAAAGAATCCTTCCGTGGACCGACCCAGACCCATCAACCGCAGCGTTTGATATGAAGAACGAACCCAGGTTCGGTATCTGTTTAAAGTTATCTTCTCCGCGTGATATCTTTCGATCCGTTTCATACTCTTCCCCGTCAATGTAACTGCACTCCTAGTTGATAATCCATAGACACTAGAAGGAAATTACGCCGTAAATACTACTCAATAATTGTATTATGAATCTCCGTGTCTCCGGCCGTATTCTCGTATTGACTCCGCGGATGCTCCGAAATTCCGCAGGGCTAGACGTCGGATTGCAGTGTCCCTAGTTTGATTTCTCAATGGATAATTATTCGGTTACTTACTAGTTGTTGTGCATGTTCCAGAACCAGAATTAATAATCTCGGGAAATTTATCACTGATCCCACAATTGACTGTGCTGATCTGAACTCAAACGCTGGGCTACTGCTCTGTATCCATACCCTGGAATATTCGCTGAGTCATGTCATGAATGTCTGTTCTGTCGGCATGGAGGCATGGAGGCATGGAGGCCAGAAGAGGTCTAGGACGTTCGACTGCTGTCAACATTGATAGCTACTTGGGAATCTGAGTTGGCTTTCACAGCGAGACAATGATAATGACGCGTGCCATTTACATGGTTGGTGCTTTTGTGTTGATGCATCTATTTGCCTCGGGGTTCTATGTACGTAGGTACTCTGCACTATTGCAACCATCGAGAACCATGACCTCGTAAGGACTCAACCCGAGGGCTGGGATGGGGGTGGGGGGATGGATATAATCTACTGCATACTTGGGTCCAGGACAGATTCTGGCCAAAGGAGCTCGTGGAAGGTTCAGCCACGATGCTCCATGATGCATCCAACCTGTTACCATCGTGCTGAGAAGCAGACGGTAGTTCTGGCGGAATCTCTCGACTGCGCGCTGCCCCAGGCAAGACTGTTTCTCGATGTGATGATCGTCAAATGCATGGTTTGACTTCTTCCCGACATTTTGGGGCAGTGGTCGCGCGGTACAGCGCAGGCTATTATATGTTTTGCGCTGGCGGGTTTCGATCAGCAAGGGGGAATGCGAGTGAGAATATTTGCTAGCAAGACTACCCTGGACATAGCCAGCTCATGTGTGCAGGGTGCGGGATAGTTTGATGGAGATACACGAAAATGAAACAGCTGTCCGCTCTCTATACGGCTGCTCACTGTTTGGTGTGCATTATGGGCTTGCTCCATTTCCTACCGACTCGGTTCAATGTTCGGTTGGAGTATGAACAGTCTATAGATATCCTTCGAAGCAGGGTCCTCACGGCAAAATTACTATCTCTCAAAAGTCAATACGCCAATACCCCTCTGGTGGTGCCGGTTTGCTATTGTGACGGTGAGTAGCTGGTTAGTTAGGAAGATGGCTGATTATCTAAAGGGGTAGGCAGAGCGGTGCCCAACCAGGGATGCGATGTGGTCACGTGATTCGCCGGTCAACATATTGAAGCTGGGAGGTCTCTCTGTAATCACACATGTGGGAACTGGTGTGGTTGGATGAATGGTGGATGCGGCTTTCAATTAGATAGAGCATTACGTCTGCGTTTCTCTCGGTGGTGGATCTGTGTTTGATCTAGTCCTTGCTGGGAAGATGGTACATTGAGGTATTGTGGTTTGCTTAGCAGCTTGAGTTACCTCTAATATATATAATGGAACACCACAACTTAGCAAGGAGCAAGGATTTGCGGACAGTTTTTCCCTTAAAGACCAGTTCGTCCTCTGTTCTATCCGGCATTTATCTAATCTAGAGCCTAATTCCAGTGCATCTAATTCGACTGAGTGACTTAAACAACTGGAACGATTATTTCCCCAGGATTCAGAGCGACTCTAGGGTCGTAAATTTGGTAGATTCACAAGAATTTTTTCTTTTATTCCAGTCAATATTTCAACAATTAGACACTATGGCCGAGTGGTCTAAGGCGATTGATTAGAAATCAATTCTCTTCGGGGGCGGCGGTTCGAATCCGCCTGGTGTCGAATCATATTATTTCCTTTTTTATCTTTTTTACTTTCCTCTCTGTTATTCAAAATCGTATCGACAGATTATTTCCTATTTACACATGCTACCTCTATATGTAGGGGGTTTTTTTTATTGGACAAGCATGGAAATCGAGATAACAATGGAGTGTCTCCCCTAATCACTACAGAGCATGGTGATAGACATCACGACAACGATGATAGATCAATGTCGATGAATATGATTCACAGGATGGTGCTATATCTCTTTACCCCAGACTGGACCAAATATGAAAGAATCAAAAACACAAACAGAAAGGCTCTCATTTCCGAGCCTCATCCACCAAAATTCCCTACGCCAAGTATGCAAAGATGTGGGTTGATAAAATGGGAAAGAACAAGCACATATCTATCCACCGTAAAATGCCTCAGTGCACATAGCCCCAAAAAATCATGTCGGCCGGGGCCCTTGATTACCGCCACCGCTCAGTTGTCGCAAAAGATCCAACTGGGCTTTGACCTGATCAAAACCTGACGCTGGATTCTGTGTTTGCTGTGCCTGTTGTTGATACTGTTGTTGCTGTTGTAGCTGCTGCTGCTGCAATGCAGCCAAGAAAGCCGGATTGACATGTGCGCCCGCAGGAAACTGCTGGTAAAGGTTCGGCTGTTGATATGCTTGTGGATATGGAAATTGAAAAGGGAATTGAGCTGGGACGGAGCCGAGCATATACGGCTGCGGCTGGTAAGATGGAGATTGTTGAGAAGCACTGTAGGCAGGCTGCATATTCGGCGGGTAGGTAGGCTGACCGTAAGTGGGACGCCGAGGAAGAGAATCAACAGGTGGCTGCTGGTTCTGTTGATGTGAGTGGCTATCCTCGCGAGACTGCCAGGATTCTCCTCTTCCTCCCCTGCCACGATTCCCTCGGGAACGATCAGATCCTCTGCCTCGACCTCTGTCGCCGCGGAAATTCCCCCGACCCGAATATTGAGAACCCTCGACCGGGGCTTCCTGGTGGCCCATTAATTCATGTAAATTTCTCGGACGAGCAAGCGGGGTGTAGCCATCTTCGTTCGCAGCACCATCATCATAGTTGAGCTCAGTCTGGCTCAGTTTCGAAGGGCCGGGTGCCCCCCTTCGAGTTTTCTGTGCGCCACCCCGGCCATATTTAGCCTCTTTCTTCTCCTGTCGCTTTTGTTTCATTTTCCGCTTGTACTCGGCTTCAGCCTCATCATCCGAGAATTCAACCTCATCTTCTCCAATTTCTTCATCATGGAGATTTGACGCGTCGCTACCTTTAATGCCCTTGAGGGGCTGGGTGAAAACAAACGTCGAGTGACAGTCAACGTAGTATATGACTTTCCCTTTGGAAACGCCCCTTTCCTCAATTTCGACAGGAGTCGAATACAGCACAGTATACAGCGGCTGCTCTACCCGGCCAAGCGTCTCAGAGACCACGCCCGCAATACTCCGATCCTCGAAACAAAGTAGCGAGCCGGACTCGAGGACTTGATACTCGCCTGAGATGTTGGCTTCAATGAGGACAGCGTTTTCCACAACCGCAGACACAGTTCCTAGCAACGTGATATTCATATCAGGAGTAACCGTGATGTCCGGAATTGGCAAAACCTCCTCCGGTAATTCATTCGTGGTTTTCACGTGCCCTGTCTTGCCCTTCCCCTCGCCTTCGTCATCAGAGCCTAGTTCTGCTTGCATTAAAATACGTGCTTGCTCTTCGGGACTGAGAATCGGATAGTCTTCATCGTCCTCGTCACTGTCATCGGAGGAATCCGTCGAGGAATCGTCAGAAGAGGACTCGTACGGGGAAGAATCAATCTCCCATTCCGGGTGGTCGCCCCCTTCCCCAGTCTCGCTAGTTTCTTTCGTATTCGCATTGTTCGCAGATCCATCTGGCTGTTGTCCATTAGCTTCTTCTCGAACCCGTTGAATGATTGTCGGCTCAGTTTCCATCGCATCCACAGTTGAGAGGCCTGTCGCTTGTGGTTTTCCCTGCTCTGTTTCAGATGTCTCTAGAGACCCCTCGAGTGCAGATGTAGGTCCTATATTGCTCGCATCCCCAGAGTGACCGGCGATATCCAGTTTAGAAAAATCTCCTTGGGTCTGCTGAACAGTCGCGCTGCCCTCCAAGTACATCGTACGTTCGGCATTTGAAACTGCTTCATGGATCTCGTGCTCTTGGTTTCCAAGAATGGAATCAGTGCTATTATCCTGTCCAGCTGCCTCTGAAGGCGCGATAGGTTCATTGTTTGATGGTTGTTGCACCGTGAGTTTGTCATTGACAAGATTTAATCCTGGTATTTGCGTAGCTGGTTTTGGTGACTTGACAGAATCATTCTCGCTTTGGGGCTGCACATTCTCAATTTTTCCATCCCTAGCCGGCGTTCCTGTAGGCCAAGGGGTATTGTAGAAGTCACTGGTGCTGTCCGCTGGAGTTGACGCAAGGTCGGGAACTGGGACGGGCGGCGTTGTATTCATGGTGAGTTGCTTTATCCAAAGGGCATCACTGATATTTCCGGCTTAGAATCGAATATTGTCGTCTGATAGACTGTAGATATACAGTTATTTTATTGATTCCAAATCGAATAGTCCAACAAGTTGAAGGCGAAGTGGAAGCCTTGGAAGACTCGACAATAATTTTTTTTTTGGAACTGCGCATGTTGCCGTTCAGCCCCCCGTATGAGCCTCCATACTGTTATAATTTATCCTCTGCTTCGAGATGATATCACAGCTCGATCTATCCATCAAGCAACGGAATCCCACGAGATGTCCCCATCTAGGAAGAGAGATCAAGATGCGCCCACAGAAACAGCAAATGCTACTCCGCGTACACAACGACGGTATTGCACCCAATGCCTTTTTGTCTCTGTTGCACGGTCTCCTGCTAACCATGAACCCATCTCCAGGGCGCCATCACCACCTCTGTTTCACGTTCCTTTGGACATAACACTTTACCTTTTTCTCGTTTCCAACGGACTATCAGCATTATATGCCCCTATTCAAGATTGCGATGAGGCGTTCAATTTCTGGGAACCGGCGCATTACCTGGACCATGGATACGGGTTACAGACCTGGGAGTATTCACCCGAGTACTCTATAAGAAGTTGGCTTTACGTCTCACTTCACGCCATTGTCGGGAAGATCAGTGCTTTAGTTGTCAAGGGGAAGGTTGCGGAGTTTTACGCCATCAGATTCTTTCTGGCCTGCTTTTGCGCTGCTTGCGAGACGCGACTGTACGCCGCCATCTGTCGGACGCTCAGCCCAAGAATTGGCATGCTGTTCCTCATGGTCGCTGCTTTCAGCCCTGGAATGTTTCATGCCTCTGCTTCATTTCTCCCGTCTAGCTTCACTATGTGTACCTCAATGCTGGGTCTTGCCGCTTTCCTGGACTGGAGGGGAGGGTTGAAGATGGCGCAGGGAGTCATGTGGTTCGGCTTGGGAGCTATCGTGGGTTGGCCCTTTGCTGGGGCTCTGACTGTGCCTCTTTTAATCGAAGAGCTTATTATTGGTTTTATTTCTGGCTCTATGCGAACCGTGTTCTATAGCTTATCCAACGGTGCCGTGCGGTGTGGGTTGATTTTGGTAATTAGCACTCTGTTTACCTGGATCGTTCTTTTGACCAGTGCTGATTCATACCAGGCAGCAGAAGTTGCAGTTGATTTTGTTTTCTTCCAGAAGTTTGCTATCGTGCCATGGAACATTGTGGCCTATAATATTTTCGGGGGACAGGGTAGAGGCCCTGAGATCTTCGGGGTCGAACCATGGACATTCTACATTCGGAATTTGTTGCTGAACTTCAACGTTTGGTTCATTCTCGCCATGGTCACAGCACCGCTTCTCGTTCTGCAGGTACTCTTCCGGCCTCATGCTACCTCTACGAAGACTTTTCTGCGATCTATCACGCTCGTGGCACCTTTCTACATGTGGTTTGGTATTTTCACCCTGCAACCGCATAAAGAGGAACGGTTCATGTACCCGTCGTATCCCTTTTTGGCTCTGAACGCGGCCATTTCACTTCATATTATCCTCGCATATATTAGCTCCAGCAAGCCGAAAGAGATTAGTGGAAGAGTTCCACTGAAGCTCAAATGGACGCTGGTAATTTCGGTCATTCTCGTCGCCATTAATGCTGGTTTGCTGCGAATTGTTGGTATGGTTACGGCGTACAACGCTCCTTTGAAGGTATTTGAACCGTTGGAGCAGCTGGAGGCTAGCGGTTCGCTCTGCCTTGGAAAAGAATGGTACCGATTTCCGTCATCTTTCTTCCTCCCAGACGGAATGCGTGCGAAGTTCATACGGAGCGAATTCCGCGGATTACTTCCTGGAGAATTCCCCGAGGCCATCAGCTATCTGTCTCGCGTAGAAAGCACCTCGCTGGTCCCGCCTGGTATGAACGATCTCAATGAGGAAGATACCGGCAAATATGTGAGCCCCCATGAACCAGGGCCTTTTTGTCATGTGGAACATGAACTGACTCTGCACAGATCGATATTTCGCAATGTTCTTTCCTGGTAGACTCATACTTCCCGGCAAGCGTCGCAACAGAACGTGAACCGCATTATGTCCTCGATGAATTGCACTGGGAGAAGGTGTCTTGCCGGAAGTTCCTGGATGCATCGCGGACAGGCCTCTTGGGTCGTCTGATCTGGATTCCCGATCTGCCCATCATCCCAGACCGTTTCCATCGGAAATGGGGGGAGTACTGCCTCCTGAGAAAACGAGAAAGCGAGTAGGACAGAGGAAGGCAGAATGATCCATGATAAGAGTTTGCTGGTTGTGCCAAAGTTGATCTTCAGGGATGATGGCAATATTTTTGGCGTCACTGATAAGGGATATCAGCCTGTATGGCTTTACCGGATTCGGAAAAGAAGTCCTGGAGACCCCCTCATTCAACGCTCCGCTCTGACGCTGTTCGAGGTCTCGGCAGATCTATGATTCCCAGATTGGCTCATGGCTCCTCGCGGTCGGATCAAGGCATCAAGATAGGCAGAGTTGTCAGTAGGCATACCCGCTACTGTCGCATCCGATTAACCTGTATGGAAAAAGATTGAATTGCAAGTACTTGATACCAGCGGTCTTCACTTCATTATTACGTTAATATCTTTGTTGCTCGTCCCCTCTGTTCTGTGTTAGAGATAGATCCATCCATGCTCTACGTACGCAGTACAAAACAGACACGATGACTCTACTGTCTGTGCCAATCGGCAAGTTCCAATTAAAAGAACTTGTCTATATCTTGCTGGCAGTAAATGCTTGCATCTTCCTCTCAAAATCCGCGGTCACTATCTGGCGCAAATGGCACCAGAAGAGGAATCAAGCTGGACTCAATATAAGACCGTCCACACCTGAGCTGGAGAAACGACCGTCTGGTAAGGTGAAGGAGACTCGGAAACCTGGAGGTATTTCTATTGCTCTATGGTTGATACAACTACAATAGTGCTAACAACTTGTCGAATCAAGAATGGGTTCCGTCTCCCTTCAAACGACCGTCTGCAACACCATATCCAGACTGGGATGTGTATAAGACGAAGCCGATTCAATATCGGCCTTTCAGATATGGACCGTTGGTTACCTGACGATCGCTAGCATGGCCTTCTTTGATCTAGCTTGAAAGGTACTGACTTTTCTCTGGCACAGGAAGTACTTTATGACGATGGGATTAAGGAGTATGAAGTGGGATGAGTGGATAGGTTAGCTACCTCGCAGCAAAGCAGGGAGAACAATTACTGACCAAGAAGGAAGAACTCGATAATCACTACCTATGTTACCACGCGGACAAGGCGCGGAGAATCGAGGAACGAGGCCCAAAATGTTGCAAAACAGCACCTGAGGCGATGGACGCAGCGATCGAGTTGCTCGAGGAGCTGTAAGGACTCACATTATCCTGGAGAAAGATGCACCTAACAGCCAACTAAATGACAGTGCATCCTACCTCCCCGAACGCTATCCGACAATGTTCCAAAGAACGCCTACCGGGATAACAAACACAATAACCAAGGAGATGTTCGACATCACATCCCGCCCTCTAAGTGAAGATCCCATGACAACCTGTGCACGCCTCATCCAAGACGACTTAGCAATCATGATCGAAAAGAATGACGGCCAATACTACCTGCTAGCAGGGGCAATTCTCCTCGCCGGCTTCTGGAGACTAGAAGACAAATTCGGCATGCCGCTCTCGGAAATCCATACCTCCGGCGACGTTCCCCAGTACAAGGAAAAACTGGAGAAAGGGATGATGAATTTCTTCCGACGCCTCAAACCCGAGGATCCAGTATTACGGAACAACTACTTCATCCAGGTCGACGATAACCTGGCCTGGTCGCATAGCATTGGACCGGAAGATTCCCCAGATGTCTCCTGGAGCACTGCAGAGAAGGACAAAGCCATTACGCATCACTATTTTCGGTCAGAAAGGCAGAGTCTGCGCCGTCTACCCAGGTCCGGAGGTGTGGTGTTTACCATTCGTACGTATTTCGAGCCCATCACGGCGATTTCCGAGGAGCCGTACGTGCCTGGGAGGCTGGCATCGGCCATTAGAAGCTGGGGGGATGATGTGTCCGTTTACAAGGGGAAGGAGAAGTACGAGAGGGTCTTGTTGGAATATTTGGACCAGAAGCATGAGGAACAACTTGCTAACGGATTGGATCTGGAAAAGGAGGAGGAAGAAAGGAAGTATCCTTTTTGATTCGGTTTATTAATTGTCTTTAGGGCATTCCATTAAGGGCAATGAATAGAACCTGTCTTCATCTAACAAATGCAAGTAGTATATATAGCATAGATAGTAGGACCGAAAGAAACACTGCCCCGAAACACGCGGAATCCCCCAAAGGCTGATAAAATGTACATGCAGAATTATTCTAGAACCCGTGATAAAAACGATTATATAGCAGTAGAAGCAGATGAAGAACCTCCTCTCCTCGCTCGACTAGCAAGCGACCACTCCTTCTCCCGGCGCCATTCACACAATTCGTTAAATTCACAGATGCGACACTTCCACGCATCCATAACTTCAACACCGCGAGGATCACGGTGTCCGCGCCACCAGTCCATCTGGTCAGACAGATAGGATGTCATGGTGGTGGGATCGAAGAGAAAAGATCGACTTCCTAAAACTCGGGTTTTATTTGTTGCATTCGCACTCGTGCCTTCTTCTTCCGTGTTGGGAGGGGGTGTAGAGAGAATGAATTTAGCTGTCAGAAGAGGTGACAAGGAAGTAGGGTACGACTCCAGTGTAGCAGGTTGACATTCGGCAGGGATGGAGGGGGCAACAGCTACACCTGTAGCTGGCATGGAGGATTCGGAAGAAGAAGGTAGGAAGGTAAGACGGAGCTGATGTTTCATGAGTTTCCAGAGATGGGAAAGGTTGTTATATTTCAGTAGTAAATTGGTGGAGTCTTGACTGGAGGATGGAGTAAAATCATTGAAGGAGGAAGGTATGCTCTTTGCATCTTCAGGCATAGGGGTGTAGTCTGGGTTGAACTCGCGAGAGGACGAGGCGTCGAAGAACTGATCGTTCAAGCCGCCTACCTCGGAAATGAAGGCGTCGGTGAATGGGCGTTGGGGATCGAAGCCATATCGCGACGCAAGGAGTTCAATGTTGACATCGTCGCTGGTGATCAGACGATTGAGCATGTGGTAATAGATCTGAAGTTGGAGTAGAGTAGGCCGGAAGGCCGAACTCTTGACCGTTGGCATAGAGCGACTGCCTCTTGTCTTGATATCCGTCAGGTAGATTCTAGGAACACTGAAGAAGACCTCTGGGGGAAGCAATTGTCGGGCACCTGAATCCGGCTCGTGCGGCACATCATCAACATTGCTTATAGCAAGGTCAGACAGCGTCCTCCCACCCTGAGCCGGAGATAGTAAATAATCAGAAAGCGACATCTGATACTCAGGCACTGCAGCCCGCTCAGCCTCTATCTCAGCGTAGTATGCTGCAGCCGTTGCCTCGAGTTCTGGATTTGGACATTCGTAGGAAAGCTGGTCAATGACCCCATTAACCAGCTCGCCGTCAATGAGACCCCATATTTCCATTTCCCGGGTCATTCCGCAATCCCTAAGTGTGCGCAGTCCCTGAATGACATTCCAGATCCTCAAGCCCCACGCGTCTTCCTTATTCGTGATCTCAACGGGTACGGTCGTATACAGCTCATCCTCCAGGGTCTTATGGACGGCACTGCCTAGCTTCATTGCAGGCGTGCGCTTCTTCCTCCCATGCTTGGTCAATGTATACCAATACTGTAACTCGCACCATGCAGGGGAGATCAGGTCCGAAACTGAGAATGCCTTGTTTGGGGGTCTCCTGAAACGTTCCAGCGGCGACCGTATATCCTGGACTGTTGTATCGGTCGAGGCAGCCTCTTGGGCTTGAGATATGGACCTAGTCCATTCCAATTCGCGTGCACGATCCCTTTCTCGCTCTCTTTCTCGTCCTTCGGTAGAATCGGGATGCTCCACTAAACGCTTCGTTGTCTGGTCAGTTCTGCTGTTTCTCAATATTGGTTCCCTTGGCCAGCCAGACCAGGCAGGCAGAGAAGCAGGGTTCAAAGGGGGAGAAAGAAAAGAAGACAGTACCAAACGCGTCACCGCTACGCGAGATCTGACTTGATACAATACTCCCAGACGTTTTGTTCCCTTCAATCCGCTGGGTCTGTTGTATTTGGCGCACCCAAGAGAAGACAGGGTTCTTCTCCCTCCCCAAAACCTTGGGTGCCCGAACAGGCGAGAATAAACTATCATCGCTATTGTTGTAGCTCTCATTGCAACAGAAATCCTCGATATCCCCGACAGGAACAGGAACAGAAACCGAGGCAGGGACGGTAGCCTGCGACTGCTGCGGCTTCGTCGTCGCGGTGGGACTCGTGCCTATGTGGGTGGTCGTGTACTGCGTGGCGACCTTGGCGAGCAGTTCGTTCAGCAGTTCCTCTTCATCTGGAGTAAAGTCAGATCCGTAGTCGCTGCTGTTGTCAAAGGTGTTTTGCATTGGTATTCGAGATGTTGAGGCGCAGGGCATGATGGGAGGAATTAATTAGCAATTCGCAAGGTCTCGATACGCCAGACGTCATTCCGCGATGGAAATATCAACACTATGGACTCGTTGCATATTAACAGGATGACAACGTATTCTATTGCCTGGAAAAGGATGCTTAGGACTACGTTGTATACGATTATCGCTCCTAATTCACTCTACTTCCTAGAAACAATTCCATCCAAGAAATGAATTTCCATGCATCTAATTGATCGAGCAGTTGCACAAGATGCCAACGATGAACTTTTCAGAGCCAAAAAAGCTTTTTTAGGAAGGGAAAAGAGGAGATAGATAAAGGAATTACATTGCATGACAGTCATATTCCAAGCCACGAGAAAAGGATCACATCAAATCTCTCATAAACAGGATTGGAATCCCATTCACGATGCCGGGCTGCCGGTTGCTGTCCCCATTACTGCTGCCTGGAAAGGAAAAGGATCTGTTAGATATTCTGTTAAATGTCACTAGGTCGAGTACACATACCTTCGCATCTTTGTACAATGGAGAGATACCGGTCCAATGCGCAAACTGTGGGATTAAACATATTAGCTCGCACCCGGCTGAATACCAGTTTATTGTTCGAGGAATAATCTCACCTGATACATTCCCTGTCCTACAAGAGCCTCAAGACCAGGAATGGCCGTCCATCCAGCATCTGCTGCCAATTGCATCAACGGCGTTATGGAGGGCTTGTACGCCATTTCCAATAGCACACGGCCAGATTTATCACCGGGGCTCCTTCCCACCGCTACATCGTCTTGTTGAGCACGCTCGAATATGTGGCAGACGGTCTCGCGCGTGGCAGGATCGATCGGTTTGTCGCCTGGAATCGTTCCAATGGCCACATGCGGGATGGCTTGCATCTTGGTATGGTGGTCCACGATAATGATATTGTAGCTGGACGGGAACGTGGAGACCATGCCCTCGAGCTTGGAGGGGGTACGTCCCACGACATAGATGGGGGAATATCCCATGCTATGAAGAGAAAAGATAGCCGCGCGAGCTGTTCCACCCCCGCCGATCACAACGCCAGGCGCATTCCCACTCGAGCCGTAAACTCCAACATTGTGAAAGCATTGTACCATACCTTGCCAATCCGTATTATAGCCAACAAGTCGGGGAGTGTCACTGTGGTCCTTGGTCGCATGGACAGGAACGATTGTATTCACAGCACCAATGATCTCGGCTCCTGGAGAGATCTCGTCGAGGAGAGGCATAATGTCCAACTTTAATGGAATGGTCACCGATGCACCACCAAAATCTGGGGAACGAATAAACTCCTTCACGTTTGTGATGTTAGTGGTCTCCAGTCGACCGTATTTATGGGGCAATCCCATCTGTGAGAAGAGCGTGTTGTGAAGGGCTGGTGAACGAGACGCAGAGATAGGGGATCCGAAGACGGCAAACTTTTTCGGTGCAATCTGGCCCACCAGGGATAGGCCTTTGCGGATTTCAGTGGCCGAAAGTTGTCCTGGGGCTGCTTTGAAGGGTAGGCTTGGGTGAGAGACTGGGGTCATAAAACCATTCAAGATGCGGCTCAATTGGCCTTTGTTGCCCATGTTGATTGCAATCACTGGGACATCATGGGCTTCCTCGGCCCATTTCTTGAATCCCCTGAGGGAGGCATTATCGTCGAAATCCTTCGCAACACCTACAAGCTTTATCACGTCGCCATACTCTAGTGCCCTATTATAGTATTTTATCCAGGACATATTTACCCATGACAGGCTTCCTTTCGGGTCATGGTGTGAGGCGATAATCTTCGTATAACCCTTACTCTCGGTCACGGCGCGTAGTAGTTCGTCTGGGAATGTGATTTCAAGGTCAACGAATTCGCATCCTGACCGAATTGCAAGTTTATACAGCTGTCTCGCAGCATCATAGGCATCATCGGGGAAGCGACCTCCTTGTCCCTTTGTCCTGATGGTGAAAACTAACGGCAGTGCAACGCGGCTGCGCAGGAAAGAGATCTGCTCTGCCACATAATCCACAGACGGGATCTCATCGTCAGAGGACGGATCGCGCAGGAGATCCACCCGCAATTCAACAGCGTCAGATCCCACACAGACTTCCTTTAAAATGTCACTTGCTTCACGGATGTCGGGAAAGGTCAAAGAAACGAAGAAGGAGTGTTGCTTTTCCTTGATGATGCTAAGGCAGTCCAACTGTCCCGTAATAACCTGCAAGAAGCGAGTGAAGTCCTCTGAGGCCACTGAAACAGCGTCTGTTGAACTTGCCGGTTGGCTGAAGTATTGGAAGTTACTGCATTCCTGGAACCAGGGTTTCCGGCGAAGCCACACGCCCATCATATCTTCAACATAAGCTGGGCGGGTCTTGTCGATCTTCAAAAAGTCCATAACCTGACTAATGTCGCGCATCACAAGTAAGACATTGCCCTTGCTTTTGTGGTAATCTGAAAGTAACTTTCTGGCTTCTGGCATCTCAACCACTCCACCACCACAGGCGAAGACGAAGCCATTCGAGCGCTCTTTGATGGTACGTTGCAACAGTGCAAGTTCAGCGGCTCTGAAGCCTTGCCAGCCTTGTTGCTTGATAACCTCCGGAATGGCCATACCCTCGACTCTCTCAAGCTCATCATCCAGATCAACAAATGGTCGGTTCAAGGCCCTCGCCACCCACCGTCCTGTAGTGGTCTTCCCAGCTCCACGCATGCCAATGATGAAAATCGAAGCGCTGGCCTTATCAGCACAGGTGAGAGCAGTAGACCTTGTCGTTTCTTCCAATTCCTTGCCAACGAGTTTAACCGAGAACACCTGCTTCAAGGTGTCCCACCAACCTGGCCAGGTCTTGCCCACGCAGTCCTTCTCCAAAATTAAAGTGGGCTTGGGAGTGATGAGCGACAGGACGCTGAAGCTGAACGCGACTCGGTGGTCATCATAACAGAAGACACCAGCAGCTGGCTGCCAAAGGGCTGAACGATCCACTCCGTCTATCTCAAGACCGTCCTCATGTTCACGGCAGATGACGCCAAATTTGGCAAGCTCATCTTTCATGGCTTTGATTCGGTTGCATTCCTTAACACGCTGGTTTGCAATCCCATAAATACGAGTTGTATGATTTGATTCCGAGCCGCGGGCGACAGCTGCAAGAACGGAAGCCGTGAGGAACGCATCTGTCATAGGCTCCATGTCAACATTGGGAAGAGGTCTCAAGACACCATCAGCGGGACCGGTAACTGTAGTAGAGGTATCCGTCTGCTTGACATCACAGCCCATTGGCCTCAAGACGTCAACAGCAAAACGAGCATCACCCTGTAGAGATTTGGATCCAATATTTGGAACTGTGCAAGTTGTTCCAGTGATCGCTGCAATGGCCAGCGGGTATGTGGCGGAGCTGGCGTCGCTTTCCACAACATATTCGGGAGGATTGACATAATGGCCACGAGGGATGTGATAAGTATGTTCTTCTGTGGTCGACTTCTGCACGTTGATACCGAAAGACCTCATCATTTCCGTAGTCATATCGATATATGGCTGGGAAATAGGCTTCCCGCCCACAAGCCTTAGTGTCACAGGCTCCTTAGCATATGGAGCGCACATAAGCAATGAGGAAACGTATTGAGAGGACACTTTTGCCGCTAAATTGATATTTCCCCCAGCAAAGCCGCCAGAAGCAGCGATCTTGAGGGGTAAACTTCCTTGCTTTTCCACATACTCGATGTTGGCTCCATTTGCAACCAAGGCGTCAACAAGATCACCAATTGGTCTTTGCTTCATACGATTGTTGCCTGTAAGCACACTCGAATCCACACTGCTAGCGGTAGCCAGGGTAGCAACAGTGGTAAGGAACCTCGAGGCCGTACCGGCATTGCCGAGATACAGCGGTGTCGGGCTTGCTTCAAGTTTGCCCCCTTTTCCGTTCACGATAAGTATCTCTCCTTCATCTTCCCAAGAGAAGGTGGCAGCACCAAGTCGCTCCAGAGCATTCAGCATGACCTCTGTGTCATCGGAGTGTAAGAGGTTCTTGATGCGGCACGTACCAGAACCGAGAGCAGCGAGAACAAGAGCCCTGTTTGAAATGCTCTTCGAACCTGGAGGGATACAAGTAACGTCAAGTGCTTTCGGAGTACCCGGAATAACCTCAATGCTTGGTGCGAGGACAACTCTAATGTCCTCATTTGACACAACACTGGCCTTTGGCTCGTAAGGTTGACCGATGGCAGACAAAAGCACAACCTTCTTCTTTGGGCCATCATTCTTCTTATCCAAAGCCATGTTGAACATCAATTGATCAACAGAACAATGTTTTCCAGCAGTTAGCTGTCTCAGTCGCGTATCGTTCAATGAAGTGGGTAAGCCGTAGCTGGAGATACATTTGATCACCCGGGCCACGGCAACATCTTTCAAAATGCCTAGGTGCCTCGCAAGCTCAGCCTCTTTAACCATGCCAATTGCAACGCATTCACCGTGAAGGATCTGTGGAGTCAAAATAGCCTCGATGGCGTGACCGATGGAATGCCCCCAATTAAGGAGATTTCGGAGACCGCCTTCACGTTCGTCCGCAGATACAACGCTGGCCTTGTGGCGTGCTGAGGCCAGGATTCTCGCCTTCAGAATGTCACGAATCGCATCAAAACGGCGCTGGCCGGGTTTAGCCACGGCGTGAACGGCAGAAAGAATTGTATCCGCATTGTCCTCCAAGGCAGAAAATTCTTCCTCGCTTGAAATGGCAGCAGTTTTGATAACCTCAGCCATACCATTGATGAATTCCCTGACCGGCAATGTTTCCAAGAATTCGAGATCGATGTAAATCCTAGATGGTTGCCAGATAGCACCAATGAGATTCTTGCCCAGAGGAGTGTCAATAGCGGTCTTTCCACCAATCGAGGAGTCGACCATGGCCAGAAGGGTGGTAGGAACCTGTACGAAGCGAACGCCACGCATGTAGGTCGAGGCAACGAAACCAACAAGGTCTCCAATCACACCTCCACCCAAAGCAATCACCACAGTATCCCTACCACATGGCGGATTCTGACTCAACATCCAATCTTCAAGATCAGCCTTGGTTTGTCGTGATTTTGAGCTTTCCCCCGGAGGTATCTGGTTGACTAGAAGACGGGGAGAGGGGGACAAGGTGGCGGTGGCATCTTCGAAGGTCTTTTGGAAGCCCGGTATGTATATTGACCCAATGTTTGTATCTGTGATAAGAACATAGGTAGTTGACGGACAGCCGTGAACCAGGTCCTTCGCGATATAGTTTCGCCAGAGGCCAAAGTCGGCGATGATGCTCTCGGAGCCCAAGATGCGGATCTTGGTCGGTTCGGTCATTCTGAATAGAACCAATTGGGACTGATGAAGAAGGTAAAAATGAATTCAAGACCTCAATTGGTAGAGTCGGTTGCTGGACTCAATTCATTATGCTCCTGGCGCAGTTTCTAGCCAATTTTGTGAGTACGGCAATTCTTCTTAGCAGAAGGTGGGGAATTAACGGTTTAGGAGGGGAAGAGGGAGAAGGAGTTGAAGAAGGAAAGATCGACATACAGATGGATTGGCTTTATATACTGGCTGAGAATGGCAATGGTGAGTTCCGAAGCAGAGCAGGCAGTGAAGTTTCAATAGCTTCAATAATTGCAGTGATGACTCCTTCATCCAAGTCGGGAATTTCCTGACTCCGATATAGGACGCCTTTCTGCCGGAACACACCGCCTTGGTGTGAGAAGAGTCACCTGAGGAAGTATTCACCTACAAACGGAGTTTCTGGAAAGATGCACATGTACAAAAGTATTTTTTCTATTCTGAACAATGACACACATAATACAACAAGAATGTAGGTCATTTACCCTCAAACATCTTACTTATAGAAAGTCACTTGAACTAAACCTGAACACCTATCCTTTCCCATAATGCCCAGTAACCCTCATTCAGAGAACCAGTAGCAAAGAACATCAGGAAGATGACAAATTCGGAAACAAGACACTAGTAGCGACCATATCCTCCACTGTTCCTCGAGGAATAGTGATCGCGGCCACCGCCGCGATATCCCCCTCGATAATTACCGTCACCTCGACGATCGTAGGAACCACGGCGGTTGTGCTGTCCATGGTATTGACTAGGTTGGTTCGATTGCGTCTGATGAGAGGGCTGGTTAAAGTTTCCATACTGAGCGTGGGCCGATTGCGCATAGTATGCTCCTTGGCTATAGCCCGTACTTTGATACGCTTGTCCCTGAAGGTAGGCGGGACGGTAAGAATCGGTCGCTCCGCCGTGCGGCGGTGGCGGCGGCCCTCTGAAGAGTCCTGTAGCTCCAGGAACTGGGGGGGTCCAACCAGCTGGCATCATTGGAACACCGACATTAGCTGGAGGCATGAAATTAGGATCAAGATGAGCAGCGAAGGGGTTGGGTCGATCGGCAGTATAACTGATCCCACCGCTTCTATCGTTTCTACCGTTCCGGAATGGAACACCGCCAAAGGACCGGCCGGAATTTTGGGCTTTGGACTTAACCGCCTGGATGTCAGCTTGATCGAGAGCTGGTGGTGGAAATTTGACGCCTCGAAGAAGCATCGACTTGTGAACATGGCCAGATTTCGGAATCTCATAATTCACACTGCACGAATTCAGTCAGTAAATGGACGAGATATTGGCCATAGTGATAATAGAAAACGTACATAAGAGAATGGTCCTCGTCTAAAGACGGCATGCCATACTGCTCCAGTGACGACAGTAAGGAACTGTGCGGAATGTACATCTCGTTACGCTCAACCCTGCCCGCCAGTCCATCGCTGACACGCATATTCAATTTGTATTTAGGCGGTCCCGGCTTCTTGGAGTAAAAGTTTCCGGCCAAATCAGTGTAGAGCGGGTGTCGGTCGGACAGCAACAGTATCTCGTGGCCGACAGAATTTCGAATTTTCTCATCTTCAGTGAGGAGATGGTACTTCTTTTCCATGGCAGCCAAAAGTCGGTTTTCGTCAATAAAAGGCAGCAAGACAACGCCCTGCCAAGCAAACTTCTTGCCGTTCAAATCTACATCAAAATCCTCGGGGTAAAAATCAATAATCTCGCTATTCGGATCACTCATGAGCTCGTGAAAGACCTCGGGAAGAGCATGATTGGACGAGGCTGGCAGAACTCCCATTAACTGCTCGAAAGGCTTGAACGGTTTCCCTTTATCGAAGCGAATATCCATATCGCCAATATCGACAAAGTCTGCTGCGAAAGGAGCGTAATGATAAGGGTAGTACCAATTCCATGATGGGCAACCTTGCATATAATATAACATCACCCATGACAGACCTTCTGCATAGGCCCTCGCAACCTTGTGGCGAAAGCCAAGATTCTTGGGATCAACCCCAAATTTTTGCTCGTAATATCGATCAGCATAACCTGTTTCCCAAAGCCGAACTGTGTCGGTAGGAGGTTCGTCATCTTTGGCCGAAGGCGCTGGAGGGGCAGGAGAGTCCCGGCCGGGTGTTCCCGCTTCTCCAGTCTCATCTTCCACAGCATCCACTTTTCGTTTGCCGAGAGCTGATGGTGAGGTCTGTTCCAACTTGGCGCTGGAGGAGCCATCTTCATCTGCGGCTGGCAGTTCATTGTCTCCGTTTTGAACGTCATGGGAGCCCTTCAAGAGCTTGCTCTTCAAAATTTCAGCGGCGCTCTTGTTGGCCATGTTGGCTCTATAGACAGCTCCACGATTCACCACCAAACTGTGGGTGAGTTCTCTTGTTTGTCGTGATAACTCTCCTCTGCTAGGAGTAATGAGTTCCATGTCGCTGATATTAGGACCACTACCGGACCGATGGTTAGTGGGAGAATTATATGTAGGGGAGCTCCTCCTTCGTTTCCTGGCGCGCTCATCGCGGGCTTCTTGTTCCTGCTTTCTTCTCTTCTCATTCGCAAGTTTCCTTTCTTCCACCTGTCGCCGACGGCGGAAAATAGCATCCTCTTGCTTTGCAAGCCCTTCCAGGATGAGTTGTGCTTTCTTGAGATCAACGCGCCCATCCTTGGTCACATAGTCATCCATGATGGGGATATTATCACGCCAAATTGCAATAAGAGTGTCGATTCCGTTTTCGCGAATATCTAGCGATGGCAAGTGAGGAAGGAAGTCGTTTCCGACAAAAAAGCACATAAAAACCCAGTCATCTAAGGCTCTCTCTAGGTCAAATCGGAAAGGCTGTTGTGGAACGTAGAGCTCAGCGGCAAGGTATTCTCTCAGAACGGAAACGTGCAACCAGATAAATGGCTTTAGAGAAGTTCCTTTCCCTTTTTCGTCGAATTCGCCATTCTTTTCTTTTGCCTGGCCCCTACATTCCTCTGCCTTGTGGCCTGCCTGGCCACACAGGCGGCATGTTCTCGCTCGTGACTCCTGAAAGAAAACATCCTCACGGAGGACCCGGAAATGAGGTTCATGAGTCGCTAAACCCAACATGATCAGATCAGCATCCTAATAAGATCATATTAGCCTAATTCAGTGCCTCCCTCAAGATTTCACATATACCGACCAAACCATATATGACATGGCGCGTGTTAGGATCATGCTCGGGTGCTGCTCGTTGAGACCTGATGAATTCCATAATCTTGTGCTCCCCCTCCCCGGGGACCGTAGCATCTGAGATTATGATTTTGAGCTGTTTGAAGTTAGAACACAAGTTGGATAGATGGCATATTGGAGACATTACCTTTTCCCAAGCCGGATCTGTGTTGAGTTTATACGCAATCCAATAGCGCAGAGCTGCGGAAAGGATGTCCATGAAAGGAGTTCCTGGCGTAATGACGTTGCTATCCCATGTCTTCTGAACGACGTGCTCGTCTAGTTCCTGATCTGCCTTGCTACCATTCTGTTTTAAAAGCATCTTTCTGAATTCCTCCTTCTTCTCATCTGCTTCCCTAGCCTCCTGAGCCGAGCGGAAGCGGCGTGCACGTTGTTGATTCATTTTTGCGCGTGGAGCGACACCATCTAATTTGAGTAAAGAGTTAGTCCAAAGGTCATAGCTAGTTTCTCATTTCACCGAAGAGCGACGTACCGATGGCGATAAGGAGTAGTTTCCTCGGGCGAACCATGTTCACCACTCGTTCGGTATATTTGAATATCTCTAACATCATTTCCTGCTCGTTTGCTGGCGGAGGCTTTCCTTCCGGGTGTGTGCATGGATGGACAATGCCATTCATGTCCAAGTACAGGTTATCCATCTCCTCCCCATTCGGGTTCGGACGAGACATATCGACCGGAATTTCCTCTCCATTGATCTCGTACGGCTGCTCCTCAATGACCGAAGAGATTATCTTGGGGTATTTGTTAGATAGCCATCTGAACAGGGCCGGGACACCCATGATGGAAATGCGACGCCAGACAAAATGACGGAGTTATCGTGGTGTAGAACGCGTCGCTGAGAATGCAAGCGGCACAGCTGGAGAGAAACTGTACAGCAGCCTGTACAAATCCCAGATAAAAAAAAAAAAAGCGGCTGCCGATGAAACGAAGACCGCAAAACTCGCCGCTCTGAAAGTTGGGGTTCGCCGGGAGCAGCGAGCTTGAAGTCTCTGAGCAGATAAAGCGGCGTGGCTGATTAGCGGTTCCGCAACGTTTTAGCGGTGCTTGGCGGCCATAACTTATTATTATGATGCGTGGTCTGTACGGAGATGCGAATGCGAACAACTCATCTCTCAGGCCCTTCACTGCTTCCTGTCTCTCCATCCATTTTTCGTTCTCCATTCAATGTCTGCTAATCTCCACGCCAACGGCTGGCGATGACCATGAACTTACGGCTCACTACCATCTGCAATGTTTCGAATCCTCGAGTCTCAAGCCCCGGCCAAGCAAACGGCAACGGACACCATCAACACCTTGAGTAGTAGGCTTCAAAATGCGATGCTACTCGAAGATCGTCGGGCAGCAATACAAGGATTGAGGAGTTTTGCAAAAGGGTATCCGGCATCGGTCGCGTCTGGTGGGCTTCGAGCCTTGATCAGTAGCCTCCGTAACGACAGCGACGATGTGGACACTATCAAGGTGGTCTTGGAGACATTGTTGATGTTATTTGCTCCAGATGAGAACAGTGTTTGTCACCATCTGCTTGTGGTTGCTTCTGTTCTGCATGCTAACATAGTGATTTAGCCCGAAGCATCTGATGAGATAGCTCTGTGGCTGGCAGATGAATTTACTCAGGTATGGAGAGTGCCTACTGCGGTTGTCATGTACAAATTCAGCTAACATTTGGAAAGAGACAAGACAATATAACAACCCTTCTGGACCTCCTAGATTCCCGCGAATTCTACTCTCGTTTGTATTCTTTACAGCTCATGTCCCACATCTGTGCTGCCCGACCGGAACGTACACAGGAATGTATCTTTACGGCACCATTGGGGATATCCAGACTGGCCAGTGTACTGAGTGATTCTCGTGAGCCTGTTCGGAATGGTATGCTATTATTACGTTGATTTTACAGTCTCCAGGAGGGATCTTTTTACTAATAAGCACCGCTCGTTTTACAGAAGCGCTCCTCCTGCTTATTGCGTTGACCCCGTCGTCTGAGGAGATTCAGAAACTCGTTGCCTTTGAGAATGTTTTCGACCATATCTTCGCACTTATTGAAGCGGAAGGGTCTCTAGCCCACGGATCGGAAGTCGTCGAAGACTGTCTCTCATTGTTAGCCAATCTTTTACGGCTAAACATCTCCAACCAGTCTTACTTTCGCGAGACCGGCTATATAAAGGGGATAGCAAAACTCCTTGCAGATGGGAATGGGGAGCTGGAGGCAGATGAAACCATTCCACAATGGGCTCTTGCTCATCGGGATAAAAATCTGTGGGGTGTCTTCGCTATAGTCCAGCTGTTCCTAATCAGAGGTGGTATCAGCACTCCTGTCAACCAGATGGCCTTTTGGCAGAGTGGTGTTACGGAACAGGTCTTACGCACTGCCTTTGGCCAAAACTTCAATGTCAAAGTTACATCAAAGGTCCGTTAACTATTTGGCCTTTCTGAACTACAATGTTTTCAGCTGACAGTTTTGTTAGGCCTTGGAAACATGCGCAGACTTAATACGTGGGAATCCGCTATTGCAAGAGAAGTTTGGTGACATTGAAGTTCTTTGGGGTAGTGGGCCTCCTAGCGAACATGCTGCTAACGGTGCCAACGAACCGAATGACATACAAAGGATCAATGTTATTGAAGCACTGCTTAAGTTAACACTTGAGTCTTCCCCTATTCAGTTGCTAGATGCACGCCTTGCTGCATGCGAATGCATGAAAGCTTTCTTCGCAGACCACGCTGGCATCCGTACCCATGTTTTACGGAGAGCGATTGAAGGTCATCTAAGTGGACAAGATCAGATACCGAATATTCTGTCTGTCTTAGTCAGCCCACCGGAATTGCGAGGAAATGCTGACCCATATCAAACATGGATGGCCTCCGTTTTAATGCTCCATCTGCTTTTCGAGTACCCCGAAGGCAAAGCGATGGCCATGAAAGTAACTGAGGGAGATGCTGAGAGTGGCGAAGAGGTGGTCACTTGTGTTCAAGCCATAACCGGCAATCTGGTCACCGGAATGCAACGGGGTGATGATGAAAGGATATCTATTGGATATCTCATGTTACTCTGCAGCTGGCTGTTTGAAGATCCAGATGTCGTGAATGACTTTCTTGGAGAGGGGAGCAGTATCCAAAGTTTGCTGCAGGTCATTAAGCAGCGTGGTGCATCCAATGTACTTGTTCCTGGGCTTTGCACTGTGTTACTTGGCATCGTCTATGAGTTCTCTTCAAAAGATTCACCGATTTCGCGGGTAACCTTACACAAACTATTGATCGAGCAGCTCGGAAGAGAACAATACATCGACAAGATTAAAAGGTTAAGGAGCTCACACTGGATTCGCGATTATGAGGTTTTGCCACAGAAGTTGGGAGGACAGCATGATGGAGGCCTTCCGGAGGTATTCTTTGATAGAACATTCGTTGATTTTCTCAAGGATAACTTCAAACGTCTGATATGTGCTATTGATCGTGACCCTGGGCTTGAGATCTCCGTCGTTACCAATGGTATTCAAAAAGGCATATCACGCGAATTGGTTGACTCCTTACGCAGCCAACTCGAAGATCGGAACGAAATACTACAGAAATTGGAATCGGACGTGCTTGCTCTGCAACGTAAATTCGACCAGGAGGCTCTTGATCATAAGAAAACGAAAGAATCAACTGCTTTGGAACTGGCTAGGATTAAGCAGATAAACGAGGCTCTTCAAAGAAATCATGAGGAGGAACTAGCTAGGTTGGATGAATTACACAGACGCGCCAAGAACGATTTACTGAAGCAGCACGGCGAGCAGCTTCGGGCTATAGACAGCCAACTGAAAACCGTCTCGGCTGATTACGAGAAAAATGGCATCAAAGCCAGAGAGCGTCACGAGGCCGAGGTCGCTGACCTGAAGCAGACAATTCGAACACTGGAATCTGACCTTACTAGCTCCAGAGAGCAACATGCAGCTGAGGTTTCTAGCCTGAAGGAAACCGTCCATACTCTGCAGTTAGCTATCGTCAGTGCTAAGCAGGAACATAAGGCTGAGTCAACGGATCTGAAAAATACGATCCAGAATTTGAAGGTAAGCTTCGACAAGGCCAACGAGAAGTCTGTGCATGATCTTCAAGCGGTGCATGAAGAATATTCCGCCAAGTGCTCTACGCTAGAGAAGCGGGCCACAGAAGCAGAAAGCAAGACAGAAGGAACCCAGGCAACCCTGAAAGAGACCTCTGAAACTCTGAAGAAAGTTCAGGCAGAGCTGGAGAGAGTGCGGCTAGAGGCTAAGGCAAAGGAGGAATCCAGTAAAAAGGTCCAGGCAGAGCTGGATAAAGTCAAATCGGAAGTCAAGGAGAAAGAAGAGGCCCGCAAGACAGCTCAATCGGAACTCGAAGATCTCCTTATTGTATTCGGTGACTTGGAAGCTAAGAGACACCAAGACAAGGTAAGTTTCTGTCCACGGTTCAAAAGCAATGCATATAACAGTGGACTGACTGGGTACTTCCAGAAACGATTAAAGGATCTCGGTGAGGAAGTTTCTGAGGATGAAGATGAAGACGAAGATGAAGACGACGAAGATGAGGAAAAGGAAGTGGACTGAGATGATGATGAATAAATACATTCCAAAGAGGGTGTATTCCATGCATGACTTTGCATTACCTATGGGCTCTTTGAGTAGCTACCTTCAACCATGCACAGTTAAAAGTCGAGGCTGTAGCTAGTTGTATGCTGATACCCCAACTGCTAGTATAAATCCTTGTCTGATACCACGTTTATAACCCCAATTGGCAATGAATCCTCTCCGGGATGAAGAGCGTCGTAGCAAATCACTAGAATGCTCAACAGTGAGTCAATACAAAGCTGTGACACAACAAAGGGCAAATAAAAGTCGCTCGGCAAGTCTTGGCGGCGACAGAGAGGCGGGGTGACTCATCCAGCAGAGAGGGACAAGATAAAATCTTCCCCGCGGTCAAACCTCTGGAAGGTCTTAACACTCGCAGTCACGACTTCACGAACCAAAACTCCTTCCACCATGTCCATCGATTTCCCGGCCGAGGAGGGTGTTGTTCTCAACAGGTGGCGGGAAATCAACGCCTTTGGGAGACAAGTAGAGCTTTCTCGTGGCCGCAAACCGTACACTTTTTACGATGGTCCTCCGTTCGCGACGGGTCTCCCCCATTACGGGCATCTGCTGGCATCTACTATTAAAGATGTTATCCCGAGGTATTGGTCTATGAAGGGTTACTATGTTGAGAGACGATTTGGTTGGGATACCCACGGCGTCCCCATCGAGTATGAAATCGACAAGAAATTGGGCATGTCTGGTTTGGAGGCTGTCGAGAAGCTAGGCATTGCAAAATACAACGAGGAATGCAGGGCTATCGTTATGCGCTTTGCTTCAGAATGGCGTGAGACTATTGAGAGGCTTGGACGCTGGATTGATTTTGACAATGATTACAAGGTATGCGCTGAACAAGAAAGTGGCAGGAAATAAATTAAGTTGACTATCTCTGATTGCTGATCATTCCCCTCTGTCTCTAAATAGACGATGAACCCTTCCTTCATGGAATCGGTATGGTGGGTTTTCAAACAGCTCTTCGACAAGGGACTTGTCTACCGGGGTTACCGAGTCATGCCTTACTCGACCGCACTAAACACGCCACTGAGTAACTTCGAAGCCCAACAGAACTACAAAGATGTTCAAGATCCCGCGGTTGTCGTCACTTTCCCGTTGTTGGACGACCCGCAAACCTGCCTGCTTGCTTGGACTACTACGCCATGGACTTTGCCTTCCCACACTGGTCTTGCTGCCAACCCCGACTTCGAGTACGTCAAGATCCACGACGAGGCTTCAGGAAAGAACTACATCCTTCTCGAGTCGCTACTCAGAACTCTCTACAAGGACCCAAAGAAGGCCAAGTTCAAGATTGTGGACCGGATCAAGGGCTCCGATCTCAAGGGGCTGAGATATGAGCCTCTTTTCGATTACTTCTATGAACAGTTCAAAGACTCTGGTTTCCGTGTTTTGAACGCCTCCTACGTTACCGCTGATGATGGTGTGGGTCTTGTCCACCAGGCGCCTGCATTCGGTGAAGACGATTACAAGGTGGCTGTGGAGGCAGGAATTGTCACGGAAACCCGTCTTCCTCCCAACCCTATTGATGACAAGGGCTGCTTTACCTCCGAGGTCCGTGACTTTGCCGGCATGCATGTCAAGGCTGCCGACAGAGCTATCATTAAATATTTGAAGGGAACTGGTCGTTTGATTGTCGACAGCCAGATTACTCACAGTTATCCATTCTGCTGGAGGTCCGATACTCCCTTGATCTACCGTGCTGTGCCCGCCTGGTTTGTCAAGATCGGCCCCATTATTCCTCAGATGCTCCAGGGAATCGAAGAATCTCACTGGGTGCCGTCTTTTGTTAAGGACAGAAGGTTTGCTAGCTGGATCCAGAATGCAAGGGATTGGAACATCTCCAGAAACAGATTCTGGGGTACTCCCTTGCCACTATGGGTTAGTGATGACTTCAAAGAAGTTGTCGCTGTCGGCAGCGCCGAGGAACTCAAGAAGCTTAGTGGTTACGAAGGAGAAATCACAGATCTCCACCGCGACAAGGTCGACAACATTACGATTCCCAGTAAGCAAGGAAAGGGCGTCCTCCGCCGTGTCAGTGAGGTCTTTGACTGCTGGTTTGAGTCTGGAAGCATGCCCTATGCCTCTCAGCACTACCCCTTTGAAAATAAGGACGCCTTCGAAAACAGCTTCCCAGGAGACTTCATCGCTGAAGGATTGGACCAGACCCGTGGCTGGTTCTACACCCTGACTGTTTTGGGCGTGCACCTTTTCGGAAAGCTTCCCTTCAAGAACTGTGTTGTGAATGGTATCGTCCTTGCCGAGGACGGAAAGAAGATGTCGAAGAGGTTGAAGAACTATCCTGATCCCAACCTGATTATGCAAAAATATGGCTCAGATGCTCTCCGACTCTATTTGATCAATTCTCCCGTTGTCCGTGCTGAGCCGCTGAGATTCAAGGAATCCGGTGTCAAGGAAATTGTGGCAAAGGTCCTCCTTCCGCTATGGAACAGCTACAAGTTCTTTGAGGGTCAGGTTGCCCTTTTGAAGAAGATTCAAGGCGTCGATTATGTTTTTGACCCCAAGTTAGGAGCATCAAATACCAATGTCATGGACCGATGGATTTTGGCCAGCTGCCAGAGTCTTCTGAAATTTGTCAACCAGGAGATGGCCGGTTACCGTCTGTATACTGTTGTTCCTCGACTGCTTGAGCTGATTGACAACACGACAAATTGGTACATCCGATTTAACCGGAAGCGTTTGAAGGGTGAAAATGGTGTTGAAGATACTCTTCATGCCCTGAACACCCTTTTCGAAGTTCTTTTCACTCTAGTTAGAGGTCTTGCACCATTCACGCCATTCATCGCCGACACTATCTACCTGCGGCTCCTTCCACATATCCCTGAGGCCCTTCGTGCTGAGGACAGCCGAAGCGTGCACTTCCTTTCCTTCCCTGAGGTTCGGGAGGAGCTGTTCGATGAGGTTGTCGAAAGACGGGTGTCGCGGATGCAAAGGGTGATCGAACTCACTCGTATCTCTCGAGAGCGTCGTACTATTGGTTCAAGGACTCCGCTGAAGACCCTAGTTGTGATCCACCAGGACCAGCAATACTTGGATGATGTTAAGTCGTTGGAGCGCTATATTCTCGAGGAACTGAACGTGCACGAGCTTATCTTGTCGTCCGACGAGGCTAAGTACAACGTTCAATACCGGGCCACAGCTGACTGGCCCACTCTGGGGAAGAAGTTGAAAAAGGAGGTGCAGAAGGTCAAGAAAGCTCTGCCCTCGTTATCCAGCGATGACGTGAAGAGATATGTCGCCGAGAGGAAGATTATGGTGGCTGGAATTGAGCTAGTTGAAGGCGACCTAGTGGTCAAGCGAGGTCTGAAAGAGGATGATGCAGCCTCCAGGGGCATGGAGACGAACACCGACGAAGACGTTTTGACTATTCTCGATGTAACCTTATACCCCGAACTGGCCCACGAAGGTTTAGCTCGGGAGGTCATCAACCGGATTCAACGTCTCCGTAAGAAGGCCGGTTTAGTTCCCACAGACGACGTGAAAATGGAGTACACAGTCCTCTCTGACCCTGAGGACGTTGGCCTTGCAGGGGCCTTTGAGTCCCAGGCAAAAACCATCGAGAAGGCCGTACGCAGACCCGTTGATAAGGTGGCTGCCGAAGAGAAGGTTAATGAGGAGGACCTCATTATACAGGAGGAGCAAGAGGTCCAGAAGGCAACATTCCTGCTCAGATTCCTCAAGCTGTAGTTGCTTTTGTTTCTTAAGATTCAAAAGAGAGAACATGCTTGCTAGCCTTTGTAGATAGAATGCTACTTCCCTAGACATGCGTCTTTATGAAAAGGATGTGGCATTACAAACACTGCTTTCTTATTAAGTTACAAAGTACTAATTGGAAATTCTCCTGGTCTTGGGCCTCCTAAATCTTCTTCGATGCGGCCTGCATTGCCTCATCGTTAGTTACTCCATTGAATACACAGTTTTTTTCGGAGGCAGTACCAGAAAACAATTCTTGAGCTTCATAAACTCATTCACACACATATCCTTGTGCACCCCATTATAGTCAGCAACGACGCATTTTCCATACGCAGCAGCCTAAGGTTGAACGTAGTTAACAATCAGTTGAATATCCCATCAAAGGATGAGGAATGGGATATAGACCTCTGCAGAGCACTGTGCCGTGGCCCTTGCAAATTTTTCGATAGGCCTCGTTTTTGTCGGCATTATTAGACTGGCCTAGGCTTGACAGTTCCCTAGCAGACGTTCGATGCAGCAGCAGGTTCTCCAGAAGATTGCCTTGAAAACCTCCACGGCCTCCCGACACAACGATTACATAATTACAATACTAATCACGTGTTGGATCACCCAGGCGATACGGTGCGAACACGAACCGCAAAATATTGGACAACTTACTCGAGTGAGGGTGGATAGGCATGGCTCTACTGTGACAGAGAGGCCAATTTCCCTCTTGGGTTCTTAATTTGGATGCAGAGACTCATTATAGTCTGCGATTATATTGACTCTCTCACCAGCCCACTCGAAATGATTGTTTTCAATTTCCGCATCTATGACCCATCTGCGAAGAACGCGCCGTAGGTCGCGAGATTTTCGATGCCTCCGATCCCCTCTCAGCGTGGAGTCACATCCTACGAGAGCCTGCATCTCTCAGACGAAGGTGTGTGCTGATTTTAATTAATTAAAGACATCTTTTCCTGCACCGGAGAACTGTGCTTATGTTTCGTATTTGTTTGGGCTTTTAGATATTGGTTTCCTCTATGAAATCGTCACCCGTGCCGAACGAAATTCCGAAGTTGAGCGACTCCCGTTTCGGGCTCTTTTTGCAGCATACGATGAGGTTGTTGCAGAACATGGCGTCGACCCAGATGAGGGTCAGGCGTACTTGCGCTTCCTGTTCAAGATGGGGCCCAAGGGCCTCCAGGGCGAGTCCCTGTTGGACAGGTTCAATAATGTCCTCCATGAAATGGGGATAATTGTGGAGTTAGTTGATGACGATGATGACGACCATGGTGATAGCAGTCGTATCATGTCCCATAAGCATCATGAGGATTCAGCGGGCGTTGACGATTGGCGCGGTCGAAGTGTGAACCACGTGAATCATGTCAACCGCGAGCAGGTCTCAAGGCAAGAGGATACGACGCAACAAATTCCGCGGAGACGGGCCTCCTTCAATTCGATGTACGATGTTGGTGAAGATATCACTCAGCGGAGTTTCGCAAATCGCCCCAGTTCGCGCTCTTCAATGTCCCGGCTGCAGGTGGGGAAGACTGAGTTTCCAGAGACAAAATCGCACTCGAAGAAAGGCAGTGCTAGACGGTCGGGCTCCCCAGATAGGACTCAATTACTTGCGCAGTTTCTAGAAGCTGGACGCCTCCTTATGAACAGGCTTCATTCACTAAAGCAGAAAAATCGAGAGCCGGAAGGTCGCCTCCCCAATGGCCATCTTTCGGAATCCGATATGGAACGGACTAAAATGGAACGGGTTATCCCTTCTTGGAAAAAACATGAATTAAATTCATCTTCGGGCTCTGAAGAATCTGAAGAGTCATCCGTGTCTGAAGGCAACGATGAGAATGAGGATCTTGAAAAATACGAAGCTCCTCCTGAGCTGCTATATAGACCATCCATTTCGGACTTACTTCGTGACGCATCAACCTTCAACATGTATCGTCAACGTGCAATAAGTCGCCGTATTCTCACTCAATGGCTGAAGAAGGCGGTACAGACACGACAGAGTCATCAAAACATGGAGGTTGTTGCTGTCAACCGGGATAGGAATACTCTTATCCGTCAGGCTTTTGACACCTGGCGCTCAATATACCTGGGAAGGCGACAGGAAGCTAGGACGGAACGATTTTTCAAACATCTAGAGGAACGTGCTGCGCGGGCCCGAGATTTATATCTGATGACCAAAGCGTTTACGCACTGGGCACAGATCGCATCTGATGAAGTTGCTAAAACTTCTGCTGCACGGCGACATATTTTGGGAGTTAAGTATTTTAACGCTTGGAGAGAAATAACCGCTGTCAATGAATTAAAGTCTCAACGTTTCTCATTGCGGAGGCCGTTCTATTCTTGGAGGAAGAAAGTTGACCAGATCAAAGCCATCGAGGTGGAGGCAGTCACTGTTTATGAGAAGAATCTGTTGCACTCTACCTATTGGCAATGGTTTTGGACATTTTGCGACCGACGCGCACCGCAGTGGTATGAATGGTGCCTGAAGCGACGCTCTCTTATTTTCTGGCTTCGGGGTTTCCGAACCAACAGGGAACGCATTCATGAGATCGATGCCGATAATAAACGTCAGCTGCTTGGATCAGCGTTACAAAACTGGTCTCAGAAGTCTGAAGCTATTATTTCCGCTGAACGTGAGGCAGAATCCTTGTGGCGCCAACGTCTTTTGAGAAAGACGTTCGATGAATGGAGGGTACAATCACGCCTAGCGCCTGCTGCCTCTCGCGTGTTCAATATGGTTAACGGGAGAATTCTTCGAACTGCATACACGCAATGGGTATCGCGTGTCCAGATGCTTAAACAGGCAAGGGAATTGGACCGGCACAGGCTTCTTCGCAACACCTGGACTACATGGAACGATCTCCTCCGTTGTCAGGCCTTGAATGCGCGGATAGAAGAGAGACTGAAGTTAGAGACGATGTATAAATGGGTCCTCGCGGAAAGATTTCGACTTATGCAGCGGATTCGAGATAGACGAGTCACTCGTGAGGCCTTTGCTAAATTTATGGCTAATACCAGTGGGACGTACTCTCAACTACTCAACCGCGCAGATGTCTACGAAGATCGCTGGAATGAGGAGCTACTCCGATCTAAACTTGCGTGCTGGCGGGACCGGCTTGCTGTTCAGCGCCAACGGGAATATGCGGCTTTTGAATTCTATGCAGGGCGGCTCGAGGAAGAATCTCTTGCAGTCTGGGGTTCCAAGCATCAAAATGCGATGAAGCTCGAAGCACGGGCTCGAGATGCTCGTTTCTATTTCCTCGCTACAAGGACATTTAAACAGTTGTATGTGAAGAGAGTAGAGTCCGCTAAACGCCGCCGTCAGGATGCATATGCCACGGTCAGAAGGGGAATCAAGATCAGAATCGTTTCTAATGCCCTTGCGAAGTGGGAAGGAAAGTCAGTACATGTAGCAGACATGGATCAACAGGCTCTGCAGTTCCATCGGAATAAGAGTCTGAAAATCGCATCGAAGCTCGTTGTTCGCTGGCGAGAAAGGACTGCGAAGAAGGTGAAATTGGTTCACGAAGCTGACGGATATTACTTCCGCCAAATTGCCTATAACCAGTTGGTACGCTGGGTAGACCGCTTCTCTCAAATTCACAACCTGGAAGGCCATTCGGACCAGCTGCACCTCCTGCGGTCTCTGAACAACGCCGGCGCCCAGCTCCGCAAGCTTAGTCTACGCATATTCCAAATCAATACCAGAATCGAGACCGCCGATGCTCTGAGGGAGAGAAACTTGAAAAAGAATTCAAGGGGCATATTACGCTATTGGCTAGAGAAGGCAAGGACCGCCATCGTCTCTCGAGGTTCTCCAGGACCTGCGTTGGACTCAACGGACCCTGGTATTCCCGACATCAATGGAATTAGCCAACCAATTTTCCCTCCCCCATATCTGGATGAGTCTCCTTTCAAATTCAGTGAACTCCTGTCTACATCCCCAAGTCCCGGGGGCCGCCCATTAACGACACCGAATCGATTGACATCGCCCTCGAGACGAGCAGCACGGGTGAGAGAGTTAGCCCAGATATCCACCACACCGAGCACGCCGTTGTACACACCTTTCGCAGGACGGATATTCCGGTCTGATACAGGACCTGCCAAGGCCTCATCGATACGGGGGCGTCGTACTCCGAGAAGCCTGCCGCCAAATAGTGTTCGATTTGTGGATGAGGAGCCCGAGTCGCCCGAGTCGCCCACAGAGGGCAGACGATCATCAAGCAGGAGGACATAATAAGAAAATGTGGATCTGTGCACTTGTTGGATTGGCAACGATGCTTTCGTTCACCTTCTGCACCGGGTTTGGTTTTAGGCGTTTTCTGTTGGATTATTCTTGGATATAATATTCATGATTTTTGTTCCAGCGGCATTGAAGTGAGCTTGGAAATGAGTTATGTTGACTAGAAATGTATTTTTTTCATGACCTATATTGTCATAGTGAGCGTTTTGTTAGTTGAAAGTAGATCATCCGTGCTGTCTCGGACGTGGCCGTGCGGTAGACAGATGATCGGCGGAGATGATGCTCCAAGTCACACGCGGATGTAGATTGGACTCGCATCGGCTCCAACACTTCTGCAGCTATCTCGTCGTCAACCAACTACCGACATTGAATCTGGCGTTATCTTCATTTGTTTCAATTAGAACCTCTGCCCTGGCCATGGTGTAATATTGTCTTTCGCGCAATAAGCGTCTCCACGATACGACCGCATACATGCGAGCGGTGCTTCCGGGGAGACCCCCAGCGAAACTCCAGTCTTTCAGCGCTGCGCTGTGGGATGGTCGTCGCATTGTTGTAAGGAACAATTTTATTCGTTTCTTTTCTTTGATTCTGCAAAATGCTTGCTGTTTAGCACGATGGTCTGACGTTGCTCTCTTGCGCGCGTCGCTTTCTTTAGGCATACATCTCCGGCCATGCACTCGTCATCCTGAGCGGTCCGCAGAAGCTTTTACAAACGATCTACGTTGACGAAACCGATAATCTTGAGGCTGTAACAATTGATGAAACTACCGGCAAGATTGCCGTATGTGGAGGGTCTGATGTTTTCATTTACGAGCCGTACGGGGTTAAGGATGAGACGTTAAATGTCCGTAAGGGATCCTGAGTTTTTGCTTGATCGAAACGGAAAGGAAATGGGCCAATTGAGGGATAGAATTGCTGACATATGGAGGGACACAGTGGTCACTTGCGCATACCTTTCGCCAAAATGATGATAACGAACCGATCCGCACACTGTCATGGAGTTCCCCGGACGAGTTGCTCTTGGGCAACTCCCATCTCACCCTTTGGTCTCTGAACGATACGCTTCGGTGCATATGGAAACAGAAACTGGCAAATCCGGTTAAGTTTGCTCAATTCTCCCCTGATGGGGCTTTGGTGGTTACCACTGGGCTTTATGACCGATTGGTGAAAGTATGGCGTCGGCTCGCCTTTATTGACGAGGATGTTCGGTTCGAAGTATCGTACCTTCCGCATCCAGCGATTGTTACCGGATTATATTGGCGCAAGCCGTATCATCGAGAGCAATCGATGGATAACGTTCTATATACGCTGTGTGCGGATGATAGGATCAGGGTATGGACGGTAACGGAGCATCATGCTCTGGCTCCTCTACACTTATGGAAGGAGATCGACATGGATGCATCCGTCCAACCAAGGTATGCGGTGAATACGAAAAGAGGGCCACGACGGTACGGGTTCTTCTTAGATAGTCGCGACTTCTGTGGCGCAGTAGAGCGGGCGGTGCAGAGAAGCAGCGGTAAGAAGGAGAGCCATGGCTTAATGCACGTCATCGAAGTTGCGAACAAAAGCCCGGAAATCTGCATGGTTATGAATGGGCAGGGAAACATGTCTGCTTGGGGTCTTGAGGACGTCGGTTGCAAGGACAGGTCTGAGTTGAACACCTTCAACATACTTCATGTTGAAGACGTGAACTTTTCCTTCATACCAGAAATGTCTTCTGAAGAAGACTACGCTCGAATATGCGCATTCCAGAAATCACCGTTAGATGATACAATCAGCATCTTGGTACACCACTTTGATGGCAGAATTGAGTGGTTCGACTCGAAAGTCGACGTTTTATTCGATCCATCACCACGCAAGAACCGCATTGGTTTGAAATCAACCTGGGGAGGGCATAGTAAGCCGATCAAGAAAATCGTGCGCAATGCCGTTGGAGACTCTCTTGTTTCGCGCACCAACGACAATAATGCTATGATCTGGCGACAAACGCACAGAGACGGGAAGTTGGTGCTCGTTCGCAGGAGCTCCTTATTCTCCAATGAACATATCCATCGTACCTTCATCATCGGAAATGGAGACTTCTTGGTCAACCTTCATCATGACCATATCTCGCTATGGGACGTCCGTTCGTTTCATGCCAAGAGGCTTGCCGTATCAACGTTCCGACTTTCAAGTAAACCGCTCTGTGTCCTTCAGGTACCCACAGTAAACATGGATGAAGACGAAAACGTGGTGTACATAGCAACTATCGGTGCCGATATGAATGGAATAGCCTGGGAGGCAGTATTGCCGACAAATAACAGCCAGGTCTATACTAACGGACATACTGCCAACAGCCATCTCCGAGAATTCTGCACTTTCGATTTGGGTATTGAGGAAGACATCTCTTACGTCTTACCTGTCGACCCTGCAGGTCCTAGAATCCAAATTTCTGGGTTTTTTGACGTCTTTGCGACCGATATCGCGCTCACTTATACTCACAGCGGTATCATTAGAACCTGGACAGCAAAGGTCGACCAAGAGAACAGAAAGATTCACTGGCTATTGACTTCAACGGTCGAAACTGGCATTGTGAATCCTTCTCTGGCCAGTGGGAGCTCCATTCGAAAGGCTGCCCTTGTGGACCAGGACCGGTCTCGTCTAACGATATGGGATACAACCGGTGCTCAGTTGGAGTTTGAACAGCATTTCTCCCAGCAGGACGTCATCCGTGACCTTGATTGGACGTCTACGCCAGACATGCAATCGATCCTAGCTGTCGGGTTCCCGCACAAGGTCATCCTTCTCTCTCAGCTTCGTTACGACTACCTGGACGCTCGTCCGTCATGGACTCAAGTTCAAGAGATTCGAATTCGTGATTTCACATCCCACCCAATTGGAGATTCGTGCTGGCTCAGCCATGGACATCTCGTCGTTGGTGCTGGGAATCAGCTTTTCGTGTACGATAAGCAGATTGAGATTAGCAATCGTCTCGTCTCTGAACTTCGCATCCCATCTCACGGTATGCCGACTGTCGATCTTTTTGAGGTAGTAAATCGGTTGAATGGACCGCTACCTGTGTTCCATCCTCAATTTCTGGCGCAATGTATCCTCAGTGGAAAGACAAACTTAGTACACTCTATCTTAATGACCCTTCATCGGAAACTCAAGTTCTATACAGAAGGCGACGAGCTTGACGGTTTTCTGGGGATGCCTCTGGAAGACTTTTATGAGGAACAAGATGTGGGTGTCTTTCCCTCTTTTACTCTTGAGGTTACCCAATTGACTTGCGGTTATAGGTTCCTCAAAGGGCGGCAGCACCATCGAAAGAAATGCAATCCACATATGCCGGCTTTCTAGTTGACGAAGAGTCTCATTTCTTAGAAGAGAGCACGGCCACAGTGCTCAATGAAAACTTGCTCCGTATTGCTTTGCCACAACTGTCCAGCCAGGAACAGTTTCGTTTGGCTGACACTATTGAATGCGTGGCTACTGTCGAGAAACATCGGCGATCGATGGATACCAATGCTGCACGCTATCTACTCTTCTTCCGCCAGCACATGCTTCGACGAAGCCAAGGTGTTGCCAATAAGGACAGGGTCTCCTGGAGAGAAATCGTCTGGGCCTTCCATAGTGAAAGTCAAGATATCCTTACTGATCTCGTGTCGAGGCTCTTCAATGGTAAGATGCTTTGGAAGTCGGCTAGAGAGAGTGGTATATTCATGTGGTTGTCTGATCTGACTGCGCTTGTGAGTACAGCTTTTTTTTTTCATGCTGTTTTGTCTTCCAGTGGAAGGGATATTGGAGCTAATACATGAAACTCAGAGGACTCAACTGGAAGTTATTGCTCGAAATGAATACACGAAAACGGATGAAAAGAATCCTATTGACTGCTCGCTATATTATTTTGCGCTTAGGAAGAAAAACGTCGTGCAAGGGCTCTGGCGTATGGCTCATTGGAACCGGGAACAGGCACCTACCCAGCGTTTACTGTCAAATGACTTCCAACAAGCCCGATGGAAGACAGCGGCGCTCAAAAATGCGTACGCTCTGCTCGGAAAACGGAGATTTGGTTAGTTGTTGCCTTTGTATTAGCTGTTTATCTTGCTAACCGCCATGTAGAGTACGCTGCGTCTTTCTTCCTCCTCGCTGATCATCTTCGTGATGCTGTCCAAGTTTGCCTAAACCAGCTTAATGACGCCCAACTTGCAATCGCTATTACGAGAGTGTATGAAGGGGATGATGGCCCGGTGCTGAGAGAGATTTTGGAAGAGAGGGTTCTGCCAGAAGCCGCTGCCGGCGGAAACAGATGGATGGCTTCATGGGCGTTCTGGATGCTGAAACGTCGGGACGCGGCTGTCCGTTCCTTAGTTGTGGGCATCCCTCGTCCTGCGCAGTGCTATATTTTCAGCTGGAAAAAGCTAACATACTCTATAGTCCCCCATTGAATCCCTTATTTCTCCACAACTAACCTCCCCTGGTAGCCCTGGACAGATCAAACTGCAGGCCAAATCGTATCTGTCCAACGACCCAGCCCTTGTGGTGTTGTACAAGCAACTCCGTGCAAAGACTCTCCAGACATTAAAGGGTGCCTCGCAAGTCCCTGCCCTGGCAGAATGGAATTTCATTCTTCGCAACGCTCGTCTTTACGACCGAATGGGCTGCGATCTCTTAGCCCTCGATCTTGTGCGACACTGGGAGTTTCTCCGTGAGCCAATTCCTTCAAAGGATATCACTGCTGCATTTCAGGAGAATAGAAACGGGGTTGACTATCGGAAACTGCTCCGGCGTCGTAGCAGCCTCGTCGTAGCAGATATGCCAATTAGGCCTGGACATGAGACTACGTCGAAACCAAAACCTCCACCTACCATGTTTCATGAACCAGATGCTAATTCTTTGCTGGATAGTTTTGGGTTTTAAAAAAAAAAAATTGGATTTCTTTTTTGACGAGGCGTTTATATTGGGCATTGAAATGTGCTGGATGTGTGTCTATGTGGAACTAGTTTATCTTTTTTTTTTTTTTTTTTTTTTTTCATGCTCTGTGTATTTATAGTACGGAATGGATGTGCTACTATACTGGAATTAGTCTATTAAACATATGGACAACATATGGACAATTCTTCTATGTCTGTTGTTATCCTGGAGTTTACTCTTCCAGGGTTTCTCGGGCAGTTCTAAAGCCCGAGCTTCGCAAACTCAAAACTTAAAAAACCCCGGGCATCTCTGCACTTCTCTTGAAAGTTTCCCAGTGGACATTTAAACATCCCGAATTACGTATTCACATTCTTCAGCTGCTGCAAGAGGCATGTTTGCTGGTTGAGCACCACGATGCCCAAGCTGGAGCGAGCTACTGCGACGTCGCTGCCGACTCCAAAGTCGCAGCGGGTGCTGGCGTGCGTCCTGTGTCAGCAGCGCAAGGTCAAATGTGACCGCAAATTCCCCTGTGCCAATTGTGCCAGAGCCCGGGTGCAGTGCATTCCGGCATCCCCGATCCAACGCCGTCGCAGGTTTCCTGAGCGCGAGCTGCTGGAGCGTCTTCGGCACTACGAGGGTTTGCTTCGACAGCACAATATCAAATTCAATCCCCTCCATGGAGACACGCCAGCTGCGAAAAGGGAGCCTCCAAAGGCAAAGGCAGGAGTAGCCACGGGGGCTGGCAAGGGCGAACCCCTCTACGAGGCCAAGTATGCGCGTGTTCTTCTAGAAAGGATCCTTCATAGTTGTTCGAGATGGCTGGCTGATTAACCCCCAGGAACATCTGGGATGCCATGAACCCAAGGACACAACCAGATCCTAAGGATGACGACGATGATGGAAGCAATTCCTCGCACGAATGGGATGAACTGAGTGAGCCCGTGGCCAAGAAGGCGTGGGATCAGTTTGAAAGCAACCACCACCTTCTCTTCAGCTCTCGCAAGACAGCCGTCGATCTGTCTGCACTGCATCCAGAACAGGTCAAGATCTTCAAACTCTGGCAGATTTACCTGGAAAATGTCGACCCGCTGCTCAAGGTCACTCACACTCCGACTCTGCAGGATCGCATAATCGACGCCGCGAGCAACATGGCGAACATTAAACCGCCCCTGGAGGCCCTCATGTTCAGCATCTATTGCATGTCAATTGTGAGCCTTGTGGAGGAAGACTGCCGTGCCATTTTTGGCGTACCAAAAAGGGATCTTCTGGCCAAATACCACTTTGGCTGTCAGCAGGCCCTTCTGAATTGCGAATTCCTCCGGTCTCAAGATCGTGAGTGTTTGACCGCGTCGTATCTATATCTAGTAAGTTCGTCTATCTGTTTGCTATTGCTATTTGTTATTCGGACCTACCTGACATTTTAGGTCTCTGTCAGACCCTATACAGACCCCCAGTCTCTCTCGTCCATGCTTGGTCTTGCGATCCGTATTGCGCGGCGAATGGGCCTTCACAGCGAGGCAGCGAATTCCAAATGCGGTGCTATCGAGGCCGAAATGCGTCGAAGGCTCTGGTGGTCCCTCATCCTTTTCGACTCTCGCATTTGCGAGACGGCGATCTACAAGGCCGAGATGCTGGTTCCTACCTGGGACTGCAGCACTCCGCTCAACGTTAATGATTTTGATCTACAACCGGAGATGAAGGATCCCCCAGCGGTATGGGGGAAATCTAATACTACGGAGGCCATCTTTGCCGTAATGCGGAGCGAGATAGGCGAGTTCACCCGCCACAGCGCGTTCCACCTCGACTTCATCAATCCGGCTTTGAAGAAAATTGCCAAGGATGTCCAGAATGGCCCCATTCCGGAGGGTGGTGAGCTGGTCAAGCTGGAGAAGATGATTGAGGATCGCTATCTCAAATTCTGTAACCCAGAGAACTCACTCCACTTCATGACGATCTGGTCAGCGCGAAGTCTCCTGGCTAAAAACCATCTCATTGAACACTATTCACGGGTCTCAATGCCAACGTCATCATCCATGGAGCAGAAGACAGGTGCGCGGTGCGATGCTGCCACTTCCTATGCGCTGAGCATGGTCGAGAGCGATACGAAGCTCATGACTTCCCCGCTGACGAAACGATATCGCTGGTTCATTGAGCTCCATTTCCCATTTCCTGCATATGTTCACGTCTTCCAAGAGTTAAGAAAACGACCCGTCCGGGACAACACTCGACAGATCTGGGAAATTATGAGCGGTAACTGCAAGGCCCGCGGCATGTTTTCGGACCCAGACGATAATTCTCCTACGACTAGTAACAATCCATTCTTTAAAGTCCTTTCCAAAATGGTCCTCCAGGCCTGGGAAGCATGTGAGATCGCATATAACCAAGCGGGAAAGCCAGCCGTGCCGCCGCGGATTGTTTCAGAAGTCCAACAGAAAGTAGCGCAAACGACTCAGACTTGTGCGCGAAAGCAAAGTGCCAATAATAATATTATTATAGAAGGGGAACAAGCCGATGGTGGTGATGATAATAATAAGAATAAGAGTAACAATAATATTTGTGGCATGGGTATTTTGGACGACTTTTCGATATCTATGGACTTTGAAGGGCTGGAGGCATACCCTAGCCTGTCTGTACCGGACATGGACATTGACGGGAACCAGCTGGATTGGGACACGATAATGAACTGGCATCCGGTCGGACGCATGGAGTAAATTAATGTCGGTGATGACAGACGATCTCAAAGTCTATTTTCTCGTTCAGATAAAAGGTGTCTCTGGTTGGTCTGCAATGCTGCAAGATGCTGTAAGGCGTGTGTTTGACATGGATGACTATAAATAACACTTGTTATCGTCCCAGTTGGATATATTCATGGATTTCTTCTTTGTTTTTATCCAGACTTGATTCCAGTGGCATTCATATGCTAAAAGAATCTACAGGCTGCAGCGAGATTGTGAAAATGGACCCAATAAAGCACCACATCGTCTTCCTCCAAGCGGCCTTCTGCAAGGTGCCCGATTTCCAACTCCCTCCATCGCACTCCTACACCAAGGCTGTGTACGATGTTACTTCGCTCGCGGACCTCCATGCGCGCGTACACAGTGCAACAATCCTAGTCTTTTCCGCCATCAAGATCGACGCAGTAACCCTCTCGCCCGAGGTGACGCCGTACTTGAAATACATCGTGATCGTAGCGACAGGCACGGACTGCGTTGATCTGGACGCGTGCAGGGCGCGCGGGATCCTCGTGAGCAATTGTCCCAATGCAAACGTGGAATCAGTCTCTGAACATGCGCTTGGGATGTATTTTACGATTAGACGGAGGATGCTGGAGATGCGCAGTCTTACGATGCGCGGCGAGTGGCCCAGGCGGGGCACGTTAATGTTTGATATGCTGGATCGTCAGGGACAGCCTCCGTTGACGTGTCAGGAGGAGGTTGTTGGGATTCTGGGATATGGGGCTGTGGGTGGGTTTGAGGTCTTTCATATCCATCTACTTGAGAATAAAGGCTGACATGTCAGGTAGGAAAACGAATCGCTACAATTGCACGCGCAGTAGGCATGAAGGTCCTGATCTCAGGAAGGAAGAATGATGCCAATGGGACCAGCCCGCCTGGCAATGGCAACAGCAATGGAGACGGAAATGAGCAGCGCGTGCCATTCGAACACATAATCAAGACATGCACTGTCATCTTCATAGCAGTGCCGCTGACTGACTCCACGCGCCATCTCATATCGACGCCTGAATTGGAGAAGATGCCGCAACAGTCCATCCTGGTGAATGTGTCTCGCGGGGGAGTGGTGGATGAAGAAGCTCTCGTCGCTGCCCTGAAGGAAAACAGAATCGCCGGAGCAGCAATGGACGTGTTTCGCGAGGAGCCCGCTGGACCGGAGAATTCACCGTTGCTCGCGGAGGGGACGAAGGATCTCAATCTGCTGGTTACTCCGCATCTGGCGTGGTTAGCGGGGATTACATGGACAATTCAGTCTCAGATTCTGAAGGAGAATATAGAGCAGTGGGCGGCGGGGAGGCAGCCGAATGTCGTAGTGTAGAACAAGCAGCAATTGTATACATGTCCGATGTCTGATAGAATGAAAGTAGAAATTCGGTCATCCCCGATCTGCTTAGTCATGCTTATCGCGATGGTTAGTTAACTAGTTAATAATACTTCAAGACAAACACAACGTCCTCTCCCTTGCGGGGCTTTCTTTTGCTCTTTTGTCCTATTCGAACACCATGGACAGACGCTGTTCCTAGTTCGCAACTTCGAGACTGGTGCTGTTGAGTACTGACCAGAGCATGGCGGGATACCAAACCATCGCCATGGAAGGCCAAGACGCTTCCAGAGACAGACGTCACTCGCCTCCATCCGACTCTTCTTCAGCTAATCCGGGCAGAGTGACGGACAACTCTTATGCTGCTTATGAGGATCGCGCTAGATTTACTGAAAGATACACCATGGGACGACGGCCTGCGACATCCGCTCAGAGTTTCACGCCGCGATCTCTCATCGTCGGCCTACTTATCGGCGCCCTCATCACCTTCTCGAACACCTACTTTGGGCTGCAGACGGGCTGGATAAGCACGATGGCTATGCCCTCGGCCTTGATAGGATTCTCCGTCTTTAAGGTTTTGTCCAAGCATCTGTCCTTCCCGTTTACCCCCATTGAAAATGTTCTTATCCAAACCGTGGCGGGCGCGGTGGGAACGATGCCGTTAGGATGTGGCTTCGTCGGCGTGATTCCCGCACTGGAATTTCTTTTGATGGATGGCGAAGATGGACCGGCAGGAGATGGAGGAGAAGGCGAAGGCGGCCCACTGAAACTCAGCTTCTGGAAACTATGCATCTGGGGTCTCGGTGTTTGTCTGTTCGGGGTTGTGTTTGCCGTCCCTCTGCGGAAGGAGGTGATCATCAGGGAGAAACTGAAGTTCCCGAGTGGCACGGCGTCGGCACTGATGCTTCGAGTGTTGCATGGGAAGGGGCAGTGGGAAGAGAAAGCGAAAGATAATACCAATTATCCCAGAAGAGTTGCTCACGAGGATACGGAGGACGAGACGCCCTCCACGTCTCTTGAATACGCCGAGAGGGGCCCGCTGTTGCTCAGGAAGGATGATACGGAGAGGCAAGCTGACAGGATTAGGGATTGGAGGTCGAAAATGCGTCTTCTTATAGGCGCCTTTGTGGTTTCTGGTGTTTATGTGAGACTTCTCATCACTGATCTGGTTCCTGTGGTCGAGCCTTATTGACCGTTCTAGACACTCTTTTCCTACTTCGTTCCCCAAGTTCGTGACCTGCCTATCCTTGGCCTTACCCTCGCCAGCAATTGGCTGTGGACGCTCAACCCATCTCCCGCATACATCGGCCAGGGCATCATCATGGGGCCTTCGACCTGTATGCATATGCTCTTTGGAGCCGTGCTGGGCTGGGGAATCCTGTCTCCTCTAGCAAAAGCGCGCGGGTGGGCTCCTGGCCCAGTAAGCGACTGGGAAAATGGCAGCAAAGGGTGGATTGCATGGATCTCCCTGGCTATCATGTTGGCCGATTCTATCGTCAGCCTTAGCTGGCTTGTGCTGAGGCCACTGGTGGACCATGCGCACATATTAAAAGCAAAAACCCTTTCCAGCCGGGTTGGGAAATGGATTTCATCCAAATCCAATCATTCTTATATTGACTACTCCACCCTGAATAGTATACCTGACTCGACCTCAAGCCGCACTCACCATCACTCTCATCGCGAAGATGAAGATGCGCCGCCATCTCAGCTAATATCTTCACGGACAGTGCTTATTCTACTTCCACTGACTCTGATCCTAAACGTCGTCTGCATGCAGATAGTATTTGGGGACATTGTGTCTCCGCTGCTTTCCAGTTTCGCCACACTACTTGCAGTTCTCCTATCAGTAATGGGCGTCCGCGCCCTGGGAGAAACAGATCTCAACCCAGTCTCGGGAATTAGTAAATTGACACAGCTCCTCTTTTCCCTCGCAACCCCCTCTTCGAATTTCTCTCGACGGACAGCAGTCGTGACCAATCTCCTCGCAGGCGCGGTTTCAGAATCCGGCGCCCTCCAAGCAGGAGATATGATGCAAGACTTGAAGACGGGCCATCTTCTAGGCGCCAGTCCGAAAGCCCAATTTTACGGCCAAATAATCGGGAGCTTAGTCGGTGCTGTTCTCTCAACAGCCGTGTACAAGATGTACGTGAACGTCTACGAGGTGCCGGGACCCATGTTCCAGACTCCGACGGCATACCTGTGGATATTCACGGCCCGTCTCGTTACGGGACAGGGTCTACCCAAAATGGCATGGCAAGCCTCGTTGATCGCAGGTTCTATCTTCGCTGCGATGACAGTGCTTCGCATCATTGCCGCTTCCTCGATCGCTAACGGTGGCCGACAAGGCGTGTCGGCTCCCTGGCGAGCGCTCGTCCCCGGCGGCATCGCTGTGGCAGTGGGCATGTTCAATGTCCCATCTTTCACCTTGGCGAGAGCTATCGGCGGTCTTATCGCGTGGTCGTGGAATCGGAGACATGCTCATGCTTCGAAACTAGCAGCTCTTAACGACAGCACCACCAGCAATGTCAATATCGACGGGAATATTATACCCGACAGTGATAGTGATGTGCAAAGGCATATTGACTCCAATGACGTCGATTCTGGTAACGAAGCATCTGTCACTGTGTCTCAGGATCAACATCACCAGCTACAAAAACAACAACAAGCAGACGAAGCCTCCTCGACCGTCGTCGTGTTGGCTTCCGGTCTAGTCCTGGGCGAGGGTATACTTAGTATAGTCAACCTCGTTCTTGCCAGTGTAGGGGTACCTCATCTGTAGTGGATTTGTCGATGGCTCGTTTGATTTATTTCTTTTATGTCTGTATTTCTTGGTTGGATTTATTATGCATGGAGAATGTACATACATATTTCATTTGATTTGGATATTATGCATATAGAATGGTACTACAATCGCCGGCCTCTTCTTGTATCATCTGACATATTGGCATGCGACAGTTTAATAGCGGTAGGTCAACCAGGAGGTTAATATCCGGGAGGCTTTATATCTGTGGCACTGTGTGAAGAAGCTTGTATGGTGGGATGATCTCCTTTATCAGAGAATTCCACTTGTCATTTCTGCTGCATGCTACAATGGTGCTGCAGCTGGTTCCTGGATCCGATTTAATGAATTCGTTCGCTGGCGAGAGGTCTCACCTCAAGAAGTATAATTTCCTGCTATTCTTCAACGAAGCATCATTGGTCTAGTGGTAGAATTCATCGTTGCCATCGATGAGGCCCGCGTTCGATTCGCGGATGATGCATTAACAAAAGCTTCATTTTTTGCCGTCATTCCATATGACGGAATTTTGTCTTCGCCTCTGCTGGCCTAATCTGTGTATCCGCAAAAGCTCACAGTCGCGAGAATCTCTGGCTTTACTTTAGTCCACCACGGCATGTTTCTTAGGAGGACAACTGTGTTTTTGTGTTTCTACTGAAGTACGAGCGTCGTTCGTTCTAGGAGATGGTTGGAGGAACGCTCCGTACAGCGTATACATATTGCTTGCTAAAGGGTAGGCCAAGAATATATATAGTTAAGATCCAGATATAGATATATGTTGATATCGAATCGGTTAGTTCATTCATGTCATGACAATATTTTCAGCTCAGTAGATTCCACAGAAGAAGATAAAAGTAGAGAAGGTGAAGAGGTAGGAAAGGGAGAAAGAAAAGACAAATAACAAATAATACCAATAAAAAGCATACATAAGTCTGAATGTATGGGTGTCGTGAAAACTGGAAGAACAGAAGAACAAACGGATACTCTTCATCCATAGTACCATTGCTCTAAATCCCATGATAATCCACTTCAGCAGCCATCCATGGCAATTAGAAAAAACCAGAATACCAGAATCCTAGAGTATCCAGGAATAAATTCATTGACAGCAACATATGAAATTATATACCAGAATATAGCATATACCCATTCGCCCCCAGCCGATACCCACAGAATGAAAGCCCCCATTGCACCAGATGAAAAAAGAAACGAAGGCATTAAAAATATACGCAAATATATACCAGAAATTCAGACGGCCAGCCGTCTCCATCCATTGCTCAATCCATAACCACCCAAGTTATCGTCGGTAGCCGGCATTATGATGCCTCGAAACGGGACCACAGCATCACCTATAGGTGCTCCGTCGTCGACACTCGCCATGCTCTCTTCCGAATAACTAAAAACACTCTGGGGTCCTCGGTCGGTGTGCAGATCGCTGGTACTGCCGGACCATGGATCAGGAGTCATACCCTGGAGATCAGGGTGCTGCGGAAGTAACGGTAGAGGAACATCGGGGCGCTTCATCTCGTACTCGGTCTTCAGAGACGTAAACGGGCCGCCATCATCGCCACATTCCTTTCCGCCGTAGATCCCATTGAAAATATTCGAGAAACCCCGGTCCATGTCGGAAACTACATACTCCCAATCGCTAGTAGTGAGGGGTCCGGGCCCCGGATCCAGGTTTCCTGGCAGTAGCAGGCCAGGCTCGGAACGGTTGCCGGGAGAATTGCCAAGCGAGTGGCTCCTGTCTACCTTCAAATCGGAAGTGGAGAGGTGCCCCTGCTGTGTGAGACTGAGATTCGCCCGATTCGGGGATTTCAGAACATTTGCATCGTAGGGAGGGCTGCCGCCAGACACCGTGGCTCTGCGTGACGGTGCTTCGTGTTTTAAAGCTTGGCCAGAACCAGCGCTTGTTGACATCCGGGCTTTCCATGCCTGCAGCTGCGTATTGGGGGACTCCGGGGAGAACTTCTGCGGTGGAGCTAACAGCTCATGAGCCTGGCCTAATTTGGCTGTCACTCGTTTCCCACCATCCCAGGACATGAGGGCATTGGCAAGTACACTGAATTCAGCAGCAGCAGGCATTGACTCTGTCTTCAGCAGGTCGACAACGGCCTTGAGTAGTCTCTGGCTCTCCTGTGCGATCTTGCTTTCGCGCTTAACGTCGACATTCTGCCACAGAAGAGCCAGACCAGATAGGAAAACAAGTTCTTTCCGGTTGAAGCTGAGAGAGAGGCATAGCCGCCTTTCATCCAGCAGCTGCATAATCTGAACGATATGTTTGCTGGAACTAGACAACGCAAGCATGGACGGGGGTTTGATGTTCTTGCTGCCAAAGCAGACAGCAGGACGGTGAATCAATGAACGAATGAAATAATAAGCGAGAGACTAGGCAATGAAATTGGATGGTCAGATTTTTGTTTTCAGTGATAGATTGATGGAAAAAGAGGCATCCAACTTACCAGAAGTAAGGACCGACTGCTTGTTACATTCGTGCTCGGTTTATCCTGTACAAACTCGAGTCTCAGATGAGAGGGCAAGCTGCGCTGCCACTCATCTAGCTGATCCGAAATAGAGCGCAACTTCGAGACGACGATCTCATAATTCTGCTCCGAGTGATAGAGCTCTTCCAAGGCCTTTCCCAGTATCCTCGAGGCCCCAAATAATGCAATGGCGCTTGATAGTCGAGTTGACTCGCCGGGAAGTGTAGGCAGGAAGCCTGATTCGGTGACATTTTCATCATCGACATCCACCGGGTATTCGGTGCGGATGTCTTCCTCGCGCAGCAAAATGGGCAAGCCTGTCAAAGCAGAAGCGAAACTGTGACTGCGGTTAGATTGAAAAGTAGACTATATCCTTGCGAGCAATTTGTTCTTACCGATCAAGAACGTATTGACACCAGAAGACTTTCTTCCGTGTTTCTGTAGCAAGTGGGTCCAGAGAGAACCGCTTTTGATCTTGGTGAAGGCCGAGCTGATGGCAAAGACCGACCGCAAGACTGCGATAGCGCACGAGGCTTCTGTAGTCGCCCTTTGCCATGCAGTAGACCTGGGCAAGGACAAGGCATTGCATTGTCGGGATGGAGATGTTGCTCGAAAGTGCCTCTAGAGCAGGAAACCAGTTGCCCTCGAAGAAAGTGGGGTCTTGACTGGTTCTCGACTGTATAGGGGCATTATTTAGCTTCTAATCCGAAGAACAGAACCGGCGAAAAAATAAAATAAAATAAAATAAAATAAAAAAAGCAGCTTACCGTCGAAGAAAGCGCAGCCACCCCAAAAATCAGATTCAACTGTGTCATGATATGTGAATTCTCCGGCAACGTCCCTGACATTCCGAGATATTGTTCATAAGCCTTTAGGATAGTAGGACGATGGACGACAGGATACATAGGGGCCCATTCCTGGAAGAAGATGTTGATGAGCTGATCGGACACGATGCGAGGAGGCGTCTTAGCCTCTGGGTTGGCCTGTATATGGGAAAGGGGTGGAGGTAATGCCGTTAAGGTTCGAGTTGACAATTGTGACGAGAGTTTCGCTTCACCCGCAAGTCTGCGTGTCAGAGAGTCTACAACCGTGGTCAGCGAACCGATATTCTCGAGCCAACTAAGGCGATAAGACGAAGCAAACCTACCTGCGAAGCCACGCGTGCTCGAAAGGCCCGTATAGGGAGCATCAGGAGTCGGCTTGGACGACTGGGAAAAGTCTTGTTGAACCTGAATCACATCTTCACCGGAAATACTAGGGACAGAAGGTTTGGGCTGCGGAGGTGAGGCGCGTGTCTGCGACGCGGGCGGGGACGGTAGTTTCTGCGAAGGGGGTGAAAAGGAGCGTATGCGGGACAGAACATCGATCTTCTCATCCTTCTCGTCCAACAGGCTCTTTAGCTCTCTCACTTCCGCCTCCAGGGCGCGCACCCGTTCCTCCAGCGACTCTGTGTACCCTCTAGGGAAAGCTCTGCGGCTGAGCTTGTCGCTGGTCTTGCACTCGAAACCCACACTAGCACACTGCGAGCAGCTCGGTCGGATGCCGTCGCAGCGGATCTTCTTGCTCCTGCATCGGTCACAGGCCTGGGCGATGCGACTCTGGGTGCCGTTGCCGACCTTGATGACTTTCATAGGGAGTATGCCGGGCATGATGATTCGACTGCGCAGGGCATCTGCAGAAGTGAATCTGGAGTCGAGATCGCTTTCGCAGGTCGAACGGGAGGAGGACTATAGGTGTAGTTCTAACAGGATCTGGGATGAAGATGGCGGGAATGGGCGATGACAGGGGGTGGGATGGTGAGAATAGAGCAGGAGGTTCAACGTGTTGATTCGGGAGGGATCGGGAGCGAATTATAATATAACCGTGAAGACGGGGAGGAGCGGAGAGGAGAGGAGAGGAGAGAAGGTAGGTAGGAGGCGCGACAGTCGAAGGGGGGAACGAGTGCGGATTGATAAAACTGAAGGATCACAGATGAAGAAGTGAAGAGAAGAAGAAGGGGAAGAAGAGATTAAGCAAGGCGTAAGCTTGATGAATGCGGGACACCGCAGAAGCTTAATATTATTGCTACTCCGTAGTATACTACATACATACAGTACTAAAGTATCATAATTCATGATGAGCGCCATATTACCGCGTCCGGTAATCGCCATCCAGGGTACTCTCTTTCGACTCATTCATTCAACATTCCTGGCAAGATGGAGACATGCGGAGAATGAGACGCGACAACTCTAATTCTAGGCTGCATCCCTGGCTCTCCGGACCCGAACATGCACATGGCGCGACTCCATTTTCCCAATCAGTAGATCGCCATGCGGATTGTGGGTACGAGGACAGAGAATGATGCGGACGGGACTGTCATACATCGCACACTACGGAGCACCATGTAAGAATGTACATAAGGATGACGAATATAGATTGTATAATCCGCATCGAAACTTTCAGGTTCACCGTAAGGAGAATTGGGAATGCGGCACAGATAATCCTCCAAGCAATGACAGTTGGCACCGAGCGAATCACCGGGAATCCTGCTGGTTAGCGCTTCATAAAAGTACGTATTGAAAAGAAATCACAAGATTTTTTTGCCGAGTGTTCGCCGAGCACCAAGCCCTTGCCGGTGACCATTGGCCGCGCACTGTAGGTTTTCGCCCGGCCAGTTTTCTTCCCCGGATTTCCCTCGACATGGAGAAGACTCGCGGGGAAGGGTCAAAGCATCGTACGATGACGGCAAGAAAGTCGGCAGTCTTCTTAGCATCTAGGAACTGGGTATGGCTTTTATTTTCTTTTATTTTCTTTCCTGTGACTCGTATAACTGTTAAACTCCCTACATTATATTGCTATATTTGTATTTAGTACAGAATAATGGTAATAGTAAAGTATCAGATTAAACGCCGACCAGACGCATTATGCGACTTTTCGCCGAGAAAACCACGAGCTGAGAATCGGGTGTTTTTCGTTGGAAGATCGGGCCCACTACCCTTCCTACACCGACTGACATCACAGATAAGACCCGTTTCACCTTTTCAAGGACATCTAGAACGCCCGCAAGACATTCCTTGAACTCAGACACCGACCAAATACATACATTCCGTCTACTGTCCAGTGTCCATCCAGGTTTCTTACTATCTGATACGCACTGATATGCAGCTGCTGCAGATCATCCCCTGCCGATGGAGCCCAGTGAACACCTGGTTCAGAACTCCCTAGAGTACTCGGACATTTCTTGTCTCTTGTCCTTGTCCCTCAATCAAATAACCCTATCATTCCCTTTGAGTCTAAGACCAAGAATAGAACCGACCGTTTTATCCATAAGTAGACAAACTTCAGTTCTGACGTCTAGGAACAGTGGGCTTCCCTCGGCAACCCGAAGATCCTCCTTGCCGGATCTGCCGGCAATCTCGGGCTAGCAGTGAATGCAGATAGTATGCACATTTATTATTTCCATTTTTAGCAGCTCTGTTCTGCATTCAATTTGGTGCTTGCGCGATTTTCAATACCGAACTCGGCATTCGTGCGATGATTGTATTGTTGCTCCAACATGGAGATGGACCGTGACGTCTAACGGGAGCTGGAATTAGAAGAACCCAAAATTTCTCCTTGTCAATAATAGTCACTTCCAGGCTCTCATCAAGAGCCGGCTCCGGAACGCTTGCCCTACGAGAAATCCTCTGCTTCTTCCGATTGTCGGCTGAGATATTTACTGACTGTTTCGGAGGTCAAGAGAGTGTTTTTCTGCCAACGAGATTAGCTTTCCGGTTATTAGTTCATCGAAAGGCCACGTACCGACTGCACCAGGTCGTCTATTCCCTTCAAAAGCAAATCTGCCTCTAACTTGCGCAGCCTCGAAACCGTGCCAAAGACATCAGGTCGGAATATCGTGTTCAGTAGATTCTCATCCTTGCGCACGTCTGAAATGATCTCCTCCGTTTGTTGAAGAATTGACAGTTGGGCTTCAAGTCGCCCAAGGAGAATCACTACAGCACGAAGCTGAAAAACATCCCATAGCGGGTCCGCAGCTAGTTTGTCTCTGAAGTTTTCAGGGTTCCCAAATTCCTCACCCTTCCATATCGCTCGGAGTTCTTTCCCACCATCAGTCGTCTGCAAGACGCTGAAATCAAGTCCATCTTCTTCATTCACGCACGCCCACCAGATAAACGGACTATCCCACTGCGTATGTTCAGGATCTGAAGAATCTACAGACAATCGCACCCCAGAGACTTCCTTGCAGAACGCCTTCTTGACCAGTTTCAAGGGATCATCATTGGAGATATCCAGGTCAAGAAATATCTGCCTGGCACTCCTTGTGCTATCCTCAAGGAAGCCATACGAGAACACCATCTCCGCTGCAGCTTTCTCATCGCCGTATCTAAATCGCATCATGTTAGTTCAATCCTAACACAACCAGACAGAGAGAGATAATACGTACGAAATAGTAACCTCCTCTCCAACCTGTAACTCTTTCCCTAATCGTAACCGTAGAACTGCATCCCCCCCTTCATCCCTGTCATACAAAGCATTCACCCTTTCACTTGAGGCATGATTAACCATATCGATGCACGGAACCAGTGAATGCCCACTCCCCGGCAAATCCACCATTCGCGATCGATAGATCGCATCGACATATTTCCAGTCATCAATCGTAAGCTTCCCCGTCTCTTCATCCCACCAATAATCCTGGCACCAGGGTATACCCTCCGTGCACTGACGAAGGTGATCGAATTCTCGTTCCAGAGCTGCATTTTTAGCTTCCACAGCCGTTCTAAGCGAAGTACCGCGTAGAAGCTCTTTCTCTTCATCGGTATACATGCTAGGTAACGGGATCGAGGAAGGGAGGAACTTGGTATACTCGGTCCACGGATTCGATACTCCTATTTTCTGGCGCTTCTTCTCTGCGAAATCAGGACTGCCTGACGTGAGTTGGATAAGGAGGAAGATTAATATCGCGCCTCTGGCTGTCTGTATACATTAGATTGAATTGAGTAATTATCATAGGGGGCCAAAAACAAATAAGAATTGAAGAAATCAATGTACGGCATGTACATACCTTCCCAAAATCATTCACAGCCTCCAATACCTCCCTCAGATGCCAATCTGATTTGGCATAGGTACCCACTCCATCAAGTGAAAGTATCATGTCCCATGGAACCCGGATGAGTGTTAATGCTCCATCGCTGTTCCCCGCTTCATTGCTACTCCTCTCTGCGCTTGCGACCACTGCTGCTCCTTTATCCGCTCCATCGGACTCGGATTTAAAACGTCGAAATGAGATGCTATCGAGCGTTATACCATTCAGTATTACCCAGGCTGGTAGAGCTTCAAGGGGGAGATATTCACGTTTCATCTTTGCGAGAATACGCAGGCAATGGACGAGGTTCGTCCGGGTGGGATTGCTTGGTGTTCGTTTCTGATAACACAAGGTTATCTTATCGATAAGAACCGATTATTAGCCCTAAGCCCTATTCTGATCAATAATCATTGCAGCATCTGGACGTCATAATGGATTAGTTTCGAGTGTTCTCAGTGCCTCCCTTTACTTGCATGTAGTTCTCGTAGGTAGATATTCGACCGTTTTCTTTGAGGAATCGCAGAAGAATATAGAGATAAATACTGCATTAATCCGGACTCTGTACTTTTCCATCTTGAGACTACGTTCATCATTCTGGGACGATACAAGAGGAAGAGACAAGAAAGAATGTCTGGTCTTCCACCCATTTCAAAAATCCACCGCCTCATCTACAGGCATCCAAAGCTGTGCTTACTCTCACCCCAATCCATATTTCAGCCGGCCGGGCTGCCCTCGCCGCGCCTTGTCCCTATCCGCTTGAAAAGCAGCTCTATATTTAACAAGTGGACTGGAAGCTCAGACAATGACCATAGCATCCATCGGGCGCAAAGGAGAGATGAAACGGATCCTGAGGTCAAGGGGACTGCGGAAGGAATAAGAGAAAGGGCACAGAGCTGGGGTATTCGGGACAGGACTAAGTCGCAGGCTGTGACAGAAAGAGAAGGGTCGACGTTTGCCAAGAAAGCAAAGAAGGAACACCCCGAGGCACCAGAGCCGCTCGTCGGCGTGAATGATGAGAGGGGAAGGGTAAGTTGGCTCTCCACATTTAGAACGTTGCAAGTCTCAAGACTAATTGATGATAATGATACAGAAGGGTGAGTGATTCAAGGAGTATCTTTGGCATCATTTGGGGCTTTGATTTTCTTTACATCGTATTCTGGAATTGTCAAAGTCTTGAAAATCCATTTGGAAATTGTATACTTGCATGGATTGGCTCATAACTAAAGATCTATAAATTGTATGCAAGGAGAGAGATCTATCGGCCAACTTTGAAAGAAAGCACCTGGAATACACAAAGTAGGTTGTTAGCATAACTTAAATCGGATATCTTCAAGAGGGAGATGATACGTACATCATGTTTCCCTACTTCCACAATCTCGTCCTCAGAAACCCGGATTCCACCAACTCCTTCAATATAAGAAATGGGAACATCACCCATGACTTTCCGAGCAACAGTTCCCACTGTGCTGTTTCTTTTCGGATGTTAGTGTAACATCACTTGTTTAAAGAGAGACAAAACTCACTTCTTGACGAGGACACAATCTCGAAAGACGGCATTTGTACCACCAGTACCAGACGCAAATGTATGGATATTCCTAACTGTGAATACTGGTACAAGCCCCAACAGCTCAGCAGCACGCGACAGGCACTGAACAACTCCTGTGGAGCCGAAACGATACAACACCATGTCTTTCAGGTTCTCAACGCGACTGCATCTCGTTAGCGAAACACCTTTAACTTGCCGCAGTTACAACGTACGTTTTTAGTTTCTCGTCCATTTCCCTCAGGCCTCCCCCATCGGGGTCACCCATCTCTATGAGATCTTCCCGCGTATCCAAGAATTCACTTCCTTCCACGTACTTTATATAATTTTGCTTCGCCAATCTTCTAAGGAAGACCTCAGATATAGCAGAGCAGAGTACTATTGACTTTGGATCCTGCATCTTGGCGATCTTGCTGATATTCTTCCGCATCTCATAAGTATCGGTGTTGTGACTGGGTTAAGAGACAGCTTACCTTATCCGCATCGGGATGGTCTATTTTGTTCAAGGCAAATACTGTGGGGAATTTCTCATCAACAAAAGCTTTGACGACATTTTCAATCGTCTCGTTGGACCACTCCTCAAGCGGCTCTTTGATGCCCAGGTTGTCCAGACACCGTGCAACAACTGATGATGTACTTCCATAGCCCGAAAACTGGTTCTGTAGGGTTTCCACAGCTGTCGCTTCTATTTCGGGGTTAATACATATATAAAATCAAAGGGAATCGACAAAAGATGCCAGACTAACTTATAGCGACATGTCTCCTTCTAATGGATCCCCTGAGTTAAACAATGTCAACGTGTAATCGAGTGTATTTATATGACATAAAAAAGACATGCTTACCATTTTTCCATTAAATTTCCTTGAACCCACCGCACGATTTCCGAGCGTAACCACACAATATCTTGCGAAGGGTCGTAACCTCGCGTTGCCTTCCCTGCAGGACAAACGGACACATCAGTCATTGTATTCCAAAATACCAATCTCTGTGAAAATCTTGAGACAGTTTACTGACCTTCAGCGTCTGTAGTTCCGCTCACATCCACCACATGGATCAAAGCATCAGCGTGACGCAAATCGTCTAAAAACTTGTTTCCCAACCCTCGACCTTGATGCGCACCGGGAACAAGACCCGCAACATCCAGAAGTTCTATCGGGACGGAGCGCTGCCCATCGTGGCAGCCACCATAATTAGGTCTGCACTTGTCGGAGACACCAAACCGCTTGCATGCACAATCTATCTGTAGGTAACCAATGGCTCGCTGGGGGTCGATAGTGGTAAATCTGAATTTGAAGGGATTAGGATCGACCAGTCAAAGAGGTCCAAAGCGAGAGCTTAGAAAATTAAATCACTCGACTTACGGATAGTTTCCTACACAAAAGCAATTTCAGTCAAAGTAGCAGATAAGTAAACGGACAGGCATCAACCAACCAACTTTGGAGGAAGCATCTGTTAAGCTATTCAGCGTCGTCGATTTTCCGCTGGATGGCTACATCCTCGTCGACATGTGTCAGTGGTCTGCTTATCTTCTGATGCACGGATAGCAAGGAACACGACCTTTCCAACCAGACCAATTAGGGGATCTCTTGGCATTCTCAAATATTGAAGGTATAATGGGAGTCAAAAGAACGGAGATTCTACTAGAATTAAGTTGTGACAGAAGCAGCAAGGGCAGCGCAAAGGAAGGGAAAAGAGGGTAAGGAATGATTGTTGCATGTCTTTAGGGCGGTGTGAGATAGAGTCTTTTCTGCCGTATATACAAAAAGGCGGTGGGGTGGGGTCTTCGTGTTGGATCACGTGGGATTCTGCCGCATAGGTCCGCCCTCGCTGACCCTTTTCACCACGTAGGCCTATCTAGCTAGTGACCAACCAACAATACACCTCCATTAGGTTATGAGCCCGGTTCTTGCTCGGAAATATGAGCTATTTTAGGCCCGTATAAGTGGTCAATTTAAGCCCTCTGATTGGCTGAACCAAAATTCCATACCCCAGATTCCAAAAATTCCAGGATCCCAGATACGGTCCGAACCTGAGCATGTCAGGAGAACCTACTACGCCTCCCGCTACTGCTATACGACGATCACGTCGCCGAAATCTCCAAAACAGGTCCTCGAATATAGACGAGACCTCCTCATCAGTTGTCTCTGAAGAGATAGAGACCCCAACGCCTTCCGGAGCCAATCTGAGCTCTACCAATACCGCCAACATGGCTTCCACAAACGAACTTACCCCTGATCTTGCTGATATGATGCGACAAATGCTTGCTCGCCAGAATCAGATGGAACAAGATATGCGAGACCGTGAAGCTAGAATGGAGCTAAAACTGGCATCTATCATCCAGTCTAATACTCCACAAGCTTCCTTGCCTTCAAATACAACCCAAGATACTACACCAATGGATATCCAACCGCCTCTGCGTGATGCCTCAGACACAAATATCAGCAATGCTATTGCCCTTGTCCAAGCCGATGTCGATACGCTACTGCCTGACCGATGCCGTGTCATCTTGACACTGGATAATTACGATGCATGGAGCTCTGCCATACAAAAAGAAGCTGGTATTCTCAATGCTATTACAACTCTTCACCAGGACTCTCCTCCTGCTGGATCATCTCCACTTGATGCTGCAGTTTGGCACAGAAAAGCCATTGTCATGAGAGCCCGTATGCTCAATGCCATGACAACCCCTGCTTCCGATAAACTAGGCACCGTATATGACCTCTCTGCCCATGGTCTTTGGGACCGAGCTGCCACACTTTTTGGCAAATCCACCGGTGAAGAGCGAATGGCCCTTACCATGGAGCTCAAAGAGCTCTATATAAAGGATAACGATTATCTCACCTACCAGTCATCCTTTAATCGAATCTTTGACCGCCTACACGCTATTGGAGAAGAATCTCTTGAAAATCTCAAACATGACCTCTTCTTTATAGGTCTCCGGGACTGGAACCGCGCCTTTATCAAGAGTAAACTAGATGATGTCTACTCTACTGGCCGTGCTCCGGTTACCAACCTGGATCTTAAGGTTATCCAGACCCAATTATCTACTCGAACCGGCACTAAATTCCGTGATACTCATTCTCAAGACCGGTCAAACCAACAGAAAGAGAACTCCCAGAACCGCAGTTATTCAAAACAAGCATCTGGAACCAAATACACAATTCCTCAACGTTCCAATAACCAAGATAGATCTCGTCATACACTTATAGACTGTGATCACTGCGGAAATCGCCATGGACTTATATGCTATTTTAAACATCCTGAGAAAGCACCAGAGTATAGACGCAAGTTCTATACTACTATGGCTAATGCTCTCCGTGTTCAGCAACAATCTGAAGCAAACCCACAATCAAACCAGGATCACCCTGCTTCACAGGAACTTGTCTTGCATAAGAAACTCTCCAATGCCAAATCTGCCATTGTGAAGTCTGCAAAGACTCTCTCATTTTCCAATCAATGGTTTGTTGACAGCTGTGCCTCTTTCCATTCTACACCTGACCGTTCACTTTTTGCAACCTATAAGGCCTTGCAGAAGCATGATCTGGTGGAGACAGATTATATGGAAGGTGCTCAAGGCCATATCTCTATGCCTCAAGGCATTGGCACCGTGATTATAGATATTGGTTACGGATCTCTGATCCTAAGAGATGTCCGCCATGTTCCTTCCTTTACTTCCAACCTCATTTCAGAAGGCATGCTTGTACGACAAGGCTTTAGGCTTCAATATACACTAGATTGTGAAGTCAAGCTGATTACCACACCATCTGGAGCTGAATTCCAAGCCCGATTGTTCAAAAACAATGTTTACCTCCTTGAAGACTGTCTATCTCCTGGAGAAGAAGAAAATTCCTATGCCTTTGTCACCACCCGGTCTGGCAAAGAAGTTAACCGCCCAGAAGAGCCACCTGCAAAGGCTCCCACAATTAAGACACCAGCTGAGGCTCCTACTCCAAAAGAGACCCCGGTTCTAGGGAAGCCGCGAACTACTAAGATATCCCTACCTATCATGGCCTGGCACCGACGCCTATGCCATCTCAATCAAGCCGATCTCCTCCGCCTCGCCCGAGATCCTGAGTCTTGCATCGAAATCAAAGGCTCTAAAGAACTCCCATTTTGTGAAGTCTGTATACAGGCTAGACAGACACGCTATTATAGCAAGGTCCCTAGGTCCAGAGTTACCAAACCCCTTGCCCGAGTCCATCTAGATATCGCCGGCGGTGGACAAACTCTTGATTTTGACAACCCTAATGATGTTGTCACTGGCCGAATTGGGGCAAAATATGTCTTACTTATTACCGACGATGCCACACATTATCGATGGATCCTCTTCCTTGAGACAAAAAGTGCAGCCATTACCGCCTTCAAGAACTGGCTTCAAAATATGAAGAACCATGGCTTCACTGCTCCTGCCTACCTAGTCTCTGATAATGAATTCCGCTCCACTGAATGGATGGAAACCTACCGTCAGGAAGGCATAGAATGGCAACCAAGCTCGCCATATTCACCATGGCAAAATGCCGTTAGTGAACGTGGCATCCGGATCCTTTTGAACGGGCCCGAGCTATGATGCTTGATGCCCCATATATACCAGAACGCTTTTGGGTAGATGCTCTCCAATATGCCACAGATCTTACAAATCGGCTCCCTACATCTACCATCTTATACAATTCCCAAATTCCTGGGGGGGTGAATATCAACAAGGACATACACCCCAGCCCTTATCGCGCTCCGTTGGCAGCGTGGACTAATTCATCCATTTCTTCACTCCCCGGATATCGCCGTTGGGGGTGTCCAGCCTGGGTCCATCGGCATGGACCAGATAAACCTGGAAATAAGCTTGATTCACGTTCTCACTGCTGTTTCCTCATTGGCCAAATTAGTAGCCATCAATATCGTGTTTGGGACCCTAAAACTGACACCGTCTTTGTCACCAATGATGTTATATTTGATGAGGATTACAAAGATCCTACAACTACCACTCCCAAAGGTCCCAGCACCCCTACCGAAGAAAACCCAACTCAATTAGTTGAAGATGAACCTCTCAATGACCAAGATATATGGCTCCGACCTGCCAAAGGCATGTCCCTAGCTTACTTTGCCACTTCAACCATTCCTTCATCAGAAGACAACACGCCTACTTCTTATAAGCAGGCCATATCCCATCCTGATGCTGCTAAATGGCAAGCTGCCATGCAAAAGGAAGTCAACCAACTCAAAGAGAAAGGCTGCTGGCAACTCATTCGCCGTTCTGACCTACCACCAGGGGCCAAAGTCATCCCTGGCCGGTGGGTATACAAAAAGAAAGAAATCCCCGGCATACCTATCTCAGAGGATTATCAGGCTAAAGCCCGCTGGGTCATTCGTGGCAATCTACTTGATAAAGACTTCATGGAATCCTACGCACCAGTGGTAAATGAAAATACTACCAGAACCCTCACGGCACTGGCCACCCTGCTTGGCTGGCATACCCGAAAAGCTGATGCCACCCTTGCTTTCCTAAATGGGAAAATGCCCACGGACAAACGTGTCTTTATGACCCAAGTTCAGGGATTCAAAGAAGGTTCTGGAGATCTTGTCTGTGAACTCCTTCAATCCCTCTATGGATTGGTCCCATCTGCCCGCATCTGGTATGATACTCTGGGTGCTTTTCTACGCCAAATCAGCTTCAAATGCTCTGAATATGACTCTGGTCTATGGATCCACACTACCCGGACCCAACTCTATGTGACCACCCATGTGGATGACTTCAAAGTCTATGCTAAACATGAAAATGATGCCATCTGGTTTATGGAGACTCTCTCCGCCAAATTTGACATAAAAGAAGTTGGAAACTCTACCAAATACCTTGGCATGACCATCTCCCAGTCTGAGACTTCATCTTCTTTATCTCAAGCCGACTACACTGAAGATGTTGTTGCCTCTTTTGGTCAAGCCCAAGCACATCCTGTTAGGATTCCAATGGATCCTAGCCTAATAATTGATGATGAACCAGACCCTACAGTCAACACCAAAGAATATCAACGTGGTGTAGGCTGCCTTACCTGGCTAGCCACCAAAACCCGGCCAGATCTTAGCCAGACGGTTGGCATACTATCCCAATATAACGCCAAACCCACCCAAAAAGCATGGCGTGCCCTTATACACGCCATACGCTATCTTAAAGGCTCCATCAATCGGCAAATTACCTATCATAAACCCACGGAGTCCATTACATCTGACCTCCTCATGCCAAAATGTTATACCGACTCTGATTGGGGTGGCCAACTGACAGGCAACCGCCGGTCAGTTTCTGGATACATCTTTCTGCTTGCCGGAGCCCCAATTGCCTGGAAAAGCCGCAAGCAAACATCCGTTGCCCTTAGCTCCAACGAAGCTGAGTATATGGCTCTAAGCGAAGCCAGCCGTGATGCCCTCTGGCTCCGGAATCTCATCAACGAGCTTAATGTGCTCCCAACTGAATGCCCACCAATATCTCTTCATATCGATAATCAAGGTGCCCACGCCATGGCTGAAGCCGAGCTCACCACCAAGAGATCCAAACACATTGACATACGCTACCATTACGTTCGGGAGAAGGTCCGAGACGGCATTGTTAAACTTCAGACCTGCCCTACCAAAGAACAGGCAGCAGATGGCCTGACAAAACCTCTCCAAACTGAACGATTCAATCATTTCCTGGAACTCACCGGCATACATTAAGCGGCGCTTGTTCCCCCATTTTGGTTATACTTTCTATTCTGATTTACGGCTTCTGATTGGCCAAAGCGGAACCTCTCACTTCTCTGCTTAATTTTGCTTTTACTCTCTCATTTGGAGGCCTGAATAGAGGCCGATTTTTGTATTTAAATTCTTTAGATTAGTCTTTAGGCCAGCTCGTGCGTGGGGGGGTGTTGGATCACGTGGGATTCTGCCGCATAGGTCCGCCCTCGCTGACCCTTTTCACCACGTAGGCCTATCTAGCTAGTGACCAACCAACAATACACCTCCATTACTTCGATAAGCAGATCAGATGATCGTCACTATTCCTCTCTTCCTACATGTGCAGTCTTCTGCATGGTTGCGTTATCCAGACTTCCCTTGAAACATTCCACATCTGCTAGCATGAAGGACAGAAGAAATTCTAATTAGCAAGACCCCTCATGATTCATAGTGCTTGCTATACCTCCTTGCACGCGGTGCATCCACCGCGCGACTTCATGCAGCGGCGCTTTAGATTCGTTCACGCCTTGCAGCATATTTCTGTCATTATGCATGAGAATATAAAAAGACTACAGTGGTGGAAATGAAGAATATGGAAAAGAGAATCAGCAGTAGGAATTACTGCCTTCGATCCGTTGACGAAGTTTACAGCAGACAACCAGTGTTGCGTGAAATAAATATTTGGTTTCTTTCTGATCTGGAATATTGCGTGTGGTTTTCCAGCCACAAGGCATTGCTTCTTGCAGCTCGTTTTCTTGCTGGAGTTGGAGCAAGCATTAATATATGCATTTGCAGAGGAATGCTGGACGATATCTCGCCGCCAGAACAACGAGGTCCTTCAATGGGATTGTATATCCTCACCCCGTCACTTGATGCGACTATCGGACCTGTAATTAGAGGATTCATAACTCAGGGAACAACATGGCGATGGATTTCCTGGTCAACCTCTATCGTTCAAGGACTGGTGAGGGTTGTATCTTTTTTTGCATTTCAAAAAACGTATGCAGACTATTCTCCAAAAGAAAGTACGCCAATGGCCGTATAAGACATTGGGTATTATTGGATAAGCTCGCAGTACCACAGGAGATTATGCCAGAGCGCCATGTCTTGATGCAAAGAGCGAACACATTACTAGAGCTCAATATTCCTCTCAGGTGTGCTTGATGGCAAAGAATTCATCAACAATACATAATGGTATGACAAATCACAACCGTGGGCATTCAGTGTTGATTGCGCCTTCAGACTTGACGGTTTCAGACTTGAATACTTGCGAGGAGTAGTCCTTTGCCCCGTATCTCAACCATTATTAAGAAACAGCGGGAGTGGTTCACTGAAGCTAATGTCGTCATAATAGCACAAGTGCCTCTAGCCACTCACACAATACACCATCTGATCCGTTTCTTTTGCGGCACTTATAAGGACCTTGGATTGTATCTTTAGATTTTGCCTCAGTCATTATTGCCTTTGTTTCAGGCTTGAAATTCTCGATACCCAAGTTCAACCATCAAAGAACCAATTACTATACAACAACATGACCGACAAGACCTTCTATCTTACTCGAGAGGACCTCCGTAAGTCTGAATCTCGCTCAAGTCAGCTGCATGATGGACGGACTCCCGGAGACGCAAACGTTTCTACTCTGAAGGTAAGTACATGAGTCAAATCACACCGTTGCTTCGGCAGGAACTGTAAAGAAAAGAGGGACACTAAGTGGGCGTGTGCAGTCTTATATCGATCGCAACGTCGACAAGCGGAGAGAAATTGATGAGAATAAGTCGAATCTGCCTTTACCTGACCAACCTCCAGTGCCCAGCGACTGGCAATCTTCAGACTCCAGAGGCATCAATGTTGGCACCGGAGGGGTGGAGGGCCCTATCTCCGGTGAAGGTAACAGTGCTTTGAGACAACCTGCCACTGCAGTAAGCAGTGCGCGGGTGTCAGGAGAGGAACTGGGCAGAAATACCGAGCCTGGAGAGGATGTTGGTCGACAAGGCAAGGACCATCTAGATCGTTTACCGAAAGATGCTCGGGCATGGTGAATTGCTGCTTTCTTTGCAAGATACGAATGTGCTGTACAGCGTCTAGCATTATGAATATTGTAAAGACAAATAAAATTCGATTGTATTACTATCTGATGGTTAAATTGATGTACTCCCATCTCTGGGGATTATAATTATGCTTCATGGTAGAGCATTGCGTGTGGATATTTGTCCCTGGGGCTTGTATATATGTACCTCTGTACACTGTGCTATGTAAGGCAACGTACATCACAAGACCATTTCTGTACGAGTGCTCTACCCTGTTCAATCCAGCAATGGACCATCAGAGAGATACACCACAGCCTGAACCCTCTCGAACAAGCCCTGACGTCAATACATCCTGCTATTCAGTGAATGCATTTCTCTAAGCGGGTAGTGATCATCTCACCACCACGCAAAGGGCATTGCACTTCCCCACGAAATTAATTAGTGGTAATGCTATTACTACATAGCAAAAAATTAATTATTAGACAACTGCTCCCAGCACGGCCCATTTGCCATGGGTGGAGGACTGGGGCACTACCGTAAGAATGACATCAGTTAACATCACATCTTAGGGCTACCGATCTAGATTTTCTGGTCCTGGATTCGTGCCAGCAACCCATTACTATATATCCTTTGCCATTTCATTCGAGTCTTCTTCAACCAACCCATTTCAGTTTCTCAACTTGGACGGGCCATATCATAGCTTCCTTTTCCCTAAATTCAAAAACGCAGTTCTAGTCATAGCAGCCTTCTTCAAACCGAAGAACAATCATGGATCTCCAAGGACAACCTATTCCTTCTGGCCACAAGAGCACCAAGGTATGCCAAATATCATGGAAGAATTCATTCCCATAAGCAAAGTGAACAGGAAACTGATGAGTTCGTCAAGGCGACCGACTCTCGCACTTATAACAACCCAATCAGTGAGACTTCAGGACCGGTTGCCAACGATTCTCTTGCGGCTGAATCCGTCCGCCGTGGTGGCGAGTACTCTCAAAACAGAGGTTCCCAGCCTTTAGGAGTCTCGGGGTCATCGTCGACATTGAACAACACCAACATATCCGGGGCTTCCACTCTACCCGCCATCCCAAACCATGAGGGTGCTTCTAGCCGTCATGAAGACCAATCGAGAACGGAAAAGTATCCCGAAGAACTAGGTGGACAGGGAAAATATCCAGGCGCCCATGTTCCAGAGACTGGCTATGTGGGCGGGTCCACGAAGGCCAAGCAGGAGCTTGGAATCAGAGGTCATGAATACCCCGCCTCCCGGAGGACTATAGAAAACGGCGAGAATGGCTATCGAAGCAAGTTTAACGATGGACAGGCACCATCGTATGTGAATTCCGTGGTAGATCCTGTGGGCAACAGCAAGCCTAAGGGCGCGAATCTGCGTGAAGGCGGGTTCAATGACAATCCGAGGTACAACGCCAGCTTCAATTCGGAGATTGGTAGTAAGAAGGATCCTGGTCGACTCGCAGAGAGAAATTTCGAGCAGGACACTTTCCGCACTGTTGGCGCAGGGCCAGCCGCCTATAATCTGGACAAACAGACGTGGTACCAACCTCTGAACCGTGACCAGAGTGTGTAGAGCTGCTATTCTTTGCACTGGATGGCATGGCTTGTTTTGACGATGCAATAACACATGTGGAAAAAAGACTTTTCTTGTTTTTTGTATCATTCAAACCTTATTGCATGCATACCTGATGTATATTAGAACAGATAACGTATGAAAATATGCTGGATTGTTGTACTGAAGTGATCCTTGGAAGTCGAGTTAAGGTTTTGTCCACATGACCGGCTTTCTCCGTTAAATCTAAAATCATCCTTTCATTCCTTTCTACTCTGTATATGTAGGCTTCCATTCATATCCATCTATCATCTATCATTTATCGTTTATCCAGATCCATTACAGGATTTATGTGTAACTGAACAGAAACAACGTCGAATGCAAACACCAACTTAGAAATTCCACTGGTTCAGCCAGTTTCCCATCAGCTCCGCTGAAATAGGACCCAATGCACCCATCGTTGGGCTTGCTTGCTTGGTATCCCCGACTTCAATTGGAGCAGATAACGCTCCCTCCCCGTCCAGCAAGGCTCGATAGAAGTCGAGAATCTTGATACCAGGTTTAGCGGCAATTTCTTCCGCGGACGGATCCTGGATACTCTCGAGTTCTCTTATCCAGTCGGAGAACTCGACGGGTTGGATATCCTTGTACCGTTTTTGGATCGCTGGAAGGAGCGAACCCCATGTTGTGACGGAGGGATTGATAAGATGGAATGCAGCACAGCGAGTGTCCGATTGCGTCTTGCGACGGGTATCCACGAGCTCGAGGAGAATCGCGGAGAGAGTGTCCTGATTACGCGGGATCTGTCAGCCACTTTTTTTTTTTTTTTTCAAAAAAAAAAAAAAAAAACAGTGCCAAATCAGCTACTTACCACTGGAATCCAGTCTACGCCCCATGATCCCAAATTGTTGGGAACCTTTCCCATAGACTTGGACGTCGCCACGATTGTCGGTACCCATTCTTGTTTATTCCATTGTCCGTGAGCCATGGAGGGCCCCGCGATCTGTCCTACGCGGTGGATGGTGGTTGGCACTCCAGCCTTCCTGGCAGCAGCAAGACAGATACGCTCAGAAACATGTTTTGATTCTCCGTATCCCTGTTCTAGAGCTACCTCACAGTCCTCAAGCGGTATCTCGGGAACAGCGGGGCCGAATGTAGCCTTCCAGCCTCCGATGGTCGATACAGACGAAACGAAATGTATATGGGCGTGGTGAGAGCTGTGAAGGCTGAAATCGACGAAGCGCCTCAGACCTTTAATATGAGGGTCCTCGAACGAGTCTACCGTGATATTGAAGTCTACCCTCCAGGCATTGTGGATGATTGTATCCACAGAACGAAGCATTTCTTCGTACTTAGTGCCGTCAATACCGAATCTTTCCGCACCAAAAGCAACTTTGAGGAACTCCACCCGTTCGAGGTCCGTGGAGTCGTGCTTGAGACCCTTCTCCTGGAAAATCTTTGCTTGCCGTTCCTTCGCATCGGAGCGGTTCAGACAGTAGATTTTTTCGACACTGGGGTCGCTCAGGAGGTCACTGAGGAGGTAGCTTCCAAGGGACCCCGTTGATCCGGTTAAGATAACAGTGTGCTTCTGGGGGCTATTGGGGAGAATTACCTTTCTCTCTGGGAGATCGATGGTGTACTTTTGCACTAGGCCATCTATCTTGTCCCGGCGAGAGACGGCGTTTTCCTGCTCCCCGTGGACAATGCCGTAGACAACGCGTGATAACTGCTCCACCGTGGGGTTCGCATAGACCTTCTGAGAAGTGATGGCTCCATAGTCCTTGCTGGGGTAACTGAAACGGACAGCGCTCTGAAGTGCCTTCCCGATTTGCATTGTCTGCAGTGAATCAAGTCCTGCAGCATATAAGTCCGTCCGACGTGAAAGGTCCGACATGTTTGCGATACGAGTAACGACTTTTTGAACGAACTCCTCCACACGAGTTAGGTCGCCTGCATCAAGGATACCATAGTCGTTCTCTTGCTCGGAATTAGCATAGATCGTATCGATCTCATCTTTATAATCCATGTTGACAAGTCGTCGCTGCGTACTCCCCTTAGGGGTGGTCTTGAATGGTTTATTTTTCGAAGATATCCCGATCTTGTCTTTCATGATTCGTCCATGAGCAGGGCCAACGTCATTCGCCAGCCTCACGGTAGGCCAGATCTGCTCGATAAAGTCTCTCACCGGCATATCCTCACTCCACAGGTTCCAGTTAGGTTCGATGAGGAGAGCGGACTGGAACCTAGCTTGGCCGACAACCAGTGCTCGAGAAACCAATGGATGACCTTCGATTACCTTTTCCATCGTGACAGGATTGAACTTTTCTCCATTACTTAGGACAATCACGTCATCAAGACGGCCGCGGTATTTCCAAAGATTTGGCCGAGTGGGATGAGGCGTGAAGAGATCTTTGGTATGATACTCGGTTAGGTCGGGATAGGTATGGAAGATGCCGTGGATATCTCGATCTTTGGCCCTTTTGACAACTAATTCATGGTATCCTTCGCCAACTGGTTGCATATCTATTCCATAACTGGGATTCCACTCCATGTACTCCCAATCCTCTTTTCGCTGAGGAATTAATGTGGGGAGGACACCCATCTCGGTGCTACCGATGAACGAAACGACGCGACCCTTCTGGTTGATTCGATTACCAGCATCAGGCGAAAGCGGGGCTCCTGCAAAGAAAACGAACTTCAATCGGCCCAGTGCTTCCAAGGCGGTCTCAGAATGGCTCATATCTTCAAGGATAGAAGGTGGAAGGACTACCGCTGTCGGCTTCACGGTGTTAATGAGATCGGTCAGTAATTCAGCAGTCGGGGGCTTTTCTGGCGCAATTGCAAACTTAACGCCATGGAAAATTGACTCCAGTATCAAGAAGAAGCCCATGAGATGGAAGAAGGGAGCAGTTGTCAAGAGGAGATCTTCAGGCCCAAGGTGATACGGCAACCCGAAATGTCTTCCCGGGGGAGCGGGCTGGTACGCTATTTTGTCAATGGTACCGATATATCCTTGAGTGAGGAAAACAGGCTTTGGCAATCCTAATCGTTCGATGAAGGGTCAGCAAAGTGTCTTCGCACTATCGTATCCTTACACACCTGTTGTCCCCGAGCTATGTATAATCAAGGCTGGCTCATCCTCCATCTCTTGGTACGTCTTGCCCAAGGGGTACGGGAGGGTTGAGTTTTCTAGCATCTCAAGCAGCGACGGGAGCTGCAGGATTTCTAAACTTGGGCACAGGCTCTTGATCTCTAAAGCTTTCTGCTTTCGTTCTGCGGTGTATACCAATTTTGAGCAGTCGGTGGCATTGAGAAGGTGAAGATGAGCGTCGTTAGAATTTCGTGTTGAAGATAACAACGGCTGTCATTTTCCCGTTCAGTATGCAACTCTGCGATACTATGAACATACAGGCCTACTCACCTTGTATCCCGTTTTGTTACAGGCAACAACAAATACAAGGTAGCGAATATCATTGGCGCCTATATACGTCAAGGTCTCATAGTCGGAGCTGCGGCCAAAGGTCTTGTCGATCCACCACGAGGTATAGTTCACGGTATGGGCCAGATCACTAGCAGAAAAATCGAAAAACCCATCTGCTACCCGCAGGCCCTTTCCCATAATGCAGACAGTCCTTTCAGGCTCGCGAAGTGCCAGGTCGTCTATGACATGGGCCATGAGCCTCTTGCCGGCATCTTTGGGGACTTGGACCATCATTCCTGAGATAGTGGACTAATCAAATAACGAGAAAACGCAAAAAGTTAAAAAAAGAAAGTGCCTTCAAAAGGTAGATGCAAGGATATGAGTTTTGTTGTCCTCATCCCTTGAGGATACTCTGCGTTTAAATCATTCCCTGCTGCCTTCGATTTCTCCATTGACTATCCTTCTTGTTGGGCCCATTTATGCTACAAGTCGATTTGGGTGGGACATTCTTCACAGTCATCCTGTTCTAAAACGGCTATCTGGATAGCAGCTGTGGATCCTCGTGCTACACCCCCGGGTGTTGTTTTGGGCGGATAATTTCTTACATCTTCTGTGGGAGGATCTACAATAGGGCCACAATGCCGAAATCCGACGGGGGGATATACCTAACAAGGTAGAATTACTCACACCTAGCCGTTTATCCCGTTCTGCAGGTGGACAAACATGCAGCAAGGGTCCCATTTTTGTGATGCACAAGCAGTGGCGGTGGTTCGGGCCAGGCGTAACCCCTATATAGAACAGGAGCGAGCCTTGATTGCCGATGATAAGCTGACAGCAATCCGGATCGGTAAAGCTACGACTACGTAGACAATATCTGATTAATGGCTCTCTGCGGGTTTCGCGGATATCTGATGCCAAGTGTGGATAAGTAAGAGAAGCCGCGGCCGATGCAGAATCCTGAAGAAAGCATATCCATGGTTAGCGATGGATACTGTTAACTATAAATAACACACTGGAATTGGATAAACGAACACAGCCAGTGGCAGCATGGTCTCATATCAGCCCTCGGTGGACAACGCAACTCTCAGGAAAGTTCTGAATCAACTGGGTCTGACCGGCTCTGCTGGAAGTTCTCAGCTCGACTTCGTGAATGGTGAAACAAAGAAAATTAAGGAGGCAAAAGATTGCAATATACATAATCGGAGGTTCTCCGTACACCACTATAACTAGTTACGTACCAATGCTGACCAAATCCAACAGGCCATGCTCTGTGAACAAGGGCGGGAGAGCCCAAGACAAGCTTCGGTGTGAGGATCTACAGCCGATCAATACATATGAGTTATGCTGCACGGAAGTACACCGGACATAGCAGACCCTTGCGAAGATGGCTGTCTTGCCGGTTTCCGTTCCTTGCTGTTATGGTGTATTATCCAGATGGTTTGGTGATCATCATGGATGAGCATCGACTTTATTAACCACACGGCCTTGAAGATGGGCGTAAAGGGTGCGCAGTGAACTCCGTTGCTCATGCTCGGTTTCATGGTTCGGTCTTGTCCATGATGGAGCCTTCCGTTGCCGAGAGCAGCGGTTTGTTTTCGACTTCGCTTAGCTATTCTGCTTCCCCAGAGACAAGACAACATTCTTAGACAGATCCAGCGGCTCCAGATCAGTGATCTTGTATGAGTAGGTGCTGCGGACGACGTTGATACTGGAACTCCGGGCTATTTACTGTCTACAGTGTAGAAATGCTCTTCTTGGAAATTTATACCAAATGCACACTCATTGATTCACGAACTCCACTGTTTCAGAGCGAGTCATGGATATAAATAGCAATTGAAGTTGGCCATTTCAAGGAATGAATTGGAGACGCAGGAGGTCTTGAAGAACAATTAACTGCAACTCTGAGTGAGCCTACGCTGTGGCTGGATACGATGAACTAGAGATGGGCAGCTGCAGAAGCATACGACATTTTGAAGCGTATGAGAGAACATTCACAGGCTTCTTTGGCTGTCCTTCACTGTGTTGCTCCAAGTCCAACTGAACATTGGAAGAGCGTAAAATAACAAGCTCAGTAAGGAAACACTGCAGAAGACAAATAAACTTGGGTTGAAGCGGGACTGGGAATTTGACCAGAAAAGCAGCAGTTCTAGTCCATAAACGTTGGAGACCACATAAGATGGAGTTCTGAGTTCTTAGATTCTTTATATCTCATCACGTACACCATAAAAAACGCCAGATTTCAGACATGTATCAAGAGATAAAACAAGAGAAAAGGAAGAAGAGAAATCCCTGTGAAGAAAGACAAAGACCCAAACTAAGGCCACACTCCATAGGCATGCATTGCCTCGTCGTCACTTGAAAAAGTAAGCACTATACAGCCCAAAGCCATTGGCAAGAAACCAGAAGAGAGACCCTTAGAAAGAAAGGAAAAAAAAAGAGATAAAAGGAACCAAAGAAGGCCTGAAGGATAATAGTATTAAGACAAGAGACGTGAGCAGTCATCGTGTGACTCTCTTTAAACAGTCACTTTTTCGGTCTCCTTTTCGACGCTTTTGGCTAGCTCCTCGAACACCTTGCTGAAGTCCTCTCCATCGTCACCATTTGCTTCGTTCTTCTTGCCCTTCCCGGACTTGGGGACCACCATAACGACGCTGGTGGGGCGCTTTGTTGCGGCGGCCGCTCCCAGTTCGGCTCTCGACGTGACGAACACATATGGGATGCCATGGTCTTCACACAGAACGGGGATGTGCGAGATCACGTCCATGGGTGAGATGTCTGCCGCGAGGATAACGACGCCATTTGGTGTAGTTAGACTGGCGTTCGCTGGAGGAATGGGGGATTTCCGGAGAGCCTTGACGACTTCCTTTACGCCTCGCTTGAGGGATTTGTTGACAGCAGCTGTTGTGGAGAAGAAGAGAAAATAAGTTAGAATAGGAACTGAAGACTAGACTTGATTGTTGAAAGGACATATAGGCAGCAAGACAAGCAAGCCACAAGCCACCAAATCCAATGTCTAGCCAAAACAAAGGGTCAAAAAAGGGCGGCTTACCTTTCTTCACGCTCTTCAATACCTTCTTTGCGGACTTGTCTTCTACCAGGGGATTGGCAAACGGCACGAGTGCGCCAACTGGGCGGCTTTCCACCTCCATCGGCTCTGGCTCAGCAGCCCCATTGACGACGATCTTTGCAGCAACTGTCTCATCAATTCCCTCCAGAACCTTTGTGGTAAGTTCCTTTTCTACCGCATCGGCGAGAAGGGTCTTGTCCTTCTTCTCCTTCTTTTCCTTCTTGTCCTTCTTGCTCTTGTGGACTCCGTCCTTCTCAGCGCGCTTTTCCTTCTTCTCGCGCTTCTTTTCCTTCTCAGCCTTGTCTTTTCCCATTTTGACAATTTATCGTGATGCTATCGAGGAAGTAATGAAGGAAGAATGTGGCTGAGACCGTAAATTGGGGAACTCCGGCAAAGATCGAGATCCGCAAGTAAAAATTGTGTCTTGAGATCTTTTTTTTTTTTACTTCTCCGCTCTCAAACTTTCACATTTTGGCGCTAGTCCTATTCGGGTGGCGAGCTTTTGGTGACTCAGCAGACTCCAATTGGCCCTCGATCTTCTTCAAAACAATGCGCCGCTGCATACCATCATCATTATTGTCTCGCTATAAAGACAGTTTTTCTTTTCGAGAGTTGTGGATGCATGCATCCTTTGTCTGAGCGCTACTACAGCTGCGCGCTGCGTATTTTCTGGTCTGATCCCTCCAATTTGATCGGAGGGTAAGACGCAAAAGTGAGTTCGGAACTGGTGAGAACAACGACGTGGAGTTACTGACGGTTTGCTAGATGAATTCCAGCAGGAATACGCGACCTGCTTCTGATATTCTTACCGGAGGACGAGGACCCTCTCCTTCCTCACCTGTACCTGCGCAAAATACTTTTCGACAGTCCATGCGTTCATCCCAAGCGCCGAAAGCTCCCGGACCTGGTTAGATCACATTACCCGTCCATCTGATGTTCGCATCAATTACTGACCAACGACTTATTTTAGATGCAGAGAAGGAAGAACTTCGTGTACAGGTAAACACTTTGAAGTATGAGCTGGAAAGCATAAAGCAGGAGCGAGAACTGGAGGCGTTGCGCCATGAGAAGGAACTCCGGGAATTGCAATTGAAGGCGGATGCGGATTTCAGAAAGGCGCAGGTTTGTCTAGGATTTGATGACTGTTATTATTTCGGGTTGCTGACGGTTTTTATTTTTATTTTTTTTTTGCCCTCCGATTAGGCTGCCGAAGCTTCTACGAGCCGCGCGAACACTAAGTTCGAGTCCCTCGCGAGAGAACTGAAAGAAGCTCAAGATAATGCACTCGATGAGAAAGTCGGCCTAGAGAGGAAAATAAGGAGTCTCCAAGACGAAAATCAAACCATTCGGGAAGAACTCAGCGATACCCAGGCCCAGCTGTCAGACCAGGAGAGACAACACAAATATCAACTCAATGAGCTGGAGACCATACGTTTGTCGCTTCAGAAGACACTTGAAGATCTACAGAACGATCTTCAAAGTGTGAGGGGCAATCTGCAGAGTACACAGGAAAAGCTGTCACAACGTGAATCGGATATTGCTACTCTAGAGACGGAGAATCTACGCTTGAAGGCGGAAGGAACCGATTCTGAAACCATGTTGGTTCTGAAAAGGGAACTTTCAGATCAAGTGAATCATATTAGGAATTTGGAGTCTATAAATCGAGAGCAGGGCACAGAATTGCAGCGTTTGAGGAAAGTGCAACGAAATGTCGAAGTGGTTGAGGAGCAGAAGAAATCCCTGGAGAATCAGCTCCAGCTCATGAAAGACGTCGAAGCTGAGCTTGGCAATTTACAGATCCAGAAGCAAATTCTGGAGGATGAGCGACGGTCATGGACTAGCCTTCTGCAGGTAGACAGTGAAGCGCCCGAGTTAGACTCTCCGGAGGCCGTTGTCAAGGCCCTTGTTCAGGAACGAATTGAGAAGGCCACCCTTGTGGACAAGCTTGGAAAAGTCGATGCACAGTTCTTGGACAAAGACGAACTGATCAAGAGTCTAGAGAATGAAAAAGCTCGTTTGCGGCAAGAAATTGATAACCTTCGTGCCGCTGGGGCTGCTGCTAGCGGAGCAGCCGCAGAGAGTCGAGTCAGGTCCAGACTGGAAAGGCAACGAGTTCTTGCAGTAAAGGAAGTCGAATACCTCCGTGCACAGTTGAAGACCTTTGATACGGAAGAAATGACCATGAATGCAGACCACAGCCAGTTCGACGAACAAAAATCACAGCAGGTGGAACAATTGGAGAAGCTTATCGACGAGTATAGAGCTGAGCTCGAGAAAGCGCACGAGGAATTATCCAAGCGTGAAGCTCCACGACAACAGGACGACTCCCAGACGCCCCGGGGAGTGAAGCGGCCTTTATCACCAGCAGAAAGCGAGGCGGAAAACGAACGACTCGCCGTGTTGATGCGGAAGAATCGAACCCTACAGGAGTCGCTCTCCAAGTCCGAACAAGCGGCAGCTCTACTGAACCGCGAGCTTGAGGCAACAAAATCCCACCTCAAGTCCCTCCAGGCCAAATCACGAACACGCATCCTGGAACTCCGCGATAATCCTACCGCGGAAGTAGAGAAACTTAAACTCTCTACCATCACAACCCTCCGAGCCGAGAACCGCGCCCTCCTCGCGCAACTCCGCAACGAGCACGCAAACATCAAAGTCATCCCCCTGAGCACCCTCGAAAGTCTGAAATTAGACGTTCAAGATATGGAACGCACAGTCGCCGAAAAGGAAAAGCGCATGCGCCGTCTCAAGGAAATTTGGACTGCCAAATCCTCCGAGTTCCGCGAAGCGGTCGCTTCCCTGCTGGGCTATAAACTCGATTTTCTTCCCAACGGCCGCGTCCGCGTCACGTCCATGTTCCACCTTTCGGCTGCATACAGGCACGGCGATCCTAGTGCTTCCTCCGACTCCCGTGGTCCAGGCAGTATGGGCAACGGCGAGGAGAATTCGATCATCTTCGATGGCGAGAACGGCACGATGAAGATCTCCGGTGGTCCGAATAGTATGTTTGCTATGGAGATTAAGCATCTTATCAAGTTCTGGGTTGAGGAGAGGAAGGATATTCCTTGTTTCCTTGCTGCTATGACTTTGGAATTTTATGATAAAACTACTAGGGCTGCCCGGGTATAGTCGTCTTTTGTGTTTTTGCGCATGCTTGGATAGTATGTTAAGCGGGTCTTTTCTTTTCTTCCTCGTCTCGTCCGATGTATAATTACCTATTCCATGCTCAATCCTTTTGATTACGCAGAATAAGGAAACGCTGTGATGTTTATTCCCCCCGTTTTGATAAGTCATGAAACTTTCAGCTGGAAAGAAAACAGCAGTAAACAGACTCCATATGCAGGCAAATTATAACATTCATTCCATTATGGATAATACTTCAATACATATGGCCTACCCCTCAGGAACTTGGCCTTTCAGCCACAATGCCTATTTATTTACAGGACACGATGCTTGATGCATCATAGACAAGTGGGTAGTAATATAGGTCCCTGTTTGATAATATGCTCGGGTTGTGGCAGGTCATGAAAGACAGTCAAAACGAGATGAAGAAATGTTTGAAATAGCATGCACAGAATGCAAACATAAGAAATGAAGAAAGAAAGAATAAAGGGAAAAATGGTAGGGAAAGAAATGGAAATAAAAATATATAGAGGTGGGGAAAAGAAGAGAAAGCCAACGAATGATCAGGACAATATCAGCGACAGTCCGTCCACTCTCATGAATAATACACATTAGGAAAAGTAATCAAAGCCAGCAGACGAGGGATTTAAGATAGGAGAGCATAAACAGTGCCTGGATGGAGTTGGCTGCACAATGAATATAACAGTTAATAAATACTGAGGCGTGAGAAGAGTGCGTGGGTATATATGGGCGTTTATCAAAGATGCCGAGGAAAGAGTCGCATGCCGTTAGAACTCAACGATCGAAAGGAACAACGATAACCACCGGTGATCCAATTGATCGGACGCTTTGACGCTACCTTGTAGATTAGGGTATTGACAAGGTGTCAAATTCTAGAAACGTACCCCTCTTCCAAGAAATTGTCAACCCACATCTAGGAAGACACATACTTCCTTGTCACTAGTTTGCGCACTGTGGGAACTTCCTGCCATGTCAAAGTAGACTGGGCCTCTGCAGACTGTGCACTCGAGGCCTCGTCAGCAAAGGGATCGGTTTCCTTTTGCTCTGTTTGTTGCTCAAAGGCGGCATGGATGCCCAATCGCTTGCCTGCATTAGGCGTTTGAAGCTCAAATTTGGCTTCCACTTTACCTTTACGGGGCCATTTTCCAGCTGTAGTGAACCTGACGAGGAACTTGCCGTCCCCATCGACTTTGACTTCTAGTTCGGGCATCTTCCAAACCACAGAGGAATGCTTGCGACGAAAAGCTGCACCTGCTACGGGATGCATGACAGCGTTCGTGGCATGGGCTACCTCACGAGGCTGCTTTGTAACCTCGTCTATCGGAGACGTATCTAGGGTCACCGTCAAGACGAGATTCTTGATGGTGATCGACTCTGATGACACCGTAGATGAAAATGAGGGATCGAGAGAGTAAAGTATAATGACACTTGCTCGAGACTCTTCCAAGTTCCAAGCCGGTTTAAAGATGACAGGGCAATATGTCGAAGTGTTTGCTTGATCAGTGTGCACTTGATACTTGAAAGCGACAGTCGGCGTCGGACGAGATATGTTCGACAGCAGGATGTTGTATTCGCCTTTTTTATCTTGATCTTTCCCCTGTGAAGGAAGGTCACTCACAAAGTAAGGGTTAGAGGCGACTTTTTCTAGAATTTCGAAGTTATCCAAGCGAACCCGGATATTTTGCGAAGACATTTCCTGGTTCGGAATGTATGCCAATGCAAGCTCTCCAACAACGAAGGACTTTGTGACTGCGCCTTCGGAGAACCACGCACTGACAGTTTCTATGATGGATGCGTTAAGCCCAGGTGTGTGAAGATCTGGGTGAGGAACGATGCTTGCCAGACTATGCTGAGTGTGAGATGAGCGAACCGACGTAGTATCTGAAAGAGTGTGATCTTCTGTGCCGGTACTCGCTGAAGGAACATGCTTGCTTGTGAGCAGAACGGGAGAGCCCGGGGTGGAAGCAGGATCTGTGCTTGAATGTAAAGCAAGGCTTTCTTGTCCTGGAAGCGGCGGACTGTTCGGAAGAAACACCGTGTTCCGAACGTCTCGACGACCACGTACAGTGCCTACATTCCGTCTGACGCCAGTCTTCTGCGCTTGCTTGATGACAGTCAGTACCAGATCGAAAAACGATATCAGAAAGTAGACCCACCAATCGCAAGGTGTTAGCCATGTCATCCATCGCCTGCTTTGCCTGGTCTTCGTCTTCAAAAATGGGTTGATCTCGAATCGTAAGGTTCAAGCCGGACTCATCGCCGCTGTAACAGATCATGTCAATTATTATTCCTTTACGAAAATTGAAGTCAGAATTAAATACCCGGTAGCTTCTCTCTGGATGCGCGTTATCTCATCAATTGTCTGGGGCCGCTCCGAATAGCCTTCTGAATCAACCTGTAGCACCATTGATTAGCTGATTACATTCTTCAAGTACTTTCTTGAGCACATACTTGACTTGTGTGGTTGTTTGCAGCTCTAGAAGAAGTGAGGTGACTCTCTCGAGATGCTACCCCATTTGTGTTGGTAGGAGCAGGCTGAGCTTCTGGTATAGGCGGCTCTGTCGCATGACGACTAAGACCACGAGGCTCATTGGGAGTTCGCGAGGGATCATCGTAAACATCTAGAGGAGCAGACGAAGTTGCTGGGCGGTTTGGACCCAAAGAAGTTGGGGAACCAGGCCCCAATTCGGGAAGCTGATCCCGTTGTGCTGTATCTCTTCTGAATGGAGCAAACGGGCTGCGAAGCTTTTTCTCTGGGAAGACGCTTCCTCCAGAGGGCTGAATGACGCTTTTTCTTCTGTTCATGACAGTGCCTAGCCTCTTGAGACCCCCGAGCGCAGTATGCCGTGGTTCAGGTGTCACAGGATGAGAGGATGCCCTGATGGGACCCGACCTCCCAGAGCGCTGACTGGCAGCATCATCATGAATGCGGGGTGGAGGAGGAAGGGGAGCTTCCCTTGAAGACATGGATGTGTCGTGTCTTCTCGTGGTTACCGGTCTTCCACCATTGAACTTTGCTGCAAAAGTCTTGATTTCATCTGCCGTTTCCACATTGAGAATCACATTCAAACAGGATTCAGCTGCTTGCCGGCAGCGTTCGATGTTATCCGCCTCATGCGTTTCGAACTGCGTCAAGGCATCGCGAAGGTGATTGATTCGACTCTCATCGATGGACTGAAGCTGTTCGAAGACAAATGGTGCCCTGGAGTTCCATTGTTGATTGGCTTCTTCAACAGCGGAGATAGCGCTGGCAAGCTTCTCCGCTCCTCTTCCGCCCTTCTCCCTCGCCTTCTCGACTTTCTTTTGGGAAGACTCCAGACTCTTCGCCAAGGTCGCCAGATCGTTCTGGATACCAGGCATCGACTGAAGTTCCTGGTTTCTGGAGCTATACTCTTTAAGAGGACGCTCGACATCTTCTTCGATTTTCGTGGCAAGAGTCTCATGCGATGCAGCTAGCGATTCGGTGGCATTGAGGATGCGTTGCCAGGGCAGTTGAAATATTCTTTACATTACCGTCAGTGAAACACGGGTCCGAAGTAATAAATAGAGCAGGGCGTCAAAAGCGGGAAGGGTGGGAGGAAAGAAAAGAGCTCTTGCATACCCGAGTGCCTCGCCATTGTCAAGTTGTGGCCGGTGGGTAAGTTTCCGTAAGCCCTGGGCGTAAGCCTCTTCGACACGGCGCCGCTCCTATCGCAGAGACAGAGAAAATGAGTACACCATACAAATCAAGTGCAATCCCAGCGTGCCAGAATGAATTGAGGGAAGATGGTTGAGATTGAGGGCGAATCGACGCACCTGAAGCCAGTCGGCGATGTCGGCATTGACCTTGTTTATGATGCGAATGCGGTCATTTAGGACAGCGGTAGCTTGAACTGGTTGCAGGGAGGCCTAGATGGAGAGAAGAGATCCAATGTTAGATATATGAGCGATTAAGGGCAACGCGGGGGTGGGTGCCACTGGGTGGACATCTTGTCCGGATGTATCATACCAGCAGCGCCGGATACTCCTGCCGGGAGAGCTCCATGACTTTGTCGCAGGTAACACAAGCGGAACGGAGCGCACAGGGGTCAGAGCATAATAAGAATACGCAGGATAGCGAGGAGATGCAGGGACTCTGGAACCCGGGGATCCGGGAAAAAGCAGCAGCGCAGCTGGAGGAGGAGAAGAGGAAGTGATGTGATTGAATCGAAGTCGCAGCGGGAGCGGCTCGAATCCCCAGGACGATCGGTCCCTGATCGGGAAGCTTAGCGAAGTCACATGTTCGCCTTTCCAGCTTCACTTTCAAGTACTTTGCATCGTGGCATCCGTCACTGTTGCCCATTGCTGATATAGCATCTCCATATGGCTGCTCAGGACGTGTGGAGGAAGGCCCTGGGCTTCACCGACAGGCTCGCGACTATCCAGTCTCTGTAAGTGCCGCGGTCTTCAGTGTCAGCGCTTCCCAAACCACGCATAGCTGATAGAACCGTTAGGACCACTGCCTATCAACGTGCATCTTCTTCTGCAGCGTTTGCGGAAGCGCAGTCTCAGGCAAAGAGATTCGAGAGTGAGGCCTATGGCAAAGCCCAGTCGAAAGTCGGTTTCCCAACATCATCGTCATCATCAACGATCCGCGTCTCTTAACCATGTTCATTTATTTAGGAAGAATATGAGCGGATGTGTCAACAAGCCATCGATGACGCAGAAGCGACAAGATCTGTAGCTCCAGTGATAAGCAGCCCCGACCAGTTCCGCGATGACTCGATGGAGGACCGGAACTCTGTTGGAGAGACAATCGGCAAGTACAAGAACTGCATCCCTCACGTAGACGGTCTACATTCTGCGATATTCAAATCACGTCGCGAGGACGGAACTCTAGTTGCAGTGAAGGTGACTGTACCCCATCTCATGGGTGCCCCTCATGATTCGAAACGGGAAGTTAAACTCTTGCAAGAAGTTGCCAGTCCGCATGTGATCTCTTTGTTGGAGGCCTTCAACTTGGCTGGAGGACGACTGGTTTTGATCTTCCCCTTTGTACGGCATGACCTGGAGTTCTTGCTCCATCAGGATATGGTGACTGCATCACAGGTAAGGTTCCATTTACGGGACATGTTCAGCGCGTTGACATACGTCCACACACTGGGAATCATCCACCGGGACGTGAAGCCGTCGAACATTCTGTTAGACTCTCCAGCAGGGCCCGCTTACCTGGCAGATTTCGGTATTGCATGGAAAGAAGGGTCCGAAGGGTCAGAGCCAGCGGACCAGAAGATATTAGATGTCGGTACGACCTGCTACCGTCCACCGGAGATACTATTTGGGCACAAAGGGTACGGGGTAGCCCTTGATCTCTGGGCAGCCGGGTGCGTTGTTGCCGAAGCAGTGTCCGTAGATCACAAGCAGCTCTTCGACTCTGGGCCAGTGGGAAGTGACCTATCGCTCATTCAATCTATATTCACGACCCTGGGAACTCCCAATGAAGATACATGGCCAGTAAGTCTAACGGGCCTCGTTTCAAAGTCCAAGTTGATGGGCTGACTTTGAGAGTAGGAGACTACAAGGCTTCCCGATTGGGGGAAGATCGAGTTCAAGAAATACCCTGCCAGGCCGTGGGAAGATATTCTCAAGGGTGCTTCTTCCAACGGGCGAGACCTGGTGAGCAAATTGGTTGTCTATGAGAGCAGTGCGCGGATATCGGCCGCTGAGGTATGTAACTAGGCAGCGTCCTTCCGCAGCCCCTTCTCTAACGATCCACAGGCTCTGAGGCATCCATATTTCTGTACACCTTAAATTAACACTGTTTGAACTTTGAAGTACTGCATTCTGGTACGATATGAGCGTTTGTTATAGTTTAGAGACAGTGTGACACTAACAATCCAGATACTCTTCTCTCTAATTAATATGGTGTCAACGATACATGATGGCCGAACGTTTAATACAGATTACAAGGCACAAAAATAATAATGTCAACAACAACATAAACAAAGGGATAGCCAACGGCCGGACGACGGTGGACAATTTCTTCCGTGTATGCACGGGCAGGTTAAACTCTACGGTTCCCGGAGGAAATAAGGTGCTACCGGAATTAGCATGCCAGCACCAATGAGATCTGCGAGATTGACACGAGAAACTATTGCACACTGGATACATGTGAAGTCACAAATGGCAATGCAGGGCAATCAATTTTTAGCTCGTGTCAAACAGATGAATGTGGTGCCTTCCAAGACGCTAGGAAAAACCGGAGGTGGCTCTGCAGCCCCTCCAAGCCGTGGATGCTTGGTAATTTCAGTCCAGGACGGTTACAGTGTGATCAACTGGTCACTCGCTCCATGTGGCTGCTCAAAATGTAACCCGTTGCTATTAAACCGGCATACTGCTGAAGACTGTGTACTGTACAGCGTAGAGTAGGTACTCCACACTCCACACAAAACATCCAGGGATCCGGGATGGCGAGACGCTTTCGTGATTTCTGACGATACAGAACCAGGGACAGTAATTTATACCTCCAATCATGTCCGAGATACCGGCCGTGCTTGCTGCACCTTAACCTTTTTCAGCTAGCGCAGCGCACGGGACCACTCACAGCACCGTTGGAAATACGCGGTAAATACGGGCTGATTACAGTGCTCCCCCTTTCCCACTGCCTCTTCATTGTGAAGTCTCACGTCTCGCTCTCTTCCTCCTTACATCCCGCTTCATCCTTTCTTCTTCCAGCTGCTCCTCGTTCGCTCCTTTGGATGGCTTGACCATCCTCATTCGTACTCGTGGGCATCCCACGCCACTCTCATTACCAGCATCCCTTGTTTTCATTCCTTCTCGCAGCCTGGAAGCTCGTCCGCCACCTTTCTTTTTCATCGATCACGGTCGGCTTGTGGCCCGTATACCGTCGTTCTTTTCGCTCCGTTTGTCCTCTAGCTAGGACTCCATTTCGTTCTTCTCTCACGCGACGCGCTATCTCGTCCTTTTCTGTTGAAACGTGTTTGTTGCTATCGAAATATCACCACCTCGATCTTTGTTCCACCCTACCTACCCTTTCGCGCCATAGAGTACGATTCGTTTACTCCCATAACCCATCAAGTGCAATTTTCAGTGAACCCTCCATCGCATCGGATTGGGTTGCGCCAACTCAGCAGTTCTTAGAAGGCAACCGTTGGTCAAAGCTTCTATATACGGTTCTCCGTCTTGGAACCATGGTTCACGGGCATGGCCATCATGAGCATATCGCTCACCTCGAAGAGCGCAACCTCGAAGAGCGTAATGACTTCCCTGTATCAATTGTTTATATAACCGCTGTCCCAACATTCACCGGCCCAATTGGTGGCTATATTACCGGTACCGCACCTCCCGCGACTGCCGATGATCCCAATACTGCCACTGCTGCACCTACTGCTGGTGTTGGCGGCGCTGTTCGGCAGTCACGGACTTCACAGGAGGCCCCGACGACAACAGCGGTGGTAGAACCGACCACCAAGGAGACTACAGCAGCGCAGCCGACGACTACTGAAGCGACTCATACTACGCAGTCTAAGGCCCATACAACTTTCACTCTCGCCACTAGTAGCAGCGACCAGAACACTCAGTCAACCTTCTCTTCAGATGTGTTGACTGCAATCACAAGCACATCCACGGCCCCCACCTCCGCTGTATCTGCTACGGAATCAGAAAATGTCGCCGGGGCGACCCTTGCGTCTTCCCCTAAGGCTTCGTCCGACTCAGCTTCAGTGGCTTCGGTTACTCCGACCACAGCCGCATCGGCCTCCAATGGTCTCTCGGGAGGTGCGAAGGCCGGCATTGCAATTGGCGTCATTTTGGGTGTCGGAGTGATTGCAGGACTCATATTTCTCTTCTTGCTGCGTAAGAAGAAGCAGGCTGGTAGGGAGCCAATTGAAGATAACGAGAAGATTGTTGATGACTTTTCATCTCCGGCACCGGCACCTGCGCCTGCGCCTGCACCTCCTCCCATAGTGGAGGCTAAAGCTCTCCCCGACCCGCCACCTGAGCTTAATGTGCGCCCTGTCACTCAATTCGCCCCAGACCTCGCTGTTGGTGGTGCCCTTGGGGCTGGCGCTGCGGCTGCTGCTGTCGCTTCACATGGCCGTAACGATGGCGCTGATCCTGCTGTCGCTCCTGGTACCGCTGTCACGTCTGGTACTGCTGTCACGTCTGGTACTGCTGTGTCGCGCAACCTTACAGGCAATCAACCGGAATATAAGGCTTACTCTCCCTCCCTCCAGAGCCCGCCGGTCCAAACTTCACCTGAAACTCCAAAAGACAGTGACAGCCACTCGGATCCGTTTAGTGATCCTGTGAATCCGTTCGATAACCAAGCAGAGGATCCTTCTCCACAGAGCTCGACAGCGCCATCCATAGCACCAATGCCGCCTGTGTCGCCTATGTTTTCTGGCTTCCCTACGCTTGCTACGGAGACTGCCCCGGCAGCAGGTTCTGAATTAGAAGATGCCTCTGCCAATACAACTCTAGCGGTTACCGCCACTGACGCTGCTACTGATGCTGTGGCTACTGCCGCCGTCGGTGTTGCTGCCGTCGCAGCTTCATCGACCAACGAGGCCGATAAGAATAAGGATAGTCCCAACAAGCAGGAAACCCGGGCGTCATCTCCAACTGATACCACTACCAGACCGTTGACTCCTGCTAGTGCTACCAGTGCAGATGCTGTTTCTCTCTCTTCAGAAAAGGTGGCCGCCGCTGCTGCTATTGGTCCTGGCCCAAGTAATGTACATCGCGTGCAGATGGACTTTAACCCCTCTATGGACGACGAGCTTGAACTTCGTGTTGGACAACTAGTTAGACTGCTACATGAGTACGATGATGGATGGGTATGTTCTTTAATACCCTTTGGGATGCTTAATTTCCCTTCGTATTCCATGCTAACGATTAAATATCACAGGCATTGTGCGTCCGGCTTGATCGTTCTCAACAAGGAGTGGCTCCACGGTCCTGCTTGTCTGCGAGACCTTTGAAACCCCGATCTCGTAATCCGAATGGACCTGGACCTGCTCCACGTTTACCGGTAAACGGACCAAATGGCCCTCCAATGCCTCCGGGACCTCCGGGACCAGCAGGACCACCTCCCTTCTTCCCCCCAGGTCCCCGACCAATGTCGCCTAGCGGGCCCGGTTTCCCTATGCCAATGCCGTCAGGTCCCCCGCGTCCCTCCCAATTCCCAAATGTTCCCTGGTCTCAATCACCCGGACCACGTGTAGTCCCTCCGCCCCTGAGGTCGGCGAGTCCCGGGCCGTATGGGTATCCAGACATGCAGAAACCTCCAGCCCTCGTTAGCCAAAGACCACGCAGCAACAGTACCAGCAATGTCGACGGGCTCGGTCCGCGAACTAACGGTCCTCCTAAGACGAGTCCTCTGGCAGGACCAGCTTCTCCGCCGCCTTCAACTGAACCCCCGGCCATCCCTACCTCGTCGTTACCAACAGAAGTCAAAAGAAAACCTGTTCCGGGTCCTCCAAGCGAGTCTTCCTAGGCGAGGATCGTGCACCTGTGAAATGGGAGTGATCTTATTAATCAAAACAACTCCATTGCTTCATTTCCACTGGTCGAGACAAGTTTGGTATGGCGAGATTGTTGTACGTCAGCGACGCGAGATCTATCTCCACTGTTACCATTGATCTTTTCCATGTTTTTTTTTTTTTTTTTTTTTTTTTTTTTTTTGGAATTTTCTTTTATTTCTTTTCATCTTCCCTTTCCTTTTGGTCAGACTTTTTTTTTTTGCCTTCTCGCGTTCCGGTTTTGTGACTTTTTACCCAGCTGCAATATGGCAAGGTGAAGTGGAATTTCCACTCAGCAAGCTGGTTTTTGAAGACATCAAACCCGGTATCATTGTACATACACTCTTGTTCTCGTTTTGTCATGTATGAATCCCCTCAGGTATTGGAGCCTTGCCCATGTGTGAGACCCCGCCCCAAACGTTGTAATATCTTGTTGGACATACATGAATCTATCCCTCTGACTGTTCATTCCGCCTGGATGTCAGTGTTACTTTTTATGCCTTCCCCTGGACGTTTGATGTGTCATCAGCATGTTGTAACTATGTTGTATATGTAGTGGTACGTAGTATTCTATGTTTTATAGCACATGTATCTTATTTCCAGCATGTTAGGCCTCTGAGAACGCAGCAAGCACAATAGGGTGACCTTGATAAGACACACCGTTGTTCCAGATTGTGACAATCCTCTTAGCCTACAGAGCTAACTGCCGGTCTTTGTGAAACGCAATCTGCGTGCCACTTGAGGCTTGTCTCACCGCCTTCCTCCATCTTCTCTTTTCTCCCTAACCTGCCCTGCCCAATCACCTGCTAGTTCCTTGTTGCTCCTCGTTCTGTCATCTACCACTGGAACCTCGCCTACTAGGAGCTGGGGCATAGGGAATAGGCCTTCATGAGCATCTCTAAGAGGAAGTACAGAACCTCTGGGTGCAGGTGGAATGCCTACCCTTGACGCCCTCTGCAACACCCCGTGCACCTATGTCGACCCTTGGGATAATGATGGCAGCAATGGAAACATTGTACCGGGAAACCGCAGAAAGGCTTAGGCTTTTTCATTCTACTGTCTCTTCAGTGTTTTCCCGGGTTGGGGCACGGGGCGTCAGCTCCACTGACGTTAAATAGATTGCTAGGCCGCATAGTTAGATACAAGATTCAACAACAAGAATTTTCAGTGAGAAGTTCTTTGTTCAAGGCCTTCATATTGTGTGCAATGGCATTTGCCTAGGTATTAAGCTACAGTCTTTGTGTATGCAGCCTTCCTACCTTTACGCTCTCCGCCTCCGGGACCGCTCTCACGAGCTCACTAGTCATACAACGCCTTTAGCTGATGCCTCCCCACAGCAACTGCCAACGCTCACATTTTTGCAGCCCTATTGAGTGCACCCTCAACCCAAGAAGTGCAAGTGGCTGGGATTGGCACCAACCAAACCAGATATATGGTCTGCTTCAAAAACCTGCAGTTAGCTGAGGTGACCTATAACAACAGAATAGCTAACTGAATTAGGCAATGACGCCATTCTGGTCAAGCCACATTTTGGCGTTGCTGTACACTGCACACTGATGGAGGATCCCAACCTGGATGGAGACAAAGCCCAAGCCATCCAGAAGATCACGGATGAAAATGAGTTGGTTGAACGTGGGTACGAAATTGAGGGACCTGTCATGGCTGAAGAGGAAAGACAAAGCATTGGGGATCGTCAACAATGGCCTGCTGGTGGGCAGCAATCGCCGCTCGTAGACGGGGTATCAGATGACGATACAGGTGTTTGATAGGCCTTCAAGCTTTGCATCTTGACATCTTCCATCATCCGCTCCTCACTTTCAGTGAAGGTCATTCCAATGGTGTCACGATCCATGCTCGCGAGCCCGCGGCCCTTGCGACCGGCATAATCACCGCCACTACCGATGCCTGGGAAACCACCCAAGGGCAATTTATATTTTGTCTTCTGAGATGATCCAAACTTGCTGCCGAAGACCTTGGCGAGCCAAATTCTGAGAAGGTGGAATACCATCGGAAGGTTGGTTGTGATGACCGCGACGAAAGTCTCTCGGGTGCCCCATTGATCAGCAATTTGGGCGCCATTATCGGGGTCCTAAAGGGGAAAGGCAGAGTTAGTTGGACTTTCTTCATGTGAATGCGCAATTTGAAAAACCGCTAACTCACCACTAGCAGGAAAACGCTCTTGAGAGTGGCGCAGACAAGTACGAAGATACCAGCGCTAAGGACAATGGTCGTGGCAATCTTTTTAATAAATTTTAGACTAGATTTCCAAAGCATAGGGATTGGAATGAAAATAAGGTATGGGTCAGTGAGGAGGTTTGCGGCGAAGGTGACTGCAATAACTGGCTTGGCAATAGCCGGCTGGCACACATCTGAAGACGAAAATTGTTAGCAGTGATTGATACACTAGAAGAGGTAATCAAACTGACTGCCGGGGTCCGGGTTGATCTGCCAATTTTTGTGGAATGGCCTGCATGCCGTGAAAATCGTGATGACACCGGCGACAAAGCTTGCAATGACGAAGGCAAACCCAACGTAGATGGGAATCTGATACCGTCTACTTAGGCCCTCCTGTTGTTTATTTGTTAGGTATTGATTGCGATGTACCGCTACTTTAGAAAGTCATGGGAAGGCATACCATAAGGCGAACATAGAATGCCAACATAGATAGCTTGAGGGAATTGATCAATGCGACATAGGTGGTCCAGCCTGCAATCTGGATCTTGGAACCAACCACTCTAATCAGATTCTCCATCAGTCGCCGGGTCCATCCGTCTTTCAATTGTTCTAGGGGGCAAAACATACCTGGCGTGATACTCGGGATCGTGAGGGGACAACGCAGCCCGTTGCACAGCCGTCATGCTATTATTCGCGAGGCCACTGGCCACATTGCCAACACTATATGCGAGCGCCGTTTGTGCGGTATAGAATATCTGTAGGAATCAACGGTCAGTGAGTGAATAGGGGTTTTCCAGATCAATTGGCAGCACGCACAATTGCAACCCATATGAAATAGTCATCAAGTCGCAAATTCCTCAAGCCCACGGCTTTCGCTCGAGCACACGTTCTGAGAATCGTCACAGCGACGCCAATTGAGTATAGCGTCCACAGTTCAACCACTGACTTGTATGCAGCCTCAGACGCAGCATCCCGCGCCTTCAAGCTGAAGACCATGCTGCTTATGATTTGTGGGTTTGCCGGGTCGGATGACTGTGGAGGGATGGTATAAATAACAGTGGGAGGTCCAGGATATTCTGAATAGCACCCTGCTTGTCATCTCCTTCGCGGCCATTTTCACTTCTCCAATCGCCGAGCGCAGTTTCACGGGGTAACCGTTACATTATATGGCGAGAAAAGATGCTAGGGCACGAGAATCTAGAATAAAATAAAGCGACTAAAGTCCAAGCAGTCTATTCCTGTCATGTGGCTTATACTAGGCTTTCCGCTGATGTGGAGCTGACACAGGACGCACAGTTCAGGCGGCTTGTACGGAGTAACCGACCCCTACGGTAACCTTCGGGGTCGCGCGTATTGCGCGACCCTGACAACCACCCGAGCACCCCAGCCACCCGAGCACCAATTTTAGACCCCCCTTCTAGCTTCAATATCTCAACGAATTCTATAGTATTTAACTTCAAAATATATTTAAACTAAAGCTCTACTCTTCAGCTTGGGCCCTAGCATGTCGTTGCCTTCGTATAATAATTCCTCGTCGAATGCATACATCCAGCAGCTCTGGTAGGCAACGCTTATACTTAGTCCTCCACCTCTTTATTTCAGCCTGCTCATTAATATTCGCAGTATTTCGATTTATAGCTTCAAGCTCTGAGCTTGATACTATGCCTCCCTTGCGAATCCTGCGCCTAGAGGCCTGTGATCAAGCTGCGCGGTCCCTAGCAGCTTTAATATACCGGTCAAGCTCAGCTTCGATAGCAGCTGAATATGATGCTAGCATACTACCACCATGAATAAGCAGCTCTAGGCCCTCATTAAATTGATCCTTGTTGATATCATGAATCTCCCATATCCTATCACCAATCTCCCTAAATCATTCAGCTTTTTTTTGGCGTACTGCCCCAGGAATCAACATCATTGGTATTGGTGGATGAAGAGGATGGATGATGTGGTTGAGGCATTTGATTGAGTACAATTGATGGATTGAATGGTATGATGCCAGTCTTTTGGAATCCATGCCGAATAGTACGCTTTTTGAATGTCTTCTTGCGAATTGCCCCTAAGGCATGAAGGAATTCAACCTTAGTAAATTTACTGTATTCTGAGTAGGTTGCATCTGCAACTGCTTCTGAATGCCAGTGCTTATATGCATGAAAAACACCAACATCCAATGGCTGCAAGAAATGACTTGTATATGGAGGTAAGAAGAAGGTGATGATATTGGTCTTCTCACAGAATTCAACAAATTCATGTGTTAGATGGGAGCCGTATCCATCACATATAAGAAGGGTATATTGACCCTTCCTATATCTTTTAGTATGCCGATAGAATGACTGAATCCATTGGAAGGCAATTGTATCAGTCATATAGCCATTTTCTGATACTCCAATTGAATAGTCTTGTTGAATATCAGCAGCTTCAAACCAATTTGTAAGTATACAGCTACCACTCATGAGAATAAGTGGTGGGCAGGTCCAGCCATCTGCATTGACTGCTTCAACCACAGTAACATATTCACAGTTTGAATTCATCCCAATATGAGGCTTATTAATATTGAAGTCCCTGGTAATAATCCATTGATCACAACCAACACTGATATTGAAGCCAGTCTCATCAAAATTGTAGATATCCTCCTTTAATATCCCATGGTTCTGGATGGTCTGATGGAGCTTCTGAAACCACTCCTGAATAACCTCATGATCCTCTGCACGCTTGTGGTCAAGCTCTATAGCTCTAGAGCGACGTCTTTTATATTCAGGATGCCTTCCTAGCCATCAGTTTAACCATTTCTCGCTGACAGTAGGTGGAGGGGTGTCTAGGCTGGTATGGGTTGATCTCAGAATAGAATTGGCACTTGATTGGATCATTTGTGCAAGTGGCTTTATATTTAATTGCTCTAGAGTATCAACATAGTGACACAGAGCCTTTTCTTGCTCTTCTGATAATCTGGTGTTGGTTGGTGGTCGTTCACATAGATTGGACCGTCCCTTCCACCTTGCGGAGAGGGTTTGCCGTTTAACTCCATATTCACGTGCAGTTTTGGCGATATTTGGGGGATTTTGTGTGCTTAACGCGTCAATAGCTTTGAGCATTCGATCTTCATAATTTTTATTGAATTTGGGCATGGTGGTGGTGGTTGAATTATATGATAAAGTTGATGGGTTGGAATTCTACGAAGTTCTAAAATCGGTGCTCGGGTGGTTGTCAGGGTCGCGCAATACGCGCGACCCCGAAGGTTACCGTAGGGGTCGGTTATATGTATTGATATGGAGACGCCGCGTTTCGCTGATGTAGCTAATTCCCGCAGTTTCCTCGCGCTCCATGTTGCACAATACGCGTTGCCTTTATCTACCGAGGATATGGGTAGCTTCCACAGCCCGCAATTGGCAAATTATCACCGAAATCCTGTCAGTTTCAGCAGGTTTGGACTAATTAAACTGACGTGGTGACTAGGTAACGGGGTTTCAGCTGGAACAGCTTCCAGGAACGCCCGAGTGGGGAAGCTAATGGCCTGGATGGGATCGGGGATGTAGCATAAACTCGGCCTCACTACAGCGCCGTACAAATGCGGAACACGGCATTGGTGCCGACGCGAAGAACCAGCAGGCCTTCTTCCCCTTTACAATGCCTCTGCTGAAGAGCTTGAATTCCAAGAAAAGCTCAAGTGGAATTGCAAGCACCAGTGGGGATATCCCTACCAGCCATGGTGAATTGTATGTGCTCCTGGGTTGCGCAAAAGGGACTATGCAAGGGAGTGGGGGGGGGGAAGGCCATGGAGACTTCGTCGTTGCGCTAGTTATTCAATTGAGACTTTTTTTTACGACTAATGCCGAATCAATGTGGAAACCCCCCAATAATAAATATTGGTTCATAAGAATCTGAGAACCTGCGTCCCGCGGAACTGAATTGGCAAGGGATTCTTGCAGAGATCATCGGCCTGTTCACGTTCTCTTCTGGCATTGCACGCAAGGGGGTGTGCATCCGGGCAATTTGGGTTTTGCTTGCTTTTCTTTTTGTTGCCCTTGTCGATTTCGAACACCTATCTGGACAATGTTTCGGCTCAAGATGGAGGTGCTGACGGCCGTTGCAGCGTGGGCTTTCGCGTCGGCCTGCCATAGCTTGCCTGGCGCTTGCAATTACCTCGACAGACACTGCCCACGAGGAGATGCTGACCTGAAGGCTCTTGAGGATAGCCTTTCGAGCACTGCCAAGGTGTATTTCCCCGGGTCCAGCGGGTTCACGAATGCCACCACCCGGTGGTCTGTTCTGGAAGAGCCCAAGGTCAATGTTGTTGTTGTCCCTGGCACGGAGAATGATGTTGTTGAGACTGTCAGTGTTTATCTTCCCCTACCTAGGGGCCAGTCGAGAGGCATTTGGACCGTTTGGAAAGGCTGATTGCGGTGTTCATATAGGTGAAATATGCCAACAAGAAGAACCTCCCCTTCCTCACGTACAACGGTGTGCATGGAGCCCTCGTTTCCCTGGGCAAGATGGATCACGGTGTTGGCATCTCTCTAAACCAACTCAGCAGCGTCGAAGTCGCCGAGGATGGAAAGACGGTCACGATTGGCGGTGGAACTGTGTCCAAGAAGGTCACCGATGATCTCTGGGCTGTAGGAAAGCAGGCTGTTACCGGAACCTGCGAATGCGTCAGTCTTCTGGGGCCTGCGCTTGGTGGTGGACACGGCTGGCTCCAGGGTCACCACGGACTTGTCTCCGATCAGTTCGTCTCAATGAACGTCGTGCTGGCCAACGGTACGTTGACCAAGATCGACGCAAACTCCGAGCTGTGGTGGGCGATGAAGGGTGCTGGACACAACTTTGGCATCGTGACCTCCCTCACCACCAAGGTTTATGAGATCGAGCACAGCGACTGGGCGATCGAGACCATCATCTTCAGCGGTGATAAGGTCGAGGCTGTCTACCAGGCCGCCAACGACTACATCGTGAAGAATGGCACCCAGCCCGTTGGTGTCATCAACTGGTCGTACTGGATGAACAACGCTGATGCTGACCCTAACAACCCCGTCATTGTCTTCTATATCATCCAAGAAGGCGTCAAGGCCGTCGATTCGATTTACACCAAGCCTTTCCACGACCTTGGGCCTATTTCCGCCACAGCTCAATCAGGCACCTACAAGGATCTTGCTGGGTGGACCAGCATCGCCGTCGATTCCCCTCCTTGCCAGAAGCTCGGATACGCCAACCCTCGTTTCCCCATCTACCTTGAGCAATACAATGTTTCTGCCCAGAAGAAGGCTTGGGATATCTACGCTCCTGCTGTCCGGGGATCTTCCGCCTTCAACAACTCGATTTTTATGTTCGAGGGCTACTCCGTCGAGGGCGTGCACGCCATCCCTGCCGAGTCGTCCGCTTTCGCTTTCCGTAGCGAGAACCTACTTGCGGCCCCTATGATCAACTATCTGCCCGCCGGTCCGGCCCTTGAGCGCAAGGCTGCCGATCTGGGTAATCAGCTCCGTGACATCCTCTCTGAAGGCACTGGCCGCAAGGACTTCCGCGCATACATCAACTATGCTTACGGAACCGAGACCTTCCAGCAGATTTACGGCAGTGAGAAGTGGCGCCAGCAGCGTCTGCGGGATCTGAAGCACAAGTACGACCCTCAGGGTAAGTTCAGCTTCTATGCTCCTATCGCATAAATGGATAGATAAGGGTTATGAAGATGTGCACATATACCCAGGCTCCCAAGTCATTGTACATGAGCACACAAGCTGTAATAATTGCAATTTGTTTTGGCTATTTAGACTTCAGTATAGTAGAATAAACAGGACAGCTTCCAGCTCCAAGCAAGAATCCTCCACCCGGGTAGTACTTATAATAATGTTTTTGCAAAAGCAAGATGCATGTCACGAACAAAAGGAAATAACGCCAGCCATTGTCGGATCTTTAAACCGTTCATATCTTCGGTGATACCATCCGTCTTATCCAATGGATTGCACGGAACTGCATGAAAGCACAGGCTGCGGAAGCCAACCGGGAAAGTCCCACTGTTATGAAAGCAGAAAGAGTCCAGGATGGAGCAACTATTGTCAAAGCTACCTAACTATACGTCTGATACAGTGCATACGGGCCGAGTTGAACATAATCAAGGGTCGGGTTGAGAATGTCTAACCCACCCCAGGTTGAATTGATAATGCTCAACGAAAACGTAAGTGGTGAGGCTTCGCGGCAAGTTCAAGTTCTGAGGAACTCAGCCAAGGCTTGAACGAACCCACTCTTTGAGACGTCCAAATGACCAGGGTTGTGGAGAACAGACATCTCATCAGCAACCATTCTTAGGCCATGTAGAATTCACTCAATCAACTAACCCTTGAGGTACAACTGCACAATGTATGAGTGAGGCTTCTTGTCGGCTAGTTGAGTATTTAGATGGGCCGTAATGAAATCAATCTGCTCACAGTATAGCTTCTTCATGGCAATAGTACTTAATACAATTTTGATTGCCGCAGATCACCCATCTAGCTCAGTGTTTGGTGAGAATACTGTCATGACCCGTTTTTGACGTCAAATACCCAGAACCTACATCCCAGGCCACTTCGTGCCAGTTTGTGCCTGGATCGTCCATTCCGGTCGATGAGCTGAAGGACTTGCCCGACGGTCAGCCCATGGACTGCATGAAAGTTGACGCTGGGAAGGGCAGTAGCCGAATCTGCACATAGACAGTTAACGTGGTTGAAAGTACCCATAACGTCAGGCGCGCGGGCTTTGATCATGTTGAGACGGACGGACAGAGTTCTTATTCCCAGTGCAAAGAAAGATCGAAGCATAGTTCCCACTGCATGTCCGACTCGAAAAACCTTCCAGTAGAATGCATAGTAACTCTGATTCTCCCAGCAGACCGATCGTGGTCACTTGAAACAAGATCCCTCGTACTCATTGTCAATGGTATCTATGGAATCATGGAGGCTATTGTTTGTCTGAAAACGAATGTCTGGGACTGAGGGGGGCAGGAAGAGGGGGAAGCAGCGTCTCAGACAGTTTCAGTCTTTTGTGGTACTTTTTACTAGCTGCAGATAGCAGAGCATTAGATACTTTCGTCATTCATGAAGCCAATTCAGTCTAGTCCAATGCGAAGAATCTTGCACTCTAATGTATGACGGGAAGCGCGCTCACACCAGTCGCATTGTTCATCAGTAGTGATCGACCGTCAAATTGCTACATGTCGTCCGAGCCTCGCCTGCTTAGAATATAACCAGCAGCTTTATGTCAGTGGTTCTCGAATAGGCCCGTTTACTGCATTAATAGAGTCTCTGGAGGAAGGCAACCTCGGGATTTTCCGGTGGGCGGATGTTTTCGAGAAAACCCGGGGGAAAGTAGGGAGGGCCAGAGTGGGTCAGGCACTCTGAGAATATGCAGTAATAATAGACAGGTACGGCCCTATGGCATATGCACTTCAAAACAGGCGGCTCCTGCGAGTGATCTGTCGGGAAGTACTCTGTAAAGGAGCACCTGGGTAGAGGACACGGCAACATGGTTTGCCAACCGAGAAGCCCTCAATGTCAGAGCATTAGCCACAAGCAAGGGCACGCACATACAGGAATCCATTAATGGGTGTTGATGAATGAATGAATGAATGCCTGAACCCCATGCCAGAATGCGTCATTGTACATCACCCCCGATGCAGCAGCAGACATGGGTTTGTAGGGAGCGCCAAATGAAAAAGAAGGCAAAGCGGCCCGCTCACACAACTAGATTGGACCGGAGGATGCAGCCACGACAGCCCGCAGTGGCTTATCTCAGCAATGGCGAAGCCTCTGCAGTTGCAGGACGGCTGGCATGATCTGATCTTGAGGATTGGCATGAATCTTTCTTGTTTGGTCGATGCTGGAGAGACGGAGCATCTGCGAAAACAGGGTACGCTAACAGGCGAGTCCAACTGTACGGCATCGACCAGATCAGTCTACCGAGCGCGGAGGACGCTGCTCCGGCTTGACTAAATGCTTGGAGATGCTTAGAGATCAGAAGCACACCGGCGCGCACAGAAAGAGTAGTCCGGGAGTGGCAGCTGGAGGGAACGCGGGATGTCTGGAATGGGACGAATTGGACGTGAAGGGGCAATATCTGGATGAATCTGGGTGAATCGAAGGGCCTGTGTAATGGTAAATAAATGATAATAGCGGGAGTGATGAGGTCAATGTCCCAGCAATGGCATTACGGAGTAATATCCTGAATGATGGTTGTTCCCTGCTTCAGCTTCCCCCACCACAGACATCATCATCTCTCCGTGGGCGTGACTCCCCCACCGCCAGCTTTTGCTCCCCTCCATTTTTTCTTCCCTTCCCTTCTTCTTCTCCTTCCCTTTTCTTCTTCTCTTCTCTCTCCATCCTCCTTTTCAATCTCCTCTAGTGCTTCATCCTCTTTATCATTTATCATTCCCCATAAATCTGCTTGGTCTGTAGTGAAGGTTTTATAGGTCCGTTTAAGCTTCCCTTACCCCTCCGGTCGCTCCGTGTCTCTCGCTCTCTGTTTCTTCCCTTTCTCCAAGCTAATATTCGCTCCTCAGGAAAAGTCTGTCATCATGGGTTTCTCCGACGTGGACCAGTTGGCTATCAACACCATCCGTGTTCTTGCCGTAGGTTCCCAATTCGTCATCTGGGGAAAACCACCGTGCAAGAGCTCTAATCTCCTTTCTAGATCGATGCCACATCCAAGGCTAACTCCGGTCACCCCGGTGCTCCCATGGGCTTGGCCCCCGCGGCTCATGTCCTCTTCAACAATTTCATGTCCTTCAACCCCAAGAACCCCGCGTGGCCCAACCGGGATCGATTCGTTCTCTCGTATGCCTCACCTTCAGTATGACCTCATAAAACGGGGTGGACGAGTAGCTGATTTTTTTCAATCAGGAACGGTCACGGATGCATGCTCCAGTATGCTCTTCTTCACCTTTTCGGCTACGCCCTTTCCATTGACGACTTGAAACAGTTCAGAGTATGTGAACGACCTTCCAATAGCTCAGAATTGACAACACCGCCGGTTGGAATCTAACCCATATCTTCTTACCAGCAACTCGATAGCCTCACTCCCGGTCACCCCGAGGCGAACCACACTCCCGGCATTGAGGTCACCACTGGGCCTCTCGGCCAGGGTTTCTCCAACGCCGTCGGTCTTGCTATCGCCCAGGCTCACACTGCTGCGGTCTTCAACAAGCCCGGATATGACCTCTTCAACAACTACACATACACTATCTTCGGTGATGGATGTGCTATGGAGGGCGTCGCTTGTGAAGCTGCCAGTCTTGCTGGTCACCTGAAGCTCGGCAACCTGATTGCCATTTACGATGACAACCATATTTCCATCGGTAAGACAACACTCATCGTTAGAGCCTGCAAAACTTCCGTCCAGATATACTGACATTACCAAATAGACGGTGACACCAAGTGCGCCTTCACTGAGGATGTGCTGAAACGCTTTGAGGCCTATGGTTGGCATACCCTGTGGGTCAAGGACGGTGACCACGACCTCGAGGGCATCGCCGCTGCCATTGAGAAGGCTAAATCGGTTACCGACAAGCCTACCGTCATCAAGGTGACCACCACTATCGGTTATGGCTCCAAGCTGCAGGGTACTGGTGGTGTGCACGGCAACCCTCTGAAGGCTGATGACGCCCAGAGCGTCAAGCAGCGCTTCGGTTTCGATCCGGAGAAGACCTTTGATGTTCCCCAGCAGGTTTACGACCTCTACGCCAAGCACGCTGCTGAAGGCGCTGCCAAGGAGCAGGAATGGAACCAACTTCTCCAGAAGTACGCTTCTGAATACAAGGCTGAGCATGCTGATCTTGTCCGCCGCCTGTCTGGCAAGCTTCCCGAAGGTTGGGAGAAGAACCTGCCAACCTACAAGCCTAGCGACCCTGCGGTTGCGTCTCGTAAGCTCTCCGAGGCTGTTCTCGAGAAGATCCATGACGCCGTCCCTGAGCTGCTTTCCGGCTCCGCTGACCTGACTGGCTCCAACAACACCCGCTGGAAGAATGCCGTCGACTTCCAGCCTCCTGAGTATGGCATTGGTGAATGGTCTGGTCGCTACCTTCGTTATGGTGTTCGTGAACATGGCATGGCTGCTGTCATGAACGGTCTTGCTGCCTATGGCACTGTTATTCCTGCTGCTGGAACCTTCCTTAACTTCGTTTCTTACGCAGCGGGTGCTGTCCGCCTGTCTGCTCTGTCTCGCGTCCGCGCTATTTACGTCGGTACCCACGACTCTATCGGCCTGGGTGAGGATGGCCCTACCCACCAGCCTATTGAGACTCTGGCCCACTTCCGCGCATTGCCCAACGTTATGGTCTGGCGCCCTGCCGATGGAAATGAGACCAGCGCTGCTTATTACTCTGCTCTCACCGCTAAGCACACTCCTAGCATTCTCGCTCTCACTCGTCAGAACTTGCCGCAGCTCGAGAACTCGACCATTGAGAATGCCCTGAAGGGTGGTTACGTTGTCGTGGAGGCACCCAATGCAGCCATCACTCTCATTTCCACTGGTTCCGAGGTCAGCATCTGCATCGATGCTGCTACCGCACTCAAGAAGCAGGGCATTGTTGCCCGTGTGGTTTCCGTTCCCTGCTTCGAGGTCTTCGATGCCCAGGACAAGGCATACAAGCTGAAGGTTCTTCCCGATGGCATCCCTGTTCTGTCGGTCGAGGCTCTTTCCACATTGGGTTGGGAGCGGTACTCCCACGAGCAGTTCGGTCTGAACCGCTTCGGTATCTCTGCCCCTTACAAGGAGATCTACAAGGTAAGAAAGAAACATAGGTTAATGATAAGCTGCGCAAACCGAACAATGCTAATAATTCCCGAACCAACAGAGATTCGAATTCACACCTGAGGGTATTAGCAAGCGCGCTATTGCGACCATCGAATTCTACAAGGGCCACCCAGTGCGCTCCCCAATCAACCGTGCTTTCGAGCAGATTCTGTAGACCAGCATGGCGATGGGGTAGAGTGATGTTAGTCCCTGAGATTTAGGGGCTAATGACTGATAGATGTTTCCTAAAAATATTTTAATGATTTTCTGTTTCCTATACTTGATGGGTTACTGCCGAAAGATCCTAGAAAGATCAAAGATGAAATGAGCAATATTATGTTAGGGAATTTTATGTTAGATATAGGATTAGAGAAGGCTTTTGCTTCAATGAGAATCTAGAAGTTCAAGAACTGGATCCAATTATATATAGTGACTTGTGTGAAATCGTAACAAATGGTTAGGTTCAAAAGATATAATTGCATATATTCATTCCTTTCATTCAACCGAGCTAATAATCGTTATCATCAGATCGAAAGGAGGCAATATATTCATCAGGAAGGTTAGCCTCTCGTTATGAGACCAGAAAATTTTTTTTCTTCTAATCTTCCCTCCCCTCTTCATCTAGTTTCCCCGCCCTTTTATCGATGCCTATTCTCTTCCTTTCGAAGAGAATCAATCCAAATTTACAAATTACTCAAACCAAGCAGATCTATCCGACTCTAAGCATCCGCGTCCAAAACTTTGCGTGCAAAGTTCGGTAGAATGAAGCTAGCAGAGTGGATCTCCTTGTTGTAGTAGCGGCAAAGGCGCTCTTCCTCCTCGCGAGACCAGGTGCGCATGGGCACACGCAGGTTGCGGTTGGGGTCCTTGGTGCAGACCATGAATCCGATCTGGCCGGATGGGTAGGTCGGGATGGTGGTGTAGGCGTATTCGGCGACGGGAAAGACCTCTTTGCAGGCCTTCTTCAGGTCGCCGATCAGTTTCAGATGGAGCCATTGGTTTTCAGCTGTACGTTTGGAAACAATAATCAATAGGGGGAATCCTAACCATGACCGAGCCCAGGGGTCGGGATGGTTGTTTGAGACATTGAACACGTTAGCCAGTTGATCTTTTTCTCTTTCGAATTGAATAAGACAATTAGGACGGAAGAAGGGGGGAAGAAGAGGGGGGGTGGGAGAGGAAGAAAAATGAAGGAAGATAATAAAGGAAAGGCGACGAACAACCTTGAGTGGTGATAACACCTCCATCGCGAAGGGCATCGCGCAAGAGTTCGAAGTAAGATTTCTGGAAAAGGGACTCGGCAGGACCCTCGGGGTCAGAGCTGTCGGTGATGATCACGTCGAATTCGTTCTTGCGGTTTCGCAGGAACTCGAAGCCATCGCCGATGTGGACCTTGACGTTAGGGTGCTGGAAGCCGATGCTCATGCCGGGGAGGTACTTCTTGGAGACACGGACGACGGCCTGGAGGAGAGTGTTTGATTGTTTTAGTTATTTCCAGCTTTTCCTTTCCGCAGGAAGACTAAGGTTACCTCATCGATATCGCAAAGGATGGCCTCCTCAACAGTCTCGTGCTTGACGACCTCGCGAAGGACACCACCATCACCACCACCGATGACGAGAACCTTCTTAGGGTTGGGGTGCGAGTTCATGGCCAGATGGGTAATCATCTCCTGGTAGCTATTCAAGACCGATGTCAGTCCAGCGTCCCTTATCTAGCTAGATAAAAATAGGTCTCGAAACGTACGAAAACTCATCCCGCTCGGTGCACTGAATGACATTGTCAAGAACAAGCACAGTGCCGTAGTCGCTGCTCTCGAAGACGAGAACATCCTGGTACTTGGACTTCTCGTGGTGGAGGATCTGGTTGACCTTCAGGTTCATGGCCTGGCCAGGCCACATTTCCGATTGCTCGGAGAACCAGCCATCTGTAGGTTGGAGTGTCAGTGCAACTGAAACAGGAAAAAGAAAATCATAAAGCACGTAAAGACATGGACGCAAGTTCAATTGCTAGAAAGACGGTATTCCTTTGCAGGGGGAAGAATATCATGCTGATTGACTAATATGATGGATGGAGGCGGGGTAGAAATATAGAATGAAATTCTCAGACAAATGGCTCCGGTGGCCGATTGACAGATTTTTGAAGGAACATACCCTTAATAGTAGGGTGCGTAATCTCGCTCATAGTGACGGGAGTTCGATGGAAGTAACGGGAGGGATGGAAAGGCGACAGACGACGAGAGACGCAGGGCTGGAGGATGCGAGGGGGAGGAAGAGGATGAAGAAGATTAAAAAGTGCAGAGAGGGAATCCCGGCGCGTGGACATTCCTCTTCGGTGGGGGGATTTTTTCTCTTTTTTTTCCACCTATTTTTTACACTTTTCTCCCGCCAGAAAAGGCTTGGGGTGGGGTCCCAGTATCGACGTCTTCAAACTCTGACCATAATCATTGTAATGATGTCGATGCATGCATGCATCATCTCATGTTCTGTTCATGCCTCAACACTATCCTCTTGCAGCCATGATAACACAGCTGCAATCAATCACTTCTGCTACATACATAAAGAGTCCCAATCCAAACCGGAATACAGGCGAGTTTCGGATATACTATGGTTCGTTAATTGGCCCGACATGCCGATACATCCTATATAAAGAAAATAACCCTTCCAGAGATGATTGAATCAATTCAGCCAAAAAGAAGCTTCTTGGATTGCCATCTAGTTACTGTACAGCGCAATCAATAACAACCCCGTCCCATCCATCCCTCACATCGACTTTCGTTTCTTTCCGGATCTTGCCCTATATTTACTCCGACTCACCCTCGGCGGCACGGCCAGGCTTGGAGTTAAGGTACTCGTTCCTAAATTAGAAACAAAAAAGGAATCGAAATCAACAAAGACGACTCTTGAACTGTGGGGCCGAGGAACATAACAATAACGACAACAACAACAAAAGGTAACTAGGTTGCATACCTCTCAATAGCCCAGTTCATGGCAGCGTAAGCAATAACAAAGGGAGGAACAACGTAAAGAGCCTGGTTCTTGCTTCGGCGGAAAGTGTTGAAGAAGGCAGCCCTCAATGTACCGGCGAGAGGCCTCTGTCTGTTGGCGGAGAGGGAGTAGGTCGTGATCTTCTGTGGGGTGGGGCAGCCTGAGATATCAAAGAACACCGAGCAGTCAGTCGGGGGATTCGTCGATTCAATTGTATCTTCTCCTCTCCATCCGTTGTCTCCTTTATTTCCACCTCGCCATCCGGTGCGGTTTACCGCCCCCGTCTCCGTCTCCTCGATATCATTCAAGCCAGGAATCAAACGTACCAAGATCTCCCCATGTGCCGATGTAACTATGAAAAGCAATTTATTAGTGAAATTACCCATAGTTGCACGGTAACCAGACAGACCCAATTGAGTCCCCAGAGGCCTGCCAGCACTTGAAGTCACGTCACGGAAGTAACCGGCCACCGGGAAAGCAATTGAAGCAGCGCCAGGAAGAAAGATAAAAACTCACACTCCGTTCTTAGGATCCAGATGACCACCCATTGTAAATGAAAAGAATTCAAGCGTCTGACAGACTGACGAGGGAAATTCGGACGACGAGAACGAGGGAAGCAGAAAGAGCCAAAGCAGGGACGTCGGTTGACTTTCGGGCGAAGTTGGAAGGAAGGATTGATTAGCCACGCGTGGATTGGCTCCCGGCGCTGTTTGCAGTGTTTGCACAGGCGCGCCAACACCGCCTGGCGCTAATCCCGATCGGGACAGCAACGAAAACGAAGCTCATCGTCAGAACAGAAGTTACATAGTATCCATCACAGACAGCCTCGACACGGCCGACTCACATCAGAATTATCTGTGGGAATTACATAAACCATGGCGGCCAATTCCCTCTACAATATCTACCGGCTGGCCATCCCGGCCGCGGCAGGTGTGGCGCTCTTCAACTCCTCCATCTACGACGTCAAGGGTGGTACACGAGCCGTCATCTTCGACCGGGTTAGCGGAGTCCAGGAGAAGGTTGTGGGTGAGGGCACGCACTTCCTCATCCCTTGGCTGCAAAAGGCTATCATATACGATGTGCGGACGAAACCGCGCAATATCTCCACGACTACGGGAAGTAAGGACTTGCAGATGGTGAGCCTGACGTTGCGAGTTCTGCATCGTCCGGAAGTGCCGAGGCTGCCGCATATCTACCAGGTAGGTTATTACAATATACAATAATGGATATTTATGTGTAAGACTGACAACTGCAGTCCTACGGCACAGACTACGACGAGCGTGTCCTCCCCTCCATCGGCAACGAAGTCCTGAAAGCCATCGTGGCCCAGTTCGACGCCGCAGAACTCATAACACAGCGAGAAGCCGTCTCGAACCGGATCCGGAGTGACCTGTTGAAGCGTGCGTCGCAGTTCAACATCGCCCTGGAAGATGTCTCCATCACCCACATGACCTTCGGCAAGGAGTTCACTCGAGCCGTCGAACAGAAGCAGATCGCCCAGCAGGATGCCGAACGGGCTCGGTTCATCGTCGAGCGTGCCGAACAGGAGCGTCAGGCTAACGTTATCCGCTCTGAGGGTGAGGCTGAAAGTGCCGATATCATCAGCAAGGCTGTTGCGAAGGCTGGTAGTGGCTTGATTGAGATTCGTCGTATCGATGCTCGGAAGGAGATTGCACAGACTCTGGCGAATAACCCCAATGTTACCTATTTGCCCGGTGGTGATGGGAATGGGAGCCAGGGTAGTAAGGGGACTGGTTTGTTGCTCGGTCTGAGGGGCTAGACTGGTGGTTTCCGCGAAATATAAAATTGAGGCGATAAATGCTATTTTAAAGTCGTTTATCAATCATCCAAAAGAAAATAAATGTATCAGTTCTGTTTCAGATGGGTTGGATGGCAATGGCATGGGACTTGGACATGTACGATTGTTGATTGATTGATTCTGGCGAGCTTGTATGTATAGTTTATCCCATCGGTATTCATCTTTCTTTTTATTCTTTGAGAGCTCGGAATACCAATCTTTCTCATCTCAGCTCAGCCGGGTATATCATGATATCCACACCTATATTATACTCATCCTTTGATATGAAGAATAATCACCCATCTAACCGCCTATAAATATGAACCTGAAACCGCATATCCTCCAACCCAACCCCCTCCCCAACCTCATACCGCAACCTAGCCACATCTCTCCTCCACCACCGCGAATCCTGCGAAAAGACCCGCTCCCACTTCCCTTTTGCAACGGAGAGAAGGGTATGATCTAGGAGGAATTTCATGGGATACCGTCTGTCCTGCTGTGCTTGCTTACTGTTCCCGCCGCCCAGGGTAAGCGTTGAGTAGCTCCCCGGACTATCAAGAACGAGCAGCATGGTACCCTGTTCAAGAAGATCTGTCATGCGGAGAAGGAAGGCAGTTGCTTTGGCCATAGATGTGGAGAAGAGTTCGTTGAGTGTGAACATGAGCGTTACCAGGACTGTTTTGTTTGGTTTCACTGTAGGAAGCGAGGATCCCGTCGGGTCCGGTTGAAATAGCCGTTCTAGGTCATTGTCGTTTAAGGATAACACGTCTGCTCGGGTGAAGTGGACGTTGAAACCGCCATCATCATCATCATTCGATGATGAAGACGACGAGGGTAACAAAGGTGCCGGATGAGCCTTTGAGCCAGGCACAGCGGACGATCTGAGAGTCCTGTTGAGTCTCTCGACGACGGAAGACCAATCCGCTATATCAACAGCCTTAATGGATAGACTGGGCCGGAATTCCCCTACTGTTGTAGATGATGTCTTTTCTCCCAAGGAAACGGCAGAGATCTCATCCAAAACAGCCTGCACCCCTGCGTCATCGCCATCACCATTCCCGTCTTGTGGGGATGGATGCGATGAGGAAATGGCCGAATCCGAATCCACAAAATCCCTCCAAACAGCCGCAAGAGCAACAATCTCCGCCCCAGCACCGCCGCCAATACAGACGATCTGGCTGGTGCTGGTGTCGGCATTCCGATCAGAACCAGAGCGATCCAGACAAAGTCCCAAGACACTCTTAAAGACATTAACATACCCCAAAGCCCTCGACGCACTCCATCGCAACGCGTACGCACGCAACAGGTCCTCGCTGGCGTCCGTAAACGCAGAGTCAAAGTCGCGATTATACAGATGCGACTTAATGGTTTGGATGAGTGGTTTGATGTCTAACTGTTTCTGCTTTTTTTCATGGTGTTGTTGTTCGCTTTCATTTTCGTCTGCTGCAGAGGGAGTGGAAGATTCATCATACAAGAAGGCAGCCTTGAAAACATTCAACAGCAACTGTTGAAGAGAGAGGGGGACCTTCGTTCCAAAGAGATCGAGTTGATCTGTACCCTCTTCTTTTGCGGGTTCCTTCTGGCTAGCAGTTGCAGCGGTTCTTCGCGGTTGTTGCTTTCTAGTAATAGAGTCTCTCTCTTTCTTGTCTGTTCGTTTTCTGGTGTTGGCGCTGCCGCTTGCATTTGCCTTTTTCGAGGACCTGGATGGCTGGGATGATTGTACCATTCTTTTTTTCGTTTTTCCTTTATTTATCTCCTTTGTTATGTCTTGTCGTTGTTGTTCGTGGACAGATCGATTTATGTATATACTCTGTCGCTGGTTGAAGTTGGGAAATTTTCGGCCAATTATGCTCTTCAAATCTTGCGTGGACCACATATCAACAACATTAATTGATCTCGTCTCAAAAATCCAAAACAATAGCCAGTTTCTCTGTTTTTCTTTTCCTTATTTGTTATCATACAAGATAGCTCTGTATTCACGGATAGTAGAACTACCGCCAAACGCGCCTTCCAGTCTACAGTACTTCTCGGATTCCTACACGCTTAGCACAGTTTCGCAACTGATGATATTCCAGTGTGCCAACTAAGTACATCCGATTGACGCATTCAGGTCTGAAACCCCCAAATCAAGTGAATGAAGCCCATCAACGTATGGGATTGAAAAAAAAATAGCCACCGTAAACTGTAAAACAAGATCTCCCGATTGATGAATGCCCGAAGGTGAGAGAGGGACAAGAGCAAAGATAAAGTGGAAACGGAGGTGAAATAGAATATGGAGAATGCTGGAGCATTAACATTATTGAATGAGCGACATGAGAAAGAAACAAGACAATGCTAATGGGCACGAACACTAGGAAAAGGAACCTCCATGACTCTTACATCTGCAGGGACATAGGACTATCTCAGCAGCCGTTGAAAAACAAAAAAAGGGAGGAGGGAAAAAAAAAAGAGAAACAAAAAACCCAGAGCCAGCACCCTCTGATGTCAAATCGCTATGTACAAGTATGAAGTATATCAAGAAGCGAGATCCTCAAGACGCATTGGTAAACGGGAGAAACGGCAAACCGCACATAAAACTAGCTTAAATGCAGTAGTTTATTCCGGCCCATCCGTACCTGAAAAGAATAAAGTAAGATAAAAAGAAATATTTGAGAGAAGAAGTATGCGCAAGAGATCATCACAGCTGAAGAGAGATGATAGGAAATAAAAAAGATCCCGCATATAAACTCCAGGTTTTCATCATGTTTGCTACCCCTGCGCTGAATCATGACGGGACTTTTCTTTATCCGTTTTCCAAAACTGCATAAGACGACTGACTCGGCGTCCTTTCTTCGTTTTCTCCGGCGCCTCCCCTGGTGGCTTTTCTTCGTGACTAAGCTTGCTCTTTTCGGCGTGATGACCAACCAGTTTGGACAAGCTGACAAGACTAGATCTCTTCGACCTGTGGGACTGGCTGGAATCACGACGTGAAGGGAACGGTCGCGAACGATCAGTTGAAATACGAGGAAAGAAGCTAGGCGAAAACCGATGCATATTATTCGTCATTGTTGACGCACTGCTGGTCAATGAAGACACATCCTCAACTGAAGGATGAGAAAAGTCCGCAAAGCCCTCGTTAGACGAAGCGCTCGGGAGAAACTGTCGATCCGTGGGAGGTGTCGCAATAGACCGCGGGGTGTCACAAGAATAGCTGCCAAGGTCAGGAGAGGAGCCGTGAAGCAAAGTGCCTGCTTGGAGGGACAGCTGGGAGAGATTGTGGGGAAGGTCGGTGGAAGGTCTCATTTGCTTGTCGAAGGGGATAAAACGAGGAGAGATGTCAGGACTTTGTGCTTCTATGGTCTTAGATGGCCGGCCGTCTCGTTTGACCAAATCTTCCGATCTGCGGTTTCGATCTGAGAACTCCACTGCATTTTTGGCCGGGTCCACCATAACGGACGGTTCGGAAGGATTCGTCTCTTCAGCTGGCGATTCTAGGGAGGAACTGCCCTTGGCCTCCGAAGTTTCGTTTTGAGGCGTGGTATCGGAGCCCACCGCCGGTCGCGTCAGAGTGGACGATGTATCGTTCGTACTGACCGATCGGTTATCAGAACGATCAACATTGCCTGTACTTCCCAAATTGGCGCTCTGGTTCACTGGCGAATTGCGGCCCGCTTTCAGAGAATGGCTGCCAGACGCTGAAAACGCATCCTCTTCCTCTTCTTCATAGAGGACATCCGGGTCGACCATACTAGAGGTTCCGGCGAAGCGAAGACTATGCAGGGTACTGCGATCAGGAGGCATTTCAGGCGCACTTTCTGTACGACGGTGATACCGCATCTCCGGACCTACAAACTCGCCCCGCCGTCCACCACTGTACATTCGCCTGCTGGCAATCGAGAAACCAGTACCAGTCATCGGGGTGCGCTCCGGGGTGTTAAAAGGCCCTAAAGCGGCATCCAGGTCGATAATAGGACTCAAACCGCTTTCTTGCTCTGTTTGTTCATAGAAGCTTTTCGGCTTCCATGACGCATCGAAAGAGGATGTGTTCGTGTCAAGCTGATCAGAACTCGGCTCCGGAGCATTCGGATCCGTAGGAGTTCGTAGAATGACGATATTATCATCGTCGAAGTCCACATCCAAACCTGACCCCATATCTGAATTAGTTCTTGTAAGTACAGGAGCGGGCACTTCAACTTCCGGTTTTGTCGCTGTTTCCGTCGTTTCCGTCGCCTCCGTCGTGGTGTCCTTTTTAGAGTGATGCCGCTTCCCTTTACCGCGGGTCAAAATAGCACCAGCCCAAGACCGCACTTTCTTTTGTCGCTTCTTAGACCTGCAAGCCTTCTTGTGTGATGATGACGCAGATTCAGAAGAGTTGGGACGGTCTGAAGTATCCGTATAGTCGCCTTCAGTTGAAGGCCTTGGCGAGTGATCATCCTCCACATGATCTGAACCCAGGAGTCCCGCTGCTGCGAGTCGGAGAGGGTGCGAATGACCAGATGCAGAGACTGGCCTTTTGGTCTGGGTAAAGGTTTCACCATTTGAATCTGGTTTCAACATAAAGGACGCATACGCTGTTTTTGGCCTGGTTTTGGACTTCCTTGAAACAGGAGCTGTTTCGTTTGGTCGGGGCGGTGGAGTGTTTCGTGCCGTTATTGTTGGTCGAACGGTAGACAAGCTATCTGATGTTTCAATAGTGTCTGTTGAAATGGGGCGCTCAAGTGGAGTTCCGTTTTCGAAAGCGGTAGGTCTGTCATCTGATAATGAATTCCTACTAGCTGCTATTGCTCCAGGAGAAGCGGGGGGTGTAGGGTGGTTCAAGGACGTGATGGGAAGGTGCCTCGGGCTGCCTGTTGCATTATTCGGGGGATGCAGCACGTTTGCATCTGCCGATGTTGATGGGCTGCGCTGCATATCAAGATCTTTCGAAATAACAGCGAGATCTACACTCGTCACCGCGCCTGAACGTCGATGTGCGTGACGCTTCACATGCCGACTAGCGTTAAAGCCGGGCCCAGGAGCAGCGAGATTTGCAGGCCCTGGCAGCGTATCCTTGTCATTGTTGTCACTAGCGACCCCTGTCCTGGAGTCAACCGGTAGCTCCGACCTAACGAACTCACTGCACTGTCGGCGGTGCCCGATACCCCTGGGACTCGATGATAAGGGTGAGGACGACGGGGATGTATTTCCACCACCAGGATTGAAGGAGAATGCGGGAAGAGATGGGGGGACTCGAGCATGCGATTCGGGTACAGGAGCATTCTGAGGCGTATCGTCCGGGTCTCGTGCGGGAAAGACGAAGGCAGGGTTTGGTAAGGGTGTACGCCTGGATGAGTGACGACGGGCGGAGGTGTGCATGGAATCAGAGTGGCGATGGTCAGAGAACATGGCGGACCGGGGCTGTAGAGGGAGTGATATCGAAGCCATCGTTGAACACTGGGGTGCTCAGTCTGTGAACGTGTCCAGAAACTGTCGTGCGTGTATCGTGGAATGCTCAGCAATCCGTGGGAGCTGGACGCACAGGACCTCCAGACCGATGAGGCTTTCGAAGGAAAGCAGAAAGCCCGAAACTGTCTGGAGGCCTCTACCCTCGCGAAGGTAGCATTGAAGTCCCCGACCGCAGACCAGGCAGCGAGGTTATATTAGGTATAGTAACGACGACGAAAACGATCAGTCTTGAGCCGGTGGAATAATACAACCAGATCAAGAAGCTGCAGGAGGCGGCGGAAGAATATAAGCGAAATGGGTGGAAGGGGGAATTGAACGGTGTGGATGGTTGATGTTGCTGCTGCTGTTGCTATTAATTATGCGTGCCTGCAGGACTGAGGTCGGGAGGGTGGATCGTAAGGAGCGGACGGCCACAAAAAAGGGCCATGGGAGGGAGGGAGGAGGAGGGGTGGGTGTAGGGAAAGTCGCCGGAGGCAAAGAAGGAGAAGAAGATAAAGGATGTGCAAAGCAGGACAAGACAGAAGAACAGGAACAGGAACAAGAGGAGAGGAGGCGAGGAAAAAGGGAAGGGGAAGCGGAGCAGCGACGGCTGCAACACCAACGCTAGAGCTGCAAATCAAATAATAATAATAAAACAGCGGAGGAAAATGGAAATGTCGAAGCTGGCAATCTCCATCTGTAATATACTGTTTAATTTCTGCTAATAATACTCCCAGATGAGATGGGCCCTGCTGGTTGGCCGACTCGCAGTTCAGATCCACAGGGCCACTGCTAGCCCGTATTGTGTTCCGACACCAACACCGGAACAGGCATCGCGCCGCATCAATAGCAGCAGTGGATTGGCTGTGACTGGCTCCTAGGAACACGCGGCGGGTATTGGTAATTTGGTATCATCGTGTATGGTACGTGCTGCAAAAATACCGCAGGCCTCAAATTCCAGTTTCGATGATGCCTGCTGTTCCGCCACATTCCGATCCCGTGCAAGTGTGAGGCTGTCTACTCTATTGAAATTATTCTTGTAGTACACGTATATGCTATGAACTAAACTGTGAATGACCAGCTCATGAACAGATGTCATTGATCAACTTCCAGGTGGCACATAGATGGCGGTGACTGGTCAGATAATACCATGACCAAGAACTCCCAGTCGAGCTGCTTCGGGTATCTTTACATGCAGGCGCTGTTACTCCGCATGTCTGTAGGATTATTTGTTATTGCTGTTATTATTATTTAATATTAGAATCATATCCCATTTTATGTCTGAAGTTCGAACAATATAATATATCGAATACGACACTTCCCATCGCCACCTGGTCCAGAGCAGTCTCGTCCTGCATCTCATCCCTGGGGCTCGTCGCAGTGGCTAAAACAACTGCTCTAGACCATCCTCTCCCAGTGATCTCACAACTGCATACGCTGCTTGTTCTGGGGCAAGGGATGGACGATGATCTCATGGACGTCCAATTCCCGGCAATGGCGCTTGCAATTAGCCCGAGACAGAGCCTCTGACGGACCAATGATCAAGCATGCCTTACGATAAAAATACTCCGCGATAATAATAATCATTCTGGCCCCTCCGCATTAATGAATCGAGGTAGAGGTAGCCTGCATATATACTATGTAGTATGCAGTATATCCATATCAACAATAAACTATCTCACTGCATGTCTTGACGCACTCCGATAAGAACCGGTTCATAGAGTGGTCTTATTTTTTGGCAGAAAAGCCTAAGAACCTTCTGCAAACGGCCATTGAACTTGCTCTCTTGCTCTCATCTTCCTGCTGTACGAGTACACATGTCGATGATATGATGCTGGCTCGACTCAGGGGGCCAGCTGTAACAGACATACGCCATACACTTAGCATTATTAGTAGCTTGCGAATCATGTCGATCATTGGCGTCTATCTAATTCTACACCGTTGGCGATGACAATTCAGCCTGTTCAGTTCCTACAATGCAGCTGCGCCTTAAAACATGCATAATGCATGTACATATACCGCTCTACCGGATTTATTCCTGCCATTGGTCCTCTTCTCCATAGACGCCGTTCGACCAACCTCTTAACGAAATGGTTATTAACTGGAGGCGCTTGTTCATACTCGGCTAGAGTGATGAAATAAGCTGGCTGGCAGGGAACAGCATGTTTCGAGAACAACAACAACAACAACAACAGGAGCAGATTCTAGAGCGCTCCTTTGACGGTTGTCAAGATACCGTGTTCTCCGCAATACCCTCCAGAATTATAACAAGGGTCGATTGGAGAATCTCCTGGCAATTCTTTCACATGGTAAAGAGCTCGACGCTTCATCATCAAGCCCCTATTTGAAAACAAGTTGATCATCTACCTAACGACAGGGATTTTCGTTCCATCAGCGAGCAAAGATCCGACAATGTCGGCCCTTGTTCTGATGCTCATTCTCGTCTGCCGACAGGTGGAAATCACTGCTTCTATCCGGATATCAGGAACAAGCACAGTCATATCCAGTGGATCCAAGGAAATCATGTTCGTCAGCTACTTGCGCGTGCTCAGCTTCTGCGGAGAAGGCTATTACTCTTACTCTTACTATTCGAATAGCGTTGTCGTGAAGGATGGATCGTGAAGGATGGACTTTGTTGATCTCCTGCGACATAACCACTATCAACATGGTTTCAATTCAGAGCGTAAACTAAACAGGAGTCCTAGCATAAATGCATTTTGTCGATAGACAGACCTAATTGACCAACAAACACCCCTGTACACTTCCGATTGCCTCATAATCGTTCTACTCCGTTTGAAGGGGCCTTTTTAACTTTGCTAGCTCAAGTAAAAGATCTATTTGATGAATGAAGACAAGACTAGAATCCTTCCAGCCCTGCACGCTCCCCGTATAAGTAAGTATAAGGTTGATGACCAGTCCATCAAGCAACAACGGACCTTCGTTGCCCGGGCGCATTGCATCGGACGTTACCCGCATGTTCAACATCTCCCTAGATTGGCCAGCCTTCTCTCTCCATGATAAGGAAACCCGACAAGCACTGTTCAAGATACGGCTATGCATATGCATTCTGGCTATCTATCTCGTACTCTCTCCAGGTCTAGGCTTAAAGTTACGTCGAAGTAAATACAGGAACTGGTCGAACCGTCAAGGTTCAGTCTAGTTCAGCAGCTGTCATCTAGCGAGTTGATGTCCAATGATGCACCCTTGGTTTATCGTAGATTGGGGGTTTCTATCTACTTGAGACGCTGGGTTCGACTTTAACTCTTATCAGCTTGTTGGAAGTTCGAACATTTTTGGAACACTTGTTAGTTTACAGTATCAGGGTAAAAAGACTACTATCACATGGAGTAATAATATATACAGAGACCTCAACTGTAGGGAGTCAGCTTGTATCAAATCAAAGACAAGGCCATGAAGACTGCATATCATCATCCTAGCTTCATTAAAATTCTGTACAGAACTTCTTCAAATATAACACGGGATTGATTCCCCAGGTGAATGTTAAAAAAAACGTTTTCGGTACAACGCTGGTAATACTGCACATAACACGCCAACAACTCCTAGTGCTATAAAAATGCAATATATGAGGGGGGAAAACTATCCACAACCTGACGCTCAAGTCTCAGATGCGCCAGGAGAAACGGCCAGAATGACAACCAAGGCGGTGATAATCAAAGCAGCCGCCAAAAAAGCGATCAAGGCGACGCTGCCGCGACTGGCAGGAAATTTACCCCTGATGATCCAATATTGTCCTTCGAAGTACCGATGGAATCCGATGAAGAGTATAAGGATGGCGATTCCAATGAACGTTGCGCCGAGAGGTTTGCCAATACTGCGAAGTCGTCTCGGATCCGACAGATAGCCCATACCATTGACATCGTACAATGCTGGGAATAGCAGTGGCGGGAGGGTGGCAGTGGAGTCGGCACTGGGCGTACTGTTTACGGGACTGCTCAGACGGAACAGTTGAGTCACTGCAATTCCAATAGATGCAAAAGCCAGTGAAGTTCTCAGCCAGGCCAAAAATGTTCGTTCTATAAGAATAAAAAATGAAGTCAGTAATGGAAAAGAAGATGAACAGAAACGAGAAGGCCGTCGACATAGTGAACGCACCTAATGCAAGATGGTCGCGAGCGACACTGCCTTTGTTTTCTAACTCCAAGCTGCCAAATTTATCCACCATGCGGTTATACCAGGAATTCACATGGCCCGCAGTTGATTCGGAATGCGAGGCACGGTTCTCAGCACCTGTAGTCCGTTGTTCTTGATCTTTTGGCGGCTCATTGTCCGCTCCAGATCGACGATCTCTCATCCCTTCGGTAGACTGGTAATTGCGTCTTGTTCTGTCATCTTCACAAATGATCGGTGTGGCTTCATCAGAAGCAGTTGACTTGGGCTTTTTCTGGCTAGGGGTCGACATTGACCGTGGTGGTAGAGGTTTGGATCCGTCAGCCGAGGAAGTGGAGGTGCCTGAGACATCGCGAGCTAGCCCGGCGCCATTCTTATTTGAAGGCAGGCACGACGCCAGATAGACAGGGTCTGAAGAGATTATCTCTTTGGCCAAGATGCGGCTGGGATCGCGAGTCGAAGTAGATACAGACGTGCTCATGATGGCGTGCTCAGCAGCCGCACTGTGCTAATGCGGTTAGTTGCTTTATGTTTATGCCAGGCGATGCATGTATTATTAGTCATCATATGTTCATGGGATTAAAATCACGTGATATATAAGTGCAAACAGACCAAACAGCATGTGGATCTGAACCCGGGCGGTCAGTATTGTTTTGCTGCAGTAATTTCTCACCGCCTTATATCATCACTCCGATCATGATATCTACTATTCCTCCTCTTTCGAATCAGCGAACATATGAGGCTGTCAATACACCTCAGAAGCACTTGAATACTATCAGACATTATGCATTCTGAAACATCTTCGGCGACGGATTCAGTGAACAAGATAAACCTTTCGCAGAAGCTCTCCGAGCTACGGAAGGCAAGGCAAAGCAGAAGCAAGAGCCGGACCCCTTCCAGAGACCCAACTCCGGAAACCCCTTCTCTACCACCTCCACCGGACCTAACATCTCATTCCTATACACAACCTGTCCGTCGGATCCTATCACCAAAAGATCATGAAATCTTTCTCTCATCTCCTACCTATTCCCTTATCCTCGCGTTCGTCTTTGGCCTCTCCGACACAGTGCGGGGACATGCTATCGTTGCAGACCAGCCTACATCTCCCCAGGTATCGAAGATACTGGAAATTGTGGATCTTATGAAGTCACTTGTTGAAAGAAACCCACCTGTCGATCAAGGCGGATCTAGATTCGGCAACCCGGCTTTTCGCGCCTTGTTTGACGATGTGGCAACGCAGTGTATCGGATGGCATCGGGACATTCTCGGGCTCCAGGATCCAGAAGCCGTCAAAGAGATATCTACCTATCTTATCCACTGCTTGGGATCGCGGGACCGACTGGATTATGGATCTGGACATGAGTTGAATTTCATGATGTGGTTGCTCTGTCTTTACGAGACCGGGCTTATCAACACCTCGGATTTCCGGGCGGTTGTATTCCGTATCTATATCAGTTACATGCAGCTCATGCGCCAGATTCAGACGACATACTACTTGGAACCAGCCGGGTCCCACGGCGTCTGGGGCTTGGATGACTACCATTTCCTGCCTTTCCTTTTCGGTGCCGCCCAGCTCGTGGGCCATGCGTATATTACTCCGTTGTCTATTCATAACACGGCGATTCTGGATGAAGAAGGGGATAAATATATGTACCTGGACCAGGTGCGATGGGTGGACAGCGTGAAGACCGTGAAAGGGCTGCGATGGCATAGTCCCATGTTGGATGATATCTCCGGCGCCAAGAGTTGGAGAAAAGTGGAAAGTGGAATGAAGAAGATGTTCGTTAAAGAAGTTCTGGGTAAATTACCCATCATGCAGCATTTCCTGTTTGGCAGTCTTCTGCAAGCAGTAGAAGGCATGGGAGAATCTGACGAGACCGAAGACCAAAACGGCTGTGTACATGACCATGCAGGCCACGAACATTCAGATTGGTTTGGCGACTGCTGTGGTATCAAGGTGCCTAGCACAATAGCAGCCGGTGCTGAGATGAAGAAACGGATGGGAGGGACGGGTCTGCGGCCGATTCCGTTTGATTAGAGCTTAAAGTACTGGGATTTGGAGGATCTGGTGTTTAGGCGTAGTACAGGTATTGGATTTTCATGATTAATCTAAATACAACAAAACATTATTTCTATGATTCAATCGCCTTGATGGACTATACGGCTCCTCCTGTAGGGTACCTAGGAAAATAGCTCTGATTGGCCAGTGCGCAACATCGCATTGAAACCTCAACAACCACTTCAGATCAACGCAACACGACATCCCACAAGATTACTTAGGTACACAACAGCCTCATCACCGTTTCACAGTGATGAATTCTACCTCCACGACACAGAAATCTACCCAATAAATGGAACAGATCGAACCACGCCGCTACTCCTGAGTCCTAAGAGGAGCCTGGACGCAAACCAGCAGCAAGCCAGTTGCCACCAACCTGGTTAACTTACGCCTCTGATCGATCACTCGCAATACGACATAGATTCTGGATCAAATTTACAATGCCGGACGACGAATACTCTATCGGCGGGGGAAAACTAAAACTAAAGGGCAGCAAAGTGAGCGGGGGCCGAGTGGAAAAGAAGAAAAAGAAGAAGAGCAAGAACAAGGATAAGGAGCAGGAGCAATCCACGAAGCTTGATACCGAGACAGGAGAAGATGGATTTCGGGGCTCTGCTGTGGTAGAAGAACGTCTTGGGTCTGAGGCCGTTGATATAACCATGACCGTTTCGAGGAAGGGTGAAGAAGCAGAAGCAGAATCGGCTGCGCGTACAGAGGAAGGACAACTGGGTAAAACAGAGGCGGAGAGGAAATATGAAGAGGCTAGACGGAGGAGGGTATGTTTCTTTTTCTGCCTAACCTATCCATTGTACGTGTCCGTTTAGAAGTGATGCTAACTAGCACAGCTCCAACAACGCTTACAACGCGAGGGCATCAAAACGCACAAAGAGCGAGTCGAGGAATTGAATAAGTACTTGAGTCGATTGACGGAACATCACGACATGTACATTTTCCACATGTTTCTTCATATTACGTATGCTCTGCTACTAACTTCTCAACTGTACAGGCCGAAGATTGGACCAGGTTAATATCGCTCTTTGTGTGGGAAACAATTGCTTCTTTTTGTATTTCTTGCGTATATCTGTATAATAGTCTATGAAATGGAAATGTGATATCGTCATCAACTCATCTTCTACCTAATCCATAGTGTCTTTCGCCATATACATAGATCAGCCCAATATCGCAATCCAAACTCTCACATGTAACCCAAACATCTGCCGCATGTGCTAAGAATAAATGATCAACGGCGTCCTGAACGCTGACGTGCATCTCACCAGACCCCAGATAACAGACAGATAGACAGACACTATTGAATCTTGAGGGAAGACTCGTATTTGTCCAACTCACGTGCACGGAGGGATGATTCATGCGGCCATGCCGCTCGAAGTGTCACAACAGCATGCGACCACGATATCTACGCTGAAGCACAGCAGTGAACTATTGAAGACAATCGTGCATATACGCTGCAGTTGAGCGGGCTGGACGTATTATTATGTACCAGGTAATAATATAATAGAGATGTCTATAGACATCTCGGCTGAAAACGCTGAGGGGGAGTGAAAAAGAAGCAACGGAAGCAAGAACCCCGAAGCAGAGCGATCTATGCAAGATTCAACGGATGGAACCAGATGATGAATAAAAAATAAGACCATTTAAACAGTAACTGGCTGACCCAAGATCCAGCCATCTGGATGGGGGTATGTGGCCCGGAGATAACTATCCAAAATGAAGAAATTCGAGAAGGGGACACCCGAAAGATTCAAAAACCCCGACACGTTCTAACGCCATGCATATGTGATGGTAGACCCAAAGAAGAGAAAACAATAGAAAACCACTCAGCAGAACCCCATAACCATTTCCCCTTCCCGTCCCCAGGATAGAGACCAGAACATGAACAGAAGAAACCCGTAGCACAAAGACGACAGACGTATATATATCGACGAAGAAAGAACACCTCCGCTAATTTCAAAAGTGCGAATATCCTGAACGAAAACTGCTCAGAGGTATATGGCGGAAGGTGGAGCTTCCCTCATACGCCCTTGATGACTGTGGTGCGCTCGCTGTTGAGCTTATCTGCGTTGCGAGCGTGGGACTCCTTCTTGCAGTCTTCAAGACCGCTGCACGCGTGTGCCTCTAGCATGCGATGCTTCGAGCAATAGTGTCCGTTGCAGAAGCTGCAGTCCCCGACAATGCGTTGGGCGAGATCCTTGCAGTCCTTGAAGTTGCAGCGGGGCTTGCGAGGAGCCATGATGGAGGTATAAGAGGCTAAAGGAGAGTTGTATATCGGAGGGAGAAGGCCGGGACGGTAGTGACAGTGATGTAGCGTGACTCACTCAGACCGAGATAGGAGGAAGAGGCGGTCTGCGGACAAGACCCGATTTCAAGGCAGGAAGACTTGCTAGTCTGGTCACAGTCCTGGAGAGCCGGAGGAAACAGTTTAGTCAACAGTCAAGAGACCAGAGAGAAGGGCAGCCAGGGGAAAACGAAGGAGGGAGAGAGGAAAAGAGGGGAGAGGAGAGGGGAGGTAGATATACTTATATGGACAGATAAGGCCTATCAGAGTCGGAGCCAAAGCCGAGGAGACGACGGAACCCGAAGATCGGAAAGGACGGGAAGAGAAGGCAGTGGAAGAGGAACGAGACAAAGAGGCGAAAGTTTAAGAGAAAGGGGGGCAACGGGAGGGAGAAAGTCAAATTTATAAGAGAGGAGGTGAGGCTGCTGGGAGACGATGATGAATCATGGGTGACGATGAGTAAATCATCAGGCAAACAGTTTTAATAAGGCCATGCTAATAATAATAATACGGACACGACCGAGTCACCCGACGATCCGATTCATTCTGCCAGCAGTATCGACTCCACGCCGTCAAGAAGAGCTTTTCAGATGTGGCGGCAAACCCTGTAGATGGTGTTGCAAGCAACCACGTAGGCCAGCTCGACCGCACAGCGCAGGGAGGCACGGATTCGTGGAGACGAAGAATGCGGACAACGCGATAGCTCTCTATCTAACGGCATGGCTGTTGTGTCGCCTGCATGCTGCATGCAGCTGTCTCAACATGGACCGCTTCTCCATGCGGCTTGCAGCACCTTGCGGGAGCTGCCGTCGATGCTGAGTTGGCACGGAAATCAATCGACTGAGAGGCAACACGAATCCTCAATCGGGCAGTAGTTCTCATGTTCATTCAGTCCTGCAACTGACCGTCTTGGGTCCACTCGTCCGATGCCCTCAGATGTCTCCAGCTGTATCCCATGCATGAAGCCACAGGGATGACCTGCCTTTCTCTCCAGAGCCAAACTCACGCTCACAGGGGTTGCCATCCTAGCGGATAGTCGGCCGGATAGAGTCATAATTGGGTCCGGTTTAGGTTATTTCGCTACTGCGCCTCAGTCGAAATGAAAGTGGGCTTTCCGTCCGACACCGTCTTGAAGACCCATAAGGTTACTAAGACATATATACCGGACAATCGTCACATGTAGGTCCTGGTAAGGCAATCTCAGATCGTATCAAAAGCTCCATTTCTCGTGCTGCTTTGAGCTTCATCCGGCAGATTCAGACTTTCCGAGCCCAATCGGAGAACATGTTTACTGCAGTTTCACTGTTTTAAGCTTCCTTCCGGCCGCCAGCCGCCAGCCGCCAACTGGCTGTTGCTGCCTACAGAGAATATGCCGGTACGGCGTATGTCAGCAAGGAAGAATTTCTTCTTATTATTAGAATTGTGGAGCTTTGCCTCGCGAAACCTTGTCTATTCCCTGCCTTTGGAATCAAGGTAGTCCAGGCTATCCGACTGGTCTGGGCTTCCCTCGAAGGGAAAAGTTTAACTCCAAATCGAATAGATGATTCCATATTTGAATGTGCTGTCACTTCTTTATCCAGTCCGATATGTCTCCATCCCCGTTGGCCTGATCATCTAGGAATCATTGTGTGGCTCTCCATCAGTCATTTTTCTTTATCAGCTGTAGCGGATTTCTTGTTTTTGGCCGTAAGGTTGTCGCTCCCAGGAGGCTTCACGTAAGTGACGTATATGCCCGGAGCCTGGGAGTTGTCAGCTATGAGGAAGAGGCAGACGAGAACGATTCTGTGACGACACATCCGGATTCGGTTCTAGTTTTGACTCCGGATCCGGAAGAGCATCATAATAACCATCATTATTATCCCAGGTGAATCTGAGCGCTACTTCTTCAAGGATTCAGACTCCAGTCTCGCGGCTGAATTTCAGTTTCTTGCTGCACGGCTCCCACCATGGCTAGATATGCGTCGAAGTCTCCTATTGATGACGCTGCCCTGATGTTTCGAGGGAAAATAGGAAAAGGTTATGGAGGATCTGTGTGGTGAATGTGTGTCTTTTCTCATGCAGTTGTCGAAAGAAAGATTATGATGTTGCTGTTAGAATCACGATATTGCCTGATTTGGCTAGGGAGACATGGTGAAGCCTTCAAGCTGCAGCGATAGACCACATCGAAGAGCGACAGACTGAGAGATACAGAAATAGTTAATGTATGCAGCCATGATGGATGTTTCCTAGACATTGCGAAAGTAGCATTCATTACCAGAGGCCTCAGCTCCAGTATACAGACTCAATCATCTCAGAACTATTTTAAGCATTAATTCAACCCGCTTGGATTCGTAGGTAACATATCAATGAAGTAAACGCCCTTTCCAGCCAGAAACATGCCAGATAACAGATCACCCCTTGAAAAAGCAAAGAAAAAAAAATAGGAAATCAGATCAAACTCCAACATCCTTCTCCTTCCCGGCACCTGGGTCGAGATAGTCCTCGCGCTCAGCAGCTTCGTATTCTCCCACAAGATCAATGACGACCGACCTGGCCTCATCAAACTCACCGAGACCGTCCGCAAACGGAGCTTCCTTCTTGTACTGTTCCAAGAAAGCGTTCCGCTTCCGCAACCTGTCGTACTGCTGCAATGTCCGTTTGAATAGAGTTGCAACCGACGTGTGGTTTGCCAGCATAAGTCCGCTGACACGGTGCGTATTCTGCAAGTACGGTGACTTCTTAGAAAGGGCAACCTGGATACTTGCAGGTCCCCACGGAATAAAAGAGGCTAGGCGCCTCTCGCGAATACGCAGTAGGGACTTATGCACGTCTGTCGGATCGGCTTCACCTTGGATGATATTGAGGATGCTGATGTAGCAACTGGACTTGCTAGGAACGATGGAGACCATGCGATTCTTGGGTTGTAGGAGGCGGCGCATGACATCTAGCACTGTAGTCTTTCGGACTGTCTTTGCCTGCTCGACATTATCGCCCGTGAACGGCGTGTATGAGGTAATGAGGAAATGGCTACGTGGGGTAGGGATGAGGGACGCAGTGATTCCGACAAGGTCATTGTGCATATAGCCAGGATAGCGAAGGGTCGTGGTGGAGGCAGTCATGACAATCGACACCTAGACGTAGTCAGACAACTTGTACTACTTTCACTCGTAGGGTGGGAAGCAACCCACCAGCTGATTCGTCTGCTGAAACGATGGTTCCTGAACATGGAGTCTATCTGCAACAATGCTTGAGAGGGCTGCATTATCCAAAACCACCTGGTGAGGAGTAAGCCAAGTTGAATTTCCCTTGTCCAAAGGTAGCCCTGGGACCTTACGACAGAGTCTGCATTCTGTGTAAGCCTTCGCATGGAGAGAAGGCTGTTATACGGGTTGACAACGACGTCTGCAGCTTGTGTGTCCGGAAAGACGGAGTATGTCTGGATCAGCTTTTTGGGGAATCGATCATTCATCCGTTCCAGGATGAAGCTACCCAATCCTGAGCCCGTCCCTCCTGCAATCGAATGCAGAAGCATGAACCCCTGTTGTCGACGAGTTCAAAAGAAAGTCAACAAAGAGACACCGAGAAGAATTGATAATTTTTTTAGTGATAATCTCACCTCCAATGAGTCGCTTCCATCTGCTTCTCGGTCGATCATATCGAATATCTCCTCCTGTACAACTTCGCCAGCGGCATACCCAGCACCCCAGTTATTCCCAGCACCCATACCATGCCGTCCAGTAAAGAAGTTTTCAGGATTGTAAATGTTTCGATAAGGGCCAGTTTGAATGCCATTGAGAACCTAGTAGATTGAGAGACAGATTCAACTTAACACGATTCTGATCCAAGAATCGCAGGTAACAGATGGGGGTCGTACTCTAGGTTCTAGGTCCAGCAAGATGGCTCGAGGGATATATCTGGTATCGTCACTCTACCGAACAAATAACGGTTCAGCCTGCTATCTCATCCATAAATAGTAATCTGACAAGGGCGTACCTGGTAGAAGAAGACATCTTTGCGATCGCCTCCCTCGGTCGCGAACTCTTCCAAGTTCCCATCCTGACTGATTCCATGCTCCAGGCAAAGCTGTTGCCAGAACTGACTCCCAACTGCAAGGAAAACCGATCAGCAAAAGCGTATGCAAAGCTTCTTGAATCGTCGTGAGTGTGTCGGCGATGGACGACAAATACTGATGGTAAGGAAGGGTGTCTCGTAGGGACTCGACGTACTGTTGTTGCCGCACTGGCCGGCCTGGATGGTTATGATTTCTCTAATTCATACCCTGTATTAGCTGCAATATCGAAGAGATATCGGGAAATTTCTTATATGGAGCAAGCACATACCTGGGCATCCTTCACGTTGACCATAGAAAGCAGTCGAGGTTAGATACGCGTACGAGTAGCGCGTTGCCGCGGGGAATTTCTTCCGCAGCGAGATCTGGATGAGCCGATGAAGTAACCATGAGCTGACTGAGGAATTCATCAAATCTACATTTCGACACAGAGCTCAACCCTTTCAAAGTCTTGCTAAACTAAACTTTTCTAGTCATGATAGCCACCAACATCCTCAATGCTCCATATCTATAAGACCAGATCCCTAGAATCCTGATTTGCAGGCAGCCACAAGCATCCCAGCACCAGCAACAACCCCGTCAACTATCCTCACACTATTTCCTTGCTGTTCTCCATAAGCCTGAATGCAACCTTCTCGCACTGCCTCTTCCATGCCCACCATGCCCGCACAGCCCATGCATATCGCGCTTACGGGGTGAGATGCACCCTTGATAAGTCTCTCGGTGGCCTCAATAATTCTCCGTCTCACCGTAGCTGGCGGAGTACTATGCAGCTCGATGGCTGTCAGTCCCGTGGTCTCCACACCAGCAAAACGTTCTATGCGTCCTCCTTGTTCGCCAGGGCCAACAAGCATTTTGGTGACAGCTGTGCTGAGTTCGCCCTTCCATACTGTACCCGTCGAGACAATACCAAATGTATCCGTGGCTTGAACCTTGCTTAATTTGCTATCATCCAGAAGGTCAAAGGAACTGATTAAGGACAGGGAAGTTGTCACACTGGCTTCAAATATACCCGTCACATATCTCCTCCGCGTTCTTGCAGCAGCCGAAGACCCCCCAGACGCAGCCACGCCCTCTAGCTTCTCGATCTCCCTTTTCAGCATTCCCACGAGCGGATGGGCAGAATAGCAAGCCACAAGTAAACCATCATACTTGGATATAAGGGGCTCCAGGAATGGTCTGCAATGCAACGCTGACCGCGCAGAATCTTCGGCGGAGTCTATACTGGACAGGCCATGCACGACGCGCCCATCGGAGACGGTTACGGGCTCTGTAGAAGGAGCAGTGAAGTAGTCAAACCGAACATCCGCGTAATTTAGATTGTCCAGAATGGGTTTGAGGGCATCTGTCATGTGTGTAGATGTGTTTGGGTTGATTATCAGGATGGAGAATTGGCGATTGCTGCTGCTCGATGCGGCCATGATGGAAGTGATGGCGGTTGGACAAGCAACAAGCCTCGACTTGTCCGAATAACTAGCTGGATTGGAATGCTAAGGTGGCTGCTGGGCAAGAAAAGCAGTTCATATGTCTTCAAAAGTGCAAGATATGACTCGTGGTCTGTGCATCGTGAAATCACCGTTGCTTGCGGAGTGTGGGTGTCCGAATGCCGATGGATACATCATTGAACATCGACTTTGCAGCGTAATAATGCTCCGAACACGAAGAACAGAGTCACAACGATCCTTCTCCACGACGATGACTCTCTAAGCCATGGCTGATGAGGCCATGACATGATTGCGCGGGGGGATTTATCATTCCGACTATGGATTATTAATAACGCTGGGACCCCGCCGCGCGGGGTGTTTTAAGAACCCCCCCATCCCCAGTAGCTTTCACTGACTTAGGAGTACATCAATCTGAACAGCTTCTACCTTTATCCAGCCTGTACTGGTACCCGTCAATATGCCTTTGGTTGCGCAGAATCTCAAGCCGCGGGTGATCCTCGGTCTGATGACCTTTGGACCAGACGTGTCCACCGGTGCCAGAATCACGTCCTTGGACGAATTCAACAAGTGCCTTGACTATTTCCAGGAACAGGGATACAACGAGGTTGATACAGCCCGACTCTACATTGGCGGTGCCCAGGAGAACTTCACAGCACAGGCGAAATGGAGGGAGCGTGGCCTCACTTTGGCTACGAAAGTGTACCCCACAGCTCCGGGCGTCCATAAACCAGCTGTCTTGCGAGAGAAGTTCGAGACGTCGTTGAAGGAACTGCAGACTGACCAAGTTGATATCTTTTATCTTCATGCTGCAGACCGGTCGGTGCCGTTTGCAGAGACCCTGGAGGCTGTCAACGAGCTGCATAAGGAGGGGAAATTTGTGGAACTTGGTCTGAGCAATTTTACCGCATTTGAGGTCGCTGAGATCGTCACATTGTGTCATGAGAGGGGCTGGGTTCGTCCGACCATCTACCAGGGCATGTACAATGCCATCAGTGAGTTGCCCGTCATGTTCTGATTTTGATTGTGATTGTGACTGTGCACCTACTGACTTGAAATTTTAATAGCACGTTCAATCGAGACGGAACTCATACCCGCCTGCAAACGTTACGGTATTGACATTGTGGTCTACAATCCTCTCGCCGGGGGTATTCTCTCAGGCAAATACAAAACGAAGGACGTCCCCACGGAGGGTAGGTACAGTGATAATGCCCGCAGTGGAGAGATGTACCGGAAGCGTTACTTCAAAGATGCAACATTCGACGCCCTCCGTATCCTTGAGCCCGTTGTTGAGAAACACGGTCTGACGTTAGTGGAGACGGCACTGCGCTGGGTCCACCATCACTCAGCGCTGAATATGAAGGACGGCGGACGTGACGGAGTCATCATCGGTGTGAGCAGTTTTTCTCAGCTGCAGAGCAACCTGCGAGACATAGAGAAGGGACCTCTGCCTGAGGAAGTGGTAAAAGCACTCGACGAAGCGTGGCTGGTCGCGAAGCCGACGACTGCACCTTACTGGCACTTGGAGCTTAAATACACGTATGACACTCAGGAGGCGCTGTTCAAGCCGAAGGCCTAGGGGTTTGAAGAGGATGTACATGAGATGTATAATATATATATACAAAGCTAGTACAACGGCGATAGACTATACTCTTATAAGCCACAAGGCATGATATATGCAGGCGAATGAATGGCCTGGGGTTTGCCTTTGATAGCAGTTTGTTGGAGCATACTCCTACCAGTTTATGAGCTGGGGCTTGCGCAGCGGGAAACCACCCTTCTCAAGGAGCAGCATAAGATTCTACCGTCCATGGAGATGGAGATCTCACCTATCTGGATTCTACTGCCAGTTCAGTCCATCAAGTGATCTCAACTGAAGCGAAACCTAAACACCGTTACCGGGACCATAGCATAGTCACTAGTACTCCTCGCATTGATTGGAATTATGACTTCCTCAGTCAGTATAATCTGCACACATAACATTCCAGCAGAGGTGAGCATTATTCGTATAAAGCAAAACGCCTGCCTGTCTATGCTGGAACTAAGAGTCCTGACCAACCCAAATGCAGACTCTCTCATCCATCCTCGATGGAGCATACGAAAAAAGCACCGAGCACCCAAAAAGCCTAATTCTTACAGAGGGTATATACTCACAATCACAGTCATCATCCCTCAAAGACCTGATTAGAAAGAAGACACCATCATCTCTAACCTCCCAATCAAACCGACCTTCAAATCCCCCTTCATTGGTAAAAGCATCGAACATCTACTCCAATTCTAGCAAAAATCGCACCAGGAACGGGGATATGGCTAATATAGAAGCTATGCCGCTTGTGGTTGGTACGGGGGGTTGAAGAATTGTGGTCTTTAGTTGATAGGATGGGGTTTATAGTCGTTGGAATCTGCTCCATGGAAGCAGTTTTGATGTCTCTTTCATCTGGATGTGAATATATCATATGCGCTGGAATTTCCATAATGCTCCATCATGACTTTTCTTTTCCATTTTAGTGTGATCCTTTACATGAGGCCTAGTTATATTCTTTTACATCTCACTATGCTGTAGACTGAAGTTGAACGGTTTTGAAACTGCTCCTGTACGTATGAGCTTCCACACGTACTTGCCAATGTAGGCATAAATAAATAGACAATTATAAGGTTAGAAATCAAAGGAGCCGAAGAGGCTGTATCGAGAAGAGAAGAGAAAGACAGATAGACCAAAACACACACACACACACACACACACACACACACACACACACGAAGACTGTAGCATAGCCAGAACCCTAGGCTAATGCTACCGCGCATGATACGAAGACCTCAAACGAAGAACTTAACACCAAAAACCCTTGTTGTAGACCTAGCATTCTACTTATCGTCAGCGGAACTGACGCCCGGTGCCCCAAGCCCAGGGAAAACACCGAAGGAACAGAAAAACAAAGCCTAGACCTTTCCGGGGTTCCCCCGGTATAGTACATAAAAAAAGACGGCACATGCAAGGGGGGGCTCATGCATACCAAACAATCCTGACAAGTAAACAAATATAAACATTTCAAACACAGGAAAGTATTTGAATCAGCATCGATGCATGCTAGGAATAACAATGCGATAGGACCTTTGAGGTTGAGACACAATTAAATAATATACTTCAAAACTGCCAGCAACGCTTTACACCTCAAATAGCAATCACAAACTTACTGGGATGAACAGGCAGGGAACTTCCTTCTCATAGCGCTTCCAGGCCTCGCCGTACTTTCTCCGGCATTTATTAATATCCCTGTTGGTGCGATGGATGATCATAACCATGAAGAAAACGAAGTAGAACCAAGGGAACGGGCTCCTATCAGCACAATAGGCAGTTAGCTTACCACGATCTCTCTTTCACAGCTTTTGTAAAACAGGAAATTGTACTTGAAACCAGTTATCAAACCCCAGGACATGGAGAAGAACATGTCAGGGACATAGTTTGGCTTTCGGATGATTGCAAACCAGCCATCAACCATAATATGATCGCCTGTGTCCGTTTGAATTGTTTTGGGGTTCTTGATAACCTGCCACGGCACCTGAGGAAAGGTATTCCGGTTGATGAACTGGCCCTTTTCCTTGTGGCGGAATGCGTTCTTCTGACCGTTGGCACTATCCCACATCCAGTAGAAGAAAAGATACAGAACAGAGAACACTGTAAGGGCGTAAGGATTCCAGTGATATTCGGACGGGTTGTGGTAGGCCAGGTAAAGAGCACAGTGGCAATACGTGAAAGGCACACCGGCCATGTTCCAGAAGGTGAGCAGAAAGCCCAGTTTTTCAAAGTACATGTCCCTGGTTCCGTATCAGCCCCAGATGGAACTATTTGCTCGACCATTTTAAAAACATGGACTCACCAACTGGTAATGATTATCTGCTCAGCTTTGGCACAAGCATTGGTGTACAAGTAATGGGCCCCAGCTAAAAAGGTTACCTCGGGCGAGACGTAGCCATATGTTTCATATTGGCGAGCAGCCACGGAGCAGGTGATGAGGAACAAAATAAACCACGGGATCCTGACCTCGTAGAACATCTTGAAGTCCAAGATGCCAACGCGGGGATTCAACTCAGCGCCCATGAAGAAATCGTAAATGGGAGAGCCCGACATTCTGTGGGTCCGTCCGCGCACGATGGCTTGGAAGTAGACGATGAAGCTGTTCAGGAAGCCAGACAAGATAGCAACAGTCATAATAGGTCCGAACTCATCGATCAGCGTGTACAACGGGAATACATGAGTAATGTGCAGGACAGCAGCAACGGCGAGTGTCGCGTAGAAGCTGCAGTAGGCGGAACAATAGTAAGGAAGCCTCTTGCCACCTTCATGCTTCAATGGACGCCCGAGATTCGAAACACCGGGTATGTAGCAGTACATGAGTGCCTCGAGGATAAAAAACGTCTAGTAAATCGCCCATGCTTTAGCGGTTGGATAGGCTCCCTCGTAGACCAAGTGACAGAGGTGATGGCCAAAGTCAGCCCAGGTCTGGCCGGACTCGGGCAATGGAAGCTTGCCATCATAGTATGTGGCCCCAATCCACATGTACCACGTGAGCAGAGGAAAGCCTGTCATCAACAGCGCGGCACCCAATGGACCACCAAACTCGAACTCATCTGATGCGCCATCAGTGAACTTGGACACAGTATTTGATCCATTCTCTTTGCCCCTCTTAGCTGGCACGGCGGTAGCAGGATGGGTTCTGTGTTACGGTCATTGTTGGGAAGTGAGGTGGATGAGTTCGCAGAATGTGCGAGGGTTTTGGAAGGAGGATAATCCCAGTCCCAGTGGGGGCTGGACAATGGTGTCAGGTGACACGCATATTTACTTTGCTTGGATAGCAAGGGATTCTTGCAGTCAATGCACTTTAGCGCCATCTCTTTAGGTCATGTTTGGACCTTGGGGGCTGATCACTGGCATGTTTGGGGCGCAAATACTTCTGTCACTAATGCATGAACTAGCATGAATCAGGCACCAAAAACACAGATCTGGGGCTGGAATCCCAAAACTATCAAAGCCTCATGGTTCTTAATTAGAAAATTTATGATACCAGTGTGTTTTGGGGATGCAAATACTTCTGCAGCCCACTGTAACTATCTCCAGATCTTGCTGATTTATGGTATCCTAATCCCCCTACCAACGGGAACCACCCAGGTAGCGTTAGGGTTCGGGGCGTGCCCGGGCCGCTTTCGGGCCGGGTTCAGGCCGGGTTTTTTTCGGTCTTGTCAATAGCCCTTAGGCAGCACCGCAGTATAGAATAGAATGTTGGACAGGTGGTTCAAACTTCAAAGGATCGAAAGCAATTACAGGAATGGCAAATGAACTCTCCAGAAGAGTATGTGCGAGACGAGTGTTCCTGCGAGCTCCTGGTTCGCAGAAGGCATCCGCCGAGAGATCTTGGCTGAATCATTCGATCCACATCATACCCAAGGTTGCAGGAGCGAGGGCTGTGCGGTATGTACTGTTGGGCTGTGTTGGGGCCTATTGTTTTGCACATCTCTCCCAAAGCAGGCTGTCTTTTTTATGGCTAATTATTAATCATACTCTTTGCCTGATATTGATCCTTTTTGAATGCATTAAGGGCACAGTTAACTATGCATGTTTGTAGTGGTAGTTAACTAATTTGTATTGGATATTAATCAATAGCTAGACGCTGTTCTGTCGAGCAATCATGGGCTTCGTTGTGAGTTGCGTAGATGTAGACCTACTTTAACTCGGCGTTCAATGATACTTTTCATTTCTTCTACTCCATCTCTGCTCTATCATTTTAATTGATAGGAAAATGGCCATCCATGTCGACAGCATCAGCGCATTGCTAGTGCTACTATACGTCGCGATCCTTGCGTACCGGCTATTCCGCACCATCAACATTGCAAATTGCATCGGCCTACCGATCCTGGTGTACCCAATAGATCAAAGCAGCATCATCTGGCAATTGCTGTCGGCCTCCTTGAGGCCATGGTTGGCGCGTACTCTCCCCACACGAATCTGGAAGCAGCGCAGGGTTGTTGCGAGTGTGACAACGAGCGCGTCTCCAAGACCATTTTTGATGCGGCCATATGTCAGGCTACGGGTATGCTGGATGAGCCGCTTTTCATCACTGGTGCCGAGAAGGGGCAGAAATGGAGCTCGGCTGAGTCGTCTGAGGTGTTCGATATGATCAAGCGGACCACAATCCATGTACTGAGTGAAGCTGGTATGGGCACAAAGGTTCCATGGAGGGAGTAGAGATGGGGAGGAGAAACCATGGTCCGGGTTCGACAGGACATATATTAAAGCCTGCAAGGCGATCATGGAGTCTGTCACTGGAGCCAATAGCTATTCCAATGAAGATACTTCCGAATTGGCCATCCTGGTTCCCGGGACACCATCGAGTTCCCGATGCACACCAAAGCCTTACACAGCGGTGGGACGAGGCAACATCATGAGCCAACTGCTTCAAGCATGAGCGGAACAAGGAAACTTTCCTATGGGATAATATTTCTCGCCAGGGATTCCAGATGCGCAGGAGTAGCTCTTCTAAGAGGAAGATAACCTGACACACCTGTAGTCCATGTTCCCAGGACAAACTAGACACCGCAAGAGGTAAAGACATCCAGGGGCGTCATTCATCACCTCCCCGCCAACTCATCTGTGACTATCGACAATGTTGCCCTACATCTTGACCCAGACGTGTGGGCCGACATCAACCGCTGCTCTAACCTATCATGGGCCCAAGCCGATGATAAAGTACTCCTCCCTGATGAATACGTATTCCGTCCTTCTCGCTGGATCAACCCTACTATTAGGTCTACACACCGGCTGTACCAACTTCCGAAAGGATACTTCCTTCCATGGGGTCATGGCCGGCGTGTCTGCCCGGGACAGAAGATGGGCCAGATTGAGTTTGCAGCGGTCATGCTGAAGCTGTTACAGAGGCACCGCATAGATGGTTTATCATAGGGCGCAGGGGTTCTTGTCTGCAGCCACTGATCAGCTACACTACCTATTGCCGTCCGGTATTATGGTGTCTAGTTTAGAAAATGCACGCCAGATCCCTTTCCCTCCATATAATACATAATACATAAGACGTAATGCATAATGCATAAACGGTAACTGGAAGAAAAAGTATCTGTCAGGCCACCCTGATACCCCAACATGCCGCCTCTTACTATGGATTCCATACGCTGCAGATAGTCCATCTGCATTATCCCCAGGCCTACACAATATACCCCGTAAGCCATCCTACCGGCCCGGGATAACCGATGATCTGTTTCCGCTAATACATACCTTTCCTGAACGCGTCATCCCCCAGGGACTCCTTTTGACTCAGTGGCCACAAAGCTTGTTAAAAAGAATGTCCCTTCCAATCCTTCCAGGAACCAGAAAATGCTGAACCCGCTCCTTTACCAGTTTATGGAGTGGGGTACAGGCGAATGGGGGAAATGCCTCATGGTTTCTAGTGTCCATGCGGGATAGGGAACGGACTGATCGCCATGCAGCAGATACACATTCCCGAATTCTGATAATAATGTATGCATTAAGCATAGTGAATTGAAGAGTGATGGCTCTATCGTACTACACATGATAAGGTGACAGGAAGACTTAGTAACTCCGTACAGTTATATTCGCAGGATTGCAATAGATGAAAATGAAGCCAGGGTAGGGCTTGATTTGCCAGAATGGGCCGCAGTGGGGCATATCTATCCAATAAACCAGCTAGTTTTCCCGTCGGGCACTGCTAAGCTTTTTTAAACCCTAGCTGTGGTTTAGGGCAATATGCAGCCCTGTTTCGCGCATACTTCGGATTCATGAATGCTATATCTGTGCAGAAAAGAAATTGAGTACATAAGCAAAATAGGATGAGCTGTGACAGTAATAGCAGCTGCATCAACACAGGTGTGGAGTTGACGTGTGTGATTATCAGGGTGGACCTGCAGTTTACGACTTGCCAGTTCAATTTTAAGCTGCAGTGTGATGATAGTGCAAAGAAGAAGGTTGCTGTCAAGGAGGGGGGAAGATGGAGGATGTTCCTGATGTCAAGTTTGTCAGCGTGAACTGTAAGAAGTAGGTATCTATATCCCTGGGAAGATTGTTTAGTAGTGAGGGTACAGACGTGTGTATGTGTGTGTGACTGCTTCTACTTAGTATGTATTCCTGTGAAGATTCGACAACTCAGAGGGATTGTTATATCTTTGAAAATAAGAGTTTGGCATTCTTTCATTTTTCTCTTAATGGAAATGTCCAGAGTCAGCGTCTGTTAGACAAAGCCAAGCCCTCAGATATTCAAGCAATTAACACATGGAGATCACTAGTAAGGTTCAAGATCGAATAGAATATCATATAGAACAACGTCATACACAGTACATCTTTTCTAAATTCAGTTATGCAACACGAGTTGGGATCAGCATCACCTATGTACTTCTCATATACAAGAATAGAAATATAGAGAAGAGGACCATCGCCACAAGAGTCACCATTACAATTGCATCTACAGAGGGAGATCTGTATCTGGCGATATCAAATAAAGGGCTAATATAATACTAGATAGGTGCTGCACTGTACTATCTTGCACCGACACACGTCAATCCACAATACGAGATATAACCAGCCAAATATTAATCCAATGTAAACTTAAAAGACACATAATCATCCAGTCGAATCTCCCAACACATCTCCCAATCCACGCGGGTGGAAACATGATGTCAGTTGTACCGTTGAAGAAACTTTGGTTGCGGTGGGGAAGACGCCAGTGCCATGCATGCCATTTTCTTATTTTTCTGCCTCGTACCTTACATCTCTGCGATTCGGGGTACATATAACAAAAGTATCATGTCCAGATCTGCGGATGTGGCCATGGACTTGAAGGTTGGCGATGATGTCGGTGGTGTTTGAGCATGACGTATGTGGGGTATGCGTGCCTTTACTTTGCACGTAGGGTTGGCTGTATACACCATTATCTGTTGTTGATGATCAGAAGATTGTGTTATTTAAACGGGTTGCCATCTTGACAGTGAAGGGGACTTATTATTGTAAATTAGTGGTTTATACTTTACTAGGAAACCTGGAAGCGCGAATTATACCCTATTTGCAATACCGAACATCAATACCTCGTGTCTATAGTTACCGATAGCTGGGATAATTACTGTCGTCTATCATACCGTTTTACTCAGAAACAAACCCATAACACAATTCAACTCACTCCTCTCAACCAACATAACCAACATGTTGGCAGCCGTTCAAAGAAACCCTGTCGGTCCCCGCAAGCTCAGAAAGGATTCGGGAGTGTCTGAAACAGCCGCAGGGCTCGCGGGGAAGGCGAGCCATACCGCAGGAAACATTGCCGGAATCGACCTGTCTTCCCTGAAAGGTTTCGAGATCGGTGGAGGTGGCCAGGTTCTTGGGAAAGACGGCAACCCCCTAGGTTGGGTTGTAGAGGGTGAGCCCGAGTCACTCGTCGGACGGACTATCGGGGACAATGGGGAGATCCAGGGCGATAACGGCGATATTACCGGTCGTGTGGAACTTCTTCCAGAAGTAGCCCAGGAGACGGTCGACCAGACAAAGGGAGCTGCCACTAGTCTTGCCGACCTGGATGGTCTTCCTGTGTCTGACGGAGGCGTGATCAAGGATAAGGCCGGTCAGGATATTGGACGAGTAGTTGAAGGGGATGCTCAGGAGCTCCTTGGCTATGCTCCTAACAGCAAAGGGGAAATCCTCGATGGTGATGGTGACCTTGTCGGCCGTGTTGAGCTCATCCCGAAAGCATTGAAAAATATTGCAGACGACACAGAAGGCTTCGGAAAGCCGGCATCGTCTGATGTCCTCGATGCTGATAAGGGTGTGGCTCAAGAAGTGAAACCTACTGCTGACGCTGCTGCTCCTGATCTGAATGATATCAAGGAGACCCTTGAAGGTAAACGCGAAGACACCAAGGATCTCGTTGCAGGAAAACTGGAAGATACTCAAGAGAAGCTGGAGAACTTGCCGCCGCTTTCCACACTTGAAGGTTTTAAATGCAACAAAACAGGCAAAATAATCGGCCCCACTGGAAAACCAATCGGCGAGTTAGTCGAAGGAGATCCTAAAAAGCTTGCTAGACTGGGCGTCACTCTCGGCGGCGCGGGCCAATTCTGGGATAGCCACGGCAAGATTATCGGCAAGGCCCAGACGATCCCTCCCGAGGAATTCGGGGAGGATCCGCTTTTCGCTGGTTTAGATGGACTGCATGTTGTCGAGAACGGATGGGTCGAGGATAACAGAGGGAAGCGGGTGGGAAGGATTGTCAAGGGTCAGCCCAAGAAGGTCCTCGGCCGCCCCGTCGACGAAGACGGGGATGTGACTGATCAATATGGAAATGCCATTGCTAGGGTCGAATATTGGGAGGAGCCAGAAGAGCTCATTCCCGAGGTTATTGATCTTTCTAAATTGGACGGCCTAACCTGTAACAAACTGGGATACGTTATTGGGCCACAGGGAGTCCCAATCGCACGTGTTGTCGAAGGAAACACAAAGGAATTGGCTGGCAAGAAGATTGACGATGGCCAGATCTGGGATGGCCGTAAGGCCGTGGGACGTGTCGAGCTCATTCCTGATAATGAGCTTGAGAATAAGCCCGAGGGTCCATTTTCCGGATTGGACAATCCTGTAGTGAACAACAATGGATTCGTCGAAGATGCTGAGGGAAATGTCGTTGGCCGAGTCACCGAAGGCAATATCAAGACTCTCCGTGGACGCACAGTGGCCGAGGACGGGGATGTCCTTGGTAAGTTTGGGAGTGTGAAGGGACACGCTGAGCCGTACGAACCTCCTCCCGAGGTGGAAGAGGATCTGTCGATCTTAGAGGGCAAGGTCGTGAACAAGGCTGGCAACGTTGTGGATGCGCAGGGGAACGTTTACGGAAGGATCACATCGGGTGACAAACGGCTCGCTGGAAGAAAGGTCGACGGACTTGGCCAGATCTGGGGAGATAATGGCAAAGTCATCGGCAAAGCAGAGCTCATCCCAGGGGCCGAAGAACAAAAGCCCGAGGGAGCTTTCTTCGGATTTGACAATGCAGAAGTTGGGAAAGATGGAGTAATCACTGCCGCTGGCCGCATCATCGGCCGTGTCATGGAAGGGGATCCGCAACGTCTTCTAGGCCGCAAGGTTGATGAAGATGGAGATATCTTGGACAAGAATGGGAATACCATTGGACGAGCTGAGCGCTGGGAGCCCGAAGAGAAGAAGCGCAGCGTCAATCCCATGTCGGGACGCAAAGTTACTCGCGAAGGTGAAGTGCGAGACACAGACGGCAATTTAATCGGCAAGTTGACCTTTGGCAATCTGGGAACTCTGGTGGGAAAGGAAATTGATGACAATGGCTACGTTGTGGACAACGATGGGAACAAGTTGGGCGAATGTACTCTGCTAGAAACTCTGCCGGAAGAGGAACCAGAACCGGGTCCATCGCCAGAAGAGCTGGAGGCTCAGAAGAAGGAGGAACAAGACAGGCAGCTGGCAAAGAAGCTAAGCAGCATTGTCGCCCAGACTCTAGAACGTATTCATCCTGTCTGCAAAATGATTACAGATGTATGTTACCCGTTGAACACCATGGGAAAAGGAGCCTGCTCACACGTGTATAGCATATCGAAAGGGCCGAACGCACGCCAAAAGAGGAACTGGATGAGGAGAAACTGGTTCAGGATGTCAAGCCTCTGCTCGAAGAAGGAGGCCAGATCCTACAGGAATGCAACGGTGCGATCCGAGCACTCGATCCAGACGGTCATATTGCAGCCATGGCCAAGGCTCGCGCAGCCTCTCATGAAGCGTCCCCAGAAGAATATGAGTTGGCTGATCAGCTCAAAGAGCTGACCGACACCGTCCTCACCACAATGGACAAAGGCCGTAGGATGATCGCTGATATGCCCCATGCGAAGGAGAAGCTCAACCCCCTTTGGACACTTCTCAGTGAACCTCTCTTCCAAATCATCGCGGCCGTGGGTCTGCTTCTGAACGGCGTTCTCGGCCTGGTTGGCCGTCTGCTTGACGGTCTTGGACTGGGGTCTCTCCTGAACGGCCTGCTTCGTGGATTGGGTCTTGATAATTTGCTCTCAAACCTGGGCTTGACTTCCTTGACGGATGCTCTGGGAATCACTGGAAAGAAGAAATAAGGATGAGGTCTCAAGGGGAGACTGCGGATATCTCCAGGACATGCTGGTACCAGTTGCTCCGACTGACGCGGACATTCATTCTCGATCTGTATTCTTCCATCCAGATTGTTTGAAATGATTAACTCGTCTCAGAAAGGAAGGGAGGACAGAATAAGAATGACACTCAGATTGTCTGTTGTAGCTTTGTTTCGTGCAGCAATTCAAGTTGCTTGTCCACTGGGCTAGCAAAGATACATCAAGCGTATCTGTATCATGGATTATGCTTGGATGTCTCCAATTTCTTACTTCATTGTCCTGGCTCTGAAGTCTAGCATGGATTCGGGATTCAACGTACAAATATTCAAGTAAGAGGCATTTATTTTTATAATTAATTATGCACTATTTAGAGAATTTCTCAACCTTTGTGGAAATGTGTAGATATCATGGCATCATCATGAATTAAGTTCCTCAACTCAGTACGAGCATCCTTCATCTCATCTGTCATCATTTTGCCTTTGAGTCCTTGAGCCAGCGAGATTCAGGACATCAACTGCGCGTATATTATGTGTCTCAACTAATAACGGTTGATGGCTAGCAACGCTTTGGCATCTGAGTCAGGCTGGTGCTTACCAAGAGCAAAACAGTTTCAACGGCCAGCCCATAAATTTGGAAACCTCATCATTCCGAATGTTGGGACGATCGAGTTCTCTATATTAGCGGATACATGATCCCCATGAACAATCCTATTGGCTTTTTTAGTTCGATTGCGAGAGAACTTCGAAGAATTGACTACTGTTCCGTTTAAGATTGTCAACCTGAGCCTGCCGTAATCTAGTCCGGTTGCAATGCTCGGCTCGCATTGAATTAATCTGCCTTTGGTGTTCTTTCGTGGTCTTTTGAAACGATTCTAACGGACTAACCCCAGCGGTCTTGCCCCATATATGCTGAGATTTGGCGTTGGTAAGCTTCACATCTTTCATAGCATCGCTCAGTATGGCCATGCCATGTTCGTTGATATTTCACATGTCTTGCAATGGAGTGTCTGTATATGCAATAAGGTCTACATTCTGAGCATTGTTAGCTGGGCGCATTGGCTATGCCATCATATGAGTTTACCTCAGGAGGATTTGGCCTTTCTCCCAATGTTCTCTGACATTTAGGTGGTATTATAAGGCCTTGAAAACAAGCAACAACAGACACAAAAAGATGCAACAGGAGACATTGTAAGAGAAGACACAAAAAGAAACAAACCCGTCAAGGGGGGGGCAGTTGGGAACAACACTGGACAAGATGGAGAAAGATGCGAGCCAGAGCTGGTGAAAAAGGGAGGAAAGAAAAGAAGCTAAGAGCAGAAGATGGGATATAGAAAGCTGCCGCACGTGAGGGGATGTTACATCATCCAAAAATGGTCATAGTTAGTTAATTAACTAGTAAAAAAAAGGCCGACTCTTGGCAGGAGCAATCAAAATCAGCCTTGCTCTGCAATTTTCATCATCGCCTCCTTGGCATTTTGCCTGGCTGTTTGCTCTACTCGAAAATCCCACCAGGCTTCTACATGGATGGTACATTGTCTGTTCCCGCGGCTTTGTTCTTGCGTCTCCCCAGCATCCAGCCATCCCACCACGTCATCGACTGTCCGAGATCAGAATCCCGTCGAATGACCACATCACCTCTAGGCGTGCTCGGAGGCGTACGTTAAGGGAGGGAGGGATAACGAGCTACCCACGACACTTTCAAGACGTATTATAAAAGGCAAATTGTTGCGCTGTGGCTTCAGACAGTTCACACCCCTTGCTCTCAGGAGAGGAGAGGAGAGCTGGGGACAAGGAATCGGAGCCCGTTCTTGACTCCCAAGTAGAAGAAGAAATGCCACTCGCACGACCGCCCCTGCATCGACCGACAGATGGCCGGTCCCAGTCGCCGTTGCTCAAGGATGAGCGTCGTGGCCGTCTGTCCAATTCCAGCGCGACAATGGGGACTTCAGAGAGCCGGCCAATACTATCGCATCTCGACAGGCGGTCCTTTATGCGCAATAGAAGCCCTGAATACCAAGCGGAGCAGGCGACCCGTCGAAAATACATTATTGCCTCGGGTTTCTTGCTGTTGAGCCTGGTTAGCTTCGTTGTCCAGACGGAAACCGCTGCATATATCCAGCATGAGCTGGGTTGGGCTAAACCATATTGCATGCTGTAAGTCGCGCACTACGCCCAAGGAAAGTATTTGTATGCTTATACTTGCGCCCCTTGAGGGAAACAGTTATCTCACTCACGGCTCCTGGGTTCTACTCTGGCCGTTCCAGCTCCTTATACTTAGATTTCAGAAACGGTCGCTCGCTTGGGATGCATTTTGGCGTCGCCATGTCTATCTGCTGCGCACAACGGCACAGATGGTGGAAACACAGGATCTCCATCTTACCTCTCGAAATTACCACCGGTCTCCTGTTCCCTACATTCTCAGGATGACTGCACTCGTCACAACAGCCCTCACGGTCGCTGGCGGCTCATGGTACGTGGCTGTGAACATGACGACTGCCTCTGATTTGACAGCAATCTACAACTGTTCCGCTTTCTTTGCTTACGCCTTCTCCATACCGTTATTGAATGATAAATTCCGAATCGATAAGGTCTTCTCTGTGGTTGTTGCAATTGCTGGCGTACTCGTAGTCGCCTACGGCGGCGACTCTGACAGCAAGGACACTCCAGATGGGGCTGAGGGGAAGGGTAAAGATGAAGCACAAAATAGGCTGCTGGGTAATATAATCATCGGAGTCGGAAGCGTGCTTTACGGTCTCTACGAAGTGCTGTATAAGCGACTCGCCTGTCCCCCCGAGGGCACCAGTGCGGGTCGCAGCATGATCTTCGCAAATACCTTCGGTAGCTTGATTGGGAGTTTTACTCTATTAGTCCTTTGGATCCCGTTGCCCATTCTCCACGCTCTCAGATTAGAGGTATTTGAGTGGCCTTCCCGCCAGGCTGCGGGTTTACTTGCAATCTCCGTTCTTGCCAATGCCAGTGAGTCTCAGATAGTACTGCGTATTTCTATATGAGGAGGGAGCTGATACTAATACGGTATAGCATTCTCCGGCTCCTTCTTAGTCCTTATCTCTCTGACCTCCCCCGTCCTCTCCTCCGTGGCCGCCCTCCTCACCATCTTCCTCGTCGCCGTTGTCGACTGGCTCCGCACCGGCGAACCCATCTCCTCAGCCTCCATCCTCGGCGGCTTCTTGATCATCGTGGCATTCCTTCTCCTGAGCTGGAGCACGTACCGTGAAATGAATGAGGAACGAAGGAAACACCTGGAAAGGGACGCAGCTGAATCAGAAAGTGACGAATAGATAATTACGTCTCGTCGACACACACACACATTCTCTCTCTCTATCTCTATATATCTCTCTCTTTTGCTTTCTTTCCGTCTTCTACGTACATTTTTCTATTTTTCCTTACAGGTTTGGATGGGTTATAGGCTGACGGGTTTCTTCCATCTCAGTTAATTTTATACGTTCATTTGCTCTTTTTATTCCTCGTACTTTCTGTTTTAATTATTATTGCTACTGTTACTGGCATTGTAATTATTATTATTCTTATTATTATTATTGAATCAACATTCCAGGACCAAATACTGTTTACTCTACTTGTGTTGCTGTGTTGGTGGCAGTTCATATCACCAGTTTTTTTTTTTTTTTTTTTGGACATGTACATACCTGCATGGGAAGGTCATCATAAAAAAAGGTGTTGGAATATTATTACCAAAGAATAACAAGCTCATCGGGCACTTATGAGATAGATCGATTTTACTTTTCCGGAAATCAGACGGTTGCAAAGAACAAAGGGCATATATATAAAGTGCACGACCAGGAGAAGGAACAAGAAAAGGTCAGGTTTAAATAAAGAGCATGGCATGGTATGGCAATGATATGGATATGTCAAAGACTGGTTGGTTGGTATACCTACGAGGCCTACAAGAAAGAAATGAACTATCTAGGACCGAATTTCGACAAGGCGCGGGCGCCCTGTTCCTCCCATTCTTGCTTGGTGACCCACATGTCTTCCTTGTCCGCGATCTGAGCAGAAATTGATCTGTTAGCTCCTATGTGTGCTACGGTGGGTTGAACAGGTTAATTGAACAACTCACCAGATTGGCAAGGACAGCGCCACCCAAGAACACCATATGTCTTCGTCGCGGGGGATCTTCGATGCGGACTTTGAATTTCTGTTTGATGAAAGGTACGAGTGTTAGAAAAGTCCGATATAGAGAGAGAGAAGGTATAGGAAGGAGATGAAACACGTACGTTCAGTCGTTCAGGGTTCCCTCCCAACGTCCGTGTAAGCCACAATTGCTTCAACTCCTTCTCTAACCGCGACGGCAGACCAGGGTACATGCTGCTTCCGCCACTGAGCACGATTGCCTTGTACAAGCTGGCCCGCACGTCCACATCTGCGCCCTGGATCGTGTTATAGAGCATTTCTCCAATACCAGGCTGGTCTACATCCACCAGATGCGGCTGGAAGAGACATTCGGGCGCTTCAAATCGCTCGCTGCCGACCCTGATCACTCTGCCGTCGGGAAGGGTATACGATTCCACCAAAACAGTTGTGTCTTCCGAGAGTTTCTTGTCCAGCTCTAGGTCGTACGAAACGTAGCAAAGCTTCTCCTTGATCTGGCGCACCGTCTCGAAGTCGGCCGTACGGTTGAGAGCGTATCCACGACGGAGGAGGAGGGCAATTAAATTGCGCGTGACATCGCGACCAGCGACATCCAGTCGACGAATGTGGTGGTTCAAAACTGTAGACTCATAGACGGGGATGATATGCGTAACGCCGTCACCGGAATCGACGACCACACCACTGCTGAGACCTAAAAATGTTTCTGTGAGCCTCTCCCCCTAATGGCAATTATAGCGGGTCCTCCACGTACCCTGAGCATACAGCGCAAGAACTGCCTGAATCGCAACATATACACCTCCAAAATTGTACCCTTCTAGCATAACCTCGCACATCCGTTCTCGGTTCTTCAGGGGATTCATGGGGGGTTCAGTCAGGAGGATTTTGCGGCCCGTCGGATCGATTTTCATCTTGTCGTAGAAAGTATAGTTCCATAGATGTTGCATATCGTCCCATCTCTTCACAATTCCATTTTCCATCTAGTCGTCGATAAGAATCGACAACAATTAGCATGTTTGCCTGTAGGGATCTCGGAGGTAGTGCGACAGGTGCAGCGGTCAACCTGGGAGGCTTATGCGGCAGGAACATACAGGATAGGTAATCTGAAGCATCGATCTGGCAGCAGCAGCTTCATCTCCGCACATGATATCCTTCACGACGATATCGCCGGCCTGCTCTTCAGTTCGTAGTATAGGCCGCCCCACTATGGAGGGGAACTGGTACTCTGGGAAGTTCTGAGCAGAAGGGGCGGATGCTTAGTCTTTGCAAGCCAATAGCGCATCTGAGTTAATTTATGGGATTACCTGCGCAGCATATCCGACCTTGAGGAAACCGGTTCCCCCGTCGAGAACTAGCTGGCTGTTAATAAAGCTGGATGCCTGGGGGTTGGCGGTTGGGCCTCACCAATGGGCATGTCCGCCATTGTTGCAATTTTCCTCGTGTTTGCCTCTATATAACAGGCAAAATAGATCCGTAGAGGTAAATATTGAATGCAAGAGATACGTCTGGGTGAAATTGGCCGGGGTCGAGTGGTGGTCTTCCCCAGATGCTTACTGACAGGAAGCAGTGGGAGCTGGCGACTCGACATGTCCAATAGCGCCCTCACCGCCTTGCTCCTCCTTTTCGCAGCTTCTACGATTCCTCCTTCCACTGCTCCGCGTTTCCCCTTCCAACACACTGGTGAAATTTCATCAGCCTTGTGGTCTTTCAGAACTGTCCTGGTTCTGGAATTCTCGACATTTGAGGATGTTGCGTGCGGAATGGAGGCGATGTGGACGACTTGGTAGTGATCCCTGACTTAAACAGGTAGCAGCAACTATATCCATGGGATTCAACAACGAAGATTAAATCTGTCGGCCATATTATTCAATATTGCTTGACATTATTTTGTCAATTGGATTTTAATAGCAATATTTGGGGCCGCTCATGACAGCTCGACATGGTTTAGGCCTCAAGTGATTATCTGGCACATACCATCCCGTCACGAACTATTTCACGTCTCTTCGAAAACCCCTGAATGACGGCTTCTAGCATGCAGCTAGCTCATACAGACTTCGAGATGTTTTCTAACAACTGCCTATGCACATGGGAAGGAGACCTACATATACCGGAGTAATTCTTCAGTGAGACCCGCAGGATAAAAGGCTATGACCTATGATCTATATACGTTAACTACCACGTCCTACGCGCTTATTAACTCTCGCAAGAAATTCGGGGACAATATTTATAAATCATTGGCATCTTTGACTACGCATGAGCCATCTGGTATCTACTATCGTGAGAGTGTCGGGAGCCTCTCCGTCAGCCTCGGGACCCGTTCCGCTGAGGGTACAGGATAAATTCAATGCATACAATGACCGCAGCAACGCCATCCTTTTCTCCGCGATCGCTTATCGTTATAATGCGATTGGGTGTTATTTCCCAATGAAGAGCTTCCATGCCCTTGTCTTGCGTGAACATGGAGGGAACTGCAAACTGAATCGGGTATGAATTACCTCGGTGATTGCAGCATACGAGCAACAGCATCGACAGAAGAACCCAGTGGTGTCTCGCCCGAGATATGCGAGCAATAGATATTAGGCAGCGCCATCGAGCGTCAATCCAGATCCTCCGTAGATACAGCGTAACCGGGAATCGGAGCAGCCAGCGAATCCCGCGGGAAACGGACGTCACTCCGGGAAGTTTTTCGCTGATAAGAAGTTATTTATCTTGGTTTTGATATCATCAAAGTAGCCATACTTGAACCCCGGAGCTCCAACATTCTTCGTTCTGTCCCACGTCACATACTCTTTCTTGTACATCAACCTCATCTCCGAAGATCTCAAATAAGATAGAACAGACGAAACGTCCAATACAATGGCAGCATCCGCAACCCAGATCGGCTGGGTACGTACAGATTACTCGGAATCCGATCTACCTCCATGGAAAATGACTCAGTAGACTGACAAACAGCAAATTCGCAGTACGGCCTCGGGTCCATGGGCCTGGCCATGGCAACAAACCTCCAAAGACACCTAGCGGCCAAGAAAGCCGTCAATCTGATCTATTCCAACCGAACCATGTCCCGAGGTGATCCCCTAAAGGCACTCGGCGCAGTTCCAGAGTCTAGCTTCGAGAAGCTCGTCGGACGGTGCGGAATCATCTTTACCATGGTTTGTTCACTTTCTTATACATTTATACACGGATTACTTTTCGGAATAACTGACATGAAACTAGGTATCCGACGACACAGTCCTCAAAAACCTAATCTCCTCCGCTCTCAACTCGGGAGAATCTCTCTCCAGCAAAATTTTTGTCGACTGTTCCACCGTTCACCCAGACACAATTTGCGCCACGGCCTCTCAGCTGAAAGAGAAGGATGCGGTTTTCCTCTCCGCGCCAGTGTTTGGTGGTAACCCCATCGCCGTTGCAGGGAAGCTCGTTTTCGCTATTGGTGGGCCCAAGGAGGCGAGTGAGGCTGTCAAGCCGCTCATTCAGGATGTCATGGGGAGGAAGATCATCGATTGCGGGGAGGAAGCAACGAAGTCTTCTCTTTTGAAGATTGCAGGGTACGTTTTAAGCTTGGACTTGTATTCGATGCGTCATGCTCATTTGATGGTTCTATTTTTTCCAGGAATATTGTCACAGTCAGCCTTATGGAAGCAGTCGGTGAAGCTCAAGTCTTCGCAGAGAAAACCGGTCTAGGAACCGGTCCAATGGAAGAACTCATTGGCGATGCCTTTGGTCCTGTCGCCGGGGGTTACTCTAAGAGGTACGCAAGTTCACTCTGTACATTCCACAAAGAAATGAAGACAATACTTACTAGAGCTTGATTTCAGATTAACAACGGGAGTGTACGCTCCACCACTCGACTCCCGGCCGGGATTCGGTGTCTCCCTATCAATCAAGGATGCGAAGCACGCAGCTGCCATTGCCAAGGACCATGGCGTCGAACTTCCAGGTCTTCAGGTTGCAGAGGACAATATGGTCGCTGCTAGGGAGTATGGGGGTGAATGTCTGGATAGCAGTTCCATGTATGGCATTCTAAGACAGAGGGCCGGGTTGGCCTTTTGGAATGAGAAGAGTAGGCAAGGGGGAAAGTAAAATGGAAATACGAGATACCAAATAAGGGGCTTTATTTTACGGTCGTATATAGATTTCAAGTCAAGGGACACATCTGAGTACCGGATACAGGTAGGTGGTTTTGGTTATAACATTGGAATAATGCCACTATACGAAATGGAATTTCTAGAACCACATTGACTTTTCCCTTCTGGATGCCCGTGCTTTCATGAGGGCGCTCAGAGGAGTGTTACTGAGTATTTTGCATCACAAGTGAACACTTACCGGAGCACTCATGTTGCCTGTGAGCTGCTCTCCCCCTTCTATGTTGTGCAGGTAGTTCAAAATGATGCTCAGCTAACCACTTCCAAATTACCCATGCCGTTGACATGCCCATCACAAAATGACACTGTGCCGGGGGTGCTACAAGTCCATGGATAGGACCCTTCTTTCTCCTATTTCTTATCTTGAGATGCTGCCTACTGAGCTGGACGGTCAGACTCCGCCATACTTGGGAGTTCTGTATGAGCTTGGGATAATCAATTCCATATAATCTCTTCTCTTAACATGTCCAGTACATGCGACCACAGGGTGTGGAAAACAGGGCTTCCCGTCCGCTCAGCCGTACTTAAGCCACATATTGAACGCGGTCAATTCTTAAAAAGCCTTCCTCCCCTGAAAAAGCGACCTAACGATTTTAGTGTGGGTGCTGGTGATGTGGGTGAGGACTTTATTGCTCCGCATCACCACTCTGGAAAATGGTTCACGAGTGGTGATGAGAGGTGGTGATGAGGATTCGCGAGTGGTGAGGAAGGACACCTTTATCAAGCAAAACAACGCTAGACCACTGATCCGGCTGCTGTTAAATAGGCCGAGAGCCCTGTTGCTCAAGATGAAGTTTTTCGGTTCCTATCTCATTCGATCTTTACTAAATTGTCTGCGGTGAGTCGGGCATCAACGTACTGACAGTTATAGTTCTAGCTTTTTTTTATTTGGTTCCGATCGGTACATTCTAGCTATGCCTGGAGCAAGCAAACTGGAGCCATTCCGTCTACTATCCTGATCGGCGCAGTGCCGAAGTCCCAATGCTCAAACAATATTGAATTACACGGCTCGGTTAATCCAAACCAATAAGAATAGATGCTAGCATTGTTGCAGGACAAACTGCATAATTGTTCCATGGCAACAATGAGGGCAATTTGTCTTGGCACCGATATCAGGTGTCTTGGAAGATTGGCCCAAATAAGCTTGAATTGTGATTGATTATTTACCCTCCGGCGTCACTCAGCTGTGCAGAATATGCCATGAAAGCACAACGGACGGCAGCCCGCACAGAACCAAAAACAGCAGTGCCTTGCCCAAAATGAGGCTTTGGCGGTAATCTCTGGCAGGCGGGGCAGCGCTGAGCAGGTCCTCTTGGGAAGATTTCTGGCCCCTGTCTTCTTAATCCTCAAAATGACTCAAAACGTAACCTGATATGGATATTGCCAGCTTTACCGATTTAACTTCCAACGGTCTGCGCTGCAGCTTGCGGCATAGCGAGGGTCTGGTATAGGTTGCATGAAAAACAGTCTTATCACACTCAAGAGCCAAAAGAGCTCTTCCTGAATGGGATACACAAGAGTGTGCACGTTACCCCGCAGATGTCATCTCAACGGAAGAATTGCTTCGATACGTTCTCGCAATTTCAGACCAGAGGACAAAGATAATTCCATATCATTGTGCCAGTATTACGTGTCAGATCCCCAGCGTAGTGGAAGTTCAAGGGAAATTTCGAGATTAAAGCCTTCGCTGCAGCTCTTGAGATAGTGTCACCAGCCAGCAGGCTACCAATTCTCCATGACACTTCATTTTGAGGATCGCATACCTTCACGATTATGTGAAATAGTGGACGTTTCCATGATGGGTACGCCGAAATGGCTGTACATCTTACTAGTTATACAAGGGTGATCTAGCACCTCGCTTCCATCAGAGGGAACCACCACATACTATGCATATCAGCGCGGCAAAGTGATCAGATTTAGATCTATAAAGTCTAGCCAATAGGCGGCTATGTCTTGTAGGACTGAATCCTGATTTTAGAATCACATTCTCTCCCGGCTACAGTACTTATATCGCGATCCTCTGAGCCATCTCAAGGCACACTTTTCAATAACTATTTGGAGCCGGCTTGAACTGAAGCTCCTGTGCTTTTCGGCGCATCGCGCTGAGCTGGTCGATGGTTTCACTGTATCTCTTAACCCTTGTGGTCCAAAGTACTCAAAGGATTTATGGCGGCAGGAGCCCTGTGTCTTGCGGCGCAGTGCAGTAGCACCCCCGCTTTGAATGCCGTCTCAATGCGTGATGAGAGAGGATTAATTTGGGGAAATACTTGCGTGAGCTGTGGATATTGCACCACAACAGTGAACTTTTGGACGCGCCGAAGGACATGCAGGCTTGCCTTTGATTGGCCTAAAGTAGCTGCATTATTCTTTATTTGTCTCTCGACCCCTTGAGCGTTCGAAATGGCGCGTACTTTATTGGTGATGGTGGCTTCAAAGTTGGCTTCTGGATTCTCCTGCAATTTCCGTCGGCCCTTTCAACCCCGTGCCAGACCCGGGTGTAGGGTGGTAAGGAGGCTGCAACGCACTCCAATCTCTATGGGACTTTTTCAATTGGAGGATGCTCTTTGTTAGCTCCTAAACCAGACCCCTCACCCCAGTCCAGCGCAACTCCAACCCAACCCTCTAAACAAAGCCAAGCGCTTAGGGAGTATATGCCTTGGAAGTATCATAGAGATAACCCATTATAAATACCCGCACCCTCGCAAGCTGTACCAAGTTCTCTCATTATGGATATCATACTCGCACTTTTTCTTGGCTGTCTGTCGGTCCTCTACCAAAGTTGCTTCAAAGCCTTGCTTCTATCCATCAGTGAAAGACATGTCTCGCGCATTTTCTACCGCAGCCCGGGCATTGAAGTCCCTCTCCTGGAGTAATAAGGGAACAACCCAGGATGTCTCGTGGGTCAAGAGTTATGCCGAAAATGCCGTGGACCTCGTACCACAGCTACTTGACAAGGTGGATTCAGGAACTGTGCAGTAAGCATCACCGCCAGCCCAAGAGCTCCCCAATTGACCAGATTGACTAACAACGGACTAGGGGCGACCCTCATCCCACTCCGCGGAACAATGACCCTCTTCACGCGTCTATAACTTTGGCGAGGGGAGATTCCCGCGTTACATCTGCGCATGTGTACCCCGACGGGACGGTGGTTTTTTCGAAGGCTATGTACGGCCGGGTCAAAGTTTCGCGCGTTCCTGAGGCCCCCGAAGGCTCCGGCCCTGTTCAATAATTTCGAAAAGTAGCTTCTGACGCGCGGCAGCTGCTCTCACGATATAGGACAACGCGGTCGTTGGAGGGACGCGTGGACTATAAGTTGGGATTGAAGCCGCATGGAACTGTTAGTGCAAGATGAAAAGCAGTATACATGTAGGCCAATACTCATTCTTGAACTGTTAACACCTCAGCATTTTGCTCACAAGCGGATAAATACTTGATAACTGCTTAATGAACATTGTAGCAAACCTTCACCGTATGCAAATACGTGCTAGCACATTCTGATCGGCAACGTGAACCTTGTAAGATTAGCCGGAGGCTTGTTACATCCCTGGGCGCGTTTCATTATTCAAACTGAACTGCGCAGTTGATCAACCTCCAAGTTTGAGAAACTGATGATCCATCAGTTCACGAGCTGTTTTCCTCTCCTCCGGGAGCCAATTGAGCATTTGCCGAACGAAAGATAAAAATGCCTCTCGATCTTCCTGTTCGAGGAATGGAGTTGTATTCTCTAAGCTCCGAGACGGGATCAACCCATTATGCCGGAATTCGCCTAAAATAGTACGTCAGGTATTGGCATATGGAATAGTTGGTCAACCCACCTTCTGCGTCAAAGAAAGGACCGTCAAAGAATTCCTGGGAATTATTGCACAATTTGCCAGTGTCGTTTGCGACAGCCTGGGGCCAGTTGTGTTCTGACATAGTCTTTGATTTCGCGAGCAATGCCTTGGGGGGTGGACCCAGTAGAGCAATCATTTCTGCCAGGTGTGACTTTGCGTGGTATTTGCCATCCGCATCATATACCTGTTGGAACAACTCCTGGCTCCCAAGGATATTCCACAACTTGTCGAAGGGATTGTTAACAGTAAGGCCAAACCAGCGATTGTAACCAACAGGGAAATAAGTAGTCGCAGGGTATCTTACCAACACACCAAAGTTCCAAATATCCGCCTTGAAATCCCAACCGCAGCCAAGGATTACCTCTGGAGCACGGTAATAGTCTGGTTGGATAGGATAAATGCCAAGTTGCTTTCCTACCATCCCATCTCGAGTATCCGGCTTGTCAAGTCTCGTTGCGAGCCCGAAATCGGATATCTTGGGAACCATATTCTTGATATCTCGCCCGTCAAGAGCACCGAAATCATTATGGCAGCGGTAGATAGTTCGACCACTCTTGCCATCAATCTTATACTGCATTTGTTGTTTTCGATTTATGAAGTTGGTAAGAATGTTTTCGTTTTCGAAGCTCATGAGGATGTTACCTAGCTTCAGATCTGAAAGGTGGATTAGGGGTTTATATTTCAAGCAGAGCAAATTGTGAAAAGTGCTTACCACTGTGAACAACTTTGCACTCTGAGTGAAGATAATCAAGACCAGCAAGGAGGAAGTAGATATAGGCTTTCGCAATGGGCAAGGGAATCTTGCGTTCAACAAACCGCCTCTGTAAAATCCAGATAGGTTCTCTCATCGGTTCGTACACCAGGCACATATGCCTCCCTTCCGGGCCAGTTACTTCGACATCATCTAGACATGTACGTAGAATAACGCGGCCACGGTGTTCTGGATTTTGCTGCATGATATGGCTTTCAATCTCCTTTTCATGTCGAGCATCATCAGCATTGTTACTGTTGATTATTTTGAGGACTACTGTTCGCTCAGATTGCCATTTAAGTCTTATTTGGGTGGACCATGGTCAGTTTCTCTGTAGTCAAACGAAGGATGAAAGCACATTTACGGACGCGGGTAGATACCTTGAAATGTCTCGGGCGAGCCATACGGTAGATTGTGATCCCCAGCCGATTTTGACAAGTAGTTGAAACCTCTCTGCCAGTACTTCCCCAGGATTTGCTGGGTAAAAACTCGCCGAATTGTAGCCCGGACAGAGCTCCTCGTCGACAGGTTCCTGCTGAGGAATTGGAGGCTCCGCGGTATGTGGCACCTGCCAGAGCGACTTTTTGGCAAAGGTGAACATAGTACGTCGCGATGTCAAGGTCAGCCTCCGAAGGGGTAACATTAGTCCATCCGAGCGTTATTGGAATGCTCCGGGAATGATCGAGTGGCAGATAAATTGCAGGAAAGTTGAAATCGAAGTTGGATTTGAAAGTTAATCCTGGATGGACGGTGGATTGGTGTTCCAAGGGACGTACATATGATACTCGGTCTGATTACACACAAGGCAAGGGGTGGAGATGCGGAACTTTCGAAGTGGTTGGTGTCGGTATCGGTATTATCATTCGCCGTCCCAGCCTATCACTGTCGATTGCTATGCGTGAACCGCCCCACTGCTATCAAGCGGCTTGGGCAGTTAGCTATGGAAACCTATTTACATCTAGTGTTTGGGTTTACTGAAGGCTTGGCTCCACTTGAACCTGTAGGTCCGGGGTCATCCCAGGTTTTCTGTGGTACCTATATACCCAGGGGTCAGGTATCCATCACCAGCCTAGATCTAGCAACTTCAGACCTCACCCAATGTGGCAGTATATGTGTGCTGTACGTTTGGTTCTTCATACCTTTGTAGGCGGGAACTTGCTCCCTGTCGTAGAGGCAAGGTGTAGTCCTAGATGAGATCATGTAAGAGAAAGAGAGAAATGAAACCTTACGACGTTTGCTCTCATCGTGAGTGCTTCTCTTGATCGACACCCCTACACTTAGCTACCTCCAAGACATTGGATCTGGTGCCACTACTCCAGTTGCAGACGCAAACCTTCGGAACAAGCAGTGCTATATCCCATTGCATTGGACAGTTGCGGGCTCGGCGGTCATGGCGCATGCCGGGGCTGGTTCTTCGATGAGAAGTAACATTGCAATTCAGGGAAACAGGAATTGGGCGGGTGTCGCCATTTAAATAATTAGGGTGCCAAGAAGAATCCACCCGCATGCTATTTCTCGGTACTTTTGAAACTGCCTAGCTTGGCTCGCCACTTCCTTCCGTGTCTAGAACACAGGCATGGTGACATTGCTGGAGCCACCTTATGCTTCGGCCAATAACGTCGTTGCCTTCCCCTCAAATCTTCGAGTGTGATGTGTTGTGGATACAGGAGTGTATTGAGCGCCGAAGCCATCGCGTCAAGCACCTCTTTAGCTGAAAATGACGGTTTTATTTGCCCATGAGATCCATTCATTACCTGAGGAACTGAACCTCAATGCGGGATTTGGGGGGCCACGGAAGGCTTGTGAGTTCTTGCCATTAGAAGGTTACTGGATCTCATTTGGGACTTTATCCAGCTTGGAGCGAGTAGGATGGCTGGGATGCCGGTTTGAAGGAGTACTGTGGTACTCAGAGTAGATTCTCAGTCGTCTGGGCCATTCTAATTGGTGGAATCCGGCAGAACTCGAACAAAGTGGAGGCTCCAATTTCCTAAACCTGGTATTCATTGTTCGTCCATTAAACTCCGACAGAGTATTCCCGCAGGAAGTCAGGATTCTGTTCAAGTGTATCAGAGCTCGAAGCTAAAGTGGACAGTCATTGAATTATGACGCAATCTCTTATATAACCGTTGGGGATACATAACTACGTCTTTGTTAAATAGAGGATGAAGATTGGTTAATCGATCAAGCCCACGCTGCTAATGTATGTACTGGACGGTCTGTGAGGACAGCTCCCCAAGGTGTGGTTTGGCGACCAGCAGAACCCAGGTACCCTCGAGGCAACAGAGCTCCCAAGCGAAAGAAATAACCTGTTGCGTATCATGCCCACTAGGACTTTGTTTTAGCTCCTGTAGGGATCTAGCCTTACAAATTAGCCTAACATGGGTACATCGTGGAGTTTTAGGGCTCACATGAATTCCAATATCTTCAGCCGAAGTAATGGTACGAACCACCGGGCATGTCATATTATCATTGTTGGGAAGGGCCCTGGCTTTAGGCTTTCCGGGACATTCATGGGGTCCACCAGTGGTCTTGATCCACCCGCCGCAGGCAGAGCATCGAACAGCCATGTTGGTATTGGCTAAAGTATTGGATCACAATGATTAAATGTTAAGGTAGACTTGATAGCACGGGAACGATAAAATAGTTTAGACAGAGTCTGGCGGAGACGAAGGCAGTATTTATGTTCACACTTTCCAGGTGACTTGACATATGCTACTCCATTTAAGGCAATGTTATATGTTGGCGCCAGATGCCTGCTGACACGTCCGTGACTTAAACCGCCTAAGTGATCCAGTTGTGAGCCACAGCCTCCTAGGATCAGCATATGTGACTAGTCGAGCCTTTTGCTGCACGCTTGTTGGAACTTTGTGATTGTCACATTATGCTGCCTTGGCGCTAAGCTATTGGTTTGTTGCGCCCTCATGCCGCCCAGTACTCTGTTTTAATGACCGTGCGACCGCAGTATTGTTAAAAAAGAAAAGATATTAACATTGTCGTTCGAAAGAAATATCTCAACGGGCAATAATACGCTCTCCAACTTGGATAACTCCGCATATTACTCCGCTTCTTCTTTAATCATGAATCCGTACGTGACGGAGCCAGAGCACATTCCCTCCACTGACCTATACGCGGATGTTCCACTTTATGGACGGTACCGTCCGAAACCAGGCGACTTTCGTGTTAATCCAGACCACGTTGGCTCCCAGACCTTGCTCTCGATGCAATACTGGGAGTCAGTAGTTGGCCTCTGCGATGAATCCGTCAGAATATATCCAGCAGACGAAGGTGGTCGTGATGTGTTTGCTCTCGGAAGTGTCATTGTCAAATCAAGTCACCTACATAAGAAACGAGAGATTGACTATTCATTCGCTGACGCCAATGAGATCCGCGCCATTACTATTGCCAAGGACATACTTGGGGATATTAGAGTGCCGGAAATCTACTTTGCGGGCAAGGTATTTACTCTCTGGCTGCTTTATAGTTATTTTAAATACTTACACCACTTCAGATTCATGACCGCCAAGTGCTGATCCAAGAGAGACTCCCGGGTGTTGCTTTGAGTGTTGCATGGCCGTACCTCTCTCAAAGCGAAAAACGGTCCTTTAAAGAGCAGGCGCGACTGATACTTCGACAGCTGCATACTGTTAAGCCTATCGATAGACGTCAGGTGCGGTCTCATGTTGTCCAAGATCCCTACATTCTCAGTAATGGCCGGATCCATCCCTTAGAAGGCGCGATTCTTTTCTCTGATACTAATACCGACCTGGATATGAGCTTTATGCATAACGACTTCACCCAATCTAATTGTATCGTTGACAATGGCAAGATCGTGGGGCTCATTGATTGGGAAATGGCTGGATTCTTTGGTTGGAAAACGGCTGGCGAAGTCCATCGAAGGATACGAACCCCACAGAGGGAACATTTCGCAAATGCCTCTTTGAGTGAAGAGAGTCTCCAAGACATTATGTTTTGGAATGATCTCTATGATGACGGCATGCCTGAATTATAAGACAGCTGGGATTTGTATTGTACTCCAGTTGTTCATGCACTCCCGTCTCCCTTCTCTTTGACTTCTCCAAACGGACCTTAATTCAGTCAACCGAAAGAGTTAATTGCTAGACGATACAGGCGATAATCGGGTTCATGCCAAGTGATTACGAAAGTGCAGCGTAATGTTACTACTAGTATCCACACCGTTGAGTGTTAATTATCAAAAATAGTGAGCTTAACCCCAGCGAGGTGAACATTTGGAGTAATCATCATGGAGAGGTATTATCTGTCACGCTTTTACTGGTATTTGAAGCTTCCAACCTTTGACCTTACCAGTCTCTTAGGGCGGCATAATGAGTGATGTGCCAAGATGCCTACGCAATTTGATACTTGCTATCCGTTGAGAATTCCATCCAATAAGAGCCTCAGGGCTCCGCACAGACGCCAGAGATAGCGCAGTCGGTCACAATTCGAGGCTTGTTTCTTTTTTTTTAAGGGTCGCTTTTAAAATCCACCTTATTTTGGTGTTCCTGTACATCGACCTCAATATTGTGATCGAGGAAATATGCGCGTGCTATGCAAGTCTGGACCATCAGGCCGTTAGTGATTTAGCCTTGTGCTGGCGCTAGACCCATTAGGACTGCTCAAAGAAATGGGCGAATGACGCCGTTGACTGAGAAGATGTAAAAATCAATCAATCACATTCAAAATTGTCTGGGTCGCTAATAGAATTCACCTTTTTTTGACGCCGCTGCTGATCAACCTAAATGTTGTTGACAAAGTACGTGCCATGTATGATCAACAGTGATTGCTTGATTCTATGGACGAGAGCCTAAATGGCTATTTTCCTAGAGTCAGAACGAGGATTCCAATTGCATATAGTATCAAAAAGAAAAAAAGAAGATAAATAAAGAGCAGAATGTCCCTGGAGGCGTTGCCCGGACCCATCACCATCTCATGGCTTTCAAATCGTTGTTCGACTGCATATGTTCTCGATTGAAGCTTTGCCTTGACCGTTTTCTTAATTGGCTAACAACTCGTTCACGAAAATTACAAGGCTCGAAGAGTGCCCGTCCTGACTCCTTTATCTTGCCTTGGGGGAAGGACCCAGACCTGGACTACCCACCTCCTACGCTTCAGCACTCCAGGAGCCCCAACAGGGAGGCTAGTGTAATAGGCAACCAGTCCCAAACTTCGTTTTTGCATCCGACATCCAGCCTTGACAACGACATCGATCCGCCGGGGTTTTCATTTAATAGGACACCGCGTCTCGGACCACTTGTGAGACACTATTGACGGAGAGCTGAGTCAAGTAAGTGGTATCCTCTGCAGAGCTTCTCTTCTTCGTCGGTGATCGATAATCTAACGAGAGTTTCTATTTCCAGCTCTCACCAGATCTATGACATTGGACACACTCTCCTACCTAGTACCTCACTTGTATATTACTTGGTTTATACTTGTTCTGGTTGCAGTGATCTGTTACTGCTTGAGACCAGTATATCTAAGGATTCGTCGAGGCTGTTGAACGAAATCTTCGAGACCCACGGTGGACTGTTTTCACAATGGATACAGTACTCAGAGGCTCGATCCAGGCTCAGCTCGTTTCAACAAGTTGTTGCAAAGCGCATTGGATCATAACCTTCAGCCAATTTGGCGAGTGCATCAATGCAGAGCTTTCTGGAAACACTGTCTGGTATACACGGGAAACTTTTGGAGAAGTCTTGGATTCGATTGAGTTTCGCATCAATGACGGAGTTCCACCAATTGACGAGATGAAAGGTCACATGTGGCTTCCAGAACAACTTATGAAGCACCAGGAATTCTGTCGCTCTGCAGAGTGGGTGTAAGTGAAACTCTATGGTTATCGTGTCCGCATTTTGACACTTCACAGGTGGGGAGTACTTTGGCTGTATACCCACATTGGCTACATTGAGGAAGTTTCTACAGCTGGGATCTCTCTTGACCAGCTATTGGAGCTGCTGGTTGACAAACAATTAGAAGCCCTAATCTATGTTGGAATGGGACGCTTACAAGTCGAAAACGACGATATGCGGGGTTGTTCGCGTACTGAAAGCGACGACGGACAGGAGGCAAGATCCCTCGAGACCATTGGTGACGTGCACTGTCACCCTGAGCATTACGAAGGAAAACGGGAGCGGCTGGAAGGGGCTACTGGTCTGGGCAAAGTCTGTCTGGAAGGGAAAATTCGAGGAAGTATTTGACGGAGGCAAAAAATTGTCTGCGGACTGCGACGTATTTCGATTCCGTTGTATAAAGTCGCTCTTTTGGGTCTCTTCAATAATGCTTAATAGCGAAAATGTGAAATAACTTGTGAGGGCTGTAGCCGGACTAGCTATTGCGAAGTCTCTCATTTGGACTATAAGACCATAAATATGGAGTCCCAAACAATGTTAATTACAAGCCGGAGGGACAACATGCATTTAAAATTTGCTAATACTAATGGCAAATGAAGTACGTGAGATACTGCCACTTTTTGATCATGCTTGCCAGTGATATTTTCTTGACTACAATGGTCCTCCATCGACAAATCTCGAGCTACCAGCATTTCCAGAGAATCTCCACAAACTCGATCCTGCCGCGCAGACTCAAGCCCAGGATGTATATCTAAAAAATGTCACTCGCAGCTCGCTAAGAGCTTCTTGTAGGGTGCCGTCGTTTCTATATATGCTTTGTACGCAATATCCGCTCAGCGTGCGCGTCTCCGGATTGAATTACCACTAGACCGATAGAGTCGAGTTCTGCCTATCTGCTGTTCCGGTCTGGGATCGTGTCAAAAAGTGGATCAAAGGATTCTGGCGTCGGACGCTCTCGTGGAAATGGATCAATGTCAGTGTGCATCATCAAGAGGGCTAGGAAATTTAGTATTAGACGGCGCTCCAAAATCAAAATGTGTCTTAGACTCTCGGAGGATCGGAGAGTTGACTATCACGTGCGACTGCCATCTTGAGAAGCGTTGGATGCTTTGTCCTATTGTCCTATTCAGCAATCCCGCTCAACCCTTCTGATTATCTCCTGACGTTCCATGGGACGGATATGGGGTCAGTTGGGTTTAGTAAGGCGGCTTCGTTGATTCCACGCCTTTACCATCAGAACCCCAAAGACGCTCCACCAAGGTGTTATAATTGCTTTATTATTGGACGTCCTGGTACTTGGCCAATCTCTCGTTCTGAATTGACTTGTAGCCAATATTTGGGCGCTATCGGTTTTTGTGGTGGTCACTAATCTTCTTGGGGGAATCGTGGCGTAGTAATAAAAATAATCAGACAAAGGAACCCCCAAAAGTCATATTTCACGTCGCAGCTAGGCATATTTCTAACTGGAAATTCATATATGTGATCATGATGTGGGCTTCGGTCGTGAAAAGGTGATTTATGATTTGTTATCTGCTTGCTTCCCTTTGCTTGGCGCAAGGGGCTGAGTTTTCTTTGTCTCGAGGGCGAACGGCCAAAACCGAGAGAGAAGTGCCAACTTCGGTGAACGCCAGTGATTGTGTTGCCGCAGGCTTAGAATCCGGATCCACCTAAAAACGTGCATCGTCCCATTTACATAGAATCAGAAAAACGTAGCTGTTCCGTTAAAGCTTTCATGGTGAACTGGATGTGGTAGACAGACGCGCTGAGATAATGAGCTCTTGTCGAATCCCAATTGATTTCCTGCTAAATGCACTGGGCGACAAGCGGCTTGGTGCTCCTACTGAGCATCCAAAATCGCGCGTGGATTCACGCCTTTCGCAACCCAACCCAGGCTCAGAGTGAGTAACATACATATCACGACCACAAACTTATAACATCCGCTTATTTGGCAGGTGCCACAAAGAACTCTCGGCGAAATACTCGCCGCCCACCAGCAATGCTACGGAAAGCCAATCAATGAGTTTCCAGATGCAAACAACTATGTTTGCCCACTTAACGCTTGTGGACTTCGATTCTCCAGTTCTAGGCTTCTCTCAAGCCACTACAGGAAGGCCCATTTGATGACAGACTGCTGCTCTTAAGAATCAATTCGAGTAAGCCCTGGCGTTGCCTCGCCGCTTCCGCGTGTGGTGCCATCTTCAGCACTCGGGATCAAGTTCACGTTTCCGAGAGAGTCCGTGAGGGCATGCCTGTGTACAATACTCCCTGTTTGCAGGGCGGCTCTGACGAGTATTGGGAACCGTCTTTAGGACTCGACGTTCGCTGTCATTTCCTCCGCTGCATAGGAACCAGGAAGACGGGACAAGATAGTCCTAACAAAGATACGATTTGGATAATCTGGTCCTGTTTTTCCCATTTTTGTCCGACCCAGCCGGATTCTGGCCTAAGCCAGACTCGCTGCTTCCACGGTCTTTTCCAAAATGTCCATTCATTCCCTTTTGAATCCCACCAGGGTCATTGCAAGCGTTCCTGTTGTGACTGCTCTTGCTACCACGCCTCAGAGATCCGGGTTTCCCATTTAAAGTACAGATCATTGAATCCCATACTCCTCCGAATGACCAAGTAAAAAGCGCTGGCAGTTTACGCGTTGCTAAAAATGTCCCATCTGGCCCATAGTCAGGACTTACAGGGCTACAGTCAGAACTCACCGGACCAAACGGTCCTGCAGAAAGAAGTCTTTCTATTGTCCACTTAGCTCATGTCGCCAGAAATTCCACAGTTCCGGTCGACTATCCAGCCATTTCAAAAAGAGCATCTTTCCTCATCCGTGGATGCCGCGGGGAAAAGTTACGCTTGTCCAGTCGTTACCTGCAGTCGGCGATTCTCTGGTTCCGGCTGGCTCTGGAGGCATTTCAATAAGCACCCACCTACCGATTATTTGGTCACTTTAAGTTTATATAACTGTAACTAGGACGTCGACTTTCTCATTACAGTCCAGGGGGCACCCAAAACAGTTAAAGACAAATTACTTGCCATGCCTGCCAGCCCTTTCCAACAGCAGGCCCAACTCTTTTTCTACAAGAGTCCTAACGGCAAGCTTATCCAGATCGATATCACGCCAGATTGGCAGGTGAGCGCTTAAGACAAAGTTGGTTTGCGCCCCGTTGTAACACACTGTTAGTCTCCATATATTCCTTCTACAGCCGTATCGAATCGACTGTCCAGCCGGGATCTCTTCCATACATCTCAGAAGTAGATCTTCTGGTTTCTCAAGATAAACAGTTGTGGTTTACGGCCCACCCCCGCAAAAAAATTGCGTGATGCAACCGATGCCAGGTCCCTGGCCGATGATCTCAGCTCTAAGGGACCTATTGTCCTATCACAAACTCAAAGAAATGCAGTTCTCCAGGGCTTGGATGATGTGGTGCGGCTCCCTGGTAAAGACCAGGCCTGGTGGAAGGCAAAACTGGCGCTACGCTGATGTCAATATCCTACTATTTTTCTGCTTGTTTCAACTATCATTTGTACGAAGTACCTATTCACTACTTCACTCCAGTATAGTCAACTAGGCTTCCTTGAATGTCAAATCAGGAGGTTCTTCTTAACGTATCTTAAAGGCACTTCCGTCGCTACATTGGGGAGTTCGCCTCCACTGGAATTTATGACGAGCGTCAAGCAACCGTGGCTCTGCGATGTTCCTGGGCGAGTAACGTGCTCAATTGTCCCGATGAGTGGCTCTGGAGGCATTTCAATAAGCTTCATGAGCTGCCGCGCAAAGAAATACGGTGTGTGCTCCAACAAAGTCTGGGTCCAACATTGTAACAAGACCGTTGTTGTAACAGCGAATACCGACCGCGGACCGAACAATTATGCAGACGACACTAGATGAGTGACAACTGCCCTCAACCATAACGGCACCCTACACAAGGCTCACAGCGAGCTGTGAGTGACATGTCCAGCTCAATGAAGTAAGACAAGCAAAATGAAAAAGGAAATGGAGTGCGCTGTACTTAGCGATGCACACATTCACCTCAATTCAGGATTAAGCCCATAATTTACACCCCACTAATCCATTAGTAACAAAGCCGTCACTCTCACCTACTGGAGAGTAGCTCTGCATGAAGGACGCGCATGATAAACTGCCTTGTAGGAGGTTGGTCTTCATATGGATACCAGAAGCCAAGATGCTGAGTAAATAGCTGCAAATATGGGGTGGGACAAGCATTGTATTTCCTGAAATGATCTGATAAGACTACGGTAAAAAGCTCCTGCTTAATGGCAGTATGACACCAAGGATCGCGGATTGGCATCATAGCGCTGATGGGGTCGTCGGGATGCAATTGCAGCATAAGAACCAGCAGATTCGCAGTGACAGGATCAAGCTAGGAATGAGAATTCCCGACCTTTTGACTTGCCTAGACGGGAAACGGTGGTTTTTCTGTTAGGCATTTTAGAATTTCCTCAGAAAGCTGCAATCTGTCCTTGCCTTCGGGATCATCGTCAGACAGGTTTATGGGGCCAAGAGGAAGTGCTCAAACAGCCATGCCACCAGGAACATTAGGAGGTACACTGGACTGTAACGCTATAGTTATTACTGGCAGAGACGCCAGGAGGAACACCAGAAGGTGTTGCTCCAACAGCCATGCCACCAGGGACACTGGGAGGAACACCAGCCTGTACAGCTCCGGAGTCGTTGCTGGTAAGACTTCGGGAGGAACAGTAGAAGATGTAGCTCCAACACTCATGCCACAAGGAACACTGGGAGGTATACCAGACTGTGTGCTCCAGAGTTACTACTGGCAAAATGGCCAGGTGGAATGTCACAGACGGTGGTTCCTCAGCATTTGTGCCACCAGTTATCGCCCATGATTAAAGCAGGAAGCGGCACTTGGCTCGCCTGTCACCTCGCAAGAGGTCTCACCTCGGCCATAATCCACACGAACCGCCATACTATGAATGGAAATCAAGAGGTTTTTGCAAGAGATATGTATTAAGCTTGCAGCCCCAACAATCCATCGAAACGTGGAACATGACCAGAGCACTGAGACCACAAGCTCCTTCCCACGGACCTAGGCGAACTGACAAATAAACAGAAGTAAAAACAATGGCAGGTAGATTCACAGGCCCTGAAGTCGCGGCCAAGTGGATGGCGGATTCTCTGGCGACCCATTGTTCCACAAGTACAGCAATTGCCACGGACCCAAACGTATTCACACCTTTTCGAATATCTTCGTGTCTAGACGATGCGAAGGTTTACGAAGAGGGTTAAGAGATCTTCAGATTCGATGGAAAGATGTTGGCCGTCATCGCGCTGGCAGATATCATAAAAATCGCACCCGCCCTGCCGGCAAACAAAATGAACGCCCCGCGACACCCTTCTGTGACGTCCCGAAACTTGTCTGCGGCTAGGTATACCACAGTTACACAAAGGATTATTCGGATCGTTGCCCCGGTCATCTGCGAAACAAAGAAATTTGTTACACCTATGACATTTGTAGTAAGGACGGCCTGCATTGCCGTTCCTGTTTGATGGTCGAGTGACCTCTTCTGTGGCAGGCTCTCCACATCTGCGGCAGTTGGGGACAGTTTCTGGTGGAGGATGAAGCTCGGAAACTCGAGCGCTTGATAGATCAAACGTGAGAGTGCGCTGCAGTGCATCCATCAACCTCTTGTTGAATATAAAAACAAAGCTCTAACATACCGGCATGAGAAGAGTTGACAGTGTTCAACGGTAATTTTGACAATGTGATGATCCCAATGCCACTTAGAATGCCTTCATGGGCGATACTGATGTTTAAGTAGTGCGAGTGAGCGGCTTTGTTCCCTTCGGTGGAATGAAAGCCTTTTCAATACAACACCACCTTGAGGATTGGCGAGGGCCTAGAAGCGTATGTGGAATACCTGACATTGCATATGCCGCGTCAACAAATATGCGGCCAGTCTCCGTTTTGAGTGGCCTTTCTGACTAGTTCTGACAGGCTTTGTCCACAGGCCCTGCGACAGAGAGCGTCCTCCTCTTCTGGGGTGGGCGGTGGGTAATTATTCTTCGCTCTTGGTCTGTAAGGGAGGATGCGTCGGTAATGGCTCGATTGTAAAGAGTACGAGTGGCTTCAACGGGTCGTGTCATCCGCCTTGGTTGATGCGTAGAGATGTGGTGCTGTCGGGTGGGCTTCGAAGATCACGCTCAGGTGGACGGTACACACGGAAAAAATACGTGGGAGGTTGGAGTGCAAGGGATGGTTCAAGGGGCAACATGGAAGGGAAGAAGGGATATTGTAAGGTGGTGCGAGGCGTCGAAATTCCTGAGCGACGATGGTGTCCGGAATATCCGGTTTGCTTTGCGTGTGCCGTGGCAGGGGCATATTCTATCTCTGAACCAGATGGCGGTCTGCGGCCTTCTGGTCTTCTTTCCGAAAAAATGTACCGGAATGGCCGTCATACAAGGAACGCGTCGAAACGGCTGTTCATCATGGACCACATTTTAGACCGAAGGCTATGATCGAGGAGGTTTTGGCGAAGTTTACTCCTTCATTATGAAGAGGCTGGTATTACCGATGATGATGGTAATGGCATTAATCCTCCTCAATCTCGATTTCTTTCCATACGTGATGGAGGCGAGTTGCCTGAGGGCTGTGATTGGATGCCTTTCTGTATGTGGATGAGGAGGCTATACAATCTCGTGATGCTGTGAGGGATGGTACGTCTCAACATCGTACAATCACCCTGGCGCGTCTTGGAATAAAGCTTTTGGATCCTGAGCTCCTACAGGGAGACTGGCAGTGGCAAATGTCATGTTGTGCCAGAATGATAAGGAGACAAAGGCTGGCGGTGTGGAAACCAGCCGGCAGGACAATATTCTCATGACTGATATAACTATTAAGCCGCCAGGAAAGCCTTACACATTTTTCGTTTATTGCAACGTCCAGAAACAGTCGCGAGTGTTGTTGGTTGGTTGAACTATCCGAAAGCATATATATGGACAAGGTGGGGCAGCAACGACTTCTTATGACGAAGTTACTGCAACCGTAGAGACTGGCCACAACAGATCCTCCATATTTGCCAATGATGTGTCATAGTTAATGATTTGAACCATGGGTAGCTGATACTCAAACCGCATGTTAAGTGCAGATACCAAGCTAGAATTGACCGCCTAATTGTCTTCTGCCTCTGTGGCAGTGCTGTCGAGGTGTGTGGCAAAACCCTTTTCAACAAGCAACTGATTTGAGGCGCTACCGGGCGATTCACTAGTTATATAACGACTATAAAATACAGGGCCGTCTCCCCTAGCCCACATGGCTAGTCGGCGCTGGAAACAGTCCTACAGCTTAGATTATTCCGCAAACAATGTACGAGCATACCAACGAAAGCTGTGTCATTACCTCTGTCATGATACCTCTGTTGTCAAACTATCAAAGATGCGAGACTCGAGCATACGTCAGGGTGAACTGCTGTATACGTGCCACGCTAAACTGCGTGAAGAGATCTCTAATAAGAATCCGAACCTCCGAGTCCTAGTTGGCCACGCCAACCTTTTGGAGATGCTAGTTCTGAGATTCACCGAAATGGAACATGGAAAAATTGCAGATGCCTCGTTCATATTAGAGCAACTGGTTGAAAGGGTGAAACGCAAAATACGCAGCGGCACTGATACAGAACCCCTTTCGGATACTGCTGAAAGCGATATCAAAGGCTCTGATGTGATCAAAGGCGGCAATACATACCAAGAGGAGATCGCCACTTCAGAGCCATCTTCTCACGACGTGGAAGAGTCCCCCGCTACCATTTCAACGACACATGAGGAAAAGGACCGTGTGGATGCATACGAAAAGAAATGGAGATCGACTTACTTGGTGCATCTAGAGAACTCATGTGCAGCCGATTAATCAGACTGGATATCTGAGGATAGAACAATAGAATGATGTTAGAAAACATACCATACCCCCGTGTCCTGAAGAGGTATAGTCCAGGATTTTCTTTGCGCGCACTGACTTTTGGTCTCGGCAGCCGAGACCGGAGTTCACACTCGAGGAAGAACTGAGAGCTTCTGCTAGCTCAGGGGGAAAGATAGGATATACTGAATCTTGGCCAAGTTCTGGGTCTCGTTTCATACTCTTCCCAAAGATATCAAACAGAAGTTCCAATGGGCGCTGCAGAAGTCATGACTTGCTAATTAATCCCATGCAATAATCTGAACTCTAACTAAACGGACGTCCTGTGGCCGGCCAACGTCTCTGTCAGGAAACAACCACTACTCATTGGTCTCAGCGCTTTCCACGCAAACCAATGCTAGCGTGAGAGGAATTCCTTTGGATGTTATTTTTGGGGAAAGATGACCGGGAGCCCGTGTTTTTGTTGGACGGAATTATGCAGAGGACCGGATATGGCTGCTCTGGATGACTTGGTTGGCTTTGGGCAAGAAATTCACTTCCTAGTGAAAGAATCGGGAAAAGTTGAAAAATGAAGGAAAGTGACAGACCAAGGACAGAGCCCCTCAAACCATAGCGGGAGTCAAGCAAGTGATACCTGGGAGCATGAGCTAATTCCACTGGATCTATCGCAACCGGGTAAGGGGGTCGTGCACGCTATCGTAGTGGCACTTAATTATAAGCCTTGCCATCCTCACAAGCATCGAAATTCTCACTCAGTGCGTTTCTAGTGACAATGGTTTCTTCTAAAATGTCCATTGATTCCCTTTTAAATCCCATCACGGGTCATTGCAAGCGTTCCAGATGTGACTGCTCTTGCTACCACGCCTCAGAAATCTGGGTTTCCCATTCGAAATACAGTTCATTTGAATCACATACTCCTCCGAACGACCGATTAAGCTACGCTGGCAGCTTAGGCGTAGCTAAAAAGTGCCCCATCTGGCCCATAGTCAGGACTGACAGGGCCATAGTCAGAACTCACAGGACCAAAGGATCATGGAGAAAGGAGCCTTTCCATTGTCCGCTTAGCTCATGTCGCCAGAAGTTCCACAGTTTCCGTCGATTATCCAGCCATTTCCAAAAAGAGCATCTTTCCTCGTCCGTGGATGCAGCGGGGAAAAGTTACCAGTCGTTACATGCAGCCGGCGATTCTCTAGTTCCGGCTGGCTGTGGAGGCATTTCAATAAGCTTCACGGGCTGCCGCCCAAAGAGATACGGTGTGTGCTTCCACAAAGTTTGGGTCCAAGGTTCTAACAAGACCGTTGTTGTGGCAGCGAATACTAATATCCGCTCGGCGTGGAACAACTCCTCGTAGGTCGCGAATGTCTGTCTGACAGTTGTTGGGGATGAACAGAGACTCCACCATATCAGGCATCTGCTTCGCTTGGGCCATCTCAATAAGGGAGCAACAGTGATATATTAGACAACTGGGACGTGGTCGACCACATGTGCATGATACAAGCCGACGTGGGGTTCAACCTTTTGTATGTGCGGTATGCCTCAGCTGTATGATATTGAGAACATGTCAGACGAAGTTAACTATAGTAACTCGGGACATACTATAAAATTGAGAATGGTGACTTGATTCAGGTTTTTGCATCGGCTGCCTCTTGTATATTCCCAAGAAGCTCGAGTGGCGGGATTGTTTCTTACCTGAATATCGTGGGCCGCACCTGAAAGTAGTGCTGACCAAGGTAGTTGCGTAAAAGTACAGTAGATGTTATATGTTTAATTGCTATGGATATGGACTATGAGTATATGAAAGTGCGGTGTAAAGGGATCTACATATCCTATTTATTGGTGAATCTTTATTTTGTAGCTTGAATGTGCTTCTGATCAGGCGCAATGTTTGTACTATCTATCCACGAGAAGACAGACGAACATATCATGTAAGTCATATTAGGCACAAAAGGATATCAAAGCTCAGAGTGTTCGTTTTCCTCTTGGCCAATTACCTACGTTTCGTCAACCTTCAGGCTCCGCTACCCTGGCGAATCACCTTTCCTGGGCCGAGGATACTGCCATATCTGGTTAGAATAATCAGCAACGAGGGCTTGGGGCACAAGTCTCCTCAGTCTCGAGACGCAGCCATCACCATCACTACTCTAATTCTGGCTGCTTATTCAAGGCTTTGACAATGGTAGCCTAGTCGCGTGATATATCTTGCACGCTTCTTTCGGGCTGACATCCAACACCATTTTGTATGCACCAAGATTCGCAAGTTCATGGGGCGGCGATACCACACGACGAGCCAACAACTTCATACACGATGCCTTTAACTCGCACTTGCCATTCTGAACATGAAGTACGCAAGACGTTGGACGAACAACGAGCTTGCTATAGTGCTCTACTTTTCCTCCAGACGCATCCGATCCGAGTCCATTTCGCTTCTTTTGAAGCGCCGGGGATATAATCGTACGCCTGTCGCCGTTGACCGCAAAGTGAATAGGATTGTCAGTGGCTGTCCTTCTCTTCTGTTATCTAACTACAGTTGGGATACAGATGCCGTAGATCGATGGCTCGACGATATGCTGGGAGACCCAGAGGAAGTTAATCGCCTGATATCTTTCACGCCGGAAGATGCTGAAATTGTGGCACAGGTTGGTCATCGATCCTAAGTCAGCTGTCGTACGACCACTTGGCTTACCTGAACGTACTCAGAACCAGGATATCGACGATGTTCTGTGGTCAGCCCGTGAATTAGACTTATATAGGGGGAGAATGCAAGAGGTCATCCCCGTACGCTTCTCTCCGTTTCAAAACCATGATTTGAAATGACCACCAAATAAATGCGTGGATCGCCCTGATCGAGTGGACACGATTTTCAACGTCCGTTTGGAATAACGTGCCGTTCTATCAATGGGCTTGCGCCCTCTGCTATTATTTTGCTAGGGTACAACGACGGTGTGAGGTAGACAATGCGGATATACTTGACAACTGACTTAACTCATTATGTCTAAACACCATCAGATCCAGTTTTGACTAAATTCTGCCTGCGTTGCTGGGGTTTTGTCTCTGTTGCAAAGGACTGTTTCGGAAGGGCTCTGCCCACCCATTACACTCACTCGCAGCTCCAATTCTTGTCGGCCGATAACAAGCTGTATTAATCAATCTAAGTGCAATAATGGTGCTCTGCGGCTAGATCTTCGACCAGCGCAGAAGCAGCGCAGCAGCAATGACTGGCAACACGCTCACCAACTCTCCCAGTCCCGCAAACTCTGGGGGAATTCTGGCGTTGACAAAAGCACCCGCAGCGAGAAGGACTGCAAAGGTGTTGTATACGAAGCTCCATATAAAGTTGAACTTGATGCGGTTGACAGATTTCCTACTGGCGTCCATCATGGTGGGGATACCAGCCAGAGAAGGCCGCATGAGAACCACATCCGCGGCGGATTGCGCGACATCCGTGCCTTCGTTCATGTGGACGCCAATCGTAGCCTGGGCGAGAGCAACGGCATCGTTCGTGCCGTCACCACAGAAAACAACAATCGGTTTCTTACGGTCTATGCCGGTACTGAGGAGCGTCTGAATGTAGTCCTTCTTGTCGGCGGGCGAGCTTCGAGAACGCACGTTATCGCCAGGAATGCTAAGCTTGGACGCCAAAGACTGAACAGCTCCGTCATCGTCGCCAGAAACCACATGTACAGAGATGCCACGCTTTTGTAAGGTATTAATCGTTCCTACAGCGTCAGGCCGGAGCTCATCTTCAAGACCATAAACTGCCTGTAACGCATTGTCGATAGTAAAGCAGAAAACAGTGTAACCCTGTGCAAGCATTGGTTGAACAACTTCATTTTCCGATAAGTTCAGCCAGCGAGAATTGCCTGCTCGAAGTTTCCGGCCCCCAAAGGTAGTTTCAACACCTTTGCCAGTAACGCTCTTGGGCTCAGGAACAGTGGAAGCCATAACTCCGGCATCTTTGAGGTGAGCAGCCACAGAAACCGACACTGGGTGTCGACTGTTCTCGATGAGGCCCAGGAGAAGTGGAAGATTATCCACGTTGTCGCACTCCGTTGCGACGACAGAAAGCTTTCCCCGAGTCAAGGTCCCAGTCTTGTCAAACACGACGTGTGACGTCCTATGAGCCACTTCAATAGCATCTGCTGACTTGAAGATGATACCTCTTTCCGCCGCGACTCCACTGGCAATCACAATGACCATAGGAACAGCCAGTCCAATTGCGCAGGGGCAAGAAACGATGAGGACAGTAATGGCATATGTTATGGCCCGAATTGTAGCTTCGGACCCATCATATCCACGAACAGTCATGCCTAATGCAACCCAGATAAGGAACGTGATGATTGTCAATACCAGCACAACCGGGACGAAGTAGGATGCTACCCGGTCTGCGAGATCCTGCAGCTTAGGTTTCGACAGTTTGGCTTCATCGACCATCGCAGCAATGGTATTGATAGTGTTATCGCTAGGCAAACGGTTCAGTCGAACAGTCATAACACCAGATCCATTGATAGACCCAGCAACCACCACAGAACTAGGATATTTCTCCACTGGTCTAGATTCACCAGTGAGCATAGACTCGTCAACCTCAGACGACCCATTGATGACAGTACCGTCTGTCGGGATTCTGGTGTCAGGGAGAACTTTGAAGGTGTCGCCGTATTGAAGAAGTCGAGCGTCAATCTCACGTTCCGTTCCGCTCTCTCGGTCGACAAGGATAGCTGTCGATGCCTGTAGTGACCGGACAGAAATAGACTCAACAGCTCTCTGACGGGCGAGAGCGGCAACCCATCGACCAACCATGATCAATGTGACCAGGAGAGTGCTCGTTTCAAAGAATTGACCAGTCGAAAGGGGCTGCTCTGCAATGAGGTACGCAAAGGAGACCACCGAGAATATGTAGGCAGCACTAGTGCTCAAGACGATCAAGAGGTCCATCTCGATAACCCTTGAAAAGATAAGAGCCTTCAGGGCCTTGGGATAGAAAGGCCCTGCTACTA